CTCCCCACCACCTCCCCCACCCACCGTCCCCTCATAAACAATGGTGGTTCGTGCCTTCCTCGCTCAACGACACTTAGGGTAGGTAGTACGCTGCAGGGGGCGAGCTTCCGAGAGCCACCCACCTCCGCATAGCAATCACGTACACAAGTCTGTCACCAGACTGCTAGAATCATAGGAGCGACAGTCATAGATAGTACAGCTACCTTAGTACATCGTGACTATCACAAAACCACCACGTCCGCCTGAGAGCGACATAGAGTCTGCCCGCGCCCCACACACACTCAACTTCGCAGTCTCTGCCACGACGAATCCCTAGCGATATCCCGGCGCACCACCTCTAACACCTGTCTGGCGGGGCGTAGGCCCAGATCCAGGACCATTGGATGCAGGCCCGGACAAAGGTGGCATGTCTCCGCTACCGTACATATCCATGAACTGCCTACCTGGCGGACCCTGATGGTCTGGCGCTCCATGCATACCTGGTGCTGGATAGCTGGCTCGTTGTTGCTGCTGTTGAGCAGCACCGCCAAGCATGCCCATCAGCCCGGGCGGCCCCTGTGGTCCGTTGCCATTATGACCATGGAATCCGGGAGGCGGTGCACCCATCATCGGCGGTAGGCTCGCATCACTGCCAGTGTACTTGCGCTGGGGCCCGCCCGGTGGATGGCCGTTTTGCGGTTGTGATCTTGGATCGAGTGATTGTTGTGGCGGCAATCCATATCCAGGCGGAATGTTAGGTCGTCCTGGATTGGACAGACCAGGCGGACCCTGTGGTCGTCCTCCTCCTTGTTGCATGTTATGCTGCTGTTGTGGCCGTGGCTGCTGTGACATCTGTGGGCCGTAGCCTGGAGGAGGCATACGCCCCGAATCGAAGCCCGGAGGCCGCCCGAGAGGTAAAGTCGGCGGTAACCCATGACCGTGACTCTGTCCATTCTTCGAGCTCGCTCCGAGGATTCGATCCGCAACGTAATCATCATACATCGCACGGCTGCGCTCGTCGTCAGGGTATCGAAAGCGGGTGTGTTCTTCCGGAGGGGCTTGAGGATAGCCACGATGCATGTCTAGACCAGGTGGTATCTCATTTCGAGCCATGGCCATTCGATTGTTGTAGTCGGAAGCTCTATGAGGATGCATTTCGGGGTCTGGGGTGGGCTTTGGTGCCTGGTCGGCCTGCTTGAGAAGATTGAGCAGCGACTGATCCTTTGTGCTGACGCTACGGCCGTGTACAGGCTCCAAGGGCGACCTTGAAGCATCGAAGCGTTCGTGGGCGGTCGAGCGACGTTGCGGAGTATCTTGCTGGCGAGGCGGGCCCTGTCCATTCAGAAGTGCAAGTAATGGTGAGGAATTGTCCTGAGGCGTCTCTGCTCTCGATTGAGAGTCGCGAGCATACAGCGGAACACGGCCTCGATTCTCGCGACTCTGAGTAGTGGGCTGCTGTGGCGACTGAGGTTGAGCTGGCTGAGTCGGCTGGGGCGGGCCCTGTGACGATGACGAGCCGTTGGTCTTCCTCGCACCCAACATGTCCATAATACGAGCGAATCCAGCAGCGTCGGCATCGACAGCGCCAGCACTTTTGGGTCCTGCAGCGGCGATTGCAGCTGGAGATGGTGACATTTTCTCGCGAATTGAGAGTCCGAACATTTGTTGGACAGGATTTGGACCTGCCGAGACGGGCTTCAGGGCTGGGGCGGACGCCTGCTGCGGTGTAGGTGTAGGATTTGTGGGATTTGTTGCCGCTGACGGTTGAGTGTTGATTGGAGCCGCGCCAAAGAATCTGCTCTTGGCTGCAGGTTTTGGTGCGGTACTATCGGCAGCTTTCTCAGTCGCGCGTGCGAAGAATTTGTCCATCGTAGCGTCCTCCCCATCGTAGAACTGAGGTGCCTTTTTTATGGATTGTTCGGGTGCTGGGGCGGGCTCTGGAGGCGGCTCGTCTTGCAGCTCGATCCCTAGATCTTTGGCCTTCTGCCTCTTTATCCAGAGCTCGAAGTCGGCTTGTGTCTTGCCCATGGGATTATCGTCAGCGCCATCGTCGTCACCATCGAGCCACTCCGGCTGATAATCGTTCTGAGGCTCTCGATCACGTTGTTGCCAACCCCTACCGCCACCACGTTGCCACTCATTGTCACCGTCTTTGGCATTCTCATGAGTCGAGCGATCCCATCTAGACCATGTCTGCTCAAATTTCTTGCTCGGCCGTGAATCGCGTCGCGTGTCATCGCCGTCTTCTGTTGCCCATTTTGGTTTTCGTGGTCGTTCATCATGGTCATCAGTCCGGCGTCGTAGATTTTTGTCGTTAGGATCCTGATCTCGAGCGTGCCTGAAGCGATCACTACTCTTCAGCTTCTCGTACTGTGTGTCTTTCTCGCGTGAGCTATCCTCGCCGTCTTTTCCATTTGTGCGAACAGTCGATGAGGCGAATGATCTTCGTGGTGGGCCGAGGACTATGCGTTCGGGGTCTGATTTGTGTTAGTGGCTTGCATGAACGTAGGAAGACTTAGTACTGACCTGTAGCGGACTTCCTCGAAGTAGCATCGAATGGACGCTTTTGGAAGGCCTCTGTTGGTGACAGAACATCGTCGAGTTTCGTAGGCCGCGCAGGAAAGCGCTTAGTAGTCTCTTGAGCGGCTGGTGTGTTGATTGTGGCCTGGATTTCTGCTATGTTCGCCGGCTTCTCGATCAAAGGCGACGCTCGTAGTCTCAGCAAGTCGTCGACCGAGTATCTGCCTGTCATGACCGCGGTGAGTTGTGTGTAGACCACATCGGCACCAAGGATGCTGTGAAAGCAGGTCGTGTGATCCTGCCTGGGGCGGACTCTGTCAAGATGAGGCAGCCCAAATGTAGAGAGCGGATCGCGAAAGTGCTAAGTGTTCGCGTCTGTAATCCAGGGCGGGCTCTGTGTAGAAAATTTGTCGCAACGAGGCAAGTACAACTCAGTCACATTCGAATTGGCAGTGACGTGGGGTAGAGCCGACAATGAAGCTCGTCAATTCTCAGAGCAAGCGAAGGAAAAGGTTGAAATTCTACCAATGCTGCAAGTTGTGGTGTCTCTAAATCTTTTTTGACTGTGATCCTCTGGTAAGAAATGAATTATTTGTTCAGGCGGACTCTACATGGTGCTCTTCCAGTCCGTCGTTTTGTGAAGATGCAGCAACGCGGAGTCGAGTGGAGTTCGAAGTCTCAAGTCACATGATTGGCTACGGTGAAACAAGGCAACTTCGACGCACAAAGAGAAGGCAAGTTGCTGGTGCCAGTGATGTTTGCCTTCCATTTTGATCATTCTATGTGTACATGATGCGTTGTCCTCGAGTTGCGCCTTCTCATGCATAGCTGCCATGTTCATGACATGCGAGTCCCACCATTTGGGAACTATTTCCTGTCTACCTCATCCTCGACCACCTACTGCTGGCTGTGACATGCTACGGCGGCATGATCCCAGCCGTATCAGCCGAGCGGCGGTTGCGAGCACGGCAGATGGTCGTCGCCAGTAGTCACACTAGCGAAGCGGTCTTCGTTGCCCAAGTCTCGGAACTTCCACGGATCCCTGGTTAACGCTCAATGTTTCGCGAGCCCGCCCAGTGGCTTTCGCCGCCCGCCAGCATCGCCATATTCGTCCTTCGTCCCCTCTTCATGCCAGGAAGCCAGCCGGTCCATCCAGGCGATGAGCCGACGCCGGGTATACGGCGTTCCCAAAATTACCATGACCAGGGAAGAAGATACAGCGAAGGAGATAAACATCCATCGCCAGAACAGCTGCCAATCAAAGCCAGACCTCAAGTCGGCTAGTCAGTGGCTCTGCTCACTCCACCCCTCCGGCTTCGCCATCCCATTCAGATCAAAGAAGCGGCTGGTGCAACTATACCCTTTCCAGTCGAAGTTGTCCTTTGGATTACAGTGACATCGTAACTTCAGGCGGAGGTCGTCGCCGGTAGGACAGTGCGTGAAGGGGACGTGGTAGTAGGCGATGTCGTTAAAGAAGTGGATCTCGTCCTTGTTGAGAGTCAGGCTGCGGCGATGGAGTGGACTGGTGCGTCGCCCCAACGCTCGTAGAAGAAGCCGCCGTCCTTGTCGAGAGACTCGAAGTAGTCGATGTAGGCTTTGCTTCGAAGCCATTCCAGTGAGCCGATCTCGAAATTTGACCACTGTGAAATCATTGTTAGCCTGAAATTGAACCGCATTGGAAGGGATATGCTCACGAAGTGGCATTTGTTGTAGGTGTCACCGCCGTCATCGGACAGGAACTTCATGGAGTTGTCCTTGGAGATATGCTCGGGATGCTTCTTGATGTATTTCTTGGTCGACTCCCACAAGGTGGGGATGGTCTCGACGTACTCGTACAGGCTGAGGACGAAGCTGTATTTCTTCTTGTTGTCCTTCATGAAGCGAAAAGGGTCGTAATGGACATCGCAGAACAACTCAACGGATGGTTCGACACGCCAATAGTATTCGTAGTTCATCATAAGCGGGTGGCGGAAGAAGAAACCGGACTCAAACCGGCACATATGTCGGTATGAAATGCTGTCACCGTAGATGATCTTGCGCTGGCGCATGTCTTCTCGCACTGCGGCGGCCTTCTTCTCGTCGATCCATTCGGGGAAGGACCAGTGGTCTTTCGGGATCTCGCCATAGTGTGTCTTGCCGGACACCAGAGATGTCGTTATGTTAATGAACTCTTGCTCGAAGGGTTTGTCGTTGAGGAAGACCCAGTCGTAATTGTAGTTGCGGTTGAACCTGTCCTCGACCTGACGGATCGATCGTGCGATCTCCCACAGATCCGAATTCCGTGCTAGTGTGACAAAGGTGGCATTGACTCTTTCTCCGGCTGCAGGAGGCGAGAGCAGGAGTCGATCGCTCTTGTCGAATGGCGTAGTCAGCGCATTCGTCGGCTCAACCTTTGCGCTCTCGGCCTTGGCCGCTTTTTCTGGTTCACTAGACGGTATTGATGGTTCTGGAGCGGTCTGTTGTTTCTCCTCTTCGTGGACCCCCAGACCGACGGCGCCTGGCCGCGGTATGGGCGGTGTGTATGTCGGTAATGATGACGTGGAAATAAAATACAATATGACGAGGGAAACGACGGCGAATAGAATATAGCGAACGTATTTGCCGGAGCCTGCCGCCATGGTTCGTCGCGAGGTGTAATCGATTTCAGTCTCGGAGTGTGATCGCGAGTGAAACGAAGGAGGTGTGTCTGGCGTATTTGAGATACGCGCCGGATGCTTCTCGTCGAAGTTCTCAAGAGGCATGCGGAATTATGGATAGATCGACATGAGGTGCCCAGCCTGAAGGGAGGCCGGATGTGGTCGATTGGAATGAAGTAAGGGCGTCGAGAGAACGTCGTGTGTGCCTGTGGTGGTTTAGGTAGAGTACGAATACAGGTGACGGTCACTCAGGTATCACAAATGTTCACACAAAGAAAGATGCATGCGTTATTGAGAAAGGAGGCACGGCTTGGACTTGAGGACAACAAGAGGAGTGATTGCGACGACTTTCTTGCACGAAGTCAATTTAGGAACACGTCAACGAATCCATACTATTTTCCCCTGTCAATATTGAAGCTTTTGATAAGAACCAAGGTTCGTACGTCGCGTTGCTCTGCCACTCAGTCCGCGCGGAAACCCTGTACTACTGTCTCACTTCGCACAATGCTGTTGGCATGACTACAACGACTCTGGGATTGCCGCTGGTCACAAGCCGTTCTGCATCATGATTAATGAGACGTATTATAGTGCGATGCCGTAGAAATGATATATCGAGGGCAAAGCCACATGCATTGATCGCATAGCGATAAGAAATATCGTTTCAGGGGCCATTTCCAGCGTCCGGGGTTACTCGAGCTGGCATCTTAGGTGATGCGCCACAGCAATCGCTTGGTCTGAAACGCCCGGAGAACTTGAAGCTGTGGCTCGAGCGTTCGGCAAAGCTGCCACGCCTGGACAATATCGTCACGTCGTCACTGTGTGCTCAATCCATGCAATATTTTGAAGTCACCCCTCTGCGTTCAAGGTGTGTCCGACCGTCTTTTGATTTGGTTCCAATCTCACGCGCTCTTCAATTTGCTCCTTCTGTCTTGCTTCGTGGCGCATCGCGCTGTTGCCAACTCAGAACAAACCAGAGCATGACAGGCCGCTTGTAAGCCATCCCCTCAACACTCTTCCTTCCACCCACGATGAGCTTCTTCGGCTTTGACGCCAGCCTTCCGAAGGAGAAGTCAGGCGGCGACAAAGGCTTCTTCGAGACCAACGACCCGTTCGCCGGTATCGCTCAGGCAAGGAAACTTCAGACACTGCAAGGTCAAGAGGAAGAAGAGTGCGAACCTCCACCTGTTGGTCATACAATTTATTAATACTCAGTCAGACTCAATTTCGAGGATACCTACGATGGACTCGGTGATCAGCTGCAGGAAACCGGCGATGATATGAATGATGACACTTTCGGTGGTGGTCAAAATGTTGGAAGGGATTTCGACTTCTCTGGCCAGACAGCTCAAGTCTCTACGGCGATTGGCGAAGAAAGTGTCCGCTACAACCTCCAACAGCCCACCCAGTATCAAGCTGCATCGACAAGGTCCACAAAGCCTAAACGCACAGGCTACGAGAAGTATGAGGACCCCGGCTACATACCCGATATTCAGGCAAAGTCGGGCGGGTGGAGCTCAAGGACACAACCAGCACCTGCTGCTCCCAACGCCCCGATTAGTACCGCTCGAGATGGCTCTGCCAGGAAGATGATGAGCCTGGAGGAGGTTGAGGCTCAGATGAGAGCTCAGGCACAACAGCCTCCTCCGTCATTCCATCAACAAGATCCATACGCTTTCCATCACCAGCAACCGCCGCACATGCACCCACCACCACCTCACATGTTACATGGCCCTCCACGATCTCTCCCGATGCATCCGCCTCCAGGTTCTCATTATCAGCATGGGCCACCTCCTCCACATCCAGGTTCTCAGTACCAGCAGGGTCCTCCACCACTACCACACCCTACTGCCCCGAGTCACCAAAGGATGCCATCTCAGCCATCACAAGCCAAATCTCAGCCGCCACTCCAGATTTTGCAAAACCCGAACCGCCCACGTCATTCACCTCAACCAAGCCTCGAAAGACCGCCTCCCACTGATTCTGCACAGCCAATCATCACTCACCCTCAGCAGCTCATGGACCTGTCCGAGGAACAACGGAAGGCGTATCTTGAGGATGATGCCAAGCGCGCAAAGAGAAACCACAAGATCTTCTTACTCTCGAAAGGCAACGGCTTAATGTCTCCACAAGACAAGAACTTCATCACCAGGATCCAGCTCCAGCAGCTGGTCAGTGCTACTAGTAACCCCAATGATCAGAGTCAGGAAGCTGTCATTGCGGAAGACTTTTATTACCAAGTGTACAGTCAGATCCGAGGAGCTCCCCGACAACATCCCGGTCAACCACTCGGCCACTTTGCTCAGACATATCTCTTTCAGACCGGCAATCGGACCAACAACAATAGGCGCAACCAGATCACAGGAGACAACCACATGCAGCGCATGCAGCAGCAAGTACAACGAGCCGTGGAGGCCGCCAAAGCGAAGCCCAAGAACAAGCAGCTCATCATTGAAGGCAGTCTCGGCAAGATCTCATTCAGCAACGCCAAAACGCCAAAGCCACTTCTCAACATCAAGCGCCAGGAAAGTACAGACACTCGAGCACCGAGCAAACCTTTGAGCCGGAGCGATCGCAAGACGATCCTCCGAAACATCGAGGCTGTGTACACTGATCTGATGAAGCTCGAAGATCTTGAGAGAAAGCTACCGCCACCATCACAAGACTCCGAGGAGGACTCATCAACAGCTGAATGGCGAGACGAGTTCAGGTCTTGGATCGACAAGATGTGGCACGACCTCAGAGTCCTTGACCCGATCGTTCCCGGCGCGTCGGAAATGCACCCATTCATCGCCATGCTATCACACCCCAAGGGCAAGAAGGCGATTCCTCGTGTTTTCCGCCTGATTGACCAGGAACAACGCGTCACGGTTCTTACGATGATTACTGTCCATTTGGATCAGCTCGACGTCATCAGGAACGGGCTGATCCCCGCAGGCGAATCCCAACCTTCAGCCGCTATGCGTGAAGAGATCGAGCTGTTCATGCATACCGTCATGCCTTGCCTGCTCCAATATGTTGCCGAAGCGCCCATCAATATCGTCTCCGGCCTTCTGCAATTGGTCATGGAGCATACCCAAATCGCCACTGTGGTGCAGACGAAAGTCGGACTAGGCGTCTTGACCATGCTACTCAGTCGAGCTGAGCTGGTGAAAGCAACAGATGTCAACGAGCAAGAGAAGCAGCAGCTAGGCATGCTCTACGATCGCTTCTTCGACATGCTTGAGCCATATCTTGCTCACCTCTTCCCTGGTCCCGTCAACAGCGGTGAAGACATGTATATTTGGCAATTCCTGGCCGCGTTGGGTACTGGCGCAAGTCCAGAACAGCAGCAGCGCTTGGTGTTGGGTGTTAAGGATCGAGTCATGGAGACGGTTTCGCAGAGCAAGGCGTTGCCGGCAGAACTATCAAGTGTGAGGCTGAGCAATGTTAATCTGTTCATGCGGGCGATTGGTCTTGATGTTGACATGTTGGGGTGAAGAGATGAATAGCAGAAGTGATGAGCTGGGCGTATAGCAAAAGTGCGACCGTAGACAGAAAATCACGGACGTCCACGGACGAGTTGAGCGAGCCGCCAAGATCCGCTCACCTGCTGTAGTCACTGCTCAAGTGGTTGCCCAAAACGCATCATGATCACCAGCCCTGGAGAATTGCGAACGTTCTTCCAAGGTGCGCAATCATCGACAACACTCTTTCTTCCCACTTCCGCGTCTTCTCGGATTTACGGTGTATAGCTCCTTCACGCACCAACGCGCACGAACGCTTTCGCCTATGTAGATGCCGCGTTGCCATCTCAGTGCACTGTGCCACTCACGCATACATTCAAGTTACGCATCTCGGAAATAAGCATGACAGGCAGCACGACCACGGACGACGTGCATAGCGAAGTGACCACCCAAGATGTGATCCATTCCCGAACAAGGCTTGCAGCGACGCTGTGGTGCAGGACTCTCGATACTTAAAAAGTCCCAAGCACTTCACCTGATCGACTTCGACCACCAGCTTGTTGAAATCCACCATCAGACAAGCAGCACAGCTCAGCAGAACTACAGATCAGCAGTACCGAAGCAGCCGTATCCCCAGACACAGATTCCACAATACGATAATGGCACCTTTCCAACCCCTATCTCAGCCTGCTACCCTCTTAGGCTACCATCGCCAACTAGCACCAGCGGCAGGCATCAAAGTCAGCTCGATCTGCCTCGGCGCAATGAACTTCGGCACCGCATGGAAGGACTGGCTCGGCGAGTGCAACGAGCAAACCTCCTTCGAAATCCTCGACTACTTCTACAGCCAGGGCGGCAATTTCATCGACACAGCCGTCAACTACCAAGCCACAGAATCCGAGACCATCTTGGGCAACTGGATGGCCGCCCGTGGCAATCGCGATGAGATGGTCATTGCCACGAAATATGGCACCGGCTTCCGCATCCACGAGGGTCGCAAGATCATTCAGAGCAATTTCGGGGGCTTGAACGCGAAGAATCTCAAACACTCCCTAGACTCGTCTTTGGCAAAATTGCAAACATCGTTCGTGGACATCTTGTACGTGCACTGGTGGGACTCGTCTGCCAACATTCCTGAAGTAATGCATGCCTTGAATGATGTAGTGGCGCAGGGGAAGGTGCTGTACTTGGGCATTTCGGACACGCCTGGGTGGATCGTGGCCAAAGCGAATGAGTACGCCAAGGCACATCATCTGCGGCAGTTTGTCGTGTACCAGGGGAGGTGGAGTGCGGCACACAGAGACTTTGAGAGAGACATCATCCCGTTGGCTCGCGCGGATGGCATGGCGATTGCGCCGTGGGGAGTACTGGGACAGGGGCTATTCAAGACAAGGGAGCAGCGAGAGGCAGCGACGGATGACGACCGTAAGAGCTGGGCGCCGATCACGGACGAGCAGCAACTCGTGGTGGACAAACTCGAGGAGATTGCGCGGCGCAAGGAGACGAGTCTACAGAACGTTGCGATAGCGTACACGCTGCACAAGACGCCGTATGTGTTTCCTGTGCTGGGTGGGAGGAAGCTGGAGCAGCTGAAGAGCAATTTGGAGGCGCTGAATGTGAGGATGTCGAGGCAGGATATGGATGAGATTGATATGGCGACGGGAAAGGCGTTTGATTTGGGATTCCCGCAGAATACGTTTGCGCCGGGTAAGAAGACGGATGTCTCGGGCGATGTTATGGCGAAGGATAATATTGGGAATTCGTTCTTCTGGATTGGGGACGAGGTGCCTTTTGCGCAGCCGATTCAGTTGGGCTATCACTAGGGACGGCATTTGAGAGGCAGTGTGGGGACGGTGGGCGGGGGAGGTGGTGAGGTGATGAGGTGGTGGCCCCGAAGGGCCACCACATCCACACCGCCTCAGCGAGCGAAGCGAGCATTAGGCTGGAGGCCGAGAGGCCGGAAGCAGCGCCACAGGCGAGTAAGGGAAGGCGCTGGGTCGGGGGACGAGGCTCATCGGTGTGCGTTGATAGGTAGCGTGGGAAAATGACTGTGGGGATTGCTGGCCTTCGGTGGGTGGGCACTATGGCGGCACCCCGAAGGTAGCGAGCGAGTCTTGGGAGGTGAGTGAAGCGAACCCTATGCTGGTCGCGCCGCAGGCGGAGTGCAGGGTGAGGGGCAGCTGGATCTGGAGCCATGCTGGAAGCAAATAACGGAAGACGCCGGGTCAGGCTCGATGGTCCTGCGCTGTTGACAGACTCTTGAACAGTCTCCGGGAAGAAACTGTAGCATGTAATGCGGAGTTGTCAACAGACCGGTTGACGATACTGAAAATGCAAATATAGTTGTGCTGGTTCTCCACTGTCTATGTTCTCGGCGTGTGCATCTTTTGGCTTACTACACTGGGAGGCGCTAGTCACTCTGGCAGCTTCGACTTGTAACAGGTACCACCATTCGCATCTCGATGCGTTTGTACGAGAAGTTGTCTCTTGGCTTTTGATCAGGGAAGTGGTCGTACACGAGTTGAAACACAGCCACAGCTTCCAAGGTTGTGGCTGGAAATCTGACTTTATTTGAAGTGCGTTGACCTCGCTGCTCCTTCTCTACCTACCTAGGTAGGTACATTCTTCACTCTGCGACGCAAGCTGTGGTTTCTCTGGGACACGCTCGTCCGCGGCGATGCAAGCGATGGGTTCTGATGATGTCGCGCTTCGTCTAGTTGGTCAGGCAGCCTCAAGCATACGGAATCCGATCCACTAATATGAGACTGCTTTCGGCCCTATATGCGAGCTGCGGGTGTCCCGGCGTGTAATAAAAAGCGCCAGACAGCACACGCTATGGACGTTGAGCTCTTAGCAAGTACTCGTTGCCACTGAGGCGTGCAATCACCACAATAACACCGTCGCCCGACAGCTCGTTTGAATTATGTAAGCAACCCAGCAGATCCACTTTGATTGATCCTAAGAACCTGACCCGACCGCTGGTATTCCACTTGGACCACCACAACCTCACATCGAACTCCCCCGGCTTTGCGCAGATGGAGTGCTGTCGTGCTCTATTAGCCCAGAGCCAATGTACGACGGTGCTGATTAGCCGTTGTCCCGTTCCGTCGTGTATACTAATCTGCGAGTGACTTTCACATGAGCGCACACGAGGCCTGACGATGGCAGATCAGGTCAATCCACCGCCGTCCGGAGGTACGTGGGCGTATATAAGGCGAGTGCTGAGCCGTCCAAGACTACGTGAACGATGCGTTGGTTCATGACTTCCCACAAAGTGCCCAAGATGGAACCACATGCGCCACCCATGGCTTCGATTCCTCCTTTAACCTTGGCCGATGGTCTCGATAAGACAGACGTCGATGCCAACGAGGTCGCCTCCCTCTGGCTAAAACGACTCCAAAAAGCTTTCGACGCAAACTACTTTGCCAACCTGGATGCTCTCTTCCTAGACGAGTGCTGGTGGCGCGACCAAATTGCTCTTTCGTGGGACACAAGAGCAGCACATGGCCTCGTCGATCTTCGCAAGTACCTCTCAGCGTCCGATCACGGCCTGACACGGCTTCAACCGATGAAGTCGGGCGGTCTGAAGCCTGTGCTTCTGGACAACGGAGGACTCGTTTGGATTCAGACAGGCTTCACATTCATAGCGAAGTATGGTGTAGGGGAGGGGATCCTGCATCTCGTCAATGTGGCTAAGGATCAGTGGAAGGCATGGCTAGTCCTCACACAGCTTCAAAGGCTGCATGAAGAGGGTCACCCTGACTGGGACATTAACGTCAATGGCATCGCTGCGAGTGCGCTCAAAGAGCCGGTGCCTCCTGGCATGAATGGTACCACCAACAATTCCTCTGCTACACACCACACCGATGCCAACGACAACGGTGACCATACAAAGCACGAACCGGACTACCAAGTAATCATCATCGGCGCCGGCCAAAGCGGCCTCGCCCTCGCCGCACACCTCAAGAATCGCGGCATAACCTACCTCATCATCGATAAGCAAACCCGCATCGGCGATTCATGGCGGGCCAGATACAAGACCATCACATCGCACACGCCCACCTACACCGACCACTATCCTTTCCTCAGATTTCCAGAGGACTACCCGAAGTGGCTGAACCAGGAGAAGATCACCAATTGGCAGGAAGGCTACGCGCGCATCATGGAGCTGAATCTGCGACTCGGGACCGAAGTCACGCACGTGGACTTTGACGACGCCAACAAGAAATACACGCTGTCACTCGGTTACGGTTGCCTTTCACAGCAGCATACCAAGCCCAAAGCCCTGACTTGCCGCCATCTCGTCCTCTGTACGGGCATGTTCAGTACAAACCCAATCACTCCTGCCTTCCCATCCCAGTCCTCCTTCAAAGGCCAGATCTACCACGCCAAGTACCACAAGTCTGCCACCACAATCCACGACCTCGCCAACAAAAAGATCGCCATCATCGGCGCAGGCACCTCCGCACACGACATCGCCGAGGACTTTGCCGCCAATGGTCCCGTCGGGAGCATAACCATGATCCAGCGCGGCGCCATCTTCGCTGTCTCGCGGCCTTCAATGGAGAGACACCTCACGGGGATGTGGGACTCGAGCTCTCCATCTGGTCTGTCGACGGCTGAAGCAGACCTGTTGAGCCATTCCTTCCCCTTCCCAGTCCTACGAACCATGTCTATCGGCCAGACGATGCAAATGTGTGCTGAAGAGAAAGACACGCTGGATAAGCTCGCTGCCAGAGGCATGCGTCTCAAACGGGGTGAGACGGGTGAAGGGATGATCGACCACCAGTTCATCAAGGGTGGACATTTCTATATCGATCAGGGCGCGTGGCGGCATCTTGTAGAGGGCGCGATCAAGGTGGCGAGTTGTGATGGTGGGGTGGAGGATATTGATGAGCGGGGGGTTGTGCTTGCTGATGGCAGAGTGATTCAAGCGGATGTCGTAATCCTTGCCACCGGGTACGAGCGGTGTTGGACATACGTGAGGGACTTGCTGGGGGAGGAGACGTTGGACAGGGTTAGTGGAGGCGTTTCCAAGGATGGAGGGAAGAAGGACTTCGGCGGGCTGGATGAGGAGAGTGAACGGGTTGGGTGGTGGCGGCCGACCGGGCAGAAGGGTTTATGGTATATGACTGGAAGTTTCCTGTTGGTGAGGCAGTTTAGTGCGCTGGTGGCGTTGCAGATTGATGCCGTTGAGAGGGGTCTCAATGAGAGGTACTGGAGCAGCTGAAGAGCAGATGAAAGCGGGTCGTGGTCTGTTCATTTCGTTTGTTTCGATGCTGAAAGGGCTCAGCCACGAGAACTGTCACTTGCTCCTTCCTCCTTGAGCTTCATCTGCCAAGCCGCACAAGTCTGCAACTTCCCAAAAACGAGCACGACAAAACTGCTGTTGCTTTGAAGATGTTCTCGTCCCTTCTCTGCATAACGAAGGCCTCCCTAACAAGATGAGGAGGATCACAATCCACCGCACGCCATTCGATTCGACATGCACTATTCACGTCCGCCCTCATCCAAAATCCAAAGATGGTGTTCGATTCGTCGATAGAACGCAACGCAACATACCTGCTTATCGTCACTATCTCTATGACTTGAGTCTAGCGGATGTCACATCAGTCTATTCAGCCATCGACGGCATAAACATCGTATTCCGGATAACCACGGCCGAGTATAACAACCTATGCGAGGCCTATGTCACGGCAAAGAATGACGTCGAGCGTGCTAACCCTTGGCTTCGCAATGAGGGCAAAGGACGACACATTTGGGATATGGTTTGGCAAAAACTTCTCCAGCATGGGACCTGGAGTACCAAATTCCTATGTTCCTGCAGCTGCGACAAGGCTGCTATCAAGGATGTGGTCGTGACGTGGATGAAAGCATACACTGCCACTTGTGAGTATTCCTCTCAACACTGGACTGGGAGCGAACTTGAGGATAAAGATCTCAGAGTCCGCCGTGATGCCTTTGTCGTGTACTGCCTTCATACTGCATCGACCGTAGCCCTTCACTTTTCACTCACGTCCAGATCCAGGCTAACAAAGAACATTCAGTGTCGCAGTCTGGAACGAACACTCGTACCCCAACTCGTCAAGCTGAGAAGCAAGATAACTCCGGGATAGAGCTCTTCAAACCTAGCACTACTACACCACATGCCGCCATGACAGGCCCGCACCAGGCTTTGCGCCGCTCCAAAGAAGCTATAACCACATCAGAGCGTGCCTCTAAGCGTATCAAGGTCGAAGCAACTGCTGAGCCTCGTACGGAGCCAAAGTTTGCCGTTGGCGACAAAGTCTACAAGACCGACACATCCGGCACAAGCAAAACGACGGTCTTCGAGATCACTAAAATACGCGAAGACACTGGGTTGTGGACATACACCATCAAATTCGACTTCATGGGCGGGGAGGCTTTCATGATAGTCTTGGAGAGCCAGTTGTACACCGTCAAGTACCCCAAGAACAGCCAGGTGGAATTCGAGGTTAAAGGTACTGCTGAGAGCTCATCCGCCGTGGGGACAGTCAACGACTGGAATCTCGTCGATGGCAAGGTGCATTACGATATTGTCTTCGACAAGAACATCATCCGCTACGACTCGGCCTCTAGCTTTGTTGAAGTGAGCGGTCTGGGTAGAGTTGCGGCAGATGTCTCCAGCGTGAAACTCGAGAAGGACCTCGGTAATGCTCGCATCGTCACAGAATTCGATGTTCGCAAGGTCACTTTCACTGAAGATCATCTCGAGAGGACACACAAGTAAAGCAGAGGGAGTCTTTGTGGAGGTCTCTCAGCAGGGGATTACGGAAGCAGCTGAGGCACGATGAGAGCTGGTTCTTGAGCCATGGAAGCGGGCTCGTTGGTATTGGCAGCGACCTCGGAGATCACGGAGGACAGGATACTGTAAAGTCCCCTGGTCTGTCCAGCCTCGTCAGTGAATCAAGTCCACACGAACGCAGTGCTACACTTCCTCTTCCTCTTCGGTTACGGGTCTGACGCTTGCTTCTGGTAGGCACCTCCTCTGGCCGGTACTTTTCAAGGCGCTCTGGCCGGTACCTTCTCTGGCCCACTTAGGGTTAGAGCAGGAAATCAAAAAATTCGAAATATATTGTTTTGTTTCACGACTGACAGGGGTCGCACACCGCCAAAATGCGCACCTCTTTATTCTTTTTGGCTTCATCTACCACTGCCCTCGCTCGTCATTTCATTACCTCGGTGTCTTGCTCTGTTTGAGCGGCCTTCTTTGACTTTGGTTTCAGTTGGATATAACTCTCACCTCGGCTCCTCTGCTCCGCTTCCGTCGATACCTACGACGCCAAACCAAGCATGGCGTCCGCGACTCCTCCTGCAAAGCGCGTCAAGACCGAATTCGCCGAGATCCCTGCAAATTTCAGCGTTGGTGACAAGGTCTACGTTTCTGGCTTACCCGATGCGACCAGAAAGACGCTGTTTGAAGTCCATGAGGTGATAGGTGGAGGATCAGAGTGGCGCTATCCCATCAAGAACAACGCCGTCATGTTTGAAGGAGCAACAATGTTCGTCAAGGAAAGTCATTTGTTCACGATTGAGCATGAGATCGGCACCAAGTTCATTGAGGACATCGTGGGAAGTCACGGCAAGACCATTGCTTACACGTGCATCGACGATTGGCACTTTGTCGGCGGAAGGGTCGTCTACGATCTGAGTCTTACTCGCGACGTCGAGCGCCGAGATAAGCCGACGGAAGTCCTCAAGGTTGGCCGGCTCGGAGAAGTCGAGGTGCTTGGGAAGATAACGTCCAAGATCTATCGAGACAGGGCTTCTAGACGTGTGCTGTATTTTGGGACGGAGTTCTGTGATGTAACGGTAAAGGCTACGGCAGACCAGCTCGGGCCTGTCTACCGTGGCTGAGATGTTTCCAGATCGAAGAACGGCGGCCTGTGCCAGTGCTGGGTAATCAACGCCTACGAGACGTCGCAGCTTCGACTCACATGCCTGCAATGCTGGGTGGATAACGTGTTGTGGATGGGCAGATGTTGTATGGCATGACATTCTCATTCAAATCATATGCCACAATATCATGCTAGTTTATCAGGATCCCTGGACCCATGTATGGAATGGAAGAATGACCACCCTCGTAAGACCTGATCATCATTTCTGCGTTGGTAGGAGCCTTGAGTGAATGCACGTTGTCATTTGAGCAACGGCTCCATGACTTCACTGGTCGAGCGGCTACTTCAATTGAGCAGTCAATCTCAGGCTTTCTGTAAGATGTGAGCTTGCGGTCATCGTAAAAACTGGATCTTCGTCCTTCGTGAATCAGATTTGAGAACCTCGTCGATTGCCAACAACCCCTGAAACCGACAGTCGATATCTCGTCACCTTGCCACCTCGTCAGTATTCTCATCATCTGCCGACCAGAGAGTCATACTGACAACTCACAAGCAGGTCAATCGCAATCATGACTCCTCCAGCCAAGCGCACCAAGGTCGAGATCAAAGAGAGCTCCAGCCCTACTTCCAGACCACGTTTTGCCGTCGGCGACAAGGTCTACAAGACTGGCCTTCAAGGCACAGGCAGAATGACGGCCTTTAAGGTTACCGAGATGACTCCAGGCGAAAAGGAGTGGGCATACACCGTCGAAAACAAGGACTTCCTGGGCGAGGGCACTGTTATGGTGGTTCCAGAGACCCAGCTGTACACTGTCAAGTACGATAAGGGTACTTGATTCAGCTTCAAAGTGGAAGATACCTCCGGGAAGTCGTCCGCTGTGGCCAAGATCGTCGACTGGGGCTTTGATGACGTTGAAAGGGGGGTTGGATATTTGCTCGAGTTCGACAAAATCATCACTCGCTACGACCCGATTCCAGAGTCCGTTCAGGTTGGCGAAAAGGGCAAATTCTACCGCTCCGGTCACAAGGCGAAAGTGATCAGCCGCAATGGTGAGGCCTTTCTTGCCACCGAGTTCGTTACCCCAAATTGTGCGGTTACTGAAGACAAGCTTGGAGAGCCACTCAAGTGAGCTCGTACTGGTCATACCAGTCGACTGAGGCAGAACAGAACAGAGAGCCATGGACAGAGACCAGATAGGGCATTGCACCAGAGGTTGAGCTCTGTGGATTCCCGACGGAGCTCAAGCGACCAGCGAGATTCGGGCGAGGTACTCTCGAATGGGTCTCTTTTGAAGCCGAGGGCTTCATCTATTTCTGCAGTGCGGACTTCCTCACCGTCTTGAACAGGCAATTGGACATGACCCGGACAGTTGAGCGGGAGGCTGCCTGATAATACGGACGTTAACGGGTGCTCGGTCAACGTGGACGTCGACGAGAATCGAATGACCAGGATAACTTTTGACTTGAGCACGACCTTTGAGGTGCCACAGTCAGAGCCAGCTATGGAAGCCACATCAAACAAGAGTCCTCTAGTCGGAAATAGACTACATACGCTCTGATAGGCCTCAGACGAGCAACACAAACGTTGAACAAGCATTTGCGCATCAAACATTCCGTCGGGCTGCCGATTACATTCATCGCCCCCTGCCTCCATTCCGTTTCATTAAGCCTCGGCAAGCCCCCATCATCATCTCTTTACTTTCCTTCCACCCTTCATTCACACACACCATCTCCCATCGCATAGTGCATCAGCTCCGGCTCCTCCAGCATCTTCCCTGGATACAAAAGCAGATTAATCGCTGCCAGCGGAATCAATCCCTCCGTGGCAAGCACATCCTCCAGACTCAATCCCGGCGCCACCACTTCCGCACAGATCGGTTCGAGATTCTCGAGGCGGGAGACGAGCCCGGGGCCGTCGTGGGTGAGTGCGTCGATTGTGAGTGCGTATGTTAGGGGGTTCTGTTTGCCGAAAGGAGAAGTTTGTCAATTGGTGGGACATGCTTAGAGGCGGAAAGAAGGAGGAAAAGAGAGAAGGACGGCTACGAAGAAGGGGTTGGCTTACATAGAGGACGCCCTCATGCGGGTAGAACCCTCCCGCGGGCTGACCTTGACAGATTGACTGAATCTGATTGTTTGAGTACGGCACATCCGGTCGCTGGTTCTCGTGAGCAGCGCAAGTCTGCGATTCGCTCACAGGCAACTCCTGCGTGAAGTACGCGGCCGACGCAACAGGATCGTACTGCGGCTGCACAATCTCATCGGTAATACTCCAGATGCTGGTACTAGGAACGTATGGCGCAGCGCCGCCACCATTGCGAAGAGTGCGAATAAAGTCGGAGGAGTATTGCTGCTGGAAGATGGAGGGCGGACTGGGGATGACGTGGCCTTCAGATGTGGGAATGGGCACGGTGGGAGAGAGGAAGTAGGCGAGCGTGGTGCCGTGGAAGTCCGGGGAGACGGAGATGAAGTCTGTGACTAGGGCTCGGGTAGAGGGCCAGTATTGGAAGACCCATTGTGTGGCTAGATTGCCCTGAGACCAGCCTATAATGGCGACGTCGGTGCGGGAGGTGAGCGCAGAGAGGTAGTGGGATGCGTAGGCGATGTATTCGGCGTTCAGCTGGATGTCGTTGTACATGGCGCCTGGGATGTTGAGGTAGGTGATGTCGTAGTCTGAAGAGAGGAGCTTGCCGAGGTTGGAAGCGAAGTTGACGCCCGCGAAGGCGCCAGTGCCGGGCACGAAGAGGATGGCGCGGCTGACCGTATGTGAAGGTGGGAGGGATGTACAGCGCGGAGCGGAGCGAGGACTCCGGAATGGTGTAGGAGGGGTCGTTGGGGGAGGCGCGAGGGTAGATGCGCTGACGCATCGAGGGATTCGTGTTGTTGAAAGAGTTGATGCCTGGAAGATAGCTTGCGAGGACATTCTGGGTCAGGTCGGTAACGGAGAGGCCGTTGAGGAGGGCGAGGCCAACATTTTCGAGAGTGACGCCAGCGTTGCCGTCGCCGAAGAGCTTCTCTAGACGCTGAAGAGCATCCGGGATTGAGTCTGGCGTGTAAGCTTGGACGATTGCTTGAAAGAGACCGGCGAACGTCGCGAAGATCTCCTCGCTTTCGTGTACCGACTGGCGGATGTTGTTCAGAACTTCGTCGAGTTGAGATTCGGAGTCCACTCTGCTGGGGATTATATCGCCTAAGAGATTGTTGACATTCTCAACGATATTCGCTGGGTTCTTCACAATCTGGTCGATTGGCAATATCGGTCCCAGTGGTTCGTCAACAAGATTGTTGACACCGTTGCCTGTGTTCTCTAGTGCATTACCTAGGCCACCCAGTAGATCCAAAGGAGCAGCGGAAACAAGTGGAAGCGCCCAAAGGGCAAGAAGATATATAGAGACCATGACAAAGGAATGGACAGGCTCGGAAGCCAGAAGGAATGTATTGTGGTCAGGAAAGGTGTTGAGAACGAGCCGGTGCTACGACTCGATGCATATTGATGCGGCGAATGAATGTGCCTCTCACTGCTGCGACTTCGACGCGTGCCCAGCGATGCCCTACGAGCCTCGTGTACCAATCTTGACGGTGGTTTTTGACCGGCACTGTACTTGCATGACTCCGATCACACCTGTCGTTCGGAAATGAGCCTTGCCGCTGGAACCTACCTGTAGCTTGACCAAACCAAGGAGGACGTGATGATGGACCCGCTCTTCTTCGTGCGGAATCACGCATCGTAGTGCGACAATGACTATGCTGCATACATCATGGTCGAGAAGGTGTTGACCAACCGAGTCTGTGGAGGGAGGTTGAAAGAAGAGTCGATGATCTGCAGGAACAATCTTAACCTGGAGCGACACAGCCTGATTTGGCACCCTTGCGCCAAGCTAGCGCCCAAAACCCCTGGCGATCTTCCCGGAACTCTTGTCCGCAGCCACAGTCGTTCATCCGATCGCACATCTGTCAATTGCGGGGACGGCACTACGTTTGATAGTTCTCAAAGTACGTGGTCAAAGTCTTCATCACCTCCGAGTTCCGACCACAAGCCGTCGACTCGGTCATGGGACCACTACACAGCATCGCCGATCCAGCCGGCTGGCAGCCAGCGTCGTGCGCTTCCATTGTTCTCCCTAGCTTCCAGGTTCCTGAGGAAGGTGGATTAAAACGGAGATTGTGAAGCGAGCAGATTCATGCAGAGGCGAGTCTCGCTGCGGATCGCGTCGACTCGCTTGATGACCTACCTGGACATGGTCGGGACTCAGCTGGTCCACATATATGGACGAGTATCCTGCGCAGTCCGAGTGCCTGTGTCTCTCATTCTTCCATCTGATATTGACCCTCATTCACTCTTGCACCACCCACACCTAACTTCAGTCACTCATTACAACACCATGCAATTCAAGGTAGTCATCTCTCTGCTTCTGGCCTCGGCCGCTGTTGCTGCGCCAGTCAAACTGGAACGAGGTCTCGGAGACCTTGGCTTGGGGGACCTCTCCAAGCTTGGTGGTCTGGGAGACGCCCTTGGCAGTATCACAGGGAGCGGCAACAAGGGTAAGTCGGAGTCTTCTCGCGGACTGTCCGTACTGACAGCTCAGACAACGGAAACGGAAATGGCAATCCCATTGCTGGAAATGGCTCTGGAAGCGGCAACTCTGCTGGCAACCCAGACGCCTCTGCCGACGGCTCTGGCAACGGATCCGGCAGCGGTAACACTGCAACGTGAGATTCAGTTCCGAAAGTCCTCTTAAGTCTACACTGACATCCCTGTAGTGGAGCGGAAGGCAACGGGAATGGAAACGGCAACGGAAACGAGGCCACGTGAGTCCAAGCCAACCAATGAAGCCGCTATGATTTCTATTCTGCGCGGACATCTACTGACGGATTTACAGGGGAGTCGATGGAGACAACAACTCCTTCCTCTCCAACATTGGCACAGTACATCTGTAGAAGGCCTTCGAGACGTTCAAAGCTGATGGGAACAGATCACCCTTGGTGAGAGCAACGAGCAGACCGCACAGGTACGAGCTGACATGCTAATTGTGCGACAGGCTGATTGACAATATGGTGCAGGAGGTGGTGGAAGCTCTGAAGAGACTCTCGCTGGTCTGCAGTCCTGAAGGAGTGGGGGAAATGCGGTGCCACTGGACATAGTCTTGCCTCTAGCGTTGGTAGTCAAAGATGTCATCAGTCCAACGGTCAGGGTGTTGTCGTCAGTTTCACAATGCCACGAAATGGAACGTAGCGTCCGGAATCGGGACAGTAGTAGCCATAGCGTAGGCGAGTAATATGCACTGTTCGAGGCCTTAGGCCTCATTTCCAACCCACGTTATGTCAACTTGAGACAAGCTCATCTTCTTAGCTGTGAATGAGCACCAGCTCAACACAGCGCCAGTTGAGTGCTGGCTGGTTCCAGGTTGCAGACCACTTAGCCAAGGCTGACCGCTGTGCAGTGTCGAACCCTAGTGTGCCGAGCTATCAGACGACTTTCCTGGTCATGATCAGCTGCGCCCCTGCAATGGACCGTCACAGCATCCACCGTCACTAGGACCGCACAACGCTCAATGCATATTTTTGAATGGTCGGAAATACGGTCCGAGCTGGCTGAAGCTCATTCAAGATCGACAATACGAGATTGTGTCTACGCCAAACGTGCAAGATGCCTCCGACAAGGCGCAAAGGGACTGCCTGAACAGGTCTAAACGTTTGATGTCAAACACTGAAAGCCGACGTCTGGGAGATTGTAGCGGAGATATTAAGCAGGTGGATAACGCTATCTTAGTCGACTCGATGCGATGACGTCGTGCGTTCCGCTCATGCTGCCCTTGCTGCTCTTTGCACTTCTACTGTGATAGTCCACCTAATCCGGCTTCCATTTTTGCTTCTTCCCCATATCGAGCATCGCTAATCTCCTAGGTGTCGATCATTGTAGCCGGCTTCCGCAAATGTACCACAAGTGGAGGCTACTCGTACGGTTCCACCTGGAGCCGCATCAAGCAGACCAACATCCGGACCACTCATAGCATACATGTTTGTGATCAGCTGGTCAAGCAAGGACTGGCAGACTCATGCGATGCTGCCTCCAGCAGACTAGGAGATGCCGCAAATTGGCCTGACGCTTGCAGTCCGTCGTTTGGCTTCGAGATCAGCCGCATCAGCGATGGGACTGTCCAAGGCGATTTAAATGTACAAAGCCGCCTTCTCCTGGTGTCAATCAACCAGGCCTTTCTCACCCCAATCCAGCCCGTCATTCTTTTGGTTCCGACCACAGTCACTCTTTCAGCATGAAGTACCAGTCTTTGGCCCTTGCGGCCACCACATTCCTTACCTGTGCGTCAGCATTCCCTCGCATGGATGCAGAGCAACTCAAGGCATACAACGAAGCCTCCAAGAGAAGTGCTGAACCTGCAGCATGCCCTTACGCCAAGCGCGAAGCAGAGGCAGCTGCGGACCCCAGCTGTCCTTTCGCGAAGATAGCAAACAAGTTCAAGCGCAGCACATTCAACGCTGAGCAACAACATATCCGGACTGATGGCGAATATGCGTTCGTACCGCCCAACTTTCAGTCAGGAGACCAGCGTGGACCATGTCCCGGCCTCAACGCTCTGGCGAATCATGGCTACTTGCCCCACTCAGGTGTCGCCGATATGCAGACGATCATCAAAGCCACCAACGAGGTATATGGCATGAGCCTCGACCTGGGCGGATTCCTGGCCGTCTATGGCACTGTGTTCGATGGCAACCCACTCTCAACGAGCCCAGGCTACAGCATCGGCGGGCCAAGCAAGGACTCACAGAACATCCTCAACGGCGTTGGTTTGCTAGGCACACCCAGTGGTCTCTCCGGATCCCACAACAAGTACGAGTCTGACGTTTCTCCGACTCGTGCCGATCTCTACCTTACCGGCAACAACTTCCATAATGTCAAGGACCGCTTCGTCGACTACTACTATGCACTCAAGGAGAACACTCCTGCACCAGAACAATATACTGCCCTGGCGCCCTTCCATGCACAACGATATGAAGAGTCGCTGATGTCAAACCCTTACTTCTTCTACTCACCATTTGCCGGCATCCTCGTTTCTCCTGCAGGCTATTCATTCCCGCCGCGAATGATGGCCAATCACTCTGAGGAGTACCCGGAAGGCTACCTATCCAGGGAGACATTCTCCACCTTCTTCGGTGTTGACACCCACGAGTCCCAGAACCCGCAAGACTTTGAGGTCAAGCAGGGCTGGGAGCGTATCCCGGACAACTGGTACAAGCGACCCATCAACGACGAGTTCTCCATCCCCGACTTCCTCCTCGATGTCCTCCAGCACGCCGAGTACGATCCTCGTCTTTTGTCATTCGGCGGCAACACGAATGGCGTCAATACGTTCGCCGGTCTCGACATCGGCGACCTCACTGGTGGTGTACTGAACTTCGCCAACCTCCTTGACCCCAACAATCTGCTATGTGTCGCCCTGCAGATTGCTGAGGCTGCTGCTCCGGATGTGCTTGGCAGTCTGTACACGGATGTGAAGAAGGCCATGACGCCTCTGACCGACAAGGTCACACAGCTGCTTGCTGGCAAGGGTTGCCCGCAGTTGCAAAAGATCAACTCGGAGCTCTTTGAGAAGTATCCTGGATATACTGAAAGCTATGGTAGCTATGCTGGTTTCTCTGAGATTGGTACTGATCCGGTCGACGGCGTGTTGGAGGGCGTTACTGGCGTTCTTGGAGGTTTGATCCCGACTGGGCAGAAGGTGTAATGCTTCTCAAGAGCGCTGCGGGCACGGCGATTGAGTAATACATGCAATGCAAGACACGCTGCCTTTACAGATGTCATGGACGGGCAGTTGAATCTCATACAGAAGCACAAGCGACACAGCAAGTATAATGTTAATCAATCTTCGAACGATGCTCCAGAACAGAGTATTCACGGAGCCCAAACCCAGAAAACCACTCCTTCATCTATTCGTCACTTCTGATTCATTTACTTGAAGCTTCTGTTTGCTTCACTACTGAATGGGTTAGACCGCCTCAAACCGCACTTTCATATTCTCTTTGGAAATATCTCTACCACTACCGCACCTGTCTCTAGGTTCTCGATCAGTACGACTGTTCAGCGAAGCCCGTGATTGAGGTATCTTCCCTTCGCATACTGAAGGCCGCCTCATCTGGGTACGTCTACTCTACCCTTATCCCACCAAGTTCCAAAGTTTCTCACAGCTCTTAGCCAACTACCAGTACTCGCACCGCACAAACGAAATCATGACCGCGCCAGATCGTGCCTCGAAGCGCGTCAAGGTCGAAGTCGATCCGCATTCTGGGCTTCAATCTGGGATTCCTGCGCAGCCAAAGTTCGTTGTTGGCGACAAGGTCTACAAGGTCTACAAGTCAACTGTCTCACAGGCAGTTAGGATAACTCTGTTCGAAATCACGGACAGAGCTTACAGTGGTACAGATGGATGGTCTTATCGGATCAAGAACGATGACTTCTTGGGCGAAGGCTGCGTACTATGGGTTACCGAGAGCCACCTCTACACTGTCAAGTATTCTCTAGGAAAGACGTTTCAGTTCCGCGTTGAAGGCACCGCGGACACCACATACACTACAGGCGCAGTCACAGGCTGGAGTCTTGTGGACGGCAAGGTGGTGTACGACATCAAGATCCCGGGCACGGTCGAACGCCACGACAAATTATCACTCGATGTGAAGCTCGATGGTCTCGAGGTCAAGGCACAGTCCTGCGAGGGCAAGTTCGCGCCGGCTGATCGTTACGACGCACAGCTCATGTCGTCTACTTATCATCGAAACAAGGTTGTGCTGGTGACGCATTGCACACTCGGGACAGTCCAAGTTCCTGCAGATAAGGTGGATCGTATTGCAATGGGTTACTAAAGACGCCATACCCGGCTCAGACGCTGCGGAACCGTCATTAGTCCTTGCACCTTCAGTCGACCAGGGATCAGGATGTTCTCGTAGACTCAAACATCCGATTCCGGCAGTCTACGTCAAGTTCTTCCACCAGCCTCCATCTACTGCCAGCCAGTTGATCTACACCCCTTCGGCAACGAGGAGGGCTACATCAAGTAGCCCCCATCGATATTTGACAGTCTGGGTACTGTCGATACTCTGATGATCAGTTGAATAACACCAAGCTTCGATTGAGCAGTCAATGATCAAGAACTTCTCTTCACTGCTCGCCCTGCCATGATCCGCTTCTTCACTGCTCCGGCCTTTCGCTTCTGATGGGCCACGGCCTGTTTCGTGCTTACTTGTACTTCCGTCAACTTCAGAGTCTCTTCTTTTCTCATCGTCCCTGTCTCCGGTTAGTAGTTGCCCCACTCCGGCAAGCCATGGCCAAAACGACTGCTCCCGCAAGGTCCCCTCCTACGAAGCCTCCTCCTTCCAAACGCATCAAGACCGAGGTCAAGGATGATCCTGACCCTAGCTCTGAGATGACCCTCTCCGACAAGTGCGCTGAAGATGACATTCGAAAATTCGACATTGGCACCAAGGTCTACAAGAGCAATCTTCCATCGCCAGTCAAGACGACTCGGTTCGAGGTCACGAATGCACGTCTCGACGATGGAGGGCAGTGGCTCTATACAATCAAGAATAAGGACTTCATGGGTGAGGGCAGCACTATGACAGTTCCTGAAAGTCAAATCTTCACCGTTGAGCATCCTCTGAAGACAACTTTCAAATTCCCCGTGCATGGCACTGCAAAGGTCACACACGCCGTGGGAGCGATCACGGACTGGAACTTCGTGCACGGCCAGGTAGTGTACGACTTGACATTCGACAAGAAGATTGCACGCCACGATCTGCCATGACGCGAAGCACTCGTGCTCGGTTCCTTGGGTGAAGTCAAGACTTCGTCTTCCGTCATCAAGTCGGCACACGGCCTCAAGTCCATCATTGTTGGTGATCTGGTGACAGAGTTCCAGGTTGGCACCATCAAAACCACTGCAGACAAGCTGGGGAAGCCAGTCGACGGCAACCTGGGAGGTCAGATCACTGGAGCTAGCAAAGCCGGGGGAGCAAAATCGAGGCTGCTGGAGACCAAGAAGCAGCTGGAGGAACAGATGCTCGCAAGGCCTAAGCCGTGGCAGAAAAAGCGCAGGGGAGTATTTGTCGTAGACGACGATATCTCAGCCTAGAGTAAGTTTTGCTGACTTTCGAGCCGACTCAGGGCACGCTGGGCCGCTCGCTACCTTCGGGATGGCCGATCGAATAAGCGATCTGGTACAGCATATGACAGACTCTCAGAGCATAGAGTCGTCTGCGAAAGAAACATGCATCACTCGTGTGCTCGACGACCACACCAGTACTGTCCTTGGCTGCACAGGATATCCTGAGCCTCGCGCTGAGGTGTGTCTTGCCTTGCCATGACGGACGAGCCGGGTGAAGGCGGCATCACGTTTTTGCTTGTGTGAGGAGCATTGCTTCTTCCATGCATAGCACAATATTTCATATCAGACCAACTCAATGAAAATCAACTCAAGCTTCTCCTCGCTGCTTTCCACGTCCGACATGCTTCGTTGGATTGACTGTTAATGACCTGGACATTAATGGTCCATTCAGTGACCTCCTCCCTTCCGAAATCCACTGTGCCGCGAATATAGACACTACAGATCTGAAGTTGAGATGCTATCATGAGTCCTCTTCTTCGTCTTGCTCCCTATCTTGCCGCCCGCCGAGTGCTCTTCAGCCAGCTGCCTCTGAAATTTGTGCTTCACTCAGCTCTCATTGTCGCTTCGAGAGCCTGCTATCAAAGGACTGATCCGAATTCTGTTTGTCGTTGTGAGTCACACGCAACTTCACTGCTCACTTGAGTGGGGCAAGTCGTTGTTGCTCGGACTACTTCAACTTCTTGCAACCTCTTCGAATATCGACCCGACCACACATTCCCAATCAATCGATATCCGCAGTCAGCCATGGCGAGAACGAAGCAAATCGCGCGCAAAGGCCGAGGCGGTGCTGCTTCGCGCAGACGACTCGGCACTCAGACAGCGACGACCGAAGCTCTTCGAGGCAGTCTCTTCGGCGATGCGAACGAGCCACAACCCAAATTTCACGTTGGCGACAAAGTGTACCTCAATGGAGTTCTCCCGGCCCATACGAAGACAGACTTCGAAATAGTCTGGTTCAACATCACCGATGGTGTTTGCGAATACCGCCTTGAAGGCAGTCTTTCTCCCGGCTCCAAGACAAAAATCGTGGTCTCTGAAGAAAAGGTGTATCAGCTGGCCTATCCGATCGGTACCGAGCTCGAATTCCATGGGAAGGGTCCGTTGAGCGTCGTGAGGGACAAAGTCAAGGTCACAGATTGGAAGTTAAGGAATGGAGAGGTGGTATACGATGTTGACGTCGGACAAGTGTCGCAAGTCCACACCGTCGGAACCAGTTTCGGGCTCAAACTCAGAGGTCTCGGCCTGCTCGGAGCCGAATTGCGCCACGTCTTCACTCCTCACAAATCCGAGTCAGCGGGCCATGTCCAGTTGGACTGGAACGTCGGCGTCCATCAGATCTCCGAAGCCCAGCTCGTGGCGGAGCAAGAACCTATGAAGATGCTTGGTGGTGCCGCACCCAATGATGTCGAGGCGGAAGATTCAGCTTGAGCGATGAGGGAGGCCGCTGCGGCCAGCAGCGACCAAGGCTCTCGGCATATCGCAAGTTGGTCGTCGTCACTCCAAGAACAAACCTTATCTTAACAGAGCGGACGTCGTCATGATGGCACAATCCAACGTGCAAGGGAAGTTCTGGGAGAGGTTGTATCGCTGGATGTCAAGTCGTCCTAGAGGGGAAGTCGAGAACAAGTCTAGCACCGTGCCGGACATCCATATGCTGGAAAGGCAGCTGCCAGTACTCAGTTACATAAGTAGCTCGACTCCAGAAATGAAATACTCACTCACAAGATCATTCGCGGTAGCTTCTCGCAAGCAGCACCTTCCTTCCATCGACCGTGGGCTCGTGCCTACTACTGTCAATACTTCAGCGCCAGTAATCGCCATGCGGCATTATGCCCTCACTCTGCTCTCACCGCCTGAGCGTCGCGACAGCCTCAGATGACCAGACCCGTATTCACTCATTGTGATGACTCGGACTGGTACTTCACTGCTGTTTATTGTAAGTTCCTAGCCGGATTGTCGATCTACTTACACCGCCGTATCTCTCTCTCCTTCTCTTGTCTCCTCATTCTCGAACCACTTTACTCAACCACGACGACCCGGAACGACACAAGGTTGCTCAGATCTCACGCCTGTCCACACCACTAGCTCCAAATAGCACATTTGCGCCACCACGCCATGTATACCATTGGTCTTCCCGCGCAGCGGCAGCGAGTCGAGGCTGACCCTGACACTCGAGCCAACGGAGCGCCTACTCCAACTGCACAAAAGTTCAAGATCGGCGAGAAGGTCTATGCAGACAAAGTCTCCCCAGCAAACGCCAATATCGAATTCAAGGTCGCACAAGCCGACTTCATCGATGGCGCCTGGGAATATCGACTTACTAGCTTCCGCACTACATCCCCCAAAACCACTATCACCGTCCCCGAGAAGAACGTATTCAGAATACACTACCCCTTCGGCACGCAACTCGAGTACGCGCTAGAGAGCGATTTGCCTGAAGTCAGGGTCAAGGGAACGGTGAAGAGCTGGGAGTTCGTGGATGGGAAGGTTATGTATGAGGTTGATGTTGGGCACGGTTGTTGCCAATTCGTTGAGGCTGAGGAGGACTGGGAAGTTGTTGGGCTGTCGAGTCTGGAGGCGTTCCGGAAGATGTGGCGGCACGATATGGTTAGGCTTGGTCGAGCGGAACTGGAGCGGATTCGTCGAGGAAGACCGAGATGAGAAACTTCTTCTGAGGAGGACCGAAGATCTAACGGAAATGTTGACCTGAGTCTGTATTCACACGTCGCAAAGTCGTCGTGATAGTTCATATCGGGTGCTTTACTGCTGTCATACAGTGGAGTATTCGGTGAGTCCATGACCTACTTATTCCGCAAGATCACTCTTCTCTTCTCCTTCATCTCTTTCATTCTCAACACCCTCACTCGTCATCCCTGGTGGCCTCGAAGCACACAACGCCGCTCGACCTACGCGGCCCTTCAAACGCAGTCACTGACCTACACCAGTAGCTCCATCGTTCACCAACGATCCCATCATGTTTTTCAACGAGCCGCCCGCGAAGCGACAGTGTGTCAAGGCTGAACACGGAGTCAAGTCTGAAGCCGGGGTCAAGTCTGAAGCCAGGGTCAAGTCTGAAGCCGGGGTCAAGCCTGAAGCCGGGGTCAAGTCTGAAGCTGGGATCAAGCCTGAAGCTGGGATCGAATCTGAAGCCAGGATCAAGTCTGAAGCCGGGATCGAGTCTGAAGCTGGGATCAAGCCTGGAGCCGGGATCAAGTCTGAAGCCATGGACAAGTCTGAAGCTGGGATCAAGTCTGACGCCGGAATCAAGTCTGAAGCCATGGACAAGTCTGAAGCCAGGATCAAGTCTGAAGCCGGGGCCAAGTGTGAAGCGAAGGCCGACAAGGTCCTGCTGCACCCGCTCTACCTGGACAGAAGTTCAAGATCGGCGACAAGGTCTACGCAGACGGCATCAACACAGTACTCGCCAAAATCGAATTCCAGGTGGCACAAGCCGACTTCATTGATGGTGTGTGGAAGTATCAGCTCGTCGACCATGGCATTGAAGGTTCCAGGCCCACCACCATCGTCGTTCCCGAGAAGGATGTATTCCAGGTCGAGCATCCCATCGGAACCCCACTTGCGTATGAGCTAGAGGTCCAGATGCCAGTTATCAAGGGGAAGGCGTCAGTCATAGGCTGGAAGTACGTGGACGGGGAAGTCATCTATGATATCGATATTGGCCGCATTCGCAAGACCGTCCAGGCCACGGGCAAAGTCGCCATTGGTGACTCGACTCTCCATGCGTGGCAGAAGCTAACTTTCTGGGGCTATACCGTTGCTATCGGTCTATGGCCCAACCTCAAAGTCGAATGGTTTCCTCAGATTGTGCAGATGTCTCAGGCTACTCTCGAAAAGCGCAAATAATAGGCGATCGCCGAAGTGGAATGTCCTTTGCGAAGTACCGGAAGTCTGTCGAAGAAGCATGCGGCGTATCCGGCTAGGAGTCCTCAAGCGGCAGCGTCGTAGCCACTGCTTGGACCACACCATGCTCGGACGTCCCAATAAGGTGGGCAGGTGACCAACGACACGATTCGGTCTGCGCGAGGTTGAAGTACCGGAAGAAGTTGTAAGCATGTGTTGGGAACGTCCTGGCGAAGAAAGCTGAGAGTAACTCCAGTACCTCTCTGGCTAACTATGGGCTGGAAGGCAGTCCGTAGAACTGATGTAGCTCGTTAAGAAGAATCAATCGTCCCAGCAAGCTGCAAGCTGCAAGCTGCAAGCAACTCGCTGCCTTGACCCCTCATGATTTTCGTGCCTGTCACAACCATCAAGTCAGCCTGTTCATTGTGGTAAGAATGAGCTTCTGTGCCCAAGCTTGTGGGAGGGCAAGCTGGATGCTTTGTCCGGTCCTGGTATACCTACTACTGTAGAAGGTAGAAAGTTCAGTCCTTACTGAGTGACTTTCAGACGTTTTCATCCTCCAGAATTGCGCAGAGCCTTCGCGTGAATTACCCTTTAGAGTCTACAGCCTCCGATCGCTTCTGACCTCTGCCCAAAGGCAAGCAATGGCGACCAACAACACAACAATAGCCAACGGTCCTCCCGCGAAACGACAACGCGTCAACCGAGGTGGTCTCACCGCTGATCCCGACTCCATCACCGCAACACCAAAATTCCAAGCAGGCGACAAAGTCCATGTCGACAACGTCCTCCCAGCATTCACCAAGATCGAGATGAAAGTCCTCCGCGCCAGCAACGCAAGGACCGGAAGCTGGGAGTACGTCTTGGACAGCACTATAATCCCGGATTATGAGAGCACTATCATTGTTCCCGAGGAGAGGGTGTTCCAGGTCAAGTATCCCATTGGGACGCAACTCGTGTTCAAGCTGGAGCCTCTGAATCACAACCAAAACAACTTTGCCAAGATCACGGACTGGAAGTTCTCGGAAGGCCAAGTAATGTACGACGTCAAGGTTGGCTGCGTGCAGGAGCCGTATGTAGTCGGACGCATCTTTGACCTCACACTGAATGGTCTTGGGAGATTCAGCGGAGAATTCGTTGATGATATCGATCTGACGTACGACGTCGGCACCGTGCAGATCTCGGAAGCTGAGCTCGATGCCCGACAAGATGAGAGGCTTGCATTGTTGGCCGGGTCGTCCAGATGAGCTCAAGGGGGAGCTCGCCACATGATGCTGGGAACAGGTTGAAAGTCTCTCATGACTCCTGTGACTGGACAGATAACGCCATAGTCACGATCGGAATGCTCAGCAACATGAACACCACCTCAGGAAAGCAAGTCGGCCTGAGCGGAAATGAAGGACTGGACGCCACAAGTCAAGACTTTGGGATTAATGGTGGAAAATGCATGAGGAAGACCAAGCATCATGGGCGGACAACTCGCGGGCGATCTCCAGCTCGTTCACAAACAAACGATGCTCGTTGACAGAATTATTCACGGTAGACACGTACCTGTAGGCATTCTCCTCCTCCCCGCGGTCGATCGCGTGGAGGTTTATCCTCGTTAGTGCAAGGTATTCAAGCACAAACCACGGAAGACGTTACCCCTGATCTCGGCAAACCTCCCGCCTTCGCTCATCCACCTGTCCGCCGGTTATCCCCGGTACCTCGGAGAAGCTCCCTCACCTCCAACTCATCCGAGCGCCATCTCGAAAAGTATCCCCAGCTTGCAGCCATGCGCGTGTGTCTTGCAGTCATGCGTGTCGTTGGTGTCCGGCGAGCTCAGCAGAGATGAGGACTTTAAGGGCGGCCTCAGCTGTAAGGCGAGGTCTGAAGACTTCGATTTCGTGCTCGAGGCAGTTTTCGACAAGCTTGAGGCGAGATGCTTCGTGGGGCTTCATTGGGCTGGGCGCCATGGGTGTGTATATACATGATTGAGACACGACATAGTCAAGCTGACCGACAGCAGGCTATCCCATGGCGAAGAACCTCCGAGCAAAGATCCCTGAAGGCGACACGTTGACGATATTCGACGTCAACAAGGCAGCTGTCGAGCGGTTCGTCAAGGAAGCCGAGCCTGCGAACGTCAAGGTTGCGCAGGCGCCTCGAGACGTGGTTGAAGCATCGGTAAGAGAGTCCCTTGCTTATGTCCAGTCCTACATGATGAGCCAACATTTGTTCTATCTATGATCTAAGTTGGGGAGCTTCGGCTCCTTTACCATGATTCCTCAAAATTTATAGCCAATCCTCTGAGACGACACCATCATTCACTATATTCAGGAAGTAGTTGCTGGCCATTGCTGATGTAAGATAAGGACAACATTGTCTCAGCCCTCCCCGAACCACAGCACGTCAAAGGCGTCTTCGGCGAAGTCTTCGCCTCTAAGCTGCCCAAACCACCCTCCGAGTCCAGCCGCATCTTCATCGACTGCTCGACCATCGATCCGACCACCTCCCGCGGTGTGGCGCAACAAGTCAGCGAGCACGGCGAAGCAGACTTCATCGATGCACCCATGTCAGGCGGCGTCGTTGGCGCCCGTGCTGGCAGCCTGACATTCATGATTGGCGCAGAGGACAGTCTCGTCAAACGCGCAGAAGCCATACTTTTACTCATGGGCAAGAAAGTCTGGCACATGGGTCCCCAAGGTACCGGGCTTAGTGGGAAGCTCGCCAACAACTACGCTCTCGCGATCAACAACATCGGCGCTGCCGAAGCTATGAATTTGGGGATGCGGTGGGGGATTAAGCCGAAAGCCCTGTCAGACCTGATCAACTCAGCTACGGGCCGAAGCTGGCCCACGGAGATCAACAATCCTGTCCCGGGCGTCATTGAGACGGCGCCGTCAAGTCGAGAGTACGAGGGCGGGTTTGGTGTAAGTCTGATGAAGAAGGATCTCAGGTTAGCGATGACGGCGGCGGAGGAGGCGGGGGCAAGGCTAGTTCTGGCGGAGAAGGCAAAGGAGGTTTACGATGAAACCGAGAAGGAGCACAAGGGGAAGGACTTCTCGGTGGTGTATAAGTGGTTGAATGGGGAGAAGTAGATAGAGAATGCGCGCTCGTGCGGAGATAGCGCGTCGGATCGAATCGATATCTCCAATCACGATATGTACATGACCTCTTCATTCTGACGACTGATTCGTCTGATGCTGTGTGCTTGTTGCTGCTCGTTCTGCCTGTAACACTGTATTCGACTGCTGAGTGATTGCTGCCGAAATCGCGATTGTCGACTTTTGCACACTGCTCCTGGAACTACCCCGCAGGCCACTGGCACTGTGGAAGTCATGACCACGAGCCAGCCCGGGCACTCGTGCTAGTAGACCGCACCTAGCAGACGCTCACGACCAACATGTCATACATAGTCCCGATCCACCGACCGACGGCGGTGCGAAAGGCACTCAAGCTGAGCTTCATCGGCCCAGAGGACGATACTCTGGTCGTGGCGTATGTCCCCCTCCAAGCATCCTGGCCTCACCGCTGACATGGCACAGCAAAGCGAACCGCCTAGAGTTCTGGTCACCGTCTGACGATGGCTACTCACTTCTATCATCGACCACAGTCTACGGCTATGTGACTATACTGAACAAGATCAGGCTGCCAGCCGCAGATGTCGACCACCTCTTCGTTGGCACAGACCGGTATCAATACTTTACACTCTCGTGGGATGTGGTGTCAAGATCAGTCGTGACAGCACAGAGCTTTGTCGATCAAGCGGACAAGGTCCTCCGAGATTCGCGAGAGCTAGACAAATGCCATATCGATCCCACTGGCCGGTTCATGTGCTTGGAGCTGTTTGACGGCATCATCACAGTCATTCCATTCATCCAAGAACAAGAACGGGTTCCACCGTCGAAGAAGGCGAAGAAGAATGCCGGTCCACAGAAAGATCCCGGGGCGCTGGGTGATCCCATTCAGGTCAGGACCGAAGAGCTGCAGACCCGAGCTTCCGCATTCTTACAAACAGATCCGGACTCCACGGCGCCACCCAGACTGGCTATACTGTGGGAAGACAACCATGAGGTGCCACAACTGAAGCTCCGCGAGCTCAAGTACTCGCCTGGTGAAGGTAATGAGCCGGCGACAGCGGAGATGGAAACTGTGCGGGAGCTACGTGCAGAGTTGGATGAGGCGTCAGCCACATCATTCCAGTGTCGTACCCACAAAGCGGCTTCCTGCTGCTGGGCGAGCACTCAATCAGCTATGTTGACAAGGATCTCCGCCAGCAGCATCAAGAGCCGCTGAATGACAATGCAACGATATGGACTTGTTGGACACAGGTTGACCAGTCGCGGTATCTGCTGGGCGACGACTATGGCCGATTGTTCTTCCTCATGCTTGATGACAGTTCCGGTCCCATGCAGTCGTGGAAACTTGATTCGGTCGGTGAGGCAAGCCGAGCATCATGCTTGGTGTACCTAGATGAGGGTCGTGTGTTTGTTGGGTCACATACAGGCGACTCGCAGATCGTGCAGATTCAGCCTGGTGGCGTAGAAGTTGTGCAGACATTTCCGAATATTGCGCCTATCGTGGATTTTTCGATCATGGATCTGGGCCGAGGTGCTGAGACTTCGCAAGCTGGCGACTTCTCATCCGGCCAAGCTCGGATATTGACTGCTTCGGGGGCGTGGCAGGATGGCTCAATCCGGAGTGTCAGAAGTGGTGTCGGAATGGACGAGTTGGGCACGATCGCGGAACTGCCAGGTATAACCGAGCTGTGGGCGTTATCCTCGACAGGGAGCACTGAGTATCAAGATACCCTCGTTGCGTCGTTTGTGGATGAAACCAGAGTCTTCAAGTTCGATTCTGAGGAGGCTCTGGAAGAGCTATCAGACTATCAGCACTTCGAGTTGGGTCAGCCAACACTGCTTGCGGCGAATTTGCCGGATGAGAAAGTGGCTCAGGTGTTTGAGACCGGTGTGGTAGTGTCGCAACTTCAGTCAGGTATGCGTCTGCTCAGCTGGCGGCCACCAGAAGGTGCGAAGATCACGGCAGCTATGGCAAATTCCGTCCATCTGTTGGTAGTCGAGGGCGGTCATACGCTGCATGTCTTCCACCCATCGAACGATAAAGAGGAGCCGACTTCTTCCAAGCACTTTGATGTGTCGTCGCAGATATCGAGTGTGACATTATCAGACTCACAGAGTAACGTCTGTATCGTTTCATTTTGGCAGACCGCATCCGTGGCCATCTTGGATCTACACACATTGGAGCCATTACATACACAACATCTGGGTGACCCTGGAGTCGCAATACCACGATCTGTCTTGGTCGCGAACATTCTGCCGGATGCTCCGCCTACCTTGTTCGTCGCCATGGCGGACGGCACGGTCGTCACCTTCAGCTTGGACACCTCAAACAACACATTATCAGGCATGAGCAAGATATTACTCGGAACGGAGCCGGTCCATTTCAAGCTACTACCTCGAGACGATGATTCTGACAACGGCCTGTCAAATGTCTTTGCATCATGCGAGCAACCTTCGCTCATATACTCGTCCGAAAACAGGATCGTGTACTCTGCGGTCAGCTCCAACAAGACGTCGCGAGTATGTTCATTCAGCTCGCCAGCCTATCCAGGCGCAGTGGCAATTGCCAGTCCAGATGAGCTGAAGCTCGCTGCGATCGGCAAGGAACGGACGACACAACTACAGACCCTGCCCATCAAAGAGACTGTGCGATGCCTGGCATATGAGCCTACCGCACAATTGTTCGGCATGGGCTGCATAGACCGCATCACCGAGAGCGGGCAAGAAGTCCTGACTTCTCGGATCAAGTTGGCAAATGAGATCAATTTTCAGACATTAGACGAGGTTGAATTACGAGATCAGGAATTGGTAGAGTGTATCATTACAACAGGACAATTCGAGACTGAGGACGAGAACTTTGGAGACATGTTTGTGGTCGGGACGAGTATAAATCCGGACGAGAACGAGCTATCTACTGATACAGAGGTTGTTCGAGGACGACTGATTGTGTACGAGGTTACGAAAGAGAAGAAAATCAAGCAAGTCTGTGATCAGGAGGTCAAAGGTGCTGTGCGAAGTTTGGCGATGTGTGATGGCAGGATTGTTGCTGGGATTGTCAAGGCTGTGAGTTACACTTTACCCATGCTGCTCGCCTTGCTAACGTTACTAGGTGGTGCTCTACGCCCTCACGCCGAATCCAACAATGGGCTTCCACGCCCTCGAGCTCAAGCGCCTAGCGCAATCACGCATCTCCTCAAACCCAATGTCCCTCTCGGTCTCGCCCGCAACCGAAACATCACCAGCAAACATCGCCGTAGCGGACCTCATGAAGTCGCTCGCCATCGTCGAGATCCACCAATCCAAGGGCCAATTCACCCTGCAAGAAGTCTCCCGCCACTTCGCCACCGTCTGGTCCTCCGCCAGCGCCGTCATTGGCCCCAACCAATGGCTGCTTGCCGACATGGAAGGGAATCTATGCACGTTGCGCCGCGATCCCACTGGTCCAACACCCGACGACCGTAGACGCCTGCAGCTGACAGGCGACTTCCGGTTGGGCGAAGTCGTCAACAAGATCGTCCCGATTTCCAACAACACCGCTTCCCCAACGGCAGCGAAGTCAGTCAAGGGAAAAGAACGCAGCCGCACCCTCTCCACCTCCCACCAAGCAGACCTCTCCGATCAGCCGGGCAATCAGCGTCCGCCCCGAATAGGACCTCTCATCACCCCACGGGCCTTTCTCGGCACCGTGGAGGGCAGCATCTACCTTCATGGTACAATTAGTCCGGCGTACCTGGATGTGTTGCTGAGGTTGCAGCGGCCGCTGGCGGAGAGGGTGGCGGCACCAGGGCATATGCCGTGGGCCAACTATCGGGCGTGGAAGACGCAGGTGGTGGAGAAGGATGAGGCGTTTCGGTTTGTGGATGGGGAGGTGCTTGAGGGGGGGTTGTTGGGGCTGGATGATGGTGTGTTAGAGCAAGTTTTGAAGGAGGCGGGCCTTGCGGGAGATGGGTTTGATGTCACTGTAGCGGAGGCGAGGGGGTGGGGTGAGGAGTTGAGGAGGCTGTACTAGTGGAGTTGCGGTCTGATTCGGATGCGTAGTACGAGACCTAGGGCGCATTACGCCAAAAACATGAAGATATTCGCCCAACTATTTCTACCTGAATACTTATAGTATATCACATCCTACCCTCGACTCCGGAGTTAGCCTTCTCTGAACTCCGGCAATATATCGCTTACGTTAGTGTGCCGACGACGGATGCCCGGATCACCCCTGCTCCTGTTTCAACCTTGTTGCTGTTGTGTATCAATGCTTCTGCGAACGCTGTGGACGTGAGATGGCGGTCCCAAAGTCTCGCTGTGGTTTGCAGCATCACGAGAGGAGATGATCTCACGGACGAGAGATGGACAAGCAGGAGCGTCCACAACAATATCGCACTATTCCCCGCAAACCTATTCCCGGAACCCCAGGTGAATTGCTTGAGCAATCGCAGCAGCCAGCACGCAATGTGAGTGTGCGAAGTGAATTCCCGCAGCAGAGAAGTAGCGATGGCTCGATTCCCCGGAAGCCATTACCGATCAGCCCCGTCTCACCGCCCCCGGTGTACACAGAATCTCCAACCACTCTGAGCGCCGCGACAACCTATAGCGGCTACGACGATTCGCTCTTCGATGAGTACGCAGCAGCAGAATCATCAGCACGTCAACAGCTCCAGCATCTAACCGTGAACGACCAGCCATTTTCAACATCTCCAACAGCGACACCATCACTCAGAAGCACTAAATTGAGTCCGAATTTACGTCCTGAACTTCTCCGTGGCGACGTTCTAGACGGAGACCCTAGATCCCTGCCATCTTCGAAGGCACCGACCGCGGCCCAGAAAGCTGGGAGCGCCGCTGTCACGGCGTATCAGGAAGCTCGCCATTTCGCTGGTGGTCTCGTCTCTCATCCGTTCGAGGCAACGAAGCACTACTCTATCCTCCGGCACTCCCACGGGCTGGTATTCTATAGCGGCAGCTACACCAGCATCGCCATCACCGTGTTCGCAGATCGACCACTTCCACCCGACAGGACGTTCTGGCTGCAGCGGAGAGGCTGGTCGGGCAAGACAGGCCTGCGTGCTGGGGTGTTGTTTGGGACGCACAGTGCGTGGATGGACGTGACGCCGGAAACAGCTGTTGTTGCGGAGCAGGTCAAGGTGACGGACGAGAGGGCCTGGCAGCGGGATATTGCGAAGTTCTTGCGTAAAGCGCCCAAGAAGCTCGCGGGGCATGTGCCGAGGGAGACGGCTGTGTTAAGGGTACCGTGTGATGCTGAAGATGGGTATCTGCGTATCGTGATGTGCTGTGGCGAGAGCGGGAAGAAGCATCTTTGTCCGAGCCCGATCTTTCGCCTGGCGTCGACATCGCTCGAGAGCAGTTCCTTGCGAGGTGCAAGTTTGAAGACCCTTCCGCTTGAGGCGGCGGTGAAGATTGGTACGGCTGTTGGGACGAAATTTGTCCAGACAGCTGCGGCGCCGTATGTGGCCGCGGTGAAAGCTGCCGCTGTGACGCAGGTGACGAGTGTGTTTCAGCCGAGCGCGGTGCAGGTTGCGGCGGCGCAGCATGTGTATGATTCGAGTGGTGTTGCTGATCGGTTGGTCAGGATGGAAGAGCAGTGGGAGGCCAGAAGAGATGCAGAAGGCAACGTCTTACTTGAGCGTGATGGCGTGGTGGAGCCGATGACTCTGGTCGTTGGATCAGACGACGGACCAGCAGCACCGTTTCCAGTCCGCTTCACTGGCAAAGCCATGCATGCTGTCGATGTGCAACCTTCACCTCTCGGCTTTCCAATCGCGACCGTGACGAATGTTGACAGCAATATCCTCCTCAAGCACTCTGGAATCTTCATCGGCTACGTCGCCATCACTGTCGCCAAATCGTCGCGAGACGAGTCTTCGGCCGGGCCAGATCCTGCAACGCTCATCGACAACAGCTGGCGATCCTCCCTAATATCAATCACCGCCAACCATTCCACACGCGCCACGGTCGTCACGCAGAAACAAGTCTCGGTCCAGCTCCTCGACCCGCTTCCCTTTCCATACCACGAGACGGTGCCGACGAATTCCAAGATTGCCATTCTCTTGATGACACCTCTGCGCCCCCTCCCAACACCGCAGCTTCCCGCTACAGCGGCAACCCCTGAGCAACAAGAGCTCCTCCATCACCAGCTCAACAGCGACGCCGCCATAGCACTCGCGACCCTCTCCCGCCCCGCCTGGCAGGCAGAGCCGACCCTCCAGCGCGTCAAAACAGCAGCCTCCCAGCGAAGTTTGACCGAGCGGTATGTGGATGCGAGGAGAGGCGTGCAGGAGGGAGTGATTGACAAAGTCCCAACACATCTGCTGGGCTTGAGGACGGACAGTCATGTACGGAGGGATGGGTTCGTGGGAAGGGGAGGGTTCTTCGTGGTTAGGTAATCCATTATCGCCTTGCAGGCTGCGGGCCGGAGTGTGTCTTGCACTTCGGCGTCATCCTCCCACAACCATATGATATGCGTCCTCAATCACGGATCCACGTTATCAAGGGCATCCGGCAACATTGGGAGCCTGTGCAAGCGACTGAGGAGCCTGTGCAAGCGACTGCCGCGTAGCCCGCGGTGTCTGGAGCCAGGATCTATGCGGACAAGACAAGTGTCATAGGCGGGAATACGGTCTGCCTTTCATTGCAGCACTTCCAAGGAACCACTGACCAAATGTGCTGGAACACGCCAAAGTGCGGTGGAACATACGACATGGGTCTTCGAGCATACAGCGATAATGACCTCCCTCGAATTTAGTCTCCAAACATCTTTGTTGCAGAGAATCACCGGCCCGAGATTTCTAGGTAAATCTTACAGCACCACACATTTGATCGAGGCCACATCCTGGACGGACATGCAAGACACTTGTCGACTGCTCCAGGTACGCGGCCAAGGTGTCATTGACAGATTCCCTGACTTGGCGTGACTTACTCTACGAGTACTGCAAGTCGACACAACACGTGCTACATCGTCAATCATTACAATGCACAACAACTTGGTACGATGTGTCGATGAAATCATAGCTAACAGATCACGCCAAGTTGATGGACGATGACAGTTGCTGTTATGGGTTGCAGTGTACGTACACGTTGCTATGGTTCGAAGAGACTTCCTTACAACCTAAAGTCGGTGGATTAGTGACGCCATGGTCAAGAAACCAGAGCAGTGATCGAAATCGAACGTCATGAGAGAGCATCGCATAGTGGAAAAGCCTGGACCGGGCGATATCCCCAGAGCCGCACAGCCAGATCGACGGCAAAATAGTGGGATGTTGCCCAACATCAGCACAACATTTGGCGGGATGCGCCACGAAAAGAGTCTTCAGGACCTCATGCCGGCAGTCAGAAGCGTTGACGACTCGAGGCACGCCAGTCGTCTGCAACAGAAAGTTGTGGCGGTTACGACGAAAAATTCTACGATAGCTGAAATCTACCAGAGGTTGTTTGATAGCAGCACAGCTGGAACTGAGGACAGAGATCACAATGATTGCCTTCATCGGCTCGATCAGTGACGCATCTGTGGCTGAGGAATCGAAAGCCACCAAAAGCAGGGCGGAAGATGTGGACACCTTGGCACATCTCTCGAACCCGATTCACTGGCTGAGCCACCACTAGACGCCACACACACGTCACATGGCCCCGTTAAAATTGTTGTTTTGTTGTTAATGTCGATCACATTTGACAGGTTTGAAGCCCCTGTCGTCACTGTCCCGGTTTTTTCGCCGTCTACGTGCACTCCAGGGTCTATCACAACCCACTATCAGGATCCAAGCGAGGAGTATTAAGAGTGCTTGAAACTCCCTCCTCCCGCCCCCATTCTTTACAGCAACCAGCAACACTTCACGCCAGGACACTTTCGCTTCCTCCCACGACTCACCACAATACACAACACAATGGGTGCCGGCGGTGCTCTCCTTCGCTTCGGCCTTGTTGGCCTGCGTATCCTCCAGTTCGGATGCGCTGCAGTCGGTCTCGGTATCTACTCCTACTTTCTGGCTGTCTTGGCGAACCACAACTACATTATCCAACATGGGAGAAGGCAGTTGAGGGTCTCGTTGGCGCTGCAACGCTCTACACGATCTTCGGCATCATCCTCGGTCTGTGCTTGGCAGGCAACAAGTTCTTCGGCTTCCTGGCTGTCTTCCTTGACATCCTATTCGTCGGCGCGTTCGCTGCTGTTGCCTACTACACCCGCCACGGCGCAAATGCCTGCCGCGGTATTGTCAACACGCCTCTTGGTGTTGGCCGTGCCAACGATGCTGCTCCTGGCGCCGGCGACTATGGCTACGTCTGCTCGCTGAACACCGCTGTCTTCGCCGTTTCCATCCTCGCCATCTTCCTCTTCTTGGTTACTGCTGCATGGCAAATCATGGTCGTCAAGCACCACCAGAAGGAAAAGCGATACGGTCCCGGCCCGTCCAACAACTACTCCACCAAGGGTGGCCGTGGCAGCAAGTTCGCATTCTGGAAGCGCAACAAGGCTACAAAGGGTACTCGCGATGCGGAGATGGCTACTGCTCACACCTCAAACCACCACGGTCGTCACTCCACTGAGACTGGTATGACCGGCTCGACAATGAACCACGGCGGGTACGCACCAAACACCACTGACAATACCAAGTATGGTCAGCCAGGTTACGGTGCACCGGTCAATGGCGCTCCACACTACGACCGTGCTACCAACTACTAGGAGAAATTGGACGCCTGAAAACGTGATCATCACTTCCAATATTCACAATCTCTATGTCGACCACCTCACCATCACATCATCCGACATGGGCACATACACGAGCGCTTGGAGTTGCAGGCGTGTGAGATTATGATGTTACGATCGCGCTCAGCATGGGCGTTGGGAACTATACCATAGAGCAAACGCTTATAAGCTTGCTGTATCAATAATGCATCATACCATTAAACAAATTTTTCTCTACCGGGGTCGCATTCCCAGGGTCGCATTCCCAATCTGCTCTCTTGTGACATCAATCACTTGTTTCCATCTTCGCTTCCCTTTTCCATCGGCCTTCAGCGAATGTGTATATGCTAACGTTGATTCAAACATTAGCATATACACAATCGCTGAAGGCCGCAACCGGGTAGGGTCATGAAGTTAAGGCAGCACTCAGCTGGGCGCTGGAATTTGACAAGTGGTCATTCGTGACGCTCCACATCCGCTGTTCTGCAGATTATTCCACTGCTGGCAACACTTTAAATTCTTGCGGGTACTGTCGCGTCCACTGTAGAGGACGCTTTGTAAAGTATCGCTTGCTCTTATCGCTCGCAATGCTGTAGCAATCTTCGCATAACATACCGTCTCCAGCTTGCATCACCCTCCCAGCCTATGATGTGATTAGCAGACTATGGACGAGGAACGGAGTGCGGGAGTACGCACAGTATGATAGATACACTTGTCGCCCAACTTTGGGCCTCGTAAACATGCAAAGCAAAGAAGTGGCTGATTGCATTCGAGGCGCTTCGTGTCTTGCCTCGCCATCTCTTGTCCATATCCAATGCCATGGCCTAAGCGATCGGCAAACTCGCCGACGATCTCTTTGACACCATCTTTGGGCCCGACGACGGAGCTTCATACGACCCGTCGGTGTTGTGCTTGAACCTTGCCGCCACGTTGTCGTTGCTGTGTTGTGTGAGGTCCATCGTTCCGGTTGCCAGAAGGAACTGCTTGTATCAACCTGCCTGCAATGAATCAAGCAATTCCAAGTAGATTGAGGGCTGTTGCGAGATAAATAATTACGACCACATACAAACGTTATCATAAGCTAAGGTAGGGCGCAATGTCAGAAGTTCCTGGTGCTTAAGCGTAGTTGGGCAGCACCGAGGAGGGGACATTTCTATTCGCTGCCCAGGTCACTGACCTGCGGAATCCATGCAGTATACGTGATGGAATGGGTCTTGATCGGATGAGACTGATTAGGTGGCGAGCGTTCAGGTCAGCTCGCAACGGAGCTGGCTCGAATGATTGGATAAGTATTGATATCGTGTGACATAGTTATCCGCCTGGACTTGACATATTTGTCCAATGTGTTCCTGCCTTGGCAACGCCCAACCATGAACATGTTTCGCCTCCGCGCAGCATACCATGTACATTCCGTGTTAGCTTCCCAGGCCATCAAGCTGCTAGCCATAGCTTGTCGTCCACGATGTATCATAGGTCCGACATCTCCTGGGCTCGGTTGCCTTCTGCAACGACTGACACCTGCACGAACCGACAGTGCTTGTTCCACTCAGCCGAAGCATAGTCGTTATAGCAGGTCATGCACATGTCGACGCGATGTATCACGCAACCTGTACAGTAGTTCGGTAAGCATTCAGTCGGTGAGTACCACATGACAGTGATCATTAGGCACGGGATCAGCTTGGGGTATACATACGATAGCGACCCTCACTCGGCTTGATGCGCCTCCAACACTGCCAACAAGCCCTATCAGCCCGGTCGAGTAGCTCCGCGTTATGACGTTGAGCTTCTAAGTCTTTCTGGGCTGCCTCTTCGTCGTCACGGACGCTACGAGCGTAGATCTCGGCTAGGAACGTGAGGGAGAGCGTCGCGAGCATACCTCCTATGAGGACGAGTATTACGTGGTAGAGTTCGGTTGTTGGGGGAATGAATAGGTATGCGCAGAGTGTTGAGATCAGGAAGACCTTGAGTGTGAGTTGTGGGGCGGGGACTGCTGACTTGATCTTGTCGTAGGTGGAAAGGTGGTCTGGGTCGGAGGCCTCCTTGGGGGCGTCGGCTGGGTCCTGACTGTCCTCAGGAATGCTTGTGGTTGGGCTTCTCGTCGCCATATTTGCGGGTTGTTGTACGCGTACCATGGCCCTAGTGTCGGTACGTCATCGGGAGTGCAAAGCGGTGAAGGTGAAGAGTCGATCTATTGTTGGGTAGGGGGACATAAGGCAGGAGTGAAAGGGGATTCTTATTAATGGTGCCTTATGTGTTGCGTTTGAAGGTACTCGCCAGGTGTCCAGTTCAGCCGCTCGGGTCGACAAGCCAAACCTAGATTAACAGGCTGAGGCATCGTAGAGGCGATCTCTGCGTGGAGCGTGCCCGCGAACCCGCCAGAGCTTTGCCAGATGGCAGTCGTTACACCCAGGAACTCCAAAGTTCTGCTGGGCTTTCTCCTGCTGTCGGTGATGATACGAGCGTACTGGCTGTCGGTAACGACACGAGCGTAGATCTGGGCCAGTGTGGTGCCAACAAACGTCGCCAGGATGCCTCCGATATAGATGAGGCCCATTTGGTATGTGTCGATACCTTGCCGCATCGTGAGGCCCGTACAGATAGTCGCGATCAGGATGCTCATGACTGTGAGACAGGGCCCGGGCCGTGCTAACTTGATCTTCTCGTACGTGGTCAGGTGCTTCAAATGGGTGGCTTCGTTGTCAGAGTTGTCTGGACTCAGAACATCATTAGGAGAAACGGTGGCTGTGCTTTTCGTCGCCATATTTGCGGTCTTCTTTGCAGATGTCGTGGCCACGGCGTCGATCTATCGTTAGGACGGTATAGTGCGGCGAAATTGAACGGTCAAGAGATTGTTGTGCAAGCGGAAGGATATCCGTCTGACCTGGAAAGGTAATCACGAACAGTGACTTTTCTATGTGTGGTACTGGCCAGGTGGCCCATTCGATCAATCCGACGAGCGCCTGGGATCAAACCTCTCAGCTGAGCTGACAACCATAGGGAAGACTTTGTCTACCCCGATCACCTCAGTTCTCTTCCATGTAGCTACAGTATGACTGTGGCCGCATCGCCATAACTTTCTTGTTGCGATAACACGCTGGACAGAGCCCATAACCGTATTGTACGCAGCCTGTAAAGTAATCAGTCGATCGTGGTTCTTCGCGGGGCGATAGCCAGCGATCCGGGTCGTTAGGTACTCACGATAGCGTTTCTCGTCAGATTGTAGGCGCGCCTTACAATGGTAGCAGGGCAGGTCGGGTCCCTTCTGCTTGTTCGTTCCGCGCTCTTTCTTCGCTTGCTCCTGTTTGGCTTGCTCCTGCCCATATCCTACGCCGCGGCCGTAGCGCTCGGCCAGATCACCAACAAGGGTAATGGGAGGCTGATGCCGAAGATTGGTCGTGCTGGATTACCACTGCGACTGGGCGATGTGGGCAGAAGTCCAGAATGATGCATGGCGGAGATGATGGGAAATGCCAAGATGCATATGACGATGAACAACATTATCCACGTGGACTTTGGTGTTGCGATTTTGGACGCATTGTTGTTGGGCCTGGCTATCGGAGATGTGCTGTTTGATTCGAGCTCGTTCTTGTGCATGGTGGTGGCACTTTCGGTCGCACCGTGGACACTATATTCTAATGGCGTTGTCGCATTCATATTTCTGGCGATGATGGTGAGTTCAAGATATATTTTGTTTTCGTTAGACACGTGCTTTTCCAGAGTGCTGTCAGGTCCAGCAACCGGTGTGCTCTCCTCTGAGCTAGTGGCAGGTCGTTCCATCATGATTGTCGCGTCTCGAGTATCTAGCCGCTGAAACATCACTGAGATGATGGCGGTTTGGGTACTGTTGTCCCGGCAGGACTGCAGCGTAGTGACACCCTCGAATAATTTAGGCAGGATGCTGTTATTGAAGTGGCCTAGTAGCCAGAGAGTGAAAATTCGGGCCAAGCTGAAACTAGATCGTGGCTGAGGCTGGAACAAGTTTGGTTGTCATGTGTCCAAGACACAACGAAGTACACGTCGCGCAACCTTGACAGATGCAGATTATTGTAGGGAGACGAAGCAGACTTTGCGCATAGATCATCGTGCGTACGAGCGACTCATTCTCGCCGAGGCGTTCTTTGACCTGACCAGATCCGAACAATCTCGCCGAGAAACATGGCGGCGAGCCCGATACCGCTGGCAATGGTAGCAATGATTCCGACTACCGTGTCGAAGCGTGACTTGGTCTCACCGGGTGGATGGGCGCGCTTCCAGTAGTGGAGGCCGGTGGTCAGACCATAGAGCAGCAAGCTAACGTCTGCGGCCTTCTCAAGGGCTCCTGGTGAGTCCTCGTTGGCAGGCGTGGGCCTGGTCATCAGGCCAAGACCCTTCTCTAGGATACTTTCTGAGGTTCGGTCCATTGTCACTGTCGCGTCTCTGGTTGCCTGGCGCGGAAGGAACTTGGACATGGTGGCGGTTAAGATGTTAGCAGGAATAGTCAGCAGCAGACTCGAAAAACTGGGGTGGGATATCGCCTCATGTATATGAGCAACGTGGCCAGAAAGACAAGACTCGGGTCCAGCTGAGCTCACACCATGCTCAAAGTCCCGCAAGAAGAAAACACCTGGCATGACCTTACCTGCCAACAATTGCAAGGCAACAGCGTGAGGCATTGTGTTGAGGCTTCTGTCGGTAGATACTGAAGCATTCTATTCTCGGAAGCCAGCCATATATACATATATACGTCCTGCAGCATTACATACGTCGTTCATTACCATAATGTGTCATCGCGCGTGGAACGTATGCTCGTCGTCATCTCCTTGGTCGTCGTTATAGAACGTATACTTCTCCGAGTCTCGTCGTCGTCTGCCGTTGCTATCATAGTCATTAATGCTGTTCTTTAGGATGCCAACGGGCTTTCGCGGGATAGTCTGTTCGTTGTGCGTCGCTGCAGGAAGTTCAGACGCAGGAGGAGCTGGGTAGGGGCTTTGCTGATGGAGGATATATGAATCCTGCGCGGTATTTGTGCGTGCAGGTGGTTCTGGCCTTGTGGTCTGGTGGCCATTGTGGGTAGGTGAGAACATATGTTGTTGCTGAGGTGCCTCGAATGGCGTCTCGTACACGGACGATGCTCCAGACTCGGTAGCACTGTTCTCAACGTGTGCTGGAGCCCGAGGAGGGGACGAACCATGCTCGTTCTCTCTGGCCCATGCCAACGCAGCCGCAGCCACAGCCGTGCGACTGGCTGGCGACCCAAAGAATGGCGAGCTCGGTCGGTGTTCGGTGGTTACTGTGGCTGCCGTAGAGGGCGTGATTGTTGTCTCCGTATGGTATGTTGGGCCATGGTGGACAATAGTGTCATGTACAGCCATGTGGTCGTCAAAATCGTGTTCGGAGCTGTGCTCATTATCGAACTGCGTGGGCATGGCAGCGGCTGCCACTCCCTTGTGGCTCTCACTCATCTTCTCGTCCATGCTGTCCCGCTCAGCCGATCGCCGTTTGCGCCGCCGGAGGCACAGACAGAGTAAAATGGCCAAAGCAGCGAGGAGTAGCGCTCCCAGTACGGACCCGACAATGATGCCAGCCAAGGCACCTTTCGACAAGCCATGACGCGTATTGTTTGCAAATAGGGTCTCTGCGAGAGACGCACATGTAGCCGAACTGTCCTGGTGTGTGGACGAGAAGTAGCTCTGCACCTCAGTAGGAGCATTTTGATACCACGAAGGAGAGGTATAGCGAGTGTTGCCTGCGTTCAGAAAGCACGCATCCGTGGCGTCTGGACCGGACTGAGTCGACAACGCCGACTGGATGTACTGTTGGATCGCCAGGATACTGGAACTGGTATCTGTCGACGTGCTTGTAGGCGCGCTCGTCGACGGTGCCGCGGACGAGATAGTGGTCACCGAACCAAATACCAGCGATCCGAGAGATCTCGAGGCCGTCGAAAGCTGCACGGTTGCAGAAGCCGCTCTTCCTAGATTGAAGTACGCATAATACCCCGCTGTGGCATTGCCACAGTAATCTGGCGGGTACCCAGGACATGGATCATGGCAATCCTCCGTGTCGACTTGTCTCGCTGGGACATCATTCGAACAATAACAATTCCGGCCGATAATCACGGCATATGCGTACTCTGCTACACACTGTGTCTGGCACAGGCCGTTGGACATGAAAACGCTTTGCGCTAAAGTTGTACAGTAAGCACTCCTGCGTCGACACGACTGTGGAAGAACAACATACTTGGACCCGTGGCCGCGACATTCTCTGGGGAGCAGAAGGCTATAGGAAGTAGCTGAGCATGTATGACATGGCCAAAAATGGAAACCAGCAGGAGTATGAGGCGGGAACGTGCCATCATGGTGTAGAAGAGGGTGCGGTCGATAGTGAGAAGCTCTATCACATCAATCTGGCGTCTGGGGCTGCTGCCATAATGCCTGCGATGATCACTCTCACGGCAGCCATGTCGAGAGTCGTGATCAACGCAGCAAAGGCATTTCGCAGTTCACTGTCGAACTGCATGCTTCTGCGATAAACATACAATTCAAGTTCTGGAAGCCACCGACGTGTAGTCTCCGACGTCATGAATGGGAGGGGCAACAAACCAGTGCAGGTGCGATCGGCATCTCTATCATAGTCGGCCTTCCAATCAAGCTCACCATCTCGCCTTTCAATGCGGCATCAGCATCTTGCTCGCGTACCTTCTGAAATCGTGTATCTGCTTATTGTCCATCAAAGCAAGCTGAAAGGAAGATGTACACCTCGAAACAGCCTAAGCGCCCCCAAGCAGCAGTGCCAGCCGGCCGCGACCCCGCCGCCAGCCTGATGAGTTTAGGCTCACGCGTTCAGGTACGACCCGGCTCGGACCAAGCCAACCACACGACCCAGCCCGCTGGTGTCGTGCCAAAGGCCTCCCAAAAAGAGACGGACGAAAGTACCAAGCAAACGTAATGAGTCGCACTACCATTGGTATCTGCCACTTCCAGCCCTCTCCTACCTAAGCACCTCGGCTTGTTGCCTTACCAAAGGTACCGCTCTCTTGTTGTTGTCCGCGCCTTGGCAGGTCTCTGTCTGGCTTTCCGCTGGCGTCGACCTTATCGATTGAAACGCCTGGTTATCCGAGCCAACCGACAAAGTACCTCAGCCCGTCTGGACTATGCCATAGTATAGAAATGGGTACATCCCGCTGAAGTGCTTTCTTTTTCTCAGTTCTCTCGACATCGAAACACACATTCCATCACCTCTGGAAAATGCAGACGGCATTGACCTATCAGGCCTTGAATACTCAACTCGACGGCAAGGCTCATGGCACTTGCTCCTCAACTCTATGCGACCCCCGCGTCGCCGTTCGATACAACCTTTGATTTTACGATGGCGGATAGTCCTACAGGAAGCTCATGGTTCCCACCATCTCGATGCTCGACCCCCACCACGAAGTTGCCAGCACCTAATAACCCGCCTCTTGCAGTCGACTGGGAGAATTATAAGCCGATCATCGTCGAGCTATATCGTGATCTAAATTTGTCTCTGCCAGTGGTCAAGCAGCGGATGGAGACGGAGTATGGTTTGTAAGTCCCTCAACATACATGTCTACGATCACGTTGGCCGGTGACAATCACGAGCCGTAGTGATTTAGACATTCCTCTCTAGCCAAGATACTGACAACATGGTCTTCAGCATTGCCTCGGAGCGTATGTACAAAGGCCGCTTCTCCAAGGACAAATGGAACATACCGAAGAACTGGAGAGACGAGCATATCATCGAGTATCTGGCCAACGAGGATCAAGACACCATCTTTGGCAGACCTGTACAGCAGTCCCGATTGGATAGACACATGAAATCAAAGTCCTTCAAGGCAAAGGTTCAGCAAGCTTCTCTCCCGCCCAAGTCTGGGAAGAGGCTCAACGACGTCGCAGGGATAGCACCATCACAGTTGGCAGCATTGAGTCACTCGCTGCAAGTGATCTGTCAGACACTGTAGCGGCGTCTATAACAGCTCTGGAAGAGTTTCCTGATGCACCGTTCGGGGACTTGGACCTGTCCATTCCACATACCGTCAGCGACACAGCCTTGTCGATATACAATGGAACGAAGGCTTTCATCATGCTGTCGAACTATCTCGAGACCAGACTATTCAGCGTCGAGCATCTCGACAACTTCTTCAGCTCCGTCGACCTCTTCCCACCTAATGAGGCCGCAATCAACCCAGCTTTCGACCTGGCAATTAGGCAGCATCCCTCCCTGCTGAACCAGAACTACGCTCGAGCGATGGCATTACTTCGCAATGGCCGACCAAAGCTTGCTTCAGCACTTTTGAGTTCCGCATCTCATGCTCTTCAGCACCTGGTGGTGACTCACCATCCTGCCTTTGCCAGCTGTTTCCTGGACGCCTTCGTCGAGTTGAAGTTCGAGTCCCAGCGAGGCATGAGCGGATACGTGAGCTCGCTCGCGGTCAGAACTGCACTCGAAGCACTTGGCCCAACCACCCCATCACAGCCCTGTGCCAATTTGTGCAGACTACGGCGCAAGACGATGTCTCCATGGAGCAACTCCTTTTCTTCTGCTCACAATTCTGCCAACTGTTCTCAAAGCGCTTAGGTAGGGAACACAAGATCAGTGCATACGTCAATCTCAAGCACTTCGAAAAGCTTCTGCAGTTGCGCCGCTTCGATCAAGCGCATAATCAGTTCGTCAATCACGTCAGACCAGTCTTCCAAGGACTCATCAGCCCTGGGCCGGTGCCCAAGACCATGCGAGCTCCCGTCCTCTGCTATCTGCGCCGCAAAGCGCATCTTCTGTCCTCACGAGGCGATCAGACCGGCGCAGGACGCGCCCTACGGCAGTGCGTCAATTTTGCCGTGGAGTGGCTAGGTGAAAGACACATCTGCGTGGCCGGCAACCCATTGATGGAGGAGTGCTTCCGGCTGATTGACGAGATCGCCGAATTTCTGTTCCGCAACGGACATACGACGAAAGGAATCGATCTACATAGCTTCGCTATAGGACTTTGTGCGGCTGTAAGAGGCGAATGCGAAGGGAAATGCATACGAATGTTCTCGGCTCAACTCGTTCGATATGCAGACGCAGGTTTCGATGACAGAGTCAGGATTCTGTGCGTTCGCTTTCCGAGCTGTTGGGTCATTGTCGACGAACATGACAGTCAGGATCAGAACCCGGTTGAAAGTGGAGACTCTGGTGCCTCTATGCCATCGGGCAACGGAGATGTCAGCGGCAAGGCAGGAGACGACATGAAGATGGACGACTGGGAGACAAATGAAGTCCCGAAACCGACGGACCACATCCTCCGGTGTCAGTCGTGTGCCAATGGTCCGGACACGCAACTATGGTGTGAGCAGCACAGGACGCAGGTTCGTCCGACGCCGCAGGACCGAGTATATGTCCGACTGGCGAGGGAGTGTTTGCAAGATCTCTTGAACTGGTTTGGGATGATTGCAGACTGAGGACTTTCAGATATGCGCGGCATTAGGTTGTGAAGGCTTGAAGAGCATCAACTTGGGCACCGGGACAGCGCTTTTCGGTGTGGGGAATTCGAACGGTCATTCAAGTTGTCATGTACGTAGATCTTAAGCTGTCGGAAGGCTCTCGTACCCAGTCTTGAAAGGTATGTTGTATGTCGGGCTGGTCCCACCAGCAGATATATTCTCACGAGACCGGTTGACATAGGTGCTTGACCCTCCTACATCGGTACAAGCAGTAGTCTGCCAACTCTTCACTTACGTGCAGTCTTACCATTCCCCATTTACAATCCTCACCATCTTCCAACACCAGTCGTTACTTGATTGTGCGTGCATCTTAGGCAACTACACCATGTCCCCAGAAGAACGTACCGAAAATCACCATTCCGACTCGGCACCCCCGCATTCTGGAGGAATTCCGAGTGTGTCACCGAGCTCCACCAAACGTAGCCACGAGCTTTCCCCTCCTCTCATGGAGGACTGACACGATGTGAACACATGTTGTCATAGAGGGGTCGTAGAATTCTATAATGTATACTAACAAAGACCTCACTTCAACCTCTCCCGGCTCTGCTAACCTCAACCCTTAGTCGAGGCAATACTCCAATAACTCTGACTTGCTTCGCCCCAGCAACGACACTACTGATCATACCGTTCTGCATCTCGGGCTCGACAAGTGCTGCATAGAACCCGTGCAAATCACGCTCTCCTCCCAGTGCTCTTGCAGACGCCTTTTAGCTAAGACCACGACCTGCCAAAGAGACCGCACAACACTAGAAGTCCAGTAGTCCGGGATCTGCCTATACCAGTGACGAGCTCACGAACCCACAACCCTCAACCCCAAGAGCAGAAACCACCTTCAGAAAACACTGAACACGTCCAAAGCCAATCCAACGTCGCCAACCCCCCCAAATCACAACCATGGCCACCAACTCAATAATGCCCGCCGTCCGCTTCCACGGCCAAAAGGACATCCGCCTGGAATCCATCCCCATCCCCAAACTCACCACACCCTCCCACGTCCTCATCCGCCCCGCCTTCTGCGGCATCTGCGGCTCCGACCTGCACGAGTACCTGGGCGGCGCCAACCTGATCCCGTCCGAAAACCCCCACCCCATCACGGGCGAAACCCTGCCTCTGACTCTCGGCCACGAATTCTCCGGTATCGTGGAGGACGTCGGTGACCAAGTCAAGGGCGTGAAGAAGGGTGACCGGGTTTGTGTGCAGCCGATCATCTACGATGATGATTGTCGGAGCTGTAAGAGGGGCCTGCACAACTGCTGTGATAAGAATGGATTTGTTGGGTTGAGTGGTTGGGGTGGCGGCTTGAGCGAGTTGATGGCCGTCCCTGAGAGTTGTGTCAAGAAGCTGCCGGAGAATGTGAGTTTGGAAGTCGGCGCCCTCATTGAGCCGTTGGCCGTAGGCTGGCACGCTGTTGATATCAGTCCGTGGAAGAAGGGGGATGCGGCGCTCGTGCTAGGTGGTGGGCCGATCGGGTTAGCGGTCGTGCAAGCCCTCGTCGGCCGAGGCTGCGACAACATCATCGTGAGCGAAGTCTCCGGGAAGCGGCGACAATTTGCGAAGCAGTTTGGCGCGACGCATGTCGTGGACCCGGTCAAGGAAGACATTGTTGCGCGCGTCGAAGAACTGACAGGCGGTTTGGGCGCGGACGTGGCTTTGACGCCGCGGGTGTGCAGGTTGCGGTGGACACGGCCTTTAAGGCGCTGAAGGCGAGGGGCACGTTGGTGAATATTGCGGTGTGGGAGAAGAGGGCGCAATTGCAGATGAATGAAATTGTGTTTCGGGAGAGGGGGTATATGGGCGTGTGAGTCTTCCTTTTCTTCTCCTCCTGCGAGTTCTTTTGGGGTGTTGGGTCTTGTTCCTGGGCTGGGACGGGATCATTGTTCCTCGCTTCGACTTCGTTGTTTCAGGCCAGCATGCTGACTTCTCGAACGCACAGAGCAACGTATTCTCTCGGAGACTTTGAAGCTGTGCTGGAGGCTATTTCAAGCGGTATGTTTGCATCCCTTCCAGTTCTCCTTCGACTCGGGCTCGAAGCAAACTTGAAAAGTGATCCTCGACCCTCATGCTTCATCAACTATCTCCTAGAGCAACCTTGCTGATGCCCCAACTCGTCACAGGCCGAATGAAACCCGAAGGCATGATCACCAAAAAGATCAAGCTGGACGAAGTCGTCGAGGAAGGCTTTCATACTCTGATCGACGACAAGGAGAATCATGTCAAGATTCTCGTAGATGTTGCTGGGAGTACGAAGAAGTCATGAGGCAGGAATAGCGGCGTACTTTTCTCGAGGTGAGGATGTCGAGGATGAGTTATAGGTTCAAGTCCTCAGGGAACGAGCTTGTGTCCAGGGAATGATCAGCTTGGTGGAGTGGTCTGCTGAAGAGGCTGCAAGGCCTGGTGCTGAATCTGATGGCCGTGGGTGGCAGTGTACATGTATGTTGATTCATTTATACATGCTGAAACAATTCGTCATCATGTTGCAAGTCCGATGATGTGGTGGTCGTGGCTGTCCCTCATTGCTGAACAAAGTGTCTTAAGGAGCTATCGGTGCTGTCGCTCGAGTCTTGGTTGTTCAGCGCTGCGGCGCTCGTTCCATCAACTGTAAAGGGGCGTGACAGGTTCAATAGTGCCTCTCCGCGGCTTCTGATAGCGTCTTCCACCCATCTCGATGCCGCTCAGCTGCGCGAACGCAACGCACCGGGGGCGTCACACATTTCGCTCCGCTCTCCACGTTGATGCCGACAGCTTCGCTCACCTTCCTTACTCGTCTGCGGCGCGACCAGGAAATCGCTCACTCCGCTCGCCGTCCCCTCACTTCGTCGCCCTAAGCTCCCTCACTTCCCCCTCCAAAACCTCCTTGAGTCCCTCATTCCGCCTTCCCAACATGACCACATCCTCCACCTTAACGACCTTCCTACCCGCGTGCTTTGCGAACGCCTCAATGTCACCTCCTGCGGACACGATCTGGGCGTACGTGAGTTCCATGAGGCTGGCTTTGAACTGTGGAGTGGCGTTGATCCCCATGTCGAGGGTGAGGCTGTCAACTAGGTGCGCGGTGTGTAGCCAGAGGGCGGATTTCAGAGCGCTTTCTGTTGTTGTGGACGAGTCGGGCATGGTGGGTGGCTGGTGGCGGGTAGGGGTGTTGGTGGTGGGCGTGGTGAATGGGTGGATTGGGTGTGGTGCGGTAGATGGTGCAGTTCTACGATTATGTGCCGTGGCAGACAATGCTATGATGCGGATGGTGTCCTCTTGGTAGATGGACGGGTCAATGGGGCAGTAGTCGTGAGCAGGAGTGGTGGTGATTGTGGGTGCGGTGATGGAATGTAGTGAGTTCGATGTCAAGAAGACGCTGCAGAATGGCACCTCGAGTAGCTTTCCGAACAAGAACAATCTGTCCTGCAACTCAGAGTAACAACGAATAAAGTGAAAGCGGGCAGTGTATTGATGATTGGGATGATGGAAGTACAATCGCGCCGGTTGACACAACGCGTCCTCAAACTGGAAGACGCGTTCTCCGCATATCTCCGACGCTTCAATTTCGTAAACCATGAACATTGTTTCTGAAAGTCTTTCGAGCTCGCTAGAGACCTGTGACGGTGACTTGATCACCCTCTGCCATAGAAGATCTGTGCACTTATGGAAGTCCTAGCCTTGTGCGACCGCACGGGCAAAAAAGCTGATATGCTTACTCCTGCTCTATGTTCGATGCTAACGATCGTTCAAGCAGCATCAATAGGCCTGCCCTTCCTATCCACACGCACGTCCCTGGGGTCGAAGCCGCCATTGCCCCAGAGCGCCCACTCCGGCGTCTCAGCACAGTAGTCCTCCGGTCTGAAGCCAACACCTTCCATCTTCTCCTTTTCCAGCAGCTCGAAGAACTTCCCATAGTCGATGCGTGTATGCCAGCGATCGTTGGTCCGAAAGCGCTTGGAAGCGAGCAAAATGCAGCAGCTGTGCGCATGCTCTGCCGCTATACCGTATTCCAAATCGCCATTGCCAGCCTCCTTGGCTTTGGCAGCGAGAGCTGCGTTCAGCGCCTTAGTGAACTGCACCACCTCCTCATAAAACGGCACGTTCGCCATCGTGAGCCCCGCGCCCGCCGCACTACTCGTGCCACAGTACGTAACCCCCTTGATCTCCACGAAACAAGGCAACCCCTGCTCAATAAGCTTCGCATACCCAGCGACTTCGTCCTCAACATTAAACCCCTTGACCAGCGTCAACCGAAACACCGTCCTCTGCTCGAACCGCTTCGTCCTTAGAATCTCCAAACACGACTGAAATCGCTCCCAGAAATCCCGATGCAGTGGCCGGTCAATGCGGCGGAGACTCTCCTTGTTAGACGCGTCGATCGAGACATACAACTGCGTCACCCTCTGCAGATCCTGCAGCTGCTGCGGGTGCTGCGCATTACACACCAAGAAGCTCGATATCTGCTCGCGGTGCAGCAACCCAACAAACTCATTAATATGCGGATAGAAAATCGGCTCCCCCACCAAACTCAACGCGCAATGGCGTATCCGCATCGCCTCCTGAAACCGCTCCGCGCGGACACCAGGCACGCCCTTCATCATCTTGATCTTCTGGTAGTGCCCTTGCTTGGCCCCCTCGAAGATCATATCCGGGGGATCGACTTCCCATCGCCAAGTCGTGGATACGGGGTTGGTGCCGTGGCGCCAGCAGAAGACGCACTTGTTGCTGCAGGATAAGGACGGGGTGGTTTCCATGCAGAGGTGGGAGCGATGCCGTAGAAGGAGTTCTTGTAGCAGGAGCCGCGGGCGCGGAGGGCGGATTTGGTCCAGCGGCAGATCTTGACGCCGGAGTGCGTGCCGATGATGGTGTAGCCTTGTTTGGTCAGAGCGGTGTAGGTTGGGGAGGATTTGGGGACCATGGGCTTGAGGGTTGAGGTGGTGGAGGTGGTGGCAGGTTGGGAGGAGGTAGTGAAGTCGATGGCTAGAGGGGCACGAGCACTTCCGCCAACGTCTTCGACGTCTATGCTCGCGCTGACCTTCTGACGCTTCTTGCGGTTGTTGTCTGGGAAGTCGGCGTCCTCTTCCACATCGCTCTCCACTGCATCGCCGCTACCGGGAACTCCTTCACCGAGGTCGCCACGTGTGGCAAGCTCAGCGAGTGTGTTACTCAGACCAGCGCACCACGAAGCCAAAGCCTCCTTCACATCGCTCTTGACATCTCCCATGCCGATTGGGTACGCGCGCTTCCGCTGCGTCAACTTCGCCATCCACTTGTCTACCTCTATTGCTTGTGAGCAGAAACCTTGCTCCTCACTCGGCCAGCCCTCTCTGTCGCCGACGCCGAATACCGAATACCCTGCTAGAGACGACAAGGGCGCAGTATCAATCCTGAAATCGTTGTGTGTTTCGTCGAGGTGAGCGAGGAAGTTGGTCATGATGGTATCGATATCGTAGGAGGGTACGAGCAGGACGTAGAAGTAGCGGACATGTTTGTCCTTCGGGCTCTGACGAGGGCCTGAGATGAAGTAGTCGTCGAGTTCGATGTATGAGAGGTCATGAACTTCTGGTTGGGCGATTGTGGTGTCTGTACTGCCTAGGGTAGTGAGGGTCTCGAGGACCTCTTTGGACAGCCTTTCGGTGGTGCCCGTCAAGGAACAGTAGAATATGAGCGGCTTTATGGTAGTCTCGCTGCTCTTTGAAGTGGACTTGGTCTTGGTGGGAGGTTTTCTCCCAGACACAACTCTTGCGGCAGTCTGTCTCGTGGGCTTCTTGCTTAGTATCCGAACAGACTCTTTGGCATCGCCTACGCGTGCATCATGTTTGATCCAGTCCGCCTTCTCTTCCGCAGCAGGTGAGGTCGGTCGAGAGACTGTCTCCTTCTTCCTACGCAATGTGTAGGCTACAATTGCAACCACGGCACAAAGCGCGGGGACGACCAGGACTCGGTGGTCGTGCCATAATGTGAAAAGACGATCAATATGGTCCGCCGCAATGATCGGCCAGACGCCTCCCTCACCGATGTCCATTATGACCGCGGCATGAGCTGGCACACTGAGGTATGTGTAGCCTTCTGCAGCGGACAATTGATGTTATACAAAATCTCGAAAGTTTTCCGCCGGCGGGGGCGCATCTTCACTGTGGGGAAATGGCAGCGCCGCGGCCTACTTGAACGCCCAGCGCCATGAACCACGGCTTTGTCAGTCATGGCGAATCGTAGCATCGTCGAGTGTCGAGAGGCGAGGCTGCTCGGGACACGCATCTGCGCAACCTGCAGTTGCGCAGATGCACATGATGGCTGAAGGACGGCGTCGGCGCCAAAAGACGACGCGTCGAGGACGGCTCACGCGACTCAAGCACGCTCCTCGCACTATACCGCGATCGCATCATCGACGGCAGCTTAAGCTTGAAGGATCACCACATCTCATATCAGAAATCATAGTAGACTGCTCAAGGAACGTCGTCACCACCAACAGCAAGTCAAACCATTCACATTGCTATGATCTCTTCCCCAATCCCTCGCCACAGCGAAGCAATCGATGAAAAGTTGTAACGAGACAAAAATTGCGCAAGCCAAAACCCCGAAGGATATTGGTAAAGCAGTCCAACGCCGATGTGCAATGGCGAGAACCACCTTAAGCAAACCGCCTTCTTGATCGCGGTCGCTCTCACAAGGTAAGTATGAAGAAGGGAAAAACAAAAGTTGCGGGTGGGCGAAGGGTTTAAGTAGAGCAAGGTCTTGGCAGAGTGAGTCAAGGGAGTTGGGGCTTTGTGGTAAATGACTCGTTTGATGTGGTGACACTGTAACTGCCTCGGAGTGATTGTCACTTGTTGACGACGTACGGCAGCGCGTTTACGCCGCGAAGCCCACCCTAGCCCATGCCTTATCCAGAACGCTGCCACTGAGCTCGATATTCTGCCCCTTCCTGCACGCCATAGAGCTCAGATTGATCTCAACGACTCGCCATCTGACTCTTTCCACCATCCGTAGTGAGCCGCTGACGAATCTGTACCTTGATGTACTTGGTGTTGAGCGGCTGAACCTTGGACAAGGCATTGACCTGCTTTTGCAGCCTCTGCTCATCATCAAGTCCAAGCTCGGCCATAGATTCAGCTAGGGTATCGTCTTCGTCGTCAAGATCCGCACCACCATCGCCTTCCTCGGAAGCAGAGTAGAACGGATTGGAACCATCAGAGTCCTCCTTGGCACTGCCTCATCGAGATCAAACACAGCGCCGTTCGCAAACACCAATGCCTCCCCATCTTTGAGACTTACAATGCGCTCAAACACCTCCTTGCCGTTGCCAGAGCCACCAACACTACCAGACCACACCAGGCCAGCCAGATGATCCTTGATCGCACTGAACCAAGCTGGCGAGCGGAAACGGTGGATAATGGAGACATCACAGAGATCCATCAGCTCTGGCGCGAGAGTAGGCTCCTGGGTCGCAATGAGCACGCGGGATTTGAGATGGCGCAGCTGGCGGATCAGACGGACGAGTTCTTCGGTCAAGTGCTTCGCTTCAGGTGTCTCGGTGAGGAACTAAGCGAGGAAATCAGCGGTGACCGCATGATCGGAGGGGTTTGTGAACATACCTTGTGCGCTTCATCGATGCCGACGAGCAAACTCGAGGTCTTTTCTCGATTCGCCAGAAACATTGACAGACACATCTCGTAGAACGTGCAGACATCAGCCTCTCCTATGGTGCTGCAGCTAAGGTCGACTATGGTGAGTTGCCCAGGTGTGGACTTTAGGCCACGCTCGCCGTTCGCCAAACTCCTGATTACGGCCTTGGCTGACGACCACATGAAGGTCTCGAGCAATGCCATCCGCTGATCGAACATCGCCTTCTGGTCTGGCTTCATACCTCGCTGAGTCATCCGGGTCTTGAAGCTGGCAACGGTGAAAGTCTGACCGAGCATCTTCATCTCTCGAACCACGTCGACAACGGTAGCCATGTAGAGCGGTAGCTTGTCAGAATCGCCTTGGTTCATCAAGTTGAGCATGTAGTCGACACTAAGCATAGCGTCGTCGAACAGAAGCGGCCGAACTTTTGGTAGCTCTTTCTTCGAAACTCCGAAGCGTTCAGAGTTGTGATACTCCTTCTTCATAGCAGCGAAATTCGTTGGAGATACAAGTACCTCGACCTTGACGCCTTTGGTGCAGAGAAATGCGGCTTCGCAAATTTGTGTGGACTCGTATGCTGCGTGCTTGTCATAGTGAAAGACCAGACCTGTGAGTGGATTGTCGTTACGGCCGAGCGCATGACCTTGCAAGAGGGCATTCTCCAGGAGACAAGACATCGTGTAACTCTTTCCTGCGCCTTGCTGACCGCAAATGAAGGCAGACCATGGTGCTGATGTGTTGGAATAGAGCAGGTTGTCAGCAATAGGATCGTCCTGCATCGGAGTCTGGATCTGGCCGGAGGGATAATCAAGAGGGCTTATGGGGTTCTGGGAGGCGATGTCGCGGTCTTTGTCGTAGGTAGCTGTACGCAGACCCAGTAGACCGTACATGTCGAACGGAAGATCTTGGTCCCCTTTCCTGGCAAGACTCGTAGCGACATGTTGCTTCACTTTTCGCGAGATAAGCGGCGCAGTTGTAAGGGAGTAGAGCTGGCGTTTCTTGGTGTCTTGCAGTACGCCCTGCGGAGAAGAATTGGATCTACCCACCAGAGCAAGGTGTCGTTCCAACTCATCGTCTGCGGGTTTCGGCTGTTGACTGAGCGAAGCCATCGTCTTGAGTCGCATGCGAGGTGCCAGAGATAGCGGATGCTGTGACAGTGCAAGTAGCTGTTACAGAAAGTTGAGAGGCACAGCACGTAATATATCTCAACCTATGTCCCCGCGGTGACCATCTATGCCAGTCTGACGGCATTGTTGTTCTATGGCAAACGTGAGCCACTTGAAAGATTGTTGTAAGAACAAAGTCCTCCCAATGCCCCATTGTGCTAAAAAGACCGCAGATCATCCCCGGTAGAGTCCAGGTCAGGGGCCAGAAGACTCTGCACAAGGCTGTCATTGAGCGACATCTAGCTTGAGTCGTTGAACATGGCGATGGACATGGAAGTCCCGGAAGACCGTGTAGGAGTGGGAATTTATGGTATACGGCGGGGTGTGTAGATGAAGTGGTAGCCGGATGCAGCCTATGTAGGAAGCATAGGCCGGTCGTGCCTGCCTTGGTTCATGACCCTGTATTGCAGAGGAAAGAGGAAGAGAAGTTCACGTTCTGCCAGGGAAGGAGGTACCTTCGGTTGGACAAAGCCAAGCAATGCTTGATACGCCCAAACCCTGGCTCAAAACAGGGCAAGGTCATCACTGATCACTAACCACAACGGAAGAAGAATATGAGCACAAATTATGAGCTGGATTAGAATAGATAGGTCACTGTCTCGAAAGACGGCTCCCCAATTCGAAGAGAAAACAAGAATGCAGGACATAGGGACAGATTCGTAACACACTATCTACACTTCTTCCTCCCTCTCCTTCTGCCGCTCCAATTCATGCAGTATTAGTAGTTTGGTCGTCAGGACTGTCCCAAAGTCGCCTTCCGGAGTATGCCTGTTCACAGTAGCGCCGCCAATCCAAGCACAGCCGCAACAAACACCCCACTGCATGCTACCACCGCATTCGCCCCAGCACCACCGGTATAGACCGCGACCCCAGTCGGTTTCGGCCCTCCAGTCGTACTCGTCGGCTTCGGCGCAGTCGGCGCATAGGGCGTGTTTGTCGCAGGAGCTGGGGCGGGAGACCATTCGATCCACGTTGACTTGGCAGGCGAGGTGTACTCGCCACCTTCTTCACAGCTGTCGTCACCGTTGTCAGTCCATGGCTCGCTGTTGCCGTCGCTGCCACTGCTGCCAGGTGAGCCGCTACCGTGCCCGTCGTGTCCAGAACCAGGCTTTCCACTACCACTTCCACCACTACCGGGCTTGCCCGGCGAGTTAGGCGTATCCGTTGGCCACCCGCCATAAGGCTTGGTATGCACGCTCGGCGTCGGCACCACCCAAGTGGTGTCGGTCGCCCACGGCTGCGCATCGCACGGCGCCGCTTCAGTCGTGCAGGCCTTGGGCGGAGGTGGAGGTGGTCTGCCGTCAGGACCATCACCTGGGCCTTCACCACCCCAGCCATCGCCACCAGGATTATCAGTCCATGGACCGTCGCTTCCGGGACCGTCACCGCCTGGGCCATCATTCCCAGGACCATCGCTACCGGGACCGTCGCCACCAGGGATAGTGCCATTCCCGCCTGGACCACTACCACCTGGACCATTACCATGACCAGGATGACCGCCTGGGTGATGGTGGCCTTTGAAGCCGATGAACTTGTTGTAGGGCAGCTTGACTTCCTTGCCGTCGACCGTAGCGGTGATTGTAAACGTTCCGGCGATGAGCTGGTATTTCTTGAGTGTGAAGGTCACAACATAGATCGTGAAGGCACCGTTAGTGGAGGATTTCTTGAGTGGGTAGCTGGTGGACGAGAGAACTGGGAGCGGGTTGTCGTCGTTATCGCGTTTGGATTGGGCTGTCAGGGTCAGCGTAGGAGAGGAGGCTTCGCCGCGCGTCTGTGTCATCGAAGGTCAGTACTGTTCAAACAAGACTTGGAAAGGGCAGAGCTTACGACGACGACGATCTCGACTTTGACGTTGCCTTGGGCGTCACCCTTGCCAATGTGGCTTGACGGGCGGTCTATGAAGATAGCGTCTTCAACGTCGTATTTGTGGCCATTGTTGTCGTATGTAAGAGCCTTGCCGTCCTTAGACGTGATTACAACCGTGTAGGCCGACACTCCTGCTTTGGCATCGATCTCCGCCGCCCAGCCGAAGAAGGCAAAGGTGTCGTCGTGACCGCTCGCAGTACCAACGAGTTCAGTGGCGATCGAGTCAACCTCCTTGCCGTCGTCATCATAGTAGATCACCTCAACGCTCATGATGGAGTCCAAAGAAAGCGTTGTGGTGCGGATGCGGACCTCGCCAGAGAACTCCAGAACCTTGCCATCCGTGCTCAACGACAACTGCACAACGCCAGGCTTGACCTCATATGGTGCGATTGGCTCCGAGAGCTGAACATTGCCAGGAACCAGCTCAATCATTCTCTGCAGCAAGACTTGACATTCATGATGGTAGACTTCAGCTTTGAAAAGCGAAGCCAAGGTGGTGCCATTATCGGAAGTAAAGATCTTTTTGTCCGAATTGGCGAGCCCTGTTGTGAAGAGATGGTCGACAGACTTGTTCTGAACGATGTCGACAACCACAGCGTTATCATATCCGCCAGGTGTCGCGTCAAAATGAAAGACCGACTTGTTCTCTGGGTTCGCGATCCCGAACAGCTGAGGGTGCACGCCTCCCATAGTGTGGCCGCAAGCAGTCAATTTGATCATTTCCTGGGTGTCGAATCCCATACGCTTGAATCCGGCAGTCATGCTTGCCAAGCTATCCAGCACATTGGGAACGCCAGGCGCACCAGCTTGAGTTGCGTCGATGCGGCCGGCTCGAACTGGGACGATAGGGCCACCACAGCCACGAACAGCTGAGTAGACCGACGCCGCGATCAAGTCCGACATGGAGACCTGGTCCGAGTAGTAGCGAGAGAGGTACGTGAGAGAGTTCACGACGAAAGGGCCACCATTGCTTCTGCCCAAATCCCCCGTGAGTTCGAAGGCTATGGAAGCATCAAGCCCTCCAACGCGCGCGGCAGCATCATACTGTGCCGTGTCGTGGAAAGCGACACGTAATAAGCCAGCAGCTGGATTGAACCCATTGGTCTCGGTGCTGCAGGGAGTGAACGGCTGCGAGAGTTCCTCGGCGTTGTAGCCCATGTTGAGGTCTGCACATGTTAGCGGCGACACCCACACTATTAACCAGAGCACCTACACATGATGTCCTCGAGCTTGTCCCATGGTTGTGGAAATGTCGGATTGATCGATGGTGCGCTTGTCGGTGGTGGCTTCTCGGACTCAGGGCCTGGAGCAGGCGCGTCTGTTGGTGGTACATCTTTTGGTGAATCGTCTTTGGGAGGCGTATCTTTTGGTGGAGGTGGTGGTACTGGCGGTGGTCCAGCTGAGGCTGACGGAGCGACTGGCCCAGGACCCGCCGGCAGTGACGGTACTGGCGGCTCAGCAACGACTGAGCCAAGCTGCAGTGCGGCAGCGGCGACAACGAGTAAATTAGACCAAACCATAACTGCGAATCAATAATGTACGTAAAGAAAAAGCGAATGTGATGCGCTCGATCGACGGTAACGAATGCGTCAACGAGCTGGCTTCAAAAAAAGAGTGGACGCCTGGATCAGGCAAAGGTTTTGTGCTGAAGAGGAGGGACAAAGGAGAATGCCCAACCGTTGAAATCGAAATATATCAATGCTGACCGTGAAGGCGCTCCCGCCCTGTCATAAACAGCAAAGTACGAACATGTGGGAGCGGAGTACGATATCCATCGTAAACGTGTGCCTGGACCCAAACTCGCGGCCGAGTCGCATGCTTCATCTGGGAGCGGAAGGGGAAGTCTCACTACCAATAGAAAGTTTGCCAATAGTAGAGACAGCTGTTAGTACGCGAGAGAGCCGCCGGTGAGCCACCTGCTCATCCACGGGGCTGCTGACAGGACTCGTACTGAGCAGGAAAGCGCCTGAGGCAGTGCAGGAAACCCGAAATCAGGAGGTGTGTGGTCGCATCGTTCGTCTGGAAAGAGTGAGACAATAGAGACTAAGGTCGGGGTCTCGGCGGGGAAGTGTCCGCCTGATTCAGTAGTGTGGTTGCCCGAAGTAGGTACAAAGAGTGAGCCACCCCTGAGCGGAACCCATCTCGCAAGATGAGCAGGTATATTAAGACGGGTATCTGTCGACTTATCTTGATCAAACGTGCTCACTTGAGACTTGATAGAAGCTCGAGTTCTCTAATCGAGGACTGTGGCCGTTGCGAAATCCCGTCTGACTTTCTCACGCTCGAACCATGTCTCGAGGGGAAATCGCTATCGCAATGCGTCTTCACGAAGCCTATGGACACCTCAGGCATCGTAAGATGAAGACCTTTGGAAGATCAGGAAGTTGCATCGGAAGGTTGGATTGGGAACGGACACGAACTTTCAGGGGATCTCGCTTATGCCAAGCCTCGAATTGGCCTTGTACCTGAACGTTGAGTCGACCTCACTCCAAACGAGGGTCCATAGAATCCCTGTTCCTGAATTATTGCGAGATCTGACGATCGTGCCGACGATTACGCGACGACTGAATTCAGGTCGTCTCGCAGCATGTTGACCGTTGTGAGCGAGACCTGAGGCAGGGTCACAAACAACGTCAGGCTGCGACTCGACTTGACCACAGAGTCGAGTCGCAACTGCCCTCAGCCATGACTACCCTGATCAACCCAAACACATCCGCGGTCCCGTGAGTGCGCCTTCCCACCCGCCTCACGCGCGCTGCCTCCTCTTAGACGCGTCGCCGTAGCTGATCCCCGTCGTAGTCCCACCATACCCCTCCCCTTCTCCGCCCGCCAACCCCCTCCATCCGCCTCTATCCCCTCTCAAACTACACCTTCGGCACCAAAGAGACCCAGCCCGAAGAAGACCCCAGCGTCCTCGCCCGCCTCGCCCGCCTCGAAAATGACTACGCCAACCACGGCATGCGGCGCACCGCCGAAGCCTCCTAATCTGCCACGAGCACAACCACCCACACGTCCTCATGCTCCAGATCGCCAACGCTTTCTTTAAACTCCCCGGCGACTACCTCCTCCCCACCGACGACGAGATCACTGGCTTTAAGAACCGCCTCAACGAGCGCCTCTCGCCCACAACGCCGCAGTCAGACGAGGACTTGGAGTGGGACGTCGGCGACTGCGTTGCGCAATGGTGGCGGCCGAATCACGAGACGTTTTTGTACCCGTTCTTGCCGGCACATGTGAGTCGGCCGAAGGAGTTGAAGAAGTTGTATCTGATACACTTGCCCAAGAAGAAGTTGTTGAGTGTGCCGAAGAATATGAAGTTGTTGGCGGTGCCGTTGTTTGAATTGTATGATAATGCGCCGCGGTATGGGCCGCAGTTGAGTGCGATTCCGCATTATTTGAGTCGGTATCGGTTTGAGTTTGTGGCAGAGGATGGGACGGTGGAGGCGAGGATGCCGGGGCTTGGTGCTGATGGTGGTGGGACGAATGGAATGGCTGCTAAGGTGTTGGTCGATGGTGATGGGGGTGGTGATGAGCAGATGCATACGAATGGGCATGAAAACGAAGGTCATGATAATGTAATCACGTAGTGCCGTTGGCGGTTTTGAGATGAGCCTCACTTGAGCGTCAATGTGTAGGGCAGAATCAACGTGGATTTTCCCACCAGGGCGGGCTCCATCAGGATGGATTGTTGGAATTCAATCACGTAGTGTCGTTGATAGCTTTGAGATAAGCCTCACTTGAGCTTCGGTGAGCTGAAAAAGTTCACGTGGATTTCCTCGCCAGGGAGGACTCTGTCAGTATGAATTTTCAATTTCATTTCCAGAAACTAAAAATTCAAAAGAAGTTCCTATTCCAGCTCCAGCAGGAGCAAAAGCGCCAGCGAAAACACCAGCAGCAACACCACCAGAATCACCAGCAGAAAACGCCGCGAGCTCGCGCTCCAGCTCTACATCTTCTCTCTCCACGCAGCCAACAACTCCCCATTCAGCTCCTCCTCCCACGGCTTCGCTCCATCTCCGCCTCCCACGCCCTATACTCCCGATCTATATGCTCGAGCGCCTCATCCGCGCCACGAGCCCACCACATCTCCTCCTCGATCGCCGCCATCTTCTTCTCACGCTTTTCAGCGCGAGCGCACACCTCCTGACGCGTCAGCTCGCCAGCATCGAAGGACTCGAGGTCCAACTCCTCCTCAGTCTCCGCGAGGAGACACGCGGTGGTGAGCTCGCTGGCGAGGCGAGCCTCCTCCTCCTCGTCGGCGACGAAGGCCTCGAGCTGGACTTCGGCGGCGTCGGCGGCGGCCGCGAAGTTGAAGTTGACGCCCGTGCTGGTGGGAGTGAGAGGAGGAGAGGAGGGAGAAACCGGACCAAGAGGGAGAGCAGGAACCGGAGCAGCGGCGGGAGCAGCGGCGGAAACCACAGGAGCAGAAATCACAGGCGAAGAAACTGAAGAAGAAGCTGCATCGCTGGCAGCAACAGCAGCAACGTAAGCATTGCGCTGCTGCTCCTGCAGCATCGCCGGCGACGGATTGCAGGCCTCGCACCAGCCGAGAGTGTGAGCAGGAGCCCACTTCTCACGCGCCTTGACGCTGCCGTCGAAGACGAACTTGCCCTCTGGTGCGCCATCGACGCGAACCCAAATGGAAACGTCGCCGTTGCGCTCGCGCTGCGTGCGAACGGCCTTGCCTAGAACAGCAAGCATTACTGCCTGCTTCTTGTGCTCCCAAGCTCGGGAAGCGGAGCGCATGCGCACGTCCTGGAAGTCGTGACCGAAAAGACAGGCTTCGATGGGGTACGCGTCATCGTGTTGCTTGTAGCCGATGTAGTCTGGTCCGAGAGTGTCGTGATTGACAAGTGAGAGAACAGTGAAGCAGGTTGGAACGACTTCGTGAAGAAGGCAGCAGCTTGAGTTGTAGGGCGGGGTGATTGACGTCAACGCCAGAGTGGGTGAGTACAGGCCAAATTGCATCTTTGAAAGTGCCGAGAATAGGTAGGACAGAGTTGGCATCAGCCTCACTTGCTGGCTTGATCTTTGCGAGAGTCTCTGGATCGCCTTGGTTGATACGCAGGAGTGCATCACGGCCAGTCTCTGGAATGTGCTTGATGTACTGCAGTGGACTCAATGATGGCGGAGCAGGACGAGGATGCTTGCGCAGTTGCTACAATTACGATCAGCTAGGATTACCTTTGGACAAGGTATCGACTTACATTGCAAAGTCTCAACATCTGGCAACCTCCACGCCACTTGTTCGCCTCAGGATCCCAGACCGCGATCTCGTCGTAGAAGCAGGTACGGCCAGCAAGGTCTGCAGGACAGATAGCCTCGAATAGAGCTTCGTTGACCTCAAGAAAGCCGATATTGCCGATGCGAACGTATTGCTTGTCGGGGTTCTGATCGCAGACAAACCTATTCTCGATCGGCAGTCCATTGATGTGATATCCTGCAGAGGAGCGAGCAGGCAGCTTGATGAGACCTGGAAGCGGGTTTACGATGTAGTTTGGATAGTCTGGACGGTCGTTGATAGCCAACTGCTCTTGCCAGTAGTTGTCGATGATCGGGTTTGGGTTGCGAAGCTGCCACCAAAACGAACCCTCGTCGTTCTCGTGCGCGATCGCGTCGTTGATTCCCCAGAGCTCTGGCATGACTGAAGACATCTTGATGGAGTTGTAGCGCGTTCAGAAGATCTCTAATTGGTTCTGGTCAGTGTGGAATCGCTATTGGACTGTGCTTGGTGGTGAAGAAGTTGATTTCGCATAAAATCGGGACAATTGTGCGCAGGCAGCCGTTTGTAACAGTGCCAAGACGCTTCAACAGTAACAAGTGACAAACACAGCAGCAGAGCCGAGCAGATAGGAGCTATCCGGAGAAAGGGCAGTGCTGTGCCTTGCCCGTTGCTCAGGTGAAGGTCAGGATGACATGACGACAAGGCAAAGACAAGGGGGCAGTGATGGAGAACAGTTGGACTGGACTCTCTCTTTCACACAAACAGCTTCTCCTCTCATGGCAAGCACCATCTTTGTTCGAAGGCAAGTATCTCGATCCAGCCATGCCACCGTAAGCAGATGCAAGTCTTCGAGACGCAGGGGAAGGGGCATGTATGCCATACTCGAAGGTGAAGGGCTCTGGCACCAGTCTTTTAGTCCATATTTGAGCCCAGGCGCGACAGCGTGCCTCTTAGGATCTCGGCAGGCTGGGAATGCGGGTTTTGGGGACCAGAGGCTTCTTCTAATGCTTGAACGCTGATCAACGCGTAGAGGTCGACCAGCATGGCCAGAAATGAACCATCGCCTCGATACAAGCTGGACGTGCCATATACTCGTCTCCGGCAACGGGGACGAAGTGACGCTGTCGCGCTGTCGTCCGCGAAGCAGAGTGCTAGCTTCTGCTGCTCCTGAACCCATAGTTCCTTTGCTGAGCCCAAACCTACCTTGCTCACATCTCTGACCAGCTTGCACAGCTTGCAGAGCTGCAGACCTTCCATGGTCTTCACAGAGCCTTCCAGATGCTCCAAATGCGTGCATTCACAACAGCAAGAAGAGAAATGTAGTGAGAAAAGAGAACTGGAACGTACCCATGCCAAGGCGCTTGTTCCCTAGCGCCTTCAATGGCTAAACACCGGCAGCTTCTGCTCCATCTTCCTTTGAACTTCATTGCTCTTCTCTTTTCTTCCTAATGACTCCAGTCGGGTGCTTGTAAAAGAACATTGGATTGAAGATACTGCTTGATGTCAGTATGTGACCTCGAAACGCGTCTGTAAGTGATGTGTGGCCTTGTCCAAGCGCTCTGAGGTAGGTTCGAGTCTCGGATACGAAAACAGCAGCCATTTTTGTTCTTGCCCGGTCTTTCTGGAGCGACGACTGGAGTGTGTATTCTGCCGCTTCATATATTCGGGCGTTGCGAAAGGAAAGGGGAACGCGTCATGAACTAGAAGACTCACTTCTCGAGATGCCACAACGGCACATGCCACGCAGGATCGCGAATCGGACGGAAGCTGTAGAAAGGATCAACAACGATCTCTTCGCACTCCGCCGCCGTCGCGACGCGGTGGTTGCGCTTGAAGTTGCCGGCGTCGTTGCGCGCTTTGATCGCGCGCTCGCGAGCGAGGATGGTCGCCAGTGCGAGGGTAGTGTTGATGAGATTGCGGCTGGTCATTGTGTATCGTTTCCGATGCGCAGAAACGAGAACGAATGCTTTGCTTCGGTCAATTGAGAGGAATTAGAGCAACACAGAAGTGTTCTGGTTCGAGCATTGAAGTTAAGTGCATGTCATGAGGAGTGCTTCAAAAGGCTTCAGAAAGAAAATGCATCGTTGCCTATCACTGCGTGCTATTGTAGCAGAAAGTGCAGAACAGAAGCATATCACTGCGCGCTGCTGGTGCACAAAGTGCAAAACGGAAGCAGAACCACTACAATGCTGGCTGCTGCTCCTGTCTGCACCACCCAGAAGCCCACGGCTCTACTGAAATTCCTACAGGCTTATATCTACTTCATGCCCACCAGAAGCGCTCTATCAGTGTTACACTGGCGTTCCAGTACCTCCCTGACGACACTCGGGACGCGTCTCAAATGGTTTCTGCCAAGGATACTGCTCTCGCGGGCACAGGCACCTTCTGCTCCTCTCACACCTCAAAGACCCTATCGCCCTCAAAGCACCCGAGCTCGCAAGAGGCAAGCCTCCGAGGAGCACTCTGGTGGGAGCCGAAATTCATGCCGAATGGCGGATCGAAATAGCGAAGCACGAGGCAAACAAAAGCGCCAGAGAAACGGTAAGACGAGGATGATGCGAATTAATGGCAATCTGTCAAGAACTCCGGCGGAGGCCGCCTCGTAGGTGGAATAAATGTAATTGTCCAACTGTCTACAATGTGCTAAGACTTATGCTACATTTCCATCAGAGCTCTCTTCCAAATTGTCAAATGCAAACTTTTATTGCTCCGTCTATGAAAGACCACGATGGTCGCTAATTCCTGCATTCTACAGTCTGAACCCCTGCTCCTTCTCGGTCTTCATCACTTTTGCCAAACCACTCAACACCTCGCCACCGATCTCAATCAAGCGCCAGCACCAAAGCCAGCAACGCCATGCGCGTGTACAGCCCCGCCCGCATCTGCCGGATATACCCAGCTCTCGGATCATCATCGACCTCCTCTGCAATCTCATTATTCCTCGGCAGTGGATGCAAGACGACCATGTTCTTCTTCGCGTGCTGCAATGTCGCGTTGTTGATGATAAGACTGTTCTTGAGTCTCTCATACTCCTTCACATCTGCGAAACGCTCTCCCTGGACACGAGTGCAGTAGAGGACGTCAGAGCGAGCAACAATCTCAGGTGTGATCTCTTCCGACTCAACGCCTAGATGACCGGACTCGGCAATCAGATCGCGAATATCGTCAGGCAGAGCGAGTGCTTTGGGAGACACAAGATTGATGCGCACATTGTAGAATTGCAGAAGCTTGGCCAACGAGTGGACTGTCCGGCCGTATTTGAGGTCACCAGTGAAAGTGATGGTCAGGCCATTGACAGTGCCGAGCTCCTCACGGATGGTGAAGAGGTCCAGGAAAGCTTGTGTTGGGTGTTCCACGCTACCGTTGCCACCGTTGATGACGGGAACGAGGGAATACTGGCCGGCAATCGAGGCAGAATTGGCGTCTGGGTGACGAAGAACAATGCCATCAGTGTAGCAGCCGACTGTTCGAAGAGTGTCTTGCAGTGTCTCGCCTTTCTTGGTGGATGAATGATCCATGTTGACAGCGACGACACGGCCACCAAGCCGCTGCATGGCGGCATCAAAAGATGCGGACGTCCGTGTACTGGGTTCGTAAAACATTGTAGAGAGGACTCTGCCTTGCAATATTGGCAGAACACCTTGGCGCTGGACAGCGAGACGCATTTCCTGAGCTACAGTGAACAGAAGATGCAGATCTGAGCGAGTGAACTGGTTGACCGACAGAATGTGCCGATTCCGGAAAGGCGAGGTGGAGATCAGTGACTGAAGAGCTGGCGAGATTATGCTAGGAGGCATAGGCTGGGCGAGTACAGCTGGTGGCATGGTCGAGCCTCCTTCCGGTTCTTCGACAAGCCGTGCCCGCGAAGTACGCGGACGTTGACTGAGAGATAGCCGTCTAGCAATGCTGCCGTCAAAAGCAGACAGCTTCCAGTCGAGCGGGCTTGCAGCTTGGGCTCTGACAACTGGTGAGGACACCGCTTTGAGCTCGGGGGACGCTGGAGCAAGGAACGTTGACATGTCTGTACCAGGCTCAAGTCGAGAGCCAGCTCGCCATCAAGGCATGCGACCTTGCCACGGAAAGTGACCCGGGTCACTGCACCACGCATGGTCTGACCGACGAATGGCGACCACACATCTCCTGCAGGAAGAATATATGGCCGATCGATATCGATTTCGACGGCAGTATCCTTCTGTACTGTTAGGTCGAAAATGGCAATCGGGTTGCTGTGCAGCCTTAAGATCACGTCGTCTAGGGTCAATTTGCCCTGCGAGACGGCTGTGAGGAGCAGCGGCATAGCGTCCGCAATGCCTGAGGTGGGTACTGCCTGTTTGCCTGCAACTTGGTATGGCAAGCTGCCAATCGAAAAGATATCGATCGATGGCAAATACTTCCACAGTGCTTCTTGGTCGGCCTTGGTGGGCAGACTTGGGTACTCGGGATATTCCGTCTGCGAAAGGAACAGACTGTACACCGAGACGTCACAGGTGACCTTCAGGTTCTTCTCCTTCGCAAGAGCAATGAGCTTGATGTCGTCCTTGGATGTGACGTTGAGAACATGGACTTTGCGATCGTGCAAGCTAGCGAGCAGCAAAATCGACGCGAGATCCGTCGTCTTAGCGTCAGTGACGATTGGTTTGCTCGTTGGCCATGTGGAGAAATGTGCGGTGACGGCAGCAACTTTGTTGATGTTCCCTGAAAGGTGATTGAAAGGAATGAACAGTGAGCCAACCTCGGTCTCCATATTAGCGATGGCTTCTGAATTGTCGCTGGTCGCCGCAACAGAGAAGTTGTAGTCCACATAAGCTCCCTTTTCAGCATTTCGCTGAGCAGTGCTCAGACTCTTCGCATCTGTGATAGCAGACTCGAATCCGACTGGCATGACTCTGATCATGCTGAAACCGGCAGCGACTGATGCCTTTGTCATCAAGGAGAAGTCGAACGACCCAGTTTCGGCCACGCCCGGTACGAAAGCAGCAATGTTCACAAGGCCAGGCAAAGTGACGCTGCGATGGCTCGTCTGGCAATCAAGGCTGCTTATGCTGAGGTCGTAACGTCTATGGTTCTTGATGGCCTCAATCAAAATTTTGGCGATCTTGACATTGGTGATCAACGGAGTCTGGTAGTCGACTGCCATCCGCCGCGTCAGGTAGCCTGTAGACATATAATTCGCTGGGCGGCGGTATTTGTTGCTAGACGGGAGGTTGATGTACAGATCGATCGACTTTTCGGCCAGATGGTGCGCAAGGGAGTACTCTGAGTTTTGGTCCTTGCTTTCTTTGTCGAGCAGCTCCAGAAACTTCACTGGCACATTGTGCTCGACTAGATAGTCCGCAGTTCCAGCCGTCGCAAACAATTGGAAGCCCATGCTGTGCAGACTTTGGATCGATGGGAGCATCTCTTTCTTCTCTCTGAAGCCTCCAATAGACAGGAGTATGTTCTTTTTCGGGAGCTTGAAACCTGTCGAGATTGTAGCTTTCATGTACGCATCGAAACGATTCTCGCCAAAGCACGCCACTTCACCGGTAGATGCCATCTCCACACCCTGGACTGGATCAGCCCCGGAAAGTCGTGAGAAAGAAAATTGTGGCGCCTTGACACCAACATAGTTTGCTGGTAGATTCAGCACAGGGTATGCGTCCACAGGCTTATCGACGATCAGTTTCGTGGCCATCTCGATCAGGTCGAGCCCCATGACTTTGGAAACGAATGGGAACGATCTTGATGCACGAACATTGCATTCGATCACCTTGATCTCGTTGTCCTTGGCAATGAATTGGATGTTGAAAGGTCCGGTAATGTTGAGTGCGTTTCCAATTTTCCGGGTCGCCTCTTCGATCCTGGCGATGGTCTCTGGCTCCAGGTCCTGCGGGGGACATATCAAAGTAGCATCGCCAGAATGGACACCAGCGTTCTCCACATGCTCAGAGATGAAGTGACCAGTCATGGTGCCATCCTTCGCCACAGCATCCATCTCGATCTCCTTGGCCTGTTCGATGTACTTCGTGATGACGACAGGATGGTCGCGGTTGACAGCGACAGCCTGCTTGAGGAAGTCCTCCAGGTCATTACGGGAGTACACAGTGTTCATCGCGGCGCCAGAGAGAACATACGATGGCCGGACGAGTACGGGATATGTGACCTGCTCGCAGAACTCGAAGGCGTCCTCCATACTGGAGAGCTCTTTCCATGCAGGCTGATCGACGCCAATCTGGTCGAGAAGACGCGAGAATTTGAATCGGTTCTCGGCCACGTCGATCATCTCAGGCGAGGTTCCGAGGATCGTGACATTAGCGCGATGCAATTGGAGCGCGATGTTGTTCGGTGTTTGACCTCCCATCGAGATGATGACACCGGAAGACTGCTCATGGGCATAGATGTCAAGAATGACTTCCATGTTGATGTTCTCGAAGTACAATCGATCGGCCTCGTCGTAGTCGGTAGAGACCGTTTCCGGATTGTAGTTCACCATCACTGTTCGATGTCCGAGTTCACGTAGCGTTCTGATCGTGCGAACAGAACACCAGTCGAATTCGACTGACGAGCCTATACGATATACACCAGATCCGAGCACCATTATGCCCTTGTCACCGGTGTCCAAATCACTTTCGGTACCATTGTAAGTCAGATACAAATAGTTCGTATACGCAGGAAACTCGGCCGCGACCGTGTCGATCTGCTTGACCACCGGCTTGATGCCAGCCTTTGTTCGCAGTTTGCGAATGGCCAGCTCATTGGAGTCCAGGTAATTCGCCAGTTGTCGATCTGAAAAACCTAGTCTCTTTGCATCACGGAGCAGATCGTGTGGAACGTCACTCGCTTTGAACTTAGTGACGAGCTTGGCGAAGTCGCTGAGTCCCTTCAACCTGGACAGGAACCATTTGTCAATGCGAGTCATCTCCCAAATCTTGTCGACGCTGTAGCCCGCATGCATTGCATTTGCAATAGCAAACATTCGCTGGTCGGAAGGCGTCTGCAGCTCGTCGTCAACGGACATGAGAGGGTTTGAGATATTCGAGAAGCCCAAGTTAGAATAGTCGACTCCACGGATTGCCTTTTGAATGGCTTCCTCGAAAGTTCGACCAATTGCCATGACTTCGCCAACGCTTTTCATGGAGGAGCCTAGCTGAGTAGAAACGCGCGTGAACTTCTTCAGATCCCAGCGCGGGATCTTGACCACCACGTAATCGAGTGACGGCTCGAAGCATGCGCAGGTCTTCTTGGTGACCGAGTTCTTGATCTCGTTCAGTGGTATATTGAGACCAAGCTTGGCCGCAATGAAGGCAAGTGGGTAGCCAGTTGCTTTTGAAGCAAGTGCCGAGGACCTCGATAGACGAGCATTGACTTCTATAATGCAGTACTCTTTTGAGGTCGGGTTGAGTGCATATTGGATGTTGCATTCGCCGACCACGCCAAGATGTCGAATAACGTTGACGGCCGTGGTGCGAAGCATGTTGTAGTCCTCGTCGGATAGAGTCTGAGACGGTGCGACGACTATTGAGTCACCAGTATGAATGCCGAGCGGATCGAAATTCTCCATGTTGCAGACTGTGATACAGTTGTCTTGAGCGTCTCTGACAACTTCATATTCAATCTCCTTCCACCCCTTCATGGATCGTTCGATGAGTACCTGAGGACTGGCCGCAAATGCTTTGACACACAGACTTCGGAGTTCTTCCTCATTGTTCGCGAACCCACTGCCCAGACCACCAAGAGCATAAGCAGCGCGCACAATCACGGGAAAACCAATGCCCTTAACGGCTTCCATGGCCTCCTCAAGGTTGTTCGCCGAAGCAGACTGGGCACACTTTTCGCCGATCGACTCCATGCTCCGAGCAAAGAGCTCACGGTCTTCAGTTGTGATAATGGTGTCAATTGGTGTCCCCAAGACCTTAACGCCAAGATCCTCGAATTCATCCTTCAACGCAATGCCCACCTGCAATGCCGTCTGACCACCAAATGTGCAGTAGATGGCGTCGGGCTTCTCATGCTTGATGACCTTCCGAACGAACTCGGGATTGACAGGCAAGAAATAGACCTTGTCTGCCAGGCCTTTCGAAGTCTGAATGGTTGCGATATTGGGATTGATGAGAATAGTGTATATTCCCTCTTCCTTGAGAGCTTTGATGGCTTGACTACCAGAGTAGTCGAATTCTCCAGCCTGGCCGATGCTGAGACCACCAGAGCCGAGAATCAACACCTTTCGAACACTGATGCGAGGGTGCGCTTTTTCGTTTTCTTCGATGGTGCCTCCCGGAAAGCTCACAGGCTTCACCAGGGCTTCGACTGACTTGACGCTATCCATGATGGCACTGATGAACACGTCAAAGAGAAATTCGGTATCTCGTGGTCCAGGAGTCGACTCGGGATGAAACTGGACACTGAAGTATGGCCGTGAGACATGGCGAATTCCCTCATTGCTGTTGTCATTTGCATTGACGAAGAGCTCCTCCCAGCCTTCGGGAAGGGTCATGGAATCAACGGCAAATCCATGGTTCTGTGATGTAATGTAGCATTTACCAGACAGCATATTGGTGCAAGGGATGTTGTGTCCACGATTGCCGAACTTCATCTTCGATGTGGTTGCACCAGCTGCTCGAGCAAGCAGCTGGTGGCCAAGACAGATGCCGAAGATTGGGGTACGGCCTTCCTTCATGGCTTCTGAGATGTGAGCGACTGTCTTCGTAAGAGTGGCCGGATCACCAGGTCCGTTTGACAAAAACAAGCCATCGTAGTCTTTACCGGCCAGTCGGGGAAAATCGTAATCCCACGGCACCACCATTACTTCCACGCCTCTCGACAGCAGGCATCGAAGTTGATTGTACTTGAGGCCAATGTCTACCACCAAAACTCTGACAGGTCGGCCGCTTGGATGTAGAAGAGCCTTGGCTTGCGGAGGGGCGATTGTCTTCGGTGCCTTGATCGAAACCATCGCTACGAGGTTTTCCTCGTTCTGATCCCGCCAGTCAACGGGAGAGACAAGATCTCGCCAATTCTGTGGGTGTGAATGATCGGTGCCGTTGGTAATACCAAGACCATTGCTCTGATGACCAGATGGCTTTGCTTGGAGGAGTCTGCCAAGCATGCTGCCCTCCTCACGAATGATCTTGGTGAGTGCTCGAGTGTCGACACCGTGGATAGCCGGTACACCTTGTTCCTTGAGCCAGGATCCGAGTGACGAAGTAGCAAGATGGTGCGAGTACTGCTCGTCAGCGTATGTGGCAACAACAAGACCGGCGACATGTATCTGGCTCGATTCGAAGTGCTTTGGAAGATCCTGAAGGAAGTTGTCTTTCGTCTCCCGATCTGGGACGCCATAGTTGCCAACCAGGGGAAAGGTTATGACCAAGATCTGGCCGCGGTATGACGGATCAGTGATCGACTCTGGATAGCCGACCATGCCGGTCTGGAAGACCAGCTCCCCAGAGACACTCTTGTCAGCACCGAAGCTGATACCTTGAAAGACTCTGCCATCATGGAATTCTAGGAAGGCTTTCTGATGGTCTCCTTGGAATGTTGTGGATGCAGCGACCTCTGCAATAGAACCCAGCCGGTCAGACTTAGCCGGAACTGTAGGTGACTGAGAGCCATCCGGGCCTGTTGCCGCCGCTAGCGAAGGACTTTGAGCGAGTGGAAGTGATCTGGTATTCAGATCTTGAGGCTGAGGCTTCGCCATGTTGAGGAAGGCAGGGATGACCAGGCGTCCCTGCCGTGGCTTCAAATGATCATGAGAACACGACGAGGCAGGTACCGACGACTACTAGGAAAGTAAGCAACTTCTGAGGCAACGATGAGGAAGTTTGCTGAGGTTTGAATCTTCAGATTCTCGTGAACTTTTTTCGTCAGGCGGTCTGATTCGTCGGTCTCTTGCAGCTTACTAGTCCCTTCTCGGGAGACGTGATAGTCACGTGATAAATGTCCCGTTTGCCTTGCATCACATGAACAGGCGAAAATGATGGCGTAGCTACTGCAGCGATGAGGTACTCATCGCCGAGTCAAAAGCGGTGTGAGAAGGTCCTGCACAGTCGATAGGCTGGCAGCGATTTCCTGCCGAGCTGCGGCCTCTTGCCTTGCTCACAGGCGGCCACCCCCACACCAAGTGTATGCTCGCGACGGCGCCCCTCATTGGACCTTCCGAGCTGCAACTGCATGTGTTATCTGATGTGCATCACGAACTTCGTCCCACCGCCTTTCCGAACCTACGTCGATGATATCTATATGCTATCTTCCTTGCATTCCTGAGGCTTGCCCCCGCCCAGAGATTCGACCGGGGATTTTATTTCGAACGCGGGGTTTGAGAAGCGTGGGTGTTCTAAGATGAAGCGCCCGTGTGCCCACTCTGTCTCCCTTCAATTCAGATGCTAATAACTAGCACGCCTTGGGCCATCACATGAGGTGTCCTTGCTGTCATTCCTCGCTGCCACTAACATACAGGCTCGTCATCACGTTGAGGCGTGGTCTCATCGCGTCGCTTTTCACTGATTGTTGTTGGCGTTCAGAGCGTGCATTGTTTATTGCGCCCAGATTCCACTTCCTGGGAATTTTCATTCTACGCGTTTATCCGCATCTGCCCATTATGTCCGCAGAGCACTGACGACCGTCGATAATAAGCACAGCTAGCGACGAGCCGGTGCCGCAACGCTCGTCGAGGCGTTGTTGAGGCCCAGCAATGTTCTCATCTCTGCTCAGATCTCGCAGCGACCGAAGACGCACACGCGTCGATCGACCATCATCACCGTCAGCAGATCGGAGGACTTTCTCGAACATCGACCGTACCTTCCATCGCTCGACAACGCGATCAGCTACGAGTTACGATGATGAGTACAGTCGCAGTGAGGATGACGAAGACGAAGAGGACGAGAATGAGGAGGGCGATGACTACAACGAAGACGAGGATGAGGACGACGATGAATCAAGCACTCCCCTGCTGCCAATCTTCGCCTCGGCAACACTGGATCTGATTCCCGTCTTCAGCTTGACACATACGATTCGAGAGCTTGTTGTGGCACGATGCGAGACTGTGCTATCGTGGGACCAACTACGGTCACCCCAGGTGTCACAATTTCTGGTGCGACCGATCATCCAGCAGATTACGCAACAGCACTTCAACGCGGGAACTGAGTACGCCCTGCTCTCAAATTGCTTGCAGTTTGTCAAGGAGGCTGCGATGTACCCCGGAAATAGTGGCACGAGTAGGACGCGGGCTATGCTCTGCGAGCTGCTTGCGATAAGGCTGCTTCGCGAATACTCGACGAGAGAACTCATCGATGCACTTTCCTACGACTTCGACCCACTGCAGGGCCAGGTTGAGCCAGCGGCGGTAACAGTCAATGGCACACCTACTGCAGTCGTGCCACGACGCCCACAACGAGTCGCTCGAGTGTCCTGCTACGAGGTCGCCTTGCGTGCTCAGGCTAAGAGGTTCCTCGCCCATCCTACTGTGGTACAGCAACTCGAAGCAATCTGGGCAGGAACAATTGTGTTTCATTCTGCGGCCGACAGCATGCACCGGAAGCTACCAAATGTACGGCAACTTGAACCTAGCTATGGCACCGTCGACACGAGTAAAGGCGTTCCCTTCGATCCCAAATTGCTGCGCAGAGCGGTGACGATCTATGATCCTAACGATGCATCCTTGATGAAGCTCTCGCGGCTAAGAGTGCCACGCTACCGCAACATCCTCTCAACACTGTCCTTCGCGGTGTTACTTGGCCTCTTCGTAGCAGTGCTGATCGAGCGATCTCTAGAGATTACCACTCTTGAAGTCGTCTTTTGGTTCTGGGCTGGTGGCTATATGCTTGACGAGATAGTCGGCTTCAACGAGCAGGGCTTCAGCTTGTACATTGCCTCGTTCTGGAACACCTTCGACTTGGGAATTCTTCTTCTCTTATTCATTCACTTATGTCTACGGATCTATGGTATCGTCATGGTGGATGTACGAAAACACACCATCGCCAACATGGCTTACGATGTCTTAGCAGCTGACGCTATTCTCCTGTTCCCACGCTTGTTTTCGGTATTGGATCATTACAAGTATTTTTCTCAGCTGCTCATTGCCTTCCGTATGATGGCGCAAGACCTAATGGCCATCTTTCTTCTCATCTTAATTAGCTGCTCTGGCTTCTTCGTGTCTTTGACACTATCATTCGGCAACGACAAACTGGACACGCCAGGCAACGTTGCCTACGCATTGTTGCAGATCCTGATGGGTTTCACTCCTGCAGCATGGGACCGTTGGGAGAACTACAACACTCTGGGAAAGATCATACTGACGCTATTTCTGTTCATTGCGCACTTCTTGATTGTGGTCATACTGATCACAGTCCTCACGAACTCGTTCATGGAGATCGTCAAGAATGCCAATGAGGAACATCAGTTCGTCTTTGCCGTCAATACCATCGCCAGTGTCAAGTCGGATGCTTTGTTCTCATACGTCGCACCAACCAACATACTGCAATGGCTCCTTACTCCGCTCCGCTACTTCATACCATTTCGGCAGTACGTCAAAGTGAACCGTACAATAATCAAGGTCACGCACTTTCCGATCCTCTTCGCCATCTACTCATACGAGAAGGTCTTCCTGGGATCGTCTGTGTATGACAGCCTAGAATATGTGGAGAGGGGCAGACCCAAGCGCTCGTATGCTCCGAAAGTCCCTCGGCTGGCAAGAGCTCCCTCGATCGCCACTTTCAGACAGGACCGCGCATTGGATGAAGTCTTTCGACGCGTGCCAGATTCGACTCTTCGTAAAGAAGTCAGCCAAGATCGTCGTCAGACGAGCACGGCTGTCAACAATTGGATGACAGAGATGGGCGATGATCTGACTGCACCACTAGAGCAGGATCGGAAAATTGTTGATCGTCTCGAGCGTCAGAGACCTTCTGGTCAGTGGGGCAGGTCCATGAGAGCGCGTCAGAATCGCCTCGGTTCTGTTGCCTCGGATCCGGAAGAGTTTAGATCTATGCAAGAGCTGTTCTCGCCAGGCCAACTCGCGATACCAGAGGAGGTCACTCCATCGCAGGTCGAAGGCCCGTCGCAGCACACCGACGCGGATGGCGACGACGAGCTTGCCGCTACAGAACACGACGACGAGGCCACTAACATGGACCAGTCTGGAAACAACACCGATAGCGCAGATGTGATGCGTCTAAGATTGCAACCGCCTATGGACTATTTCTCGCGTCATGGCTCACCACGAGCGCGCGCGCCAAAAAGAGCCAGCCCTGTCCAGTCTCGTAAAGCACCGACTGACGAGGCTTCCGACGCAGCACATCTTTCGAGTCGTCCATCTCAACATCAGCGCAACTTCTCGACAGCAACACAAATCTATCGACCTGAGTCAGGCAGCGAGCAGCCCGAGCCGAAGTCAGAAGCCGTCACACAGCCGGCGTCAGGGACTATCAGCCACAGAACAAGTCCAACGACAGCACCAGCTCTCTAGCCCTGGTGGGACGCAAAACGCCCAAGCGACTTTCCCGCATGCGTCCAATTCTGCCCGATCAGTCGAATGCAGCATTCCGCTCTGCGCCAAACTTCAGTCCAATGCTACCTCACCTACGTCAGCCCAACACATCCTCGCCACTGCATGGCAATAATGCCAATAAACGCAATCCTTCAATCAACAACCCCAACATGGACATTGTAAGCGACATCGGCGACAATCAAGCCATCGGCGGTGGCTACGTTGGTGCCATTCCTGCGAGCTTTGCAACGCAGGTGTTCAATGCGAATCAAGCGCGGAAGCAGCGTGATGAGCGCAATGATGAGCAAGACCGGATCAGCCGACTCATGATGTCGCGTTTGACCAACCTAGAAGAGAGCATGCGAGAAGTCATTCATGGTGTACGCGATATGGCTCACGGAGGCTCCGCAGCCAGCGGCTCGGCAAGCAGGCAACGCAGTCCTGAACGGATTGTCAGAGTCGCGAAGCGGGCCACTGGTGCTGGCAACAATGGGCCTGGCAGAAGTGACAGCTACAAAGACAGACGAAAGATCGGAAGTCGAGAAGGCGAGAAGGCTAAGGGTGACCAGGAGTCGGTGGCCAGCGCGGATGTCCTCACACAAAGCGAGCGCGGTGGTGTTGCGATTGCTGCACGACCTGATGCAGCTTTGTTGGATCAAAGGCTGCGCAATGCGGCTGAGGCAGTGGCTTCCCCTCTGACGGTGAACACAGACAAGGAGAACGTCGACCCCACTGGCGACGGTGCGACCGAACAAGGACCGCAAGACGTTTCTGCGAAGGCGGGTCAGGCTGTTGAAGTCTCCGACTTCGCACCGCAGAGCCCGAATTCTGTCAGGCATGTTGGCGACAGTCCTCTTCGTCAGGAAGGTGCCAGTGGCGATGTATCTAGCCAGCGAAATTAGTAACGTAGTGCAACACGAGAGGCGAATTAGGCGGACTCGACGCACGACGGGATAGTTTTGCAAAGACTACGTGTAGCCCTGTACCCACTCTGTAGCTTTGGTCTATCGAGGTAAAGGTCTTTGTCATCCGGCGTTGGTTGGCGCCTTGGATTCTATCTACGCTACCTGGTGAGGAAATGCTGAGTGCGGGGAGTGTACGCCAAATATAATTGCACAACAGGTCAGTCATCCGGCGTCTTCTGACAACCCTCGATCTCTCAACTGAGGAGGTCATCGAGCTTGTCTTCCTCACAACACCACTGGGTATACCGCAAGAACACGCCCAGACCCGTTGTCTATGAACACGCTGTATCCCTGCATGCTTTCCTGAATGTACTACGGTCTTGCGCATCACTTATAGCGGTGCAGCACGATTTTCCCGGCAATGCTCATGTTCAAGTTCTTCGATGAATCGGATGGCAAGGCAGATTCAGGGGTCTCGTATTCAGCTCCTTGACAGCGTCTGAGCAGAATCTCTGACAGGTACGCCCATTGGCTGCCTGATCATGCAGGACTGCAGCGCCTCTGCTGGTGGTGGCGGTGTAGCTTTGACGACTGTCTTTAAAGGACTGAGCCTTTCCGCTCGGTCACCACTACAGGACATTGTTTATTGAGCTGATCACCATATCATGCTACGCTGTCATGGCATGATGCAATGAGTGATCCCCTCTCGGTCTCAGCTTCTGTCATTGGGCTTCTCACAGCTGGCGTTGCCATCACCAAAACGCTGAACGATGTCGTTCAACAGTATAAGGACGTGCCGAAGTTCTCGAAGTCAGTCCAGCAAGAAGTCACAAACATCACTGCAGCACTTGAATTGCTCCATCCCTATCTGGACCAAAAAGCACGCGCCTCGTCTGACCGCAAAGCTCTCATTCAAGTCGAGCATGTAGTGACTACGCTCACTGGCTGCGTCATCACCTATTCTGACTTGCAAGCGTTGCTTGACACCCTCCACCAGGATCCCAAGCGTGCTTTCGACAAGCTCAAGTGGGTTCGTAGAGAGAAGCAGATCTCAGCGCTTGTGTCAGATTTGCAGTATCACAAGTCGTCGTTGACGTTGATTTTGACAACCTTGCAATGGTCAGTAGACTCTGGCGACGGTTATGTCCTGACAATTGACACCCTCACAGCCAATCTCTGCAGGAGGCAGAGCAATCGAGTCGCCGCCTGGCGCGGCTTGTCGAAGGTCTGCTGCAAAGCAGTTCGCTTGTGGCCTGCCGCATGGCTGGGATGTGTGACGAAGGCTCAATCATCGCTATCGCCAACGACAACGGAGATGCCGCCTCCACTATCAGAGCGAGCAGAAGCGTTGATCGTAGATCAATGCTTGCTGATGCGAGCCAGGGCATTGTGCCACAACACGCCTTCGAACAAGATCTTATAGCATCGCGAGTCTACAACCGAGCCATCTTCCAGAGACAATCCATGACATCCCGTAACAGTACGGCGTTCTACACAACGGCCTTGTCGGTGTTGTCAGGTCTGAGCTTATCGCAAGTCTCGACCATTTCGTTCTACGCCTTACCAGTCTACTCCAGCGATCTCAGCAATAGTGCTCATTATCATTTTGGAATGGATGGTTCCGCTGCAACGGAAGCCGCTCTTCAAGTCAGAGCCCATGCGGCCGTATTTTCAAGCAGAGGTGGTCCCGTCTTAGGGTCAGATCTCGAGTACCATCCATGGATTGCCTTGGACGAACGATCGCGTTTCGTAGCCCCACGTCCAGCACCGGTGCCACCCCAATCACAGCAGACTCAGCATGAAGCAGGACTCAATTTCCAAAACTCAACCCTCCTGGCCAGAGAGGTTTACCTCCGGGCCGAAGAAGATCGGCTCCGAGCAATTGAGAAGATCGTCCAACGCGAAATAGCTGAGAAGCGCGAGGAACTTGCAGCACGTGAGAAACAGCTGCGGGAAATAGAGGCGCGTATGGAGAGAGAGAAAGCCGTGGCGCGTACTCTTTCGCAACCCCCGGTTCCCCTACACACGGCCAAGTCTCCTTAAGAGCACTTAGTTAGTTATTAACTACGGCTGGGGTTGGTCTTTGCCTTCGTCCGGCCATGAGTCGTCGGGCACGCTTGATGCTGATGTTGATAGTATTCCGCTTCCATCCAACAAACGATGCTATAACCAAGTGATGATCACGCAGTGCGAGGCTGGAGTCCAGCGCAGCAAGACTGGGAGTGCCGTCGATAGCTGCGGCGGGCAACGGGATGTGCGTACTAAGAAGACTTGAACATCGGATTTTCGAGACTAGGAACGAGAAAGATAGTGTGCATATAAGATGTTGTTTGCACTTCATACTCATTGCAACGATTTGCTGTGTTCTATACATCTGTAGTCTAAGGGTATCCAAAGGTATCTCAAGGTCTAAGCCTGCTTCACTCTGGAAGCAGTTGTCGATGTGGTCATGATGTCCTGGTGTTTCTACTTCCTCTTCTTCAGCTCTCCGTTCGCTGCTAGTCCACCGCTCGCCTTTCCAGTGACCTTACCATTCTCCTTGACAGTCGCAGCCCCAGGCCCCGCACTGTCCACTCTCACAATCTCAGGCAGCGTCCACAAATTCGGCCAAAACATAACAAACTTATCCTGCTCGCCATTCAGCACCCTCCTCAGATGTATGCCCCAAACGATATAACAATAAGCCCCAACACCAGTCATGAGGTGCCACCAGCCGTGCCCTTCAAGCAAGATACCCCACGGCAAGCCTATCTGTCGACGCCAGCGCCGCAACGTGCCGCAGTAGACATTATCTATGCCCCATATCGCGAAGCCGGATAGGAAGATGGTTAGGCCGTAGGCTACGAAGAACCACATGTTCTTGAGTATTGCACGATCTCGGGCGTCTTCTGCTGCGGTCCTTGGTGCGGCTTTGCGGAGGGACGGGCGTAGGCTGGTCTCCATGATCCAGCCGGAGCGGAAGACGATGAAGACCGTCAGTGCGGCGTATACTTGCTGGTGGAAGGTGGGGTCTTGGATGTGGTGGTAGTACACGGTAATACCGATGCAGAGCAGTGTGAGCGAAATGCCGAGCAGGACCTGCGTCCGGACGGACCGGGCGTATGACAAGGACGCATATGCCATCAAGCAGGTCGTGTAGATCATGTTAAGCTCGTCGACGAGCTGCCAGGGGTACTTCAATGTCGCATGGAACATGAAAGAGCCGAACCCAACCAGGAAGTAGCCAAAGTATGCGACGGCAAAGACTGTGTCGTGGCCATATTTCCAGCATGACTGGACGCCTTTGTAGGATAGATAGACGAAGAGGATGTTGGTCAAGGTGTTGACTATCTCGGCGCAGTAGTAGCTGGCGTAGTAGTCTTCCTCGCACCTGCGCGCGTTAGACAGTGATGAGGTCTCACTTGCCATGCGACATACCATTGCAGCGTCGCGGAATGTGGTTGCCAGTAGCCTGGCTGGTCTGGCGGAGGGTACGGCTTCTGACCGGCAGGTCAGCTTATCATTCCCGCGGTTCCCAGCTCCTCGAAGTACTGACTGCGGGTAGCCAGGACTGCATCTTGGGCTCGAGAGGCGCCCAGGAGAGTATTTCTGGAGGACGTCGAGTGGAGGATTGCTGGACGGTAGTTCAACAGCGGTCCAGTTCAAGGTATGGATATGCAACCGGTGCTCATGTTGACGATGCAAACCGGACAGTAAACGCCAGACCGCATGATTCAGCACTCATTTCTGGGAATTTTCGTGGAAGAACCGGAATGCGAGGACGTTGGCAGTTGATTACTCGTAGGGCTGTTTGTGGAGGGGTGACGTACCTGCCTCTACGCGATCTTTTTTGGAGAATCAGAAATGAAACACGTGAAGTTCACGGTCAATCGCGACTTGAAGTTCTGCAATCCATTGCTGTTGGCAGTCGCCGGTATTCAAGGATGTCGATACCAAACGCGGCTCTGCAGAAGGTACGAGGCAACTCCCTCTAGCACCCATCATGGACATTGCGACTGACAGTGCCTACCCCGCAGCTTCTGCAAGAAGTCGAGACGCAAGCACTCGTGTCTCAGCAGAAGATCCAAGAAACACAGGCGCAGCTCAATGCTCGCAAGCGTGAAGCACGACTCAATCAGCTCACAAGCAATGAGTTGGCTACCCTTAGCAAGGACACCAACGTCTACGAAGGCGTAGGCAAGATGTGAGTACCAGACAACCGTTCTCCAGAGGTCAGACACACTGACCCTGCCATAGGTTCGTTGCCGTGCCCACCAAGGCCCTCAACAGCCGCCTGTCGACCGAGTCAACCGCACTGAAGAAGGACATCACTGATCTCGAGAAGAAATTGCACTATCAAGAGACCACCTTCAGAAACAGCCGCGAACATATCGACAAGATTCTACAGTCAGGTGCCCGGTAGCCTGCCCTACGATGTATCGCATGAGAGATACGTCTGCCAGCAGCGCATGCTTGCACGGCAGCTGACACAGATTCGGGTCCAGATATCAAGTCTGCACCTACTAATCCAGGCATCAACTCTTGTTGGCCAGCACATGGATTACCGTCGGGCATGCATAGCCGTGCAGCGATAGCGGCCTGCGGCTGAGGTATATCTGCATATGGCTAATGAACCAATGGACGAATACCTGCCGGCGCTCGTCCTCGATAGAAGCCACACCACGCCACGAATACTGGCTGGTATATGCGACAACGGCGAGAAGATCTCCGTGAATTGCCTTTTGTCGAACAATTTGCGCCTCTAAGGCGTCCGACTCTAGAATACCCACCTGGAAGATCGAACAATCAATCGGTCATGAATCTTATGTAACATGTCTCGAAGCAGGCGACCGGTGTACCAGACGGCCGTACAGCGCTACACAGAAATCAGTTCTGTGTAGCCAGCGCAGTGCAAGACGGATGTCCTCGAACAGTCATATATTCCCCCAACGACAGCCAACCGTACTCATGTGCCTAATTGTCAGTTCTATCTTTGTCTTCTGCAATCTCCTGATCGATCGCGCATCACGAAACACAGATTGCTTCCTGTATGCCACCTTCGGATACAATACGAGACAACCAACTAATGGCCCGTATCAGGCCTAGTGACCCATCCTGCTGGTCGGTGGACTCGAGACCAGGCCCAGCCGCCTGATGAACCAGGTCTAAAACCCCCCACCTTGAGCTGAAGGATTCGCTTTCTAATACTCTACTCTCTTGTCGAAAGGTTTCTTCTACTTCTCTGCAACCTCCTGAGCTCTTCGAAAGAGCCTTATCACAAAGGCTTGCCCTTCAAAATCGGGTAAGCAGCACATAATTGCATTGTGCGGCCCGCTCCAGCTGGGCCACGTTCCGCAGCGGAAAAGCCTACAGGCATACCCCGCGCCTCTATAGCAACCCAAACTCCACCGCCACGTTCCATCCCAAGCACTTTGTCACCCCGACGCCCGGTCGCCACGAGTACCTGACAGGGTTGAAACCAGCACTTCAACGCCCGACATATATGCCGCGCTACTACTATCCCCACGACCTCGACGTAAACAACTACGGCTACATCGAAAATGTCAGTCCACGTCCTAGGCACGCGCGACCGCTCGCGCTCGCGCTATGACTCAGACTCGGACAGAGAATATGTGAACATCCCCGTGCCCCTCCCACACCGCCGCCGGTCGCGCGACCGCGGCCGCCGCTCCCCGGATACTGTGGTCAATCAGAACTTCCTCGGCCTGCCGGACGCCGGTGGCCGCCGTCGCGCCGCCAGCACGAGCGGCCAGCCCGCGCCCATCAACCTGGTCGTTAACCCGCGTACGCAGACGACGATCACCGCCGACACCGCAGCCGCAGTCGTCACGGCGGCTCAAGGTATTCATCCTCCGGGTCGGATCGGTCGCGGTCGACGCACCGCTCGTCGCGCTACGGCATAGACACGCGGTCTGACCGCAGCAGGGAACGCGAGCGCCGGCGCGACGAGAGCGGATCGAGGACGAGATCGAGGATCGTCGACGACGCGACGAGCGGGATCGGAGACGGTGGGAGGAGGAGCAGGAGCTGAAAGCTGCGCGGAAGAAGAAGGAAGAGGAGGAGTTGATTGCGAAGGCGAAGCTGGAAGAGGAGAAGAAGAAGAAGGATGCGGAGGATTTGAGGCGGAAGATTTTGGAGGAGGAGGAGGTCAAGAAGGCCAAGAAGAAGAGGGAGAAGGAGGAGCAGGAGAAGGAGGTTGATGAGAAGATGCGTGCTAAGTTCAAGGCTTTGGGTATGCGCTCACTCCTCTCCATCAGCAGTAATGGTGCTATCTCCCACGCCACAGACAACTGACTCCCATCTCTACACAGGCTACTCCGACTCGCGCATCGAAGAGCTCATGAAGGGCAAACGTGAGAAGCACCACCACGACCAGGAGTGGGCCATTGACTTGACAAGGCCGACACACATAAAGGTCCGCCGGCAATACTTACTACCAGATACCTTGGATCACTTCAACCTGCCATGGGAGTACGATAAGGTATGTTTTCCTTTTTCCCTCTTGCTTATGACACAGCAATCCGCTAACGCTCCAACGCAGCACAACACAGACTACATCATCATCAAACGCTACATCGACGCCGACTTCCAAGAAGTGCTGTTCGAACACACACGCAAACTCATCATCAAACGCAAAACAACAAAGACGATTACGAGTGGGTACGAGAAGGACGTGACGGTGACCCTACGGCCGAAGGAGGATGTGGTGGAGGTGGTCAAGGATCGGAATGATAATATGTTTCTTGTGCGGAGCAAGTCGAGGGATGGGAGGTCAAGGTCAAGGAGTCGGGATCCGAGTAGCTCGAGGAGGAGGAGCTTCATCTTTACCTAAGGGGGCGGAATGTTGGTGGTGGTTCGGTGCTGCGGGTTATGTATGTAGAGAGTCAGGAGCAAGTCTCTTGTCTTGTGTTTGGTAGAGTTTACGGCATAACGAAGACACATGACGAATTTGTGAAGGCGTTGGGCTGAGGTGGTTCGAGAGAGAGAAATATGTGTTTCCTATGTGCGTAGCGCGTCCTCGCGAGCCGTGCTATCCCAGTATCACTCCTTCTGCTCTACTGGGTAATTCATCACATTTAGACTGAGCTTGAGAGGAAGCTGCTTGCTTCGAAAACGCCTTGTACTGCTCCGACCGCCTCCATGGGAAAGTAAGGTTCATCGCCTCAGGCCAGACCTCAGATGTTCTCCTCTGATCGTCCAGCCCAATCCATGTTCGATGCGGCTGATCTGAAGATCCTTCTTCCAAGAAGAGCATATTGTGTCCAAAGCGTCAGCCTGGGGGAGCCCTGGCTTCTTTCTCAACAGCCTCTGATCTGGATGTTGTGTTAGGCGTGCGCGCTTTCGAGCCCGAATGGTGGCCGCTGTCGAGAGGCTGGTTCTGTTCCCATTGGCGATGTCCGTTCGATTGTTTGAACCCTCGGCTTTTCGTAAGCCGATCGATGTCTGCTGATCCACTGTTGGTGAGATCAGTCTATGGACGTTCGAATCGATGGCGTTGGACACCACGGCTCTGCTCGGTGGCTCCATTTTGTAGAACATTTTCTGGATGATCGGTTTCGGTTTCCGGCTCTGTGAGGGCTTCCCACTCAGGGCAGGTGTTCTCCATCTGCTCGACATCGAGTTTTCATCCCTGCTCGCTAGCACCGAACAAGTCCTCCATATTCCCCTCCCCATCTTCATCCTCACCCATCTCCTCGTCCTCATCATCAACCTGCATCCCCTCGCCTTCCGCTGCCGCAGGAGCGATAGTCGCATCTTCCATATCCTCCCCAACACCACTGTCATCCTCACCGTCACTCTCCCACTCATTCTTCAACCCCCATCCCATCCCACTCAAGCAGTACCTCTCATGCGGCAACTTGACCCCTCCAATCGTAATCCCCTCCCCATCACCCTGCGCATGCTGCCCCAAACTAATCCGATTCCTCTCATCCGCCAAACTCTTCAAATACTCCTTCGGCTGGTTCGCCTGGCCCGTGAACTGATACGCCGTCCTCCCCGCCAACGCCATCCGCAGCGCCGCGAGACTCACGTCCGCCTTCTTCGGCTCGATTCGCGTTGCCTGACGCACCACCTTTGCCCGCTGCACCTCCTCGTTTCGAATTGCCTGGGGCGTTGGCGTCGGCGGCTTGGTCGTAGCCTCCATTTGCATGTGTAGCGCGTCGCTCAGGATTGTAGAGGTATGCCGGTATGCGAAATCCATTAGTTGCAAGGGGACGCGCTCTTGGTAGGCGGTGACGCCGTGCGAGGCGAGTAACAGGTGGATGAGGCGGTGGTCGCGTGGGCGCCGGGAGGTGCCGTCGTCGGTAAGGGAGGTCAGAGGGGATGCGAGGAGGGCTTCGACGCGGGTTGTGGCGGAGGTTTGGGTTGTGGTTGTGGGTTGGGACTGGGTGTGGTTTATTGAGGAGGTATTGGGGAGGGACTGGGATTGTGTGAAGGTTTGCGTCGAGGGCGGCTCGGCGGGCGGTGTTAGGGGGATGGCGGGGGATGCCATGGTCGGTGAGTGGGTGTGTGGTGAGTTGTATGGAAGTGTAGAGTATTATAGAGTCAAGGCGGGAGAGGAAGTTTCGTGTCGATTCAAGTCGAAAGTGAGAGCACGCGCATGTGATGTCAAGCGGAAGTAAGCGAGCCTAACTCCTGCCGCTTCGAAGCGACTACAGTAACCACAACCACCTACACGGTGCTTACCTTATTTAGAACCTATGAGATATTCCCCCCGTTCTGGTGTTTGTCGGGCATATGGACCACTCTCACCACATGAATCACATTCAGTCACAGCAGCGTGCCAACGTCTCCCTGTCTTGATGACATTGGTCCTATATGGTAACATGGATTCTAGTGGTCTGCAAATGCTCCTCATCAGGAATTCAAGGTCGACTGTCGCGCCGATTCCTCAGGCGCGCTCCGTACCTGAAAAGTAACCAAGGAATTGGGAGAAACGCAACCGACAAAAATGCGAAGACACTTCCCGCCCACCTGATTCCTAGGCTCTCGTACATCTGCACCGTGAAGAGTGGGAAGACTGCACCCAACGCAAACCGCAGAGAGCCATTCGCGGCCAATGCTGAAACGTCAGGTCAGCCAGTATTTTACTTTAACAACCCAACAGGAACTGACCTGATGCCGCCGCAGCAGACTGATACACATCGACTAAGTAATTGATAGTTGACAGCTGACTCGATGATCAGCATTCCTGGAATCCATAAGGGTCAAGATGGAACGTACGAATAGTGAGAAGGCACCGAGACCGAATGGAATCCCACTGGCTGCGAGCGTGGCCCAATGACCCCCTTCTCGGCCACCCCAAGCATACCTGAAGTCATAGTAAGCACATGCTGTATGCGAACAGATGCGAGCATACCAGAACAATCCGACCGGCAGTGATATGCTTCCAACGAGTGCAGAATATAGACGATGCTCCGGAGCAGGCATATCGCCATGTAAGGCCCGACGCGCCCGTGCATAAATCGTTCTGTCGAAGCCCGCAAACAGGACGATTGCCAGAATGTAACCAATCATGACGCTGACGAACACGAGGCTAGTCTCTTTCGCACTAAAGCCGTAATACCGGGGGAATACATATGGTATGCTTGCAAGATAGCTGAACGTCAGGGCGTAAGCGTAAGCAGTATAAATTGTCAACGAGAACACAATGACGTCTGTAAACAACATCCTGACAGACCGCAAAATCGCGAACTTGACCTTTCTGAGGACTTTGCCCACTGCCGTAGCGGTATCAACGCCGTCTGCGTGCGAGATGTCGAGCTTAAGAATATGCGTCTTGGCTGTCTCTCTTGTGAACAGCGTGGCGATGAGGGTAGGCGCACCCACGAGCAGAATCAACCATTGCGTCCATCGCCAGTCCCTCCCGTGGTCATCGAGAATGTATGTTCCGGCTATGGGACCCAGAATAGGCCCAAGGAAAGGGCCCAATATGAAGAACAAACCGACAGTACCCCCGGCCTTTTGCAAGACCCAGAGATCGGACACCGTGCCAGCACCAATCGCCATTGCCGACGAGCCCAGGAAACCGGCTAGAAAGCGGAAAACAAGTAAGGCGGGAAAATTCGGCGCTCCTGATCCGGCACCTGTGAAGACCAGCAGGAAGCTGAGCGTCGAGATATAGACAACTCGTCTGCCCCATACCTCGGAAAAAGGTGCGATGAAGAGCGGCCCAAACGCAAGTCCGAGCGTGTACAGTGTCAATGTAAGCAGTGCCTCTGTTCGGGTGACTGAGAACTCTGCGGCAATAACGCCCGCTGCAGGCACTGTGACCGAGGTTGAAAAGGTTCTGCTCAGGGTTAGTACCTAGGTACTACCGCGCACAAACGTCTAGGAGACCTACACTTCGAAGGAGATGACGCAGGGAATGACAGTGTGGAAGATCTTGGCGAATAGCGGCCAGTTTTTCGGATTTCTCTTCTCGGTAGGGTCGTCCCAGAGTATTGCCGGAGCAACTTCAAGTGTTGCATCCACTTCCCCCTTCGTGGAAGGACTGCCGGAGCTGGGCTGTGGCATCTTGTCGTCTCGATGTATCGTCTGCTCTTTAGGAGGCGTGAAAACGATGGGGTACGGGCCATGGCACCGGGAGTCTGCTCATATACTCTGGCGCACACATCTCATGATTACTGAACGCTACCTAGGTATGCGGGGCCTCGGAATCTATCACTAGGCACTACAACCGTTCAGACGTCTACTGCGCGTGCTAGATGCCGACAAGCACAGCTCTGTGATGCCAGGCCAAACAACCATGCTCCAGAGGGCCGCACCAACACTCTTAAAGTCTCGCGCTTGAACAAGCCTCGCACGCTTACCTACCACTTCTCAACAGCCGGTCTGATATCGATCTCCTATAGCCAGGTGTCAGTACCATGAGGTGTTCCAAGCGTTGCCGCTAGATACTCACATTCGTAAAACACGTCCTCGGCTGTGTATGGATCCACCAGTAAGTGTCCGCAATCTGGACCAAGGGTCAGCAAAATGTCACCCCACCCACAAACTTCTTCTGCATGGGGTAGAGAACACATACCGCCTCAGGCTTAATCTTCGCATCCGGTCCAGCATCCTTCAACCACTCTTTTGTCCGCTCAATATCGATCACCCCATCAATTATAGCATGATTCACATGAATCCCCTTCGGCCCAAACTCTCTCGCCAAAGACTGCGCAAGCGCCCTCATAGCAAACTTGCCCGTCGCGAATGACGCGCACAGCGCACTACCCTTCATAGCGGCAGTCGCGGACGTGAAGATGAGCGTCGGCGGGTAGTTGGAAGCCTCGACGGCGTCGAGGAGCAGCGGGATGACTTGCTGGGAGAAGTGGAAGGCGCCGCGTCTGTAGCATCGATCCTGTCAGCATGTCTGTCCTTAAGACTCGTACAGCAGCACACCGCAAACAACCATTTTCCTCCAGCCCTTCCACGAGGACGAACAGAGTAGCTCCCCACTGCCGCCCCTGCCCTACTCGCTGGCGGCGCGTAGCTCGCTCTCGTTGGACTGCCTGCGCATAGAGTCTCCCCCTCGCTTCGCTTGCACTCACCCATTAGCTTCCCACCCACTCTCAAACTCCCCCTCACTCAACTCCAAAAACGGCTTCCGTATAAACCTGCCCCCAACATTATACACCGCCGCCACCAGCTTTCCCTGCCCGCCAATCTGTTCTTTGATCTGCTTGAAGGCGTTCGCTACACTTCCCCCATCGGATGTGTCGGTGGAGATGCCAATGGCGTGCCCGCCGCCGTTATTGATCTCCTTGACGATGGGCTCGTAGTTTGAGGGGTTGCGGGCGAGGAGGGCGACGGAGTAGGATTGTGCGAACTTGCGGGCGACGCTGGCGCCGCTGTGTGATGATGGGTCAGTATGGGCGGTTTGTGAGGGGTGGGTGTAGGGTGGTAGGGAGGGAGGACGTACGTGCCGGGTCCGACGCCTGCGACGACGGCCCATGCGCGAGGTGCTGCCATTGTGTTTCGTGAGGGTGGTTGTAGTTTCGATGCTTCGCTCGTTAGTCTGTTGAGTGCGGTGAAAGGTCCGGACGAGGTCATGCAGGAGCGACACGGGAATGAGGTTGAATGCACGGACGTCGAGCGGGTGGGGAAGGTGCGACTACGTCAACAACTTGGAAGTTGGCCTGGACGAGTGTAGAAGATTTGAATCTTTCTATTGCCTATGTACAGCAGCGACATTGGGTTCATGATGTCGTGATTGCTAGGCTTTGAAATCACACACGCGTGTCCGCGTGTGGCAGTAGGTTTGGAGGGGTAGTGGTCCCTGAAGCGTTGGATATGTTAAGTAATCCTCGGGCGGATCTGGCGAAACGCGGGGCCGCCTCGGTAGATCTGGCGGGCCGATATCAACGACATCAGTAGGCGTTGATGGCGTCCTGGATGCTTTGCTACTTCTGTAGCTTTGCAAGAGCTTCCTCTGGAATCTCAACCGTCCCAAAATCCCACTTGAGTTGGCATTTGCCTAACTGATCAGGGTCGGTCGCTATCATTCTGACGCCGATCAGTTGAGCTGGAATGTCCCCCAAGTGTTTCAGCGGCACTGTCATCTTGCGATCAAACTCGGAAGTCATGAAGCAGTGCCCAACGTAGACATCGTACACTACTCTACCGCCCACGAGCTTCCAGTCTTCGACTTGCATGTGACTCTCCTCCATCTCACCACCACCATCACGAGGTGTGTCGGCCCACGGAATATTGAATGACGTCTCGGCCGGGAATGACACGCGGTAGATGCTCTTCTCGGGAATGACGATGCGAGTTCCAGGGCCAGTGATATCTGCACCGTCTACCGTGTAAGACCAGCCTTTGTCGTCGAGAAGAGTCTCAGTGATTGTGACTGCGATCTTCTTGGAATGTTCTGGTACACAATCGAGATAGACGTTGTCGCCGATCTTGAACTTCTTTGCCGGTTGAGCAGAACCTCTGTCGACCTCGGCGTCGGATTTGACTCGCTGCCGCTTCGCGGGAGGACCGCCGGAAGACATGGTGTGGTCGATGGCTTTCGCTCTTGAGGCTAGTACTGTTTTTTGGAGGCTGCGGGATGTGTGAAGCTTTTCCGTCCTTGAGGTCGCTAGGGCTAATGGTATGCCGCGAGATTGTTGAGGATGAAGGGATGAGAGGGAATGCGATAATCTGGCGATATGAGTAGGACAGCAACTCATCAACAGCTCCGCCGCAAAGAGCAGTGAAGTACTGATCGGAGTCATCACGGTGAGTCAATACAGCTCATCGCATCGGGCTGAACCGCGATCAGCGGACAGTGAAGGCAAGGTGAGCAAGGTTGGATGCGATGGAATCGTAGCAGGAGTCCGAAGCTCGCAACCGGAAGTGCATGTATCAGACATCGATCTGTTCTGACGCTCTCGGTCTTCCCGTTTTCTTCGGCTGGTACCGTGACCTCGATGGCCGCTCGGAGAACCAAGCAGGCAAAGCACACTTCCCTATCAGGCCAGAGAAATCACGCGCTGCTTCCGCAAGGAATTCCTCGTCGGAGCATTCGTGCAAGAGCCTCGCCTGAGGGCCACCGGACTTCACTCCAACCAAGATCTGCAGCAACTCCTTGAGCGCATTCTCATGCGCTGGGCTGATCTCCACAACGTGGCCCGTCCGTGCTGAGACAAGGTAGCCGTGCGCTGGTTTCTGCCGTGGGTGCAGCAGAAGCATGTATAAGGCAGTCTGGATGAGGTGTTCCGGTGAAAGCACATCGATGTGCTTGACTTCCCAGACTGTGCTTGATTCCGTCTTCGGTTGGTAGATGTCCATCGAGCCCATGACGAGGACACCATGATTGTCGTCTTCAAGTGGTCCAACTTGAATATCCATGAACTTGATGATCTTGGTGACCTCGTACTTAGCGCGTTTGCCAATGTTAGCAGGCTTGGGGATGTAGCCCAAAGTGTACATGATATGGTCGATGTACTCTGGCGTGACCCAGTTGTAGCTCGACAAAGGTATGCTGAGCAGACCGACTAAGTCATTGTCGAGCTTAGCCATGGTGACATGCGCTACGTAGAGTATATCGCCCGAGGACAGCTCCTGGCTAGATTGACACTTTTCGTGTATCTCGATAAATTTTTGTACGTGTTCAGGGGGGAGGTTCTTCTCTATCCACTTCAACGGTCCTCTTTCCTTGTCCTTATAGAAAAGCTGATTCAATATTGTGAGATCCCGTGTTCTGAACCACTCGAAGAGCGCGGGCACCGCAGTTCCAGTGATTGCAGCCGTCGACTCGATCAGGCCGTACTTGTCTGCTACTTCTGTAGGAGGAGCAGATGCTGGGTATACAGGCGCGGCGACCTGATGTAGTTTGAGCTTCTCTAGACAGTGTGTGATGACAGTTTCCGGTAGATTCCTGCACAGCGCTGTCACGCCAAACAGAGGCAGCTTTCTCGCTTTCGCCACCGCCTCTACGGTCTGTGGGCTTGGTATTGGAGCCTTTCGAACTATCAGGTCGCAGGTCTCGCCAATCGTGGAAAGGTTAACATATGGGAGAGGTGCCCATTGAAAGTCTTGTAGAAGAATGAGCTGAGTCACAGCTCGAGTCGCAGCAACGTACTGCGGATTCGTCACAACTGCTGGTAGCTCATCCTGTTTGTCATAGAAGGAATGATACGATTGATCGAAGCCCAAAGCGATGCACACTGGTCGTTCGATACCTTTGCTCTGGTGGTAGGTGCAGATGAGGACCTTCCCATGTGTAACTCTATCGGAAGGCAGGAGCACGTCGGAGTCGGCTCGGTAAACAGGCACATCTCGGCGAGCGAGTTCGTTCGCAGCTTGCTTTGCAGCAGACTTGTTACGGGTAGACGGGGCCAAAACCAAAATATCTGCAGGTTTGACATTGCCCTCTGTAAGGAGCCGCTGGACCTCGCTGACCGCTTCTTCTGCAGGATCGCAGATGATGTACCGTGGCCGAGGATACAATTTGCCATCACGATCGATGCTCCGTGCAGCCCGCATTGGTGAGGCGCCCAGATCGACCCGTAGTAATTGATCGTTGATGAAATCAGCATTGGGTTCAGTCATTCGATTCGAATACGTCTGTTGTGCTCGTACCCAGGGCTCCTGGTTGACATAGCCGAAGATGTCACGCTCGTTAGCCATTGTCAGAAACCTCGAGTCGGCGTTGTTGAAAGAGTAGATCTGTTGCCGCTTGTCACCAAGAACAAATACTCTGAGAGGACTTTGCTTCGGAGTCTGCTGAGTTCCTCGCGCCACATAGCCTTTGTCACTCACAATCTTGTCGACAAATTTCTTGTAGATCGGAATCAGATCCTGCTGTTCGTCCATGATCAGTACGTCGAAGTCAGGCAGTTGTGTGCCAGGCAAGACCGCCATGTCATCTTGGACCACGCGCTTCAATCCCTGATCAGTCGAGCATTCCTGCGTATAGAAACGGTTTCCAAGGGTGTGATAGTTGTAGACTGCAACATTGCTGAGTCCAAGTGACTTGGCTCGCTCATCTGTCTCTAGCAATAGCTTTCGATTATAGACCAGGACAAGGAATTTTGTATCAGGCGCTGCTTGGGCCAGATGCAAGATCGTGGTGGTCTTACCTGATCCTGCCATGGCATCCACGATGATGTTGCTCTTGGTGTTGAGCAACGTATCGATGGCCACTTGCTGTTCTGCTGATGGTTGCGGTAGAGGCTTGCCCACACTAGCAGGCAAAGACGGCGGAGGTACATCATGTGCGATTGCCACGGCGGTCGCGGCGTGACGCCGTTGGAAGACATCCCTCCGGACTGCGGTGGCAGTAGATTCCTGCCGTAGAGGTGCATTCTGCAATGCTATGGCGAAGGACCTGTGTTGAGGGCATCGTATGCCAACAATAGCACGAGAGACTCGCAATAAGCGTGTTTGCTGCAAAATCGGCCGTGTCCAAAATATGCGAGACGCAAAATTCATGCTCGTGATGTTCGTACCAGATGACCGAATGGTCCATGTAGCTTGCAGTCAAACATCCAGTCCTTCATAAAAGACTTATTCCACGACGCAGCTCAGAACAATGGCTCTGAGCACAATGCACTCCTACACAAACAACGGCTTGTAAGGCGGGCATGATGCTGCCTGAATATGCCAGAAGGCACCGAAAGGAAAATCAGCATGTTGACGGAGGAGCTTTGCAGGGAGCACTTTGATTGATGATGTCGTCTTTGATACTTGAAGATTGCTGGCAGTGGCAAAACGCGTAAGCACGTGACCTTGGTCATCCGGCTTTCCCGGGTCGCCTTGCTTGTCTAGAGTCCTCCCTAGCTAGGTGTCCAACTTGTGATGCCTCAAAATGCACCTCGACTATGTAAGTACCATCTGGTAGGAGTCCGCCGCAGCGGCCTCCCTGGTGCCCTTTACTCTGAATGTCCGTGTCTTGGACACGACTGCTCCTGTTCCCGTTCCACCACGAGGGCGTCCTCAAGTCAGGGCGGGCCTCCGAGATCTACTGCCAAATCGTTCTCGAATCACGTCTCTGAGCTTCCAATCCTTGAAGGGTCTGTAGATCTGGTCGAAGCATTGCGCTAGGATCCAGTTGTCCTTGTTCTGATTCGGATCCGTCGGCATGATGAAGGTATAGAGATCTCGGAAGTTGGTAAACTCGACGCCATTTCCGTTGTTGTGCAGCTCCCAGGCATGCTTCAGCATGAAGTGTCTAGAGCCGACTACGTCTCCGTCTGTGATGTCGCTGACCAAGTCCATGGCCTGCTCGAAGGATCTCAGCCTCAGCGGAATAGGTGTGAGTCGTCCTTCCAACCACTCGATAGTGCGACGGCACAACGGATTGTCCATGTCGAACTCGCCAGTCCGCCAGCAGTCTCTAAGCCTCGGCATGTCGAACTCCCCGATATGCACGAGAAGTAAGAACATCTCGGCCTCCAGGCTTTGATCGGCTCGACCCGAGTATGCTTTGTCCTCACGCATCGCAAACCGGACACGCGCAAGAGGTCCGAGACGCTCATACACGCTTTCGAACGTATGTCTGAGTATTGAATCGACAGACTTCTTGTCGCAGAGACGGCCACGGCCGCCTCGCGCAACCTTGTGCTCCCTGATGATCTGTGGCAGACTCACTTGGCGGTTCAGAAGCACGCCATCTAGAACTTTCGTTTTTGAATGATATACGAGCTTCGGCAGCTGGTACTCGCGGTCGATCACGTCAACGTCTTGATTTGAGGTCCCGAATCGAAGCGTAACCTCAATCAGCACACTGGGAGGGGCTGTCTGACCTGCAAAAGCCTTTCCCGCGATGATGTCGCAAGCCCACCCATAGGCCTTCTTGTGGAAGCTCATATCGTACAGAGCGCCCGACAAGCCGTCGTCGATGATTTCTAGAACCCATGGTTCCCCATCTTCGGTCTCTTTGACGAAGTCAGCCTCTGAAGCGATGACTGCGGGATGCAGCTCCTGCCGGGGGTAACACGATTCCGTTCGGATGTGGAGGTGCTGCAGCTGTGAGCAAGCTCTGAAGAAATCGTCCATCAGTGTGAACGGCGTGTGCTCCCAGTCCTCCCATGAGTCAATTTTGACATAGCTCATTGTGGACAGATCCTTTTCATGATTGCAGAGAAGGTAGGCGACATGCTTCGGGTTCTTCAGAACCATTGTGGCGTGCTTCAACATGGCTGCTTTGGCTGTGGTGCTTTGCTTGTGATTGATTGTCCACAGACAGTCGAGGCCGACTCTGCTGGGAGGAGTTGCAATTTGAGACGAATGATACAGCGGCCGACCTGTCACTTTCAGACCGAGGAAGTATTGCTTCCAGACATTGTCGATGATCTCTTGAGGTATGGTGTCCAGTGTCGTCGCGACGTTGTTGGCGGAAGGCTCGTCAGAACGAGCAACGAGGAGGCCTCCACTGGTGAAGTCTGCCATTGTGGATGATTGTCTGTGAAGGTTGTTGGTAATTGCTGGAGCACAGGTATGAATGGATGGAGTGTGCGTTTTTGAGCAGGACTTTGTGTGCATACAAGTTCAACGCCTGGCGCCAGGCAAGCTAATAATTTGGCTGACCGGCTCACCGTCGCCGGTTCCAACAAACAATGATGGTCTACGTTATTGGCTCACCGCAACTGGAGCTGAGAAGCAACAGCGTATGCCCTGGCTATGCTTTGAATTACTTTCAGGGGGTAGTTCAGACTCAGTATCAGACCGGAGTAACACGGCAGCTCTACGCAAACAACACAGTATATCCTCATCCTGGGAACAAAAGCCAGTGGCCAGTGAGGTTCAGTAACGTCGTTGTTGAATTGAATCAGGTCCAGCGAGCTTGAAGCAAGACTACAAAACGAAGTCGATACTCGATCGGACTCATGTGCGAACGTTCCTTTGCGCCTGGTCACAGACATTCCCTCTCCTCTCTATGGTAACAACTTACCACCATCCCGCCTCCCTGGAGCTACTCATCGTGCTCGATCTCTACATTGCTGCCAAACACAGTGTTCCCGAACAAGACCCCGAGTCTACCGATACCTCGACAACCCTCGCTGACTAGACCTCATGACCTTCGACGATCGTGACTTGCGCAGCACTGCAGATAGAACAACGTTTTGCCTCGACCGAGACCATCTTCTCGATCACATGCTTCCGAAGCAGCACAAGTGGTGAAAAGTGCATATCATTGTACTATCTAGCTCTAAATGAATGTATGTGCCCGATCAGGGTTTTTTCAGAACAAAAACATCGACAAAGATAAGGTGCCGCAAGCAGTGTTGGGACCACGAATTGAAAATCATTCCAGGCACTTTCCTCGTCCTTCGACGTTCTCGGAGGCTTTGGCGTCACTCAATCTGTTTGCTCTTTTTTCGTCAGATGTTGTTGGATTTCAGCAGCGGGATGCAGCTCAGCATCCGCTCACGAGGACAGGAGGACAGACAGGAGAGTCCGAAGGCCATGATGACTTTCATAAGCCAGCCTCATGTGCTAATGCGCTAACACACGAGGCCAGGTATGGCATTCAACATGTCTTTTTGCCGGACTCTCCTGGGCATCTCTCAAGGTCCTCAAAGCATCAAAGAATACCCCGGGTTCCGCTCCAGGGGGGAACCCCAATCCTCTGGTCAGCCCACCGGTACTGGCTGTCGCATTACCAATACTGGTGGGCTCATCCAGAGGTTTGGGGCTCCCCCTTGGAGCGGCTCCCGGGGTCGCCTTTGACGGAGGACTATATTCTCGTTAACGAAATCAGTAGCAGATACTCAAGACAGGGGATTTATAGGAGGGAGAATGATACGTTACCTCTTCAAGCAGTGGACTAGTGATGCCCAAGTTCTCCATGACTAGGTTGGCAGCGTCGTCGCCGCCATCAAGGTGTGCAGCCCCAATGATAGCTTCGACGGCAGTGGCTGTCATCTTGTCAGAAGGACGGGTACCTCCCGAGCAGAGGATGAAGCGCCGGATGCCGTTGTCAGTCCCGACCTCGGCCAGGTTCTTGTTGGTCAACAAAGTCTGGCATATGTCTCGAGTCCATTGATCTGCAGAGGTCAGAAGCAAGCAACTGCGACGAGAGGAGACTTACCCGGACTGAGGCCGGCGTTGAGCCACTTCTTTGCCAAAAGCGTTTGCATCAGAGCATCGCCGTAGATTGCGAGTGGCTTGTTGCTTTCGACTATTTCGGATTCACCAAACTGAGCTCGATTCCCACTGCCGTTAAGAGCGCGGGCTAGATGGGAAAGCCTGGTGAAGGCGTACCCCAGCCGGAGCTGGCAGTCTGATGCAGCGTTGAAGAACTGGCGGTTGTCCATTCCGATGTTCATGCTGGCGGTCGGCGGTTGTATCGGTGTCGGTCGGTCGTGGGTTGTTGGGGGTGGTGCTAACAAAAGAGTAGAAGGATGATTGGCACCATATTGGGCTATCATGGAGTTGAGGGTATATATATGTGCCAATACACGACAGGAGCGCTCAACGCTTGACATCATGTTTACACAAGATACCGCCCTGCAAGATACAGGACAATGGGAAGGTTCGGCCAGGTCCACCCTGCTGAACTGCCTCCTGGGCAACCACCCAAAAAGCAACCACGATACGGGCCGTGGCTCAGTGACTCCGTAGGCTGAAGTCAGTGGTGACGACGCCTCCGACTACCTTGTTGGGGTAAACGTGCAGCAACGACCTAATACACAGTACAGAGATGTCTGAGGATCTGCAACGTACCTGCAACCCACCACTCAAGCTTCAGACGATCAGACTATCGTTTGGCGATTCTTCCGGGATGTCGTCAGAATCGCACTTCAAAAACACAATCAAATGTCAGTACAGCAAGTGCCACCGCGCTCACAGCCTAACGATTCGGACACCCCTAAGGAACCAGCCAGTTGAGCCCGTAACTGCCAGCCAAACCGGCACGACGTAGAGTGCAGCAGCAGTTCATCGGTCGCGGCGGGGAGCCACGTTCAAAATTTACCGTTTCCAAAGCTCTCGGAAGGCGACCTTCGTTGAGCTTGAGGACGACGTGTCGACCGCGACCATTCATTCGGAGGTCGAGGGCAGACCTGATTGAATCTTCTTGCTCGCAATGCTCACGTGGCCGGGTTTTGCCCCCGAGACATTCGCTGTCGTAGTATGGGCGGCATCAATCAGAGCCACATCCTGCCCGAGAGAGTTGCACAGGCCGCGGCTCGCGACCGCTTCGAGGGCTGTACATCGACATACGAATCGACACAGGACAAAGCAACAACAGCGGTCAAACGGTTGATATCACATTCTGTAAGCTCGAAGAAGGAATCATACCCTTCGACGCCATGGCAGTATCACGTCACAGCCACGAATATTATACGCATTGTCAGGGCGACGACGAGGTGTTCACCAAAGTCCCGCTGACACGACAGCAAGCCACGATCACGATTTGGGCACCAAAGTCCCTTCGAGCTCTGCTCTCCACCGTTCACGCAATTCAACGGTAGATTCCGCTTCGCCCCCAAATTTGGCTCATGGCTATGCCTTTCTGGGCAAGAGTCAGCATCGAATTTAAATTTAGAATCGCACATTCGATTCTCCATTGCTGTTCGCTCATCGACTTCGTCTCTCTCGGCATCATTATGTGACCAGGAACGCTTACTGGTTTCGATCCAGAAGCAGCGAACGATGCTATCGCAATCTTCTCTGTCGGTTGCAATCATGCGGATTGCGATACTAGGGAAAACGTACACCAGGGCTCCCAATGTCATTTGGCCGTCCACCTCTGGCGTGGCACACTTGGGGCGTCCGCTTCGTCCGAAATAGCAGCGCATGCAATGCTATAGACCAGCAACCCGAAACTCGATCCCGATCCCATTGTGTGACCGCATCGAGGCTCATCTCGCCGTATACTGCTCTTTCCAGTTGAATGATTGCCTGATCTTCAGTGTGGAACTTTGATGGACGCCTTAGCGAAGGAGATATTTTCCGATGGCGCTGATCACTCTTGCGCAATTGTTTGCCGTAAGCCTCTTCCCAATCATACAACATTCGGCGGTCTCGATATGCTCTCATGGCTGTCTGCCGAGGCACTGAGCGTTGTAGGCTGCGCATCAGCACTCTATACAATACTGCGATAAGCTTCATTGCGGATGCGGGACACAAATTCTCCTGTGCCTGCGGTTGGCGGGACTTTTGATCGCCCCCAAATAGAACGTTGACGGATTCTGCAGACACTGTCAGCCCTATGGATCTCGCTGTCGTGCGAAGACTACGGCCAAGATCGACTGCCCACGACTGCTCCAGAGTGCAGCAGTGTGTGCGCGAACGTTATGTCTCCATCTTCGCCCTTGGAATTCCCTATCTGGACCATGCGTCAGCGAAGTTCGCTAGCTAGCACAAATAATCCAGCAACAATTGCAATCATTCCATCTATTGCCAACTTTGGAAGTCATAGCTGCACGTCCCACACTCTGTGTCTGTAACCGGTATATCCTCAACATCCGAAAGTATCGTGCCGATGTTCTTTCGTTGGCCCCTCTTTACCGAAGAGAGCCGCAATATAGGCACTCCAATGAGACGTGATCTTTTCATGGCGCAGGCAGGCAAGTAGGGCTGACCTTACTCTGCGTCACTTTCATAAGCGAACACCACCTTGCCTATTTGTTGCTTCCTTCAATGCCCGCTCGTGTTCTTGTTTGGCGCAGCGATAGATCCTCTTGCTAGAGGATGCTCTTTGCTTCCTAGTCCCGATTACACTTCCCTGGAGACCCGAACGTTTGGGCTCGCTCTACCTGGCCTGAAAGTGTTAGGTACTCCCACACTGCTGTGTAGCGCAACCAAGAATAATCCTGCTTGAAACTCCACTCTTTCCCGAACTTTAACTGCGGCAACCCACTTTTGCCATGAACCTTGGACGTTCTTTCCGTAAGCCTGCACAAAGTGCCCTGAGGAAGGCGCAATCACATTCTTCCATCTCCCAGCCCTATGGCTCGTTGTGCCTGACATACACGAATGGCAAGTCGTTGACTCCAGTCTTTCCCTCTCGCTACTATCCACAGCCCCTGCAGCGACTGGCTCGCTGTGTTCGCTCGACCCGACACGCCATGTAACAGAGTTCGCAAAACTTTCTACCACATGGCCAACACGAGCATTATCCTATGGCTTGGAAGGTAAGTCAGCCAGCCCACACATCCTCCACACACATCCAGGCACATGCCATGACCGAACGCATACCCTCGCTTCGACTGCGCACCCTCTCACCACTCCATTGCGACATCACATATATCTATATAGGCCCCCAAACTTCATCACCATACTCGACTTCACTTCCAACAGCAGGCCTTACCACAATCACTCCCACCCTTCTTGTACGGCTACTACTACGGAGAACATCCATCGGCATCACATATCTCTTCTGTCTTTTGCAGAGCATCACCAGCAATAGCATCATCAATCATTAATTGCCACCGCGCCATCTGAACTTCTGTGTATTTCCAGCATACCACGCCACGATCATTATCGTCACCGTCGACCATCGCCACCGACGTTGTCACACTGAGCATATCAAATTAGGAACGGACATCGCCACAACAGGAACAAGGCATACCGCAACGCCGATCTCTGAGAGAACAGCCGAAGCATATTAATCCGAGACCTCTTCTCATCTCTCAAGACAAACACCATCCAGCAAGTCCACCAACTTTCATTTGTATCTGGCTTTTTATCCCAAGCGAGCATTCGTTTTTGCATTGCCATCCAAATACCGCCACAAGCCTCATCCCTCGCCCGAATCCCAACACCATCACAAGCCCAAGCAACACCCATCCTGTTGCTGTTTCCCGAAAACACCTCCCAGAACATCCCATCTTCCCTAGCATCTGCTTTTGTTGTTCCTGCTCTCTGCATCAGCTTCACCTGCCTCCCACCAACAAGCCCAATTTACCACCCGAGCAATTCCATTACCTCCAGCAAAATGGGTCGAGGCGGTTACAACACTCCTATCACCAACCTCGCAGGCCGAGGCGGCTATAACGCTCCCGTCGACGCAGGACGCGGTGGTTACAACTCTCCCATCAACGCCGGCCGTGGTGGGTACAATTCTCCTTGTGTTGATTTTGTTTTCGAGGAGTCTGGGAACGATGACGGCAGGGGTGGATACAACTGAGTTGTCACTCATTCCCGCATCATCAACTCCGGGAGAGACAGCTGTGCCGAAGCATCGAAGACGGGCACCTCGAAAGCGACGCCTTCATCGACAGTGATATGCCCGGGTCGAATGAGGAGCGATTTGTCTGGATCCTCCTCGGAATGGACGAAATCGAAACCGACACGACCAAGTGAAGTCCGATCGATCAGCAACTGCCACAACGGGGCTGCCTGAAGCAGCTGTCTTTTAAAATTCGGACAACAGCACGAGAGGGGGGATTTCCTTTGTTTGTACTTTCTCATTTTCCGACGCAAAACCTGTACCACCACCACGAAGACTCGTTAGCCTGGCGCTCTCAGCAAAAATTTTTCATTGCGTTGATCGCTTTTGGGTAATTTGGGCTTTCAATTACACAATCACTGCGACACAACTTTCATTCTTCACGAAGATCCAACCAAAAGCATATCCAGCCGCGCTGGACGACGGACGCTGCATTTTCTCAGCATCAAAGTGCAGTGCACGATCAATACGACATCTTCGGAGTTGCTGCATCAGCGACAGGCGTTCCCTTTCTGTTTCCCCTTTGGCGAATGTTTCCTTGTTTGTTCTTTCCTTGGCTAGGATAATTTTCTTGGGAGGACGGCGATATGGACGATACACATGGCGCACATGCTTCATGAGATAATGGCGAAACTGCGATCAGGATAGACACCACATAGACTAAGACCAAGAAAACCATGAAAGCCCACCTCACTCATCCGTGTCATACCTTCTCCGCGCAAGGATTCGCAACCTTCATTCGCAGTTGCCAGGGCCTCAGAAACCATGACAATTGACGGTCGAGGTTGACGTGGAATTGTCAGGCAGCCAGGATGGAAGGGAACAGGTGAAAAGGCGCAACCGAGGCAAGCCAGAAATAGCAGCATCAGGCAAACCGCCCCTTCCTTCGCCTCGTGTGATTTCTTGGAGAAGGCAAACACTGCGACAGCACTCGACTCGCAAGCCCCGCATATGCGTAGCGTATTGGATACATGCTTGGGCAGGTTCGAGTGGAATGTGCCTCGAGTCACGCACGACTGACACGATCATGAGCGCAGGATGAGCGACTGAACGAGGTCCACCCACCATGCATATGGCAAGTGGTCGGGCGAAGATAGCAAACAGTCGTGTGTGAAGCGAAAGCGAGTATTCCGAGAACAACGACGAGCAGAACAGCAAAGGAAATCGCAACACTCACTTTTCAAAAACAACACCCAATACATCCTCCACATCCCCTGCTCCACCACTACCATCTCCTCCCATTTGCGTGCCCGTAAGTTTAGCCAAAGCTGCCGCGGCGTAGCGGAGGTGTTCTGCTGCGGCGACGATGTCTACTTCTCCCTCATCTTCTTGCGATGACGATGCCGGCGGGGATGATCGAGCGAGGATGTCATCGACGTCCCGATCGATGTCCCCAGTCGCACGAGCGCTGGAGAAGAGGTCTGCGCGAGAAAGTCCTCGAGATGGGCGAGGCAATCAGCCAGGTACGTCTTCTGGCGGTGCGTGACGGAGAGGGAAGCGGCGTAGTAGGAGTGTGCTTCTTGTGGGGTGATCTGCAATTGCTCAGGAGTGCTTGATGCGGTGTGGGCGTCTGGCGAGGGAGATGTTGTCGTTGCGGCAGCGGAGGTGAGCTTCGCGAAGGTCTGCGTTAGGGCGGTCATGAAGGCTGGGAAGTAAGTTGCTGTTTCGTTGGTGGTGGACTTGGTGCTTGCAGTGGCGCTCGGAGAGCTCGAAAGTGTGGCGGTAGTCGAATCTCTGCAGCTGAGAAAGTGGATGTCAGCAGAGGTGAGGCCGGGAAGTGTGTTGTAGATGTAGCGTCGCATAGCCGTCTTAGTCGTTTCCGAGGTAGCAAGGCCTGGTATAAGGTCTGCCTTGTTGACGGCCACAACAAGGGTCTTGCCGGCCGACTGGCACTCTTTTGCGGCGGCGCGCACCTCGTCGTTCAAGTGAAGGCCGACAGTACCATCAGCGTTGGCTTCGAGAGAGAGCAGGATGATGACAACGTCAGAGTCCAGAGCACGGGCACGGGCTCGACGGATACCTTCCTTCTCGATCTCACCGATCGCAGCTGAGGGTGAGGAGATTGTTGCAGACGAGGTAGTTGGAGTGGTACGTAGCCCGGCCATGTCACCAAGTCGAACGGGCCATCCGTCAAGGTCAACAGATACATCGACGATGTCTCGCGTTGTGCCTTCTTCCGAAGACACAATAGCTGCTTCCCGACCCACGATGCGGTTCAGTAGAGAAGACTTCCCAGCATTTGGCGCACCCAAAAGAGCCACCCGAATGCCAGATCGCAGCAATTCTCCTCGTGAAGCATTCTGGATATGCAACCGTAGCTGCTCCTGCAAAGCCCTAACTTGTATCGACACCGAAGCGATCAACTCTGTGGGGGACTCATCGAAGTGCTGATCTTCGGAGAAGTCGATCAGTGCTTCAAGCTCTCCTCTTGCGTACAGCAGTATCTGTCGCCATCGCTCGTATCTTTCCGCGAGACCTGACTCTGCGCCCAGCACCGCCAGCCTGCGCTGCTGCTCTGTTTCTGCGGCGAGCAGGGATCCTAGTGACTCCGCTTCTGGTAAGGAAATGCGGCCATTGTAAAAGGCTCGCTTTGTGAACTCTCCCGGCTCGGCAGGCCGGATAAGACTGTAGTGTGCTGGCTTGCGGCGGTCGCGCGGATTGGAAAGTGGGATTGCGGAGAGGATGGAGCGGACGATGGCTGGGCCGCCGTGAACGTGTAGTTCAAGGATGTCCTCGCCTGTGACAGTGGCTGGAGCGGGGAAGTAGAGGACCAGTGCGCCGGAGTCAAGGACCGTGGCGGCAGCATGGTCACCTGTCCTAGGGGTATATAGCTTGCGCAGAGTTGCGACTCTGGGAGTAGGGAACGGCTTGTCCGGGCACAACGCTCCGTATATGTCAAGACATGCGGGTCCGGAGACACGAATGATGGCTATAGCGGCCCTGCCCGGGGCAGTAGACAATGCATAGATGGTGTCAACCGTAGGCAGGTCCTTGCTTCGGACGAATGGTAGAGATGCAGCGAATCTCTTGGCCAGGAAGCTGTTTTTAGTAGGCCATCTTCGAATATAGGGCCCAGAGCTGGCCAGACGCGTCGCGCCAGTCAAGGCCGCACGTCGAAGGGACACCGTGTACCCGCATGAAAGCATGAATTTGATGGTGGGTGCTTCAAAAGGTCGAGGTCGAGGCGGAGTTCCAGTGACATGTTTATTCACGAGGCTGAACGAGGCTGCAATTTTGTCAATCGAAGCAATTGCAACGGTTGTAGTATCGTGTACCTGTCTAAGCTAGGGATATAAGATGAGCAAGGCTGCGATTTGATCATGCTGTCTCGATTATGATACAGAAGAGCTATCTGAAATCCCCAGGCGCACTACGGCGTACACCAACTCCTTTGCGCCGTTGACTTGCTAGCACTTGACACCATGAGGGAAACCGACAGATGTTGTCAGCCCGCCAGCTTCAGCCCCTAGACGCTGACGACCTAGTTCAGCAGACCCAGTGTCAAATCACCGTGAATCCTTGCCTTGAGCTGTACCTCAATGTCCAGGTTGAGATCGAGTCTCAATCTCAGTTGCTCGTTCTCACCCTCGTCATCACCGCCCTCTTCTTGGCCCTTCTTGCCCTTGTTGTTGAGCAGACCACCGAGCGCCTCCTTAGGAGCGTTCAGCGCCTTGCCGGCAGTGTTGCCAACCAGATCCTGGGCTTGATCGGTGACACCGCTGACTTGATCAGTCACACCGTTGACAGTCTCGCCGACCTCGTCAATGCCGCCTAGGGCACCGCCGTCACCTTCTTGCTTCGTCTGTGCCTGTGACTGTGCCTTAGCGCCACCTCGATTGCGGTTGCGCTTCCGCTTCTGCGAGACATCGCTTCGGTACGCAGAGTCAGTGTCGGATGGTGGTTGAGAGCCATTGCGAGAGCGACCGCGGCCGCCTCGTGACTTTGACCGGCTGTCCATCTTCTGTTGAGGCGATGGGCTTTCTGGTTCTTCGCCGATACCTTCGTCTTCTTGTGCTTCGATCTTCTTGGGTGTTTCGCCCTTCTGGCCAAGCTTCTTTGGCTTCTTCTTCTCTTCAGTCTTCTTCGAAGAGGCGTTTCCTCCCAAGCTTAGAGCTCCTGATCCAGAGGCGGCAGCGTCGGCGTTGGCTCCGACCTCTTGCTCTTGAGTTGTCTTTGTTTGCTCGTCAGACATCTTGAAATGTGGATGAGGTGGAAGTACGGGACGAGGTGGTCAAGTAATGCAAAGAATGGAAAGTGAACGTCAGCGATGCGGAACTATGATCGTCAAGAGCAGGAGCCAGAGCAAGGAACTGAAAACGCAATGGGCGAGGCTACGTCACGTTCATCCTCGAAGTGGAAGCGAAGTGCCAGTTTCAAGACGAGATGTGACGTTGAATCATTGCTGCTTTTCGCAACAGCGAGCAAGACCAGCCACATTGATCGTATTCTGGGGTCGATGAATGCACGATGAACCGCAGGGTGAAAGATACAAAGACCAATGGGTGAAACACCCCGCCATAATAGAACTGGGATCAGCCATGGCAAAAAGCGGACCTGAGCAGGGGTTGTGGCCGGATTGTGGCACATCGGCAAAGACCACGTTCAGCTCGGCTTGCATGTGGTCGTCTCACCCCGCCGAGACGGCTGCTTGCATTGATTGTACTCTGCGGCACACAGATATGCTTATGATCAAGTCTGTGCGACATATCGTTGGTAGGTCTCAGTGCACAGCAGGTACATGAGATAGTCGAGGTCGAAACAGAGTCCAGGGTACAGCAGCTCAGAGTTTGGGCGCGCCACAGCTAAAGTCTTGGGGTATGGCGTCAGCAACGGTGCCGCGCTCAAGCCACCGTTCTCCTTGCTTTTGCTACGCGCCATTGGCTGCTCACGCCACAGAACTTCGTTGATCGACGATTCTGCTTGTCGGGCCACGCACCATCAGGCAAGGATTGTTACAAGGTAGCAGGTACCTCCCCTGCAAAATGACAGCATTTGCCGTTCCCCTCCAGCCTCGCGGAACTCGAACATGTTGCCGCTTTGTAGCTCGCTCGCGTACAACTTTTGTAGTGGACGAAACCTGACTGCAGGCGTTTCCTCCCCCGGATCCTATGATGTAGCCGTCTGTCAGAAAGTAACTTACCCAGCCAGCTTTGCCCAAGTCCCTGCTTCCTCATCACTGCAGTTTCGAGTCGTCACCTCACACCCTGACATATACTGCATCGCTCTTTGCCTCTTATCAACTTGTACAATAGCACGCCATGTCAGAGCCTCAGCAGCAGCAAACGCCTGAGGACACACCAAAGAAAGGCAGGCCGGCACCATCAAGGACGGAGTCCGAGATGTCGTCAACCGCTGAAGAAGACCCTGGCTATGAGTCGCGATCCAGATCGCAATCTCGGCGACGGAGAAGGCAGAACCAACGCCAGAAGCAAGCACAGAGCAAAGCACAAGCTGGCAACGCGAAAGCTCAGTCGATGGCCAAAGTCGAGGAGCAACCTCAAGAAGAAGAGGACCTGGCACAACCCGAAGAGCGACACCCAGACTGGCCGTATGCTCCACGCGATCAGTGGCTGAACAACCCTGCCACACAAGACACAACAGAGACTCAACCATTTGAAAGGATAAAGCCACCTGGACAGGGCATGATGGGCCCTGTCACATACGCCCGCATGATGCGAGGCGAGATCCCATGGCGAGGACCACCACCTCGACAGCCATACAACACAACACAAGGAGTTGATGCGAAGTTGGACGGAGCTGGCGGCAAGGACCCTATGGACCAAGATGGACTCAAGTTGCGGATCGAGCTCAATCTGGACATCGAAATCGAGCTCAAGGCCAGCATCCACGGCGACCTGACGCTGGCTCTCTTGTAAGTAGCTCTTTCCTTCCGATCTCCAAGGTCATGATCGCGCGATCTGACCGCAATGTACAGCAACTGAGTGCTGACTAGAAATTAATCAGGCTTAACCCTGCGTTTCCTACTACGATGTCAACCACTACTGGAGACACCATCTGATTCGCTGACAGCGCCTGAACAGGACATCGGGCTTGGATCTGTCGTTGCCTAAGCTGAAGTTGCCAAAGGTGAAAGTGCCAAAGATAGGGTTGCCGAAAGTGGGATTGCCAGAGGTTTTGTAATAGGGCTTTGCAAGCAGGCGTATGGGGTTGGACTGGAAGGACGATAGTGAGAAAATGCCTCTGTATCATCAATGATCAGCATCTGAGAGACACCATTTTCTCCATACTTCAGTTTGATGTCCTGTGCAAGTCATGATCAGCAAAATATTGCAGCTGTGCAAGACACAAAGCGTAGAAGAGCCACCAGGAGAGCGTGTTGGTAGCACAAGGTAGCTTCGGCTGAGTTGCCATGTTTGGTGATTTTCTGTGGATGACGTCTGCTCATTATTGAAGGAAAGTGCTAAAGGGAAGCTCACCAGCCCAACTTCATGCTTGTTCATCCTCCATCCACAAAGACACCCTGAGCAGAATGCCCCAGCACGAGATCACGTCCAAGACCTGCGGCCGACTGGCCATCTGTCGGGGCTGCTACCGCGAAGCAGGTATGAACATCGACGCCTTGAGGAACATACGACGCTTTTGGCGAGACGAGCGCGTCGCCTGAGGCCCTTGCACAATTCATGACGCGCTCTCACAGGTCTTGAGGCAAACGACGTCGTCACTTGATCCGAGATAGCGAGCCGTCGTGAAGCCTGGACAGCAGGGATCTTCGTCGCCTCGAGCGGTATCTAACGCCGCTCGCAAGACGCGCGCTTCTCTGGAACCCTTCCGCAGGTGTTGACATTCTTACAGCCGTGACGCCAGCCACGACACACGGACGCCTCCGACCCGGCTACAATTTGTGGCGAGTCGTCGGAAATAGGAATGTTTTCTGCGGTGATCGGGACCGCATTGTTGATGACATGCTCGTCGGGTCGGCATGCTCGGTGAGGATTGTGAGCATTGTCTTCGAATCCGTCAGTCTGTATTCGAGAGTTCCTTCGCTCTTGAGGCGCCTATTGTCATCAGCAGGACTAGTTGAAGTCTGAATAGGCAAGTCAAAGACCAGACGGATTCATGACTCCATCTGTAGCATTCACTGCAGGAGTAGTCGGCACAGCTAGTATTCACTGCGTTGCTGATCATACCTTACCTTCTATAAGATGGCTACGTTCTGCACTTCTTTCCTTCCGTGTTTGCATCTTCCAACCACCAAGTCATCGCTTCTTATCCATCATTGTCCATCTCAGGATCGCAAGCCAGTACAGGAGACAAGAAGAAGTGATCACAGGAGATCACAGGACCACGGGTCCTATTCATTCTGAAGGTGAGTCACAGGATCAGTTTGAACATCTACGTGGATCGTATCATAGACAACAACTATGATGTCGCCGCCGAGCCATGCAAACAGTCTACCCCAATCCTGCGTGCCATGATGCAAGCCCTGCACAACAGCTTTCTGCAATTCTTTGTGGCCAAGCAACCCTTGTTCGACAGCTACGGACTCCATTGGCAGCAATCCAAGATGCAGCGCGGGTCTAGCGACGGGGTCAAGGAGGTGAAGTCCTTCGACGTCGACCCACTCCGTGTTGTTGAAGACCAGCCTCTGGACTTTTCGTACGAGACTTATGCTGATGCCCTTGAAGTGGAAGCGATCCTCTCGTCGAAGTTCTCGCAGTGGGAAATTTTCACTCAAGCCGACGTAACGATGGCCGCCGTTCAGTATCACGGGTAAGTTGAGTCCTCGTCACAACACTGGATCATGACTGACAACTGGAAGTCCACGTGCTAGAAACCGCGCCACGCAGATTCCTATCATTCCAGATGTATGTAATTCCGTTGTGTTCTGATCCAGCGCTCACGAATAGCAACAGAGCATCTCGAAGGGAGGCAGAGTCAACCCGCAACTCCAGTCTCCTTTCTTCTATCCCAAAATCGGTACCAAGAAGACCGCTGTCGCGCAGGGCACTGTCACACGCAAGCAAATGCCGCCCGAGCTGACGGAGGCCCTCTTCAACTACATCGAGAACTCCAGAGACATCAGTATCAACGACAAAGTCATGCTTTCCCTGACCTGCAAGCTCTTCGCGCAATTGCTCGGGCCAAAAGACTCTGCAGGAAATCGGGGTCTCAAGCGATCAGCCTTCCACCTGCTCTCAGCGATCCTCGCATTGGCGCACAGCCCACCGAAGCGCAGAAGCGGAGCCGTCTCAACTTCATGATGCGCCTTGCTCCCTACTTCGAAGACCTTGCCGTTCGTAGCGACCGAAAGCTGAGAAGTATGCCACTCGAGAAAGCGCCAGGCATTCCGGCAGACGACCGTCTCTACCACATCGAGAAGGGTTGGGCTTTCTGCACCGCGTGCGTCAAATACCGTCGTTCGGAGATCTTCGTCGTCCAAGTCGCCAACAAGAAGTTCCCTCACACTGTCCGTTGGGTCCGTTGCGTTCCACAGAAGCTCGCAAACCGACCGGACGGCTCGAAGGCTGTCATGAAGATGAATGACGAAGTCAGAGAGATTCTCTACGAGATTGCCGTGGATCAGGGTTGGACTTGCTTCGAGGGCGACAAGACCAAATTTCCGCTGTACAAGAAGCCTCCCAAGGTCATCAAAGCTGCACAATCAACCCAAAACAACCGTGGCAAAGCTACTGCTTCCGTCTTCACCGGCACTTCCACAGTCTCTAAGAAGCGCAAGATCAATGCTCCTGAGCTCGTCGACAGCGCTACCATCGGCCACCCGGTCAAGAAGAAGAAGACCGACGCCCCAGTCGACGAGGAACACGCCGAAGCTCTTGAGAAAGCGGAGAAGAAGCGCGTCGAGGAGGCCGAGATTGCTCGTGAAGCTTCTCTAAAGGCGAAGATGGTGGACGGAAACGGTACCGGTGATTGCTATTACATGCCGATGGATGGTAGTGGAGAGTTGCCCATCTCAATGATCTGGATCTGTGATGAGCACACTATCGATCCGGTCAAGCTGGTCGGTCTCTGAGTCGTGTACGGACGGGAATCAGAACGAGAGAAGCTGAAGATGAATGAATTCGCAACACCACAGGGAGGGCGCTGTCGGGATTTTGTGAGAAACCACAAATTCACTATGACAGACCAGAATGTGCCACGGAGGCCGCCTTGATGGTTTCCATAACTTCATACGCACAATATGTTTTACCACCACGACGCTTGCCTTGCGCCTTCCCACCCTGCTCCTTCCCACCCTGCTCCTTCCCATCCTGCTCCTTCCCACCCTACCTTGCCTGAAACGGTATCGCGATAATCATCTCATAGGGGGGCCGCTTTTCGGAGATCGCACTTTCGACACAAATGCAGATCAAATTCCAACATTATTTCATGGAGAGGCCTCTGGCCGCATTTTTCGATTTCGAGACGAATGCTAAGCAGAATCCATACCGTCACACGGGGAGGCCGCTGGCCAGATTTTCAGATCTGCGGACACATGCTCACCGAAATCCAGAATCATCCATGGCGAGCGCGTGGCAGGTTTTTTCAGACCCATATTCAACCCATGGGAAGGCCGCTGGCTGGGTTCTCAGATTTGCAGACAAATGCAAACCAGAATCCAGTCAAGCCCACGAGGAGGCCACTGGCAGGATCTTTGGACCTTCGCTCACGCTTCTGCCACTGTAATGATCATACCCTGAGAAGGCCGCTGACCAAATTTCCAGGATTCTCAGATTTGTCTTGCAAGACCAGAAACCATCCGATGGGAAGGCCGCTATCCGAGTTCTCGAATCGCCCGAACACACGTGGTCTATCCATGATAGTAGTCCGAAAGGCGCCATCAAGGTACGTTCCATATTTCAAACAGCCACAAGAGAAGAACTTGTTCTATCCAATCTCACTACCCGACGTGATGCTCACCCTGCCCCTTCCCACTATGCTCTTTCTTCGGCCGCAAAGGACTCCCCGGCTCATCATGAATCGCGCTGTCTCCATGCCCATCCACGTGCCCATACTTCGGATCCTTGAACCGCGTGCCGCCACCCTCCCTCGCAAGCTTCACCACCCGCTCGATCCCATCCAGTCCCATCTCCAAAACCTCCATCTTCGGTCCGTACGATAGCCGCACAAAATGATGGCACGGCGAATCAAACAGATCTCTTCTATGCGCCGGGTTCAAATCGAAGAAGATCCCCGGCACGACGATAACTTTCTCCTTCAGCAGCGCGTGGAAGAAGCTGAGCCCGTTGGAGATGTCGATCTCGCTGCCCTCTGGAATCGGAGGTTCTAGACTTGTAAGGTCCAACCAGATGTAAAACGTTGAATCAGGAATATCTTGTGTTCCGCTGCGAAAGCCGATCTCATGAAGGCGCTTGAGGACGAAATCGCGCTTCATTTTGAAGTGCCGCTGCAGAGCGACCATTTCGTTGTGGACCAAGGGAGGGTCGAGCATTTTGACTGCGGCTTCTTGAAAGGGGACATTAGTTCCGCCATCGAGGTAGCTGCCGCAGGATCCTAAGGCTTTGATGAATTCCTTGGGACCGACAATCCACGCTACACGCCAGCCAGGTAGGCGGAAGCGCTTAGTCAAGCCGTCGATGATAATGACGTCGTCGACGTCAACGTCCATGACGTTGCTGGCGGAGGAGTGCGTCTCGCCGTCTTCGCCGCGATAGTCATAGCCGGCGTAGAACTCGTCGAAAATCAAGGTTGCACGGTCTCGACAGATGTCTTGGATGAGCTTGAGCTCGTCGTCGGAGAGGGCGTGCCCAGTTGGGTTGCGTGGATTGGACGTCAGAATGACACGTGTGCCACGTGCAAGCTCTTCGGCGACTTTGTCGGCGTGTACGTGGTAGCCGTCATTCTGGGAGAGGGGCGTCGGGATCGCAATGAAATTCTTGAAGAGGGAGAGCATTTCGTTCTGGACGTGGGTTGTAGTTAGCTTCTGTGTCTTCGCTCTGGTATCGTGTCGTGACTCCGGATTGAATTCGTATAGAGCGTTCGAGATTCTGGCAGACCAGAGCAGAACTTACATAGGCAGTATAGTCCGGAATGAAGAAACCCAACATCACATTTCCAAGCACAGCAGCAATCCTGATCAGTCCAGCCCGACCTCCAGGCACAACACACACGTTCTCCCACGTATACTGACTCTGCTTACCCTTCCGGTAGTTCTCGTTATATAGCTTCGCCACCGCTTCCCGCAGCGGCTTGATACCTGCTGTCGGCCCATATTCGCGCCCACTGACACTAATGTCGATACTCGTTGGTCGTGGGAAGCTTCCCTCAATCTCATCGTCAACCTCTGGAGCGCCTTGACCTAGATTAGCCCATTGCTCGGGCGTGTCGGTGAACCCATGCTGCGAGGCTTGCTCGGTACACCAGATGACGCCAGTTGATGCGCGGGAAGTATCAAGTCCGGCATGAGGTTTATGTGAGGGGTGCTCGCGGAGGTTGAGATGGGGTGTGGAGGACTGCTCGTGTTCGGTTGGTTCCTTGTGTATGCTGAAGCGACGGCCGTCAGAGGATTGCTGGAGAGCCTGCCGGAGGATGGACACCCGGCGGCCGGAGAAGGACATCTTGATGGAGTCGAATTGAAGCAAGCGAGCAAGGGTTGATGGCTATGGAAGATGAAGAGCCAAGAATCTTGGGAGTTGCCTTTTTCTGGAACTGGTTGAAGCTACGGAAGCTCAAGCTATCTTAGGCATCTCTGGAGGGGCATGGTCGAGATATGGTTTGGTGAGCTCAGATCTTGGAGGGGTCAGTGACAGGGGACGCGTAGTGCATTCGTCCCCACACTACGAGGGCACGTGCAGGGTACTTGTAGACGAGAGGTGAAAGCTGAGTAAGGATTTCGATTGCCATATTGCTTCTGCATCTGGGTGCGAGTAGGTCTTGTCGAATTGGTCAAGACAGATCGTTGTCAGAAAATCAACGTATGGTGTTCGGTGCCGATGACGCGCAAGTAACACTGGCATGGTAGGTGCTGTGGACGCGACCGGTGAAAGGGATTCAGTTCGTGCGCGATTGCAGCGAGTCTTCATCAGCGGTAGCCGCGAAGACTCTGTCACCATCCGTGCCGCCACACCGACATGTGAGAGAATATGTCAAGCGCATTGCCTTACCAGAACGACCTTCAGAGGCTATCAGAGAAGAATTGAAGATGAGATCAAAACTGGAAGACTTGGCCATCTGTCCGCCCGGACACGCCTGAACCCGCACCCGTGTCTTAGCGGCTGCGGCTATCGACTCCGGGATCGACAGGGATCGCCTTTCATTGTTTCAAGCGAAGTGAGCTTCGTCAGCCTTGACGTCCTTAACACCACTTCATTCACTAAGCCAAGGACACCAAGACGGCGCCGTCTGCGTATAGTGCAGCAGGACGCAACGAGCCGGTGCTCTACAGTAGCCAAGAACAATAGATGCGGTTACGCGTCGAGTTATTCGTGTTTCTGACCATGTAGGTGGCCGATCATTCCGATGACTCTCAGGTAGGAGTGCGATGTGCGACACCATTAGAGCTCGTGACGGTCGTGGGGAGGGTGCTCTGCTTCGATGACACCGGGTCGACCATTCATCGTACCTTCTGCCTCCCGACCGTCTGGATCAAGTTGCCAAGCTCTCACAACTACGGAATCTTGACAAATGACTTTCAGCTCGCTTTCTACACCTGCCTCTGCTTTCTGCCAGCCTTAACTACAGAGGCGTAGCTATCTTCTCCATCCATCGATACTGCAGCAGAGATAGCCATGACGCGAATCCCAGTGGTCGTAGATGACCCATCACCATACCTAAGCACCAACTCAACCCGTCCGAAGGCAGGGTGGATAGCAATAGCATTGGCCACTGCCTGTCTCATCGTTACCGTCGTTCAGATCATTTTCAGTATCAAGCACCGAGCTAAGGTGGCCTCTACCTTGATCTTCGCATCCAGCCGTAAGCCCTGAGGACCTTTCAATTCAGCTGCTAAGATGGTACAGTCCAATGCATCTCGCTCGTCGAGTTCGCCTACTCTTCATCGTATCCACTATCGACTTCGTGGATGGCCGCTGGCGCCGTCTTTTCTTGGATGGCTGGCCCGGTACTGACATTCTACTGCACTCAGATCTTTGGCCGAGCAGCTAGAGCGGGCTCTATGTCCAACCCAGGTCACTCGAAACCTCTACGCGGCTTCGTGAGGTGCAATACGACCATCTTTGGACTGCTTGTCTTCGTTGCGTGGCTCATCGTTGCCACTGGGAGTGCGGTCGTGACAATCGGTGCGCCTCAAGGACAGGTCGATTCGGGTAACCTTCCGGTCGTGACGGCTGGGCAAGGCGTGATGAAGGCTGGACTTGTTCTTCAGCTCGTTGTTCTACTCAGCTTGGTCCTCATCGTCTGGCGATTCAGGGTGATCTCGACGCACTGGAATGTCGATTGGGATGCTAGAAGGAGGTTCACGTGGACCTGGAAGAGACTCATCACCATCATACTCTCCAGTATTGGCCTCCTTCTTCTTGGGCAGATCTACCACGTCGCTCGATTCTTTGCGAACTCCAACGAAAAGCCTTGGCTTGCGTTGATCTTCGATGCTTTCCCAAGTCTTGGTAGGTGAGATTCACAACTAAATGGACACAGCTGACCTATGTAGGGATCTTGGTCGTCCTCACCATTTTCCATCCTGGTCTTTGCCTGCCGCCTAGCCTCCTCAATATCACCGCGCGTCATGCAGGCGTGGAAGAGGTCGTTGAGATTGAGATGGTGAAATCATCAAAGGCGTCCAGTCCGAAGTCTGTGCACTTCCAATAAACTCGCCTCGTAGCACTACGAACTACCTCGCATGCGTAAACTCTACCAATACGCTCGATTGCCTACAGCGGCAGTCTTGTCTATCTGCAGCATTGGAGTGTCGTTATGGACTTCCTTCTCTGTACTAACTTCGGCTGCGGGGTTCGCGATGGAGCCCAATCGGGCAGTGTTGTCGCAGCGAAGAAGCCACCCTATCACATCGGCCCGTCTTCAGAATATTTAACATTCCCATCAAGCCCTCAAGAAGCATGCTGGAGATAAGTCGTCGACCTACATGTCATGCTAGCCGAGTGCAGCGCGACCAGCCTATGAATTAACCACAAGAACAAGTTACATCAAACATTCCAGAACTCAGCAAGGCTCAAGTGAAGGGAGTTCACGGCGACTCAAAGCCACTTGCGACACCTAATCGAACATATCAACACAGACTACACCATGGGTTCCATATCACCTGTGTCCGAGCTGGACCACGAGCTCAGCACTGCCATCGACGAGTACCACAGACGTAATCCCAAATCCTACAAGGTCAACCAAGCAGCCCGTGAGCATTTACCTGGTGGCAACACGCGAACAGTGCTTCATACACCACCTTTCCCGCTCTCCATCTCCAAAGGATCAGGCAGCGAACTCACCACCGGCGACGGCCACGTTCTCAAGGATTTCCTCGGCGAGTACAGCGCCGCTATCTACGGGCATGACCACCCGACCATCAAAGCAGCAATCCACTCCGCCGCTGAACGTGGCTGGAATTATGGTGGCCAGCATGAGCTCGAGGGCAAACTCGCCGCCACCATCTGCTCCCAAGAGCGCTGGGGTCGCGGCGGAATGGAGATGTGTCGGTTCGTCAACTCGGGCACAGAAGCAAACCTCCTAGCCGTTACCACCGCCGTGGCATACACCAGCGACCGCGACCGACAAGAAGCAGAAGCGAAAGCATCCCCAACACCACCAAAACGCAACACGATCCTCATCTTCGCCGGCGGCTACCATGGCAGCGTCATCTCGAGCGCCAACCGTGCCCCATCATCCTCTTCTACAAACACCAGCCCCAAACTCTCCCTCAACATCCCATACAACTTCGTCATCGCGCCATACAACGACATCTCCGCCACCGAATCCCTCGCCTCCACTCTTGCCCCCAACACTCTCGCCGCGATCCTGGTCGAGCCCATGCTCGGTTCCGGCGGCTGCTTCAGCGCCCTCCCTGCCTTTCTACGCTTCCTCCGCCACCTCGCCGACTCCACAGGTGCACTATTGATCTACGACGAGGTCATGACAAGTCTCGGCTCGCGCCACATGGACTGGGGTACGCACTATCCAACGGGACCGCGAAGCCCGACTTGATGACGCTAGGCAAGTTCGTCGGCGGAGGAATGTCCTTCGGCGCCTTCGGCGGTCGCAAGGACATCATGTCTCTCTTCGACCCCGAAGGCGGCAGGCTAGAACACCCGGGGACGTTTAACAACAATATTTTCACAATGAGTACAGGTCTAGCTGGGCTCGGCGTTCTTACGCCAGAGGTCATGGCAGACTTGAACGGCAGGGGCGAGAGTCTGCGCCGGCAGCTCGAGGACGTCTTCAGCAGACACGGCTTTGGCTTTGCCAACGACACCAAGGACGCAGCCCATACAGCAGCAACAGACCCCGTGCCAGGGGTGCATCGTCCATCAACAGAAGCAGAACTTGCTGGACCGAAGCAGACTGCTGTAGCCCTCCCGCCGTTGACGGTTCGTGCCAGAGGCAGCATGCTCGTTATCCACTTCAACCTTCCCTCGCACCTGAAGCCAAAATTCCAGAACCTCTTCTGGCTACACATGCTCTCCCAAGGTTACTGGATCGCCGCAAGAGGGTTCATCACGCTGAGTATCGTGCTCACAGACGAGGACGTCAGAGGTTTCGTACAGGCAGTCGATAGCTTTCTAGAACGATACGGCGCACTTCTCCAGCGAGTTCGGCAAGAAGCACGCTGAACTGGCAGAGGAGCTCAGGACACGGGAACATACTTATCACTCCTGCTTATGCGTCATAGCTACTGTAGCTCCAGGTCGCTTGTGGTTGCCGTTACTTATCAGTCACAGCTACTCCTAGCTCCGACGCATTTTTGAATGCTGTCACTTGTGCCATTACTTGAGTGGTGCTGAGTCATATCTTAGTAGCCAGCACACTTCGCAGGTCCGGCAGGAGTAAGGTAGCATCCATCACGTTTACACGCCAGTACCCTGCGTCAACGCTCGTGGACTAATACGTATGCTTCTTCCGTAAGGCCGGATGACGAGCTGCACCGTTGAATGGAGTCAGTAAGAGCAGTATGAAAGTCATACGATCTTGTAGTTAAGATCGCAAGTATATCTAGGACCGTGAGGAGACCGGTTGACTTGGCTCAGCCTGAGACGGGCACAGGTACAGAACGGGACGTCACGTTTAGGCCATGTGCGAATCTCAAGCCACGGTGACTGCTAAGTACTTTATCATGCATGCTCTGCGGACATTAAACTCAAGAAGTCTCGATCCTTCCTTTTGATAGCCTATCTGAAGAATCTACACAAAAACACCATATCTCTGTTTGCCAGCGCCGTTGCTCGCTTTCATGGTATCGGAATCACATCTGTTGAAACATCGTTAAAGCTCTCAGCTGCCTGTCTGCTCCGTTCTCTGTGGGCTGATATCATCTCCTCGTGACTCTCTTTCTCCCTGATCATCGACCTTAATGCTATTTTGCATTGGTTGCGGCCTGGATTGGGTGGACCGGAAGTTCCGCCTACGGCTCATCCTTCTTCCAACTTCAAATATCGCGCATACTACTCCCCCTCTCCGGAATCATGTGGATTGGAATGCTGTACTGACTCGTACTAGTCATATGACTTGCCTGACTCGTCGTACTTCCTCGTCTCTTGATCGTCGGGCCCGCGGCAATCGCGTTGTTGTTGCTATGCGAGTTCACGAATGGGTTGGGTGCTGTTGCGGTCGCGATCGAAGGACTGCCCATTGGCTTCTTCTCTACGAACGGGTCATTGCTGCCGTTGCGGGCGTGGCCGTAAGGCTGATCGCCGTACCCATGATTCCGGGGAGGTGGCTGATCGCGGTGGAATTGCGTGGGGCTTGGTGCAAGTGGGAAGTTGGACAAGGAGACTTCGCCTGGCGAAGTCGGCGTCTGCACCTTCTGCTGGGTATTGTTCGTAAAAAAGTGTTGCTGTCCGAAGCCATAGCCGTGTAGTCCTTGACTGTTGGACACTGCCTTGCGTTCTCGTAGTGGGGATCTCGGAGGTCGTGGCTGAGCAGAGGACACGCGAGGAGGCGCGCCTGTGATGTACTCGGCAGTTGACTGGAGATCATAAAGAGCCGTCTCGATATCGCGCTCTTTGCCCTTACCTTTGCCCCTGAGATCATCGCCTGGTCGCGGTCGCGTATTGGTGTAGGACTGGGATTGTTGGAGAGGAAATCGTGTACCGCGGGCAGCTGATCGAGCATTCACGATAGGCGGCTCCGCAGAATCGCTTGCTGTCATACTCGTTCTCGATTGCGCTTGAGCCGAAGACGGCCGCGCACGACCTCTCGAGTCATCTGCACCATTTGTAGAGAACATCGAGGTTGGCGCAACAGGACCGTGTGGATCTACCACATCTTTGTATGCAGGCACTCGTCGTTGACCTACGCCATTTATTCGATTCGGCCTCGGTGCTGACTGTGTACGCGGCGGAGAGATGAATTCTTCGTTGAGGCTCTCCTGAAGTTTGACCAAAGCGGCCCTGGCCTTTTCCTGTTTTCGCTTGAAGGCCTCCTCGTCAAAGTGATAAGTACTCGTGGGTCGGATCGTCTCCGTCATTAGGGGTTCTGCGTCGGCCTGCGAACCGTTCATTTTGCTGACCTTGGCTTTTATATTGGCTTCGTTGCTGAGGGCTGCTCTGCTTGGATGTACGGCGAAGTCGCGAGTGCGAATGCCCCAAGTTGCTGCACTAGGATTCGTGAAGTCGACGGATTGAAGTGACTCTGGCGAGTGGTGGATGCTCTTTGCTGTTGGCACTGGCGTCAAATTGGCTGACTGCGTACCATTTTGAGATGGTGCGGTGGGCACTGCTTCGGAAACGACGTCTGTAGGTTTGAGGTCAGCACTATGACCGTTCGGAACTGGTCGTTCGATGCTTGGGTCTCGAGAGCCAGAGCTGGAGTTCGCATCAGCATCTGCTTCAGTCACCGTCGAAAGGCGATTCTTGGCAGCTTCAGGTGAAGTAAGCTGTCTTGGAGAAGTATGCGTTTGAGCCTCACTGACCGGTGGCTCTTCTAGCTTGGCCTGGGTGACTGGCGACACTGATGCGACTGTGTTGATCATAGAGAAAGTGCTTGTGGATTTTGGCAGCTGCTTTTCATGAACGGCCACTCGGTCCGGAGTCAACGGCGTCACAGGCGACACTTCCTGAGCTGTCGTAGGTGAAATTTCGCTGTCGCCAACATTCTCCGATGGAGGACGGGATGCTGCCGGTGACACAACATGCACCAGCTGCACTGGACCGGGCCGCATATCATGGCTCCTCTTGAGCTCGATCTCCGCCAGATCCTGCTCTTCGTCTCCAGTCAAGTCCATGATAGTTCGATGAGATAAGTTGATCACGTTATTTGATGCTGAGCTCATCCGAGACGACGATCGTGGTGGGTGATCGACCTCCGACTTCGCCAAATTGTAGTTGGCTAGAGTAGAGTTCACGGGTGCAGTATTGGTGGATGTGGAGTCGAGAGACGCACGTATTGGTGGAAGTGGCTGCGAGGTCGTTGCTGGCGGGACATGTGAAGTTGGACGGCTGTTGTCTTGGAACCAAGATGTGTGAGGAGTGTTGCGATTCGAGGGACCACTTTCTGTGGTACTTGAAATCCAACTCCGGTGCTGACGATCGTGACTTGAACGTGGCGCATCACTGCTATGATATGAGTTTCTCATAGCCACTTCCTCCTGATACTTGGACGTCGGAACGTAGCCATGGTACTGATCGCCACGCGAGACTCTAGTGTCTAGATTTCTCTCGGCAACTTCCTCATTGTAAGACGAGGTAATTGACCGCGACCCTGATAAAGACGGGACAGAGAAGATGTCGACGTAGCGGGGCACTTTGCCTGTGTTACCTCTGCCGAACTCCTGCGACGTCGTATCGGCGGCACGACGGACCGCGTCCTGTATGCTCATGCTGCCGGCCGTGCCTGGCCGAGACTCGTTGGCCCTGCTGACACCGACTAGAACGGGCTTTACATTTCTGCTCTGCGACGGAGGTGGAGGACGGTTCGCAGACCGGCTCGTGCTCGGGAGCTGAGGAACAGGTGGTGCTTTCTCGACAGGCGCAGGTTGCGCTTCGCTTCCTCTGCGACTCCGACTTCTGGTTCGATTCCAGAGCTTCTTCATCGTTGCGGTGTGCAGATGCGCCTAGCCTCAGTCGCTCCACCTCGAAGTAGTAGATGAAGCACTTATTGAGCTCTTCATGACAAACAACAGGTATGCGCCTTGAGAGTGCTATGCGGCTTATCCAGCCGTAGCATGTTGTGTTTGTCACAGAGGCGCATGCAGCGTTGAGTGGTGACGGCGGTGGGAAGGGTGGTGAAAGCTTGCTTGAGTCGCAGTAAGAAGAAATGTCAGCTTGAAGTCGGCTACGAGAGACCGCTGTGGCTTCACGTTGGGCGCCGCTGAAGTTGTCAGAGCTGCAGGACAAAAACACTGATAGCGAATCGAAGGTCAAACGAACAGACTCGAGGTGAATGAATGGACCTGAGCCCTCGGCAGATCGTTCTTTTGATCATCTGGAGGACTGCCCGCCGCCGCGGCAACCAGGGTGACCCCCGAAAGGTCCAATATGGCGGAGGATTATTATCGAGGCTTGGAAGCGATGCCGCCTCGGGATAGGATGGCCTACATCCCTGCCCACGATCGTTGACTTTGGGGCGAGTCTGGATCTGAATCAGGCCGCTGGTGGGCCTGTTTGGCGGCACCAAAGATGGCGTACTCGAAGCTTGAAAACATCATCACTGATGGCGCATGGCGTTTCACAGTTGTCGTAGAGAAAGTCAATGAAATGGAAATACAAGTGCGTCAATAGACCTTGAAGATTGAATATTTGCAGCTACAGCTTGATGATGACCATGCGTCTATCGTCAAGCTCGCTCCCGAAGCGATGGCACCTGCCGTCCCTTTTGGGTGGCCCATCAGTCTGGTAAGTTCGCTTTCTGCCAGGCGGCCAGTGGCGCCTGCCCGTGTTGGGTGCAGCTGCGGCGCGGGGCAACTCCAGCCGGCAGCATCCCCTGCCATTGCAGTGCAGGCCTCGTACTTCTGTCAGCAATGCATCGACGAACACTCTGCGACGGGAATTGTTGTGTGAACGAGTGGCAGAGGTGCTACGCGAACTTCTTGGAGCGATGCAGAAGAGTACGTTCTCATAGCATGATCAATCGGTGCTAAATCGAGCTTCACTCTGTAGGACGGCGCCCTCGAAAACTCGCAGCACATTTCAAAATGTATAATACTATGATGAGCAGACCGACCACAACGCTGCAACGCCTGACACCAACAGCCAAGTCCAATCAACGATGCAAGTCAGGTGCCTGTCAACGGCGACACCGGTCTTCGGATCAGGCCTCAGATAGGCGTGACAGGCTGTCAGATTGGCGAGCTTTATGCATGTAACACCTTCCCAGTCCGCTGTCAGGACATGTCGCTGCCGAAGCAGTCCCTCCAGCGTATCAATGCTTGCCCTCCAGTCCTTCCCTGTGCAAATTCATCGCTGCTTCCGAAAGACGCAATGGCCCCAAACAATTGTGCTGCACGCGACGAGCATCCATGGCTGTGCGCAAGAACAGCTCAGTATTACTGGAAGACAACTGTGCCACCACCCTGGGGCTGCGCGACATTACTCCACTGTCCAACGTAGTTGCCTGTTCGCGTCGGTCAGTCTCGCAGTACATGCCATGGAAATGCTATCCACTTACCGGCTGGATTATAATTGCACACTGTGAAGTACGGCAACACGCCGCTACCCGCGTTGGCCAGTCCATTGGGGCAATATTGTGTGGCGCATCCGACCTCGGTGGTACCTCTCCATACAATTTGAGAAAAGTGGCCCCATGCCCCGAAGTTTGATGTGTCGACGCTGTCCGAGCCGTAAGGGCCGGGATAGTAGTTGATCTCGTTATTATACATGTTGTTGGTTATCATGACCGGAATCTGATCGGGGGTGAATCCTGCTCCAATATTCTGGCCATAACCGCCGGGTGTTCCTGCGCTAGACTGCTGTTAATATGTGGTTCAACCGTTGATGTGTTTCCTGACTCACGTAGAATGTGCGTAAACGCATGAAGATGCAACAGTCTGGGCATAGGAAGCCATCGTATCGCTCCAGGTCAGCGCAGCAATAGACGAGTTGGCACGATGCAGGTTGTGCGAGTACAATGCTCGCGCAATGTAGGCACTTGAGCCACTGTCTCCGCTTGGAAGAGAGTTCAATGAGATGACCTGGACACTGCCAGCAGGAGGTACAGACACCGATGGTACGGCGACGCTGGATGTGGTCGTGGCGGTTGTAGTCGTCGTCGTGCTCGAGCTGACGGCGACAGCGGGACTGGTTGTTGTGGCCGAGGACGGTGTACCCGACGTCGAAGAGGGAGGTGCGATTGCAGTTGTGGCTGAGCTCGCGGAGAGGCCGGAGCTGCTCGCGCTGCTGCCGCTGGACAAGGTAGTTGTGGTCGTGGATTGCAACACAGGGCCGTTGCTAACACCGGTCCCGACAACGCCGCCCGATGTGCTGACGCCATTCGAGGTACTAACGCCACTCGACGTGCTGACGCCGCTCAAGGTGCTCACGCTTGTCGCCAAGGTCGAAGTCGTGGATGAACAGGGACATATCGTGGTGTATTCGTATATGGTCTGTGTCACAACGCCGATGCAAGCTGGTGTCGTGTAGTTCTGAGCAAGCGCAGACGCCGCAAATGCTAGTATGATTGAATGCTTCATGATGTAAAGGAGTGACTTGAACGAATGGACGAGGACGACGCGAATCTCACAAAGTATAGCGATTTCGCCCTGGAATTCTCGCGCAGTGGTTGTGCTGGGCGCTGGTGTATTTATCTAGCCCAGTCGAGGCATGCGTGCACAAACCCCTGCGGGAGATTGAAATGCAACGATCGCCTATTGTCGAAACGTTGTTCTGCACATACCTCAGCCAGCATTCCACGGAAGGTCTGGGTGGGGACCTTTCGTGGCAAGCCCGCACCTTTCTTTCTCTTCGATCTGACTGTTATGGTGAGAGAACCCATTCTCATAATTTCCTTCGAAGAAAGCATAATGTGATAGAATACTTGCTAGCAGTGGGACGTACCCCATAAGCCGGTGATGTTGGCCGGGTGTGACGCACATTGAAACATTTTGTGATGCTTCGAGGCTGTCGGGAGAGGCTTCTGAGGCAGAGCTACTCTGACGAGGATGGACTGAGGGGACCTCCCGTCGAAAGTCGGATTGATATCACAAGAGTTGCATGCACTGGTTCAGGTTACAGTAGCACAATGGGGAGATCATCGAGCTGCTGTTACCGCCAGCAGCCGATGTGTACATCGCGATGTATCGTCTCATCGCCATGATCCACGATAGTGAAGGATTGCAATTTTGCATGGTTCCAACAACAGACGGCAGCAAGAGGTCACAGTCGCCGTGTTGATGCGGAAGTGGTAGAGTGGGAAGTCCGCTGTCAAAAGTCGAAGGTTTACAGAAGTGTTGTTTCTCCGCCAAGGGAAGGAGCAACGCGTGTTAGGTAAGCAGAATGCCACAGCAACAGGCGCGACTGATTCGTTCCTTTCCATGGGCACACAAGAAAGTGGTAGGTGGATGATCTTATCCGCACTTCTCAATCGCCCGAACTGCAACTAGTGCATTCTCATCCACGAGCAAATCTTGGGTATCGTCGCAAGCATAATTGATCAATCTTATCCAGCAGTCGCTCGACAATTCAAGGCAGCAAGAGCTGCGTGTGCTCAAGCAGAATCGACCGGGATCTCGTCTACAAACTCTTCGAGCATCTCGAATGCGCGATTCTCAACTTCGTCCGCTTGGTCATACAATCCCTGAGACAGCAACTCGTCCCGCAGTAACCACATCTCGAGGATAGTCTGCGGGTTTGACTCCTCGTAATGGTACTCACGCAACTCAATGACATACCGAAGATGTTCCAGCAGATCAGCTCCACTCGGCGCATCCGGATCACCTGGTGAGTCTGCCATAATATCCAACAATGTTCGTATAATACACGCCGTTACGCCTGCTTGCAACTGGCGGCTGGTCATGATTCCATCTGCGTCTTCCAAGGTAGAACCTGAGCTGACCATGTCGCCGACCTTAGCACAGGTAAGACCTGCCAAGATTGGCAACAGCAGGGGCGAATCCCTTTGCTGCCTTCTGACAAGATCTTGGCCACGTTTCCGCAGCACGTTTATGCTCCTGGTGTAAAGCTGTCTTTGTGCAAGCGTCGGGAATGAGTTAAGGCCAACAGCCACTTCACCAACGTCAGCTATACCAGGCTTGATTGCAAATGGACTTGTGTAGTCCATCGTCAGCACGTTGCCGTCTTCGAACCAGTCCGTTGCCGCGCGTACCAACGCAGGGGGCGGCTCGATTGAGCACGCATACCAGTGAATGTTGGTATAAATCTCGAACAGCCGCGTATCGTATCGATCAAAGAGGATATCGGCGTTGATAGTCCAGCCTCGTGCTATCAACGGTGACAGTGCATCGATCACTGCTTTCACAGCCACCGACTTGGTAAGGTCCGGCGGGCAGCATTCACCACCAAGATGCTCGTTCTTCAAATCCGCCATTACTTGTTGCAGAGCACGCAATAGTACTGCAACTGGGTGAGTCGACGGCATGCGATCCTTTGCCAAGGCCCTTAAGTGGCTCAACATAAGGTAGAAGAGTGTTGCTTGGTTTGTGACAAGCACGTAGTGAAACAGCTCGGTCATATTCCAGAGCAATGCTGGAGGTTCCAGGACGAACATTTCCTCAAGCTGGAGGAATGCCTTTCGCGCCATTCTGCCAGCCATAACGCCATGGCCCCGGCGTAGGAGATCAATCAGGAGCCTCATCGTACACCCGACGGTTTGTCTGTGGGACGACTTTTTCCTGAACAGCAAGGGCAAGTGTTCCGTCGGATGTCTTGTGAGGGCGGTTTTTGCGCGTTCAGAGTCGTAGTAGGACATGGTCCATATTCTGACACTGACCAGAAACTCAAGCATGAGAGCGTCATTCCGTTGCGACAGCCCGACGACTGGCTCAGCAGCATGTTCTCTGATGTCCACGACTTCCCTCGCCTCGGATGAATCCTCGTCGGGACTCGATGACGAGCTCGGTGGAGATGTACTCTGGTGAGCATGCCTCACATTCTTCGCAAAGCCCCATTTCGAGAATCTTTTCTTGTACATCTGTGGTCTGCAGCGAACCAGGCGTCAGCATGGGCTATACTGAGTGAGCTTGGGTTGCCTGTCACGTTGCTCTCCAGCCATATTGCTCTTCCATATATCGGATGACATATCGCAGTTTTCGTCGCTCACTATCAATCATTCGTCAACATCTCCGCTTCATGTAACCATCAATGTCGGCACTGGTATCGCCTGAGCTCAGCCAGACTGTGATCGTGCAGGATCGCAACCATTATTGCCATACTCCGAGTACCGAACTGCCTCACCACTCACCAGACGTATAATTGCCGGATCAATCCATACTGTGACTCCCAGTCTTTGGCCTGTGGCATGATCCATGGTTCGGACTTAGTACTCGACACGACGGACGAGCTCATCCGTGGTTTCAGCGGTGCCAGCTGCATGATCATGTTTGCTATGAATTGTCGACGCAAGTATCGAAGAAGATACTTTTTCTCAGGCTGGGATTCGTTGCCTCTTCTTTATTCAAGAACGCTCGTCTCTAGCGACGTATCGTAGCTGACTGATCAGGTCCGCCCTCAAGACGATGGGCGTGGGCGGAAGGGTCCACTCCGATCAGGTTTGAGCCTCTCGGATCGCGGCGACTTTCGCCAAACGATTCGAGCACGTTCATTTCGACCAATCACCGCCGGCTCAAAAGTTCTACCTTAACAATTCAAGAATGCCCTTCGGCTCAATGATCCAGATTGCGTTCGCCGGCGCTAGGGCTCGAAACTGGATACCTTATTTCGGCCATGGGCGAACATCTATCCGCCACGCTGCCTTGCGACCACTACTGTCTTCCTCTCAGTTATGCTCAATAACGTTAAGCATACGCCGAGAGGAATGGCGCAAGGCAGAAGCTTTGCACACGACACATTCGCCCGACGCCTGGTAGACTGCTCTTCCACCGGCCGAACCAATCATGCTGCTTCTCGAAGTTCCTCGAGCAACGTTGCCCTGTTTCGGATGCTGGTACCTCTAACGGCGTATCGATACGTCGAACGGTGCGAGCTAATGAAAGGGAGGATCGTTAATGCCATACCAGTCCACCGGGAATTATTCAGCCAATTCTTCTTCGGATCAAAAGCCACCCCTTAGATCCGATCGGACTCAAGCAGAGGAGAACGTTATGGCCAAGTATAAAGGGTACAGCCCGCTTTATCGGGACTCTTCAGACTTTCACTGCAGCCATTGAGACCAACTACTCGCACAGCAGACAATCATGGCCAACATTTCGGAGAAGGAGAGCATTGTTGTGCCAGACGCCGACGTCCAGGTTTCGAAAAAGAGCTTAGACGATGGCAGCGATAGTGCGAGCAACAAGTCCATCAAGGAGTCCAAAGATGTCCCGCCAGCTGGCTATCCTCGCGGACTCAAGCTGTTCGTCCTTACTGCCGCCACTTTGAGTGCCACTTTCTTGATGTCCATTGACCAGGTGAGCTTCCCCAGCAGACCACCTTGCCAATGTGCTGATCCATGTTGAAGACCATTGTCGGTACAGCTATACCAAAGATCACAGCCGAATTCAACGGACTGGATGATGTGGCATGGTACGCAGCCGCGTACTTCATGACATTCGGCGCCTCCCAATGCTCCGCCGGCAAAGTCTACAAGTTCTTCGACATGAAATGGAGCTTCATGGGCAGCATGCTCATCTTCGAAGTCGGCTCACTCATCTGCGGCGTCGCCCCTTCCTCCAACACCCTGATCGTCGGTCGAGCCATCGCTGGTCTCGGCGCCTCCGGCCTCTCAATCGGCGCAACAAGCATCATCTCCCTGTCCGTCGAACCAGCCAAGCGACCCCTCATGATGGGCCTCATCGCCATGACATACTGTATCTCCGCCTGCCTCGGCCCCGTCTTGGGCGGCGTCTTCACCGACGAGGTCTCCTGGCGCTGGTGCTTCTACATCAACCTCCCCATCGGCGGGGCTGCCGCTGTCGGCGTCTTCCTCTTCTTCAGCCTCCCAGCCGCCGCCAAACCACCTCAAATCCCCTTGTACCAGAAGCTCCTGCACCTCGACCCAGTTGGCATCACCCTCGCTATGGGCTCCATCACCTGCTTCATCTTGGCGCTGCAGTACGGCGGTGTCTCCCGCTCGTGGGGCAGCTCGGTCGTCATTGGGTTAATTGTGGGCTTCGTGCTGATTGCCGCTGCTCTCGCCGCCTGGGAGCTTTGGCTAGGGGAATATGCGATGATGGCGCCGCGGCTGTACAAGCAGCGCACCCTCTCCGTCGTGGCCCCCTTCCAATTCTTCTTCATGGGCAGCTACATCGTCCTCCTCTTCTACCTCCCCATCTACTTCCAGTCCGCACTTGGAGCAAGCCCAATCCGGTCCGGCGTCGACAACCTCCCCCTGGTCACAGCAGCAGCAGTGTTCGCTCTAGCGGGCGGCGCGTTCGTCATGACCACAGGCCTGATCTGGCAGACCATGATGGCCAGCGCCGGCCTCTCAACCGTCGCGGTCGGATGCATCTACACATTCGACCTGCACACCACGACCGCCACCTGGGTCGGCCTGCAATTCTTCATTGGCGCAGTCATGGCATTCGGCATCATGCAGGGCGTCACACTCGCCCAATCCGCCGTCGGCCCAGAGGACCTGCCTGCCGTTTCGGCGAATCTCCTCTGTAAGCCCGCCTTTCCACCTATCTCTCACCCTCCCAACCCCCAACCCGAACCAAACACTAACACGCCCCACCAGTCTTCAACACTCTAGGCGGCGCCTTCTCCTCCTCCGCAGGCCAGTCCGCCTTCCTCAACCAACTCCTCCGCACCCTCCCCACCTCCGCCCCTACCGTCTCCCCCCAACTCGTCCTCCTCACCGGCGCGTCCGAGCTCCGCCATGTATTCGGCCCCGACACCCTCCCCGGAGTCCTCGACGCCTACATGACGGGAATCCGCGCTGCATTCGCAGTGAGCATCGCATTCGCCGGGACGGCGTTCCTCCTGAGTTTCGGGATCCCGATGGGAAGGCTGCCGACGCCGAAGCAGGCGAAGAAGGAGGGGAAGGAGGCGCCTATAGTTGGGATGGTGTGAGTGCTGCGTCTCACAGGGCCAGCGTTTCTAGGCAGGATGTTTTGGAAGCAGGTATAGAGAGAGGGTAGGGCGCTGCCCTGTGGGAGGTTTCGCTTTTGCGGTCGATGCCCAACTTCCCCACTTAATGATCCTGTGTACTATCAGCACATTAGAATAGACCGAACTGGCTAATTAGACGTGGTCATGACATGTTCCGGGCTTCCGATTTTGTTATGCGCCCTCGGTGTGGACAACGCTTCGCGAGACCGGATGACTAGGATGCCGATTTTCACAACACCGGCTGACAAGACAGCATCATGGTTAGTTCAGAGAATTTTTTGTTCAAGCTCGCTGCATCCGTGCACTTCTACGCTGTCAGTACGTCAAGAAGCAAAGTTGAGAAACATTGCATGGACAAGGGAGCCGCCCGATGTGAGCTGGTAGTAATTCTACGGTTTTGGGTGACTGATTTGCAGCATTTATATTCTTCCGTACTAGCACACAGGTGAATTTGGTGGTAGGAACACCGGATTGTAGGCTGCAAATATGTTCCTGATGTTAGTCGCTCTATGTCCTGTCTATCACGGTACTGATATAGTACACTCGCATTGTCAAAGCCAGCCGCCCAGGTCCTGATACCATCTGATCTCCCATTCAGTGCACCGCGTCATCCAGCGCCTCGAGCCCATCCGCCCCCCAAAAGCGCCGCTTAAGCCCTGTCCAGAGTCCATCGGTAACCCTGCCTGCACATCGGACACTTCATCCTATACACCTCCTCATCAGGAACCTCCCCCTCCGCCTGCCTCGCCGCCCAATACCTTCTCAAGCACTCCAGATGAAATCTATGCCCAACATGATAGCCATCCTCATCACACCCTGGCTCCGCCCCATCCCTTCTGCCCGCGCCGCACGGCAGCACCGCCATCTCATCCCTCTCGATGTAGTCTTCACGGCAGATCGCACAGGAGAGATGGTCTGCGTCATCGATCTTCCATCGGATGGTTTGCGGGTGGGGGACTGCTGAGTAGCTGCTCAAGATATCGCCGATCATGGAAGCGTTGGGGGTATATGGCCAGATGACGGAGGGGATGTGGTAGTGGGCGGACGGGAAGGTGTTGAGTTGTGGATGGGGCTGCTGCGCTGGTCCCATATGGGGCCCAGGTTGGGCGAACCCGAGTTCGACTTCGTGGAGGAGTGCTTCCAGTGCGGGCGGGAGAAGACCTGCGCGTTCTTGGACCACGGGATTGGGTTGCGGAGCGGGCGGCGGGATATCATTGGCGACGAGATTTGGTAGAAGTTGGTCTGCATGTCCATCTGGAAGTAGCGGGCCCTCAACTGCATTGCCGTTGTTGGCATTGTTACCATTGTTCGCGGCGAATTCGATGACGAGTCCAGCATTGAGGTCAATCGCATACATGTTGTCATTGGCACCTCTGAACATCAAGCCGGCCGGGTGGTTGGCGATGGGGTTCTGGTTGGCACCGTTGTTCATCTTGGCTGTTGAAGAGTTTGAGATGGATGCTTTGAGGTATGCTGAATTTGCGACGGAATAGTTGATAGGTGTGTGTGTGTGTGTATCGGTGTTGGGAATGTTAAAATGGTTGCTGTGCTGTGAGATGCAGTTCTCTGGATGTGCGATCGCTTTCCTTTTAAGCCGTCGACGCACAACTGAGCGACACTTTGTCCAGCCTCTGCCGACACATCTGAGCACTGTCTGCCACAAATGGTAGACAGAGTCCCATTCTTCGATCTCACTTACGAACCTGTTTCAATCCAACAAAGCACATGGTCTCAACGTTGCCGAGACGAGTGAGTTGACTCAGAACAATCCGAAGTACAACGCCAGACGAATGGATCGCCGGAGAATCAACGCTGAATCACCCAGGCGATGATCCAGAAGAATCGGGCGCTCGATATCAATGTCTTGAAAACCAGTGTATTCTGGGACAACTCTTTGAACAAAGCATTGGGCCGGGACAGAGCCGGAACATTGCAATGCCACTCCAGAATAGAGAATCACCGCTTTGTCGCAGTCGATTATGTTCCTTGCGACAGCAACACGACCCGAGACTGTCTCGTTGAACAGTGGGTTCGGTGTTTGTCGTGTCATATTCCCGGCCCAAGCGCACCATGCAGCGACCAGTCACCATGGAAGCTCATATGTGTTACTTCCCAATCAACAGCACGACAGAGCCTGCTCATGCGGACCGGGCAAACGCGAATCACCAAGAAAGTTCATTCGTGGCACATCGCAACCCACAGCACGATGATGGACGCAAGACTGTTGCCTTCCTCGGAGCCAAAATCTGGGACCTATTGTATGAGCGAAGCACCATTCGCAGCGAGTCAGCGTGTTAGGATGCAAGACGTGTTGTGGCAGATGAGACCGTCGAACACCGCGTTCTTGACCGTAGATCAGCTTTTCCGCGACTGCCAAAGCCAGTTCCACTTGTCACTGATGCCACCGCGGCCAACGTACCCCATCTCAACAGCTCGACTGTCCTCGATCACTTCTTCCTCGCCCGGAAGCCTGATAAACTCATCGCACATGGCAGGAACTTCTTCTTTGATATGGCTTACTACAACCAAGGCTTGCTTGTCAGTCAGCCCGTTGTACGTAGGCGTGTCGTAGCCCAAGTTCCTGGCGCCTTCGAGACGTTCTTGTGCAGTTCGTTTGGAATATTCCAGCAGTTGATCTGCCATTTGGACTTCCCAACCTCGGTCTTTCAACATACTGGGGCTGAAATTTTGGCCGGGCTGGTCATATTTCTCTATGCTCTGTAGATACGCATGCAAGTAGGAGTCGCTTGACTGAACAAGTCGATTGACGTGAATCCTTTTGTTGTCGATCGGCTGGCCGTTGTGAGAAGGCGGGTCAACCATGTCGTTTCTCATGAAAGCCAGATCAGGACTGCCCGGCAAGTATTTCGTCTCACCGTGCTCCAAGAAAAGCATAGCCTTGTCGCGAACGAAGGATGACAGACCCGAGAATGCTTCGTCTAGTATCAGAACATCTGGCTGCTTGATGATGGCGCGAAGTAGCAGTAAGAGCCGCTGTGCAGCAAATGGCAGCAAGCCGAAACGATGGGTGGATGTGTCATCGGCCCAGTCAAGGTTCGCAGAGTGTTTGTATGATCCATTTTGCGTGAACACGTTCGTCATAGTGGCCGTCCAGCGGCTACTCTCGTCCTTGATGAAGGGCGGATACGAATATTCGATGAGCTCGCGCAGCCCACGCGTAGCAATGTTGACAGGCTTATTGCGAGTTACAAATCGCGGAGGGATCTTTGCTGGCTTCCAATCCTGGCGGAGTTCAGGTTCCCACCAAGAGAGAAACGCATCGACCGTTTGATCACGAGCATAGCTCAACTTTGGTTTAGATACGTATGTCTCTGCCCACGCAGACTCGAGCACCTGTCGCACGCTGAGAGACTTCGGGAAGAAGGCATGAACTTCTGGTGCGGAATGACCGATGCGGGATTGGATCTGCCACAATGAAAGACCTGGCACACCGGGCTGTGGCAGGCGCGATCTGCCGAAGAATTTGATCGGCAGCGAGTATGACTGAGGATGGTCCGAAGTGAGCAGAGATAAGAATGTAGTCTTGCCGCTTCCGTTGGGCCCAATAAGTGCGAGTCGTGTGCCTTCGCTGATCGTGACATTCAAGCCGGCCTTATCGTGCCCCGCTTGTGGTGATGGGTGCCCAAGAACAACTTTGTCGCCGTACTTGATAACGACGGATTCCAGCTCAATCAGAGGTTGCCCCAATTTACGATTGCTCGTAGCAGTGGAGCTAGCAGCCTCCGTCTTCTGCTCGTCTTGGCCAACTGATGTGCCGTGATCTGTCTCTGACCCATGAGATGGAAGCGTGGAGAACGTCTTCAGCATCTCCAAGAGACTCGAGCTTGTCTTGTTGTCCAGCGTAGGCTCAATCCTCAGTAGGGAGTTCGCTTCCGTGCCTCTCACAACTTGTCTATCAGCCTCACGAATGCGGACTTGTTCAATGCCGTTCTCGGTCAACGCCTCGTTGATGCCAGACAAAGGCGGGCCGTACGCTCTCGTCAATTTCTTGACGAGCGGTAGTATGGTTGCATTGGCAGAGTATCGATCAGGATTGTCATATGTGTCAAGCCAGAACGCATGACGGGCCAGAACAAACTCCTTTGTACCGATTGACGAGATGCTATACTCATCGCCAACGACCGCAAGGTGGGTGATCCAGTCTGGAATCGGATCTTGCGGCCGGAGTGACAGCAACAGCAAGGGCGCCGATGCATATGCCAGATCTCTCAGCATAGGCGACAGTTTGACAAGAGTGGGTGGATCCAGGCCCATGAAAGGATCATCGAGAAGCAATAGTAGGGGCTTGCTGAGCAGAGCTTTGGCAATCCTGGATCTCCGTGTCTGACCATTGCTCAGATTACTGACCGGCATGTCAAGCAATTTGTGCAGTCGCAGGTCAGTGACGACCTGGTTGACAGAAGCATCGTCAATGACAGACTCTTCATCTTGCTGCGTAGGGTTGAGTGTGGTCTGGCCTTTCAAATACTGTCTAACGGTCCAGTCGCTTTCCTCTGCTGTCAAGCGCCGGCTCTCATAGCGAGCACTGAGATAGGCACCTTGAATGCCAGCTCCGAGGGCGTTGCCTTGCCCAGGATTGAATCCGACATACTGAATTGCTCGTGACGGAATGCGTAGGGTGCGATGATCCTCGGGTACGGCGTCGGAAGTGAGGTATGGGAACGTCCTCGCGCTGAGCGGTTCGCAGAAATGGGCGCCGCGTAGAATCTCGAGTAACGCAGTGCCGCCCTTTGCGGAGATGACAGCCCAGTGCTCTTTGCTTCGCGGCGGCCACCGCGCCTGGCCTTGGTGCTCTTCGATCAGAGGTACCTGGAAGTTCAGGTTGGGGAAGAGAGGTGGGTTGCGATAGGCATCAGCAACGGAGGCAGGATGTTCGCGAAAGAAGGTACCATTGCGTATGTTGATCAGCGACGACGCGACACGTTTGGGCAAGTGCAGCCCTGCCTTTCCCATCGCCTGCGCAGCGCTACCAACCACAACCGCTCCCGACTGCACTGTGCACGGATCGAGGTCGAGTTCGTGTTCGCGACGTCCGTGTAGACAAATTTCGTTGGAGAAATGGCAACAACGACGTCAGCCGAGGATCATTGGTAAGTGCTATGGAGCTACAGGTCCCCTAGCAGTTAAACAGAAGTATGGAAGAGGTGAGTTTAGAATGGGTATCGTTTTAGTTGGATCGACAGCTATCTGAGCTGTCACAGATAGCTCGAAGAGGATCACCGTGGACGCCGTCGCTATGCTCCATGATATTCACATCCACATGCAATGCCGTCTCGGCCTTTAGAATTTGTCCCAAACCATGCCTATCAACAATTCATTGGTCATTCCTTTCGTGTGCAGCCTTTCATGGATTGTTTTCCGATCAGAGGAAGTACTCATTACGTCCACCACGAGAAGGTGGGACATGTCTTAGCTCATCCTTGACCGCAGAGAACAACTTGAAGTTTGGCTTCATATCTTCGCCAACCTCGCAGACAGAAGCCATGTTGCCGCATCGGTAGCAGTAGTTGGGTGCCGACCAGACAGTGACGACGTCTTGACTCTTGAAGTGGTACTTGTAGCCTTCGTTGACAAGTTGATGTGCTCGAGCAATCAGGCTGAGGCCGTTGACATGGCAGAATTCTTGCGATATGCGATCACCAAACAGCCAGCCAGCACCTCTAGGTGACACAGCCCATGTTTCGACGTCTTCAGGATCGGACCAAACCAGGTCACAGAATGCGCCTTCGTGTGGAATTTCTTGTGCTCGTGCAACGACTCGCACTTGATCGAGCGTTCTGATCTCTGGTGAGAGTCCGCCGTGAACGCAAAGGACCTTGCCATCGACGATTGCTCCGAGTGTCATGAAGTCGAACACTTGACAGCATGCCTTCCACACTGATGTGTTGCCGTATTTCTGCACGCATTCTTCGTAGAAGCCGTAGACCTGTGTTATTTGTCTTGATTCGTGGTTGCCGCGAACGAGTGTGATACGCTCGGGGTATTTTGCCTTCAAGCATAGTAGGAGGGTGAGTGTTTCGAGTGAAAAGTAGCCGCGGTCAACGTAGTCGCCGAGGAAGATGAAGTTGGCGTTCTGCCGACGGGATATGACATTTCCAGACTCGGACTTTTCCCCTTCGGTATCGGATTGTTGTGATGATGGAATGTCTTCTGCATCGCTGACCTCGCTGCTTTGTTCGCCAGTCGAGTCAGGATGTTGTGCTCCTCCAAGTTTGAGCTTCTTCTTTAGTTTGGGGTCGGTGATGGTCGAGGGAGGTTCGATGTCGGCGGCGGTAATGATGTTGGCGGGTGTGACGGGTGTTTGTGGTGCGGTCTCGTTCGGCATGCCGCCGGCGACTCGGAAGAGTTCGAGGAGATCGTAGAATTGGCCGTGTATGTCGCCGCATATTGTGACCGGGGTAGATACAGGCTGGATGTTTGATTCTGTGTATGGTCAGTGCTGTCTCGCTGTCGCTTCGTTGAATCTCTTACCTTCCATCATGTACTCTTTGACTATCTCGCAGAGCTGCTTCATGTGATATTCTGAGAGGTATTTGCAGTTCTTCGCCGCTTCCAGCCATTCATCCGGTCCTGCCGACTTCTTGAGTCGCGCCGGACCCGGCACCGGGACTGCTATCTTCGTCATTTCCGTGAGGCAGACACGAGCACAACGAGCGATCCAGGAGCCCGCTGTGTGGTAGGAGGATCGTTGCCAACGCGGAGGCCGCGGACGAGATCGGTGTAGTTGAAAGCACGACCAGAAAACACGACAAAACGACGGACAGATAGGTCAGGAGGGCTTTAGCGACGGGTTAGCAGTATACACCGTGTAGTATGGACATACTTACGAGGCAGGAGCGGAGCTCTGTCGCGGGTCGAAGTACAACTCGTCGCACTCGTGGTCGGGGGAAGAGGAGCGGGACATAGTGACTACGGCGTTAGACGGAGTTTGTGGTGAGAGACAAGAGCACTACGGGGAAAGGTTTTTCCGCAAATATATAGTGCAGAGATGACAAGGCTGAATCACAGCCTTCCATATTCACCACTCTACACCGGGCACCTGCCACGGCTCAATAACTCTAGACACTGCATGAACATTTGTGAATGCACGTTAATGATTGAACAATTTCAACGCTGTAAGTCACAGATTCCCATTGACTGTTTTGTGGTCATCCTCTTCAGTGAATGTACAGAAAGTGACTCCCCGCTGGCCACTCTGATCGTTCAATGTCTGCTGTGATTGCTCTACTGCACCAAGTATACACAACACAACCTATGAACATGGGCCCAATTCCTACACTTCTTCTCAATCTTGACTATCCTATGACATTCGGTCTGACGGTGTATATAGCAATATGGCAACCAAGGGTCGTGCCGCGGGTGTCCTCCCTATCAATGCTGCGGCGACAAGGAAGGACAAGTCCGGCCCCGTCCAGCCAGATCATCACCAAGGACACCAATCCCAAAAGTCAGACTGATCATACGCCGGTTAGCGCCTGGTCTCACGGAGACAGAATTCTGGGATGCACTTGGTGATGAATGGAAGGCTGGTAATGGCAAGGTCGATTGGGCTGCTTTCAGAGAGGGAAAAATCTCGAGAGAGTGAGTCAATTGTCTCTTTCGGTGCTCATGACTGACGTCGCCAAGTCCATCGAAACCATCAGTGCCCGCGCGCGGATACCTGAGAGTCAAGGAGCAGTCTCTGATTGACGAGCTCAACAACAAAGTCAGGCAGACACCCTTTCAGGATGCTAAGAACTCGACTCGTGATCCATGTTTGATTGGCCCACCTTCTCTGGAATTCGCTCCGTACAACAAAGTTGCTAGCGGACGCGCCAAGAACGACAGCCGACAAGGCACAATTGACCAGGATCCGGAATTTATAGACTTCCTACAGAAGCTGACGGAGCCGATCAACAAGGCGCCGAATGGAGTCGATATCGAGACTCCGCTGGAGAAGGCCACGACTACACCGCTCGTAGAGTACCTAAAGGAGAAGAAGGCCAGTAAGGCAAAAGAAGCTGCCGAGAAGAAGAGCGCCAAAGCACGACAGCAGGACCCTAAGGAGGCAAAGCCGTCTAAGACCGAGAAGATCATCGTTAAGAGCGCACCTAGCAGTCCCGAGAAAGCAAAAGTCGCTAAAGCCGGCCAGGAAGCTGTGAAGGCGATCAATAAATCCGTCGCTCAGATACAAGCGAAGCCCACTGCTACGCCTCCCAAGACCGAGACTAAGACCCCAGCAAAAGAGCCAACAGCAGCGGCGGGGCCTGCAGCGAAGAGAGAGCGAGCCAACATCAGTGCTGCTGCCCGCATACAACGAGATCTTGGGCTTGCCCCTAAAGCACCACGAGCAGCACGCAACGCTTCTGCGACCGTGACTCCGGCATCAGCTACAACAGGCAATAAGACCGAAGAGAAACCAGCAGATAAGCCGGCACCGCCTTCCGCCGAAGAGAAGAAAGCAGTTCCCACCAAAGCCGCCGCGAAGCCTACACCCTCATCGACCACTATACCACCGACGGGCCCTCGAGCAGCTCGAAACAATGCACCTGCTGCTTCGGCCGCCCCAGCCACAGCTCCAGTCGCACCTAAGGCCATCAATCCACCTCGACAGAAACCTGCACCACAACCGAGTCCTGGAGCAACATCCGCATTCCTCAAACATGCAAATCCCAGCCAAGGCGTTACAGAAGAACTGCTGCGTACCGTGTTCTCCACGTTCGGCACAGTCACTAGATGCGAGATCGATCGCAAGAAGGGCCTAGCTTACGTGGACTTCGAGACCCCCGAGGCGTTGAAGAAAGCGATGGGAGCGAGTCCAGTCAGTGTTGGCGATAAGGGAGCTAAGGTCGTGGTGCTCGAGAACAATAAGGGCACTCAGAAGAGGACTACAGCCGCGCAGAAAACGCCTGTGCCGGCCACAATTGCTAGTAATGTCGCGAAGGTGAACTCGCCCGTCGCAAGTCCTAAGCCCGTGCCCGTGGCGCCGGCTGCAGCGACCCCGGCGGTTCCTACGGCGGCACCTGCGACCGCTAAGCCAACAACACCAGCAGTCGCATCTGCCAAAGCTCCGAGCGTCCAAAGCAAGGGCACTGCAGAGCCAGCCAAACAACCTCCAGTAACACCTCCAACAGCCCCGCGCAATGCCAATAGAGGAGGCGGACAAGGTGCAGGTCGCAGTGGCCGAGGCGCGGCAAATGCTCAAGCTGGTGGGAGAGGCGGAGGTGGCGGTCGTGGCAAAGGAGCAAATCGTGGCCGAGGAGGTGCCAACGCAGCTGGTGGAGCAGGCGCAACTGCTGCTACTGCTACTGCTCCAGCTACAGCTGCCACGTCTGCATCGGCACCTGCGACAACCCAGAGCTCTGCGCCCGCTGTAGCTGCGTCGAGGGCAGCACGTTCCGGCTGCTGCTGGAACCCGAGGTAATACTAGTACCGACGCCGCGAAGTGATGAAGTGAGAACGCACAACTATGACACTCAAAGAAGGTGATGCAGGCTTGGCCCAGTCACGACAGAAAGCGATGCTGTTGGCTTTGGATCGGACATAGTCGTATCACATGCTGCGCACTTCAGCCCATCTAGCAATTCTAGCTTCATCCATTCACAACCTTGAATGGCAACAAGCTGATTTCTATAAACCCCGAGTCTCAAGAGCACGCCCCATGTCTGACCCTCATTCTTTGGCCATTCGCATTGTCCTAGTGCTTCTGCTGCGCTTTCTTCTCCCCCGCCTCCCTGACCATCCCATCAACTCGTAACCACGCCCCACCACCCTCCAAAAAGCAATCCCCCATCCAGCACCACCAAACCCTACTCCCCGCCTCCACCCCATACTTCCTCAACCTAGGCAGCATACACCCAACCACCTCCCCAACATGAATAATCCACACCGCCGGCAGCACTAACGGGGCCAAAACATACGCCAGCTTCGCGTGCCACGGCGCGAGCCCTCCCACTGACCAGATCTTGCTGATCAGGGAGTTCGAATCTGGGTGGATGTGCGAGCGAAAGGGGAACGTCAATAGAATGAGCAGCACCATGAAGCCCGCTGACCACTCCCACCATTTCGTTGGGTGGCGGTACTCGGTGATGACTATGTCGGAGAGGTTCAGGGCGGTGAGGCAGGTGTTGTGCATACTCACCAACCGCTCCCTCGCGCCCGACAAGTTAGCTGGGAGGGGTGGCTCGAGCGGGATCAACAGCCGACGTTCCGGGCTGGAAGTGGTGAGAATGAGGTAGTTGGGTGTGATCTCAGTGAGTTTGGGTGGTATGCGGACTTCGGTGGCGGGGAGGTGGTTGTAGTGGCGGGCGTAGAGTTGAAGGGAGCGGGCGTGGTCCTTGTTCATGTGGGTGATGATCCGGATGCGGAGGGCGGTGATATCCTTGGGGCTGGCCATGACTGCTCGAGGGCGTCCCGAGATACTGTCGTTCTGCTGAGTTTGGGTATTTGACGAAAGTTTGCGGGTCGAACAGGCTACGTGGTGTAGAAGAAGACCGGTGGTGCTGGTAGGCACGTTTTGCAAGATTTTCTGACCGGCCCGAATCGTCCCACTGCTGCAACGGTGATACGATGGAGATTCCTCCTTGATCAAGCAGTAGCTCTTCCCTCCCATATCATCCGGGTAGGCCGCGCATCATGAGTAGGTCGTACTTGCCGAAGGTACGTGAGCATCTAGGTCGCTAGGGCAAGCATGAAGAGCGAATCTCTCGGTTCGAGGTCTCTCGCAACTCCGCGTACATTAACTCTCCCTCCTACATCTTCCATCCGCTCCTTGAAAGATGTCCAGGTCACTTTGAGTATCACGGACGATCGCTAAATTAGCAGCTCTAAAACCCTACCGCTTTTCGACAGCATCAATGTCTCCCTGGGCGATCTTTTCGTAACATGCAACGGGGCTTGCAGCCTGAACTCTAACGGAATGGACAACTATCTTGCTCTTCGGCTGTGAGCTACCGCTGCAAGCCCAACAACATCGATGACTTGTTCACCGGCTCTATGCGGCAAGTACCACAGCACCTATGACGCAGACTGATTGAAGTCGTCGAAGGCAGGCGACAGCTCACAACAGCGAAGTATGTGTCTACGAGGTATAGGTAAGGTTTGGCTTTGACATATGAAGAGTATGACTATTGTGAGCAGGTAAAGGTGGTATACGGAGTACACGGTTCCAGGCAGCCAGGCCAACAAGTAAAAGTCAAATTTTGTTCTGCCTTATAAGTTGCACCTTCCCTTCTTCACTCCTTCGGTCAACCTCGTCCCTGAACTCGCGGACAGGGAACAGAAGAATCAGCAACTCGACGTACAGTCATGTCCAATTTCGACAGCCATCACGCCATGGCTGAAGCCAGCGGCACTCCGGTTGCCGACAACCTGGCCACAGCACTCAATCCCTCCACCAATCCTGATTCCGCCACCGCTGATCTTGACGGAGACGCAGATGTAAGCACTGGTGTCGGCGCTATCATGTTCCTTCTCCGGAAGCGCAAAGCCATCGATGACACGGCTAACACTTCAGACAGCAACAAACTCAGCATCAAACGCCAAAAGGCTCACGCCGGAGATCACCCTCGCGTGCGCCGAGCTAGAAACCCCGCTCACGTCAGACGCATGGTGCCAATGTCCGCCGAAGAACGCGAAGCGTACGCCCACCTCGCCAACTTGCAACGCGACGCCGGCGCAGTATCGCGGCAATAGCAGCATCCCATCGGGACCAGGCGTCGAATCGAGCTCGAGCTCGACGGTTTACCTCAAGAACTTCTCGACAACATCTGGCGCCAGATCTTCGTCGGCACTCGAGTCACCTTCAAGAAGTCCCCTGCAACTAATCGAATTCCGGACCGTCTCGCCTGGTGGAGGGACGGCTTTCCATTCACGCGAATTAGCAAGAAGCACAGTAGAGATGCAAAGAGAGCCATGCTTGAGCACGCCACAGTCTTAGTGCCTGCGACCGATGTGGCTTTGCTGCTGGCACAGTGCAAGGAAATCGCAGAGATCCGTCACATTCAGCTATGCGTTCCTTCAACCGTTTGCAACTCCTTCACTTTGATGGACGATTTCTTCAGGGCTTTGACAAGTCTCAGAACCCTGCGGATCGACACATTCGTGCGACATTCGCGAAGACAGCACTCTAATCTCGCCGAACTGATGGACAAAGAGGCGCTATGGACAGGAAGACTTCTTCTGCAAGTTTTGACGCGATCGAGGGAACTCCCGATCCATAAAGCCGTCGAACTTGACCTGGACTGGCTTTATGACATCTTGCGCGGCGAAGCTTTCCTTGGGTGGGAAAAGGCCCCAGCGGTCCAGGTCACGGTCGGATTCGAGATCGAGAAGGCAGACAACACATACAGCTTCTCGGAAAATGAGAATGGGACCATCGATACTTCTCCTTCCGTATACCATTTCGGCAGCGGTCTATTGACTGGCACAAGAGGCGGTCGCCAGGTTTCGGCAAAGCAGCGCATTCCCTCTTTCACCGGCTTTCGACGCAGAGGAGGTCGCGCAATGCTGTGCGACGCCTCCATGCCGAACACTGTGGTACGAAGCCTCGTTGAGAGCATAATAGGCCATCCTCTTGGTGAAGTTGACCAAAGAGAGCTGTGGCGCTTTGCTTGGTTTGAGGCTGACCGAAATTGCGATTCAAATCCTTGGGACTTGGATATTGACCGAGAGGTCTATCTTGCAGCATGCGAGCTGTATGCATTCGACCAGGAGAACCCCTCATGTCGAAAGTTGATTGCGTGGTTGGAACAGCGTAGTGTACCGGAGCTCCAAATCGAAAACGCCGAGCAGGCTCAGGACTTGATTGTGGTAGTCGACCCTCGAACGCGCCCCATTCCTCAATACGTGGGGTATTTCTTCCAGCAGGCGTTCAATCAGATGCTAGAGCAAGCCTGGGATCGATCTGAACCCATCATCAGACGTGGACGCCATCCTCGTACATTTGAATTCGCCAATACGCTGCAAGTGTATCAGTTTGTGACCTCGCTGATACAATTATGCACCGGGCGGCGGTGTCGCGTCCTGGATGCCGCCGCTGGAACAGACTTCCCGCGACTCATAAAGGCCAGCTACTACCGACGATGCTTCGACCGGCTCTACAAACTGCCAACCCGCCCGGGTACGGAAGCTGTCACCAAGCACATGAGTCTGGAGGCAGAGAGACTCCGACCTTCAGACCCGGTCGCAGCCATGGATCTGACGTGGGCAATTAAATACATGGCGACAGGGGGCTTGTGGCAACATAGCGGTATGGCGACAGACTTCGCCAACCTCTTCGATTGAAGATCATCCAGCTACGATCTGAACCAAATCTCGCCTCGAAATTATCGAGTCGTAGCAGCTGTATCAGAAAAGGCCACCTTTGGTGGGATCCATATACCAAACTTCTGGCTGCACTCAATTCTGTCGGCGCCTGCCGGAATAACTGGGCGGGACCAGGTCACTCGACTTGCTCAAAAGCGAGTTGATGACAACGGCAGAGTGGAGGAGGACTGGGCCGGATAGACCTGATCGGGTTTTACGAAGACGACATCTGTCCGGGTACCTCACATTGGACTGGACGTGTCCAGTGACAGTCATCCAGCTGAAGCTCAGGAGACTGGCATCTTCAATTCGGAAAGGTTGTATGACTACCTTACCGCCTTAACTGGCAACGCTTTTGTAGGACACATATACCTATGTACATACAAACATCATCAATCATCCCACTATCATCCCTCACTCACTTACTAATCCCACCCGCCTGATTCGTATCATAAACCAACCCACACCTGCTATAACACTCCTTCGCCCCCTGCGCAAACGCCGCCGGCAGCTGCGCCCTGTAATCGGTGATATTGACATTATCCAGCCAACTTGGATACGCCAAGTTGCGTCGACGACTGTGGCGTTGTTGATGAAGAAGTTTTGTGCTGTGCGGGAGACGCCGGGATCTTCGTTGCTGAGGGAGGCAACGAAGACGGCGGGCTCGCAGTTGTCGTTGAATTCCCAGTGGATGCTGCCTTGGGGGCGGATGGTGCCTTGGTAGAGGCCGATTTCGGTGTAGATTGGGAGGTCTGGGAGATTTGTTAGCGAGGTGCGGGGAATGGGGGCAGGAGGTGCCTACCGAAGCCGTCTTCCAGCACGAAGCCAGTCTTGAGGGAAGTGCCGGCGACGAGGGTGACCATCTCGGTTGCACGATTGTGGATGTGCATGCTGTCGAGACCGCAGGGATTGAGGTAGCCGATGGCTACTGACAAGCCGGTGCCCATCAGGACTGGGTAGTTGCCCACATGAGCGAGATAGCCCTGCCCGCCGAGACCGTTGGCGGCGTTTGATGCTGAGCCATTCGGAGTGAGGTCGAACTTGAAGTAGTCGTTGGGGTCGCCGTACGACTTCAGTAATGTCATGCGCTCGGTGGCGGTGTAGGCGAGCTTGATCTGGGTGAGTTGGTCTTGGGTGTATGATGGGTTGGGCCGGGTCAGGGCTGTGACGTTGGGTGCGTCATCTAGGGTGCCGTTGTCGGGATATGATTGTTGGTTCTCGTTCTGGCGGGGTTGGAGTTGTGGGAAGAAGGGGACAGCGGAGGTGAGGGTGAGGCACGTGGTCACGGTAGCGAGGTTTCGGAGCATTGCGTTAAGGTTGTTTCAGGAATGAAGCTTGAGGTATCGAAGTATGCCTTGGTTTCTTAAGACTTGCCAAGCACTCGTGTTGCTGTTCTGCTTGTGTGATGCGGAGTGAAGGATGAGATCTCATAATTATCGGGGCTTCTGGCAGTACTATATAGCCCACCTGTCATTGAGGCCCAAGGACCTCGTCGTAGAGATCCTCGTGGACGGATCAAAACCTGGGGAAGCTGCCCGGGAATGGTTTGCGCGAGACCAATGAGATCGAGGCGGCGACATGGCTACGGTGAAGCCACGAGATCTGGAAGCGCCATCGGGACCCCTCCGCACGGTCTCGAAGAGCGACGAAGCACTTTCGAGAAGGCGAGAAGCGATGATCGAGCTTTCCGAGATGAGCTGCGGCCAATCGCAGAAACTCGATGATGATGTCGAACCTTCGAGGTTGAGGTTTTCCTCGGATCTCGAATTCAGAGCTGTCATAGGATATAGCCGAGCGAGAAGCCTGATGAACCCTAAAAACCTCGTGGTGCATTAGTAGATGTTCGAGGCCTCGTGGAGCGATGTCGTTGAGATCGATATTCGTGTGGAGATGCCCAGGATGGTCACGCTCTTGGACCCGGGGACCCCGCACTTGAGCTCGAAACCTACCCGTACTGTCGGGCGCACGAAATCTCCCAGGCGCGACACCGGAGCAGGTCTGTTCGACTTGTGCAAAGCGTGAGACGCTCGCTTGGGATGACCATGACTGGCACGTGGCGGGCTCTTTGTTAGGCCCTGCAGCTGCCACTCTGTAGGAAGTACATGTTTCCCGTCGCCCTCTGAAGTCGGAGAACTGGCCCGCGCCACAGCCAAATCACTGCACCATGGGCGGGCATGAGGAACCAGCTTTTGATCTTACATTGCAAGTCATCTTGCCAATGCTCGGCCTTCGTGTTTCTGCGGTCAGATTCAACGACTGTAGTGATTGGCTAAGCTTTAGTCGCCTGAGCTTGTGTATGGCTTCGCGATTCGACCACTGATAAGAAACTTATGTGGTCGCTGACTGCACGAATCATTATGCGCTTCAACCTGCAGGTCTGGTAAACTTTTGGTGGTCGAAATGGCAGATCTGGGCTGGCTGAGATTCATATCGCCCAACCCATGCCCCGCCCACATTGACATACCTAATAATTGTTTCTTTGTACTTACCACATAGTCTGAAGCCAGCGCTCGCGATCGAGCGTGTCTCCAAATCCAGATGCAACGGCTTGCCATTGTGAAGGGCAAGCTCGCACTTGTCTGCTTGGCGCTGTTCGCGGCTTCTGCTAGGGCGCAAATTGTATTGCAGTACTTCCCTGATCTGGTCAGTGTAGGGGAGACGTACGAATTGAAATGGACGGCAGAAGGGAATTATGTGAGTTTCCACCAAAATCAGCCAAAAGAAGCCAGCCCAAAGACAGCATGGCTGATCAGAGAACTCGATTTGTAGAGTTACAACATCTGGCTCATTCAGGACGAGAGCCTGTACGATGATAACGACTATGACTGGAGTAAGGTCAACGGACTCGCTGCTGGATTAGTTTATCAGCATACCCTGAGTCCGACTTTTTCCTGGACGGTGCCATCGAACTTAAGTGTCAACGAGTATGAAGATCCGAGTCTTGTGCTGCGTTGTACTGACTTGTGTGCAGCACCTACGCGCTCTGGCTGAATGCCGGTGAGATTCCTTTTCATGGAGGTACACTGTCCACAGAGACGAGTTGGTTCGGCGTCACGACGGAGAAAATCCCATCTTCATCGGCCTCGGCGAGTCCGAGCCCAACAGCGACCCAAGGATCAAGCCAAACTTCAAGCGCCGATACAGAAGAGAAATCGAGCAATCATCATAGTGGTCTGTCTGGCGGAGCAATCGCTGGAATCGTGATTGGCGTCGTGCTCGCACTCGCTTTCGTGGTTGGCGGCTTGCTGCTCTTCCGACGCCGGAGAAGTAGGTCCAAAGAAGGGGACGGCGAGGCAGAAGCCAGAGCGAGAAGACTCGCGCCCGTAATGCAGGAAGGATACCCAGAAGGATATGAATTGAGTAAAAGAATGTCGAAAGCAGCGGTGTCAGTAACACATACGGGGTGAAGAGATGGCCTGGAAGCAGCTGCTGTGACAGCAAGCCCGAGTCGCATAAGAGAAGCAGTAACCTGTCAGACCGTCGCTCTCACAACATGAGGAAAAGACAACCTGAATTTCACCAGCAATTTCGATATTGCTTCCCAGATTTGATCTACTCGCTTGTCCCATTGTGGTCTCACACGATCCCATCGTGGCGATGAAGAAGTGACCATGCTCCCTTGCACAAGTTCCAGTTTTCGTGACTTCTTGATAAGACGTGCCATGCCTTGCCGTGTTAGCGCGAGGTGAATGCAGCTAGGACCACACAAGTCGCCTGCGACGACACCGCTTCTGAGGGACTTCGGCGGTCTTCTCTTTGACATTTAGGTCTGGTGTGAGGCTTCAGTAGAAGAGTCTCTAAAAGAAGCGACAGCGTCGACTGTAAGATGGTCGCAATTAGGGACAAGATGGATGCAATAGGGGCAGGAAAGTTGCCGGGCTGTTCGGGCATAAACTGAGCGTTTTCAGCAGGTCACTTGGCAGTTAAACCTCAAGATTTCGAGTCCGGTCGGGCTCTGAGGGCTGGAACTGTTTTGAAAATCGAGCCAGGAAGTTTGGCAGGAGCCTCACTTGAGCTTCAAGTCGCAGAACCGATCTATCATCAATTTACCTGCTAGGGGGGTCGCTGTGAGAAATTTGCCGTGAGATATGTTAACCTTGGGAAGGATGCAGAAAATGTTTAGTTCTTGGATCACAGCCTAGTAGGGTGCCAAGGCGTGTGAACGGCTCCTCCCCCGCCGCGCCGCATACATTTCTCCACTCATTTCATCGCGTCCAGATTCGTCCGCAACGTCGAACGCATCTGTGCTATCGTCGCCCAGGGCGGGCTCTGCATCGAGGCGCATGCTCCAGACCCGACATGTCATACCCGCCTCTGTCGGGCTACGGTAGCTACTATGACGCGAACAACCAACAGTCGTCAGCATATTCAACCCACCGGCAGGGCCAGGCGAATCCGTATGCGCCGGTGACGTTTCCAGGCGATCGCCAATCTCAGTATCCAACCTCGGGCTACGACTGGCAAGGGCAGGGTCAGGGCTACGGTCAGAACCCGCAGCAGTCATACAACGGTGACAGCTACGCTGCTGGTCAGACTGGGCAGTACGAGTATAGAAGAGACGACAACAACTATGCCAACCAGGCGAGTGCAAGCGCCCCTAATACTTACGACAATGCGAAGACCACAGGTAGAGCCCTGACTCTGCAGGGCCTGAACCAGCTGGCCTCCGCATCTGAGTTGAATCCGCAGTCTTCGAGTAGGAATGCGCAAGCTACCACCGGAGCATCATATAATGGCATGACAGCAACAGCCGTCGCTCGCACCCAGTCTCCCTTACAGGCTCCTGGTGCGCAGCGCCAATACTCCACCAATCCGCCAAACTACAACAGTATGCCTTCTAACACGAATAATGGGCATATGTCACCTGCGGCACAAGCATTAGCAGGTGCAGCCAGTCGCAAAAACCAGCAGAGTGCTGGTAATCCACGCGCCCAGCCGGCCCGCTCGAACTCACCATACACTGCTGCGCCAGTCCAACATCAACGTGCGCCATCACAGACTGCGCCATCTCGTAGTCCGAACGTGTCGAAACAGCGAGCGCCTGCGTCTAGGAACACAGCGGCGCAACGAAAGCAGGTGAATTCATCGTCCCAAGCAGCTACGAGCATATCAAATCTGGTGACCTCGAATTCGGAGCCCACCATACCGGCAGAGGTGGCTGACAATATGCCGACCTACATTGATCCAAGTCAGGTCTTCAACCCGTATCATCGAGAACATGAGAGGCGTCGTGAGGAGGCGGCAGAGGCGGAAGTTAGGCGAAAGCAAGATGAGGCGAAACGGAAGAAGGAAGAAGAGGCTAAGAAGAAAGCCGAAGATGAGGCAAGAAAGAAGGCAGACCAGGAGGCCGCGGCTACATTGGAACGCGCTGCTAAGAACATGGCAGATGCGGCTACTAAGGCGGCTAAGTCACCTGAAGCTCAGCGGCCGAAGTCTGCGCAACCAAAACCTGCCAAAGCTGCACCGAAGAGTAAGAAGAAGCCAGCGCCTGCTCAGGAAGCAGTGCAGAGTTCACCGCCTCCTGCGGACGACATGGCAATGCAGATGAAGATCATGATGGACAAGATGAAGGAGTTTCGCCAGCAGGACCCGGCCATGTTCCAAAAGCTATGGGACGACATGAGGAAGGGTGGGACGAATGCGGTCGCTACCAGCTCTAACAAAGCCCCGCCCACAGCGTCACCGAACATTGCCAGAGCCGCGGTTCCCAAGTCTTCGGCCCCAGCAGCAGCAGTTCCTGGACCGTCTACCGCGCCGCCGGCTCAGGTGTCTGCCCCTGTGGCAGCTGCAGATGGACCCGCCGATATATCGACAGCGCCCGCGCCTACCAGGAAGAAACGTCCTCCTCCAGTCCGACCTGCCGACTTGGATCCTAGCGTACCACTCAACGGCTACAAGGTGATTGTAGAAGACAACGAGGAAGGTCTCCCGGACGCAGGAAGATTCCCAGCTGAGCGAAGAGTACGGCAATCCTATGAACGAAATCCCGAGAAAGCAGCAAATGCTCCCAGAGCTCCTACAGCTTCCACGATAATGCCACCACCACCGACTCAGCCATTGCCAGCACGAAATGCCGCTGGAGGAGTCGAATGGCCCAATGATAAGCGAGAAGCACTCGCGGCGGCAGCGATCACCGCTCTAAAAGCTGAGCCGGGAAATGAAACCATCGAAATCACTGCTGCTGATATCAATGCTATTCTGGACACAAATCCAAATTATATCGACTTGTGCGACTTGCTGGAGAAGCGAGGCCTGAAATTTCACCGCGGCCAGTTTGCAAGGCAATTACTGCAAAGTGTGCCTGATCTTAGTAAAGGTCAGAAGCAAGAGGCTACTCAACCTTCTCCGGCGCCACTCATGCCAGGCGGACAAATTCCAGGAGCTCCGCCTCCCTCCTATGCATACCAACCAGTACCACAGCCTACGACTCCGAGCCAAGCGCAATTTCGTGCACCACCTTTCATCCCGTCAGTCATTCCCTTGCAGCCTGGGCAGGCGAAATCGGAGAATCGGTTCAAGCAGCGAGGGAGACCTCCGGCACAAGCACGTCCAGAGCCACCTCCTGGATCGAAGGAAGCAATGTCCAAGAAGCGAGACTTCTCTGAGCTTATTGACCTCACACAGCTCGCCGATAATGAGAACTATGTCTCGGATGACAATGCGGGTGCGAACAGCCCTTCACCAGAGCCAATGGATCTCCTCCGTCAGTTTCAAGCACCAAATGGCATGATACCTCCACCGCCGCAGGCCATGTTCGTGCCTGGTCCGCCATCAATGATTCATCCGCAACCATACCAGCAACAAGCCGCACCTCCTCCTCCACCGCAACAACCGCAGAAGCCGAAGACTATATTGGCACGTCCTGTCAACAAGAATGAAGCACTGAATAAGGAGTACTATGATCCACGAACAGTCGCAAGGGATATCATGATCGCTGCAGGAAGACATCCCACGGAGCGACCCTTGAACGCCCACCTTGGGTCGATGCTGTACAAGTACATCGAAGTCGACTCGGACCTCAACACTTTCGACTGGGAAGCGATTGACCCTGGCGGTCCTCCACCTCCAAAAGTGGCATACGTTGACATCCCTGCTGCACCACCTCGATTTAAGCTCGGCGAGAGAGGACTACAACCAAGAAAGAAGAGAGTGCAGACAGTACGGGCAGGCAGTGAAGACGCGCCGAACGGAGCTATTCCCGAATCGGACAAGCGCGATTCTGGCGCGACGACTTCAACTTCCCCCGTATTGCTTGCTCGACTTGGTGCACGCAACAAACATATTTCTACCGGCAAAGAGCCTGCGCAAGCCGGTCCTTCGCGTCTTCGAGAGAGCACTCGAGCCGCTTCTGAGGCAAGTGTGAGTGTGACTCCATCGAAGCGCAAGGCCGACGACGCAATGGCTAGCCCTGCTTCAAATGACTACCCCCAATTCCCCTCGGGCAAACGTCGTGGCCGGCCACCGGGCTCGAAGAACAAGCACACCTCGCTCTCAGCGCTGCATGACGGGACCGAGCCGTCCTCCTCCTCACCTCAGCACAGCATCTTCAAATGTCGCTTCCCTCGCTGCGGTGACGAGCTGCACAACCTCGAGACCCTGAGAAAGCACATTCGAAAGAAGCACGGTCCCGATGCCGAGCAGATCGAGAAAGAGCCGAAGCCATATGGGTGCTGGTGGAAGCATTGTCCTAGCAAGAACGGCGACGGCACGTACAGCGCAAAGTACACTTTTGCGAGCATGGATGAGTTGATGAAGCATCTCGATGAGACACATCTGCACGAGGTGGCTATGAGGTTGGGCGATGGGCCGAAGACGGGGAGTGCGGGTAAGTTGTAGTGATGTGCATGATATCCCTGATGCTGTATTCATAAGTGAGAAATACCATAATTATTCTTCGCATAAACACAAAGCCTTCCTCGATGTGCTCGAGCAGTGAGAGCTGTATTCTACACCCAACTTGCCAGACACCGCAGGCAACGCTCGAAAGTACCATAATCGCAGAGCGAGAATTAGATGAAGAGGCCTCCAGCACCGCCGTACCTACACTCCTCGCCCTCATCCTGCTTCCCCATGCTCTCAAGTTTGCCCTCCTCAAAGGCACGACACGAACCAGCTGACCTGTCTTTCTTCTATTCAGTCTCAATTACAGATCCAATCACATACCTCACCAATCACACCGACCAACAGACCACGCCGTCTATCCCACTACTTTCGACCAAGGGCCCAAACAAACACACCGACCTCTCAACCGACGCCTGGGTCGTCACCACTACCACGGTCGACAAGTCCAAACTCAAGACCACCACACACAACCCCAACGGCCCCTCCAACGTCTCACCAGCCCCTGATTTCCAACCGGACAACACCACCATTTCCTCTACGAAAATGATGAATGCAGCCAATGACGCAGAACACGCCGCGAACCAGAACGCAGCAGCATTAAAAGCATTCCTCAAAACCCACCCGCCCACACAAGGCGACGGCGAGGGGAAGGTGGAAGGCCCGAAGGTTGGTGTGAAGAGGACTGCGTTGGAGACACTGAGGGGCTTGGAACGGAGAAAGAAGGAGTTGGGGGTCGGGTTGGAGAGGGGCGCGTGTACGTTGGTGGGGAAGGAGGATGGGAGGAGGGAGGCGTTTGCTGGAGGGAAGTGGGGAGTGGGGAGACGGGGGGTCGTTGTTGCGGGGGAATGATATGGTATCTTTCGGGGAGAGGCTGGTGACTACTGGTTGTGTCAGGGAACGAACGACATGCCTCCGCATGGTCGCACGGTGCGACGGTGAAGTCGAGGCGCTCGGAGTCACGGTCTACGGAATATCGATCTGGGCAGAGTCGGCAATAGGGATGGAATGCAGAAGTAAGCAGCGGTCGTCACCAAGGACGACTCGGTGCACAGCATAGCGTGGCATGGGGTCCTACTGGGACAGCATTCATTGCAGGAGAATGAGATACTTCCGGCAGGCAAGAGGCAATTGCCATCGAAACCTAGACAAGTAGCTCTGCATTGCGGCGAGCTCGCAGGACATGGGCACGACTCGAACACGAAATCAGAATCTTTGAAGTATTTTATGTTCAGGCAATGGTATCCTCTGTACCTAGCTAGACCACAAGCAGACACGTTTCGACCGCGTTCACTCGGGTGTGTGAAAATTAACAGCACTCGTCGAGCTCGCAGCTTGAAGAGCAGCCGTTGTCTTCGGGTCGTAACGCTATCGATACGCGTCGATCTGACCTCCGCCCATTCCTCGATCTCGGTGCTTCCCTGACTCGAGCGCGGCGTGACCTGCTCAGGTGAGCGTTGCGTTGCAGGTGCGCGCTTGGACCTGCGTTCGGATAGGCTGGTGTTCGGGAATAGCAGTATGGCGGCCGAACGGCGAAGTCGAGTGCTTAGTATTGAGCGTGTGAATCCTGAGACGCACCCTGGTCGATCTTTGCGCGGACTTGGACTGAGCTGACTCGTGATATTTTGAACATGATGAGAAACTGGGGATGTGGATCTCCTCACACGTCGCCGGACCAGTGTTGTGATGTTTTCCTGCCATCAGTATCTCCCAAGGAACTCATCAACCTTCCCAGCAGTGTCCATAGCTGTTGCTCGTCATCATGCCAAGTAACCCGTGGCGGCTGGCTTCTGTAGAATTGGCGCTGATCCTCCGACTGCCATCCGAGGGCTCCAGGACTGGAAGTGCAATCGCCGGTCGCGGCCAGAATGCTTCGTAGATGTGTGCATCGTCCATTCTCTCAAAGCAAGCTTGCTCATAGCTTCTCGCCCTCCCTGCCCACAGCAACACCTCCGCTCTTCACGCCCACCGCCGTGTCATCCTCGTCGACAGCATTGACTTCGAGGAAGTGGTAGAGGACGATCATGAGCATCGACGCTGAGCCCAGGAAGAGGGCGAGCGTGTATAGCTGGCTGTCTGATATCATAGCTGCGGTGTGCGTGTCTGTGTGGTCTTTGTAGTGGTGCGGTGACTTGGACTTCTGGTTGCACGGCTCGGGCGAGGGGTCCAGGGAGACGAGTGCCTCTGAGGAGATAATTGTCGTATTGGCGAGGCTGAGGCACGGAGTGAGTGAGGGCTTTTAATGCTGGTCTTGAAGCACAGCAGACTGGAGAAGATGTTGTGCGGTCAGCTGGCTGTACTTCGAGAAAAAGGAGGCGCTGTATGATATGCGGACCACAAGTTTGTCCAGGAAGGATAAACGGTTAGTCGACACTTCGTAGGGTTAGGGCTCAGTTGTACACTCTGGTGCGATGGACGTCAGTGCTGTGTTCTGATTTCGGAGTTGCACCTGGATACATCCTGTTCACTCAAGTCCCGAGTCGCTATCATTTGCTACCAGATTTGTAGCTGGAAAGATAGGTGACGACTGCAGATATAGGTCGGTATGCTTGTAGCCGAAGATGAGTGGAACCAAGTCCCGCATCAGCGGGCTCGTCTCGGTTGCTCGCACCTGCACCAGTTGCCAGCCTGAGGTAGTCCAGAGCAAAGTTCACCACTAATATATGATCGAACACACCTCTCACGTTCTGGACGAATGCTCATGGTGTGCTTCTGGCACCTAATTCGTATGATACAGCGGGATCGGAGCTGCCATGCACACTCACCGGCTGCGTTGACAGTCTACTATCTCCTATTCATCGGGTGCCTGTTTGTATCCGACACGGTAGATCGCCGACTGCCGCCGTAAGTCTGTCGATGTTTGCTGGTCCACGAACAGATCAAGTCGCCGCCAATGAGGTGCTGCATTAAAAGCACCCCTGGTGCAGTCTTCCGTTCACAGCAAGCAGCTTCTACTGGAAAGATGGAAGACATCTGGATCGTACGTTTGATCTTGTATCTACTGCTCTCCTATTCCTTTCCAACTGTGAGTCAAGATCTTATACTATACACTGTGTTCTGTGGCGAGTTGGCCGTCTGTCGTCGCGGTCATGGACCCTTTAGTCATGCCCATCATAACGGGTATCCTCAAGGTACTCGACGTGTTCATGAAGGCGGGAAGCAGCGTCAAAGACATCAAGCATGCCAAAGCAGACCACGCGAGGCTCTCGAGCGAAGCCAGCCAGCTATACGGACTACTCCTGGACCTGCAGTATCGGGTGGAAGCAACATCAGTCGATGATTCATGTCTCAACAAGTTCAAGCTCCTAGCGCAGGAGAATGGACCTATTCAGCAGATGCAGAATTCACTCGAAGAAATCCTGAAGCAGCTCCCAGGTTAGGCCGGATGAGCCCATATACTACAGAATGCTATACTAAAGTCACACATAGGTCCAGGCAAGGGCGAACGCTTCATTGCCAAAGTCATGTGGCCCTGGAACAAGAAGGATGCCGACGAAGTTCTGCAACGCATCGAGCGCGTCAAGAGCATTGTACATTGCGCGATCCTCGGAGACCTCACGTGGGTATAGCGTGGACGGTCTGCCTCCCATAGTACTGATACTGCTAGGGCGATGGTGACAGTTGTCCACCAGAACATCAACGACTTGACCGAGCAGGTGAAGACGCTTGATCTCCGTACTGTCGATCTAAAGTCGCGCTCAATACGTGAGTTGTCGTCCGAGGGACTCACCTTATGCCTGACACTAGACTAAACATGTTACAGAAGATCAACAACACAAAATCGCTCAGTGGCTTAAGATCCCAGATCCATCGACCAACTATTACAGTGCGCTACAGAAGCGGCAGCCGGGCACCGGTCTGTGGCTTCTGGAAGCAGAGCAATTCGGACAGTGGCTGAGTGACACGACATCGTTGATGTGGCTGCATGGAATTCGTACGTATTTGGGCGGTAGCACTAATATCGGAGCTAACCTGCATGGCCAGCCGGGTGTGGCAAAACCGTTCTGAGGTAAGCCCAATTTTTCGTTGGTGTCGACCTGAAAAGCATGCTCACTAGCTGCAACAGCGCCGCAGCTCTACAACATCTGCTCCAGCTTCAAGATGCAGATCACGAGATTGCTGTTGCGTACTTTTATTTCGACTTCAACGACAACGCGAAACAGCGCACCGACAAGATGGTCCGATCCATTCTTCATCAGGTAGCGAGTCGAACGGCAGCCGGCCGACAGGCGATGGAGGCTGTTTACGAGCGTTGTGACAACGGCCAGCGACAACCTTCTTCGACCACAATTTGGGAGCTTTTGCAAGACATCCTTAGCGCTGCAAGTTCGGCGTACATCGTGTTGGATGCGCTGGATGAATGCACTGACCTTGAAGCACTGATGGATCACCTCACGAGTCTCGCCCGGAAACAAATTAGTGGATTGCGGATATTGGCGACGAGTCGCCGAGAGAAAGAGATCGAAGAGGCAATATCTTCAATCCCTCATGTTGACGTTGGCATACACAGCGCGATCGTGGATGTGGACATCAACACATATATCGAGGTCCGACTGAATCAGGATCCCAAGATGCAGAAGTGGTCCGGCCGTAAGGACGAGATCTCGGAGCATTTGATGGCCAAGGCAGATGGAATGTGAGTCCAATATAGGCCTCTATGAGCATCCAAGGACGCTGACAAATTGTCCAGGTTCTATTGGGTGCACTGTCAATTGGAAACGATTCGTCGATGTGTGATGCCGCCGGAATTGCAGAAAGCGTTGGAGAGCCTGCCTACAACACTGGACGAAACATACGATCGAATCCTTGAGCAGCTGGACTCACAAGGATATCTTCTGCATGCGCTGACAGTACTTCAGTGGCTGTGCTACTCAGTGCGCCCTCTGTCGTTACCGCAGATCGTGGAAATACTCGCGATTGACGTTGCGGATGGAGCAGGATTTCTACCGGAAAATCGTTTACCAGAACCAGAAAGTATCAGGACGATATGTTCTAGCTTGATTGATATCTACGTCGCAGACAGAAATGACCAGGAGCATAGGCCATGGACTACAATGGTTCGACTGTCGCATAATTCTGTCAAGGAGTATCTGAAGTCCGAACGGTGTGGTTACAAAGCCAGCTTCGCTCCGCGTATTTCCCACGAAATCATCGCCAAAGCATCCCTACACTATCTCTTATACCTGGCGGACCAAGGTCACACCACAAAGACACAAGCAACCGTGAGGTATCCGCTGGCACGGCGCGTCGCTGAGCAGTGGTGGGAACATGCTCATAACGTGGGTCGAGATCTTGATCAGAAGATCGTTAATCTTGTGCTGCGGCTCATGTCCGACGACAATGCTGGCCTGAAATTCTGCATTCGACTGCACAATCCCGACATTGGCGTCTGGGCACTACACCAATCGGCCTTTCGGTGTTGTTATGCACCACTCCTATATTATGCAGCTATGTTTGGGTTGTCAGAAGTGGTTAGCACGATACTTGAAAATGGCAGCGAGGTGACTGATGAGGAAGGCAGTCTGGACACGGCGCTGTTATCTGCGACGGGCGGAGGACATGCCACCGTGGTGCAGATGCTTCTGGATCATGGCGCAAATGTTAATGCCCCTGCGAGAAATGGAAGCACATGTCCTATTGCGGTAGACATGGATTCGTTTACAGCAAAGTACAACGTTCCTACACAACAGGAATTGATGCAAGGACGGCAAGGCTGGACTGCACTCATTCTGGCATCAGAGCTTGGGCGCGAGGCAGTGGTGAAAGTGTTGCTGGACAGGAACGATATCGACGTCGACGCCCGGAGAGAGGACGGTGTCACCGCCCTGCATGCAGCATCGGAGAGGAAGCGCAAGGAGGTGGTGCGAATGCTGCTGAACAAGGGTGCCAACGTCGACATCGCAGGAGGCCCATACAAAACCACCGCATTACATGAAGCGTGCCAGAACGGCTGTAATGAGGTGGTGCAAATGCTCATAGCTAGAGGCGCTAGTGCGGACATCGAACGAGGCCGAGGCCACTGGGAAATAAGTGATCCGTTCTCAAGAGCAGGCATAGCGAAAAGTCCGTTGTGGGCTGCCGTGAAGTACCGCAGTGTGGAGATGGTGAAGTCCATGCTCGAAGGAAGTGCAAAGATTGACTTTAACGGACGTTCCTACCGCAGTGCACTTCAGGAAGCGTCAGGCGCATATGGAGACGGAGTGATTCTGCAGATGCTACTCGATAGGGACGCGCAGGCGGAACTTGCTGAAGAGTCCCTCAACGAAGCATTATACGAGGCTGCGCGCTGGAGTCAGAAGAAGGTGGCGCAGATGCTTCTCGATAGGATTGCGAAAATCGGTGTCACACGACGTGCTCACCGCACCGCTTTGCAAGGAGCATCAAGTGGTGGTTCGATGGAGCTGGTGCAGGTGCTACTGGACAAGTATGGTGACACCAGCTTTACCGACGAGCTCACATTGGCAACAGCGCTGGTGTTGGCATCAATGAATGGTTGCCTCGAAGTGGTCGAGTTGCTGTCGAACAAAGTTGCAGACATCAACGCTGTCGTAGGAGACTGCTTTCTTGGTGAGCGCTCCGCCGAGGACGACGAGCAGCCCAATCCCGGCACTGCGCTGCAGGTAGCATCCTACAACGGTCGCTCGGCAGTGGTACAGATTCTCCTAGATCACGGTGCAGACATCGATCGCACAGGAAGCCCAGTCGGCCATCCTGAAACAGCACTCTCGCTGGCAGTCAAGGCGCGCCGTAAGGACGTCGTCACGCTTCTGCTGGACAAGGGTGCGGATGCCAGCCTTATAAGCGACAGTGCAGCCGCACTGCGATATGCATCCGGGACAGGTCGCGAGACGATGGTGCGAATGCTGCTCGACAAGGGCACAGATGTGCACGCTTTCGGAGAGGGTGGAACTGCGCTGCAGGGTGCTGCATATCGAGGCCACGCAAAGGTGGTGGAGATCTTGCTTGACGAAGGTGTGGATGTCAATGTGGTAGGGAATAACCGGCCCCGCCATGAAACCGCGCTGCAGCTAGCATCGTGGGGAGGTCACGGAGCGATCGTGCGCATGCTACTGAACAAGAGAGCGGACGTCAATGCTGCAGATCGTACTGGTCAAACTGCGCTTCATGACGCATCGAACAAGGGCCACGTGGCAATTGTGCGGATGCTGTTGGAGAATGGCGCGAACGTCAATGCTGCAGATCGCACTGGTCGGACTGCGCTACATGACGCATCGAACGAGAGCCACGAGGCGATTGTGCGGATGCTGGTGGAGAATGGCGCGAACGTCAATGCTGCAGATCGCACTGGTCGAACTGCGCTTCATGACGCATCGAACAAGGGCCACGAGACGATTGTGCAGATGCTGGTGGAGAATGGCGCGAACGTCAATGCTGTGGATATGCATGGCCGCTCTGCGCTGCATTGGGCATCGAAGGGAGGCCACAAGAGCGTCATGCGAGTGCTGCGGGAGGCTGGCGCAGTTGGGCTCCCTGCCAGAGGCATGAATGTTGAGCGCACGTCGGAGTCAACAGACGTGCAATCGACAACATCGGGAGATGCCGCAGAGCATCTCCTGGCGCGGTCATCGAAGGAGAATGCTCTGGAGGGAGAACAAGTTGGGCAAGAGCTCGCGCAGAGTTTTGAAGAGAATTCGACAACAGACTAGTAAGATCTTTCTCGCTTTGACGAGATCAATGACATTATGACCACCTAAGTGTTCTCCCCGTGACCAGGAACTGCGACGCATTTCAGTATGGGCTCAGCTCGGCTTCCTTTCAGCGAGCGTGAGTCAAGCGTGGGTCGGCCGTGAATCGGATATGATTTGAGCATGACGCGAGCGTCATTCGTGCTCAGAGCAGGTATTGAGAAATGACTGCCAGGGAGGCCTCTGGCCAGAAAAACTCCCAAACTTTTCGTTCAGCCCACCACTTCTGTTCCCGCTCCCACATCTACTCCCGCTTCCTCTCCCTATCCCTCCATCCGCCTCACCACCAAGCCCCCCACAGGCCATCCCTCCCACTCACTCCGCCTCCAATTCGCCCCTTCCAGCCCATCAACGCGTCCCCGCTCCCACACATCCTTCCACCCCTCCCGCAAAACCTCCGGCACAACAACCAACGCGTCCCATCCGTCCAAAAACCCCCTCAACCACTCCCCATCCATATCAGCCAAGTACCCGTTGACAGCGGTCAGAGCCTGCCGCAAACACATCCCCAGCGCGAGCAATTGCTCGTGCACGGCCCACAACACCGGAACAGCGTCCTCCACGCGCATTCTCACGCTCCCATCGATGCTGTTTTTGGCGTATTTGTAGCCTGCTGCTGCCCAGTGGCAGAGCTCTACTACCAAGTACGTAGCGGCTGTACGCCGCTCCAGCCCCTCGCGCACTTCCAAGAATATCAGCTCGCTGCGGAGCGCAACGACGCGTTGGGAGAGGAGGACGGCGTGATCGCAGCACTCTACCGCCAAATCGACTGCTTTCTGATGCTCGAGGTGAAGTTTCCAACAACCAGAACGCGCCGCAAACCAACCCGCTGAGGTGGGCTTCGTGCCATTATGCGGAAATTCGGCCGTGTAGGCGGAAGCAGGAGGGGAGAAATGCTGGAATGGGATTGCTGTTCCTGTGCTGCGGTCGATGTAATCTGGATTCCCGAAAGCGCGATCAGAGAGATGCGGCGAATATGGAGGAATGTGAGCGTGGGTCGGACAGGAAGCGAGGACGCGGGTGCAGCCTGGGGAGGCGGAATCGGAGCGTGGTGGGATGTCTTCGGCGGTGTTGCTGTTCTCGTCGTTCGTGGTGGGTTGTGGAAACAGAGGCTCAGAGGCCTCCTCATAGCCGAAATTGAAACCAAAATTCGTGGTAGAACCAAAACCACGACTTCGTGCATCTGCTTCTGCTGCTGCTGCGGCCCATTCTGCTTGTCGTTCTGCGGCAGCGGCTGCTGCTGCGATTCGTGCTTCTTCTGCGGCGAGTTCGCGATCGTATTCTGCGCGTTGGACGTTGTCGGTGAGGATGTCTTTGGCGTGGTTGATTGCTGCTGCTTTCTCGACCTGTTCTGGAGCATTTCCTGCCTTGTCTGGGTGGTTTCGGAGCTGGAGATGGCGCCAGGAGGATATGATTTCCTGTTTGGCCGCGTTTTGGTGGACTTCGAGGAGGTCGTAGTAGCGCGGGAACATGCCGTTGATGGGCGGGAAGGTGGAGGACGACATTGCTGCTGGGAGGCCTTTGCTGGAACGAGAATAGGTGGTTGAAAGTCGGAAGTAGGTTGGGAAGCAGAAGAGTAGGCTGTAGATGTGTGTATTGGTGTGCTGAGAGTGATTCCGCCTTTAGAGTCCTCCTCAATGTGTTATTGTTTGGTGGAAAGTTGACAGAAATCCAAGGAGCTGTGCTTGTGCCTTGAATGGTTGCTGGGACGTCCTGTTGTTCACAGCTTGAAGGTCACTGGCGAACAAGTGCCGCTTTGGTCTGTCTGGCACGCAATGGCAAGCTGCACTTTCCCGAAATCCACCCTGACACGGCTGGGAAGGGCTTTGTGGCTCTGAGAGCCATCGTCCAGATACTTGGCCATACCTCAGTCGAAGCTCACTTCATCGAAACAACTCATCATCGTACGGTCACGCAAGCATCTCGTCCATTCACGCTCATCGAAACCATCCACCCGCCTTCCCCTTTGCCTCCGCCTCCCGCCTTTTCGCCTCAGCCTCAGCAGCCTCCTTCTCCTCCTGCCTCCGCGTAAGCTCAATAATCCTCTCCCTCCGCCTCTCAACCGCCTCCAGCTCCTCTGCCTTCTTCTTCCTACGATCTAGCACGCCCGCGAACCATTCTTCCCGTGCCGCGTCCTGCTCTGCGTGCGACGAGTTGGCGAGCATGCAGGAGTTCATGTGAAACTGTTGGGTTTTGCAGGCCCAGGCGACGGAGAAGAGGCGGCCTTTGGCGCATGCTGCGAACTCTACACACGTATGAGCATGATTCCCCATTTGCGGTCCCGGATAGTCGTGACCTGGGTGTCTGCAAATGGGCTGGACATACCTGATATCTCGTCTGCACATTTCGCTCGTATTCGGGCATGGAAAAGCTTCTTCACTTCGTTCTCTTGGGTCGCGGATAGCGGTAGCGGGTTATGCAGATTGGTGGAGGGCGGCTTCGAGGGCGGTGTACTCGAGGCGACTTCTGGTATAATGGGCGGCGCCATGGCCATGACCTGTCTTTGGCGAGGCTGGCAGAGCTCTTGATGGAGCTGCTCCCGCTCCAGGTTCTCGAATCTGTGGGCTGACGGGTATCTCGCTCTCTTTAAGATGTGTATATTCCTGTTTGACCTGTTCAATTCGGTACTTGTGCATATATGTGAGGTCTACATCTTCCTAGCATGCAGTCTGGTCGTTGGAGTCACTTTCCTACTCCAACGCAGTTTACCCGAGCTTAAGCCGGCGCAGGCCAAACAGAAACATTTCCTCACTGCCTCTCACTACAATCACTGACCACACCACAGCCCTCATCCTCCACCAGCCGCCGTCGCTATGTCGTCGATGCGCAACGCCGTCACCCGACGGCCTCACAGAGAGCGCGCCCAACCTCAATCCCGCTCAAAATGGGGCCTCCTCGAAAAACACAAAGACTACAGCCTCCGCGCCGCGGACTACAACAAGAAGAAGGAGAAACTCGCTATCCTGACGACGAAAGTCAGGGATAGGCATCCGGATGAGTTCGCTTATGGCATGATCAACAAGAAGCAGGGGCAGCATGGGAAGGGTGGGACGGAGAATAGGTTAGGGCATGATGCGGTGAGGTTGTTGAGGACGCAGGATGCGGGGTATTTGAGGACTGTGGCGGCCAAGGGGAGGAAAGAGATGCGGAAGGTAAAGGAGGAGTTGGGGAGTGCGTCGGCGAAGGAGGGGAGGAAGATTGTGTTTGTTGATGAGAGCCCTGCGGGATCGCCGCGAGGCAAGAAGCGGAGTTCTACCGGGGACGTCTTGGAGCAGGTTGAGATCAATGAGGTTGTGTATCCGCAGCTGCCTGATCTCGACAGCGATGAGCCGATCGAGGATATGGCGCTGGACGAGAACGCACCCAAAGCCAAGCCGAAGACGAAGAAACAACTCGAGCAGGAGCAAGCTGCCGCCGCGAGCCTACGTGCGGCGCGCAAGAAGAGGAGAAAGCTACAGGAGGTCCGCTCAAACAAGCTTGAGATGTTGCAGAAGCGGCAGAAGGAGATACTGGCTGCTGCTGACCAGCTTGAGTTGCAGCGGGCGAAGATGGCGAAGACTGTTGGGGGTGTTAATAAGAATGGTGTCAAGTTTAAGGTGCGGGAGCGGAAGCGGTGACTGTGGGACGTGTTTGATGAAGACTACGATGTTACGAGCATCCAGAGATTCGTCCTTGCTCACAAGCACTGTGTCAATCGCGATGTCCGAAACAGTGCTTGTCAGTCTGGACGAAGTACACACCACACCGCTTCGTTGAACTCTCCAACTCAGCTCACGAGGATCCCAAGAACATGGGCGGTCCAGGCACGGGGACATATGGTCCTGCGGGGCACGAGCGTCAGCACACTTCGAGGAAGGCGGCAATGTGGACGACTTTGATGACAGACCCGCTCTGGTGTTTTCGGTCAGGGATTAGCGGTCAGCATCTCGACCATCGCACGTGGTGAAGGTGCCACTCTGGGTTGCAAGCGACTAGCGGTACGTTTCAAGGCTCTTGGTCAGCATCAAAGCCTGAAAGAGCCACGGAATAATATCTCCTCACACAGTACTACGATGTTTGTTCAGGATGGTTCCTATCGTCGGAGATATCAGGTTTTACTCAGCTAGCAGTCGGAGTTCTGATTCCCAGCCCAGGTGTGATTTGCTACCCGCCTGGACACAAGCAATCTGATACCGCCGCACCTCGTGTTCATGGACGCGTTCGAAACGCGCACCGTCGAGGATCGCACTATCGGCAATTCCATCACCCAGAAAATATCGCCGATGTACGGTAGCATTGTAGCAATCCATGGGAGATTCGACGGAATGCTTCAGTCGGGGCGAAGAGGCAGATTTTCTGCCCGTCGCAAACTTGCGAATGGGTTTTCTGTTAGCGTCTGTACGATATAGTCACTCGTCCATTTCCTCGAAGGATGATGCTGGACAGTCTGGACTGCAGTCCTGTGTGCCCATGGGGCGGGTATGCTGTCTGCCACGTGCTTACTCCTACATCTTAAGAGAAGAGGCTTCGGAGTCGTACGTTCCCTTGAATTTGCGACCAAGGTTAGCTTTTCGGCGGGTATGGCGAGTGCTTCACAACCCAGCGAGCTAGCCCCAGAAAAGCATAGACACCATGCCGGGGAATAAGGAACGCGGAAGGGACATGGATCTCTACGATCGACATGGGTATTTTCTGGCACTAGAGCGCCGGCTGTAACAGCTGGGCTCTTCCTTAGGCTTCCATCGAGCTTCGAGTCCTTTGCTTAGCGGCCTTTCGATGGGAAGAGGATACAAATTAGCCAGAGGGCTTGCAGTAGGGCTTCGTGGCAAGTTCGGAGATCTGGAGGAGAGGTACCTCTGGTGTGGAAGCTTAGATTCTTTGGTTGGGTAAGTCTAGACGACGTGTATTTGATGCATGGCTGAGGTGTAGAGAGAGTTTGGGCTCTGACTGAAGGTAGACGGGAGGAACGACTTCCATAAAGGCAAACCTGCGCGAAAGAGAAAACAGAGCGAGTAGTAGCGATGACAGGGAGGAGGAATCAGAATCAGCCATTGAGTTGAAGACCCCTTTACCCAAGAAACAGCCCAGTTTACAGGGGAAGGCCCGGCATGGCAGTAGTAGCAGAGGGGTCTCCTGGGCTCTCTCCTTCACAGTTTGGGGCCGGGTAGACCTCCCTCACCCACAATTCAAGCCCCTACTCGGTACTGCACTACTGAGTCTGCTCTGACTTCTCCTTGCTCACTCCCACCACACTACCACCACCACTACCATTCTACAACTCTTCAGTGAGTGTGGTAGCAGGAGTTGTCACACAGCACATTTCTTTGGTGATCTGTGTGCTGTGACTGTGCAATCGCATCCTTCACTCTCATCCCCATAGCAGTCACGACTGTTTGTGGTGCAACCGCCGGCCCTCTAAACGCCCGCCAACACCCTTGATTGGTCTTGGATTCACTACCAGCGATCCAACCGTGTGCTACCTGTCGTCTTCTGGTCACTCCATCGAAACCATTTGGCATTCATCTGTTGCTATTCTCGTCATTGCCATCCTCTCAGTCTCTCGAACCCGCGTCCCACTATTTTCTCCCACCACACGGAATCGGTTAGTGTGTGCTCGCTCTCCTCCTTCACCCACCTCCTCCCTTGCCGCGGACTTCAATACTGTCAGATCTCACCTTGCGCCGACTGACAAGTAACCTACAGCCCTACATCAGCGCAAACGGAATTCGACTCGACCCAAGCGACCGCGATCTATGCATCTTGCGACTGTACAAATGACTCTAAACAACTCTGCGCCAACCCCGAAAACGCTACAAACCGATCAAGCGCTCTGAGACCCTTCGATGTTGGTGGCTCTGTCGCCCATGCTAAATAATCCGGTCAGTCTTGGAAAGATGACCGCAGAACTTGGAGGAGGACCGATCCTAGACCGTGACAATATCATAAATGTGCGCGAGGGCGAGTCATTATACCGACTATGCATCAACCTCAGAAGGCGCTTGTCCGGCGTACCTGGCTTTCGACAGTATATCGAGGAGATGGAGGAGCGGGAGAACGATGGCGCGGATCCGGTTTCGTCACTATGGCAGTGCTTCAGGAGTGGAACTCCTTTGCTAGCCATTTACAATGCTTCAAATCCAGAGTCGGGCGACCTCACAATCAACACAAATCTACCAGAGAAGAAGTGGGGAAAGGCGGCGGCAGCACTATTCATCAAGTCATGTATGCAGCAGATGCACATCGCCTCAGCCGACACCTTCACCATCATGGATCTCTACAGCGACAACACCACAGGCTTCCTCAAGGTCATCAAGCTGGTTGATCGTGTGCTCGATATTCTGCGACTAAGCGGCAAGTTGGACGTAGCCACGGACTCCGAGCCCTCACGAGAGGGCACCGACAGCCCGGCCAGCATCGCAGAGAAGCCGAAAATGACGAGGAGGCAATACATTTTGCGCGAACTGGTAGAGACCGAGCGACAATATGTACACCATCTGCAAAATCTACAGGCGTTGAAGAAAGAGCTGGAAGAAATTGGATCGTTAAAAGGAGACGCCATACACAACATGTTTCTGAATCTGAACAATATTCTGGACTTTGCGCAGCGCTTCCTTATTCGAGTTGAGCAACAAAACGAACTGCCTGAAGAACAGCAGAATTGGGGCGCCATGTTCGTCCGCTACAAGGACCCCTTCCGACAGTACGAGCCCTTCATCGCCAACCAGAAGCGTTGCGAGGCAACACTGCAAGCCGAATGGTCTCGCATGTGTGAGACAAGCAAATCTCCCCTCGCCAAGAAGATGCTTGCCAATCCGACCATTCTCAATGGCTTCCTCCTCAAGCCATTTCAGCGACTGACGAAATATCCTTTGCTGCTCAAGGATCTTGAGAAAGTGACCGATGAGCAAGAAAAGAAGGACGACCTGGGCAGCGCTGTAGCTGTCATTCAAGACGTCCTAATGCAGGCAGACGCATCTATCGACAAGGAGACCCGAGACGAGGCTGTTCTCGACCTCCAAGAACGCATCGACGACTGGAAGACGCTCCAGATCGGCGCTTTCGGCGAGCTGCTCCTTCTCGGTAGCTTCATGGTTGCTAAAGAGGGCAACGCGGTCGGAATGCGCTCAGAAGACAAGGAGTACCACATATACTTGTTCCAACGAATCCTGATCATGTGCAAGGACATCAACCCGAGCAAACCCAAGAACTCACTGAAGATGGGCAGCAAGCCTACATCAAGTCGGAACGGGAAACCCAAGATGAGTCTAAAGGGTAGAATCTACCTCATCAATCTCACAAATATTACACCACAGTCAAGTCCCGGGCACTATACGTTGCAGATCTCATGGCGGACAGAAACTACTTCGCAGGACACTTTCTTGGTCAAGTTCAGAAATGACGAGATGCTTCAACGATGGCATACCGCCTTGGAAACTCAGCGATCATCGAGTCTATTCGAGCAAAAGCAAAGGGCGACATCAGATACACATTTGCAGTCTTTGGCTGGCGCGAAGTTGGAGAATCCGTATGCGAACCAAGAGGACGATGACGACTACAGAGCATCGCAATGGTCAGACACGACATATGTGGGCGGACAATCATATTCATCCTTCAACATGAGCAGAAATGCGTCCAGCACAAGTCTGCGATCTCGATCAGCGACCGGTGGAAGTGGCGAACGAAATCCGCATCTCTCACAGGGACATCCACGGATGCCCAATGGTGCTGGAGGGCTGTCTCTGAACACGGCAGTGGCAGGAACGCCTTCCGACTACGGCAGCAGCAGCTCCTACTTCTCGCCCATCGATCGCGACACGCCTCCACAGTCAGCATCAACAAGATCAAGTTCACAATCAGCGTTTGCAGGCTATCATAGAAACCACCCATCGATGAATGGGCCGATAATGGGCTACCAGCAAGATTCGTACCGCAACACGGCCCCAGCGTTGGCGCGAAATGCGCCAAATGGAAACCCGTACATGCAGCAACAGCGCGGACAGCCAAGACCCGGCATGCCAACTGGAACACAGTCGTCACAAATGACTGCTCGGATGCGATCAGCGAGTAGTCCAGATATCCACCCGAACGTCCAGGCGAGCCGAAAATACGTGTCTGGCGACGGCGTGCCGAATGTCCCACCCATTCCGTCCTATGCCAAGCAGATGGCGCCCCCGAGTCGCAGTCAGAACAATTCGCCCAGCGGCGTGAACGGCCCAATGCCCTTGCGACAGAACTCACAAGGCTATGGAGTCCAACCCAGCAGCGCATCACGCCCACCAATGTCCAGCCACGGCTACACATACGACCAAAGCTACGCCCAAGATCCCAGACGGCAACAAGGCCACGTCTCCTCGCACTCGACAGGACGCCCGCTATCACCCATTCAACAAGGTGCACAGGTTGACAGCAGCCAAGAGATCCCCATGCCCAGCCAACTCAAAGCCAAAGTCTGCTACGAGAGCAACTACGTCTCAATGATCATCCCTAGCAACATCCAGTACCGCTCATTGACCGATCGCATCGACGCAAAGTTGTCGAGATTTACGAATGATTCGATCGCCAGTGGGTCTGTAAAACTGCAATATCGTGATCAAGACGGCGATTTCATCATCATTGATGATGACGACGGCGTGAATGAGGCGCTGCTGGACTGGAAGGAGGTGAATGTGGTGGGGAATGGTGGAAGTGCGGAGTTGGTGTTGTACGCGACTGCCACGGGGGAGGCGGGTGCGTGACTACTTGTGGGCAAGGGGAAAAGGGATATAGATGAGTGGGATACATGTGGATAAAGATGCATGGTCGGGACGATACACGGAAGTCGTACCTGGATCGAAGGTATCAGGTTTGAGAAGAGCAACGGGAAGACGAATGCGCAGAGCAAAGCGATGTCAAGGCGCAGAGGCTACACGCAACACACTACAAATGGCGGAAATGAGAAACACGACTGGGACGACATGTGGGATTTCATAATGAGAATATGGACAAGGGCATTTGAGGCGCAGGAAGAGAGGCCTTCGGTAAATGGAGAGGCAGAGCAGAAGAGAGGAGAGGACAATCTCACTACTGGCGAATATCATAAGTGCCCAGATAGGTGGGCTTTGGATACCACAAATGCAACTCTCAAGCCCATACAATCTTGGAACAATGTTCTATCAAGTAGCGACCCACACCTTGCTACCTTGGTCCTACCATGGTTGCGTGGCAAATGACCTCTCTCTGTGTCTTTCCCTACACGCATACCTCTACTCCTTGAAACGATCCCTGTTCTCGCCCCTCTTTGCGCAGTTTCAGTTGGTTCATTTGGAGGTGGTACTTTCGCTATAGCTCAAGCAGATGGACACCGGAGCAATATGTGTTCTCTGCCAACTGGTTGACGTTGGATCATGCTCAAAACAAGAAAACTCCTGCTCAAGATCCACGCCCGCGAGCAAGTCTCAAGTCAATCGCCCGCTGATCCCAGGATTCTCGGCCTCGATCGACAAGGCTCGCAGGACAAGGATGATACTGCCGACTGGAGAAGAGACCTTTGGTTGTTCACCAAAGTGCCTAGGCAATACGAGGATTCGTATCCTGCTTCAAGTTGGAACCCTAGCCTGGTCGAGGTTTGCTTAAATCCTTCTTCACCTCGACGTTCTTGTAAGCGCGAGCCTGTTTGTTGCGACGGCTTAGTTGTTTTGCAGGACGACAAGGTCGCTTGCCTTTCCCGCGATTGTTCTTTCAACATCGTGACAATGTCCTTGGCTCAAGACGATTTTCTCGTCAGTGCGCAGCTTCGAACAAGGTCATACGACACGATGAAGGCTGTTGGAGAGGGTCAGGTGTGAGTCTAAAGCTGGAAGCATGCCGCCGACAGCGTACATTTGCAACTTTTACGCTAGATACGAGACACTACAAGCAGAACTCTGTTTCTTGGCGGTTAGAGCCCAAGCAAGCATTACATTGCGCATTGAAGACAATTTTGGACCGATCGAAGATGGACGAGTCCTTAGACTTGCACTTTAAGCACCAACCGCTGGAAACCGCAAGCAAAAGCATCCGGGTTCTAAAGATTCTGCCCAGAAGACAACAGTTGAGTCTCATCGAATGCACCATTGAACATGTTGCACTATGCGACAAGACCTACGTCTGCTTATCGTACATGTGGGGCGACATAAGTCCAACTCGCGAGATACTACTCAACGGCCGGAGGATGATAGTACGGCAGAACCTGTGGAGTTTTCTCGACAAGGTTAGCTCACAACCGCGACGACGATTGAAGTCAATATATAGGCTTCCTTTCTGGATCGATGCGCTCTGTATAGATCAGGACAACCATATCCGTGCGCTATTCGAACGTGGGCAGCAAGTACAAATGATGGGCGACATCTATTTCAAGGCTGCTTGGGTCTTGATTTGGCCCGGTATTGTAGGCAACGCACGATTGTTATTGAGCATTGCACGGGCGATTCCCAAAGACACAGATCGTTCCACAACTATCGACTCATACAAAGATCTTTTTCAGAGCCTAGCCATGTCCTTACTGAAGAGAACTCTGCCAGACGATTACAAATCAGTCGAAGAACTGGTCTACAAGGGCTATTGGGGTCGTCTGTGGATTTGGCAGGAGATTCTGCTCAATAGTGACGTGCGAATCTTGACAGGCAACGGCCTTTCGCAGTTGGAAGAGTGCTTCCCGCGCTCTTTCCTACACTTAGGCAGCATACCACGCGCGCCGAAAGTCTGGACCGCCCATCAATTAGTCTGTTCCCATCGAGGACATAGAGGGTACATCTGGGCGCAAGCAGATCCTGCCTTCGGAGGCCCCATCAGCCTCGAGACAATGCTGGACCTCACCACTGATTCGCAGTGCCAGGACTGGCACGATCGCATATACGCTCTGAAAGGGTTGTGCCGCGAGCTAAGAGATCTGCCGGTAAGATATAACAGCCGAAGAGCGCAACTCGCTGGCGATGTAATCTGGCAAGTGCTCAAGGAGAGACATCTGGAAGAACACAGTTGTCTTCTTGAGGACTCTTCGTGGATTCCATTCATACTAAACCGCGATGCAGGCTTGCTCTGCTGCTTGATGGAGCGGCTGGATGTTACCATTACGTATACTTGTCCGGAAGTGGTGAGAGGCCACCCATCACAGAAGCACTCAAGCCGGATAGAGCTGAAAATCGTAGAATGGGATGGTGGTAATTTCCTGAATTATACGAAATATGAGAGCCTTGATGAATTCCTGGTACGGGGACTATGCGAGGGTTGCATGTTGTATCAGGCCGAAACATTGAGGGAGCGCGGCATCCGGCAGGCGGCGAGCGATTGGAACGCGAAAGTTGTTCATCTGTAATCGAGGAAGTCGCTCACACCAGCTCATCAATAGTAACGTAACGAAGACTATATTCTGAAAACTGGACGTGACTACGACCCTGTGTTATTCTTCTCGCGACCGAGCAGTGAAGTGGTCTCGAATTAGAGGCCCGAGCCTCTGCCAAGACGAGGCAACCGCCAAACTTTGGAAAGACTGCATCCCAAACGCCCCTAATGCAGCCACTTTTCTCGGTGCCTGCCTCCAATTCGTTCCAGACTCGGAAACCGGACCTTTGACGGGCTGAGAATCGCCTAGCAATTGTGCCGCTCGCCGGCGCAACATCGTACTCTGTAATTCTGCATGAATGCCTGTACTCCGATCTCAGTGGATGGACTCTCTGGACTGGCAGAGAGATTCAGTTGACTGGGTCAACTATGCGTACCGAGGATTTATAGCGCCGCGACTGGAGGTTACCGGCCGCATGGCGATGCTTGTGCTGGCTGCGGTGGTATGGGCTTTTGCTTGGTATGTCACTAAAGTCACGGGAGCACTGCGAACACACCCTGACCAAGTCTTGCCAGGCTACTATGGCGGACATACTCCGTACTTCACACGCCCAACGATGTCCTCGTCGACAAGCTCGGCCTTGACATTCCCCCGCAGCCGCTCGTGACGCTTGAAGAGATTTCGTCATCGGAGGTACAGATCGGATGGAAGCCATCGGAGGCCTCTACGGCAATACAAGAATATCAGGTCGAGATCAATGGCAAGATACTCGACAGGACGAAAAAGAGCGAGACCGCTGCTGTCATCTCGCATCTTCAACCTGGTCGGACGTACGATATCCGTGTCTTCAGCGTGAGTGCCGGACGGTTCCAGACACCCAGTCCTGCGCTGCATGTCAGGTTGCCACCCTCGTCGCAGCCGGCTTCTGAAGATGGCGCGGCCGAGGCTTTGCCGACCGTGCGTGCGATCGCTGCACGGGCGCCGTCGTTGCTTGCGCCGGCTGCTCCGACGATGATGCGAGAGAATTCTAGTGGCCCAGCTGGGAGGAGAGGCACAACTGGCCGCCGGGCATCGCCTTCTGGTACTGTCGAGCCAAAAGAGGAGGAGGACAACGAGAACTTGGCAGAGCTATCCTCGCGGTTCACGGCTGTCCGAGAGGAGATCGAGGCTGTGGAAAAGCAGGTGCAGGAAGAGAAAGCCGAGTACGAGGCCCAAATGAGAGAACTGGAGGGCAAGAAGGAGAAATTGCGACAAGATCTGAAGAAACGAGACGAGGAGAGCAGTGATCTGCGGAAGCAAGTTCACAAGGCGGAAAGTCAGAATCGGTCACTTCTGAACGACAAGACGAAAAAGGAGCGAGAATTGAAGGCACGGGAGAACGAGCGGCGAAAGAAGAAGGAGGACGTCGCCAAGTGGGAGGAGCAGATTTCGACAATGGCTGAAGAGATTGCTGGTATAGAAACGCAGAAGGCCGCCATCAAGCGACGAAACGAAGCCAATGTCCGAGAGATCCAGCAGAATGTCGAGGAAAAGCGGAAAGAGGTGGCGGCACTGGAGGAAGAGGCAAAGGAGAAGACGCAACAGATCAAGATGCTCGAAGAGGAACGCCAGCAGCTTGAGATCGAGGACGAGACCGAGGAGAGCCGTGAGGCCAGTCGTCAAGAGCAAGAGCGAGAAGCGCAGAGGAGAAATCGACTGACTGAGCTACTAGGCACCAACGCTAGGTTGTGGGCTGATCTACAGCAGGCGTCGATGTACCTCAACAGCACCAAGGACCGACTACATTACTATGAGTCTATGCGGCAGCACAGGACAATCTCATTTGCGCCGACACCTACGCCACTCAACCTCGAGCCACAACGGCAAAGATCTGGACGTCGTCCGCGGCAAGTGGGCTCCTACGGAAGCAGTGCCAGTGTCTCGTCTCCACGAGGAGCTTTTGGGTCTGAACCATTCCCTGCGGCTCCTCAATTCGCCACGACGAAGGCTACCTCGCCAACAGGGTTCAGCAATGGCTACTTCGGCTTCTCGTCAGCGCTGATGATGCCCAACGAGCAAGCCACAACGCCAGGCGATGAGCTTGAGACGACAGGCTCGGTGCCGATGAGTCCGCACGCTGATGCTCTACTTCCGGCTGATTTGCTAGGGGATAATTCTGATGAGGATCAGGATGCCATTGATGAAGACGTGCCGCTGCAGCCGACTGCGCCGACCAATGGCAAATCGCGAGGTGCACCATTTCCGAATATTGGATCGCCTCTATTGCGGAACGACATTGAGCCTGCTAGGTCTCCTTCTGGCGGATCGTCGTCCAGACAGTCCTTCTCGAGCCCACGAGCAGAAGGATTCGCAGATCCGGAACGGAAGTCCATTCATTCTGGGAAAGAGAAGGCGAGCGATGAGGAGGCACCAAGCAACTCTCGCAAGTTCATGTACAACCTGTTCAACCTTAATAGGCAACGAGGCAAGACTTTGGCAGACGAACCGCCTACACTCGGCAGTCTGAAGCCTGCTCAGAGTCAGTCATTCCCACGGAACTTTGACGATCTGGATGCACCTGGTCAGCCGAGGAGACGGCTGAGCTATGGCGGAACGTGGGCTTTCCCTGGCAGTTTCCTCCGAGGCGAGAAGGACTCAGAACCATCCAGACTTGCTTCGGCCAGTCGACGAGCATTTCCAAGCCTTATGGGACTGGGCAAATCGAACGACTCAGACTTTACGCCCAGAACAAACTCCTTCGACCCGGGCATGCGTGGCGGCTCGAATTCACCTCGACCGTCTTCCATCTACTCTTTCGACAAGATGCCTCCACCTGGACGAGACGCTCTACACGTGTGGAACACGGACCGCAGCCTGCTGCGCAACAGTCCTCTAGCACCAGACTGGGGCTCCATGCACTCCTTCTCCCGCAGCCACTCTCGAAGGCCATCAATCGGCTACGGAGGCTCAACCACAAACCTCAGCCTCATGAGTCCAGATGATCAGATAGTCGAACCCATCCGCGAACCAAGACCTCTCCAAGCACCCATCGGCACCCGTCCGACGAGCCAACAGAAGAAAGAAGCCGCTACACCACGCCTCAACCCCGCCGCACCCAACTTCACCTCCCTTTTCAAGAAATCCAAAGGCGAGAAGATCAAGATCCGCGACCCGCGCGACCTCGATGCTCCAACAACAACAGCGTCGAAGCACTCGATGTCCCATCAACAAACTCACCGCCCGACTCCCGCAAATCCCGCGATGCGCCTTCCCTCGCGCCAACGATGTCGACACTCGAGTCAAAAGAATCCCTCGACCGCATCGCCACAGGAGGCAGTGCTTCTCTATCCAACACGCCCACGAACGACAACAACAAGCCGGAGAAGCCAACACTCATGTCCCGCATCTCCCGCACGGCGTCGACGAAGACGTACTCGAGCATGAAATTCGGGTCGTGGAAGGACAAGTCTTTCTTGGGTAGCAAGTCCTCAAAGGATACTATGCCGGAGGGCTCTGAGCCTGGTGGTGAAGACGGGCCCAACACCGGGGCAGCCAACACTTCGACCGACCAGTTAGGGTCACGGAGTGTAGAGAGTCGAGATTCGTTGACGCCGTTTGGGACTGGTAGCGGAATCATAAACGAGGAGACGGGTAGCAACAAAGGCGGGAGTAGCACGCCGAAGGATAAGGATAAGAGCACGCGGACGAGTATCAATTGGAACTTTATGAGGAAGAGTACCAAGGAGAAGGATGCGAAGAAGGCTAAGGACAAAAACATGGAGGCGACGCCGAGTGAGGTTAGTGTTAGTGAGGCGAGTGTTGGTGGGCTGACTACTGATGATGATCATGATGATGGCGATGGCGATGACAGGCGGTGAAGTGAATTGGAAGACTTCATGTTCGTGCTGCCAGCGAACGTGTCGGGCCAGTACTGTATCGTTCGTACAGCGAAAAGCATGTTCATCTGTACACTGGATGTTATATGTTCATTCATCCCACATTGCTGCGAAAGCAGCGCGATATGACTCGCGCATCAGTCAACTTCTTCGATCGACAATCCCGTGATGAACACCGTGTTGGAATTGTACAAAAAGAAGCTGGCCCTACCCAAGCTTGCTCACCCGACCTAGATTCTGCCAACCAAGGCGGCGCTTCGAGAGGCAGGTGCCCTTCCCAATCAGGACTTCTATCGGTCGTCGGGACGAGTCCAAACGACTTGGTCGCTCAGACATTTCCCAACGACCAAGTCGTTCGGACTCGGCCACGCGACCGATAGAAATCCTCATTGGGCAGGAGGACTGCCCTTTTCGGCTGGGGACGTTTCTCGCTTGCGGCGCTGTTTTCGTTGCTTAGTGAAAACAGAAGGCTTCTGAGTTGGAGGAGGCGATCGTCGGTCACGGGATCGCAAAACCGGAGAATTGTGTTCTTTTAGCGAGGGACCGTCTATCTACAAACGTGCCAGGAAGAGAGGGAGTACGTCGGCCATCGGGCGCGGGAACCGAAGGTCTGGTCTGATCTGGCTTCAAGCCAGCTGTCTCATTGCGAAATACTCATACCGTCCAGCGAGCCGAATGCGCCAACGCCGACCCCAGATGATCAGAGGCACGCATGTCAGGGCGACGGCGAGGCCGAGGCAGCCTAGCATGATGAACATGTTGAAGACGCCCATCTATATCAGATCTGCGCGTTAGCGATCACGTTGAGGATGGCATTGGCTGGGCACACTGTCTCCTCGGCGACAACGACGTGTGGAGGGAGTGGCAGAGGAAGGTAGCACTTACGCCGGTCATCCAGGGCGTGACAGCAAACACCAGCGCCGTGGATATTGCATTGCGGACGAAGACGACAGAGGTGAGTGCGTCGCCTATGATCTGTGGTGTTGTATCGGTCAGTATCAGTTCACGTTCCCATCGTTCTTCGGATTTTGTGTGCCGGGCAAAGGGAGCGCCGACTTACATCTTGATAACAATCTTGACAATATGTCAGGGAGATATCACCACACCCTCCGATAGCGGCACCGATGAAGCCGGCGCCAACGGCGTTGTATGCCCAGTGCATGCCCTAGCAAGATGGAGTTAGCCCAGAAATATCGCCACAACCGCGGTGACGAACGACGTCGTCTCAAAGCAGACCTTTCGTACCTTTGAGATAGTCAAGCCATACAGCAGCAGACCCAGCGGCATACAAACCCCAGGAACCATGAACAGCCAGAGTCTGGTCTCGGGCTCGTAGATGCCCTTGCGTCTTTTGGCCACCCCCAATATGAACAGGTCGTTTAGAGGACCGCCAAACGCGGCTCCAAGGATGGCTCCCACGGCGGGCGGGATGTTCATGTTGCCGATTCCCGCGGTGGAGAAGTTGTACGGCGGCAGTGCGTAAAGTGACGCTTGAGTCACCGCTAGCACGCCCAGCATGGCGATGAGGAAACCGTATTGCAGTGCGGTGAACATGACGGCGGGGAACGTGATGAGGATCTGGAATGGCTGGATGACGTGTCGATAGATGTCGTGGGCGGTGAGGTGGATACTGTCGCTTTTGGTGATGAATGCATGACGCTTCCAGTACGAATTGGTGGGAATTGTGGTATCGATGGGCACAAGGCGGATGCGTTTGTCGTCTGCTGCTGTCGCCGTAGAGCTGATCTCAGTGAGGAGATCGCCAGTAGGGCTCTTGGATTTGTCGTCTGGCGTGTTGTCGGCGCCAATGTTGGTGTGTTCTGTGACCACGGGCCGTACCCCTACTGTGACAGGTATATACTTGCTTTCCTCGAGAGCAAACACCATTGCGAGTGAGACTATGCCCATGAAGATGGTGCAGTACCAGAATACCCATCTCCACGGCTGTGATACTGCCACGTAGCCCGCAGCCACTGGGCCTAGGTAGTTGCCGGTGTAGACAGCGGCCATGTAGAGACCGTTGAGTGTGCCGCGTTGGTGGACGAAGAATAGATCACACACCTTTCGAAAGAGAACGTCAGCTTCGTCAAATACTAGCTGAAGACTTGGGTTCTGGACTTCTTACAGTGACCTGAAAAAGAGCTTCGTTGACCGCTCCAGCTAGACCCGAAAGAGCGTTGACTCCAATCATATCACCCACGGTCTGCTGCCGGGCCTGCCAGATTGCACATCCAAACATGACCAGGGCAGTGACGATGTATACCGGTCTCCTGCCATAACGATGGGCCAGCGGGACAAAGAAGATGCAGCCAAGCGCCAGCGTAGCCATGTTGGTTGCATAGCCGTTGTTCAGATCCTCATAGCTCATGCCCAGTTCCTCGTTGAGCTTCTGCCATAGCGGGACTGATACACAGAGTCTAGTTGCCGCAGGTGTAAGCCAAAAAAGTCGAGGCCGAGTACTGAGGATTGGGGAGCTCACATCGCAAAGACTAACAACGTGTAAAGCGAGAGGAGGGTCATGTGAACACCCTTCCGTAACTTGGACCAGTTCTGCAGCACGGTTAGTTAACGGCCAAACGCATATCCTGGGAGCGTGGATGGAACTACCAGAGGATGATTTGGATCCGCAGGCGGCTGCGGAGCGAGGACGACATGATCACCTTGATTGTCCTCGATCCGTTGCGTGCCTGGAGGAAACCGCTCTTCGGTTTGCATCGTGACGCCAGGTTCTCGAGGCGTGAGGCACAGTCCTGCAGTGGCGACGAACACTTTGTAACAATCGGGAACGGCAAAAGCTGCTTCGGGAGCTGGAACAGCTATGCCAGATGACTTGTTCGGGATTCAAGTATACATATGTTTCCGACTTGAGAGCACCGTCGTCCGGACCATCCTCTTCAAGAGCCTTATCACGGTCATTTTGCGTATCTTGGGACCGCATGTCAAAGTCAAACGGCTGCTGCACACGGATCATAGCTTCAGCAGTCAATCCAGTCTCGTACGCGAGGCTTGATAAGAGAGCAAGTGTCAGTTGCCCATCACCAAAGGTGGAAGCAGAACGGCTCCACCATGAAGACGGATTACACTTTCGCCTCTGTGCGCGCTTAGCCCTTTTGAGGGGGTTATTGGGAGAATGTCGCAGCCCCTCAAGCTTCTCTCTCTCGTCGGCGTTGTTCGCCCGTCATAGACAACAAATCATAGTAGAAGGACGACAAGAGTAAGCCTTTGGAAAGGGTCCCGAAGGCGAGGGCGCTATCATGCGATGCCTGAGCGTTAAATTCGATGATTCGATTACCTAACGTACCGAGAATTGTTGAGGTGGTTGGACAGATAGTCACGATCGCACGTGGGAGATCTGTGCCCAATTCGGAGGGGTTTCGGGAGGACATCGACTTGACTGCTTTGCACGCGGCTAAATGAATGTTCATCAGCTCACCAGATGCCTTCAGAGTTCACGCGTGCCGCAGTATTGACTGATAGCTGTTTAGATATCCAGACTCCAGCAACATTCCGGGTGCATGTCCCTATTTGCCTTCCACGGTGACGGTATTGCGAGCCAGATGAAGTAGGGCCAAGCGTCGGCACATCATAGCGGATCGGATGTGCCACAACTCTGGTGTACATATATCCATTCCGGCAGCTTGATCGATCCAAACCGCGTATCACATTCCTGGATCCTTGAATTTGAAGTGGTTATTCAAAATGACCACTGTCACGACAACAGTCCAGGAAAGCTTCAGCACCTATGTCGACGAAAAGCGCCAACAGGCAGTTGGTTCGCCACAGCTGGAACGCATAGCCGCCGATGACCCAGCAACGACTCACACCAGAGTCGTCGAACTCGTCCGTCGCGATGGCGGCGTCGTAATAACAGGTCTGATAGACCCGGAGCATACCAGCAGAATCCGCAAAGAGCTACAACCCGCCTTCGATGCGGACGTCCCGGACAAGTCGGGCTTCTTTCCAACGACGACCCGCCGTGCGACTGGTCTCCTCGGCATATCTGACGGCTGTGTCGATCTGGCAACCAACAAGCTGTGGATTGATACCGCAAATGAGATCTTGACCAGTGAGTGTCGGCCGTGGTATGGCGAGAAGCGAGCACATTTCGTTTCCAAGCCCATCTTGGCGGGCACTTTTGGTTTTCAGATCGGCCCGGGCTCGAGGCAGCAGGATCTGCATCGTGATGACAGGTTAGTGGAACGCAGCTCCTTTGTGCAATCATGTCTTGCGGGATGCTGATCGTCTTGTGTGGCAACAGTGATTACCACCTTCCCAGAGGGCTCGATTCTTGCATGCTTGGTATGCTGGTCGCCCTGACCAAAACCACAGAGCAGAATGGTGCAACTTTGGTGGTTCCGCGATCTCACCTATGGGGCGAGGAACGTGCACCTAAAAACGAGGAGGCTATTGCAGTCGAGTTAGAACCTGGCGACGGGCTCATTTTCGGGGGCAATGTCTTTCATGCCGGAGGCTCAAATAAGACCAAGTAAGCACACACTCGTCTTCCTACCTCGCTAGGCGCCAGTGACCAACCAATTGGATTGTAGGGACGAGATCCGCGAGGTTGTAGGTCTTTTCATGTGCAAGGGATTCATGCGACCAGAGGAGAACCACTGGCTGGCTGTGCCTCCGGAGAAGGCGAAGAGGTTATCTCCACAAGTTCAGCGTCTGCTCGGGTATGGCATCAGTCCTCCTGCGGTAGGCTTTTACAGGTACAAAGACCCGATGCAGGTGCTGTTCAACGTAGAGGATGAGGAGACTGTGCAGCTGTAGGACGAGCGAGACTGCTGGCTCAGCGTCATGATCAGCTAGCGAGAAGCACAGCGACCCCTCATACAGCCGTTTGATATCTTGTCATTCATCGTACTTTGTTGAGCCATGTCGCACCATTGAATCTGGTCAAAGTATCAAAAAGCCTGCGTCCGCACCAATCTGCCGTGCGTAGTCAATCCAGTGGTCGGTGCCTGATTGCGTCCAAAATGCTCCAAGGAACTGCAATACACGTTGCCGATCAAGAGCACAGCTTCGAGCCATAATACACTGGAAACGACCGCTGATCCAGCTTTGGCGCGATGGATTGCCCCTGCACTCTGTCCCAGCGACGAAAAGCGGCCAAGTCTGGTCTTGCGCAAATGAGTCTGCGTTACGAAACGCAAATAAAGCATTGCAGAGCTGCTCTCGATGATAGCTTAGTGTTGGATGTGAGCTCGCGTAGCGCACCAGAGACCGAATCTTGTAAATCGAGGTAGCGTGATAGAATGCATCGATCAGAAGGCGGACGTCCAGCACCTCCGCATCGGACATGCGCAGACTATCGGATTCCATGGCCTGGAATGCACGGTGCCTCGCTTCGGAGAGCAGTTTGTCAAGGTCCGACAAAGAGTCACAATCTGCCGAGCTGGGTAATACATCTGAGCCTTTTTGCTGGTGCAAGCGCTCCAATTTGGTGATCTTCTGTAGTACGAGACAGAAACCTGCGAATCCGGAGTCCTGATGTGAGATTGCAAATCTTTCCAGGAAGTCCTCCACTCGGTGAGACGCCGCAACTGTCGACATCTCGAAACACTCATTGATGGCATGACTGGCCACATCAAAATCCGTCAGCATGGACCATGTCGTAGCAGCAAAGGACTCTTCTGCGAGGAAAGAAATGACCTCGTCGCCTGTGGACGAATGCTGTATAGCTCTCATGACTTGTCTCGCTGCTCGCAGATGCACTCGCCAAATACCCGTGACGGGAAAGTGAACTTCCAAATGAGAGAGCACGATGACACTGGCAAGTGTTGCCGTAACCCACCGCAGTTCGGACGGCAGCAACGGCCCGGCACTCAAGAGAGTGCTCAGCTTTCGGAAGTCTGTAGATAGCGACGTGAGGGTCTCCTGGCGAAGCAAGTGCATCGACTGCAGGTAGTCCCTTGCGGCTCCACTGCCGTCTCCCAACCTTGCTGCGATGTTTCCAGATGATATAGCGAGGATGGCGGCGAATAGTGCACGGGATTCCAAGGCAAGTGGCACAATCAGACTGCGCCAAGGGTTCTTGTCGTTGTCGTACCAGGCGAGCTGGCTGGCAACAACTTTAGTGAAATGGCTGAGTAGAGCGAACATTTCAGGCCGACGCAGCTGGACTTCAATGAAAGGCATTGCTGCAGCTGCGGTGGCATAGGAGTCTAGGCGCGCCACAGTGAGGCCATTGCTTGCGTCCTCAGCGATAGCTTCACAATCCGTGTTCTGGCCTTGCGCTTGGTCGTCTGATCCATCGTTGTTGGGTTCCTGGAAGTTTTGCTGATATGGTCCCTTACTGACCGGTCCGCAAACCCACTTCAGTTTCTGGGAATAACCAGGACATACCAGATTTCGTGAATCGCATTTTGAACATGTAGGGACACTGCGGTCGCAACGAATGCGTCGCCGATTACATGTGCGGCAGTCTTTGAGCGCCTTTGGCATGGAAACCAGCGACTTTCGGCCAAAGTGGCAACTTCAACGATCCAACTTGTGAATGTATCCCGTCGGTGGTCATGAAGATGGTCCTCGATGGAGTGGACAACACGCGAAGTTTCGGGAATGGAAGCTTGGAGATGCCTGGTAACTGCCCGGATGCCCTTGGCAGCTGCGGCTGTTTCGGGAGCTTCTGCCAATCTAGGGGCAAATGCAATTACTGGAAAGAGGTCTCTTTTCTCGGACGCAGCTGGTAGCCGTCTCGCAATAACGGGAATAGTCTGTGTAGCAAGAGTGAAGGCGTTATGGGACACGTTATAGGTTTTCAAGAATTGGTAATTGGTTCATTTGAAACGCAGAGGTCGCTGTCTGCCAGAGTTAGATGCCCTATGAACGCCGCGCAATGCTACCGTCCTCCCTGGGACTCCCGTTGGGTATCATATCAGTCATTTCCATTGTATGTTCATGTCGCCTCAGCTCTTTACCACCTGCTATCCGAATCCCACTCAAGCAAAAGTAATCACCCCATCCACGCACTTCGTCCCCGCAGCCACAGGCCCCATATTGATCAACCCGCCCTGATCGCACAGATAGAAAGCAAAGTTTCCTTTGCAGAACAGCGCACCACTGGGCGTACATGGCCCGTCATTCTGCCTGATGATCTGGCCGTTGACACATTGCATGCCGCCGGCAACGGAGCCCATGAAGATATAAGCAGAGCCGGCGCCGTTGCATTGCGAGAAGGAGCTGATGCTGTTGCAGGCGAATGTGCCTGGCGTGCATGGGCCGTTGAGATCGATCGGGGACACGGTGCCTAATGCTGTGGCCGATGCTGTTGTTGCAGTGGACGACGTTGTGTTCTGGAAGGTTATGGTTGAGAAAGTTGATGGCGCAGGGGAAGATGCACTGGAGAACGAGAAGTCGTGGTCAAAGTCGTAAGAGTGGTGGCAGTAGATGTAGGTGAGGGTGTACTGCTCGTGGTTGATATGGTCGAGGAAACTGATGTTGTGGTGGACACATCCGAGGTCGATAGACTGCTCGAGGTGCTTACGGAAGATGAAGCAGACTCTGAGGTCGCAGAGCCAGCGGACGAGCTCGAGAGCGGCAACGATGATGAAGTCAACGAGATCAATGACGTGGTCGATGGAATCGTTGATGACACACTCGTCGAAGGACTCGTGAGTGTGCTGCTAAGTAGAGTCGAAGCTGATGACGGACTTGTCACTGTTGAGGTTGTGGAAGCATTCGAGGCTGAGGACTCTGCTGTTGTTGAGGAGGTCGTCGTCGATGATGTCGTCGTCGGAGACGCAAGCTGTGCCGAGTCTTGGACACTTGCCATAGTGGACTGTGAGCTCGTCGACGTGAATGAGATTATGGAACTGCTTGTGGACACCGATGTAGAGGTCGTAGGGGTGGCTAGCGTCGATGTCGAAGCAGAGCTCGTGGTAGACGTTGTCGCTGATGAGGTGTCACTTGCAGATGAGATCGTCGACGACATAGCAGCAGCCGATGTACTAGATGATGAATTGCTGCTGCTCAAGGAAGACAGCGTCGACTGACTTACGGTTGAGGCCGTGCTCGAAGTGTCACTAGACGTGAGGATCGTCGAGGACGACGTGCCACTTGCACTGCTCGTCGTCGTGGATAAGGTGCTGGTTGAATGCGTCGACAGATCTGACGGTCCTGAGCTAGTAGATGCGCTTGCTGAGGAGCTACTGGGTGTGCTCGTGGCTGATATCGAGATCGAGGTCGATATCGATATCGAAGTCGGTCCAAAACTGGACGTAACTGTCGCACTGCTCAAGGTAGTCGAACTCTCAGCGGTGGCAGACGAGGTGGCCACAGAGCTGGACAAGACAGTCGTGAGGCTCGAGGAAGTCAAGTTCTCGGCCGTGAATGTCGAAGTGCCGACGAGACTGGATGTGGTCGTCGTGCTGTTCGCGAAAATCTCAGCCGTGGATGTTATTGAAGTACTCGAAGTGATGCTGTTGGTGGAAGTGCTTTCTGATGTACTGCTTCCTGAAGTAGCGATATTCCCACTGGGTGAGGGGACCGATGGACTCGAGCTAGTAGATATTGTGGCTTCAGAAGTACTGGCTCCAGACGTGCGTTGTGAAGTGGTAGCCTCAGAAGTGCTTGAAGTTGTAGTGGTCGACGAAGCTGTCGTGTTGGATATGCTTGATACGCTAGTGCCTTGCGAGGTCGTGACTTCAGAAGTGCTTGATGTAGTGGTAGTCTGCAACGTCGTGTCCGCAGGGCTGCTCGATGCTGCAGTGGTCTCTGAAGTACTTACTCCAGCAGTAGTGATTACACCAGTACTTGATGTGGCCGTAATCTCAGATGTGCCTGACGATTCGGTGGTCTGAGTGGTTGCGCCGGACGTTGTGCTTGATGTACTGTTGTCTGGGAAGCGGTATCCAGGGCCAGGATCAGCTGTCTCGTTGTTCTGTCCGATGACAACGTTGTCGCCGGGGTCGGGAAAGATGAGATTTCGTTGCTCGATAGTGGTGCATCCATTGCCGAATTCGCCAACGTCGCACACGAACATGTCCGGAAGGTCTTCTAGGGCCGTTGCCTGACGTTTTGAGTAGTACGATCGCCGTTGCTTGCGAGTGTGCCGTGTGCTTCTTTTGGTTGAGCCGCTACCAATTTGCACCCGGGCACAGTTCTGATACATGACACGAGGTCCGAGGAAGGGGAACCATGACCAAGACAAGAGAACCTGGCTGTAATCAGGAACGAAGTTCGGTATGGTAAAGTCGTATGTCGAGTTGAGCGGACATCCGCCTTCGATTGATGATATGACTTTGAATGTCTGGCCGTTATCGTACGATAATGATATTTGACACGAGCCACCGCCGAAGGTCGAGTTGCCTAGTAAAGTGATGCTGTATGATTGTCCGGCCTCGTATGTAGCTTTTATGTCGGTTGCATTGGGGTTAGTGTTATCATCCTGGTACAATTTGCACGGGAAATTAGAGCCATCGATTGCAAGGGGATCTCCGTTGTTGAAATCTTTATCATCTTCATCAATTGTGTCATCGTAGGGCGATCGAAATGGGTATGGAGTCAGCAATTGGACAGCATGTATGTGTCTTGCGAGCAACAACGCGAGTATGGAATGTCGTAACATTATGTGGGACTTGCTTCAAATGGGAAGGCAATGGACATAGAATTTTCTGTCTCGTCAGCCTCATCAATAGCAATGGGTATATCTTGGGTAGAGATGACTTCAAGTTCATGATCGTAGACCACAGCAGCAAACGCGCTTTTGTAACAATAAAAGCGCGAGGCAGACATTCTGTGTTTTGTGTGAAAGAAGTCTTTGGGTGGCTTTCCTGGGCGAAAATGTTGCTGAAAGTGCCACATGCGCGAGCCTCCAATGTATGGCAGTGGCTAGTCGAAACCCTAGAACTCTCTAGAATGGCGGGTTCGAGCTCTGATGGCTCGTCAGCGTGTCCCGCCTCCCCAATGTTGAGGCCCTGGCAACCCTGCCGAAGACCGGAATGCTTGGCATTTTCGAAGCATTCCTGGATGCACTCTGTCTTGGCTCATCGCAAGTTCGAGTCATCAGGGTGCAATGTGCAGATAGACCAGTTGGGCATGCACGCCTGGCCACGAGTAGAAGCTACCCAATCCGACCAATTCTTCTGCATCTCCAGACGATCTTTGTGCCGTGTTGAGTGATCTGTCCAGACTCGATCGCGGCCCTCGTTCAGGAGAGGACCGAGCCACCGATACACCACTATGATCAGCCAAATCTGGCGTCGACCTGAGGCATCGGGCGACAGGCTTTCTCGGGATTGAAACATGAATTGTGTCCCACAGCCGCGCGTGTAGCAGGTACCCTTGCACCTTCCAACAATTTTGTCCTTCCCAAAATCTTTCTTGTCGGACTCGGAAATGCACGGAGGACCCCTAACACCAGGAGGCAGTTTCTGAGTGTTGATACAAGATCGGCAGAATTTGCTCAGAATGAAAGGGTCGCCCAAGTGCAGATGGGAACAGAGCGGGAAGTTGATAGCTTGCAGAGCATCCGAAACCTTCTTTGCCTCGAAGACCTCGGTGTATTTGCCAGAGCCTCCATTGGTGGATCGAACGTTGTACAGCGGCGCCGGCGCCTGTAGTAAAGCGACTTTGGAGATGAGCAATGAAAGCGACCTAGGACTTTCCAGCGCTCTCGGTCGGTCAGCCACAGACCGGTTGCGGATGCCATCTCGACATCTCGAACAAGGCATCAATTCGTCGCACGCGACTCGGAAAGGGGTCTCGGGCCCGGTCTTGATGAATTTGAGGCATTGAGGATAACTCAGGTGACGATGAGCGCATAGCCATACTTGGCGGCAGTCTCGATCAAGTGGCTGTTGCCGTACTTCTGATCGTGGGAAGCTCTTCCTTAGATGCAACTCCTTGCAATTTCCGCACACAAGTTTTTCGAGCTGGGTTGGGTCTTGATCTCGTTCAATCATACATAGGAACTCGAACAAATCTGGCCCTTGCAACAAGAACGACTGAGTGCGATAGAGATGATAGAATCGTGAGCAGCTCTGACGCAAGCTCACCTCGCTGCAAGGAAGTAGATACCGTTGTAGCAAAAGCAGACATTCGGTAGGTAAGGCCAGCAGTCCTTTCTCGTTGTTGTTGAAGACAGTCCGTTCAGACCATACTCCTGAACCAACTGATGGGCTCAGAGGTCGTGGTGGACGATCGGTGAAGATGGTGTCGGGCGCAAAGGACAAGTTTGAGACGAGTTGCTCATCTGATGGGGTGAGAGTGAGATGTCGGACCGGCTCAGGCGGTAATGGCCGTTTATTCAGCACGACTTCGACGTCGGCCGCTGACTTGGTGCGCGACAGCCTGCGCTTGAACTTGCTCAACATCTTCGATGTCGACAAGGCCAATCATCCATGCTGCACCTTGCGAATGAATGTGAGTTCACAATGCAAGACAAGGAATCTGATATAATGAAAGACAAACCATTATCTTATGATATCTTGCCACATGCCTTTCGGAGTAATGGTCCAGAACTCCTCTGTAGCTCGAAAGAGGGGCTCATGAACTTGAAGAGACGGCGCCATCCAATCGGCTTCCATCATCATGCTGTGAGATCTCGCGTCTCTTGCCGTCTGCTGCATCAACTAATATCAACGAGCGTCTGAATACTCGACACCTCGACCACCTCTGCAATGAGAGCGGTCCTTCCCTGCCAAAGGGTCCAAGGCTTTCGACTTGGACGCTCCCGCGCGCATACGCGCCACGACGCCCACTGTTCCACGCGACTGGCGACTCGTGACGTCAAACACATTTTCTTGCACGCGGCCTAGCTGTGCCGTGTCAATGCGAGCAAGAAGGTTCGCGCGAGGTAGGTTTTCTGTTTCTGTTTCTGTTCTATTGACCAAAAATGTTCGCCCACACGTGCTGTGACACAAACGTCGTTGGATGATTTCCTGTGTTCGCATCCGAGCGAGATCGACAGCCAGCTCCTGCCTCATTGAGCCTGTCTGCCGCCTGAGACCACTGTCGACGCTTCGCCCGTCAAGCGGCATCTTGAGCAGTATGCCCAAGCGCAAGAGGCAATCAGAGAATGTCAACGGCGATGTAGACGTTCTCCAAAACACGCCTCCAGTTCCTCAGCGGCGAGCGAGCAGCCGCAAGGCTGTCCAACCCGAGCCTGCCCAAATTGATCCTAATCCTGACACCAACCCTGCTATCGAAGATGGGAAGAGTGCTCTGCGTGCATCTCCTGACGCAGAAGGACGGTCGAAGCAGGCAAAGGCAAAGCGGTCGAAGAAGTCTGCCGAATCCACGGGCGCTGCAGTGAAGGCTGAGACGGCCCCAGAGACGCCTCTGAAAGCAGTACCGGCTTCACGAGAATACGTCGATCCCGAAGCCGACGACGAGGAGGATGCAGATCCACAAGAGGTGCAAGAAGCCCTTTCCAGACCACCGCCCGTCAACAGCTCTTACCTACCGCTACCTTGGAAGGGCAGGCTTGGCTATGCTTGTCTCTGTACCTACCTGCGGGCTGCGACCCCTCCCGTCTTCTCGTCGAGAACCTGCCGCATAGCCTCGATCCTCGAGCACCGACATCCGTTGAAAGATCCGTCACAGCCCGAGCATGCCACGAAGAACCGACCCGACAAAGATCAGCCGGCAGATGTTGCGCGTGGCCAAGCATACGTCGAGGCTTTGGGCATTGCCAATGCTCGCGATATTGCCAAAATGCTTCGATGGAATGATCGATATGGTATCAAGTTCTTCCGCCTTTCGTCAGAGATGTTCCCGTTCGCGTCCCACGACATATATGGCTACAAGCTGGCGCCCTTCGCATCAGAGGCCCTCGCTGAAGCTGGCAAAGTCGCCGCTGAGTTGGGCCATCGCCTGACGACGCACCCCGGACAGTTCACGCAGCTCGGGTCCCCACGCAAGGAGGTCATCACCGCGTCCATTCGAGACCTCGAGTACCACTGCGAGCTACTTGACCTGTTAAAGCTGCCGCCCCAACAAGATCGCGATGCCGTTATGATCCTCCACATGGGCGGCATCTTCGGGGACAAAGCCGCCACAATAGAGCGCTTCCGAGAGAACTACAAGCTTTTGTCAGACTCGATCAAGAAGCGGCTAGTACTCGAGAACGACGACGTGTGCTACACCGTGCACGACCTTCTTCCCATCTGCGAAGAGCTCAACATCCCCATGGTCCTTGATTATCACCACCACAACATTCTCTTTGACGCCGACAAGATTCGCGAGGGCACACTAGACATCATGAATCTCTACGACCGTATTAAGGCAACGTGGACTCGCAAAGGCATCACACAGAAAATGCACTACTCTGAACAAACGCCTCCCGCTATCACGGGTCGCCAACGACGAAAACACAACCCTCGCGTTGCTACCTTGCCACCATGCGCTCCCGACATGGACCTCATGATCGAAGCCAAAGACAAAGAGCAGGCCGTCTTCGAGCTCATGCGCACCTTCAAGCTGCCTGGCTACGACACCTTCAACGACATCCTCCCATACGTCCGCAACGACGAGAACAAGCCCTGGAAGCCACCTAAGAAGAAGACACCCAAGAAAAAGAAGGCCGATCCTGAGGAGGACGAGGAGGAAGAGCCAGAGCCACAGCCCCCTCCCATCATTCCAGACGAAGAAGTCTCCATGGGTGGGCCCCAAGGCCGTGTGTACTGGCCGCCAGGGATGGAGGAGTGGCTCAGACCAAAGAAGCGTGAGGTCAAGCCCCGTGATCCCGAGAAGCAGAAATCCACTGCCCAGAAAGCAGCGGAGCGAAGGGCCGAGAAAGCTGCGTGGCAGGCTGCGAGGGAGGCGAGTGCGGAGCTGACGGTGGACCTGGCTCGGTTGCCCCCAGCGCTGCTCCTTCGCTGAACGGCGACGCTATGGTTGCTGCGGCACTGACGCCCGTCCCAGACATCAAGCAGCGAAGAGTGTCTACAACAAGGCCAACAAGAAATCGAAGCCCGCCAGGGCGGGGCCCAAGAAGGTGAAGAAGGTCAAGCCTGCACCGACTCCAGACACCACGAGTCTCGACGGAGAAGACATGGTCACTGACGATGACGATGTGGATATGCCTGATCTTACCGATGGTGAGGAGGATGTGCAGGTGCCTGCTAAGTTGATCAAGGCTAAGAGCGCGCCGGCGCTGGCTCGTAGGCAGAGTGGTCGCGCTAAGAAGGCCAGCCTTAACTACGCTGACTCGGAGGACTAGACGGTGCCATTGGCCCTTCTTCACGAGACGTTAGCAAGCATCTATGCATGCATGTGTTGCCATCCCGTTCTCATGCCACCTCGAGAGGAATGGTAGAATAATACAGAGAGACGTGTCTTGCCGGCGTCTCCATTCACTCCCTACCCTTAAGCTCGGTCAAGCTCACGCCTTGCGATCCGAACCCACCGCCCCTGCCACCGCCCCGTATTCTCCTTCTCATCACCCCTACTCATCCCCTTGACCCTCACAAACTCCCTTCTCTCCCATACCCTCCTTCCCAAAACATCCCTTTTTACATACTCAATCGCCAGTGGCGTTCCCATCGAATCCAGCTCCGATCCCGCGTCCGGACTCGACGGCAAACACACCCTCAAATCCTCCAACCGCCGATACGTCGGGGTCGTAACCAAATCAAGCTCCCTATCGTTTCCCCTCGGCTCTGGAGGCGGCTGCATGAGCTCGAACGCACAATCACACACTCCACCCTGATGGAAAATATCCCCCTCCTCCAACCTCAAACATTCTTCCACAACCCTCACGCAGATCCCGGTATCCCAGATTCCCTCCTTGTGCCACGTCGTGCGCATCAATCTCAACGCGTGCTGGCGGATGCGGTGGACGCGACATTTGATGGCCGTGAAGAAGAGGTGGTATAACCAGCCCTGGTCGATTGTAGGCTCGGCGTGCTTGCGGTCGGTGGCGACTATGCCGATGATGGCGCGGCGGGAGGTTGGGGAGGAGGAGACGGTGTATTGGGTGATGGCTGTGAGGAGGTTTTGGTGGAAGAGGTGGTGGTGGGTGTCGTAAAGATCCTCGATTGAGGATGGAATTGAGTGGTCCTTGATTAAGAAATGGAAATTGGGCGATGTGGATGAAGATGTTGGGGGGTGATCTGAAGGGATTGATCTGAGTAGCACATCGATCATTATCACTGCTAAGCGATGGGCGCCGCCATAGGATATGTAGCGGAAATGGTCGCGTTGCGTGGCCCGATCGGAAATGGCAGTCATCGTGGCGGCGAAAGTGGTCTTCCACACATGCAGCTGGGATTGTACGATGGTTGCAGTGTGCAGTATATCGACATTGCTGGATGTGGCTTCCGCTACGTAGCCTAGAGTGCTCAGATGCCGCCCCCGAAGCTCGTACTGCAGATGTAAGATTGTTGCAGTGAGCAAATCAAGATACCATCTTGCATGTTGCAGGGACGTAAACAAACTCGGCAGCGGCGCAACTGCGGCAGCCTGGAAAGCTTTTGGTAGAGGCACAGCGGTCTGGCCCAGCATGTTGGCCTGTATGTACAGTCTCAGGATCGGCTCGAGTATCCAGTCGTCCCGAAGCAGCTTGCTGCTCATTTGCATGTAGTTCGGTCCGCACGGTGGTATGCCAAAGTCATTGCCACATTCATTGAGCAGCTGCAGAATGAATTGCAGATGTTTACAGCCATCGGTATAGTGTTCACGCAGGAATTCGAAGTACACGAAGACGACCGCAGTAATAACTGTGACAGAAAGCTCTTTTGGGCTCGGCTTCTTACGCGCTGTCAGGTCGGTGACATCGTGACGCTGGCGGTACCCGAGCTCGCGCAAAGCCAAGGCATATTGTCGAAGCATGAATGTCTCCAGCTTCGGTCCCTCATGGCCACGGAGATCCTGGCCCGCACCTTGCTGGTGTAGTGATCCCAGTGCGAGCACAGCATGCAGGACCGGTCGTTCGGTAGTGCTCGCCTGAAGCAAGGTTGATCGCCAGAACTTCGGAATATTCAATCCAGGCAGCTTGAGGACAGAGCGCTGTAGAAAGAAGTCAAAGCACTCTTGTTCGGCGTCGCTGATCGTTGACTGAAGAGACAGCGATCTGGCGATCGGCGGCAGAGCTGGCACCGGCGTCTGTGGTATGCTGTTGAACGTAGCAATAAGCTGCTGATTGTTAGCACCAGGTGAAGTGACTGTTGTCGATGATGTTCGAGAGCTCGGAGGCGTGTCAATCGAAAACGAACGCTGTGTCGAGGATGTGGGAGTGGCTGTACTCCTAGACTGAGCTCGTATAAAGTGCGAGCCGCCTCCCCATATACCGTATCCCTGACAGACACGGCCAGTCGCTGTACAGCGGTTGCATGCTGGCTGTGTCTCGTCGCACTTCACCTTACGTGCTTTGCATGTCTAGGAAAAGCGTGAGCACATTTGATACTCGTGAACGATCTATTAGGTTGCTAACCTGGCAGCCCTGTTTGGACTTTGTTCGGTTGCGTGGATTGATCACCAAGACAGACGTTGTCGTGGTCATAACTGCAGGTACTTAAGTATTGCCCTGCTTGGCACGCATTGGTCCAACGAGCAGATCTCATTGCAGTCTTGCCTTCATCGAAGACGCGCATCCAAAATTGATAACATCTGAGCATACTATACAGCTACAACGATGCAGTCAGTCAAAGACAGCGGCTTTCAGGACATACGACATGCGTGCGATATGTCTCCGAGCTCATCGCCTTTCATAGCCATGGAGCATGTCAACAGGCGTGCTGCCGTGCCCAGCCTGTCAACCGGTCTTCTCTGGTCATCCAAGCCGGTCAACCGGCGTCACTTCTTTCTCACCTTCTGTTCGGTATGTCAACCGGTCGAGTTATGTCCTTGCAATCACGCGTATCGAGTTTGCCACACGCTCGGGAACATCGCGGCGCGGCAGTGTCTCTGCTTCTGCGTTTAGATAGTCTTGTCTTATCACTGCTTCGATTGCGTGGTCCCAGTCGCGTTCACGGAGAGTATCTGATGTGTCAGGCCTCAGGGTCAAGCTCAGCGATCTGGGAGCAGCATGCAGGCCCGAGCCGGCATCGTCGCCCTTACTGAACTTCCAATTGTCCATAGGTGTGATACGAGTTGGTGGCTATCTGTTCGGCGCGAGCATTGCACTAGGGTATCTGCCAATCACTGCAGAGGCGAAGTTTAGCGGACTTCCCCATCCTCGTCCAACTCGACATCAAACCTTCAGCCGAATCTGCGCTACCTGAGAGCCTACTACGGCGAACAACGTGCAAGTTGCTGCCGTTTAGCAGCGAATCTCCGAGATATGCTCTGAAGCTCGTATTACGAGGTGAGTCTTTCGAAAGCGAGGTGCCACAGAGGTGAGAGATAAGGCCCTCGAAGTCCAGCCAGGGCTCCTATCGCACTCCCATAGGGGTCAAAGCTACCATGACACTATCGCGGACTCAGTCACCGATATTCATGACTCCAGCCGTCGCAGTGCCTCCGCAGCCAAAAGTTACGGAAGCTTCCAAGTGCTTGCTCCTGGCCCAGTGGCTGTATCAAGGACTGTGGCAGTTCCATTGCGATGCTCTGCTGTTCCTTCGCAGACACTTGCTACGTGCCTTAGAGTCCGATGGTGGTTCCAGAACGTCGCTTGAGCCGAAAGCTCTGAGCGCTCATATTGCAGGTGCCAGACATTCAGCCATAATTCAATGACAATGGGCTAATTTCATGAGCCAGACAACCCTGATTGGACAGAGCTCGACTTCAGGACAGTGACACCAGTGTCGTCCGACTTCGACTGGACGACAAGCAAGGAGCCTCCATACCGGCCATGGCATAATGGTCCTCACTATGTCACCATGGGTCAGTTGCTCAGCCATCTCCGCAATGTCAAGTCCCAGGCTGAGAGTTACAGGCACAAAACGGACACGCCTTAACGACTGGTGCGAAATCGATCAGACGTACCGTGCTCGTTATGATTACAAGAAGCAACTCTATCGTGATCATCGGGAAGACACCGTCTGTCATGCCCTGGGGACCGACGAGCCCTGCTTCGAGGCTTTGTATGCTCTCGCAGAGTATCTGCCACGTCGTTACCCATGCATGTTCCTCGCGACAGCCCATGGGATCCGAAATCTCGTCACTGGTGACGACTGGGACCTACGTCGCGCTTCCGCCACTTGGATCGACCACCATCCGCTTCAAGTCATGGGGCTACTGAGCACGGAAGACTGGTTCATTCTGCAAAAGACAGACGACCTACATCTCGACCACTCGTCATCTCCAGCTGCGGAGGAATTGGGCGACACGTACAAGCTTACAGCCGGGGCCAATTGTTTTCCAGCTGGCTGGCGTCTCCGTGAGCGTATAGGTCATACCATATCAGAACTACATCACAACAAAGTTCCCTTTTACGCTGAAAAGCTCGCTCTAGCAATGCACCGCTTCTTCAACAGATTGCGTGTCGACCAGCCGTACATGCGGTTCAACTATGCAATTGACATTTCTGGCGAACTGTTCCATATCAACTCACACCACAACCTAAACGTCTCGGAACTCGAACATCCCGTCTGCATAGATGATTTGCATCTACGTGTTGAGAGGCAGGTACTTCAACGGCTACCGAAGACAAGAGCTATTGTATTTAGCATTCGGACGTATGTCACACCGATCACTGAAGTGACCAAAGACAAGGAGGTAGCCAGAGCCTTGAGGACAAACACAAGAAGCTACAAGCCTGAGGTCGCGGTCTACAAGAATAAGTCGTTGTGGGAAAAGGCCTTAGAGGAACATCTGGAAGAGAGACTTGGACCTGACGACAAACAACAGGCAGACTGTGTGCACCAACGTAGCCTTGCAGTCCGTTGTGACTCGTGAGCAGGCTATGTTAGCATAATATACATCCCTTTCTCCTGCATGACCTTTCTCCAGTCCACGCAGCTCAATTCGCCGTTATGCTTGTTCTTTTCCGCGCGCACCCACGACTGCCTATCGACCTGGCGCCAGATCTCCATGGCCAACGCCTTGGCCTTAGTAATGTTTCCGATCCCATGCCTTTTGGCACGTACAAACCATATCAGCGCCCGATGTCTTAACGGCGTATGTACTGCCTCGACGGCCGCAATGAACGCCGGCCACAGTGTGTTTGCCACAACCGCATCTCCGGAAAGGACATCAATATTCTCCAAATGATCCAGCGCCTTCGCAACGAGCTCTTGCCCGCTAAGGCGATCTGCAGTCTCCCTTGTGGAATCGTCGTCGCCGAGCATAGCAGCCACAGACGGACTGCCGCCGCAAATAGCCCTGCGAAAGAACAGCGCCGCACTGTAGTGGAACGACCATACATGGTTCTCTTTGACCTCCTCGTTGATGTAGTCAGAGATTCCCTCCTGCGCTAGTAAGTTCGACGCGCCCTCGCCGTCCAGCGCATTGGGGTCGCCAATGATATCGAAGATCTCTGACTCGAGCTGCCGGAGTGCGCTGTGCGTATGATCCGGCCATCGCCATTTGTGTTCGGGGTCCTGGTGCGTCTCTCGCTGGTTGGCGAGATCGATCGTCTTGTTGAGACATTCTAGCGTCTTCCGCGCTACACCGAAGGAGACGTCGAGTGTGTACTGACCTACAGGGCTAGGGCTGATTGTAGCCGCGAGCTCGTCCGAATCATGGGCAGCGTCGCCTGTCCGAGTGGTTGTCGGTGTCAGCCACGGATTCGGTGCCACATCAGGCAAGGATTCAGGAGCTTCCAGCCAGATGTGTGTGCGACTATTTCCAGGCATCTGTAGATCTGAAGCAATGTTAGCCGGCTTGGATCCCCAGCCCACCATTCCAGGCCGCCGGTCATGCTGATTATCCGCTTGCCCCAGAGAAGGCATTCGTAGCCTTTTCCGTGTTGCCCACCGCTGAAGATCTGACATGGAAACATTAGACGATGCTGACAGACTGCTGCTTGCATCAGAACATACCTCGACCGTGTTCATAGTCACAACAGCAGCTAGCAGCGCTTTTCTGTCGGCTTCATCTAACGATCCAGGACCCTGCCGTTGGGACGCTCCAGTAAAGCTCTGCAGAATCGAGGCGGCTCTCTCCGCGAAGTTCGTCGCGTAAGTGCGGTATCGTTTTGCCTCAGAGGTCTTGAGTTCAGCTTTGTTAAAGGCTGCTACCGCGAGGATTGCCATCAGTAGACTTTCCTTTGCGTCTCCGGAAGGGTTCTGCAATGCCATGGGCAGATATACGCAAAGATACGGGTTCTGACTGGGGGCTGAAGTAGGCATCATCAGTTGAGAAACGTGAGTCTTGTAGTGATGCAGGAGGTCCTCGATGATGCGTGGATCATTTCCTTGGGCGAAGGGCGAAGAGACTCTCGTGTCTCTCGAGGCTATCCTAGGTGCCATCCTGGAACTCTGTACAGAGAGCGACTTGTCTAGCTCAGGGCTGAATGCAAGACTTGGGGGATGAAAGGACTGTAAATTAGGTCCTCGGCGTAGATTTGTTGGGCGGTCATACTCCATTGCAATCCTCTTGGACGTGGCTGCGTCGAAAAATTCGACCATCGTGTCCGACTCGGCCGTGGTCATAGGTGCTTGAAAGAGGCTACCAGGCGTCCAGACCGGGTTGCCCTCGACTAGACCAGTCTGCTCAGATGCGTAATTTGGTGGGAAAGACACATCCGGCCATTGTGAACTAGGCAGTCCATCGATGCTGATATCGTAATCCGCCTCAGGTCTGGGCGGTATGTTGAAGGTAATCTCGGGCCCGACCAGCTGATCAAGGGATACATCATTGAAGCTGGCATGTGGAAGTTGTGTCAGGCCGTCACTGTATTGAAACAAGGCTGTCTGTTTGTCGGGATAGCCTTCGCAATAGTACTGGCGTGATCTATCACAGTTGAGGCAGGTAGGAATCCGTCTGAAACAAGTCTTAGCCACGCCAAACCCGGGAGATGGAGTGGCCGTACAAGTCGCATTTGATCTTTAGCAGTTAGCAATAAGACATGACAGGGCTTATTGAGTTAGCAGGTAGACGTAAAAGGTCGACCTAACCTTTCGAGTCCGACAGGTAGAACATCCCTTGGCAGTGTCAGGAGATGTCATCGCAGAGAAGATGCGATGAATGCCTACTGTATATGTTTTACCACCACGGCGTCGTTTTCGAGGCAGCTCCGTCGAGCTAGTGGCCATCAGGCAGGCACGAGTGCGAACGTGGTCAAATGCGCTCACCGAGAGGCGTGTTGCCGACAGTCCACGGGCCTCTTTGTGGCGGCCCTGAGCGCTCATGCGTGACGGAAAGTCGTCGGCGTCGATGTCAGATTCGAGACTCCAGGCGACTCGGTTCATTCATCTAATGCGCCGGACTTGCTTCGGCGTTCCCATTCCTTGTCAGTACCACTAGTAGACCCATTATCTGTACCCCAAGCCCCCACCTAGATAAGACCTCAAGCCCTGCATGACTCAATTAAATCCATCGACAGCGCATTCAGCGTGGGCTGGTGCACTGTCGTGAGCTTGTGCAAGCTGATCTCGGCGCGAAGTTGTGCCCATTCCCTGGCAGTTGTGGCAACCAGCAAAGTAGACATATAGCAGCTCTGCATCGCGAGTGTTCAGAGGCGAGTCGCACGCCAGTTCAAAGAGTACCTAGGTATGGCGTTCTCTTCCAGCAGCTCACTAGGGAGCTTCAACCTTCTGCCTTTGAGTAATGAGCCATTTGTACTTAGGACGCGTTCCCGCTCTGGTTCCAAGAAGACTGACGTCATTGGTTAGACGACATATGGACCAAACACGGTCGAGAGAAACGCGCTTCAGGAGGCTTTGAGAGAGGTAGAAGCCGATGCACCGTATGATGTGTACGCCAACGTTAATGGCCACGATGTAAGTTGCCATAATATCGCCAGCAACATCAAATGCTGAATTCCCATGACAGGAAAGCGGCGACTTGTCAGAGACGCAATGCAGTCCTTTCAAGCACAGTCTTGTCCTGGCCAAGTACTCGCACGCGCAATCGGAGCTTGTAGCAAAAGCTATCAAGGGAGCTCTTGAAGCAAAGAAAACATGGTGCCAGACTTCACTTCACGACCGTGCGGCAATCTGCTATCGAGCGGTGGGACTGCTTCGGGGACCGTATCGATATCGCATGTTAGCTGCGACCATGATCGGACAAGGTAAGAATGCCTACCAAGCAGACATCGATTGCTATGCTGAGGTGCGTCCTGAAGGCATCCTTGAGGGAGTTCACTGATATCGGAAAGTCCATCGACTTCCTGCAAACATTTCCGGCACTTGCCAAGCAGCTGTATGACAACCAACCCCTTTTCAATGCTCCGAACGTATGGAAGTATGTATAAACCCATGACGGATTGCACAGCACTGATCCGACAATCGTAGTCGAACAGAAGCGAGACCCATCGATGGATTCGTGTATGCTGTGACGCCCTTCAATTTCACAGCCCTAGCTGTGAACTTGGTAATGGCACCCGTCATCATGGGCAACGTGGTAATCTGGAAGCCTAGTCCAGGTGCCATATACTCTAATTGGCTATTTCATCGGATCATGATAGAGGCTGGCCTACCACCGGGTGTACTGCAGTTCATCCCTGGTGATCCCGAGGTCGTCACTGCAGCGGTTTACAACAGTCGGGACTTTGGTGGGTTGCACTTCACTGGCAGCACGGCGGTCTTCCGGTCGTTGTCATCAAAGATAGGAACGAATATGGGCTTCTGGAGGTCTTACCCTCGGGTTGTGGGGGAGACAGGTAGTCCTCAGAAGCCAGCCTTGCAAAGAGCTTGACTGACGTGGAATAGGTGGCAAGAACTTCCATCTTATTCATCCTAGTGCTGATGTCAAGAACGCGGCCCTCAAGAGCGTCCGAGCGGCATTCGAGTACCAGGGGCAGAAATGCAGCGCACTGTCACGCATTTATGTGCCACAAAGTCTGGCGAAAGAATTCAAGGAGATCCTGTCTGATACGGCGAGTTCTATTAAGATGGGATCGGCTTTCACAGATTTTATGGGCCCAGTCATCAGCCGGTCGGCTTTTGACAGGGTGTCTCAATACATAAAGGACGCGAAGTCCGACCCTGAGGTCTCTTTCCTCGCCGGTGGCAGCTGCGATGACTCGGAAGGATTCTATATCAGCCCAACAGTCATTGAGACGACCAATGCCACGTCCAAATACATGAGCGAAGAGATCTTCGGTCCGTTCGTGTGCATCTATGTCTATAAGGACGAAGACTACGGGAGCGCACTGTTCGACTTGATCGAGTCAACCACAGAGTATGCCTTGACTGGCGCGGTTTTCGCCAAGAATCGGGCAGCTATCATTGAGGCCACCGAGGGTTTGCGCTTCGCTGCTGGAAACTTCTACATAAAGTAAGTTGCACGTCATCTTCTGGCAGCCAATTGATACTGAACAAGTACAGTGATCAATGTACTGGTGCTATGCCAGGACAGCAGCCTTTCGGAGGATCACGAGCGAGCGGTACAAACGACAAGGCTGGAACCGCAGGCCTACTCACGAGGTTCATGTCACAAAGGACTATAAAAGAAGGTTTCAGCATCATTGATGATATTCTATATCCATCCAACCTGGAGTAAACAGCAAAGATCGTCTTCACTTCGCTTGGGATCTTGAAGAGACGCGGTCAAATACCGTCGTCTGTAGACACAGCGGAACACGACCTTCAAGCCATTTCGCGACAAGGTCGCCCGGACGCCTCGATGTACGCGCCTCGCTCGGCCAAGGAGTTTTGTATGACTCGGCTACTGAGCTCAAATTTTGGATTGTACCCATTCCGATGCTGAATCGAACCTCCGCATGGAAAGGTCTTATCACTTGCATACTGTGTATACTAGCCAGTACCCTGCATGGAGCCTAGCGCCATTTTCGGCCTCAACGACGGTTCTGATTGGTTACCAATGTGGACCTACCAAAGTCTTGTGTTCTAGTTTCGACAACGCTTGCTCGACTCCCCGGCCTACATGCCCACTCTTCGATATACCCGCACCGTTCGGCTACCGTACTTACTGCTCCAGTGATGTGTGGCCCGTACGATAAGCAACCCTTCGACGTGGGCGGTCCCAGAATCATCGAACCTGCACTTGTTGGGACTTAGTCCACTCATTTCGTATCGTATGCCTATCTTCCATGCTTCATAGATTCGGCGCGATCACTTTCGCGCGATGGGAGAAATGCGAAGAGCGGCCGGCCTTCCGTCGTGGCAGTGTAGCTGCATGCGACTTGTCGACATGAAGAGCCCAGACCTTGGTACTTTCTATCAGCGCCTGACACAGGACAGCCCCCATCGCAAGGCATTCCGCCAGTAGATACCAACTGCTGAATTACTCGACGCTGAAGCGTGTCAAGGGCGCTGTCGGAAGTCGGTAGAGCACCAACCAACATGACGACTTCCTCGTCCACCAAGCACTGGCTCAGCAGCCCTGTAGGAGCAAATCTACTCTCCCAAATCGGTGGCGATCCAGGATTACCACAGCCACTCCCAACTACATCCTCATGGCAGCTCCCAGCTCACCCCGAAGTAGCCAGTCTACAGTCAGAGCAACTGCCTCCCGCCACAGACTTCCTCGTCATCGGATCCGGGATCGCTGGATGCGGAGTTGCCAGAACCCTGTTGTCTCGATCCAAGTCAGCCAAAGTGACCATTTTGGAGGCTCGTACATTGTGCAGTGGTGCAACAGGCCGCAATGGAGGTCAGCTCGTCAAGCCGTACGCTCCACGATTCGCCCAACTGGCCAAGGACTTTGGGATCGAGACTGCTGTGCAGGTAGCCAGACTGGCATTGTATACACTGGAGGAGATGCATGGGCTTGCGCGCTCATACGACGCAGACCTTCAAAGGGAGGCCAACGCTCGAAGAGTGGTGAAGCGCGTAGTCTATATGGATCAGAAGTCCTGGGAGGAAGCTGAGGCTGCGGTGGACTTATACGAGACTCATGTGCCAGAGGAGAAGGGGTCGATTGAACGGGTTCCGTTGTCACGGATCGAATCGGTAGGTTGAACAACGTGCGCTCGAATGCTCACGCTTGCTGACCGCGCTTGTCATTCAGGAATGGAATGTCAAGGGAGGCTTTGGAGGGTATCAATTCAACGCCGGAGTCTGCTGGCCGTACAGACTTGTCACGGGTGTCTTCAAGCGTCTTCGAGATCAGTACCCAGACCGATTGAGCATCGAAACCAAAACGCCCGCAACCCAGATTCTTTATGATAATACTACTCCTGAGTATCCTTACCAAGTAGTCACGCCACGCGGAATCATCCACGCACGCAACGTGATATACTGCAATAACGGCCACGTAGGACATCTGCTCCCCAGACTGAGGGGCAAGATCTGGCCCATGCGTGGCACGATGTCCGCTCAAGAAGTTCGTCCTAGCTTTCCAGACTACAGCAACGAGTACTCCTGGAGCTTCCTGTCGAACATGGCATATGATGCTACTTCGAAGACAATCAACATGGGCTGGTGGTATGGCTTACAGAATGCACCCAATGGCGACTTCTGGATCGGTGGCGAGAACAAAAGAGTTGAGGATATATGGACGGCCGATGATTCTGTGATTGGCGACCACAACCGTGCTTCGGTTGAGAACATTCTCCCCAAAGTCTTCAATGACAAGGTGGTTCCATCGAAGCCGCGCATCCGGGGGATGTGGACAGGCGTTATGGCAGCCACCGCTGATGCTCTGCCGTTTGTCGGTAGACTGCCGTCGAGTGTGACTGACCGGCCTGGTACTGGTGAATGGATTGTGGCTGGATGGAACAGCTACGGCATGACCAATGGTCTGACATGTGGCGAGGCTCTCGCGAGGATGGTACTCGGAGGGGATGCTCCGGCCTGGTTCCCGAAAGTATACTTGCCAACGGAGCAGCGACTGAATGCGGCCAACATGAGCTCCGAGGCGGCCACGATGCAGTTCCTTGAGGAGTCGGGTATAGGTCGTACTTTAGAATCGCCTGAGGTACTTCAAGCAAAGCTCTAGGGGCCGGTGAATATGCTTATCGGAATTGATGGGCTGACACAGAATCTGCTATTTCTCCCTCAGTTCCAGTTGCTGGGATGATTGGTCGCTGTAACTCACTAGCCTCTTTTCCAAAAGTGTTGCCCGTGTATGAGTGCCTTGTTGATCGAGTACCACATGTGATAGTGGTATTGAAGAACCATTGCAACATTTCCCGTCGCAAAGGCTCAGAGAATATGATGGTAAATTATCATCGAGAGCTGCACTGTACCCAACCCGAAGAGCAGTGTGCTGATCCGATCAAATTTTAAGTACAAAGAGGTGTAGGACTTTCCCGGGCCTGGGAGCGTAGACATGTCTCGGAGGCAAACTAGACTAAGTGCTATCGGAACCTCCTTTCTAATGGCGCATACGTGTCGCAGCCTCACACCGAAAGCCATTAGATCATATGATTGTTCACACGAACCCCCCTTGACCGTCCTATCCCCATGAGCTGTCCCATCTCGCGCCAAAACCCGATAGGTGTGCCACTCAGTGTGGCCTCGTGCGCATCGACAGAAGGTCTCGCCCACAAGAGATCCATCTCGGCTGGTTTGACCACCTTTGTGCGCTTGACTAGCTTCCAGACGCCATAAGTAATCGGAGAGAGAATCAGCAACGTGTAATAGCTGAAGAAGGTGAGGTTGTCCCATGGCCCGACAAAGCTAATGTAGCCAAAAGTCAAGAGAACAATTGGATACCAGACGATGATGATCCAGGTGAGATAAGGCTGGCCCCAGCCTTTATAAGGGAGAGTAGATCGATCGATACCCTGAGCTTGAAGTCCTCTGTGGAAGTAGATGTAGGTGACAGCCATAGTGAGATAGTTGATCAGTCCACCAGCTGTGCCGAGTGAAACGAACCTAGATGTGTCAGATCGGACTGAGTAGCAAAGCATAGAGCTTACCAGTAGTAGACCACCTGAGAACTCCTGCCCAGCTGCAAGAACGCGAATGCCGAGAACAACAGTGTTGCCATCAGACTGTACAAGGGGACTCCATTCTTCGTACACCGCGTGAAGAACTTAGGTGCCTGGCCTTGCTTAGCCAATCCATACAATGCTCTGGTTCCACCATAGAGATAGTTGTTGCCGGCCGATATGATGCTAGTAAGCAGGAGAGCGTTGATGACGCTGGGCAGCACGGAAATGCCCATGTTTTGTGCTGCGATCACATATGGCGAGGCGGCACCAGTCCCAGCGCCTGGCTTTGTCCCACTGAGGACGGCTAGTAGACTTGGGTCGTTGGCAGCGCAGACAACTCCGAGAAAGAAAGCCGACCCGACGAAGAAGACCAAAAATCGGATATACATGGTCTTGTAAGCACTCTTGACTGTGACTCGGGGATTGATGGCTTCTCCAGCGACCATTGATACATAGTCGGGTCCTGTGATGAGGTAGCAAGCTTGGAAATAGCATGCGAGGAAGCCTTCGAATCTGCCAAGCTGCCAGTGTTATCATATTCAAGGAATGCGCCCTGGGAAGAGTCAATAGAATGGTCCTGTCAGTCGAGCTGACTGCTTACCGGATTCTTCCAGTACCGGAACCCATAGGCATCATTCTGTGGATTACCACCGACCATCGTGATGAAGGTGAACGAGAAACAAATAGCTATCAGAAGCACTTTACCCAGTGACAACCAGAACTCGGATTCACCGTAGTAGTTGACAGCGAAAATGTTCAAGAGACTCATCGGTCAGTAACAGGGGTAGTATAGGGGCGGTCAGCTCACGTATAGAAGACGATCATTGCGCAGATGACCGCAGCAGTTGGAACATCGTCGGCCCAGTATCCTAGGATTATGCTGGTGCTGACCATTTCGAATGGCACACCCAGGGAGATGTAGATGTAATAGTTCCAGCCGACCATGAAACCAAGCGCAGGATCTACCCATCGACTGGCATGCTGGATGAATGCTCCTGAGACCGGCATGAACGAGTCCATCTCTGCCGAGCAGCTCGTCACGATTGCTTGGAACCAGATATGAATGAAAAAGCCCAACAACAGACTACCAGGTCCTCCCTTTGTAAGCGCCGAGCCCATGGCGATAAACAGAGCGCCGCCTATCGTGCCACCGATGGCTGTATAACGTCAGCATGGGTATCGTTGCCGCCTTCGGTAAGCGACTTACCGTTAAGCTGTAGCTGACGATTATTGAGACGGCGTTGCACATCGAAGTCAGCAGAGGCAGTAAAGACACCCGCCTTACCAGCGGCAACATTGTCAATAGTTCCGTCTTGTTGCGATGATGTCGTGGTAAGGGTGGCCCCTGTCTTGTCGTCCATGTCGGTGACTGCCATTGTTTTGTTGTGTCAAATTCTGCTGCAGACAAATGACCTACAGGAAAGGCTGCGAGGCGACGGTACTAGTACTAATAGCTGTTCAAGCAGGGTCCCGTGGAATGCGGTGGATTCATGGTCCTTTGCTAGGAGACTGTGCTCGAGTCGCGGCTCTCTCCATATCGCCATTTGCCACGAAGTCCAGTGTCCGGAGCCCTTCCATTGCCTTGCTGCTCGCACTGTCCAGGGCTTCGCTCCGAGGATGGCGCTAGAGAGAGACACGGCTCGAAACCGTCAACTTTGGCATTTTTGCCCACCTGTTGGCTCTTTGCTTATCGCACTTTATCTTGGCCAAGAACCGTGCTGGAGCCGCTAGATTTTGGTGTAAGTGCGCAGATAGCCTTATTCGTGAAAATGGAGGTCAGGCTGCAATTTGATAGCTCCGTTCTGCCTGGCCTGGTCAAGGCTGTGCGTCTACGCGAGAAGGACCTACCGTTCAATCTCTTCGCTGCCAAAGGTCTAGACATCAGATGGATTCATGGCATGAAATATAGCCCTGAGCGCTCGCGTACAGTTCAGCTTACAAGCAGCTGACTGACGCCAGTCGCAACTCTCCAGCGGTCGTCGGTCGAACTAATCAACTGACGAGACGAGCTGTTGCAACAGCGGTTAGGACAGGGTTGCAGCCTCCAGCAATCTGACCGACTTGGAGAGAAAATGCAGCCGCGACAGATCACGTGACAGTCTGGAGAACCTCTGCAAAGTGGCACGCTATTCAAGGATACCACCTGCTGAAAGTGTTTCACTGTAGATGCATTCGATTCTTTTTGGCAATCACAAGACCAGCTAACAAGCAGGCACAGGAGGGAATCGCACGAACAGCAGAATCGAAAAGTATCGAAAAGCACCGTCGGATGTACCTCACCTCAAACAGCCTTCTCATCGAAGAAATCTCGAGGCAGTCTGCCGGTAAGAGCGAAGGACGTCCCTCAAGCAAGCCCGAAGACATAGCAAGTAGAATCCATCCCAGCAAAATCGCTCTTCGCCGATTGTTTACCTCGTGCAACCATGGAAGAAGAGGTGGTGGACGAGGAGATAAAATGGCGGTTTTCACACCGTTCCAAGGAAAAGGGCCAGGTCAATGTCTTAATGGACCACATCATGAAGGTTGAACACTCGTCTCATTCGGTGACTTGGTTGCTCCTAGTTTGAGTGTTGCAGAGCTCGCTTCGCTCAGACTTTTCCGGCTGCGTTGCTTCGTCGAAACTTTATCGAAGCACGCTGCGGTGCCTTCGAAGCCGCAAGCCACTCTCCTCCGCTAGATCGACGCCGCTGTATGTAGTCGTTGCCCTGTCAGATTCCTCCCGCTCACTTCTCTGCCTTCTCTCGTCGGTCCTTGTGGAACTCACGGCCCTTGCCAATGCGCTCCAAGATCTTCTCTCGGTCCTTGTCGGTCTTCAATTTTGTGATGACAACTTTGCTGGGCGAGACACCGATAGGTACGGATTGACCATTGGACTTCTCGCGGGTGACACGCTCGATTTGAATGAGATACTTGAGGCGGTAGACGGATGTGACCTTGCCCTCACGTCCCTTGTTGGAACCGCGGACAATAGTGACTTCGTCATCCTTTCGGATGGGAATGGATCGGACCTAGAAGGTGTGTTAGAACTAGACAGTTCTAATCGATCACATTGTGGAATGTATATGTGCTCTTGTTCTGGAACTTCTCATACATTGTGCTTCTCTCGCAGCTCTTTCGAGAGGGGTGCGCTCATAATCGATCTGCGGCCGGTTGAGCCAGCGCTGAAGTGGGCTTTGCGCGACTTGCGCCGCGATGAGGCGATGCCTGTGGTACTATTAGAACCGCTGTGAGCGGGCGAAGATGTGCCAGGGCTTACCTTGAGCGACCTTGACCATGTTGGCGGTGTTGATCGAAAATTGTGGTGGAAAGGAATGAAGCGCAGTCCAAGCATCAAATGAAAACTGGTCTCGAAAATCGCAGTGGGACATTTTTGCCAAGATTTATGGGTCACGTGAGAGCCATTAGCTTGGCGCTTCGGCGAGTCCTGTGGAGCAAGTTCGATGTTGGGGCAGCCTCGGCCTCGTCACCAACTTCACATGCTCCAACCACTTTCAATGCCAATCAATCACGACTGCCTGACCATATAGAGAGAGCTACTGAGCATCTGTCCTTCGTTTGTAATTGTCTAAAAGCTTTGTTTCGATCATTTCAGCATAGCATAAGCGTATTGTCACCCGTTCGACCCACTGAGTCAGCCTGGACAACAGCGCCATGAGCGCGTGAAACCACAACACCTCCATCATTCCAGCGGCGTTTGTTTTTCCGTGATTTAGTTTCTTGTCACACCGTTCAGCATGCAATACGTACGGAGTCTCGGTTCTGGTGTGTCAAAGACATGGAACTCCATCAACCCTGCGACCCTCTCAGGTGCGATCGACGTCATCGTCGTTGAGCAGTCAGATGGGACCTTGGCATGCTCACCATTTCATGTCCGCTTTGGCAAATTCTCATTACTGAGACCTTCGGAAAGGAGAGTGGAGTTCAAGGTCAATGGTGTGAGGCAAGACTATGACATGAAATTGGGAGATGGCGGAGAAGCATTTTTCGTATTCGAGACCGCTGGAGACATTCCCGAAGCTCTACAGACGTCGCCTTTATCATCACCAGAGACGAGCCCCGTCACAGTGACTGCAGATACAGAGGGAGAGACACCTCTGACCGAGCCGACGCCTCTAGATCTTGGAGACGAGAAGACACTCGGCTCGTCGGATGGCAGATCAATTCCCACGATACAGAACAATGACGTAGCTGGGATGGATGGTGAAATGTACAGCGGTTACTCTGACTCTGCTCCTGATGTGTCCGCGATAGCTATTGCGCGGAGAGATCTGGGACCTTCCCACCCAGCGTTCGAACGAGCCGCTTCGGAGGAAGTGCTTCCAATGGCGGCAAAGCAGCAGCTGGAGGACATCGACAAAGCCTTCAGGCAGAGGGCTGTATCAGCTTCGGAGCCGCCAGAGGACACCGCATACTCGCGACCTAAGGCCAGTCCTCCCACCCTGAGACCACGAGAAGCCTACCATCGAGCTCTGACACTGTCCAAAAAGCTTTCCACGTCTAATATACGATCGAAAGTCACAGAATCCGGTGATCTAATGCTTGATATGACAGGCTACAAGTCAACCGAGGAGGAAGCATTACGAGCAGAAGCCATCGCTCGAAAGCTGCTCTCTGAGGAGATGGATGGCAGCTATGATATTGGCTCGTTAATCGGTACCGATGAACATGGTAATTTATGGATCTACAGCAGCGAGGAGGCACGAGATGCCGCCAACAGGAAGACTGCCGGACAAGTCATGGGTGCCTTCGCAATCACGAGCGATTCTGCATCGGATCCGGGGTATCACAGCGACAGCGATAGAGCGTCCTCAGCACCAGGCACTCCACGGCAGACGCATCAAAGAGCCAAGTCAGAAGAAATTCCTCAACCACGAATGTCAGCAGACCGCGGCCGCGCCTTCGCCAAAACGCTCCGCCTCACAAGCGACCAGCTCAAAAAGCTCGAACTCCAGCCCGGCGCAAACCCCATGTCCTTCACCGCGGGTCGAGCGACCTGCCCAGCAGTCATGTACTACTGGACCTCCGAAACACCCATCGTAATCTCCGATATCGACGGCACGATCACAAAATCAGACGCACTGGGGCACATCCTCAACATGGTCGGTCGCGACTGGACACACTCCGGGGTGGCAAAGCTCTACACCGAAATCGTTGCCAACGGTTACAACATCCTGTACCTCACTTCCCGCTCCGTCGGCCAAGCCGACACCACCCGTGCCTATCTCAACAACATCAACCAAGAAGGCTGGAAACTGCCCAAAGGCCCGGTCATCCTCAGTCCGGACCGCACCATAGCCGCCCTCCGCCGCGAAGTCTACCTGCGCAAACCGGAGGTGTTCAAAATGGCCTGCTTAAGGGACATCCTCGACCTCTTCCCAGGCAAGAAGAACCCTTTTTATGCCGGTTTCGGCAACCGCTTCACGGACGCTTTATCCTATCGGACGGTGCACATCCCCTCGACCCGCATCTTCACTATCAACACCAACTCCGAGGTCGCGATTGACATGATGAGTCTGAGCAAATACCGTAGCAGCTATGTCAACATGAGGGAAGTCGTTGACCACCATTTTCCCCCTGTATCAACACTTGTAAAAGAAGGCGGCGAGGAGTTTACGGATTTTACCTATTGGCGGGACACGCCGCAGGGAATGGATGATTGGATTCCCACGGATTCGGAGGACGAGGATATTGAGAGCGACGATGATGTCGACGATGAGAGAGCGAATGCGTTGGGCGACAGTTATCTGTCGAGAGATTCGGTCGATCAGTCGGTTGACTTGAACGACAGTGTCATAAGGCCGTCGATTGAGGTCGATGAGGAGGATCTGGATGAGGATCTGGCGAATTCGAGGATAGTGGATGAGGACTTTACGGAAGACTACATCGGTTCGAGACCGGGCTCGTCGGCGAAGCAGAAGGGCTGAGCTATGAGGGGCCAACATGTGTTATTAGAAGAATGAAATCAGCTACTTTTCGTTGCGGCTAGCTGCAGTGCACCGACTATGCACTCTGCTCGTCTGTTGTCCTCTGTTGCAAAAGCTCCCTTCAGCGGGGAAGGGGTGGCGAAGGGGGCGGTAGCGGCATGTATATTCACGGCACCTGGGTAGTCATCCGGCGTCTTCAAACTCCAGAATGCTCAGAGGCCAGACCGTTCCATTCATCGGAAGAATACGAGACCATACCCTACTACATCACATCTTGCTATCAAGCATTTCTGCCAATCATTGATTGAACAACAACCAAATCCCCGCACTGGCAAGGAAAGTACATCTTCGGTGCACAGTGCATAGTGCACATGCGGCCGTGCCGCTCAACGCCAACTCTATTCGGACCGCTCTACGCTGGCCGCTTCCGTTCTTTGCTTCACCACGCGTCCCACGGGCCCTCACCTTTCACTTCGACAACGGTTTCGTACGCGCCGGACCAGCAACGCAGCATGGCCACCCAACCACCCAAACCCCGCAACCTCCTAATCTTCGGCCTCGCCCCCTCCCCCGACCCCAACACACCCTGGCCCGCCACTCGCCTCAACGCCGCACTCGAAGCCCAGCAATCTCTGGCCAAATCCTCTCATTGGTCTCTCACAGTGCACACCGTCGACCCATCTGTTCCAACACAGACCAGCATCGCTCAGATCCAGGAGGTCCTGCGTAGCAAACCGCACTGGGATGTGGTTGGTATTGGGTTTGGGTTGAGAGGGAATCTGGGGTTGACGGGGTGGTTTGAGCGTTTGGTGAATGTGGTCGTCAGGGAAGTCGGCGCGAAGGGGACGTTATTGGGGTTTCCGACGAGTCCGGATCGGTTGGTGCAGGATTCGGAGGAGTTGGTTGCGAGGGAAGCGGCGGAGAGGGGCGGTGGTGAGACTTGATAGGGTTGCTGAGTGCGGACGACTACTCGATGAGCGGCATCAGCTACTGTACGTACACTGGGCGCTGTACTTGTCGTTCGTCGTGCCGTCGACCCCCTAGCTAACCAACAGCTCTGTTCTCCACCAGATACTTCTCACGATGATCGCCACTATGGGACTATCAGTAGCAGAATTCGAGATCATGTCATCGACCTGTTGTCAAGCCCCTTGATTCAGTCCACGGGTTGTTCCTGCCGCATTGAGAGACTGAGAGAACATAGACGCGATTGAAGGCTCTCCGAGGATGTCAACGAGTATCGAACGCTACACGTACACTTACGACGCGGAAAACTGGACCACACAACATTAAACTCGCACCCACTCTGCTGGTACTTTTCCCACATAGCCGCCACCACTACAGCCACCGCTGGTATAAGCTACTCATCCGACTTCGATCTAGACTGTCCTTTCAACCGGTTTGAGCAGGCGCGGCGCGTCATCCGGTCTCATGTAAGCTCCTTGTCATCCGGCGTCAGATAAATCTTCTCCCAGCCACGACTTCCACACCGTGCTCAGGCCGCCAAAGGTCCTGGTTGTGCTTTGCGGGAAAGTCCTCCCCAATGCTTGCCCTCGCTGCAAGAAGAGTATTGACAGGCAGGAGCGAATGCCGTTAGCCAGTCGCACTTGCTGCCGAAAGTGTCAGCAGAAGCAGGTGCGAATGCCGCTGGCCAAGCGCTCCTGCTGTACTGTAGAAGTGTCGAGCAAGGTAGGCGCGAACGCCCTTACTTCATCGCTCCTGCCTAAAAGTTGCAAAAGCGTCTAGCGAGGTAGGTGCGAGAATCGACAAGTCGAAGGCTCCTGCCGTATTGCAGAAGGTGTAGAGAAAGGCGGGTGCAAGACCTCATCAGCCGATCGCTCCTGCGGCGCTGCAGAAAGCGCATGGCAAAGTAGGTGCGATTGCGCTCAGCTGGTCGCTCTTGCTGCAGAGTATGTCTGGGTAGGTATTGTCATCCGGTCTGCCAGACATCTTGTCATCCGGTCTCAGCTGCACCCACCGTGCTGATCGCCTTTAGTCTCACATGGACTGGAAAGCCTGAGAGCCTTGTGGAACCTGCCTCTGCTCAGACTATAAATGTATACTCTACCCACTTATGAGTGGCATGTATGTCCTCCTAACGGGAAGACCGATCATTACTGTCGCCATTCGCCAAGGTCGACTCTGACAGGCAAGCGACAAATGACATTTAAGACGAAGCTGCGACAGATCAGTGATGCCATTTTTCATGCATTTCGGATCCGCCAGGTCGGATTTGAGTTCTACATATTATAACATTGCCTGGTCTGTAGAGGCCTGCAAGCTCTTGCTTGTGGCCGTTTTGATTCACTCGCTCTTCATGTCTTCTGTGTACGCTCAAAGTCCCGGACTTCCCGCCGGGCTACTCGCACTGTTACTCCCAACAGCATTCGCATTCAGATACTCCAGCGGCACCCTTGGCACCCGTGGACTCTGCGCCCCAAGATCCCCATCCTTCCCCATCCCTAGGCCAGCAGCACCACCGCCTCCACCACTCAACGCTCTCAGTCGCGCCGCGTCTTTGACCTGGCCCTTTTCACGTGCACTCTCGCTCTTCCCGCCAGTCAGACGGCGCATGCCACGACGGACGGACTCGATTGCGCTCGTGGGCATGTGCCCGCCCGTACCAGTCGGCGTCAAGCCAGTCCTGACAGAACTTGAGATGGTGGCGCTGAGTGGCGGGAACGGAGTGCTGTTCTCGGAATCAGACGCAATGGCGTCGTCGTACTCGGCTGGACTTGCCAGCGCCGAGGGAAGCATTGTGCTTGCGGTCGGCTGTGTAGCGGGAAATTGATTCGCTGGCGATGTGATCGAGCGTGAGTGCAGACCTGGACGCACGGGTGCTGTCATGTTCAACGGCGGCGGTGGCGGAGCCTGCGGCTTCTTGCTCGCTGAGGATGTTGGCAGGGATGGTCCGGGACCGTCGAAGCTGCTGCCACTGATCTCGTCAATTGAAGAGAACGACGTTTGCAGGGAGCCGGCCAGGGACGAGAGGCTGGGCTGTGCACGCCAGTGGCCGCCGAGCGATGCATTTGAGTCCGCAAGTCCATTGTGGAGGGATGCAGAGGAGGGCGCTCGATTTAGTGACCGATGCAAGATAGGCGCGACCTGCTCGTCGTAGACTTCAGCGTTGTGTTCATGCATATCGACTGCAACGAAGCTTGAGTGTGATGTGCCTGTAGGTGTGTTGACAGTATCACCCTCAATGTCGTCGAAGAAGTCGTCCAAGCTGTCCAAGGTATTGACCAGGTCGGACACGTTCGCGTCGGTACTCGTCTCCATTGAGCGCATCGTGTCCGCTCGGCTTTGCGGAGGGAAGTATGAGTCTGCGTACTCCTCATCTTGGTGGAATTCAACGTCAGGTGTCTTGTCTTCCTTCTCTCTCATGGCCTCACTGTCACCGCACGTGTAGAACACGGCGTGGACGTTGTTGCGAGTCATGCTGGAGTAGACAGCAGGCATGGGAATCGACCAGCCCGAAGACTGCGGTATGCCATACAAGCTTTTGACGGCTTCGTATTGCTTCCGTATCGCACGAGCAGAGCCGGAGGCCATGCTCATTCTGAGATGATGCTTCTCCATAGGATTGCCAGACACTTCCATAATATGATCCATGACTTGCAGTGCCTGCTGCGAGTGTTCCGTCTGAAGGAGCCGCAGAAGTGGGGATATCAGATCAGGACCATGGCTCGTGATGGCAGAGTCTTTCATGTCGACTAGCGGAATGAGCACGCAGAGAATGTCCATTACCTTGACTCGTAGCCATGGTGTCCGGTTCGTAAGAAGCCCAAGCATGAATATGAGGCTCTCAGCATCGAACTTTGGAAAGTAGGTCGCGCTCAGTCCATCAACCATGTCATCGAGAAAGTTCTGTGCATACTCGTACTGCTGAGCAGCAAAGCGACTGAGAGGTGCATAAATCTTGTCGAGGCCCTTGTTTTGAGCGATGCCAGCAAGTTGCTGTGCAGTCCCTTGTGCCGTCCGCGACAGAACATCGACGTCGAGATCTTGCAGCATTCGCGGGAAGTTCGCTAGAATGCCAAAAAGGAGCCGATCACCATTGCCGACGAGTTCACAGTCCTCAAGATCAGAGAGCTTCGCAATAAGTGACAGTGTTCGACCGAAGCTGTCCGCAGATTTCAGGCCTTTGTACAGCAGGCCTTGTAGACCTTCGAAGGTCCCCTCCCATTTTGTTGGTTGTGCTTTGAGTATGACTTCGGCCGATGTAGGGTCCGTAAGATTCACTTTATCGAGCAACTTCTCCAGCATTCCTAGAGTTTCGTAGAACTCTCTCTCATGTATTGTACTCAAACAGGCACATGTTGTCCAGAACAATTGAGGGTATCGGAGCAAATGACTCGGCTCTAGGGCTCCGATTATGACTTTCAAAGTTGTCAGGATCTCGAGCGAAAAAGTCTGGTAATCTGACTGCTCGTCGGCAATGGTGTTAGAAAGCCGAGCAAGCATATCTGCAAGCATCCGAGAGTCAAGCGTGACAGATATGCATCGAAAGACCTGAAAGGACCGACACGCTAAATGTCGAACGGGGCAAATCGACGCCCAGTGTAGCGCCTCCTTTGCCCAGCAATCACTGAACTGATCGTAGGTCAGACTGAACATCTCAACCACCCTCTTGGCGAGGTAAAGCATCTGTGATGGTACACGATTGCCTCCATCGTCCTCGACCTTGCCAGTATGAGACTCATATGACCATGAAATGTGCGGCTCATTCTTCCTGACCGAATCAACGACCTGCTCGATTTGATCCCTCAAAGGGGCTAGGGCTGCCGGATCAGACTTCGTCACAACAAGTTCATGCAGTTGATGTACCAACATTTCACGTGCTTGTTCCTGCACAGTCGGAGTGTAGTGATCCCAAAGGACAAAGACGGCATGTAGAACTCGGACAGCTTGATCGCGGGTCAACTTGACAGGCGGTACCATCAGATCCACAAGGAAAATCAACGACACTTGTCCAAGTGAGAGGCCGGACTGCTTGTTGCCCGTAGGCAGCATGTTCTCCATATCTGCCACATAGGGTAGGTGTGCAGTTTCGGGAACGATATTTTCTGTCTTCTTTTTGTCGTTGACCATGTTCTTCGGCGTGAGTTGCAAAAGGAAGAACTCTAGCACTCGCGACCCGGCCGGTGTAGTGGACAGATACACCACAATCTGCTTCGCATATTCGACGAAGTTCTGCTCTCGCCGCTCGAGAGAGAGGTAGATGATGAAGTCCAGAATGAGCTGTACATTTCCGGCATGCGGACCAGTCGCAAGAGCCTGCCACAATGCCTGAACTTCGTTGTGCATCGGCGTGCCGGAGCATATTGTGATTTCAAACATGTTCACAAGCAGCATGTACGAGACTGCCGTTGGTCCACCAGTGTTCGGGTCAACCTGTAGCTCCAGCGTCTGAAGCCAAGGAAGTATAGAAGCAACGATGTTGCGCTGATGGTCAGTCTGGGCGGTCTTGTAGTGCAACGAGAATTCGGAGAAGATTAAGAAAGCCAGATGAGGATGCGCCGATGCTAGACGTCGAGAGTATTCAAACTGGGCCAGCTTATACACAGCTCGAGTCTTGTCAGAAATGCTGATATCGAATTCCTGCAAGTTCGAGCTCGTTGCTTGCCGCTCATCAAGAGTTCTCAGCAAGCGAGCAGACTTCATTCTCAGCTCACGGCTTTCGCTGCCCAGTGTGAAGACAACCGTACCCAGGACTCTCCAGAACTCCACTGGGTACGTCGGTTGCTCTATTAGCACTTCTGCGACGACTTCGAAATAGCTGCTGAGGCTTTTCTGGTTGTCGGTGCGATAGCAGCTTTCTATGGCGTGCTCGACGAAGCGAGAATGCTCTGGATTGTTCAGCAACAACAGTCGTAGAGCTCTGCGACCAATGGCGTGCATTTTGTCATTCTGCGTATCGAAGATGGCATCAATCCAGGATAGCATTCGAGGCAGGTTGAATGACAGAATCGCGTTGGTCTCCGTCTTAACGCTGACAGGGCCTGCACAGAGCGCAGCCATCGCAGCCAATGCAGCAACTCGAAGGCTACTTTTCTCCTTTTCGACTGCAGCATTTGGATTGACCCTCTCAAAATTCTCTCGTGCAGCACTGTGGCCCGCTGAGTCTAGCAGCCCGTTACGCGGCACAGGATCGGGCGAGAAGCCGCACCAGTCCTCCATTAGTGCGAAGGCGGATTTGCGAGCCTCAAAAGGCATCCATCGAGAATAATTTTCGGTCCGCCTGATGGCTTCGAAGGTCTCTTCGACCAGTCCGCAGTAGTGCAGACGGAGCTTGTGGAACTTCCAATCATTCTGTATATCGGTATCGCTCAGATAGATGCGGAGGTCCTTCGCATATGTCACCAAATTATGCAGAATCCAATCGTCGTTGTAGACATCTTCGTGTCGCAAGAAGGTTGCCGTCAGCTTGTAGACATGTGTGACTTCCGTCCGCAGGCGCTCCGTCATCTGTGAGCGCTGTGGACTGCTAGGTGTTCGATGATGGGCATTGATTCTCGCCTTCGCTTCATCGTTGCACGTGATCACAGCGTACTGCAAAGATTCCAACAGAGTGCGATACAGCTTGCGGTTGATGGAGCCTAACGCTGTCACGACTGAACTTCGAATGGCTTCGGGGCCAACTGCGAGCATTGGTATGACAGCAGAGAAAAGCGCACGTGCCGACCCGAGCTTCTCCTGGGCGACACTAGAGCCCTTGGATGTCTTTCGACCATGTACGACGTTTGCGAGCTGACTTTGAGACTGAGCTCCCGACGAGCTTAGTGTGACACATGCCATGATGAGATAGAGTTTCCATTGATCGATAAGGACTTCTCCAGGGGTATTTGAGCTTCGTCCTTGAGAGCGAATGTCCTGCATGTTCGTCGCATGTGGATTCAGTCTTGCGATGGCCTCAACATCGGCTTGCATGAGCATTAATCGATCACAGACGAACTCGGGAAAGAGCGATCGCGTGTGGACAGTGTTCAAAGACATGCCGGACCAGACTGGGAAATGCTTTGAACCACAGCATCACGTCGTATGTGACCTCAGAACTGCAAAGCTCCATCAGTATGTTCTGGCCCGTTCGCTGATGCTTGTCTTTCTGCAATCTGCTGCGTTCCGCAACGCTGAGCATGTCGTCTGGAATAGTCAGAATCTGCGACGAATACTGCTCGAGAATGTTGATGATACGCGCCTGCTCTTCTTTCCCAAGGGCTGCGTCGAATTGCAGCACTAGACGTAGAACACGGATTGCGTATGCGCGGACACGTCTTGATTGGGAACACAGAAAGAAGAATCCATACGCTTCGATCTCGTCCACAAGGGTTATGACGTTCGTCATCTCCATCTGTATGGCACGAGCACCGGCCGAGTCTTTGGCTTTCTGTCTGACGTGGTCCATCCATATGTTGAGTAGCTCCAGATAGAGCGCGAGTGTGGATTCAATGTGAGCGGGGCCTAGGCGTCCCTCATCGGACATCGTAGAATACTGCTGATCATAGTTGAAAATGAAGCGTGGGAAAGCAATCGCCACAGCTTGAGCATGACCCTGTTTTGCGATGGCCTTCAGTGAGCCAGCAGCACAGGCAGCGATCACTGGCTCTACGTGAGCAGAGCCCGTACAGAGCAAATTGATGAGGTTGCTGTGTGGAATGGATTCGCTCATACACCGTGGGAGTGCCTGCATCGCAACGTGTAAGAGTTCGAGATATGGCTGTCTCTGATCTGGCACCCCATCTTCCCGACGAGCAAGGCTGAAAGCTTCCGATATTGGCGTCTTCGGAGTCAATACAGAGAATTTCTCGTTTAGCGATGCTTGACCTCCAAAGGTGTTATCGCAGACTATCGTGATTTTTCCAACAATTTCGCAAAACTGGTAGTAGTAATTCCGAGTGCTTTCGTCCAGTGTCGCCACATTAACAAGAGCCGATGAAGGCTTGTCGTCAGCCATGAATGGACGCCGCGAAGCATCAAGAAAGAACTCCGGCTTCGTGCTGAGTGGCGATATTGGAATGCCTTCGACAGGGTATGCGATATAGCTGAACACAGGAAATGGTGGTCGAGAAACGTTGTTATTCTCTGCATCTGCCATGATCGCGAGGAATCCGCGTATGCTGACCGCGATCTTTTCAGGCTCCAGGTTCTCAATCCTCAGATCTCTGGCAGACTGGACGAGGTCAATACTGGCCAGTGGAAAGACAATCTGACGAAAGCAAACGTCCTGAAACGCATATCCCAAGATCCGAATAAGTTGAACAAGCGCATCAGAGGTGCCTGGCTCCGTGGTGATGTGACTCTTCCGCCCACTCGGAAAGGCAATCTTTATCATTTCGTCCACCCGACGTGCTCGAGCTTGAGTAGAGTCGTTCACGCGAGCGAGATAGGTCCAGGTGAGTTGACACAGTGCTTGCATTGCTGCAGCACGAGTGGTTTTGTCCCTAAGTTTGCCAGCCAGATTGGCTACCAATGCTGGCCATTGAGTCATGAAAGACTCCACAGGTGAAATGCAAGTCAACAATATCGATAGAGGAAAGCCGCTGTTCCAATGACGAACCTTTGATAGCATATTGCCGAGCCTAGAATTGACAGTGTTTACAAAGTCGGTCCAAGGAACATTGGTTGAAAAGCTCTCCGGATTCGCTGCCACTGGTATGAGCAATCTTTCCAGCAATTGGCAGTAGGCCTGCTTGATCCTCGGACCATGAGCGTCAGCGAAGAGATTACCGAGGACTGTGAGGAAGTCGCAAGTGTTTCGAGCATGCTCTTGCGTGATAGGAATGTGCAGATTCCTCATGGCCAGAAGTAACAGCTCAATGCGTGATTCCAGGTCCCGTGCCGCCAGCGTACCTGTACTCCGAGTGACATTGCTCTGTAGAAGGTCCAGTTGGTTGACGTAACGTTGTGTGACACTTCCGAAATCCAGACGGCTCATACATCCCAAGACTTGACCGAAAATCCGCCAGTTCGCAAGCCTCAGCGGAGAGTTCAATAGCTGGTTGGAGTCCATGTCACGCAATTGGCAGAACACGATATCCTCAAGTTTGTGGGCAAGATCAGGCGTGATGGCGACCAGGGTGCCCTGCTCAAATATGGCGATAAGCACGCGAGACAAGAGGTATACTGATACTGTCGCGCGCTTATCAGCCATGTTGTATTCCTGTTGCAGCGGATCGAGCCCTGGAAGGGACGAGTCGAGCCCGTTTGGCAGTGGTTGGTCGATGTCTCCGGGATGCCCACCCTCAGTATGTCGCCTGGGAAGCATGGTGGCACAGCGAGGTTGCTAGGTTGAGCACGTAATTGACGCTTGACATTGTTGGCGGCATCTCCCTTGGCTTTCCTCCATAGCATCAGACTATCGACCAGAGGCTTGGGATTCTGGCGAGTGATGTGCCCGAGCGATGTGATCAGCTGGTCGAAAGAGGGATCCACGCCTGCAGCACAGCACTGCTCAACAGGCGTGGCCACAGTGTCGATGGTGGCTAAACATTGATTTATCTTTGCATCGGCTCGAACAACGAAAGAATGGAAGAGATGGTGTAGCGCGTACTCGGCAGGTGTGCGGGGCTCCGATGGCTGGACGGAGGACAATGACTGGCCGTTGACTCTGCGTCGAAGCGGCCCTCGCTTTCGGACCACGCCATCGGTGGCCATGGTCGGATCGTCCTGCGAGCTTCTTGCAGCATGCGCAGACGAAGGCGATTGTATACCGGATATTGCTTGTGGGGAGTCTGCAGCCGCGGCAATGCGACGAGCAGTTGGCAGTGCACGATTATTGGAGGTCGCGTGGAGCAGCGACTCTGGGCTCAGTGGGCTTGATGTCTGAGGAGAGTTGAAGCTCGTATTCCTTGAATGCTGAACACCATGGATGACAGAAGTCTGACGGTGGTGCCCATAACTGTTGGACAATTGCCGCCTCAGACCAGACTCAGTGGTGCTATAGGACTCCGCAGGATAGTGTCCCTGAGCGGACGGGGCACGAGTCTCTCTCGGAATGTTGTAGCTGGCCGACGTGTTTATGGGAGGCCGGCCTCGGGGGACTGAGTGATCTCGAACGTGGGGAGGGAGGCCATTGTTCGTGAGGGGGCTTGTGATGATCGTCGCAGTGCCATGATCTTGTTCGGATGCTGCATTGGGCGACTGTATCGAGGTCTGTAGGTGATGTGGGAGTCGAGCCACCGAGTTCTGCACATCTAGAGGATTGTCAGTGGGGGTCCATTGGTGAAACGCTGCGACGAGTTTGGTTTTGGGGGCGTACGGTTATGAAGCATGGTGGACTCGAGCTACCGCAGTAGCAGACAGGAGGCCACGTCTGCTAGGGCACTGCATGTCTCTGAGCGACACAGAGGGCAACGGGTTTGTGTAAGAGGAAGTTGCTCTAGGATGCGTGGAAGGACCTTTGCCGCTCTCCCCTTCCAAGCAGACCGTTGTTGTGCTGCCATCACGTTGCATCATAAGCCAATCAAAGCCCCGTGCCTTGCGCAGTGGAGAGCGCCTGCAGATCATATGCCAAGCGAAGGAGTTAGGAGATACTGTCCCTACCCGATGCATGATCTGATGCTCGAGGAGAATGTTGTCCTCGTGCTTCCACGCACTTCCCGAGTCTGTCAGACGCGCACGAAGACTTATGGCAGAAACCGAAACAATGCTTTGATGATGCAAAGGTCTCCATTTCGTTTCAATGTCGTGGGATTCGTGATGGAAGTCATCCACCGTGGTCCTGCCGGGCACGTGGAAGACACGTTCGATATAAGCAGCAGCAACCACATCATGGGACCTGGCGTGGCACACATGTACACGAACAACGCTACATCGAGCCACATGGGAGCATGTGCTCATCAAGAAATCAATATGTCTTGCGTTTTGCCATATGCCTGAAACGCGAAATACGAGCAGCAGCGCACATGCACGCGCGCGATAACTTCGGATGGGTTACCTCGCAGTTTTCAGGCCCTGTTCCACCGCCGGTAAGGCGTTCACCACTGGCTGGTTCTCTCAGCTATAATTAATTGTCTCGCTCCTCTCGGAGTGGGCGACGTAGACAGATGTCAGCCATGACTGCGTCGGCGGTGAGATAGACTAGGACTTTGCCGTAGAATCATTCATATAAAGTCCGCCTCTTTCCTGACAACAACGTCCATCTGCCGACATTTGACTCCAGCTGTTGAGAACGCTGCCGGGGGCACCTGGGGTCAACACAAAGTCTGAGGAGCGGCGGCACTGATCCGCACTCCGCGCTGCACACCACGAAACCAACAAGACCTGCCATTATTCCCTTTGATTAACATTGCGCTTGCCGACGCTCGCAATCCGCGTACTGGAAAAACTGGAAAAACTGGAATCCGCAAAGCCCACGCCCCGCTTACTGCTATAAGGCATCTTGACCATCCACCGCTGCTCCCCGTGGCCACTTGCAGAGACACCACATCCCTAAACACGCCCCACACCACATTGGGCGCAACGGGCCAGATTTACTTCCAGCATCTTCGGCTAGCATATATCTATTTGATCACCCCCCAGATCGCTGACGTTCACGACTCACGTCTTATATTGCCTGGCGCTGTCCATTCCTTGACTAGAGCTGCGAGCCTGCGACTGCATCCTAGACTCCGTCAGCTCAATCTAGTCTTTACCCCATTCCTACCCGCGAAGGGGCCTGTTGTTTGCACCCGATCCTACGCACTTTTTCCAGATCGCCCCTCGGGAGTCGGGAGAGTTCACCCGATACCGTCCACTTGGCATCAGGCCACGGCCAGAACGTCCTTCCGTTGACACTCTGACAGCGACAGTCCTGCCATTCTCACTGTCACGATATTCTACGACGACTACGACGCCACCAACAACTAGAGTGCGCCGTTCTCATCGCGTCTCTCCCGCATCGTTCAGCGCTTTCCTTACTGTCCTGGCCCGACGACATTTCACCCCACATCATCTTCCACGATGGCGCAGGTCGATACACTTGATCTCATAGTGCTTGCACTCCTGCTCGTTGGCAGTGTAGCATACTTTACAAAAGGCACATATTGGGGAGTTCCCAAAGACCCATATGCCGCGTCTGCCATGAATGGCAGTGCAGCCAAAAAAGGCTCACGAAACATCCTCGAGAAGATGGACGAGTCAGGCAAGAACTGTGTGATATTCTACGGCTCTCAGACAGGAACCGCCGAAGATTACGCCTCTCGACTCGCAAAAGAAGGCTCTTCACGCTTCGGTCTGAAGACCATGACAGCCGACCTCGAAGATTACGATTACGAGAACCTAGATCAGTTCCCAGAGGACAAGATTGCTTTCTTTGTCATGGCAACGTACGGTGAAGGCGAGCCGACCGATAATGCGGTTGAGTTCTGGGAATTCATGAACGCTGAGCCACCCTCCTTCTCCGAATCCTCCGAGGACAAGCCACTGCAGAACCTTAGATATGTCGCATTCGGCCTGGGCAACAACACTTACGAGCACTACAACTCCATGGTCCGAAATCTCGACAAGATTCTGACAGGCCTCGGTGGCAAGAGAATTGGAACTGCTGGCGAAGGCGATGACGGTGCTGGAACTATGGAGGAAGATTTTCTTGCCTGGAAAGAGCCGATGTGGACTGCGCTGGCCGAAGATATGGGTCTGGAAGAACGCGAGGCTGTATACGAGCCCGTGTTCAGTGTCGACGAGCGTGATGACTTGTCCCCCGAGGACGACACCGTCTATCTCGGCGAGCCAAACAAGAACCATCTCGAAGGCACCCAGAAAGGACCATTCAACGCCCACAACCCGTACATTGCGCCTATCGCCGAATCTCGCGAACTGTTTACTGTCAAGGACCGAAACTGCCTGCACGTCGAGATTGATGTCTCTAATTCCAACATCTCTTACACAACCGGTGACCATATTGCTGTGTGGCCCACCAACGCAGGCATGGAAGTCGATCGTTTCGTCAAGGTTTTCGGACTTGAAGAGAAGCGCGATCGTGTCATTTCGATGAAAGGTCTTGATCCAACTGCGAAAGTGCCGTTCCCAACGCCGACTACCTACGATACTGCAATTCGTTACCATATGGAGATTTGCGCTCCCGTCTCACGTCAATTCATCTCAACACTAGCCGCATTTGCACCCAATGAAGATGCCAAGAAGGAGATGACCAGACTTGGGTCTGACCCGGACTACTTCAAGGAGAAGATCGCTTCTCAGTACATGAATATCTCCCAGGCCTGCGCGTCCGTATCTTCGGAGCCGTGGTCTGCGGTGCCGTTCTCATGTTTGGTGGAGACTATCAACAAGCTCCAGCCCAGATACTACTCCATTTCGTCCTCATCTGCCGTCCAGCCAAAGAAGATCTCTGTGACAGCTGTCGTTGAATCAATCCGCATTCCGGGAGCTGGCCACGTCGTCAAAGGAGTCACTACCAACTATTTGCTGGCACTGAAGCAGAAGCAGAACGGTGACCCGTCTCCTTCGCCACATGGGCTGACTTACAACATCACTGGACCTCGCAACAAATACGATGGCTTCCATGTGCCTGTCCACGTCCGTCACTCGAACTTCAAACTGCCTTCTGATCCCTCGAAGCCTATCATCATGGTTGGTCCAGGAACTGGAGTTGCTCCTTTCCGAGGGTTTGTTCAGGAACGGGCTGCAGCTGCTAAGAAGGGCGAGAATGTTGGCAAAACTGTTCTGTTCTATGGTTGCCGCAGGCGAAGCGAGGACTGGCTGTACAAGGACGAGTGGGATGTAAGAGAAACCCCATTCTGTTGACATTTTGCAATACTGACAAATGCTAGCACTTCCAAGAAGCCCTTGGCGACAACTTGGTCATTTTCAACGCGTTCTCTCGAGATCAGGAAAAGAAAGTGTATGTTCAGCATCTACTCAAGGAGAACGGCACACTCGTCAACGAACTACTCCAGAAAAAGGCCAACTTCTATGTCTGTGGCGATGCAGCCCACATGGCTCGCGAAGTAAATGATGTCCTCGGCCAAATTATTGCCAAGGAGCGTGGTGTTGACGAGAAGAAGGCAGAACAGACCGTCAAGAGTATGAGGAGTAGCGGGGTCTATCAAGAGGATGTCTGGTCGTAGGCGAAGGCAAGATCACCTGTCGATATGCGTGATTCTGTTTGGCGATGCACAGCGTGGGTCTCTTCCAAGGCAGTCTCTGATGGCCAGGATCATGTGGTTAGATTTATGTTGAGAACTGGTGTCTATACTTATTGCAGACATATTCTAGAGTATATTACACTTTTCACGCAATGCCCGACGAATGAGCAGCTGAGCTATCCGCACATGCTCAACCGTTCGCCTATTGTCAGCTAACCTGTGTTCGTGCAATGAAGACCGCGTGGGAAATGTTAGGGAAGGGGCCGAGGCCTCAAGTCGCGCCTGTCAAGACCCATGCCAAGACAACGACATCGCGTCACTTCCAGTTTGAGATTGATGCTTCCTTCCCGGCCCAAGAACATCGCATTTCCTGCACCCACCGACACAAAAACTGCAAGCCGTTTTCCGAAGCAATTCTAAAGCTGGCACGGCTTTGAGATGGGTGGTCTTCATACTTCCCGCTAAACCGTAACGCTCCCTCTTAGGCCAATTGCAATATGTCGCCATCTACGAAGCGGTCCTCAACCATTCACCTGCCTCTAGGCGACTGCGAGGTCCCTACCATCGAACATGACGAACCTTTCGTCAATCTCGTCACCAAGCTCACCTTGTACATCTCCAGAGCGGTTGATGGAGCTTACACTTACGACCAACTGCGGACAACGTTCGCCAGTCAGAGCTTACGACCACTAATCACATCTCTAAGCAACGACTGCCATCATCCTGCTACAGTGGCCGCACTGTTGGCATCACGCTACGTATTCAGCGAGATAGAGACTGACGGCTCCGGTATCAACGAAAGTCGAGCTCTAGCATGCGAATTCGTGGCTTGGCAATTCTTGACGTTTCTGTCGGAGCGGGAGCTGATGGAATACCTCCTCTATGAGTTGCCCGCAGTCGACAAAGATGATCCATCCCCGCCCGCAAGACATACCCGAGATACTCCCAACGGCGTCGGTTCCAGGACCTCCTCCACACATTACTTAGATGAATCAGCCCCACTACTCCAGCCTCGCCCCACAGAGTATGATGGTTTGGTGGGACCTGATCGAGCGAACTTGGACGACCATAACGACCCGGATCCGGGGAATCTGGGCGAGCTAGAGCCGAATGAAGGCGACTACGATCTTGCAAGCACATTGGCCGGCATGAATGCACTGGAAATCGGACTAGTTTGCGATGCCAAGAAATTCATCTCCTGCAAGCCCGTGCAGAAGGTGGTGACCGATGTCTGGCATGGCGATATTGTGTTCTGGTGAGTGCCCTAGCAGGCTTGTATCGGGCACTGAGCCATAAAATGGATGCTGGCTTGAGGCAAAGCACAAAGGCCTCCCGAAACATAACAGCCAACCAATTCCCTGCCTCTTCCAGCTCATCGTCATTTCCCGAGACAAAGCTAATTCATTTGCTCCACAATTCAGGGAGAGTATGAGCGTACATGCTGTCAAGAAGCCGACAGTGTATAAGAAGCGTTCAGCCGATCCTTTTCTGAGGTTGCGTGTAAGATACTTACCCAGACCCTATATCTTGCATCCGACGCATTATGCGAAGGAGTCGACATTGACGACAAGACAGGTCCCGAAATACCAAAAAGCACTACAGGTCGTCTTCTTCCTACTAGTAAGTCCTTTACCTCACCAGCAGCACTGCAAACAGACTCAAAGCTGTCAGTTCCTCGTCCTCTACTATGTTGTCCTTGTCGCCAGGAACCCAAACCATGTCAATTTGTCTGAAGCCCTGTTATACATCTGGATCGTCGCCTTTGCGTATGACGAGTTCGGTGAGATCCAAGACGCTGGTCTGATGTTCTATCGGACAGATTTCTGGTCTCTGTGGGGTAAGTCACTACCGTGCTGCGTCAAATGCGGTGCAGCCTGCAGATGCCTGGGAAGGCCTGACCTCAGTGTCTTCACTTTGCGTTCTGCGTGGCGAGCCTTCGCCGTGCTTTCCTCGAGGATGTGGCACATCGCTAATCAACATATTCGATGTAGACATGGCAATCATCTTTGTGAGCGCAGCTTTTGCGGTGACCCGTGAGTAGCCGAATACTACAGAGACAGAGACTGCTAATCTCGCACTAGGCATCATCGGTCTCGTCAAACATGACAGTCTCCTGACCGATACTGCATTTGACATTCTCAGTATGGTGGCGTTATTCCTTGTACCAAGGTGAGACGGATTCATCGCCGACTCAACTGTGGCGCTGATCCTTCCAAGATTGTTCTCCATGTTTTCGTTGAACCCATACTTTGGCTCCCTGGTAAGCGAGACCAGCTATACTATCTGTGTCCGTGATGGATACTAACTCGTCCAGATCCCGGTGCTGAAGGAAATGGTATGGCGTCCTGGAGGCAAGCGTTTCGGTTGATGCTAACGTGTTGAGCAGACCAAAGCATTTTGCAAATTTTTACCAGTGATAGTCGTATTGTACCTAGGTACGCAGTCGCTCACTTGAGCCGGAATTGCGCTGACGGCACAGGGTTCCTCACTACCTTCAGCATGCTCGCGCGGGACAAGATATCTGTGAACGAAATGTCCTGGATCTTGATCAAGGTCTTCTTCGGAAGTAGCTACCTCGGTTTTGATGTTGCTGTGACGGTGAGTGCACGAGGCCTGGATTTTCCACGGAGCGCACTGACTTGACACAGATCAGCCCTCTCTTCGGCTATACCTTGATGTAAGTCGCTAGTCGCCTCACTTGTACGCCACCAGCTCGTTACGGTGCTAGGGGCTTGAGGAACTCCTTTGCTTTACGCCGCGTGCCCCAGTGCTCTTCGGCCCCTGACTTAATTCTCCAATCCGTCTTTCCTCCGCTGACGGTGTGTTCTAGGCTGATATTCGTATGCTTGACGAACATTCTTCTGCTCACTTCTCTGGTGTCTCTTGTTTCGGGTGAGTGATTGTCCCGTGAATCCACCTCAAGCCTTTACTGACGATCACTAGTAAGACACCTCTCCCGCGCATTATTGCATACGGTCTGCCCCGTCGGCATCTTCAAGTTGATGCTTGTGCATCCCACGTGATAGTTCTGATACTGCCAAGACCTGGGCGGGAACTCCAAGGCTGGCGCAGATCTTCAGCATTCGTGCAGTGTGACAGCACAGACCATTCCCCGCATGCCCTTCTGTGGCTTCGAAGCAATCTACTGACACGATTTACAGAACTCGTTGACCGAAGGTGAGTTCTTCGTACGGTCTGCTCGCGGAGTCGGCCCGTATATTACGCGAGGACCTGTTTAGCCGCGCGGCTGTCTCTTCGGGTTTAGGGCTTCTGCTAATGCTTCGGTAGTGATGGCACATGCTCGAGAGGAATACTTGTTCCAGGTTAAACAGATCTTCGTCTTGTATAGGTCAGCCTTACTAACGGACCGCAGTACTCTATCTATGTGCTCGAAAGCAGCACAAGTGGCCGGCTGACCTATTTCATGCCACCTCTTAACCTGGTGGCGCTACTCTTCCTGCGACCGTTACGGCTAGTCTTACCTTCGGAAGACGTACGACGAATAAGGATCGTAGTCCTGAAAGGCACCCATGCTTCTATCGTGGCTCTCATCTGGCTCTACGAGCAAACAGCTGAGTTGTTTTCACATTTGCCTGCATCGTCTATCAAGATGTCAAACATGTCAAGGTCTCCCCGGCCTATTTCCGGCCATTATGTGGACGGCCCAAGGCCCGCTATTACGCGAACACCCACTAAGCCATTCACTCCGAGGGTATCGAGAGTGACGACAGATAGAAGAGCGAGACATCTCTCTGTCTCTTCGACCGGCGACGTATCTGAGATGATGGCTCTTATACAGACACTATCAGCCAAGGTCGACGGCCTGACGGCGCTGGTGGCTGTGCAGCAAAATGAATGAACGGTGTGAGGTGCGCTGGGTCATCTGATCTCCTGGTCCGGCAAGTATGGATCCTCCATGCTACTATTCGCCGTTGTGAGGGCCGGAGTGGCGGATAAGTGTCGAATCAGTGGCTGGTTCACTCAGTGCCCCGCTCAAGGTCGATGCACACCCATCAGGAATGTTTCTCAACGCTACCTTAGGTACCATTCGCGGTTACTCGGGCATCTTCAACTCTTTGGGGATAAGGCGGTCCTGCGACCATTCAGCAGGCAGCGCATGCCTGAGTACCACATTGGCTCGGGACCACCCTGGCTTTTTTCCGGGCGTTGGGCTACTGAATGCCGATGCTGATATTTTCCAACAATGATAGCAGCATATTTTATGCGTACCCAATATCAAGACCTGCCAGGCCGGTTCCTTCAGCTCTCTTTGCTTCATACCGAGCATTGGAGATTTAGTCCCTCTTGCAGCAAAGCCATAGTGTCGGTCATGGATACGTACAATGCATGCGCATCCTCATTCGAGCAAGAGCATATGCTATTCACATCAGGGCCTCTCCTCAGCGCCTTCGTCGGCCCTTCGCCTGAGCAAGTCCAGTGGTCGCAGAACAACATGTTCGGTCCAACAGACCGGCTTGGGCTACAGCTTGAGCCACAGCCACAGGACATCAATATGAACAGATACTTCCTAATCCCTCGCGACCAGAGAGGCCCGCAATCACGCAGGCTACAGCAAAGGGAGAAGCTCGCCACCTGCAAAGATTGTCCATTTTCGACGAACCGGAGCTATCGCTTCCACGAGCACCGACGTGTCCACCGAGAGGATCCAGTACGCCGCATCTTTGGAATCTGTTGGAAGTCTTTCGGTCGCCCACAAGATGTGCATAGGCACATTGATTCGGTAAGGTTCAAGATGGGCGTTCGAAGGCGCGAACATGCACTGAGGCAACGTCCTGCGACTGGTTGCATTCGCTGACTGTGGGCAGATTCACAGACAGTTTATAGCGTGTATCTGCCTTGGTGCGGCCAGAAGTTCAAAAGGAAGGATGTATGCATAAGGTGGGCCTGTTTTCACCATTTCACCTGCTTGAAAATCATCTATATTTCCGAACGGCGCATTCCACGCAGCATTGTGCCGTGTACCGAACCTCTCGAACAACAAGAGCAATTGCGCGAAAGTCGTGGTCTCTTTTTTAAAAGGGTCTACAGCTATGACAACCAAAAACCACGCGATTGGAAGTGCTCGGCACTGTTGTATCGTAGAAACGCTTTGATTCTACTGCGACTCATGCTGTCTTTCTGCCGACCACCTCGCTTGAAACATGCTGACTAGGTATTGCGATTGATTCTAGGCATACAGCGAGTCGTTGTAAACACTCTCCGCACTCGAAAGCTGAAAACTACAAGAAGAAGGTGAACATTACACACAAGTCAAGGCGATAAGCAAGAAGCACGTCTTGACGATCCTAGCACATTACTGTCTGCGAAGCTATGATCCTCAGCGTATGCAGGAGCGCCTTCTCGTCAAGAGTATTCGGGGCAAACGACTCGGACTGCTGCATTCGTCAAGCCAGCATGTACATAGATACATACGAGTGCAAGACTTTCGGCCTAAAGTGCAGCCTCATCTGATCTGATCTGAGTCCGCGTGAACGATCTACCATCGTAGATCAGATCAGACCGCGTCTGCCTTCAACAATCGTGATCATGAGCTGCTCCAGGTCGTATGCAAGTAGAAGAATTCGTGTTTTCCCCAGGTGACTGACCCTAGGTACCGATCCGCCTGGTAGCTTTTACGACATTAGTACACGAGACCGGACGCCAAACCAGTGCTAAGTAGCTGGCCCTTATCGCACTGTGCTCGCAGGACACTCTCTTCCAGAGCATCCACATGTTATAGCATGCGTCACTATTCACACATATGGACTGGTACAAACTCCGACCTTGTACTTTTGTGCCGTCTCTGAAGAAGAGACACGCTTTGACCGCTCTGCTTCTGTGCTTGGCTTACCCGTCTTGCCGCCGCCTTATTGCTCTTGAATTGACTACTCATGCTGCAACTTTGATCACTGCGACAATACCTAGCAGGTACAAGCGACCGCACAGTAGGGAGCTCAAACTCCGACCTCGTACTTTGCGCCGCTCCTGATCACTAGAGTACGCCCTGGATGCTGATCTAGCACCCACAAAGGGCTGGCGCGGACCGACTCTGCATCATGCCTACTCTTGTTGATGCTCGGTGGAGCCGAGCTGCTATGAATATCCGGAATTTGAATTGATATTGGCAGGTTCGGCCTTATTGCCTGCAATGTCATTGACTATTGAGTAAGTCCCTATACTCAATCCTGCCTAGAGTGAGCACGAGGACAAGCTGAGATCTTGCGCCAAGAGCTCGCTTAGAGGTGAACGGAGAAGTTGACAGGTTCGAAAGTGCAGAACGAGTCTGCACATCTGAGAAAACCTACTGTAACGGTTTCTGGTCAAAGCTTTAGGGCGCGTAGTGTGGGAGTCATGTGGTCTGGTACTTTGGCGCGGATGCCGGAAAGTGCGATCTAGCAAGGATCATTGTGCACTTTGCCTTAGCTACGCCAAAAGGGCTCGCTTTAGTTGCGCAAGCTTGCGCTTTGGTCAGGGTTTGAGAGCAGGGGTCTGTTTTCGGATCTGTTGAGCTCGAACGCTGAGCTTTTTGACAAGACTTTGTCATTGTGGACGGACGTCTGAGCAAAGCGATGCCAACCCCGGTCGTTCATGCAGCCGTCGCAACGACGGAGAGGCCCTGATTTCTTTCGCTCAATGAGATGATGTTGATGCAGAACAAACGCAGATTGTTTCGAAGCAGGAGCTGAGCCGTGGGACTGCTGCAAGCCTGCGAGCAAGACATACAGCTGTCAAGGCTGCATCGTCGCTGGAGAGGGAGACCATGTTTCGATTGTTGATTGATAGTATCTTCGTAGATCTCGGTGGCTGTCAGCAGCTTCGGGCTGTAGGGCTCGCACGAGTGTGGTTGACCCTTGCTGGGGCTGGGATTTGGTTGTGGAACACATGTCTTGTACGGTGTAGTTTCATTACGGTTCGTTCGACACCAGCAGGTCGATCCCGTTGTCCGTCGGGCAGGCGATGCCAAAATCAACCATTATTCCGTGAAGACTGCCAAGGTGTCAAATTCCCATGTTGCAGATCATCGACTCACCATCTGTCCACAAGTCCGAGTCATTGGCAGGTGTCATGCCACTCCTCCACGAGGCCTTTACGGAGACCAATAGCACAAAACATGACCCTACGCCACACGGACTGACAAGCCACTCAACCTGGCCAGAATATGCCAGCTGAACAAACACGCAGCGCTATGGCAGCCAATTCAGTGCTCAACATGGAATGTGCGTGCTGCCAAAGGTCTGACAACAGCCGCAGCGCTTTTGACCATGGACCAGGGCCCCTCACTGCTTTTGTCAGGCAGCTGTTCTGTTTTCCCGTCAGAGACAGCTGAATGCAGGGCAGGGTCGGCTATGATGCTTACAAAGTCGTGTGCTGATTATTCGCGTCTGGCTATTTCAGGGTTCGAGCAGCATTGAACTCACCGTCGGAGACCTCCCGAGTTTCGTAGAACGCGCGTTTGGATCGAGTGAGCATGTGGAAAGCTGTTGCTCATAATGGCAGGAGCTGCGTCGAAGAATACTGCAGATGACTGAAGTCGCGTTAGGGTTTCATCTCTGTACCACCTCATTTTGAAGCCCAGCATAAAATGTGAAAGCTGTGCCTCTTGCCTGTATGCGACTCGCTCAGGGTGTAAGACAGGGGCAGATTCTCTGAGGACGTCCATGCGAGAGTTTCCAAGTGAGCAACCCCTGCTGTCGTTTCCGGTCGTTGTTGCCCGTGGTACAGAGGATGCGTGCAGCGCATGGCTGGTGTACCGTGTCATGGACTTGCGACGGTGCTGTTGAAGGAGGAATTTGCACACATCGTCAGTGGCGGGGTCTTCCGAGCCAGTCATTCGTACAAGACTCAACAGATTGAGCGCTGAAAGCATTCCACCTGCTCGAGCCTTCCTCTTCGTCCGGCGACTAAGGTTTGCACTTCCCTAGGGATCGACATGCTTTGTCAACCACGCCTTCCACCGGGAGAGATGGCAAGCACTAGCATCAGATTGTCGGTTGAAGGCTAAAACCGGTGTTAAGATCATGGTAGCCGAGGTGGTGGAGCTATTCCCACGTGCTGCAGTCGAGCCAGACACTGTGCTTTGCAGCGCCCGAATTCCACGCCTTGAATCGAGAAGTATGCCCTTCTGAGCGTCCGCAACGTCTCTCAATCGCATTTCATCGTTTGCTTCGCGAGATCCTGTGCCCAGGTCGTTGCGAGATTTGCTCATTAAACCTGCTGAGATCTCCCTTTATCGTCCAGCGGCAACGGACAGCAGACAGAAGTGCTTCCGACGGGTCCATAGGTATGTGTATCTCACGCCACCCACTCACGCTGTGCCCGTGATGGACACGACGTTTCATCCTGATCGGGCAACTGTTCCGGTGCTGTAGCGTTGCTTGTTCGGACAACCAGCGCAATCAGTGTGGCACGACCGGCTGAAGCAGACGCCGGTGTTGAGGCTCGGCGAGACAAGACCGGCGTGCTTACAGCATACTGCTCCTGATGGCAAACTCGATACAGCAATCTTCGTGAAGATTACGCACGACTCTCCGCAAACAATCTTAACCCCGCGATCTCGTAATCTCTTAATCTTCTATAGATCCCCCAATCAGGAAGGTGCGCACAGGAGGCGAGGTAGGCGGATCCGGCAGTTTGTAGCAGTCGCCATTGCTTCAATTCCACGTGCCACCTACCATGCACACAACTAAGTATAGGATATTGGGAGAACTCTCACAGTGTTTGATACAGAGCATGTCTGTCGCTCGTTGTCAAGCCTGGATCAATGCTCGGTCCTCGTGAGCAAACTCTTTCGATGCATCGAAATGCATGCAGTCTTCCAGAAGCTGCTGTTTTCCTGTTGGATGCCTAAAGGCTGAAGATAGCACCCCAACGGCTCAATGCCATCCCGAACTCAATTTCGTCATGAAAGCTTTGCTCGCCTAGGGCTGGAAAAGCTTGCCAGAGCTTAAAACTGCGTCAGCGAAGAGCCGCCTTATCCGTCCAGTATTCAAGACCACGATCCTAAACGGTGCAAGTACCGGCATTCCGACCACACCGAGCGGCCGGATAGCGTCGACTTTGATCTCCACGTCGCACACATTTTCGCAACGTCTCCAGATCTGCGTGAAAACTCGACCATGGAGAAGTCGCGGGGGCCTTCGCAACGCGTCCCCACCAATTGCCAGGACGGAATGCTGCGCCGTCTGGGGAGAGTGAGGGTGTAGACATGGGCGGCTGAGAGACTACAAAATGGCTCTCTGCTCCCCGTCCGTGCCGCTGTCCACGAATCCTCCTCCGACCTGCTCTAGCGACTATCACGAAGTCCAGCCCTCCGTTCAACATGTCTCCCTCAGACAACAACGACCTGCGCCGCGCAGCAACGCATGATATCGAGATCGGTGTATCCGACGCCCTGCAGCGACATATAACACGACATGTAGTCCCACCAAAGCCTGTCTCCGAGAGGAAGCTCCGCTATGAACACTCACGACCTCGCATCCTGCGGGAAATGCTTGGAGAGGCCACAGGAGGTCAGTTTGTCACCCATTCCAGCATTGCATCCGAGGTTTCCTCGAAGCCGTCGCGAGGCACAGCCCAGACGAAGAACAATCTGCTCTAGCATCGTTGCCTGGTGTCATTGTTTGCTGACGGTCCTTGTCAACAGTCTTCTTCTACGTTTTTGCCGGCATTGCCTCCGTAGCCAGCTTCACCCTGGCTACGACCAATCCCGTCGCTGTTGGCGCCGACGGCAGGGCAGGGATAGGAGTGGGCATTTTCGGCAGCATCTTCTCCATCGGCTGGGCCTTTGCGTTCGGTATTGCTTTTGCAATCATAACCTGCGGACAGGTATCTGGCGGTACGTATCGCTCCCAATTCACATCAGTTTCAACGAGGAGATAGCTGTGGGGCCCTCCGAGACACCTTCCTGTCTGCGTCGCGCACTTCATCTCCTCGACCTGCTTGTGGACATATTCTCTTGTCTCTCTCACCCTCCGTAACACATTGCTGACGGCTCGTTCCCGCCAGGTCACTTCAACCCAGCTATAACAATCTGCTTTGCAATTTGGCAAGGCTTTCCCTGGAAGAAAGTGCCACACTACATCTTCGCGCAGATCTTCGGTTCATTCATGGCTGGCTTGTTGGTCATGGGCATGTACTGGCCAGAGATCCAGGCTGCAAAGGCTATCGATCTCGCAACAGAAGGCACCGTGCACTTTAACGGCGGCGTTGCAAGCATTCTATGCACTTATCCCAACGCCAATCAGACGAACCAGGGCTATCTGTTCCTGCAGGAGTGGTTTGTCGATTCTTACATTGTAAGTCCTCGTTTGCTTCGCAATCCCCGTTCTGCTGGAACCGCGCCGTTTCCGCGGACTCTCTTTTCGTGCTGAATACTGATCTCCATCGACTCAGGGCATCGTCATCTGGGCCATTCTCGACCCAGCGAATCCGTTCGTCAGCGCGACTATGGCTCCCTGGGGTATCGGGCTGGCTTATGCACCATGATCTGGGGATTTGCCGCCAACAGTATCAGCACCAACCTGGCCAGAGATCTTGGCACACGCATCGTTGCCGCAATTTTCTTCGGCAAGGAGGCCTTCACCGTCGACAACGGCTATTCCTGGATCAGTATCCTTGTCAACGTGCCAGCGACGATCTTCGCAACAGCTTACTATGAAGCTGTGATCCGCGACAGTATCGTCGCTATCGGGCAGGGCCACAAACAGTATGAGGGAGGAGACAACTTGATGGGCTTAGTCAGGCAGATGACCAATAAGAATGACGTGGAGGATATGCCGATGGGAACGACGAATGCTGTTGGTCACAATGATGGTCTCGGATCCGGAGTCGAAGCAAAGGACGGCTATCAGGATGGCAAGAGCACGCATATCGATTCTGGTGTGGTGAAGAGGGTCAATGGCTCCGGATCATCTGTCAGTGACGGACCCAATGGCAGGGATTGGGCTTAAGCGTTTCAGAGGCTTTCTTTCAGCTCCCTCCGCCAGAGCGAAACACCCATGAATAACAGCATTTCCAAATGCAATCAGACAACTTCTCCGCCAACAATCAACCTCTGCTTGAACAAACTCTTTCCTCTCAACCACTGCCGATAAGCCTTATACCTCTTCTTGCCACCGTCCTCCTCAAGGACAGTAAGTGGTTCGTCTCTGATCGCACTGTCGACAAACTCCTCGTACCCTTCCCGACTCGTCTCTGCCCTCTCGTCCAGAATTATTCCCGAAGTCTCCACCGGATTCATGTATTTCTCATTCTCGACATCAGTAAACTGCTTGACCGCTCTGTCGGACAGCTGGCCAGAGCGAGAGATGTACTCAACGAATTCGGAGGGCGCTTTGGTGTAGTCGACGAATCCATCAACAACAAGCGGGATCGAGGAAGGGTGTGTAATGTAGAGATGATACTCATTCTCCTCCGCGGGCTTGACGGTGGGATGGATGGAAGATGCCACCAGACTCGTAAATGCCTGAGTCGCCAACTCGGCTTTGGCAAGTCGCTCTTGCTCCTTGACGGTCAGGCCTGTGTCAGTCGTCGATGTGCCGGCTCCTGGAGTAGAGTTGAATGAATGAGAACCCATAGGGAGCTTCGGTACGCGCGGAAACGACACGGCGACGTTATCGAACGAGGTCTCCTTAATGATGCCCGTATATCTGCGGCTGTGATTGGAGCCGTGGATTTGATGCTGAGCGTCAAGCCACGGACCTAGGGTAGATGGCTTTGGCGCTTTGGCAGCTGGCTCCGGCGTTGGCAAGGCCAAACGGGCATCAATGGAAGCGGTGTCTGCCACAGACGTGGCTTCTGACGGAACGACGATCTTAACGCCTTTGCTGCGAGAAGTGGGTTCTTTGTTCGCTGCGTCCTTCTCAGGAGCATTACGGACTGTGAAGGGTGAAAGGTCGTATTTGCCAGACGTCGTTTGTGCGATTGGGATGTAGCGCATATTGGAGTGCATCTTGATCGAAAGAAGTCGGTTGAAAGTCGACAGAGCAAGTGGCCGGTAGTACTCAACCCAGAAATCGTCGAAGAACTGGACTGGTCGATTCTTGAAGTTCTGAGGCCAGATCGATGGTGGAATCGACGGTTCGCGAAGATTGCTTTCTGTGAACCACTGGCGATATGATGCCCGTCTCCTACCCATCATCAGTCTTGGATCAGTGTGATGCAGATAATAATCTGATGACATGTCCCACAGCATAGGTCGCCCACTGGCCACTGTGTATGTCCCAAGAAACAAGTTGTACGCCTCTTGTCTCTGGGAGTCCATGAAGGAGTTGTTCACGTATCGCCGAAGAGATTCGACCATATCTCGAGACTGAGACTGCCACGCATTGATCTTTCGATAGGTGGCCATGGTGTTGACGAGGTGGGAGCCGCCGTACTGTACCGCGATCGTGTCGCCGTGATCATGCCACATGTGAGTAAAAAGACTGATAGCGTCAGAATCGTACTGCATGGATGTGTCTTCGATCACGCCAAGCGCCTGGAGCTGATGCCCGAGCGCTTTCTTTGCAATGACGAACTGGGCTGCATTGGTCCTGTCTAGACAGTAGATGCAGTTCGTGCGCACAACGCCATTTTGAAGCTTCAATCCTGACTCAACGTCGTTGCCATTTCTGAAGAAATTCGTGCGAGGGAGGATATCGTCGGCGATCGAGTCAAGCGTTCCAATGACGTCCTGATCACGACTTTTCTGGGCTCTGCTCATGTCCCAGGCGCGGTACATGATCTTGCGATCCTCAGGCAGGAATTGGTTTAGGTAGTCGATCGCGGTCTTGTACTCGGAAAACAGCTTGGTCTCCCGCGGATTACGCTCTTTCTGCTTGATCAGGTTCAAGCAGTATATCGGCGTGCCATATCGTCCGAACATATCATCGAAATGCAGGGCTGTGGCGCTGAAGAACGGATCCGCCACGCTAAGGTGGATATCTGGCTTCGGTGACACGCTGCTCGGGTCTTGCAGCCAGTGCAACGGAATGCTGCCTCTATGCTGGACATAAGAAGTGTAGTTCGGATTGGCAAACAGACCTTCTCCAGGAGCATGAAACGATGTTGTAAGCATCTCTGAGACAATTTGCTCTGTTTCGACGTCATTGGCAACGTGGCCTTCATCGTTGGCGCCCCTTTTCAGATATCTTGCACCAGCAAAGTAGCGCGAACGTCTCGCTATCAAGGTCACGTAGACAACACGACCCCAGTAGACCGACAGGGCAGCTTGATCAACGTAGCCGTGGATGATTGAGAGGCACCAATTGTATGGATTCTTCATGGCTTTTCGAGCGGGTGAAAGAAGGTGGTCGTTCCACACAAACATGCTATTTTGATCCCAGGCTGCTGGCTCCGACAGGCCATCTTGCAGTGCTTCCCTTTCGCGCATTATGTTGTGCTGCAAAGTCCTTGTACAGTCGTACGAATAGCTAAAGTAGAACGACTTCGTCAGATCAAGATTGTTGAGAATGTTGACGTATCGGGCTTCGTCAATGTGCCTGTCGCTTTTGATCTTCGAGGCGGCGTATGTAGTAAGCGAAATCATTTCGGTCTTTTCGATCGTGTAGATATAATGACCGCCTACCAGCGCAACCTGACTTCGTTTCGTGACATATATCATGTAGTACTGACTAGTGAACTTGATGAAGCCGAGCAAGCCCCAGAAGCTAGCTTTGAGCTTGAGACCTCCAGTCGCTTGATTACCTTCATTCACCGCGTTCATGATTCCATAGGCTTCCTTCTTGCTGTAGACCACATCATCGTCAGTAACGTTGAGCTCACCAGGATCACTTGTTCTGTCGATTTTGAGGATGCGATAGTGATGATCGAGTAGATCAGTGCCCAAGATGTAGTAATTGTTGACAGTCTCGTGTAAGGTGAACTTGTGCATTCTGATCGCGCCTTCATCCACTGCATCGCCGACGAGGGCATCCTTGTTTCTATGCACATCCGACAGAGAGGGACTCGGAGCCCTCTGGAATGATCTGTTGATGTCAAGCTCCTCTTCTTCGTCATAGACGGGTTCGTCTTTTCCATTGACTTGCTGCTCCACGGCGTTGTTGGAAAGCTGAGGGTAAACAGGCGAAGCAGGCCCAGGCTGTGATGCTTGATCTGTGGCCTCCTCTGTGACCGGTGCTAGCACCGCCGTATCGTCTGATGTGTCCGAGCTGAGGTGTAGCCCTTGTGCAGACTTGACTGTGCCGTTGGTTGTGTGATCAAGCCTGGCCGATCTTGAAGGATCGCTTAGCGGCTCGATGCCATCCGCAGCCTCCGAGAATGTTTTGAAGGACTCCATGATACCGATGTCGCATTGTCAGATAACCATTGCTTGTCAAATAGTATCATATATCACCGCCCGTTCCGTCTCAACGACGTAATTGTAAATCGCCACCAGTTGGACATCATTGTTCTTGCAGCCAACCCCAATCAAGCTTCTGACCGAGACAACGCGCCTTCCTGACAGTCCGAAGCTTGGACTGAATCTTTCGAAAATGTGAAGTGCGACCAGGCAAGTATGTAGTACAATGTTTAATGTGTTCATCACTGACCTTGAAATCGAGGTCATTCAGCCCTACGAGATCCGGACGCGGACTAGCCCGCCAAGGCAGCACCGTTCTTTACTACCAGTCGCCTTGCAGCCGCTTTGACCATCCTTTCTCACTGCACAACACCGGGACAATAATGGTCACGATCGTGCTAATGGAGTGAAGACCGAGATCTGCGATCAGTTGACGATGCAAAAACGTGGATAAGTAGAGACCATTAGCCATGATAGGGGTCATGCTGCCTATTCGAGCTATCAGCTCCATCCGACAGGCCCGGTGCAAGCCCCGAAGGTAGGTATATAAAAACCTCGACGCGCGCGCGAGCGACTCGAGCTCAGCGTGGACCGTCCTGAGCGTCGTAATGAATATATCTGAGATCGAAACAACGACGAAAGTCCCACCTGCCACACGGAAGTCACCAGTGGTCCTGCACGCTGGCGACATCGAGGCACTTGAGACGGAGACGTTTTCACATGAACAAGACGCCCACGTCTCATGGAAGACCCTAATTTCCTCGCCGAAGACCAGTACTGAATCACTCACTGTGGGAATCGCGACCTGCCCGCCTAAGAGAGGAAGCCTGCCTCGACACCGCCATGCCCAAGCCGAGTGCTACCACATTATCAGCGGCAAAGGCGTCGTTGTCATCGACGGCGAAGAGCATTCCGTGGGCGCTGGGTCTGTGGTGTACATCCCTGGCCTCGCAGGACACAGTGTCCGGAACGAGCATCCAGTCGAGGAATTGAAGTGGTTCTATGTGTTCAACGCCAATAGCTTTGCCGACATCAAGTACGTTTTCGACAGCTGAGCTGTTCGGAAACCCCTGCCTACCTTTACCGCACCACCAGTCACAGATTCTCGCTTCTCACATAATCTGATCTATAAAAGAAGACATTTTCTCCCAAGCCCAGAATTCAGCCCTCGCTTAAGCTTCCAAGAGGGAACGGTGACACCACCAGGGAATCAGCCGAGGCAAGTAGCACGCCTAGCACAATCGCTTCCTCGGGCTTCACGCGTACATGCTGATTTCCCACATATGCGCTCCTCATCAGAAGTGCCAAATGTGAGACTTACAAAGTGCCGAAGCCGTTGTGCTTCATATACCACACATCCTCTTCAGACTAGTCGCGCGCGCTGCCCGAGACAACACGCTCTCTCGTCTTGAGAACTGCCTGAACCCCGCCGACAACGACTCCAGTCAAGCCCTCCCCCATATCACAGCACACACAGGCTCAGCCATGCCACCCTCAGACCTCCCAGCACCCTTCGCCGACCCTCTCCTCCCACAGCTCCCCCTCCCCTCTCCCTTCACCACCCCCAAACACCTCCGCCTCCGCGCCTTCGTCCGCAGCTACGTTGACACCCACCTCGCCCCACACGCCCAAGAATGGGAGACCGCCGGCCTCGTCCCACCCTCAGTCTACCAAACCCACTGCTCCCACGGCTTCTCGATCGTCCACCCCATCACAAAACCAGAATATGCCGGCGGCGTCACCCTCCCCGCCGGAATCCCCTACGACGAATGGGACGTCTACTGCTCCGTCATCGTCGGCGACGAGTTCTCCCGGCTGGGCTGGTGCGGCGTGACCTGGAGCCTAGGCGGCGGCAACGGGATCGGGTGCCCGCCCATCGCGCGGTTCGGGACTGAAGAGCAGAAAAAGCGGTGGTTACCGGGTGTAGCGCAGGGGAAGATACGGTTCTGCTTGGGGATTACGGAGCCGGAGGGCGGGAGCGATGTTGCGAATATCCAGACGACGGCGGAGCGGAGGAGGAATGAGAAGGGAGAGGAGGTGTATGTGTTGAATGGGGCGAAGAAGTGGATTACGAATGGGCTGTGGGCGGATTACTGCACGACGGCGGTGCGGACGGGTGGGAAGAGTCATGGGGGGATCAGTTTGTTGGTGGTGCCGTTGAATGCGAAGGGGGTGAGGAGGACGAGGATTGAGAATCAGGGCGTGCATGCGAGTGGTGAGTCTTTTTTTTCTATCTGCTGGTGATAGCGGATGTCGTGAACCTGTCAATTTGTCAAGCCCATCAATTCAATGTCCGTGCACCCAATTTGACACATCCTGACTGAACAACAGGGTCCACCCTAATAACCTACGACGACGTCGAGGTCCCAGTGTCCAACCTCCTCGGCCGCGAGAACCAAGGTTTCGCCCTGATAATGTCCAACTTCAACCCCGAGCGCCTCTCCCTCGCGACCGCTGCGCTTCGCCTGTCCCGCGTCTGCGTCGCCGACGCATATGCCTACGCCTGCGACCGTCACACCTTCGGCAAACCCTTGATCGAGCACTCCGCCATCAAGTCCAAATTCGCAGAGATGGGCACCTTGATAGAGCCCGCCCAGGCGTTTTTGGAGCAGTTGTTGGCGATATTGGATTATGCGGCCAAGAATCCGGGTGTGGGGGAGGTGAATGTGGGCGGCATGACGGCTTTGCTCAAGGTGATGACCACGCGGTGTTTGGAGAAGGTATGTCGAGAGGCGCAGCAGATTATGGGTGGTGCTGGATATAGTAAGAGTGGGAGAGGGGCGAGGATAGAGCAGATTAGTCGAGATGTGAGGGTGCATGTGGTAGGTGGCGGGAGTGAGGAGATTATGAGTGATTTGGCGGTGAGGCAGGAGGTGAGAGATGTGGTGTTGCGGGCCAAGGCCCGAGAGAGGGTGTCGAATGAGTCGAAGCTCTGAGGCGTGGCGCTCGGAGAATGTCGTTTCGCCATATCAGCATTCCGATGTGGATGGCATAGGGTGTGCATAAGGAAGCAAGAGTAGTCGTATTGCACAACTTCATCTCACTCGAGGCCAAGCTCCTGCCGCCGACTTTTGATCATTTCCGTAGCAGCCTCCTTTGTTGCTGTGTCTTCATTGTCGAATTGCCATTCAGTGACCATGTCGACGGCAGCCTTGATCCATGAGCCAGCTTTGGCAACACCGAGGGCTGACTTAATTTCGTTGCCTTTGAGGACGAGTTTCTTATCGATACTTGTCGCGTCCTCCAGCTTCTGTTCTTGCAGATATGTCAAGAATCTCTCATATTCGGGAACCTTTCCGTAATCTTCGGCGAAGGTCAAGTCACACAGCAATGAATACAGGACTTGAAATCGCCATGTTTCTTTGCATGCGCGCATGACCATACCTATCGCACCGCGCGTTGCCTTGTCGGTATTCACCAGCGAGACGGCTTCTCGGATCGCAGCTCTGTTCTTGATAGAGTCTTCCAGAAGCTTACTCCAGATGTTCGTAGCTTTGATGCCCTCGCGGGCGGCGGCAACCGCTGCCTTGGCATCCTCACACCACGGCACATATGCAGCAAGGAACCACGCCACTGCTACGTCGTCCTCGACCTTCAAGCTAGAGCAGATGTGGCGGCTCTCCGTAGTGATCCACTGCAGGGCAGCGTAAGTGCGCTGTCTGTGTCCCTGCGCTTGTGTGTGGCCAGGCGTGCTGGCTGGATCTGCGAAGACGGTGTCGTACAGATCGAATGACTCAATCAACTCCAGACCGGCGTATGGATCTGGTCCAGCGAAGATCTTTCCGATCTCAACGCCGACTCGTTCACGACTGATCTTCAGTCGTAGTGCCTCGTGTATTGATTTGTCCTTCATGGCTTCTCCAACGTGCGATTCGATTCTATATCCAAGCCGACAGGCGAACCGAATTAGGCGCAGTACACGTAGCGGATCGTCTTTGAATGTTTGATAGGGAGCCAGAGGTGTTCGAATGATTTTCTGCTCCATGTCATCGAAGCCTGATGGGTGAAATCCTCGACGTCCTGAGTGTCGAGGTTGAAGAACAGTGCATTGACTGTCGCGTCTCGTCGCATGGCATCCTCCTCAGCAGTGCCGAACTCCATCTGCGGATTCCGGCTGTCGTCAGCATAGACCTCTTTGCGAAGATTGACAAAGTCGACGTCAATACCAAACATCTTGGTAGTAATGGTCTCCAGGTGTTTTGACTTGTCCGGATTTGCAGCAATCTTATGCAAGCCTTTCAGGTCGGCCTTGAAGCCCTGCGCCTCGGCTTCTTCCTCATACTGCTTGCCATGCTCAGCCATATACGCTTGGAGAGCCTCGCCAAACTGCATGCCCGTCATAGTGCTGAGTGCCACGTCTATGTCAACCGACGGCACCCCAAGTAGCTTGTCTCGTACCCAGCCACCTGTCCAGCGCATGACCAAGCCATCCATGCCAGCAACGGACTGCATGTTAATGCGACAATCTAGAAGACATCTCCGAAAGAGCTTCTCCTGCGCGGTGAGATGAATGGCTGGGTAACGCATCCTGAATGGCTGTCGTCCTGTCTTGACCTTGTAACTCGGATCCGTTGAATGAGAAGATCTTGTCTGGGTGGTCGGTAACTTATAGCGCAGAGACGGAAGTTGCCACGGTCGTGCGTCTCTTGCAATGAACAAACAACTGCGCGTCAATCTCCCGAGTAGCCGCATATGATTCATTCACTAGGCGATCTGACTCAATGCTCGCATCTTCACGTGGCACCCGTCAAACAGTAATCCCTGGTGAGTAGCGGGCCTTTACAGCCCCATATGCAACAGTAAGTCCCTAAGCGATGAGATTGTTGTATTAACGCGATGTCGATCACTGACTGATAGTGAGAATCTCAAATAATGCAAATGAAGGTCTGCAACGTGTCTTCCCAAACGTCCACGGGTGGAGAGCAAATTTACATGGTGTTTTGGAGATGTACAATACAGGTAACTCTGAAGATCCGCCGCGATTTGATGGTATTGAGGGTCCTTGCATCAACGTCACTACAACATTTTTTGGTTCATGTACGCGGATCCTCTTCATGCAACACCTCGACCGCATTCACGCGTCCGAGAGCATAAAGAGCGCGCCGGGCACCACAAGAGTACATAGGTAGCATGGCACGACCGTTCCTCCGGTGCAATGCGTGCTGGCATACGCTGCTCGATGCTTTTGCATCCTTCGCTGGCATCTCACTTCGTGCTCCGGTGCGGCGAACGTTACCCACCCGGACCTCATATAGAACCTCGATCCCTATAACACGACAGCTACACAACTCCATACGGAGGCATCAAAACACAGAAGCACAACACAGCACACCACCAGACGAGCGAACATCCCCAGAAACCACCGATACCGCTCCCGCACCTGAACCACCTTCGTCCGGCACCAGCGACCCCGTCCCGTGGTACCTGAACCTCCCAGACCCCCTCCCACCACTCCCACCGACCACGTCCCTACTCTCCCCACTCCTCGCCCGCCAAACACTCCCTCCGCTCCCCAACTCTCCTCCGCCAATCCTTTCTCCAATGCTCTCCCACCTCTCAATCGCCATCGGCCTCGACAACCTCTCCGTCCTTGACCTACGCTCCCTCAACCCGCCACCCGCCCTCGGCGCCAACCTGATCATGATCATCGGCACCGCGCGCAGCGTCAAACACCTCAACGTCTCCGCCGATCGGTTTTGTCGGTGGCTGAGGTCAGAGTACAAATTGCGGCCGTATGCGGACGGCTTGCTGGGGCGAAATGAGTTGAAGATTCGGCTGCGGAGGAAGGCAAGACGGATGAGATTGGCTAGGACGGCGGGCAGACTAGATGCGGAAGACTCCCCAGCTGGTGGGGATGGCATCACGACTGGATGGGTCTGCGTGAACGTTGGGGATGTGAGCGATGTGGTCGTGCCAGCAGTAGGCCAGAGCGATGCGGCATCTGAAGCAGCTACGGACCCGGCTAATGACACTGAAGACAGCTTTCGCGAACGCTCAGAAACAGTAGAAGAAGAGGAAGAAGAGTACCAGAATCCCACCGAAGACGAAATCTCCACCACCAAAAACCCAACATCATTCGGCCTGAACACCCTCTCCCCAACCTCCGCTCGCATCGTCGTGCAGATGTTCACCGAAGATAAGCGCGTCGAGATGGACTTGGAGACGCTGTATACGAACCGCGAGTCGAAGATGCAGAAACATGAGGATCGCGCGGACAAGGATATCGCCCGGGAGCAGGCAGAGCGTGGCGTCGGTAGCGATGCAGAGGAGATCGATTGGTTTGAGGACGAGGACGAGCAGGTGGCAGAGAAATTGGCGCGACAACAACAGCAGCAGCCACAAACGTCGAAGGAGAAGCAGCCGAGCTGGAACCCGTTGTTTTCCTGAGGAATATTCAGTGGGGTGAGCCGGGTTGTATAGACCGCAGGTGACTCCTAGTCAAATAAGCTGCAGAGCCGAAACACGAATCAAAGGATAAATGTCCTTGTATAAACAACGTATAGAGATCAAGCCGGAGGGCTACTCGAAGTCCCCACCCAGACGTCCGATTGTCCCAGTCTTCAGTCATACCGTCTCTCATGCTGAAGCTTCGAATCGCGGCTTCTCGTCCGCTGCCGTCCCTGACTAGCCATGGCACACCCCCACGACCTCGAGGCTCGTCCTCTCCTACCGAGGGCAGCTATCTCCTGTACCCATTGTTGACCCACCAATCTTGGTGGGAGCAGATCGCTTGCCTGCAATGCAACTGCACAGTTCCCTTATATGGCCCATCCAGTCTGTGGTCTGCATCGGACGCTCCCATCTTCCGCAGCAGCTAGTTCACAGTAAACGTGGCTCTTCTCTGCTCTGCATGGCAGCAGGAAGGGTGCTGTCGGGATTTGCTGCTCGAAGGCTTCCTGCTCGACGGTCTCAGGACTCTCAGGCCGGGGCGCCCTCTATCTCCTCCCGAGACGATCTGCATATCATAGGGTGGCCTCTGTTGGTGAGCGCATGTTGCTGTCATCTGCCTCTGCTCACTCAATTCCCAAATACGCTTTCCCCCTTTCATACACGAAAAAGCTCGTTGCCGTTAACGGCGCGATCTTCAAATATCCAATACTCAATCCGACGAAGAAGCCCCTCCACCCACGCTCCAAGAACACCCTTTTCACCGTTTCTGCCATCGTCAATCGATGCCCGTCGCCCACGGCACCACCAACTTGCATCCTCCTCCTTATTATCTCCAGCGGATAGGACGCCGTTTGAGACGCCAGGCCTGCTATGGCACCTGATGCGAGTTCTGCGCCGGCGCGCAATTGTGGGCGGCGGTATCTCTTGTCGTCCTGTTGGGTTGGTGTAGTGTTGTCATTCGCGTCGAGCAGACTCGCTTCCTCTGGCCGCAGAAGCGTCTGCTTCGCTATGCTCGGATGCCGAAACAAGTCTCCCACAGTATCATGCACCAAGAAACTAGTGCCCGCGTACTGCAGCATCCCCAGCACACTCGGCACAAACCCTCTGTAGAAGTTCACAATCCCACTCGTCGGTACCGCCTTCTGCACTACACTCTCTGCTGCCGCAATTGCGCCCTCGCTCGCGCTTCGTACTTGAGGTGGATGCTCGTGGTAGATCTGCTTGAATATCCTTCCCAGACTCGCCCTCCCGGCTGAATCAACCTTCGTCTCGAATGCCAGCCTCACCCGTATCACCTCCAACGGGTAAGTCAAGAACACACTCGTCACTCCCGCCGCCGACCCGGCCAGGTATCGTCTCCAGGCCGTCTCATATTCCCGACTCGGTATAAACGTCGCGCGGAACTGTTCGTACGCAACGAACTTAATTCCACTGTAAGGGAAGATGCGAAGCAAAGTAGCGGAGTGCCCTCGGTACAAACCGCGCAGACCCTCGGAGGTGTTGATGTCGGTGATGGCGCGGAAGAGACCTGACCAGTGGCCTGTATATTTTTGAAATTGTGGGTTGGAGGTCTGGAAGAGGATTTTGACGCGGTCGAGGGGCGCGACTACTGTCTTTGCCTGTATTCACATAAATACATTAGTATTTTCCTCGTTCGGTCTGTATTGCATTGGGCAAGTGAGCACATGACGTACCGCACATCCAGCTATCCCTCCCGCGAGCAGAGATCGCAAGCTGTAGTCCAGACTGCGGGTCTTCCGCTGTGAGGAGCGGTTGTGTAGGCCATTGCCTACGCCCTTGACTGCTACCGCGTCGTCTGCGTTGGTGAAGAGCTTCGGTGGAGCTGTGGGCGTGTGGGGATCGGCCTCCTCGAGCAGACGGCTGGGAGCGGACATGAGGTCAGGTAGAAGCTTGACATGGTTCGGCTTGTGTCGGTGGGAGGAGTTCACGTTGGTGGCATTGTTATAATCGGAGAGGAGAGCGGTAGTGGGTGTTGCGTGTGTATACCAGGTATAAGAATATCAGGTCGTGTGGGAAAGAAACAGCAACAGCAAGTCGGTTGACGCAGATCGGAGTTGGGGACCTCGGTGACCCGCGCGCGGATAAGCTAAGCTTGGGGCCTCCGCTGTTCGCACTCCTTCCGACTTTTTCCCTCTTCTTAACAGCGGTGAGGATGCCGGAAGATGTTTCGTGCAATCACATGGCGTACAATACACGGGTGACAACCGTGAATAGCCGTTGTGACTTAGGCGACAGCGACGGTCTGGAAGTGGATAATCTGGTACAGGTCATGACCTTCTATCTCAAGTACCATAGGACCTGTTATGCAGATTGCGATTACTATATCTATTTTGCTGCCAATCATCATGCCACCGACCTCTCATGTATACTGTCTAAAGCAGTATCCGGCCTTTGCTGCCTCCGCGACGTGAAAGTGGTCAGCATATCAGTGCCCATCCATACACTATCTTTCCTCTTCCGACCTTCTGCCTCCCACCAATTCGTGTTGGCCTGACGCTTTGGCTTGTTCCTGTCTTCCTCCTCGAACTCAGGCTCTGAAGGCAGACAACCGCGTCTCCACAGTCGAAGGTTGACGGAAAGGCGAGAGTCTCGGTCGATGCGTCTCCAGGGCCGCTCCTTGAACGAGAACACCACGCCGTTGACACCCGCCTGTAGAGCTAATGATATTGTAGACAGTATGCTCAGCCAGTAGATCGGGTGCTTGACCAGGTTGTCCGAATACATCGTTACGTGACTCGCGAACGGGAACGTCCACATCAGTATGTAGATGATGGGGTAGATGAACAGGAAACGCAACTGTTTCCTAATTGCTGCACGTGTTGCTTTGAGATGGTCGGTCGTTCCATTACTCGCTGGGTCGCCGCTGGCTTTCAAGTTGGCACCAGTGTTGAAAGTAGCGTGCGTGACAACTGTGTCGTTCGTGAAGTTGGTGGGTGTCTCGGACTGTTTTCGCGGGTCTCCAGCCTCCGAAGTGTCCGTCACAGAGCTTTCTGAATTGGTCGGGGACGTCTTTGGGTTGGGAGACGCGGCCGCTGGCGCGGCAGCCGATGCGAAAGGCGATTCCGTGATGAAGGACATTGCCTCCCAAGGCGGTCTTGGCTCCACAGGCTCTTTCGCAGCTTTGATGGAGCTGTATGAATTTCCTCTCAGCATACCAGGCCGACTGAGGCGTGCTCTGGGCGGTGAAGCCACAGGCGGCAATACTGTGACCGTCCGCGGTGATGGTGCTGAATCGACGACAGTAGCTTCTGTTGTTCTTCGTGATGTAAGAGTCGTCGAGTCTCTGGAAGACTCGTTCGCTTGCAAATTTCGGAATCCATGGAACTTGACGTGTACGTAGATGTAGATCGAAGCGTACATCAACAGAATCAGAGTTATGATGATATACCTCGGTATCCAAGACAAGGCCAATCGATACCAGAAGGGCCTTTTCGGCAGGAAACAATATGTACCAGCTGTCGAGTACGCATCTCCTTCTTTGATGAAGGCCAACGATGCAGCGAGTATTGGAGGTGCAAGCCAGACCGGGTACAACCAGTGTCGATATGGGTACAATCCACCTTCGCCAATCCTAGGCCCTGGTTTGAAGATGCACAGAACCGTGTGCAGCGCAATTATAAGTATTGACATGTCAGACATTTCCATGGCCATGAGCAGCAGAAATCCCTGCGCCTGGCAAAAGCTAGACGACGAAGAGACAGGTCCTCCTGAGATCGCAACCACACCAAAGACGAAGTACCAGACGGCTTTGCAGGCATCGCTGAGCACAAGCAATAGTATCAGATGATGCCTGAATAGCCTTCTCATAACCACGAACCACCGCAGCGTCGTGAATGCGATAGCGAGGCTGATGCATGCGCAAGTCAGGCCAACGATCAAGGTGGCTCTGTTCTGCGAAGGCGTGAAGGTTCCAACAGCCGCATTGTTACTGTCTCGAGTCCCGAAGATGTGTGAGACGAGGCCCGAACTGAACTCGGACATGGGCGGTCGAGTGTTATCGACGACTTCGACGAGATGTTCGGGACGGACTCATCCCAAATGCAATGCCGAATAATATGGTATAGCAATCACAACGAATGCAAGATCGTAAAGGATAGCTGTACAAATACGAATCGCAGGACAATGCGAAAGGGAAGGAAGGGATGATACGAACGCTCAAGCAAAACGCTCAGATGGTGGTGTTGACCGTGCGTACGGGAGCTTGCGTACTCTGGTATGTGGATGAGCGTGGCCAAAGTGGCTTACCTGTCCGAGGCGGAGATCCGCAACTTCGAGAGGCATTTCCCACCATGACAATCATCATCTGCAGACGAAAGCGTCGATCAAAGACCCTTTCCGAGTCGCACTGGTGGGTGGCCGAAAAGTTCGATAGGAAGTCACGATGACAGCTGCATGGCTGAATGCAGTTGACGTCTTTGTGCAGTCAGCGGAGTCCACCTGCGCACTGAACGCCAGATCAGCCGCGGCTCCGAACCTTGGCATTCGCGCCGTGGGTGTCAGTGGGGGCGCAAGTACCTGTCAAAGATACCTTAACTTCAAACTGACAACATTGATATTTCCTGATGCGATAGATATCTCAGCCTGCTAAGACTTCGTGTCGCTAGCTACTTGGACGGCGTAGAGACATACATGTTCTGCGTCGGAAGGAATGATCCAGACCGCGTCGATTAGCGATCGACATCGAGGTCATGGCGCGTGCCGATGCAATACCATTGCTTGACGATCAAGCACGACTCCAAATATGTCACCTTAGTTGACACGTCCGCATCAATCCAGGCCGCGCAATGCAGTCATCTTTACTTACGGGCCGATCCAGCCAGGACAGCACCTTATGCGGACGCGGAGCCGAAAGGTGCCAAACGCCAGAAACTCTTAAGCCAGGTTTCGCGTGCTCATCAAGATCGCGACCATGAGCTAGCAAACGAGCTGGTCTCAGCCTTGTCGGCTCTTCGAGAACGGCTCAGTTGCTATGGTTTGCAATGGTGTTTCGCTCGGATCCCACGAGATGAGGGCATGGACGAAAATGCCACTACGGATGCTTCTTACACCGTCAACGTTTTCGCAGTTCCTGTGGTTCTATCATCTTCGGAGAACCGGTTCAGCCAGATCAGCGAGATTCAGGACAGGATCGTTGCGAACTCTTCACGGACATTGACACAGATGCGAGTTGGCTCCGTCCTCTATTTCGTGCCACCACGAGCAACATTTCTATGGACGACAATTGCACGTGGCTCCGCTATAATCCAAGAGTCTAGCATGAGCGTCGACCTTATCGTCCTGGATCCTCCCTGGACAAATCGAAGCGTGAGACGGTCGCTAAAGTACAGGACAGCCGAAGACCAAATCTGCGATCCTTTCGACGAAGCTGTCGGCGTTATAAACGACCATCTTCGTCCGGATGGCTTAGTAGCGATATGGATATCAAACAAGCCTGCGATATACGATCAGGTTATCAATTCAATGCACAGCATTGGTCTCGAACTGCAGTCGAAATGGACATGGCTCAAGATTGCGGCATCTGGGCAACCTGTCCTGCCCATTGACGGAATCTGGCGGAAGCCTTTGAACATCTCCTGGTCTTCGCAGCCACGAAGAAGGTCATAAAGCGCCAGATCATCATTGCTGTGCCTGATGTACACTCACGGAAGCCTGCCTTGAAGTCTTTGCTAGAACCATTGCTCCCAGAAAAGTACGAAGCGTTGGAAATGTTTGCACGCAGTTTGACAGCAGGGTGGTGGTCTTGGGGAGACGAAGTTCTGAAGTTCCAGGACAGTCGCGAGTGGTTTCTTTGATACTGTATGTGGAGCGTTCCTTCCACTTATGCTTAGCAAGAATTTCATGAGGTTTCGAACGATGTATGTGGTGAGTGACAACTTGAATTTGAAAGGGTACTTTCCTCGTTGCCTTGTTTGCAGACTGCCGTCTAATCCCTGGAGTGCGCCTAGACGCCTGTGACGTACTTTCGCGTGTGCCCGGATATAATTCCAGAAATCCTTCAGATATTTCTTCACTATGCCAATCTCAAGACTACATACTACTGCCAACACATCGCATGATTGACTGAATCCATCGCGTAGGGAATCATGGCCGACGTCGATGTTCCGGTGGGCAAGAAGGCCTTCGTGCCTCTGGGTAAGTTGAAAGTGTAGAAGGTTGATCCACTAGCTAAGTACTTTCAGAAAACAATCCCGAGGTGATGACAAACCTAGTTCGAGAATTAGGACTCTCAGAATCGCTACAGTGGCACGATGTCTTCTCACTCACGGAACCATCATTACTTGAATTCCTCCCACGACCAGCAGTGGCACTGCTTTTGGTATTCCCAATCACAGAGACGTATGAGAAGTTCCGGCGAGAAGAGGACGAGAGCAAAGAACAGTACGACGGGTCGGGTCCCCAGGAAGAAGTGGTGTGGTTCCGACAGACCATCCGAAATGCATGTGGCCTGATCGGTCTGCTTCACTCAATCACGAACGGGCCGGCGCGCGATCAGATCATTCCAGGCAGTGATCTCGATAAATTGCTTCAAGCCGCCATCCCACTCAAGCCAACTGAGCGAGCTGATCTACTCTACGAAAGCAAGTCCTTGGAGGGCGCCCACCAGAAAGCAGCACAGAAGGGAGACTCAACAGCGCCAGACGCGGAAGCCAACATAGAACTGCACTTCGTTGCATTCATCAAGTCTCAGAACGGGGATCTGTGGGAACTGGACGGGCGGAGGAAGGGGCCACTGAATCGTGGTAAACTTGGTCCTGAGGATGATGTGCTGAGCGAGAAGGGGCAGGAACTAGGTGTTCAGGCGTTCTTGAAGCGCGAGGAACAGGCTGGCGGTGGTGAGCTGCGGTTCAGTGTGGTAATGCTCGGACCAAGCATGGACTGAGCGGGCTGCATGGGTACACGACTTCACGATGTTCACGGGCCACTGCATGCGCGGACTGTGCGCGGGCGTAGGTAAAGCTTGCAGACTCGTAGCCTGCATGACCAATAGACGCTTGCAACAAGATTGCGATACTCCTGCTCTCGATTCCAGACTGTGGTTGCGTTGCCAGTAGCAGTCAAGATGCAGAAACTAAAGAGCAGAGCGACAAGCATGGCAATCAGAACGATACCGAAATCTTGGCGCAGCGGGTAACCTTGCCCTGGAACTTTTAGCGACTCATAAAATGTTACAATCTTCTGACTCACGACACAGAAAACGATCTTTGAGCCAGATTGGCACCGACGCTCCTTTGCCCGTCATGGCAGACGACACAACACCTACGAAGAGCGCTACACTCGATCCGAGCGCGCCAGTATTCACAATGCCGCCTGAAAAGACAGACTCACAACCTCTCACGAACGGCACGAAGAAGCCCGAACCCTCACAGAACAACGCCGGCGGTCCAGCCACGACTACGAAGGCGTCCGCGCCCGACACAGCGTCAGACGGCAAGCTGACACCGGCACAGCTGAAGAAGAAGAAGGCAGAGGAGAAAGCAGCCCGTCGCGCCGAAAAGGTAGCCGCGAAAGGACCCAGCGACACTGCAGGACCTGCAGGACCAGCACAACCCACCGCACAACCCGCCCCACCAGTATCCAGCAATTCACAGCAGCGACGGCCTTCGGTTGGTTCAAAACAGAACAGCACCGAGCCATCCTCGTCCCAATCCCACCACAGACGTACAGCGTCCTCGACAGGCCGACCCCTCCCCATCCGACAAGCAGCAGCCGCTGCGCCAACAGCCGCCACATTCCAACCACCCAAAGATGAGAAGCGCCTAAACATGGTCTCCCACCTCCGCACCAGCGAAGAACGCCTCACCCTCTCCTCCGCCAACCGCGAAATCCACCCCGCCATCCTCTCCCTCGCCCTACAACTCCGCGACTATGTCATCTGCGGCGCCAACGCACGCTGCATCGCCCTCCTCCTTGCCTTCAAGAAAGTCATCTCCTCCTACACCACTCCGTCGAGAGAAGCGCTCTCCCGGCACTTGTTGACCCACCTGGGCCACCAAATCAGCTACATCAATCACGCCCGCCAGCTCGGTGTCAGTCAGGGCAATGCGATCCGCTGGCTGAAGAAGTTGGTGAGCACGATTGACGTGGGTATTGAAGACCGTGATGCTAGGGAGTTTTTGTGTGGTGCGATCGATCAATATATTCGCGAGAAGATCACGCTGGCGGACGAGGTGATCGCGAGAGATGCGAGTCAGAGGATTGAGGATGGGGATGTGGTGCTCACGTACGGGAAGAGCAGTGTGGTGGAGCGGACGTTGCTGGAGGCGTATTCTAAGAGGGGAAAGCGGTTTAGTGTCATCGTGGCGGACTCACGGCCGATGTTTGAAGGGAAGAACTTGGCACGCTCGCTCATACGAGCGGGGATCAAGGTGTCGTACTGTCTGCTCAGCTCGCTGGGAGACGTTGTGGAGCAAGCAACGAAATGCATGTTGGGCGCGGCGGCGATGTTGGGGAACGGGAGGTTGAGTGCAAGGGCAGGTACGGCGCTGGTGGCGATGATGGTCAAAGAGAGCAGCAGCAACAGCAGCGACGGTGGTATTAGCAGAGGGAAAGTACCGGTCATGGTCCTGGCGGAGTCACACAAATTCACGAGCAAAGTCGCGCTGGACAGCATCATGCTCAATGAGCTGGGTCATCCTGATGCGTTGATCGAGGGCAAGCCGTCGACGAGTGCCACAGCTGTGCCAACCGGTCCTGAGAAGGAGTCGAAGGGTGGGAAGGGCAAAAAGGGAGGAAGCTCGAAAGAGGAACCGGAGGTGGAAGAGAAGGAGAAGCGTGGGCTGGATGACTGGAGGGAGAAGGATGGGTTGTATTTGCTGAATCTGATGTACGATGTCACGCCGGCGGACTATCTGGATGTGGTGATCAGTGAGTTGGGCTCTTTGCCGCCGAGTGCGGTGATGGGTGTTATCAGAGTTGGTGGTGGGGAGGAGTATGTCGAGTCGTCGTGAATAGGCGGGAACCTGTGAGCGAAGCAGGCAGCAGAGTCGACAGCATGGCGTTGATGTGTTCGGTGGGTGCAGGACTGCGGTAGGGGGTTTCGACCGTAGGGACTGCATTGTCAGGAATGAGCATAGCAATAGCATGGCATGGCATGGCTTTCGGAGAAGCCGTTACGACATCGCATTTCGAGGTTCCCAGATAGATATCGAGCCGCAACACAATCACGTTGGCAGGATCAGGGGTGTCTACAATGCCGGTCCTTTTGTCGGCAGAGCATCACACACTCGCGTCCTCGTCACAATTTCTCAATGGGTTCGTTGGATATTGTTTGATTTTTGAGTCTGCTTGCATGAAATCTTGTCCTTCCTTGTCGAAAATCAATTCAGCAGAAGCTCTTGGCCGGTAAGTACGTGCAATGTGATGCAAATCGTTGTTCCATGCCGCCTAGGAAGGCAGTCTTCCGATGCTCAGACTCCGTCGTGCCGTCGTGCTGTCCAGCCGGGACCTTGCCTCCACAGTCACCAGTGCCCATACACGATCCATCAGGTGACAGGTCTGCCTCCGATGCTCTCCTCGCCTTGGTAAGACAGCAGCTCCTTCGCGTCACCGTGCCTCTCACTGCCTCCGTTCCGTTCGCCCTACAAAAAGACATTGATTTACCGGTGCTGCAAGTCAAAATTGTTAGCCTCTGTATCCAAGATCACGCATCCCTCTCAAAAGCGTGTAGGGCTGGTTGCTCTTCCATCTTGTGCACTCTCTTTGCATCTCTTTCTGCAATTTCACGTCCCCTCCCAAATTTCTCTGTCCCCCGATGCCCCCTCTTCTCCCAAGAATTGCGAACGATAAGTCGAAAAACTTACCTTGATGAATCCAATATCCTGGCTCTTCTCCCGGAAGCACTGACGGCAGATGTTGAGGCCATACTTGCGAATCAGGCCAGCCTTGTGTGTGCAGACACGGCAGCCGCGAGCGCCCTTGCCGAAGGTGCGTGGACGCGAGTACCAGACGGAATCGTGCGACATGTTTGCGGGTTTGTGGAGGTGTGAGATTCTGTGGTCGGGCTTTGTCAGTGGATCAGCTTGAACGCTGGTGGATAGGAGGTCGTACGAACAGATCTGTACCGCGAGGAGGGCGAGGGAGAGTGCTGTGTCGTCGTCGATGAGGTTGCGACGGTCGAGGTGAGGTTCGCTGCGATTTTGGATGGAGCCGCACTTTCGAGGTCTTGGCAGAATTGGATCAGGAAACATGAACTAGGCCGCTTTCGGGCAAGCACGAATCGAGAAGGTGTGGCGAGGTGAGTTGGAGGAGAGTTGTGGCTGAGTGACAAACAACGTGAGCAGTGTCCCGTTGAGCAGCTTGCACAACCACACTTCACTAGTCGACCATACCCTCGTTCCGACGTGTCATTGATATCTCGAATTTTGCTTACAGGGAGGACTCTGCATTGCAGATCTATTGCTCAGATCAACCACCATCGTTGCATACAGCAAACATAAACTCTCGAACCTACCTGACATCGACCTCACTTTGACGGTTACCTGGACACTTGTGTTCCGTTCTGTCACAGCACACGGCGTCCTCCCCGTGTGTCTCGAATATGCACAAGCTGTCTCGATCCAGCAAATCACGACATGTTGCCAGTGACGCTGGAGGATTGTGAGGATTGGCAGAGACTACGCCATCAAACGCGCTAACAGGACATTCTAGGGCTCGATGACCTTTGCGTCAGATTCATACTCAACGTGCCCATCGAAGAGCTCAGCACCGTCGAAAGAATATGCTTCCTCATCGAGGAAGCTCACTGGTTCTACGAGGACTTCGCCCGCCCACGTAACTCGAGCCTACCCTCGTTCAGCGACCGATCCTTCAGCCTGCTCTTGTTCGAGCATTGCCCACTATTCGCGCAATGGAACCGCAAGCATTACGAAGACGCGTTCGTGGAATGGATGACCTACAAGCAGCGCATCCCTGTCCGGGGTGTGATAATGCTCAACGATCGGATGGATGAGATTGTGCTTGTCAAGGGATACAAGAAGGGTGCGAGCTGGAGTTTCCCTCGAGGAAAGATTAACTTGCAAGAGAGTGATCTGGACTGTGCGATCAGAGAGGCTTGGGAGGAGACCGGCTTTGATTTGAACGAGGCAGGTCTTGTGCCTGAGGACCGGAACGTGCATTCAGTCTCGCAGACGATGAAGGGCCAACATCTCATGTTCTTCGTCTTTCGAGGCGTGTCCAAGGACACAGTGTTCGTTCCACAGACGCGGAAAGAGATCAGCAGGGTCGAGTGGTTCAAGCTGGAAGATCTGCCGACTTACGGGAAGAAGGGAAAAGGCCGTGCGGATGAAGCAGCAAATGGCGAACATGACGCGCAGCAGACTGCAATCAGGTACTACATGGTGGCGCCATTCCTAGGTCCGCTAAAGAAGTGGATTTCGCAGCAGAAGAAAATGAAGAATCGGCACAGCTCGAATCTGGCCGTAGCCCCGATGGTCGCTAGCGAGTCCGAGTTGGAAGCTTCGCCCGGCAGACCGCAGTCGCAGCGACCGCTCACTGGCACCGATCTGGCTGAAGTCGATTCAGGCCTGCAGCAGCCAGGGTCGTCGACAGCGTTCGGCGGTTCGTACATTGATCAGTCAGAGCCGGTAGCAGCACATATGCCTCAGGTTGATGTTGGGAAGTCTAATGCGCTGCTGTCGCTTCTGCGGAATGGGCCGCCTGCTGAGATGCGGGCATCGCCTCAGACACCGCTTGAGAGACAGGCCTTCCCGGCGTCATCTGCCACTCAAATTCCTAGGGGTGGGCAGCAGAACACTGGACTGCCAATGTCACCACCACCTCACCTCCAGATGCAGCCACAGGTGTCGTTCGGAGCGCCCCCCGACTCTTCAGATGCTCAGACAGCATTCAGAAAGCCCGACCCTTTCTCGAATCCAAGCTTCTCCGCCATCTCGAGGCAGCCCGCACCGAGACCACAGACCGCATTTCCCAATCAAGGCCATGCTCACCCACAAAGCAGTGCATTGCCTCGAGCGGATTTTGCACCTTCCCGGGAAGCAAGCCTTCTGACAGATTCCAAGCCTCTACTTGACAACCACCGACAGTCACTACTTGGCGCCTTCAGGAGCCCCAGTCTGTCAACTCCGATCATTTCACCACCCCTACCGACCATGCCTGGATCAAGCTCTCACCAACAAGCCCTGTTGAATGCTTTCAAAAGCCCCATAGGCGCTGCTTCGCCGCCTTTGCCAACAATGCCAGGATCAAATCCTCAACAGCAGTCGCTGCTCAATGCTTTCAGGAGTCCAAATTTTGATGCGCCGCCTCAGCAGGTGGTGACCGGACCCGATGCTAAGCCAGACACTCACCGCGATTCGTTGCTTGCTGCCTTCCGGAGACCGTCAATGAGCCCTTCGGCAGCAGCTCAGACTGCGCGATCGCCTCCAAAGCCAGCCTCGACCGACCTGCTCTCACAGCTTTTGCCTGGGTCGAAGACCGTGGATCCATCCCTTCCGACGAAAGCAGCACCTATGACATATGCGCAGATGGCTGCACCGAATGGCATCAATGGACATCAACCGAAAGCAGCCGTTCCCATTCAACGTAAGATAGACCAGCCAGTTGAGCTCTCTACCGGTCCAGTCGAGCACAAGCCTTTTGTGTCACCTGGACAGCGAGTTCGCGAGCCAGCCACCAAGACATCAATCCCTACACTCAAAGAAGGCGAAACCTCTGCCATAGTTGGTGGACCTTTAGACCAGCCCGACTTCGACGCCGTGTCGCGTAACAAGCAGCGAGAAGTGGGAAGCAACGAGCTGGGCCGAAGTCCACTCACAAGCCACCGCAAGTTGTTCGATCCGAAGGAGCAGGCGCAGCAACCAGTTAAGATCCTGGCACGACCAAAGACTCCTAAGGGTAGCAAGACGCAGACACAATCACAGCAGGGTGCAAATGTGAGGATGGCATCGCCCCGCAGGACTCCTAAGACGAGCAAGAAGGAGAAGGAAAAGGAGCCTGTAAAGGCCCCATTCCAGCCGACTATCCTGCGGCGGCCGAAAGAAGACGAAAATGTCACGCCCGTGCCCGTGGAAAAGGCGTTATTCGACACACCACGCAAGGACCTAGCGGTCGAGGAAGAAAAGGAAACCGCAATGTCTGTTCCAAGCTTGCCTCCGCAGCCTGTAGAAACGGAACAGCACAAGAAAGCACTCCTACAGCTCTTTGGCGGCGGCAGTGCTTCTAGCAGCATCCTACCGCCAAGGGGGCCGTCAGCACAATCTTCTCGTGTTGTGTCGCCACTTTCGACGAGTCAAGTGCTGAGCCCGAAGGAGGATGTGCCCATATCAGCGGTCGATCCGATCTCGACGCGTAGTCGGATGAGTTCGATGATTTCTGTGGAAGGCGCAGCCTCAGGCTCTGGGATTGCGATGGCGGCATCTGGCCAGCAAGGATACCAACAGCAGCAGAAGAGGACGACGGCGCCGGAGAACAAGAGCTTCCTGCTGAACTACTTGGGGAGGATGGCTAGTGGTAGTGGTCCTTGATTCCTGAATCTGAGGCAAGTCGTCCATTCCCGGCTATGGGCTCGAGTATACTGAACCAGCATTTGCAAATTGCAAATGTCGGAGAGTTGCTAGTAGCTTGGAGCGGCTCGAGATAGTTCCACCTGGTAGCCACATACTAGCGATGAATCTATCTATCTGGCCTTCACAAATGCTTTACGGTGCTGCCCCTGTTTTGGTGCGCTGACTACAATTGTGCAAGGCCAGCGACAAGTCATCATCGCCAGCTTCAAGGCAAGCGTTCCAACTCTGTAGCAAGGTTCTTGTACACACGGTAAGCTGAACTACACCTCCAAGGCGTCTAGCGGAGCTACTCTAGCTGACGACTTGAGTTCATAGAAAACATTTGTCCTTTCAGGAATTGATGGTACATATATAACCGCCGTTCGTTCTCCGTCGCCCGCCTGACAGACCCTTCGTCGATAAGAACTTCATTGCGAAAGGTGTCCACCTGTCCCCAGCATCACCATCACCACCAAGTCCCCTGCTTCAACACAATCAGTCGCCATGGGTTCATCGCTTTCCACACAGGCGCTGTCCAATGCTCCAGTCTCGCCGAGTATTTCAAGGACATTTGGTGCCCTGAGTTAACGCCCGAATCTTCAACGACCCAGTCTTCAACGTCCGAGTCTTCAACGACCCAGTCTTCAACGTCCGAATCTTCAACGACCCAGTCTTCGACGTCCGAATCTTCAACGACCGAGCCTTTGATGCCCGAGTCTTCGACGACCACCGAGGCTTCGACGACCACCGAGGCTTCGACGACCTGAAAGCCAAAAGGCCAACCTACAGACGACTAGCACTTCTCATGCGGGGTCACCTGGACTCCAGTTACACCATGGTCGGAATGGTGTACGGCACCGCAGTGGTGTAGCAGAGACTGTGGACCGAAAGCTACGCTCACCTGCGCGAAAGGAGGCCCGATCATGGCGATGGTGACCGGAGTCGATATCGGTCATGTGAAGCGCGACGACAGTGACGAATTCTTCTGCGAGCTGTCCATTGGCAACAATTACAAGTGCCGCAAGAACAAGTAGTCTGGCAGACTCGAAGCCTGCTACACCAATGCACCAGAACGCGCGACCCGGCACATCATCCATAATTGTCATCAATAACAAATCTCTTAACAAATTCTTGCCAGTAGTCTTGCTTTCCTCCAAGTTGTCTTGTGCCTGGCTAACGATCTTCAGGTTGTACACTTTGTAGGATAGAATCCATTCCCGGTGGCCTCCATCAGACGTGCAGAAGTGTAGGTACGGACAGTAGCTATTCCGTGTTTTGTGCTGAGTCAGGTACACATGTTGGCAGGCTTATATCAGCACATGCCAAAACAAGCAACCACGAAGCTGGAAATACAAGCTCAAGTTTCGACGGCACGGGACACCCGACTCCTTAGCAGTCTTGGAGGCAAAGGGCGTATAGCTGTCGTGTACTGTAGTAAATTGTCAGTTGTAGGCATCATTGGCTGCAATTTTCATGCCTGGGAAGTGGTGGACAGAAAGCGGGAGCAGGAAAAAGCGGCATGGTCCCAGATGCAAGACTGGCTCATGGCGGATGCCATGACGTCCTTTTGTTGCTAGCTCGAGCATCACTCATTATCTTTTCTTATCCCGCAACGAACCCAATCTTGCCGTCACTCACCGCCAGCCAGCAAAGGTAGATAAATCAACGCTCTTTCAATTCTGCGTGTAGCGCCCTGCTTTTGATAAGTCATTGTACTCGCAGATCATGTTCAGTGTGTGTCGTCGCAACCCGCGGTGAGGACTGGACCACTCCCGAACCTCGACCCTCTCCCGCATGGAAGCTCTGCCACGCCTTGCCCAGCATGGGCTGCGTATGAGGGCACATATCGTGCCTTTGCGAGCCTCGACGAATGCTTTCCGGTCTGCGGCAACTAGATCAGCGCCGACGTCGCCCCTCCTGTTCCAGCTCCAAGCACGCCGAGCGCTTCACAGCTCCCCACGTTCACTTCCTCTGCGAACAGCCCCGATAGCAGCGAGACTGCCCTTCAAGACCACACTGCGGCCCATATCGACCAAGCCGTTACCCACACATCGCGGCCCCGCCGTTCGTTTCCTCTACCGCCTGTTCGCCTGGACCGGCATCTTCATTGTTGTCTCCGGAACACTCGTCGTAGCCTTCTTCCTCTACGATGCCTCGACCTACCGTGAGGAGGTCAGCCAGGAAGATACTATTGTCTCCGAAGCAGCATTATCGCCGAGAAGAGGAGGACCCAAGAACCTGCCTATAGCGGAGGTACACATCGACGATGAGGACAGCCCAGAGCTGCGCGAGCAGAAGGACAAGCCCAAACTCGTGATATTGGGTACGGGATGGGGCAGTGTGGCCATGTTGAAGGAGCTGCGGCCCGGCGATTACCATGTCACTGTGGTGAGCCCGGAGAACTACTTCTTGTTCACGCCTATGCTGCCCTCCGCTACGGTGGGTACGCTCGAACTACGATCACTGGTCGAACCGATACGCAGGATCGTCAAAAAGCTACGCGGACATTTCCTGCGAGCCAAGGCTATTGACGTCGACTTCAGCCACAAGCTCGTCGAGATCCAGTCCATAGATCACAATGGCAACGACCAGAACTTCTACCTGCCATATGACAAACTCATTGTCGGTGTTGGTTCTACCACCAACGCTCACGGCGTCAAGGGTCTCGAGAACTGCAACTTCCTAAAGACCGTTGAGGACGCCCGCATGATCCGTGCCAAAGTCCTGCGCAACCTCGAGCAGGCATGCCTCCCCACCACAAACGACGAGGACCGCCGTCGTCTGCTTTCCTTCGTAATCAGCGGTGGCGGACCCACCGGCGTCGAATTCGCGGCCGAACTATACGATATGCTCAACGAGGATCTGCTCAACTCCTTCCCGAAGATTCTCCGCAACGAGGTCTCTGTCCACGTCATTCAATCCCGCGGTCACATCCTCAACACCTATGACGAAGCCTTATCCGTCTACGCCGAGAAGAAATTCGAGCACGACAATGTCGAAGTCCTGACCAACGCCCGAGTCAAAGAAGTCACGCCTGATCGTATCATCTTCAGCCAACTCGACCCCGAGACCAAAAAGCCCGTCACGCGCGAACTCCCTATGGGCTTCTGTCTATGGAGCACTGGCGTCGCGCAGACCGAGCTCTGCAAGACCATCGCGAAGACCCTCGGCCCAGAATTCCAGAACAACAAGCACGCCCTCGAGACCGACAGCCATCTGCGCGTTATTGGCGCGCCGCTAGGCGACGTCTACGCGATCGGTGACTGCTCGACTGTGCAGAACAATGTCGCAGACCACATCACCACCTTCCTCCGCGGCATCGCTTGGGAGAAAGGCAAAGACCCTAAGGAAATCCACATGACCTTCCAGGACTGGCGCGGGATTGCTTCGTCCGTGAAGAAGCGCTTTCCCCAGGCCGCAGGTCACCTGAAACGCCTCGATAAGCTCTTCAGCCAGTACGACAAGGACCAGTCCGGCACGCTCGATTTCGGCGAGCTTCACGAATTGCTGACGCAAATCGACAGCAAACTCACCTCTTTACCAGCCACGGCCCAGCGTGCCAATCAGCAGGGACTGTACTTGGGACGGAAGTTCAACAAGATTGCCGCCGCGGTGCCAGGGTTCCGGGCGAACGAGGTTGATTTCGGGGATCTGGACGAGGCAACGTACAAAGCGTTTCAATACCACCACATGGGCAGCTTGGCGTATGTGGGGAACGCAGCAATCTTTGATTTTGGCGGGTTGAATTTCAGCGGTGGGCTGATGGCGGTGTATTTGTGGAGGAGCATATATTTCGCGCAGAGTGTGAGTTTGCGGACGAGGTTCTTGATGGCGTTGGATTGGAGCAAGCGGGCGCTGTTTGGGAGAGGTGAGTTTTTATTCTTCCTTTTCGGTCTTTGGCCATCTTGCTTGTGTTGGGGATTGATGTGCTGACTCGAATCCGACAGATCTTATGTCCTTCTGAATTACTTGGCCTTGCAGGGAAGACAGGCCGAGAGCGTAGGAGTGCGACAATGTCCCTGAAGGATTACCAGAGTTTTCTCAGTGTGAAGCCAAATTTTAGGTCTACCATATAACAGGTGAGAGTACAAGACCAGGCGACTGCACGCAGCGCCGGGGTCCAGCACTAGATTGGGCGACCTCAAGCCAGAGACCGTAGTTGAATTCCGATAGCTGTTGTGAACTGCTTGTTATCTTGTTCGACCTATGGTCTCAATAATAAGGGGGCCAGCAGTGGCTCCTCCTCGATCAGCGCTGCGCATGCTTCGCTCCAAGACGCTTTTCCAGCTGACGTCTGGACCATTGCATTCCGCAGTGTCTGTGTGACGTTCTCTACGTTCTTCTTGATATCGTTCATTGCAGGACCAGCGGCAGAAGTTCCTGTTGCGGCGCCTAGCGAGTTACACTCTACCTCGTCTGGCACCGCGAGCCAGCCGCCGATGAGTGCGCGCAGTATTTCCGGCCACCAATGCTCTCGTATTCGTTGGGGACAGGTGGTTATCAGTGCGTCCAGACAATCGATCGCAGCGCACACCATCCGTGGCGCGGCCATGCTGAACGGTTCGGCAACGATCCCACGAAGCAAGGGCAGGATGGTCTGCAGGTGTGACGTAGAGTAGATGCCCATTCTCTCTATCGTGATGCGTAGCTGCTCGAGGAGCAGCGCCACGATGGGTGGGTGGCTTGTGGCTACGCCAGCGCTGAGGTGGGCTAGGCTGGGGAGGATGCCTTTGTTCAGGACGACAGACGTGAGGAGTTTCTGACGGGCCGCTTCAGCTCTGGCGTGGACGGGGTCGCTGGGATATCGCAGTGATGGGGCGGATGGCAGATCTGGGAACCCTGCGGCGATTAGGGCGAGGAGGGCTGGGTACAGACTGCCTAGAATGTTGAGGGATTCGGCCTCTGGTGTAAGGGTGGGGAGCAGCATGAAGTCGCTCTCGAGGGCGTTGATGAAGACTTCTGTGAGGCCGCTTTTGTGTAGGATTGGTGATTTCGCTTCCGAAAGTAGCTTGCTGAGGTCGTGTAGAAGGTCGAAGCCGGTGGTCTTGATGTTAGGTGTTCCATCGTCGAGTAGGTTGAGTAGGGCGGGTGTCAGGAGGAAGATCTGGTCTTCGAGCACGGCTCGCTGGTTGTCGCTGGAGATGTAGGCATAGCTGCTGATGATAGCACGTAGTAATGGTGCAGTCAGCGTCGAGAAGTTGCGTTTCCAGGGAGGCTGGTTCTCGTCGCCAAAGACTAGTGGCGAGGATGCATGAGGGAGCAAGGGCGGTGGAGCAAATGCTGCTTTGCGGCCGGAAGGGGCGAGAGACGGATGCTGAGTGGTACTGAAGAGCGGCTTGATGATCTCGAGGAGGAGAGCGCGGGTCGTTGCTGGTGACTTGAGGATGTCTGGGGCAGCGTTGTAGTCTGTGATCAGCGATTCGGCCTTCGAAAATAGGGCTTTGTCGATCGAAGACTTGCTGATGGTAGGAATTTTAAGACTCGCGATCGGAGGTAAGGCGTCGACGGCCATCTTACTTTATTGCGCAGCCGAGGGTTTGGGAAGTGGTTACCAAAGAGAGATGAAAGGGAGCATGAGTCTGGGTTGCCTTTTTGCCTTGTGCCTTGGCACGAACGAGGCAATATAGATGCAAAAGATCATGGCAGTCTCGATGATCATCAGGGCATGATTTATACATACAAAGGCAGAGTCACTAGCTTGGGGCACCCATCCTCGCTACCTAGCAAGAAGTGGCAGTCGCAGGAGAGCGTGGTCGCCTTCTGTGATGAAGCTGTGAAGGAAAGAGCTCAATTTGATGGATCATCATTGCTTTGTGTTATGCCGGAAGACAATTTGAATGGAAGTAAACCACAACTCCATCCAGAGTTAATTTTTCAAGGGTACGAGTAGGTGTGCCTCATTTCCGCCACTCGATAGCTTACGAGCCTTCTCGGCATGACAGTAGAAATGTCAACATCGATCTTGTTGTACTGTCTCTCTTTGTCCAAAGCGGGTCGCAACTCTGCGTATATCCTAGGCGAAACCCGGGCGCGAATGTTGCCATTCTTCTCGATCAGGAAGTACTGATTTGGATCCTGCGGGTGTAGTGCTAGGAACTACTTGACCATTAGTCTGCTCAGAGCCAAAATACAGCGTTTGTGGCCACACTCGGAAGGTAACTTACCATGATATGAGGTCTCCTACGGTTCACATACTCAACCAGACTCTGGTAGTACTTCCTGAAGTCATATCTCGATGGCGAACCGTCGTCAAACTGGATGTAGTACGTCCCTCTCACGCCAAGTGCGGCAAATTGAATCGGCACTGTGGACTGACCAGTCCACTCATTCTTGAGCATACGGCCCATCTCAGCCTTCTGCCCCTGATCGAACCATCGGCCGGCTGTACGGCTCGCGCCTAGCCTTTCGGGCTGTTTGAGAGTCCACAATAGACAGGTGCCATCAGGACCGAAGACCGCCCGAGGACTATCTCCGCGATTGTCGTTGAGGAAGTCGCGCAGAGCAGGCTCGAGGTGGTATGACCAGTCTGTGCCGCAAGGATATGTTAGTATCGAGCGATAGCATGCCCTCGTGTGACCCGCGCCTACCTGTCTTGGTGTTGCCCAGCCGACCGCCGGCGCCGTTGAAGAAGGAGAACCACTCGTGCTGCTGGTCGAATGCAAACCAATACGTCCTGTCGGCACCGATGGCGCTGAAGACACCATCCGGAAGGCGATCCGTCAAGCTGCGAGATAGCAGAAAGTCTGTGGTAGGTTAGCTGGTACTTGTACAATACTAAAGTGCTCTCACGCGTTCTGCTGCCGATAAAAATAAAGTAGTCTTTCTCATCGCTGTCCGTGCTGCGGCCAAAGTGAAAGAAGGAAGCCATTTTCACACCATGGCAACTGGTAACAAAAGCGATGGACAGACTTCCAGCTTGAGAAAAACCCACCTCTCAAGCCTGAATCGTCTTGTGACGGGAGACCATCATATCCTCGTATACTGCAGACTAGCCTGTGCTGCTATGAAAAAGCAGAGCAGAAGCTCCTGCTCGCTATAGGCCTGGAAAAGTGTTCCATGGCTGAGTTGCTGATAAAGAGTCGAGGCGGGCCTCAGAGAAGTATGCTGAAGCGGTGCACTGATGCTTCTGAAGCATTTTCGTCTTTTGTGGCTGACTGATAACCAGGATGAACAGGATTGTCCGGCCAGTAGAAATCCTGGAATGCCAAGCCTACCAGTCGAAGCCGAGTCTAGATCATGCAGGCCGTGTTCGTCACTTGCTCGCTTTCAGCTGAAGCTGTGACCGTTGCGGGATTGCTGATGGTGATTTACGGAGCACACTGTTGTGATACTCAGCTATAAGGAGTGATGGGGCATTCGAGATAAGTCATGGCCGCGAGGTTCGCCCCAGCTCTCACCGCAGCAGGGGCAGGCAGAAAGCAGGAAGCTCTCTCGTAGTGGCACCTACTTACTGTCCAAAACCTGATCAAGTAAGTAGTCATCACATTCGCTCCAACGAGTCGTAGATGCGACATATCTGCTCTAAGATGTTGGTTTTCGGAACGCAGCTCGGCTCTCATCTGGCTAAGAGCCGAAGTCCCTCATGGAGCAAAGTCATCTGCACCGCCAGGGACACCCAAGTACATATGGTGTGTGAACATGGATTTGGGCGATGGTGACGACTAGTTCGGCGAGGCAAACGACCACCTGCGGTGTGTGGCTTTGCTTTCATGTCCTGCCTGGTGTGGACGGTGCAGGTAAATGATCGATGGGACGTTCTCCGCTTTGACCTCTCCGGTATGCCAAGCTCCCGCCCTCAATGGTCGCGCTTGCCCTTCTGGCACTTGGACCTGGCGCCCGTATCGATCGCTACAATGTTTCACTGCTAGTCATTTCAGCGAGGACTATGGACCACTCAGCTACTACGAAAGACAGCAAGCGAAATGTTGCCGCCTCGGTATATCTTGCGGAGGCCGCTTCCCCAGCCCCCACGTCTGTGATGAGTCGGCGAGTCGCATGTGCAATGTGCATGGGAAGCCCTGGCTATTGATGCTTGACAACAACTTGACATGTCCAGATGATCCATGCTGTCACCACAGCAGACTCTGCCATGGCGGGCTTCGGTGGTCGGCCTGCGCGGAAATGGTTGAGTGGCGCTCTTGTCGTGATTTTCTTCCTGGGATGGTTCTGGCACGCGGATAACGAGCGGAATACGGTACAAGCATCACGCGAGGAGCAGATCGGTCAGAGCTACTTGTCGCGAATCCCGGAAAACCTGCAATCTCAGCTTGATCCATTCGCTCAAGGAGACTTTCCAGAGGATCCGGCGCCTAAGATACCGCTGGCGGACGAACATGTTGAAGGCTTTCAAGCCAGTAGTGCAGACAGCTCATCGAAAGAACTAGAGGACCATTCCCTGGGCCAAAGCACATTCTCTGAGTATCGCGAAGGGACAGTGTCTCATCACCTGCCGGCCCATCTGCAGGAGAAAGTTCTCGATCTGACCAAGGTCTCAACTAAGCCAGTGGGCTCAGCCAGCGACCTTCAGCTGGACAGCAACGACGACTATCTGCCATACCTGGCAAACATCGATAGCATTCCAAACCTGAGTGTGGAGACAGCATACGGCACGTGCCATTACAATGCAGAGGAACTCGAGACATTCCTGTGGGAGGATGAAGCGGATTGGGTCCTCCAGTCGGTCCCCGATTCGATCATCGAGACTGAGCGAAGAGCTTGGCAGGATTTTGTCAAGCACGGCTTGTTGGCGTGGGACGCCGTCAAAGACCGGTTCGATGGCGGCAGAGGAATTGTCATCGTTGGCGGACGGGGAAAGGAGCCGAACCGCATCAAAGTCCTTTTGAGGGCTCTCTTGAAACATGGAAGCCAGCTACCTGTTGAAGTGAATTACTTCGGCGGTGAAACATCAGCAGAAACGCGTCAGCAGCTCAGGGACTTGTATCCCAACATTTCTTTCAACGATCTCTCGGACGGGTTCCAACTGTGGCAGACAGCAGAGCAATTGTTGCCCAACTATCAGTTCAAGCTTGCGGCAATGGTTAATACCCGCTTCTCGGAGATCCTCTTGTTAGACTCTGACATCGTCCCGACGTCGGATCCCGCCAGCCTGTTCGAATCAGAGGTGAGTGAATTTGCTGTCCCAGTGGCTGTGTGCCTTCCGCCGAAGGAGCAGGAAGGTCGCTGTGTTGGAACCGTGGCGACTTGCTGCAATCTGCATCCTTTGGGGAGCCTCTCACTGACGATCTGTAGACTTACAAGAAATATGGCAGCGTCTTTTGGCCAGACTACTCCCGCCTCCGGAGACAACACCCAGCATGGGCAGTGTTCAACTCACCATGCAGACGCGACCAGTACGCACTGGAGTCTGGACAGCTTATGGTGGACAAGCGACGGCGATTCTACCATCTGCAGCTCGCTGCGTGGCTGATATCTCGCCCGTATTGGGAGGGTAAACTACTGGGCGATAAAGATATGTTCCAGTTCGCCTGGTTAGCGTTAAAGACCAACTTCGGAACGCCTGTGAAGTGGCTCACCTATCTCGGATTCGTGGCTGAACAAGAGGCCGACGACGGGGTGGGCACCAAGATGACATTCTGCGGGCACTCGTTCGGCCAGGCCTTTCCTGACCACAGCAAGAATGATCCAGGCAGTGGGATTGCTTTCGTGCATGCCAACAGCATCAAGACAGCCGGAGCACCCTTGCTGGCGAGGTTGAGAAAGAAAGGCGGTGTATATACTCATTTCAAAAGGTTGCCAGTTGAGTTGTTAGAGTCCTGGTCTCATGTAGAGCCTGGGGTCAGTCCCGCACGCTGGAGTGCTGGATTTAATTACAAGCTCACAAAGGATGTGAGACCGGTCGAGCTCGTCGATGCCGCAGAGGATCCCAATCGTGACGGCAACCCCATCGGTGAGGCAGGTCAAGCTCTTCTGGAATTACACGATGATGACCTGGAGCGATGGATGGTCTGCCACGATTTCAAGAACGTGGAGGCGAGGCCGATCGCCGAGCTTGGGGCCGACGCGGCGGGGATTGAGCAGTTATGGGAGGGCACTGGCGGCTATTGGGCTCTTGAGGACGGCGATATACGTGGTTTGGGTTAGCTACACCGTAGCATGTCAGATCGATGACAGGCTCGTTGTAACGCGTACGATGCCTTTGGCCATCTGAGCTGTGATAGGTAGTTACCCCAGTCGGCATTGTCAACCCTCTGATGTCTGTCTGTTCGATATGCCAAGCTTTTTGTAGTCTCCAGAGCCCGCCCGAGCCGGCGAGAAGCAGTGACGCTTGGAGAGACAGCTGGTAATCCTACACCTTGTAGGGCTGCTACCTAGGTACAGCGTAATCGCAAGAAAGCCTTAGGTGGAGGTCGCTGACGGAGTTGCACGTTGCTCAGTCGTCTCATGTCGCAATCACAGGTAGGCCCCAGCGTACGCCGCGCCGCTTGTCGGTCCGAGATGAATATTAATCCTGCACAATCCCATGGTTGGTCAGCCTGCAAAAAGTCCTCGGCCCCCAGCATTTACCCCTACCATGGGCCGCCTGAGCACGCGCCCAGACATACCAGCGCAGAAAGCAATACTTAGGTATCCATCAAAGCGCCGTCGTGGCTGGTGGCGGATCAATAGGACAAGCTGCGTCCCATTTTACGGAACAGAATCCAGTCCTTTGAACGTGGCTCGCCCCATCCTGACCATCTCTGGAGACGGGCAGATCGAGAGTCTGTCATACCCGGTATCCATCTTAGCACGAGTTGTCCGGAACGTTGCTTCAACACGACGAAATGGGCCGCACAGCGGAAAAGCGAAAGTTCCATCACAAGTCCAAAGCAGGCTGCAGGACCTGCAAAATCAGAAGGGTTAAGTGCGATGAGACCAAACCACTTTGCAATCGCTGTCGCAGGCTCGGCATCACATGTGACGGCTACCAGACCCTATCAGCCATTGATGATAGCCAATTCGACAGCGCCCTCGAAAGACGGAGCTTCTTCTTCTTCCGCGACAAGACGCTGCCCGAGCTGGACAGCTTTGCGAAGTTCAGCTTCTGGGACCGCATGGTACTCCGACAGAGCTACGATGGCTGCGCCGTCAGGGCTGTTCTTGCCGCTATTGGAGCAACTCACGAAGCACTGGAGACAGAAGCAGCTTATGCTGGCCTTGCATCAAGATCACCTAGGCTTGCTAGCGTCTCTGCGAAGAGGAGAGAGCGAGATCATAATCCAGCAACCGCGATCATGACCGCAGAATCTCGGAGCGTCATCGAGGCCAATGAAGCTGCGGCAGAGCTTTACCATCGAGCACTATCTGTCACATCTCGCACCCTCTTCACAATGAAAATAAGTGACGTTTTGATGATCACAATTCTTCTAGCATTTCTGGAGAATATCCAAGGGAGTAGTGGCTCAGCGAGTCGTCATCTGGGAGCCGCCCGCAACATCCTTCGAGAGTACCGGAGAGCGCAACGAGTGTCTTCGCCAGGAAACGAAACGAATGTAGAGGATTCTCATGCATCACCCGAGTATGCGCGGTCGATCATGGTTGAGGATGTACTGGCTCCGATAGCTATGGAACTCTGTGGTCTGCAAGCAACGATCTACGAGAATGCTCTTCCTTCCGACGCCGGTTCTTACAAAGGCGGCCCGGATAATCCCTTCGAATCGTTCCTCGATGCCTCGGATCATTTTCACCGTACAGCACAAAAGATTTCTGAGTGTTTACCAATCGACACTCTGCCCGACCAGGCCGTCTCCTCGCCATATTTTCGCCTGCTTGAGTATTGGTATCGCAATTTTGAAGCGTTCCTGAGATCACCTGCGTCGGAGTGCAATTGCCCGTGGCCACGCAATCATGCACATCACTCCCTAGGCGCCGCTTATCTCGAGATCGAGTATCTTCTTGCCAGAGTGAATCTCTGGGTCGCCCTGGCGCCAGACTGCCGCAAAGCTACGGCTATGGATGACGAGATTGTTTCAGGCGCATGGCCGCGCATTGCAGTATTAGCAGAGCAGATAATGCGTGTCTTACGAGCCACGCCTGAGGAAATGTCCGCCCGAGGTCTATTCACCACCCGAAAGTGCTTGGGTTTTCTCACAAACCACGTCCTTGGCTGCTTCCAGCTTGCAGAGGGCTGTCGCGATCCAAATCTGCGGCGCAAGGCAGTCGCCATTCTCAGAGCTTGGCATTTGAAAGGCAGGTGGGACTCGTATGTTGTTGCCGATATGGCTGAAGCCTTCATCAAATACGAGGAAAACCTGGCTTTGCAGATGCATCGACGCCAAATCATCGCATCTATCCTCGCTCGTCCAGACGATATCCTGCCGGCATTTAGGACCAAGAGCGTAGTTGAGCACTCCTCAGACGTTCCAGAAGAAGCCCGATGCTGGTTTGTCACAGATGTGCTTTTCGGAGAGTCCGGTGTGGATGGGGCGTGGACGTTGCTTCATGATAATTTGGCTTCTTGCAAGTCAATGAAAGTGGTAGTCTTGAGGCGCGTGCAGGCTACTAACGAGGAATGCCTACTTTGCGACGTCCACGATTCTACGGGCGATACGGATGCGCAGTCAACGCTCATCGAATGCAGTCACCATCTCGTGGCTGTCAAGGAAACGCTCTTCCTCGATAGATTTTCTGGTCACGTCCTTCATCGTACGCAGAAGCATGACAATACCTCCATCGTAGCCACAGACCTGACTTCAACCTCAATCGCTGGCGCCGATCCAGTAGGGAGGCCCGCCGGACCAGTTTCTGCTCCTCCTCGCAACGTCGCCGGCTTCTTCCCACAACTTGAGAAGAGACCAGTTCCAGCTCCAGACCCACAAGCTCTACGAACGTCAGCGAGTGCCACAAGGAGGCCTTCGGACAGTTCCGGAACAAATCTGTGGTCCCGCCTGCGCGACTCTCGTAATCCATCCCGAATGTTCCGAGACAGGTGCCTGCGCATCATGCATCCGCCATGCGATCGTCTCAGTCACGAGGAAGAGATTGTCTGGCGATCTCGGAGGGCAGGCAGCCCATCGAAGGCCTTGTCAGCTATTCCGGTAGTTGCTGACCGAATGAGTAATGAGAAACTTCATCGCACTGCCTTCGCGGCAGGCCTGCGTGTTGAACCAACCAAGCAAATAAATGGCACAAAAGGTCGACCGGCCAGCACCGGCGGCTTGATCGAGAGGAAGATGGGCCCACTCTACTTCACTGTCTGATGACGGGAGATGGACTTATAGCTTGCTGTGGTTGACGTGTCGAGATCTGTCGTACCGGTTGTGCACATTCTGACTCCAACGCTGTATCACCCCATTAGGGGTATTCTGCGCATGAACAGACTGACAAGCTGTTCAGCCAAGAGATGAGCGTTCACTTCAGCTCTAACAAGTATGCCATGACTTCAGCCCACCGACCTCCCTGGCAACCAAATTCATGACAGATTGATTCTGCGTCTTGACGCTCATGAGAGGCTCCTCCCACGATTCCTGGCTCGATCTGCGAAGCAGTTCCAGCCATCAGAGCCCGCCCTGACCTGGAACCTTGGGGTTCTGGAGACAAGTGCTGAAAACGCTCAATGCATCGTCCGAACAGCCTAACTGATTGTGACGGCTGGTAAGGTGTCTCGTGTCCATGTCGAGCGATGTCCCTGCGACCATGATATTTCGGGGTGTTCTCTGGGTGGGAACACCAGACAGCATCTGCTTGCGATACCAGAGCCCTTCAATTGCGCCCGACATCCAGAAAGAACCCTTCAGAGCTTTCCAAGTCTGAACAAGTGTGCTTCTGTGTTGTATACCCACCTGTCCAGACTGCCAACCTCCTCATCGGAGAAGATGAGGAAAAAGTACTTCAGCGTCTCAGCGGTCCAAAAGGTCTCTTGCCTGTCCGTATGCTGTTCAGTATGAGGCAGCTTTCGGCCGCCTTTTCCCAATTCGACTTCCTCATTCGCCTCATCGGGTGAGAGCATAGTGTTCGCAATGCTACTGAATCCATAAGTAGTAATCGTGGATTTGACGATCGCTTGGAACATATCCCACGCTGCCTCACGTAGGTATGCTTCACCAGTAATTCGATAAAGTATGAAAACGGACTCAATTGCTTCAGGCCGGAGGCGATACTCTGGCTTTGAGATCGCTGTCATGCCCTGCGGTAGTGTAATTGAGGCATTGAGGAATGCAGCCATCTGGTGTCCGAGGGGCATGAAGAAGTCAGAAGTGAAGGGCTGATAGTGATGGTGATGATCAGCCCATAGCGTCTGATTGTACAGCGTCTGATTCCATTCGCAGGGAGGTGGCGTGCCGGGCCGTTCCTGTTGCTGTTGCTCGACTTTTGATGCGGAGGTCGATCCTGCGTCAGGGCAAGGTACGAAATAGAAAGACTCGGCCATGATGCCACTGGGCATGACGTTATATGCCCAGACGCAACCATCCGTGAGGCGGCTAGCTGTGGAAAGGTCAAGCTCGCGGGAGAAGAGGCGAGATCCCAGAGCAAGCATTCCGCCTGCGAAACAGGAGAGGTGTTGCATTTGGGAGTCCTTCACTGGGTTCGGTAGTGTCGCTTTGTATGTGATGGGAAGGAGTATGTCGAGCTTCTGGGCTGTCATAGGTCGCTGGAGAAGGTGGGTCGTGATAGGACCGAGCGTGGCTAGATACATGTCTTGGTACACAGGCTCGGAGCCATTCAGTAACAGATGCATCTTGGGCAAGTACTCGTATGCAGAATCTGCGAAGGCCCCCAGTGAGAAGGTGGTCTCGGACTTGAAGTTGCACTCTTCGATGTTGACTATGTTGGGAAACAGGCCAGGAGCACGAGTATGCTGTTGCTGTGTTGTCATACATTCCGCAATACGATGAACAGCATCGTAGAATCTCATGTCTGCTGTCAGCTGCGAGAGACGTGTGAATTCGAGTGACAGTGATCCAAGTGCCGCTATGCTTGCTGAGGCCGATGCCCTCTCTCCCCATTTTTTGTGCCAGGAAGTCACAGGCATGCGGTTGTGGGTATCGAATGCCCCAATGAGCATATTGCCAAGTTCGACAGCCTTCTCGAGTAATACAGGATACCGCTGATCTGATACATCAAAGGCCGCCAGAAGGCCGCCTAGATACCGAATTGTTACCTCGAAGACATCGATAGGCAGTGCATCAGGGGTGTCGAAATTTGTGATTTTGACGACCTCGAGAGCTTCTGCAAATTCGCTTTTCATCCCCATGAGCCACAAAGTGTCTAAGCTGTCAATGAGCGTGGCGGACCAATTGCCAAACGATGCTCGATGACCGCCAGTCACTGGCAAGAGCTCGTCCTTGGCCCAGGCGAATTGCTTATAATTCGTCCACGAGTGCTTGAAGGCCTCCTTGACGGCATCCAACCGCTCATGTTGAGGTCCGGCAGTCGCAGATTGCTTGAAGTCATGCTGTATACGCGGTATCTGTTGACCTTTGGAAGCATCTGGGAGCTCAGTCAATTGCTGTACAGGATAGATCTCCTTCTCCTTAGCAGCAGCTAGGCCAGCGAGTCCACCTGGCAACTTGACCCGAAAGGCATCCTTGTCGCCCTTCAGTGCTTTTAGCCAGGCGCTCTCAGGTTGAGTGTCTCCACGGTTACTGTGCTGGAACAACTTGTAGAACGCGAAGTAGCTCAGAAAGCCCAGGCAGAAGAACACCGGGAACCTTCGCCTCCTCCACAGCATCTCGGTCTATATCTGCACTCCAGCATCAGGTCCACAGCCAACAGCGACTTGGCAACAGGCCCTGGTCCTACGCTACAGGACTTCTCGTGCCGGGGCGAAGGCGGTCATAAAAAATGCGGTTCAGCGCAATGGGTTTTCACAGTTCCACACGTAGAGACGAGCTCTCGGACCTACTACAGTAAGGCCTTGTGTAAGGCTTTGCTGTGGACGAAGGAACTGTGTGCAAAGGACATGACATATGGACTCCTGGCTCATCCCGGTAGACGATGTCGATCACCGGTAGGTTTTCAAACAGCCAATCACCGCGCGACAAGTAGTGGGGTCATACTTCAACGGTCACCCGCGTTCCTCTACAGCTTCGGCATGCTTCCCATTGTCGCAACACGCACTTTTCTACAGCATTGCTCGATATCAGGCTCCTACTCGCACGCGGTCCGCACAACTATGATCGCTAGCTCACGATCTGAGCGTTGGTGCTGGCCACATCAATCTGGCTCCCACAGATGGCATGTCGGCTTTTCAATCTCCTGAGCTCCACTGCTGGAATCGCTAAGCTGTCCAAGCCACAACACGCCTGCGGTCGTCTTTTCCGGAACCTCGTTGCTGGTGCTTCAATCTCGCGATGATAACTGTGATCCAGGAAACGTTCAAGGATGCCGTTTTCCAAGACTTGTGCCGCGAGGTCTGCGCATGGGCCTTGGAATGTCTCAAAGTTGGACACAGCAACCTTGCTAACAGCGATGTCATAAAATCCATGCAGTCCATATTCTCTTCCTTCACTATCGCATCCATTCTTTTGCTATCAGGTCGCTCATTTATTTTGCATTGCTGCTTAGTTACTTACTGGGCCAAGTCGTTCCTTTCTGAGCCAGTGACGGAGACATAACTGGCTTTACGCAAACGCAGAATCCCTTTAGCACACCATGAGGTTCACTTCAATTCTGTGTCTGGCGGCCGCTGTCTCGAGTGCCAGTGCCGCATTCAGAGGCTTTAACGTTGCGGGTCATCTGGCTAGTGGTCAATGCCGGAGCGAGAATGACTGGCAACTAGCCTTCGAGCGACTCGCTACATTGCCTGGAGGCTTCAAGAATGTCCGCTTATATGCCTCAGGTGACTGCAATACTCTCGAGAATGCAGTGCCCGCCGCTATACGGACTGGCACCAAGCTACTTGTCGGAGTCTGGACACAGGATGCAGCCCACTTCGACTCCGAGAAGCAGGCATTGTTACGAGCTGTGCAGGAGTACGAATCTGAGTGGATCTTGGCGGTGTCCGTGGGATCAGAGGATCTGTACAGGAAGGAGACCGACCCGAACTACCTTGCTCAGCAGATCTGGGATGTGAGAGGAATGCTTTGGAGCGTGGGCGCTTCTCCCACGATTGGTCACGTCGACACATGGACGGCCTGGATCGATCCCAATAATAAGCCCGTCATTGATGCTGTCGATTGGCTCGGGAATGATGCCTATGCATACTTCGAGGGTAAGGGCATTGCAAATGGCGAAGCGAAAGATGCGTACTACGCTGCTCACGATCGAGTCGTTGCAGTTTCTGGCGGCAAAGAGGTCTGGACCACCGAAACCGGCTGGCCTATCAAGGGAGACACAATCGGCAGTGCTCAAGCGTCGGTGCAGAATCTGCAGTCGTTCTGGTGGGACGTGGCCTGTGGTTCGTTCGCGTCAGGGATCAACACATTTTGGTATATTCTGGTAAGCTAACTTCTCGTCTGAAAGACGCTGAGCTAATAGTTCGGACAGGACGATTTCGCGGACAACCCATCATTCGCAGTTCTAGATTACAACTACAATCCTCTGATTGATATGACTTGTTCTTGATCGGCCATCCCCGGCAACGAAAAATGCTATAGGACTGCATAGCGATGGCGTTATAGACGATATACGTTGAACACGATAAATGGCCGAATGAGCAGACCCTGGAGCATTTTGTCGTCTACATGACAGGATCCGTGTCAATGGTCAGCTTACTGGACCCAGCACCCACGTTCCGTCTGATAAGGCAATCGGCTCTCACGCCAAGCATCAAATGAGGCAGTTTTTTGGCGTTCGGTCTATGCTAGATGCGATGACAGCCCCGCGGAACATACGTCTCGTAAGCAGTATCTGAAGACTATTGTTTAATCATTTATAACCCGTGATTGGCACTGATGATGGTAGTGTCCACCTTCTCAAGAATACTGCTCGGGGGACTTATAAATGCATTCATATTCCTTCTCCTATAGCATCTCCTCTCGTCCCCTTCCAACCATCCATCGGAATCTGACCTACTCACCACAATGTTTACAATCCCGCCAGGCCCTACCATCCGCGCAGCAGCAATCCAAGCTGCACTTACAACAGCATCACCGATACCGTGACCAAGACCTGCTCCCTGATCGCCGAAGCCGCCTCCAAAGGAGTGCAGCTGCTTGCCTTTCCCGAGGCCTGGCTTGGGTCGGGCTACCCGCTGTGGATCTGGGGTAAGTATGGGTACAGGTCGGAGGGAGAGGGTGTTGTCGATAGTCCGGATGAGGATGTGACAGCAGGGCAGCGGGGTTTGAAGGATCTCTTCGTGCGGAACAGTATTGAAGTGGGTAGTGATGAGGGGAGGGGTCATCTGGCGCAGATAGGGGAGTGTGCGAGGAAGAAGGGTATCGTTGTGGCGTTGGGTATTTCTGAACGTCTGAGGGAGCGAGATGGAGAGTGGAAGCTGTACATTGGCCAGATCTTGATTGATGCGGAGGTTGAGGTCAGGTTGAGGCGACACAAGCTGCGTGCGTTTGGGCTGGAGAGAGCATTGTTCGGCGACGGCGGTGGATTGGACGGTGATCTGCAAAACGTGGGCGAAGTTGACCTCAAGAGTGAGAGCGACAAGGCCAGAGGCAGGGTTGGGATGCTAAGCTTTGGTGTGAGTCGGCCTTCGTTGTCTCTCTGGTATTGCCTCTGAGTCTTGAGGAGCCCGCCTGGATGTTGCTAATATAGGACCTCACAGGAACACTATCATCCGCTCATCAACTTCAACACGTTCTCCCGAAACGAGCAGATTCACGTCGCTGCTTGGCCGCCCGTAGCACCACATCCTGGGAGTCCAGTTCCATGTTCAATGTGCGACGAAGGTACGGCCGACGCAGCCCTTACCATCCACCCCATCACAACTCCAACTCGTCTACTGACTCCTTCCACAGCAGTAGCAGCGCTTTCCCGCACCTACGCCACGACCTCGCAAACCTTCGTCCTGCACAGCACTTCCATAATCACCGACCCTTCTACGCCAATAACCATGGGCACGACCGCGCCACATAGCATCGTCTTCGACACCACTGGTGGCGGAAACGCACGCATCTTCGCGCCCGATGGGAGACGATTGACAACGGACCTGGGCTGCGTAGAGGAGGGGATGGTCGTGGCTGACTTGGAGCTCGGATGGTGCGAGATGGCGAGAGGGATGTTGGACTGTCGGAACGGAGAGACTGCCATGGGAATGGGGGATCTGTTGAAGTTAGTGAGGGTCAGACAGGCATGACTAACAGGAAATAGGCCTTCTTGTCATTGATCGCTGTGGCCTGCTTATGTGGTCAACGACGCGGCATGGTGTTTAGAACGCAACGATCAATATCATAAATTATAGTTGCTCGCTAGATGATTTCTACAAGTTGTGATTGACAATGTTGATAAGTGGACGTCGCGGGATCATTACATGCATGGCATCCTTTAAGCAGTATGGGGGAGGCTGCGGGAATCTAGACTTATGCATTCATTCATCTCTGCGCTATCTATTCGTGAGCAGATCGCGTTAGCGCTATGAAACCCGCGCACTTCCTACTCTATGGTATAGTGCAGTCCGACTCTCCTGTAGAACATCATGCAGCACTGATAGGAGGTGGGAGACCGGTGGGAAGCATTGTCGCGACACTCGAACTGGAGCACCGAGCCGGGGGCTCATTGACGCCACAACGCTGTGCTAGAGATCCCGGGTCTCTGGCAAGGAGAGCGAACTGGAGACAACCATTCCAGGCAACACCTCCAAGGTTGTTGAAGCCAACATTCTTCTCCAGCCCATCGATACCGTTGCAGTCGTAGAGCATGGCGAAAGATGTCATGCAGGAACGCCAAAGAGTGTTCGCATCGGCATCCCAGCCTCTGTTTCCCCGCCAGCAATCACGACAATCGCATCCTGGTCTCACGTCGAAACCGCACCCAGTGACAGCTCGTTTGATCACGAATGTCAACTCAGCATCCTTGGTACTGTTGACAAGACCGCCAGCAGGGAAAGTCCAGCAAAACTGATCGTGATCGATGAAAGCATGCTTTAAAGCGCCGAACTGTGAGCACACGGTATCGAGAAGTGAGGGGAATCCCGGCTTCTCGAGGGTGCCTTCCGCATCTGGATCCGCCTCTCCGTTTGGATCGCGCAGCCCTGTGACCCATGTCCAATTGAAAGGCTTCAGCCCATCTGAGAGGCGACCGCAACTTGCGCGCATCTCGTCATGCACGTTAGCGTCATCAGCATGCCAGTGAGAATCGAGTACGCCGTCGGTCCATCCGGAGCAATTAGCATGCATGACCCTCGAGGCTCTGGTGACGCCTCACAATTTGGAGGAGATGCAGTGCTTGTTGTTCGGGATGGTGTAGTCGAGGTAGACGCCGGTCGGGATGATGAGATAGATGGGACTGGAGAGGTCGGCTTCTGGGTTGGGATTGTCGTTGGCTGTGGAATGGAAGAAGACCCGCTGCTGGACTTAGAGGAAGACGGCGGCGCAGAAGATGATGGCGACGACGAGGCCGGAGACGACGACGGCGATGACTGTGACGATGACGATGACGATGACGATGACGGCGGTGATGACGAGGCCAAAGATGATGACGATGAAGATGCTGAAGACGAGGTAGACGAGGACGAGGTCACGTTGTCTGTCATGTTCGGCGGCATATTATCGTCGAAGGTGAAGGGAAACTGCGCGAGCATGGAGCTAACCGAAGAGCTGATAGCCGGGTCGTTCCAGTAGGGCGTCATCGAACAAGCTTCAGTGGAATTCGTTGTCGAACTTGTCGAGCTTGAGGTCGTGGTCGTCTCGTTGGGCATCAGGTCGTCGATAGTGAACGGAAATCCTGCCAGCAGAGAACTGATTGAGGATTTGATTCCTTGGTCATCCCAGTACGGCGACATCGTGCAGGCGCCGGTCGTTGTTGTCGCAGTGTCTTGCCCTGAGCATCCCGTTGCTGTTGAACAAGATGAGGTGCAACTTTGCGATGTGGACCCGCCGTTCACAATCGGCGTGCAGGAAGTGGTACAGGCAGAGAACGTCGACGTGCTGCATTCGGAGGACGTGGAAGATGACGATGAAGTGGAAGAAGAGCGACTTGTCGACTGATCGGGATCTTCAGTTTGGTCCGGCTGATCTGGGTCGTCCGGATCATCGTCTGGTTTGGGCTCGGGAAGGGCTGCACCAGAGGGATATACAGTAATCTCAAGCTCAGAGTTGAGGTCTTCGGGTCCGATGGGTGGTGGGAATGGAACTCTGAACTTGGGAAACCCGTTGAAGATACGCGGTCCTAGGCAGTTGATCCACTTCCAGGGAGGCCAAAGACACCCGAAGTCGAAGTTCGGCGGAAAACACATCGGGCCAGCCTTGCACTCCCAAGCGCGGTATGGTATGAGAGTATGAGAACCATCACCGCCCTCAACTGTTCTGGTCTTCAGAGTGGCGTTGAACAACCCCGACGTGATTCCGGTGTGGTCGTCCTGATTGGTTGACGTAGGCCATCTTTCCTACCATGGGCGCGAGGTCGGATCAGGTGCCGTAGTGATGGGACAGTCGAACTGGGCTGGACATTCGAGACCGATGGTGCTGCTCGTGGCATCTGCTGTGACATTGCACATCCACGCGTCCGAGAAACATGGCGAGTCTGAATGGACCGGCTTAAACATCTCGCATACCTTGGACTGCGGAGCGTAACAGTGAGGACAGAGACAGCCCCATCCACTGGGCAGTATGGGGTCGACGACACAGCGCTGCGCCACCGAGTAAGGACAGAGCCAATCGGGTGTCGGGTGCGGCGTGATGGTGGCCAGATCTGCCGACGTCGATGCTGCGGTGAAGGAGCTGATTGGTGGTGAACCAATAGGCTGTGGCGCAACAGAGGTAGCACCATCCGCAGAGCTTGGAGACTGACCAGGAGTCGTAGCTTGTGGATTGCCTGAACTACTTGTGGACGTGATCCAGGTGATAGTGACGCCAGTGATTGTACGCGAGCTGCCGTTCGAGACTGTCGTTGAACCAGGAGTCGACGCGACCGGTGGAGTCATGCTGGACATAGTTGATGCCGAGCTGGAGGACGAGTTACCTGGGGCGGAGATCGATGTCGAGTTGCTCGGAGTTGAGAAGGTCGTCGAATTACTTTGAGTCGAGACAGACGTCGAATTGCTCGGTGGCAAGATAGTCGTCGAGTTGCTCGAACTTGACAAAGACGTCGAGTTGCCAGGACTGAATGTCGATACCGAATCGCTCGAAGTGGCGCCAGACGTTGAGTTGCTCGCAGCTGAAGACACCAAGCCGCTCGAAGTCGTCGTCACAGTTGACTGACTGGAGGCCGAAGGAGATGTTGACTCGGAATAGTAAGTGCTCCAGACAGTAGTCACGAAAGAAACTGTGTTAGTGTTTCCATTATCCACGACTGTCGAAGATGTAGTAAAGACGACAGGCGTCGAATACGTGGCCAACGTCGTCTCTTGTTGACTGGAGGATGATTGCGGAACGGACGTCGAAGTCAGACTGCCACTTGCCGACGAAGACAATGAGGATTCAGCCGAAGACGTTGAAGCCGGCGTGGCTTCGGAGACAGACTGTGGAGTGGACGGGCTGGAGGTCTGGCTAGAACCCTGTGGACTACTGGATGCAGATCCCTGAGTGCTTGGCGGCTGCGCAACTGACTGCTGCGACGTAGGCGACGGGACTGAAGACTGCGGAATTGATGACTGCGAAGTCGACGGCTGCGAGGACGGCTGACCTTGGCTGTCAGGCGAGCTCTGCTGGCTGGTGGTCAGCGTCAAAGTCGAGGCAGTACCTTGCTGAGCAGAACTTGACTGACTTGAATCGGGAGTGGCACCTTGTGTAGACTGTGTTTGCGGGGTAGTCGAGGTATCGGTCCATGTGGTCACCCACGTTGACGAGCCAGACGTAACAGCGGAGGACCATTCTGTGATGCAGCCGGTCCAGGTGGACGAGCCAGAGGACCATGTAACGTCTCTTGTGGTGTGGCCAAGCAAGGAAGACGAAGGAGCGGCAGATCGAGTTGAGGAGTCGGTCCAACTAGTCGCCCAGGTATCCGTACCAGTGTTGACGCCTGACGACCAGATGGTGACATCTACGGTCCAGGTAGATGACCCGGCAGCGTAGATCTCCTCACTCGTTGTATGCCCGAGTACAGATCCAGAGGCGGTGCTGGCGGTACCGGTATAGCCAGTAGATTGTATTCCTGCCTGTGTTAGCCAGAAGGCCTCTGTTCATGAAGGATTGAGCGTACCTGATGAAGACAGAGTATCATCTGGATCATTGTTGACAGCCACTGAAAGTGTGCTCCCAAGAAGACAGCACACCAGCGCCAGGCACTGGAAGCGCTTGTGCGCCTTCATCTTGGATGAGACTTTACTCAGGATGGGGTGATTGATCTGAAGTGTTGGGTGCAGTTCTGTAGCTCAACAATGGTCTCTTTCTGTGGCGAGAGAAGATTGTGGTAAGAAAGAAGGAGGACTTGAGAGGAAGGAGGGCAGATACTTATAATGCAGAGCAGGCAATCCCATTTCACCATCTTGTGAAGTCTGTGTCTCCACCTTCAGCCGCTACATGTCACTGTGAAGTGTGAGCAAAGGCAAGAGTGAAGAGTGCCAAGGCGCCAGGTCTGAGGCAACCAGACAAGGCTTTCAGTTCCTGCAGGCTTCACTTTGGTCACATCACATCCTCACTGGATGTCAAGAGCCTGTCTGAGGCCACTCCAGAGGCATAGGCATGGTCGATAGCCAACTGTGCAGGATCGTCTCCGATATCGATTTTCTATCGGCCAAAGTCGATGGCGTGGTCTTTATAATTATACGAATTGAAGATTCCCCGAAGAGCCCCGTGAAGTGATCAGAGCTTGACAGTCTCAACGACGGTCGCCGCTGCCGATGAGCTGGAGCACCTCTGACGACCCATCCAGGTTGAGCTGCCCTCGAATTGGGTGCAAAGACATCTCGTAGACGACCTCGTCGAGATCAGTGCAAGGCCAGCACAGCTCCAAGCACCAAAGAAACTTCCATACGGTTGGCATGGCCAGCACCTTTGACCGTGACACGTCCGTATCCGACTAAAGCGATACTGAGCTTCAGTCCGACAAGCGCTTTGTCCAAACAAGGGGAATTGTGTTTGAGCCGCTGCAGCCACTAACTTTCAGGGCTTTGTCATATGTCTAGCAACACAGACAGAATCTAGATCGCACCAGCAGCTCGAGATGCGTTTCCCTGCCGTCGAGACATCGGCCGCTGTGACCGTCGACAACATCGTTACTCGGACGCATGTCAAGCCTGATACTTCTCGAACAAGGAGTACGACCAAGGCGAAATGCAGCTCTGAGCAACGGCTTGATCAGCCAGTCCGTGCGAGTTGCATCGGGATTCTCGGGATAACATCTATGCTGCCACATATGCATTTGTTGAGCCTGCTAGATCACCTCTTGACGATCGCCAACCTGCTTCCGAACAGAACGCTCTGTCCTCACATCATTCTGAAGGACGGTATCGGGGAAGCAGCGAGCAAGTCTGAAGCCTATCGTGGCCCCCGATCAGGACCTGCGCTGCTGTGAGATGTGTGATGGGAACCACAATCAAGGAGGTCCCTGTTTAGCTTGGCAGGGCAAACACCAAATCGCCAAGCTCACCCCAGTGCCTGGCGTTGCTGCTCCGCTTAGGCGGGCTTTCCCCAGATTTGCCAGACGCAGATCCAAAGCAATTACACGTGCTTTCACAGGATTGCACCTGCTGGTGCTCACCAAGGTTGCACTGCCGTTGCTTCCCTGTTGCCCCATATGGCTAGCAGACAGTGTGCTTGATCGCGGCTTCCGCCTCGACGTTTCAGATGCCCTCAAAGCAACCGCGATCCGATCTCTGGATGACCGTCCCGCTCCTGCGATCTGCGCCGTCTCGACTGCCCATGTCAAGCTTGACATCCTATCGAATGCTGACTGGTGTCTACCTATGTACTGCAGCTGACTAAGGACAATCGAGTCTCGGTGGCCCTCACTCCAACCATCCGAGTCGGCCAAACATTTTGCGAGAGACTGCAGAGTAGAGCATATCCTACACCCGAAAGCATAGCAACCCCTTCGGGAAATAGACCAGAGAAGCTGTGATAGTCATGTCCTTATGAAGAGCCAGTGTGACTGCCAAATGAAGAGACGAAACTATGGAGCAGCGACTACCGCGTGAATGGCCAGGGTGCGAACAACAATTCCACGATATCATTGTCTAAAAGGGTCTTAAACATGCCAGGTATACTTTCTTGTCAGACTGTCATGGTGCTGACTTTACACGTGCGGTCCTTCAGCTTCTGGGTCTTACTCTCAGTCGACTCTCAGGGCATGTGCAATGTCCCTACAGCGCCATGAGGTGGCCAACTTAACAGCGAGAGCATGAGAGCGCGATGTACGGTACATGGATCCTGATGTCAAGAGTGCTAACTGAGCTACGCCAAGTGATGCGCATGGAAGATTTCTGCATCCCAGAGGTAACAACAAATCCGAGTCATTTGGTGACCGAAGCAGACGGTGTCGATCAGCATGTCATGGTCTGGCAAGGAATCGCGATCAACGATAGGTAGGCAGTGGAAGTGACTATGAGGAACTAGACAGCAACGACCCGGAGGCCTCCGATCATATTTGATCATTTCGTTTAGAAAAGTAAACTCGTCATGATAATATATGTTCTAGTCTCATCTATCCAGGACTATTCAGTCCATTCACAAAAGAACTCCTTTCCGGGGTATCTCAAAGATTCCGACTCCGTCGCTGTGCTGAGGATAAAACGAAAGCTCGGCAATCCCACCCATTCATACCGGCTCTTTGATGAACGAGATCCGAACCAGCGCAATCGGCACAGTGTGCCATCCACAAGTCTCCTGCCTGGAAGCCGATCACCAAACCTTCTGTTGTACTAAGTCCCGAACATTCTTTCCAGTCGAAGTGTTCCAGTGCCGCGTCGCTAGGAGTCTTTCCATACATAGAACATCATTCCAATGCCACCGGATCGGAGCATTCGGAAAAGAGCCGATGCAAGTTCTGCAACATCAACGCCCGAACGCTCGACCTGCGCCTCAAATTCGGATAGCTTCAACTCATCTCCTCCCCAGAGGTTGACAGTCCGAGATCCTCACACTCGTACCGTGATGACACTGCTGCTTTCGAAATTGAAAGACGTGCTGAAGAGGACCTGGGCAGCAATTTCCTTTCCCCGCAACTACAGCTCGAAGCGGCACTGGGGTAAAGACCCCAGTTTGGAGAAAGGCGAGATCGATGCTTGTCAGCAACCTTCGTGCCTGTACCTGCCCGGAAGCTTGCCCACTCTCGGGCTGGTTTATAGCATCTTCTTACGCAGTCAAATAAGCTTGACACGTCGCCGGTAGTTTCCGACGTGCTCGAGGTTGTCTGCCGCAAATATGAAGCTCGTGCCTCGGAAACGGGACAGGTCTTGCCGACAAGACTTGACCTGGCGAAGGAGCTTCAGACTCATACATGTCCACCTGGCTTCGACTCAGCCGGCAGCCAAGACGACTGGCATCCTAAAGGTTGTTTCCGCCAGAGATGGACCATCTGTAGCTGCAGCACCCGAGATAGCGAGACTTATTTCCAGCTCGTATCTGACGCTGAGACCGTCAATGTCAAGCGATGGTATTAGTGCTGTGCGCGGAAGTTCGAGCTCGATTGAAGAGGACGCTGAGAAAATCTGCTTCGTGTTGGTGGCTGATGCATCCGTCATGTCGTAGAGCGGTGGAATTGCAGCTGCACTCTTGACTGAGACTGCACTCGACTTGGCAATGCCATCGGTGCTGGTCCGCGAGGGATTGCCGACCGTACGGTGTATGTACCACTTTGCTTGTACATTGCATGTCGCCCCTGTGTGAATCAATTCAACTACACTAGTTGGCATGTTATCTGACGCCGCCAAGTCGAGACTGAAAGGGATCGAGATCGTGCTCGACTTCTCTGTGGGTGGCCTATCGTAAACTGTTTCTCCGAGGTTATGCTCGTCTAGCTTGAGTTGCATGTCGAAAGGCTGGTCAGCGTTCGCCCGGAGGGACTTTAGTCGTGATTTGGCACCTTTAGGCTGGCGAAGTGGCTGCGAAAGAAGTTGATCCTGTCGTGCTGGCAGGAGATGGACCGCTGAGGGCAGATCGATTGAGACTGGGCCACGCACGGTTTGGACTTCCTTCGAACGATTGTAGAAGATGATTTCGTATGTGTACTGGGTCCGGCCTTGGGCTTTGAGATGCCGCCTGTTGCTCAAGGCATGATCACTTATTGCTTCTGAAGCGATATCGACGTTTGAGAACGGCAGTAAGGTCGTCCGATTGAGCTTGTCTGCTGCCCCGAGATTAAATGACACATCGGCTTGTTGCCGCGACTTGAAGGTCTCGGTGCATGGCGTCGTTGGGTAGAAATCAGACCAATGTAAGCTCTTCGCTAGAGAAACGAACTGAGATACAGTCAGGGCTGCTCGCTTCCGGCTGAATTCAATCATAGCCGCAACTTACAGGTTTGCTCGTTTTCATGCCATTGATGTTTGACTTTAGCAGCCCAAGCAATGTCAGTCGCGCAGAGTCGAATGGTCTCGCTCGGAGAGGGCTGTGTGCGACGAACAACGAGCATTGAAGTTCTCTTCGTGTTGATCCTTGTTGGTCTGCATCGATATGAGGCACAGTGTTGATGCCCAGAACCTCAAAGGTCACGTTCATCTTGTCGCGCGTGGCGGTCATTCTGTTGAGGCGGGCTCTCGAGTCTCACCATGCACATTCGGTGGGGTGGGAGTGGTAAGATCGGTAGAAGACAGAATCATGGCAAGTCATGGTTGATATGGTATCGCCCCACGAAGCCAAGCATCGTAGGCTCCCACATGATAATATACCAGACCCATGCAACTTCCCGCTTTGATGGCGGAAGATACTTCGGGTCAGCAGTATGCAAGGCAAAGAAGCATGTCCACGGGTAGGATGGAGTCGACCCGAGGGCGAGGGCAGTTCTGCAATGACTTCCGGCTTTCCTTCTTCAGGCCTTGGGGAAGGGACATTTCGCCAATTGGAGGACGTGGGGGCTTCCCAACACGCCCGAGTAAAACCTTCTCGGATATATCAAGGCGGTTATACTTCGTGAAATGAAGATAAGCGACTCGCCTGTTGGGTAAGCCGCGTGATATCTCTTGCATGCTCAGGCACTGGCTGACCAAAAGTTTGTATGCTCGTATTGGGCATGTCGTCCTGCTGGCAGCGTTCGGGAGGACGTGAGATGTCTGGCGGCTTCACAACAAGACTATTGAATCACTTGGGTGTGTTTCTTCCTGGCGCATGACTGTTGTACACAATTAGTAGAGACGAACAAGGCCTTACTTTGCGGATTCCGTAGGACAAGAAATTCATCCCGGGCAGCCATTGACACTACCTCTCATAGTATGATGCGAATAACAGAACCAGAATGAATGACCACTGATTGCTGTAGGTTGAAAAGGTCTCGCCTGACGAGGCTCTCATCCAGGTTGAGATCCTCTATGTCATTTGAGCAGACTCATTGTGCGTTGATGGAGTCATGAGTGCGTAGCAAGTATGGGAAGGTCTGTTTGCTGCTGCTGCTCACGCGACACCGGGCGTGACGATGAGTCTGCAGCAGACGGAGCCTCTGTGCGAGATAGACAAAGACGACCAACGCGTCAACATCCGGCGCACTACTTGCTATTCGAAGTGACGAGCAGGAACGACAATCACCATAGAAAGACAGGGAGGAGTACGGGGGAGATAAATGGCTTGGCGCAGCATAACTCCGGCGGACTTTTTGATCCTCATCAAACATAGCAAACCGCCTGCAAGTGCTTGAATATCCGCCGCAGACGCACCAACTACTCAGCCCCTTTCGCGATCATGTCGGCGGAGAAGATGGAAGTTGACGCGGACGGCGAGAACGGCAGGTCGTCCCCCACCGATACGAAAAAGCAGTCCTCGTCAGAAGCACGCACAATACAAAATGCCGTGGCCGTACGCAGTATCGAAGGCTGGATTGTGATCGCAACGAACATTCACGAAGAAGCCAGCGAGGAAGACATCACAGATCTGTTCGCCGAGTATGGAGATATCAAGAACCTACACCTCAACCTAGACCGGAGAACGGGCTATGTGAAGGTATGTTACCAACATCTGCTGGCTATACACGTACTGACGAATGAAAGGGCTACGTCCTCATTGAGTATCCCACACAAGTCGAGGCGCGCGCAGCCATCAAAGCGCTCAACGACACCAAGTTTCTGGATCAGACCATTCAAGTCGATTATGCATTCGTTCGACCGCCACCAAAGCAGGACAAGAGTCGAGGTGCTGGCGGGAGAAGAGGCGGTCGCGATCGTAGTCGCAGCCGAAGCCGTAGTCGAGACCGAGGACGGGATGACGACAAGGAAGGCGATGATATGAAAGATTGAGAGCAGGTCTGAAGAACACATATCACACTCGTACGAGTTGACGATTACGATCATCCGAGCATACGTCGACTACTAAGGTAGTCGTCCAAGCGCAAGGGGAGCAAAGACCGAAAAGGTAGCCGGCGCAGACGTCGGCCTAATGACGATTCTGACTACTGGTAAGGCGAGCCGCGTATCCGTCTCGAAAGCCAGCTCTTCTGACATGGCGTACAGATCTGCTCGACCATGTGGAGATCCACGCCAACGCGACGTTCGTGAAAGCGCAAATGTCTCCGTCAACGCCTCATTTGTGACAACTGTATGGTCTCCTGCGTGAGTATTTGTGGCATGCTTGGGATCCGAACCAGGAACCTTCGGCCCCTGGAGCAAACGAGCCCGGTATACCTCGGGCTTACGCACCGCGTGCTGATGAGTATGTCCATTGATGACAACCTAGCACTGTCTAAACAGGCTCGGCATCGGTTTCGACCGGAAAAGAGGAGTCCTGTGGCACAGGGTCAAGTGCAGGAACAGCCCATCAAAAGGACGCACCTTTAGTGTGTACGGCCTGTCATCTATAGACGCTGGCTCATGAACCGACGTCTCCGGGCTCGTCGAGCCTACAATTGGATGCCAGCGACATTCTCACCCATGGGAAAGCCTGCTTGCACACAAGTCACGTGGCATGTCGAGCAATGAGAAAGTACTCGGCCAATCCGTCATATACAGGACTGAAGTCCGCTGATTTAGCCGTGCTTAGTCTTCCCGGAGACGCCCTCAGCGACCTGGGGGGACTTGAGACGTAGGGAGGTCTTTATCACAAGCAGGCATGGGTAGTCTCACGTTCTCGTGTCAAAACTATGTTTAGCCGAGAATCTTCATTTTCAATTGTTTTCTATCTTTTTCTATGGATAAGGGTTTGCCCAAACCAAGGATTTGCGCCGTGACTCCGGAGGTACCAAGTGGTACCAGGGAATTCCGCCTGTAACTTTATGATAGATGCCTTGCTCCTTGTACCTTGATGTTATGTGATATATAGCGGTTGCATAGGTCACTGTCGCTCAGAACTGAAGCTGAACCTGTGGCGGTCGTGATGTTTTGTGGTGTTTATACGCGTTTGCGTGACTATACGGCTTGTATAGAGATTCCCAGTTAGAAGATGCTCGAATGCCTGACGGAGAGCATGAGCCTTTTGACGGCACCCTGGATTCTTCTGCGGCGGTACTGCTCCAATGTAATGCGGGGCGACGTGCTTTCGCTGTCGACTGTAAAAGCAGTCGCGAAGTATTTGACGTCGGCATTGCGCGGACCGACAATGGTGGCAACCTGGAACTGGGTAATATGGCGTAGCTGTCGTTGTTCCTGCACGTTCGTGTTGTTTGGCTCGTTTCGGTAGGCGACGATTCGAGTGAAGCGCAAGTCAGATCCAAGGATACTCTGGCCCTGATAATTAAAGGTGGTGTGCAGCAGTTTCATCTGACCACAAGATCGACTACCACTGATCTACCGACCAATTCACATGAGACCTAGTTGGTGAACACAGTCTGACGATGACCTCGTAGGGTATAGACAAAGCCATCGCTGGGAGGTCGGTCCAGTCACTGCCGGTCTTCCGCCACGTGATGCGATCGTAGAGCTGCTGGGGATCGAGACACTCCCAGACCCAGGCGGTCTGCTCGCCAAAAAGCTTGTGAACGATGCCGGTAGCGTCCTGCACCATGCGCTGCATCATCTCCTGGAGGCGGCAGGTTCCGATGGCACGGCCGTCGAGGAAGAACACGGTCTTGTCGGGGCTCCAGCTAACCTTTTCGGCCATGCAAAAATTGGCCGCGGACGCCTGGGCATACGCTCGGAGAGTAGCCTGATGCTTACTTCCTGTACCAATGATATTATTTGATATGATATGTAGCGGATGCGCGTAGGTCGCTGTGGCCCAGGATTGACTATCACGGCGGCGAGCTGGTTTTGTGGAGGTGCACTGAACCCGGTTCCCGTCCCAGAGCAGTACTGGACCCTTGTTGCCATCATCGTCACCGTCTCCTTTGATACAGTAGAATGCCAGGAGGGCCTCATAGAGCTCGTTGGAATGGCGGTGGATAGAGTATATCTCAAATAGGGGGCTGAAGCTGACTCGGCCGCACGAGCGACGGTATGTAGTGCTTATGCGCATTTGCTGTGATTAGATAGTTCCTGAGCTTCAGGGCGTCGCGAGTCCACTCGCTCTTCAGTGAGCTCTGCCATTTCTGTGAGTCTTTACTGCCTGCCATAGCTACGACTCAGCGACGCGTATCGGCTTTACTCCAACAAAGCCTAGTGGAAGCTAAACTGTTGAGTATGTCCTGTACCAATTGTGCCGGGGTCGCGCAGTTCTGCACCAATGTCGATTTGCTCATGCTCTTGTAGTAGTTAAACTGCCATTGCTGCCACACCATGTTAGACTCATCTTCTGTCACTTGAAGTTTGTCTGGGAACTTGGCAGCCATGTGTGTGGAGGAAGCGAGAGCCCTGATAGTACACCATGGTAGCTTGTGTGTCTTGACCTGGCCCCAGAACCGCTTTTGCCAGTCTTGGTGAAGGCTAAGACGGCCGCTGGCTATCTAGAAGGGTTCTGCATCTTGCTGTCGAGGTTGGGGAACAGCTCGTTGGGTACTGCCTGTGGCCGCTGCGGTTCCTTGAGGGATGCAAGGGCTACAGGGTTGGGCGGTGTACCTTAAGGCACCCTCTATCGAAGCGTATTTTGAAGGGGTGGTATATATGAGAGTGTCCCAAGAGATGATATAGTGTGACTCTTCATCCAATTCGTCCATAGTGACATTAAAGACCCAGCGCCAGGTGTCAGTAACACGTTGGCGATTGTCAGAGTTCTTGGATGCTAGTGGTGTGTCCGATTGGTACTTCGCCAACGTTCGGAAGCTTGCAGCGCGAGCACCCTTGGCCCGAGACAGTCGTCCACTGTTCATGCTCTATCTTCCGGCCGGATATCTCCCCCATACGGTGGGGCCAATGTTCCGGGATCCGAATGTGGTGAAACTGTGTTGTACAGGATAACCAGTCTCGTAACGATGAGCAACTTCCCCCGGCAAGTTGTGCCTGTGACCATAGCCGACAAATGGCATCACTTCCAGATCGAGGCACTCTTGATAGACAGTGTAGCTACTGCCAGCATCCACGACTGAATCGAGCTGCCACGGGCACATAGCCACGGCTTCAGGGTTCAAGATTTGCGTCCGTTCGTGTGACTGTTGTTGTGAAGCGATAGTGGCATTCTCGCTGGTAGAGGAATCGATATCCCATCGCTTATGATCTGGACGGCGTCGGCGATGACGTGGACTGAAGACTGTTCCATCCACGACTAGCGGGCCTTTAGTGCCACTCGTGGAATGCTGTTCAACGTCGGTTGTGGGACACACATTCTCAGGGCCAGTGGTTGGGTGACTCACCATCCCTGCCTCGTGCTGCAAGCCCAATCAAGTGGCGGTGAAGCGCCATATGATCGACTCGGGAATTTGACCTTGCAACTTCGCCTGCCTGTACGATTCGAGGCAGCTCGAAATCACCGGACATAACACAATCTTCTAATGCACGGTATTGAGTGTTGAGCTGGGAGACATTAAATGATGTTGTTCTGGACGGAAAGTGTGCCGCGAATCCCTCGTGCTGCTGGAGTCGATGTAGGATGCCTGGCCCATTGAGAGAGCTCCGTTCGGGCACGACTTCGAGGGATCGAGGGGTCAATTGGGAAGTCCGGCTGACTGTCTCACGTGGGCGCACTCCACTTGTACTGACGAAGTCAGCTGTGGTTGTCAGCCACACAGCTTGTGTAGACATGCTGTCCTTCCTCCCCGTTGCGACGAATCAAGGCCTTCTGCCCTTTGTATTGACTGATACATCGGTACCAGGGCAGCAGCAGGGTGCGTTTTCTTGCGTTTATCCTCGTTAAAGGGTTTCACTGTATCTTCAGAGAGCCTCAGGAAATTCGTCTGTTGCTCACTGAACGTATCTCAGTCGCTCCGGCAAATTTGCTCCGTGGCGGGGATTCAAGCCGCAGCATCTTCTCAAGGGATGGCAGATCTCGCTATTGGTGATAGACTGGGACCCTGTAATTGGATAAGTTCCTCGAGAGCTTGATGTGGATTTGCAACAAGCATTTCGTTCCGATGATGACACTCGACTTATTAGAATGAAATCCCTCAGCCTCATGAAACTCCTCCAAGAGGCCGAGCAGAGGCAATATATTGATTGATACATTGGTCCCAGGGCAGCAGGAGAGGCTTTGTATTCTTGCGTCTAGCCTCGTTGAAGGGGTCCATCGTGTCTTCAGTGAGCCACATGAACCTCGTCTGTTGGGTAAGTGACGCATCATAGTCGCTCCGGTCTCATCGGGTGCGTCTAGTAATATATATAGATATATATATATATATATATACACATGTATGTATACTGGGGGCGAGTTTAACGTCATCCCGGGACCGTGCTGATGTGCATGAGGGGCTTCAAATTGTTCGATGGTAAGCCTGAACGGTTCTGAGAAGGGAACGCAGTCGTATGTCCGCATCGCCGACTCAAGGTCCAAATATCACGATCTTCAAGACCATGTCGTCACTGGTACGACAGAAGTGACTGCTGGCGACGACGTGAATGTTTTGGCTGACCTCGCTGATTTATTCAGCGACGCCAGGTTGTTATTTGTGAGCTTAGGCCGTGTCTTTTTAGATCCGACGGGCAAAGGACGGTTGCCATGCGCAGGATCAACGACAGATCGTGGGTCCATCGATCCGGTCGACGGTGCGCGGATTGTCCTCGCAGGATCGACCACAAGATCAATGTGTGGCATTCTCGTTTGGCAAGTGCCAGACTTATGATCCCTGACAACGCAGTGATGACCGTAGTCACAATGGTGAACTTGGCAACTGGAGCCACGGTAGCATGCTTGTTGCCTCAAGTGATGCTTGAGTGCGAGCAGATCATCTGGCTTGAGCTTTTGGTGGCTGCGTTGACAAGCTGCATCATCGCATCTGCCTCGCAGATGGTGCTTCACGCAAGGTCTTATGATTTGCTTCTGAAATGCTGCGAGGTGAGACGCTTCAACCTCCGGAAGGGACGGATCAATCCGCTGGCCTTGGCGATTCCGGAGAATGTCGTTGTGCTGTGGTGCAGACGTGACCCGGGAGATTCCGGACAGTTCAGCAGAGCTGCCGCTAGGCTTGCGTGCCGATCGACTCAGGCCCAGGGTACTCTCAGATGCAGTGGGAGGCGCCTCCTGCGTCAGGGTGCTCAGCTTTACCTGCTCATGGCCCGTGTGCGAGGAGGGCATAGGCTGAGCCGGCTGGTTGGTGTCCGACGCAGTTTCAGAAGATCCCCGGCCAGGGAAGCTGACCCTAGTAATCAGAGAGCGAGAATCCTCCTCGTCACTTGGACAGAGAAGATCTTCAACTGTGGTGCTGGCAACCTCCCAAGCTTGCTGGGACGACGGTGAATCGTGCGCTTGGCCAGCAGCCGAAGGGGATGCCAGAGGCGATGCATGTATCGTAGTCGCACCAGGCGCAGTTTTCGATAATTCGTGCACTTGGCTGAGAAGAGATGAGCGTGATGAAGCTCCAGAGACGCTCTGAGAAACGAAAGCCGACACGATTGACCCCTGATGACTCGAATCCGGTTTGGGAGACTGCGGGGTTGCACCGTCGAGTGGCTGCATTCCAGAGACCACTGGTCGCGCACCAAGCGTCGGCTCAGGTGTGACCGATATATGTGGGATATGTTGCAATGGCGAAAAATGGGTTTTGTGAAAAGGAAGGCGGTATTCTCCGGGGAATCCGTCCCAAGGTTCGACCAGCGATGTCTTCAGAAGAGTCAATTCATCGTCGGCGTACTCATGTAGCGTGCTGTGATAACTGGAAGGACCAAGAGCACAGTGACGTGCTGGCAATGGCAGTTTTCAACATTTAGCTCATAGGCTGTCCTCAACTTCTGCTGGACTGCCGTAGAGTCACATGCAATGACAGAGACATGTCGCTGTGAGTTCAGCGCCTGAATGAACTCAACCATATCAGCGCTCCTGCTGACGGATTCCGTTGCCTTGAGGTCTTCGCTCAGCTGCTTCAGATCAACGAAGATCTGAATCAGGGCAGGAATACTCTTTGGCAGGGTGTGCTTGGTCTGAGCATGCTCTCGCATCTCATGCACCAAGGAGTCGATGACCTCCGCAGAGCGGTCAGATCGGGAAAACCTGTGGCGAAACCAAAGATGGTTGCCATTGATCAGAGCGAGAATATAGGGGTGAACAGCCAGCTTGGCCTCTGCTTGCTGAGCCCGCTTCATCCACCGTGCTCGGCCGTCTGACTGGTCCAGAACGTCAGCTCGTAGATTCTTCGCCTGATTCTCCAGATCGCTCTCGAGAAGGCGGAGTCGCTGGATCTCTGACTTTAGGCTCGAGAGCTCCCTCACCTCTCTCTCCAGGTGAGGTACTCGCTGAGCCTGGATGTGCAGGTCCCAGACGCGTTGGACGAAGTCCGGAATACTGTCCAGATCTCTGCTGCATTTTCCGTCCGGGACAACGGTGGTCACTTCTGGATAAGCATCTGAAAACACATCGATAGCTTGAGATCTCTTGTCAACGGCAACCCCGAAAGACCTCCAGCCCGGTTGGAAGTCCATCGCTGCTCACGTCTCAGCAGAGCCGGGGTTCATCTAGGGAGATCGGGCTATGCCAACACGCTTGTAGCTGAGGCAAAGGAGGTAGATCAATCTGCTCCGATCCAGACCTGTCAAAAGCGCGGGACGAACTGTCAAGGTTGGAACAAGGGACCAGACAACTCAAGATCGCAAGTGCGAAAAAGGACGGACGGACATGAACAAAGAGTCAGAGCCAAGAGGGGAAAGAGCGGTGACCTTGAAGGAGAACAGTTCTGCTGTGACCAGATGTTTCGAGGAAACCCGCGCACGCTAGCTAAGCAGATACAGCAATAAGCTGCAAAGATTAAGGGTCTCGTGCTGTAGAGCTGTTGGCAAATGTATACATTATGAGACTAACTGGGTAGATAGTGTGTGGTTCGTATGCTGCATGCAAGCAGCACGCGGGCAAACGCCACTAGTCCTAGACCCATCTAGCGCGACATAGGCGCGCCGCCATGAACCGAAACTCGCGTCCCCCGCGAACTCTGTTGGAAGTACGTAGGTACGTTCGACTTGCAGTAGTGACCTGTCATTTCTATTCAAACCAGACCATGTGCCCTCGCATGCACTTCTGACAGCTGTCTACAAGTCGGCTCAAAGAAATGAATGTCTCATAGGCTGGGCCTTCATTTCTCAAGCAGCTAGCCAGGCTCATCACACTGACCTTGCCTCCCACCACAGACATGGTCTCATTTATGCTGAAGGACGTCAACTTCACTAGTGTTGCAGTCGCAGTCGTGGTCGGAATGATAGTCGCAGAGTCTGGATACGCCACAGCAATGGTGTAGGACAAGTTTATCCGCCATCAGACGGGTACGAAATTGCGCGAACACGTCAACGACTCGGCCGAGCGGTTTGATCAAGGGGAAATATGTGAACATGTCGGTTTCGACACCAACCTGACGAGCTTCTGAAACGCTGGCAGCGGGAACAGTAACGGCGGGCGTGTGTGGTGAGCGAAGATGGCGAGACATTCGCTCGTGTGTTGTGATGATTCCCTCATATCCATGGAATTCGCTGTAGCGTATCGTGCTTTGCCATGCCATCTGAGCCGCTGTGTCTGGTCCTATTCCGCCGAGATCGCAGCGTCCATCAAGCATGCAGATCTTGGGTCCCGGTGGTAGTCCGGTCCTCTGGACAGCGTGTCTGCTATTGGCCCAATGTATCGCATCATCGGGAGGACTGGTTGAGAAAGGAATTAAGCAAGCAGTTGATACCAGAATTGAGGGCACGGACCTCCTAATATCGCTCAGTACATCCTCCGAAGCAACTGCGCAGCTCCAGCCGCCTGCGACCGTCGATCATTTAGAGGCGCGATTCGTCCGCAGGGCGGCTGATTTCAATTCCGACGTAGACCACATCTCCTTTTGGGGTGACTGGGGACCATGGTCTCCACCAACACAGACATCATCGATCTCCTCAGCGACCACGACCGCCGCCACGACCACAAAGACGGCGACCACGACCACAATCCGGAGCACTTCGACGACCTCCACAACCACATCCACAGCAACGCCAACTGCGGAAGCCAACAAGTTTTTCTGGATGCGCCTCGAGAAATCTGGTGCGAGATTCGTCAAAAGAGCTGGCAGCTACGTCAAGTTTGACGGCTTCGACGCTTACCTCACCAACGATAAAAATGAGGCATCTGTAGTCGACTTGCGTGGGGACGTTATCATGCATGTCGGCCTGTATGTGGGTACTGCTATCCGTGAGGGTGCCGTGGTCTTGGAAAGGTTCTGGACCGCTCAGGATAATGTCGTTCATGGCTGGCATCGTAACGGTGACGAGCTTACCTTTGCACCGGCCAGGCTTGGGTTCTGTGTTACAGACAGCTTGACCGTCATTGCCGAACTCACCACTCCTCCTCCCTTCGTATGTACGCCCTACAGGTTGATTGCGGAGAATGTTGATGGTAATCCACACCCGGAAGCATTCCATATGGCAGGCTGACGTGAGTAGGTTCGCATCAGACACCCACGACAACCACCACGAGTAATCCTGGGCCAAGTACAACACCGACGACCACTTCCACTGCACCAACATCAGATCCCTCCGGAGACATGGACGACGAGCCAGACCATGATGGACCACCCGGTATGCCAGATGATCGGCATGGTGGCTGGCATGGAGGGCGATACGGAGACCGTCCTTGGGGCAGGCGCCCTCCCTGGTAAGATGGCCTCACAGCACGCGAACGAAGTGAATGTATATACGATGGATGGATTTGGTGTTGCAGCTTGAAGCACCGACTTTGACCCTGGACTGCTGCCAAGCTCATCTGGAGACTGCGTGATTGAATTCGCTGTGTTGATTGGCTCACTGATCTGCGGCAATTAATTGTTCCGTGCCTGTTAGCCGTGCCCCAAGACGGAGGTGTCTCCGAGTTTTTATCTTGTCTGCGACGTGCCCGAGCTCACATTATTTCTTTGAAAGATCCTCACTCCCTTCTTTTAGCGACGGTGACCACCTATTTGAGAAGATCGCACCTTCTCTGCCTTGCTGCAATATCTTGCGCTTGCCTCTAGTCTCAGCTCCTTCGTTCTTACCACACACATAATGGCTGCCGCTGCTCAAAAGGTCGCGGACGCGATCCCTGCACCGACACCCGAGGCGAAGAAGCTCTCTGGCTTGGGCCTCTACTCCAGATTCGTGAGCGCTTCATACCTTCGACTCGGATCATTGCTAATATGACAGGCCTTCGCTGGTGCCGTCTGCTGCTCAGTGACCCACGGTGGTCTCACTCCCGTCGATGTGTAGGTGTTCCTGACCATACTGTTGTCAACTCAAGTCTGATCATCATCGCAGCGTCAAGACAAGAATTCAGCTCGACCCCGCGACATACAACAGAGGTCTCATCGGAGGCTTCAGACAAGTGATCGCGAAAGAGGGCGCCGGTGCTCTTCTGACTGGTGTCGGCCCAACCTTTGCTGGTTACTTCCTCCAGGGCGCGTTCAAGTTTGGAGGATATGAGTTCTTCAAGCAGCAATCCATCAACTTGATTGGCTACGAATCTGCGACCGCCAACCGCACCGCCGTCTACCTCGCCTCAGCTGCTTGCGCCGAATTCTTCGCCGACATTGCCCTCTGCCCCCTCGAAGCTACCCGCATCCGCCTCGTCTCCGAACCCACCTTCGCATCTGGCTTGGTCTCGGGCATGAGCAAGATCGCCTCGCAAGAAGGTCTCGGCGCTTTCTACAGCGGTTTTGGTCCTATCCTCTTCAAACAGGTTCCATACACGATGGCCAAGTTCGTCGTGTACGAGAAGGTTGCTGAAGCAATCTATCAGCGCGTGGACAAGAGCAAGACCTCCGATGGCATGCAGACTGTCATCAACTTGGGCTCTGGTCTGATGGCTGGTTTCGCTGCTGCTATCATCTCACAACCTGCTGACACTATGCTCTCGAAGATCAACAAGACCAAGGGTCTGCCCGGTGAAGGTACCACCTCGCGTCTGATCAAGATCGCCAAGGAACTGGGTCTTCGTGGCTCTTTCAGCGGTCTCGGTGCTCGTCTCTTCATGGTTGGAACCCTCACTGCTGGTCAATTCGCCATCTACGGTGACATCAAGAAGGCTATCGGCGCTGTTGGTGGTGTCGAGATCTCGAAGTAGGTAATTGGATTACAAGATGATGCATAGCAGATGCGGTCTTACAAGCTGGCCGCGAGACCTGTCTCGGCAAGTCCCAGACATTTGAATGAGCATTTCAGAGGCGGACGTCGGGGCGTGCAATTCATGCACCGGCGTCCAGGATTTTCAATAGATGAGCGGATTTCAAGTCCATTGAGTCGGCAGAGGACATGGTTTCGATCACAGTTCTGCCACCAGGTCAACACAGATAGAGACACGGGCAGTACCTTGTACAAAAGCAAATGGTTGCTGCATGGGTCTGGTAGAAATTGCATTAGTCTAAGTCCATCGTGCAGTTTCCCTAGAGTGCGATTGATTTGCTGTATGTCAAAAGCTGCGGACAGGAGAATATATTGGATGGCAAAACCATGCCAAGCCTTTTTCGGCCAACGGATGCTTCTATGATTATGACTTCGCTAAAGTGAACACAACCATCACAGCCTTTTCTTCGAAGACCAATGCCAGCGGCCGCCTCAACGACTGGCTCGAGGTCATTCCGTCCAGAGGATCTGTTCGACGACCAGCAGCTGCTTGATCAAGCACGAAGTCATCTACTGCGCAATGATCTACGGTCTGCAATCATCACAGCATTCAGACTTCCAGAAGCAGACGAGTACGTCTACCATGCCACCGCAGCGGTAACACTTGCTCAAGCCCAGTCCGCGATCAACGCTGGTCCGTCTCACGGTCTGCACGACTGGTATCTCGACGCTTCGTCTCAGCCGCTGGGGCATCCTTCTCCAGCGGATATCTCAGCCTACATATCCCTCTTTGATCCTTCAAAGGCGGCGGCCAACTCTCTCAAAGGACTCGTCAGCAATGCAAAGAAGGGTTCTCTTCGAGCAGCTGCAGCCCAGCATCTGCAGTCTAAGCGCTTCGTACACCCATCTATCCCAGCACCACAAAAATTGAAGACGGCCCACGCAAATCCGTACATTGATTTCCTGTCCTACACTAATACGACGCTGGAGTCTTGTGGCCCTACTGCTACGTCAGATCTGGTCAAAAACTCGCATCATGTTCTACCGATTCTTATGCACCATTTTTCGTGTGTGTGCCCGACATATGAAGCACTGGCTCTGATTTCACATTTCGCCAAGCCAAAGTCGAGGGGTCAACCTTCGCGGACTATATTGGATGTGGGGTCTGGCAACGGCTACTGGACGCTTCTCCTTCGTCGCACCCCTTTCGCCAACACTGTCATCCCCATTGACAACCTGCAGTCAAAGTGGAGGACGTTGTGGGTGTCCGATACGGTTCTCACTGATGCGGTACAGTTTCTCCAGAAAAGGCCGGTGGATGTGCAGAAAGACGATGTGCTACTGCTGGTGTATCCGATCACAGCGAATGCCTTTACAGAGAACGTGATCAGGGAGTTCAAAGGAGATGTCATTTGCATAGTAGGTACGATGAATGGGAATGGGTATACAGGCTTCAAAGGGGAGGGGGTAGATGAGTGGTTTAAGAGAGAACGAGGGGTTGAATGGGAACTGGTGGTCAGAGTAGCAGTCATGTCGTTCCCAGGCAAGGACGATGGATTATTCGTCTTCAGGCGGAAGGTAGCATAAAGTCTCGGGCGCGAACATCTGATAGCAAGTGGCCGTAGATTCTCTCGAGCATGCACAGCAGGTGAAGCACGGTTCAGGCAGCGGGACGACATAGTTGGGCGAGGCAGGCGGAAGACAGCATACTCCTGAAGTTGCAATCAGCGTGTTACGCTGATGACCACATTCACAATGGCTTAGACTTCTTCTCATGTATCGCAGTGTCAAGACTCAAGGCTGTGCAGAGTGATAGGACGAAGGGCGCTGCGGAAATAGACGTGAGCTTATATCCGGACATCGAGATCGACGCCGAAGTTGACGCGAGATTAATCGGATACCAACACCACAAAATCGCCATCGAACTCCCTCTGATTGATCTCATCCATCTCCTACGAGAGCCCGCCGCCAGCACACTCACATATCACCACAGACTGACAGATAGCATCTCTCAGTCTCCGCGCCCACCCACAAGTCTCCCACAACAATTTTATGCAATCTGCGCCTACTGAGATCTCCCCAAACGCGACTTCAGTAGAATCATCCCACGACAACCCTCCTCTCTTTCAATATGGACTCCCTCCACACAGTCACCCGGCCTCTGATCGCCTCTCAGGCGACAGAGAGCCACAACATCCGGTCGCGCCGGATACCAGCGACACGGTGTCGATCTCGTCAAGGAGCACGACAACATCCCGTGGACGTGTCCGCCTTACCCGACGATTGAGCGAGCGGACCGAAAGCTCGAATGCGAGCTCTTCTCCCGGCAGTCGAATTGACGAATATGAACGCAAGCATGCAAGACGCAGCAAGAAAAAGGATGGGCTTGTTTTCCAGGTTGTGCCAGTGAAGAGCAATAGCGACGGAGGTGTTGCTATCGAAGAATTTCCGAATGGTATAGTAGACCACTTCTGGTGCATAATCACCGCTAATACATCGCAGAGGTCCTGACGCACATTCTCTCCCATCTGCCACCTGAGACTCTCTCCTCAATGAGCCTGGTCTCTCGTCGCTTCCATAAGCTTGTCACTACTCCACCAGCATGGAGGATTGCGTTCGCTCGCTACTTTCCTGGGGCCGAGTCCATGCAGTCACCTGGTCCGTCGATCGCAGACACGGAGAAGTCTCAACGTCGTTCCTTTACCCGTCTCAGTGCCCTGGCTTCTTGGCGGAGCGAGTACATTTTGAGAACTCGCCTGATGCGCTCTTTGGGACGCGGTCGACCCGGTCTTCAAGCTGTGTCCAAGTCAAGCATGCCGAGATCCTCAGGCAACGCAGGTGTTGCGGCTGCTGTTGTCACGTACCAGTCCGGACTGATGTTTCCAATCAGTCACATGCATGCCACATTTGGGACAGGACTGAACAAGCGCCAGCCTCTGTTCGTGCATGGTGCTGCTGAGCAAGGTTTGGTGTCCAGCAGCGATCCAGCAACTGGCAAAGTTGGCTCCTGGGGTCTTGCTGACTACCAAGCTTTTCACCACTTCAGTGATCTCTATGCTGGCGAGACTGAGTACGGATTGGGGCAGGGCGACGTAGTCGGAATGCCCAATGTGCTTGACGTAAGTCAGCCATACGGACGGATCTACGGCGAGGCTTGTCCTGGAGGTCGTATCTTCTACACGGCATCAGGCGAGCAGCGAGGTCGCTTCCTGCCCATCTCTTCGACAGCTGATCGCGCCCGTGGCATTCCCGAACTCACCATGATTGGGACTGCTGTAACCTCGGTGTGGATGGCCAAGTCTGAAGCTGTTCTGAGGGTGACAGACGGCATCTTTGGTTTGCTTGCTGGCTTCTCCAATGGCGTGCTCGCAGCACATGCTCTAGGCAACAATCCTGCCTACGACAATCGCTTTGAGAAGGGAGAGCCCGCCGCCAAATGGGTACTCTGTCCTGGTGTACCCATTATTGCGATTGCCGTCGATGAGCATGTCTCACGACGCAAGGTTGACGCTGGCCGTGTCTGGGCAGTTGTGCTCAACGCGCTAGGCGAGGTTTTCTGCCTTCTTGAAACACCAATTCGTCCTACTGTACCGAAAGGTAAAGTGAGCGCGGAGGACCTGGATCGACTAGCTTGGCGATCAGGTCGCTCGGTAGAATGGAAGCTCATCGAAGCCACTCGGCGAGAAGCTCACGCGGATCCGTTCAGCACTGCCATCGTGGATGGAAGTTATTCCCCACGGACTTCGAGCGACGAAGCAGCACTTGACGAAGCTCAGATCACAGCTGAGACTTACGAGGTTGAGCGGTTCATTCAGTACAAGCCAAAGCATTTCAGAACTGTATGCGATGGCTGGGATATGCGCCGCAAGATGCTCGTGGACTTCGCTGGCGAGGGCGAGTCAATCGTGATCATTAGGAGAGGTCTGGACGACGACCAGCCTGCCACCATCAAGCGCTTGACGCAGTGCAGGAAGCGTCGCTCCGTCGATCATGACCTTGACGCGTGGCCAACCATTCAGCAGACCACTGCCCATCGCTCCATCTTCGGTGGCTCATCTCAGCCTGGCTCTCCTTCATTGCAAAGTGTTCCACGCTCACGCACGTCTAGTGCTGACGATATCGCCATGAAGTACGAGACAGAATGGCGAACATCAAACTTCAGCTTTGGCGATTTGCGTTCACTCCAAATCACCACTGAGGCTATCGACGACTCTGACTTTGCAAGGCTGGCACCATTGGAAGATCCGTTACTCGGCATGTCAGCTGGCTCAAATGCTTCTTCCCCTCTTTCTTCCCCTTTTGGTCATCAGGCTCAGTCATATGCTTCTTCCGCCGACATTCCTGGCCACCGGGCTCGCCTCATGGCCATCGGAACAAAGACCGGCATTGTCCTCCTGTGGGACATTCGTGCATCAGTCTCATTAGCAGTGGACGTGATTAACACCGTGCAGCCGGTCCGAGTCATTTACGCGAAGTCTCCCGAGATTTCGTCCTTGGCTCTCACCTCCTTGTACGTCGTGCACGGGGGCAATGATGGACTTGTGCAAGCCTGGGACCCGCTGGCATCAACTCTGGAACCCATCCGGACACTCAACTCACGCTTCTCCGACCGCGCGAGACGCCGCATTGCTCAGGCTGATGCTTCTGCGCAAGGCGTCGGCCACAACTACTTCGCTGCTGCCAGCATCGTTCTCGACCCAGACCCAACCGTTCTCCGCGGCATGGTGTCGCTCGGCACTCATCTGCGCTACTGGTCCTACAGCTCCACTGCCGCAGACGCCTACAAGTCGCGCAAACGTGGCCAGCTTCGACACCGCGCTAGCAACGCCGGTGCAGAGCACAAGGTCACAGCCACCGGTCGTGGCGTGTTGAAGGACTACATTGCCAATGAGCAGAACGAGATGGAGCGGGAGAAGCGCGAGCGGAATAAGGAGAACGAGCGGCTAAGTGAGCGGTACGGCACGAATCTGTTGGGCGAGGGCGCGAGTGAGGAGGAGATGCTGGCCTACGCAGCCATACTTAGCGAGGAAAGCATGCACTCCGATGCGGCAAGGCGTGCGAGTCAAGACAGTAGTGCTGTTGCGACACCGAGCAGAGACCATCGTGCTGCTCGTCCGTCGAAGTCGAGCTCCAGTGCGGCCGATCAGGGCGTGGATGCGGACATGGAAGAAGCGATCCGTCTCAGCTTGCTCGAGAGCGAAGCACGGCCTACCTCGTCAGCATCCTGGCTCGACACGGATGAAACGGATTATACCTTCAATGTCCCAATTCGCTACGCCAAGAGCAAGCGTGCTGGTACTGGCTCGCCGTGGAGCAAAGTAGCTCCTGGGTCTTCCGCTGCTGCCGCCAGAGGGAGTCTCCAGGTCCCGCACTCGCCGTCTCAACAGCAGCAGGATGATGACCTGGAGTTTGCCCTGCAGCTGAGTTTGGCGGAGGAGGCGAGCAAGCAGCAGCAGCAGCAAGTGGCGGGAGCTGGCGAAGCGGAAGAGTATCCGGTTTTGAGTAGTGGCAGCGAGGCGGGAAAGAAGGGAAAGGGCAAGGGCAGGAAGCGCTGATTGTGGTGGTCCGTTCCTGAGTGTGCGGTGTGTTTTCACTTCGAAGGTATTGGGGTCGTTATTCGCTTCTTCTGACTGTGGACGTGGTTTTATGTTTCGATTGAATGTTCACTTCAACAAATTCTCCTTATTACGTCTGTGAGGTCTTTCGCTATCTACCAAATGGCTTGCGGTGACCTGATCTCGGGCACGACTCAGCTTGTTGGCAAACTGATTCTTTCCCGGAGAGACGAAAGGGCAGCTGCCTTGGGGATCCCTCTGGACACATGACAATGCCCTTCGCCGATGATGACGACGTCACCATGGCCTTTTGTCTAACGGTGCATTGCACTGTCGTCAGGCCTCCTCGCCTTCCACGAACCTTCTCTCCATACCCTCACCCTCAACTTCGCTCAACTTGCCCATCTTCTCCTCCTTCTTCAACACATCCTTGACACTCAGAGGGCCTCTCTTCACCATAACAGTCATAACCTCATACAACGCATCCGCCGCCGCCATGGTCGTCAGCTCCGCATTCGTATCGTACGCGGGCGCCACCTCGACCAGATCCGCCGCCACGATGTTGATGCCCTCCAACCCGCGCAGGATCTCGCGGAGTTCTCGCGTGCTCCACCCACCTGTCTCCGGCGTGCCCGTCGCAGGCGCGAACGCTGGGTCCAGGGTATCGATGTCGATGGAGAGGTAGACCGGGTCGTGGGTACCAACACGCTCACGGATCTTCTTGATGATGCCCGCAGTGCCGATCTTGTCGATCTCGCGGGCTTCGACGCGGGTGAAGCCGACATAGCCGTCGTTTTCGTAGTCCGAAGGACCAGACAGTGTAGTGCGGATTCCAGCGTGGATGTTAGTGTCATTCGCCAACAAGCCCTCTTGGGCAGCCCAGTAGAAGTAAGTGCCGTGGTTGATGGCGGCTTGCTTGGACGGGGCGCCACCGAAGACAGTGGGCTTCCAGGTGTCGAGATGGGAGTCGAAGTGGATGACGCTGATGGGGCCGTAGGCGCGGTTGATGCTGCGGAGCAGGGGGAGGGTGATGGTATGGTCGCCGCCTAGGGTGATCAAGCGGGGGAGGGTCTTGCCTGACTTGGAGATGCCGGGCTCTTCGGAGGCGGTGTAGGGCGTGCGGGTCAGGAGGGTGTGGTGGCCTTCTTCGATCTGGTGGAGGGCGTAGGCGTTGTCGTACGAGGTCACGGGGATGTCGCCGCAGTCGATGACTTTGCCCCAGAAGTTGAAGGGGTTGGCGTCCATGGGTCTGGTGGTGGTGTTAGGGGGGGGGTTTATGAGGGGGTGGATGGTGGATGGCTTACACGTTGTACCCGCCACTAAAGCGCACTTTTCGTGAGCCTTTGTCCTCGCAAAAGAGAATGTGTAAGTCATTGAGCTAGACTGGAGGGACTGACTATAGATTGAGCCGGCGGCTACCTTGTCTGATCCCGCTTGGGCCGAAACGGGCACCTGGTCTGTAGGAGGTGCCTGTGTCGAATGGAGCACCTGTGATCTGGTCAGCTGCGTTCGTTCTTCGCCGAGTGTCTCCTCATACCGATGAAGGCAATGTCAAACTTCTCGTGGTCACTTGCTAGGCAAGGGAAGTATGGCAGGCGGCCAAAGGTCGAGATGCCGGAGAAGACTGAATCTGCCTTTGCAACCGTCAGTATCGTGCCTGGCCCGAGCGAACTCTTCATGCCATACCTGAGTGCCACCATCTCCAGGCAAGGTATTGTACCACAAGCTGCGATGTGGTCCTTCGGCAAGCGGAGTTTGGTCGTGATTTGCGTGAGCAAAAGCACAGCTGGCACAGGCCAGAGTAGCCAGAGTCTTGAAGAACATCTTGTCAACGCAGATGAGATTCACAAGCAGAACGCAAGAAAAGAGACACAAGAGCAGAGCCGAATGCTTTTTGATCTCCAAATTGTAAACAAAATATCATGGCGGGGTGGTGTGCGTATGCCGATCAGAGCTTCGAAGCTCTCATGGTGGGGAGCTACAGCTCCCGCGAGCTCCGTCATGCACGGTGCCTTGCAGGTGATGACAGCACCATTCTTGGGGCTGTTAGTCAAGCTCTTACCTTCGGCAGTGCTGCTGCCACGTTGTTGCTCGGATCCGGCTGAAAGATGTCTGCGAGTTCACAAGGCCAGGCGTGATGGAGACGATAACCCGTCCACTAGCAGTAAGCTATGGCTGAGGATAGCAACGAGCGCGACCAGAACGTTGGATCTAGATCAGCGCACATGTCCATGTGGTCTATGATAATGACAGCAGAAAATACTCCGTCGGTCATGGATTCATGTCAGCTCCGTGAAGTGGTGTCAAGGATGTTTGTAAATCCTTATCAGTGCAGATCGGCAAGAAGCCGGGAGGAAGACGTTGGATTGGAGATGACGCTAGTCAGAATAGCCATGTCTTTTGACTTGGCATTAGTCTTGGACACGTGACTACGTGTGGAAGCTCTGGCGTTTGAATTTTTGTCTATGGCTCGTTGTCATCATCACAACTCGTTGCTCGTTGTGGTTCCCCGTGATGGACGTGTCGTCCCACCGGTGCAGGCCTATGACCCTCGTTACGAGTGGGCAGCCTCGTCTTGCCCCGAGTCCATCCGCGCAAATGCTCTATCAACCTGCTTATCCCAATTGCTCCAAGCAACGATGATCCACTCTAACGCACCGACAAGGTAGAGGCAATGCACTGGCCAAGCCACAGGCCTGCCAGTCCCCAGCCATGGAAAGCCAGATAGATGCCCAGCGGCAGGGCGCCACCGTAGTAGCTGATGATGTTCACAGCAGCACCGATCTCTTGTCTGCCCATACCTCTCAAAGCACCACCACAGCTTCCATTGAGACCATCTGCAATCTGGAAGAGAGCCACGTACGGCAGGACATCCGCCGTCAACTTCACGACGCGTTCGTCGTCGTTGAAGATCTTGGCGAAGTGGTTTCGCGTTCCCATCAGGACGGCAAGCACAAGGCCCCCCATGATCATACTGAGCCATGCAGCAGTATTTGCTGATCTGGCTGCACCCTTCGCGTTTCTGGAGCCGAGCATGTTGCCGACCCGAGCACTAGCTGCAACCCCAATACCGAAAGGAATGGTGTTCATGACCTGATCCGCCGTGGCTACCACACTCTGCGAAGCAAGCGGTATCTCTCCCAGCCTGCCAGCAGCAAGGGTGACGATCTCGAATGCCCACCACTCCGTGCCGACGTGGAAGACACCAAGAATCGCCAGCTTAGCAAATGTACCGAGATTGTGCAGGCATTTCTTTGACCAACCGCCCCAGCACTCGCCTCCAGCGACGAATCGAGCATAGATGATCAGGCCAAAGAAGGACAGCCAGTAGCCAATTCCTGTTGCGAAAGGTGCAGCGAACAGTCCCCAGCCGGCGACATACACGAAGAGGTAGTTGAGCGCCGCGCTGATTGGAGATGTGATGAGCAGCACATATGTTCCGGCCCGCATGATCTCCTGGGCCTGCAGATACTTCTTCATCGTCTCAAAATAGATGTATCCCAGACCGCCTGGGATGAGGCACGTCAGGAACTTAGCGCTGTCCCTCGAGAGCTGCTCGCTTTGGCCGAGTGCTTTGAATACCGGCTCGGATGCTGCCCAAAGGATGGCGACAGGCACATAAAACAGTGTCAAGACCACAAAAGAGCGCTGTAGCAGAACTCCGAGGTCGTGCTTGTCCTTGCTGCCAGTAAAGCTGGACGATGCGAGAGTATCCAATGCAGTCGATCCACCCATACCAATTAGCCAGCCGGAACACATCGCGAACATGAACGAGAAGGCGGCAGTCGACAGATCCTGAGGTGAGGCCCGTCCGACGATTAGGATCGAGAATGTCTGCAGCGAATTCTGGAGCGTGTATGCCAAGATCACAGGGACAGATCCTTTGAAGAGAACCCAGAACTCATGGAGGACGAGTCTTGATGTCGGCGTCTTCTCCTCTGGCAGAATGTCTCCCGCAACACTTCCTGACTCTTCGTCTCCATTCTTGGGCAGAAGAGCGGTCGTCTCGTCGACATTTCCCCCCGCGTCACCTCTTTCATCGTCTTGCGCCATCTTCCTGCTCTCCTCTGGTAAGTCAGTAAGACGCCGGAGAGTGACGCACCCACTGATCAGTCGTTGTCTGTGTGTTCGATAATCTTACCACTGGTTCCACCACAGCCACGAGGCTCGTTGGATCGTTCACAAAATGTTTCGGAATACTTCTTGTCAGACTTCTTGGCAGCTGATATTTTGCATATGGCCCGAATGCTCGTACTACGATCTAGTATATCAACTCTGGCAAAGGCCGCACGTCACGTATTCTGCAACGGCTTAAAGGCCGTGCAACAAGAGCAGCAAACGTAAACTGATTTGTACTCGACAGAGGTAAGGACAGGGGGCCTTGATAGAGGGCAGATGGGTGAGGTCCCTTCAGCCAATCACAGCTCCTGAACTTCTTATCTCCAGCTTGCATTTTGACTAACGCCATCGACCTTCTCGACTACCCACAATCCATGCACTCGGATCCGATCAGAATGAACGAATTTTGCATGTTTCTCATGGCGAAGCTCTCCACCAGCGACGATGTCGCCGTTGCGCACATCTACGAACATAAGAGAAAGGCAATATTTCGGTATTGCGCAATTTACATGCCGACGCCAGCGAGCTCCCAGCAGAAAAACTTCTCTTATCAGACAACGCGTCTACGAAGTAATACCGACCTCGACACCGTTTCAGAAAATTCCCGTCTGGAACCCACCCAAGACTTGTTAGCCCCAGCCTGGTGTCTAAATCTGATCGCCTATCGAACCTCAAAACACAATCAAAATACGAAGATTTTTCGACGCGATATGATAAGGACTGTATAAGATGCTTGAGGTCATCAACGTCTTGACAAGGTAGGTGCTTGATTGCACTACATCATCATACTGCGAGTGAGATTCGTGTTGCGGTCGCGTCGCATTCTACAACGTGCTATCGGTATCCCGTAACTTGCCTTGTTGTCTTCCCCAGACTTGTTACATGGTTGCTTCTGCCACGTGGGACTCGCGTTTCTCCTAACATTGCTTGACGGCCTCGTCACTTTCAACTTCATTCCAACACTCAGCTTTCTTCCTCTACCAGCCAATCATGGCTGATTTGAACGAGAAGACCGGCGACGTCGAGTCGTCGTCAGGCACACCACCACCTACCACAGATGTCAACAAGGAGAAGCTTGAGGCCAGCACCATCGCGCCTCCACCGGTTGGTGTCGACCACATCGTCACCAAAGATGGCATGCGCCTACACCCTCAACCAACATCAGATCCTCTGGACCCGCTCAACTGGACATTTCTGCAAAAGCACTCGATCCTGGCGATCATTATGTTCTTCTACTTCATGTTCACTTACATCACCACGACCACGGTGCCTTCCTTCCCGGATCTCCAGGAAACTTACAACATCACCTATTCGCAAGTCAACTGGACGGTCGCCATCCCAGCATTGGGCCTTGCTGTCGGTCCCCTGATCTGGTCTTCGCTCGCAGACATCTACGGTCGACGCGTCATCTTCCTGATCGGCACGATCATAGCTTTCGCGTCCACGATTGGTGCCGCCAAGGCAAGTGACTATGGCGGGTACATGGCAGCACGTTTTTTCCAGGGTTTCGGCGTCAGTCCTGCCTCGACCGTGGGTCTAGCCGCCATCAACGATATGTTCTACGAGCACGAGCGCGGCCAGAAGATTGGTCTGTGGGTACTTTCAATCGACGCTGGGTTACTGGTGGGACCGATTTTCGGCGGCTTCTTGAACATTGTGTCTGCAGAGTGGATCCAATGGTTCTGCGCCATCCTATTTGGTGTGATGTTTGTTCTTGAGCTTATGTTCATGCCCGAGACACTCTACCCGCGCAATCACATGCTCACCAAAATGCCGATGATCACGTCCTCCGACGGCGCTTCAGCTGAACTTGAGAAGGTCGGCCGCAGGCGCAGCAACTCCGCGGATGTCGACGTCCCTCGCACGAAGAAGCTGCCCTTCGTCAACTACAAGCCCGTTCCTGGCATGCGACACCCGAAGCCGTGGGACGCGCTCCTGCGGACCATCCTGCTGTTCAAGTTCCTGCCGGTGACGATTGCAATCTTCGCATATTGCTTCCTCTGGTACTGGTGGGTGTTGAGCGTCATCACTATGCTTCCCGCCGCGTATCTCAGCTACACTCCTCAGATCCAGGGTCTTCTGTTCATCGGCCTGCTCCTCGGTACACTGTTCGCCGAAGTCTTCCTCGGCGGCCGCCTGAGTGACTTTATTTGCGCGAAACTAGCGAAGAACAACAACGGCATTCGTGTACCTGAGATGCGATTGTGGCTGATATATCCCGCAGGCGTTCTGACCGCGATCGGACTGATCATCTGGGGTATCAGCGTGGACAAGAACTACCACTGGATCGTGGGCCAGATCGCTTTCTTCCTATTCGCGGCTGGCATCCAGATGGGCAACACCGTGGTGTGTGCGTATGTGGTTGATGCATATCCGTTGCAGAGCATGAGCGTGATTACGTTCTATGCTGTGTTTTTGAACTTGAGCGCTTTTGCGGATCCGGTACGTTTCCCACTCTGCTTGATAGCCAGTCACTTTACCGAAATCCTCATGCTAACTTGCTGCAGTTCTTCATTGCCCCTTGGCAAGCGACCAGTGGGTGGACATGGTGTTTCGCGGCACAGGGCATCATCGTCGCTTTCGGAGCTTTGCCAGCATTCGCAGCTCTGCACAAGTTTGGACCAAAGTTGAGGAACATGTCCGGGCAGCCCAGCTGGGTGAACCCCGAATTTGACACTTTCTTGAATTGACTTGAGTTTGGTCGATGAAGGCCACCCCGAGGATCTGATCCAAGTAGGATTGGGACTGTAATGGCGAGATAAGGCATAGCTTAGACATACTCAAAGGACTGAAGTCCTGTATCATGACCAGAATCCGCCTTGCTTCGATCATTCGGCTCCTCTGCTGTGAGGCTGTCTTGGCTGTGAACAGTCATCAGTAGCAGGTTACGACCATGTGGATGCCCCATCCCGTCATAATTTCGCCTTCGGCAATTCCTGGCCCCTCTCTTTCATCGCCTGCCTCCTCTTCCACCAAGTCAACAACAATTCCCACCCAACCACCGTCCCCATCAACGGCGGACAAACCAACAACAACCAGCCCCACCACCTCGGACTCCTTCCCTGGATCTCCTTCATCACCTCCCGTAACTGCACCTCCAAATCCCCTCTCCCGCCATCGTTCCACAACACGAACCCCCGTCCCTCCCCCCTCATCTCCGCCCGCTTCGCCTTCTCACGCACATCCGTCTGACTCTTGACCCGATTCTCCGCATCCTCCGCACTGAGATGCGGATCACGCTCCCGTAGCCTCTGCATCTGGATCTTCGGGTCCGACACCGCAACCACGATCGCAGTCGAGCAGAAGATGTCCAACCCAGACTCGAATAGCAGGGGAATATCCAGCACGACTGCGCTAGACCCGCGGATGTAGTGGTAGAGCACGGCGCGTAGCATGTAGAAGCGCACGGCCGGGTGGACTATGCTGTTGAGTTTCTTGCGGTCGCGCGCCTTCTCCTCACTGTTGCCGAATACCCTCCGGCCTAGAGCTGGGCGGTTTAGTGGGCGGCCATGGCCTGTGGGGCCGTTCTCGAGATTTTGGCATTGAGGATCGGACGCGGGCAGGAGAAGATCTGGTGTTGAGGCGCCGAAGGTAGATACTATGCGGCGGTAGCCCCACGTGCCTGGCTCGACGGCTTTTCGGGCGAGAATGTCGGCGTCGATGAGGGGGAGGGAGTATGGTGGGGAGGTGAGGAGGGTTGCGGTGGTAGATTTGCCGGTTGCGATCGAGCCGGTGAGGCCGATCAGGAGCATTGTGCTGATCGGAGCGGATGCTGTGCTGGGACACGAGGAGCTGGCAGGTGTTTTGGGAAGTGAGAGGGAAGGTGTGCGTAGGGTAAAAGGTACAGGTTGCAATCACGTACACGAGCATGCAAATTGCCGAGGCATTTCGCTGCCTCGTTTTAAGCCTGGCTCGCCTGGAATTAGGCGACATCGGTGCCAAAGCCGTGATCGTCTATACCTAGATACGAAGCTCTAGCTCAAGCTACCTGAACTACTAGCAGTGGTCCGTCTGCCTTCTACAGAGACAGAGACATTGCTGAGACGTCTATGATTGTGAGAACACTAGTCGATCGGTGGGTGTCAAGTGGTTTGTGTCAGCCGGCGACAAATAGATCTTGTCACCCGGTCTGATATAAGACCAGATATCACCCGGCGTCTAGAGGTGACCAATTCGCCCTCTTCCGAGTCAGGGCAATCATGCAGTCTGTGATTCTGCAGCCTTAGATGGTAGGCCTGTAGATGAGAGCTCAGTATACGAGAATGCCATCTCGACGACTGTGATCATGCTGCTCTCTATGATGTAAAGCAAGCCGACCGCCTCGACGAATATATTTACGGCCGGTAAGTGCAGACCACGGTTTTTCAGTCACAGAAGGAGAAAGTGATTAGGACTCGCACGCTCGTAGCGAGTCCATTCCCTCACATGGTGTAGGAGGACTTGATTGTGGCTGCCAACCTGCGCAGACTCGTAGGAAGCATTTAGCTGTAACTCAGACTGCCTGAGAGGTTCCAGATAGAAGAAAGGATGCAAGCACCCCGACTCTGCGCGTTTCCAGCTCGCAGATATGGTCGGAGGCCCGTAGCACCTTCCATATCCTGAGGGCCAGGACTTTGGAAGGTGCGGACGGGTGTGGGCAGGCGCGGCAGGGGCTGAGTGGTCAGGAGCGATGCCGAAGTTGCATGTTGCAGGCAAGCACGATAGCGCTGCTTGCTGTTGCCAGACCTGTATCGGCGCCTGTCTTGAAGACCAGCAATCTGCATGTCATCCTTCGCCTGAAGATCGTGTTTCCTTTACTGCCCTTTGTGGAAGAAGCTCGTTCGGACGCCGCTATATGCTCCACACTGAACACTGATCGGTAGCCATGCCACTCGCTAGGGAATCAGAGCAAGTATCTTGCACTTCAATGAGGCGTTTGGACCGGCGCTGACCCCAAGCAAATAGTCTATCGCATCCTGGAGTGTAGCAAGCTGTCTCGTCTTGTCAATGTTGCAGTGCAACAGCGATTCGTTGACCGATGCTAGCGGGTCCTTGAAGACGCGATACATGGAGCTCAGGACGCGGTTGTCGCGAAGGTCTCTAGTGCAAGTCTACTCACGAGGTGCGGTCAGTATGCATTCAGGTTGGTTCCCACACTTGCCGTACTATCAACACTTTAAAAGCAAGCGTGAACTCACCATAAGCAGTTGCCGACCACCATAATCAATCACAAGCTGCTTGCCTTGCTCGACCGAGAATGGCCATCCCGCCATTTCTGATTGCAGAGGTCTACAGTAAGGAAGACGCCTCAGGGTGGGTTTGGGTCTGGTCGCCACTACCGACGAGCGCACCGACGATATATCGCCCATCGTGAGAGCCTCTGAGATCTTAGCAACCGCGTCAGGGTCTTGTGCTGTGAGCTTCAATTTGTCGACGACACCCATCCTAATGACAACCCTCCTCAAGCCCATCAATCCTCTCTCGTCGTTCATACTGATCCAACTTGCCCGGGGCCACCCTCCTACGACCCTTGCAACCCTGATCCTCCTCGCCAGCCAACCAGCTCGCTTCTGCTCGAACCATTCGATCAAGTGATCCAGTTCCGGCTCGTCGCAATCGCTGAATAAACTTAATCCCAACACCCCTCCTTCCAGTAGTACAGACCAGCCCTCATCATGAAAACGCCGGCAGACGCGTAACACAGACGGAGAGTTGACAGGGGCCAGCGCATCAGTAGGACTGACTTGCTTGACCTTGCTGGTGGAGGACAGCCAGACGAGGATGGACCATGTTGGACGGTGATGATTGTGGAAGGCATACGCGAGGATAGGATGGAGGATTTCTGTTGGAAGAGTGTGCAATGTTGTGCAGTCAGACTGCGTTGAAGACGTATGGTCAGACTCCATGTCTGTATGATCCGAGAGAGGAGTCCGACAGCTCAGTGGAATTGAGAAAGCATCTCACCTCGAGGCAACTCGAGGCGTCATGCATCGAAGTGGGTCTGCCAAGCCACAACCCGGGTACGTGGTTGCCTTAAAGTGTAACATTTGAATCGTCTTCCTACGATCACTGTGCCTCTGCTGTGCATCGGAATTTGCATCTCTGTCAGCCTCATCAGGTGCAGAGTCTGCTGTTAGCAGCCAAGGCACCGCATTCGTGGAGTGAAAGAGAGGTTACTGCGACTTCTGAACCCGGTCGGACCTGCATATCCCGAACCTCCAAGAATCTACTCAAGGTATATACGCCTGGAGACCATCAGACAAGAGATGAATTACCTAATACCACTGACAGACTCCGGACTTGCTTCACTCACATTGAGTGAGGTAATCATGGCTCAGTCGTAGCACCCGTTATCGTCACTAGCACCAACACTCGAGACACTTCCTCCCGAAGTCCGCCTTCGCATTTGGACTCACCTGTACCGCGATGTCCACATCAAACTGCGTCTCCGCGATCGCCGCCCTAAGAAGCGTGTCCGCAACCGCCGCCCCAAACAGCCCAAGCAGACTGTGACCGGTTTCCCGAGAGCGCCACTCCTCACTTGTCGCCTGTTCCACACCGAGATTGCATCTACCGCGCTACCGATCGCTGCTCGAGACTGGCTCTTGAGCTATGAGCGCTGCTGGCCCCCGATTCGACCCTCTGCAGAGCCCAAGCATGAGCGCATGGACAATCAACCAAACGCCCACTCCCTGCCAGCCAAGCATTACGAATTTCTGGAAAGATTCGGGCAATACGTGACAGTCGTGGAGTGCAAAATCAGCACATACGAGGAGCCGACCTTCCATAAACCATTCGATATCTCTTGGTTCCCGAACCTGCTGATCATGCGCTCGCGGTGTCCCGTGATCGTGCATCGACCTAGACAGGCCGATGCTCCCCTCAACTGGGCTATTACCAACCCCACCCTTGCTGCTGCTGTTGGTGCACTTCTCGGCGGGCATTGGCCTGCTGCTGTCGCGTCGCAAGGCGCGTCTAGCCCGTCTGCATTGGGGACCGCGTACGATTTTGGCTGGGACAATAATATCGATGAAACTTGGGAAGAGGACAGCAACAACAGCAACGATGACGATAGCAATGGCGTTGAGGCAAAGTTTCCGACCGAAGAGGAAGAAGCGGTATTCTGGCACGCCGTGGAGAATCCGAACGGCATGGCGTCGCGTCTGCTGGGTGTGGTCGGACTAAGAGAGCGATGGGAGGCTAATCTGGAACGCTTCGCACCGGCATCTGCATCGAACCAGCCGAGATTGCTGACGGTCGTGCGGTGGGATCCTACTCCGGGAGTCAACAAGGTAAGGATGCTTCCCCATGATTTCTGCACGATGTTTTCATTCGACATGCACAGCGGCTGCAGCTATGGCTCGCGCTGGCTGACCCACCCATTGACTGCTCAACTGGCCCACTGACCCACTCTGACAGGTGTTGTACCTCGATGTCACCAACAGCAAACTTGTCAGCAGAAAGGACGTGACCGGTAAATCGGTCTTCCAGCGTCCATGGAACCGTTAGCGATAGAGCAGACATGATGAGGCCTTCATGGTCCGGAAGTATTTCGATATGTTGAGGGATCACGCTGGACAGATTCAAAAAAACACATCCTACGGAATTTCGGGTGGCTGCTGTCGTCCTCTGAACATGTTCGACATCATGAACGAGCATGACCAACTCTCAGGCTTGACCTGAACATCCTAAGAGCAACCAAATACGATATATGGCGTGGAGCTCTTTGAGGGACTGAATGGATGTCGCCACGGCATTCCGAGGAAGATAGTCTCATAGAGAGCTACGAACGATATTCCTACTACCGACAGATAGCTTAATCTGCAGATGTAGTTCCAAACTCGTTGCTTCGAATCCGACGATGGCAGTAGGCATGTGTCGTCGAAAATGGAAAGCAGGATTTTCAAGTTTAATGATCTTAGGCTAGGGCGGGTCGCAGAGACAATATTGTCCAACCGCGATTCGCCCCTCCGTAGTCCCAGGAAAAGAGAATCCACTCCAAGAGCGACTCGTCCTAACTCTTTCACAACCACGACAACTATGTAGCCATGCCGTTCGCTCAGCTGGTGGTCGGCCCGCCCGGCGCCGGCAAGTCAACCTACTGCTACGGTATGCAGCAGTTCATGGGCGCGATCGGTCGCAAAGCGTCCATCGTCAACCTCGACCCCGCCAACGACCTGACCGTCTACGAGCCTGCGGTCGACGTCCGCTCGCTTGTCACACTCGAGGAGATCATGAAGGACGACGAGTTGGGGCCTAATGGCGGAGTGCTGTACGCGCTGGAAGAGGTCGAGCATAATATGGAGTGGTTGAAGGAGGAGTTGGGGCAGTTGGGGGAGGATTATGTGCTGTTTGACTGTCCCGGGCAGGTCGAGTTGTTTACGCATCATGAGAGTTTGAGGAAGATCTTCTTTGGGTTGCAGAAGATGGGATATCGCGTAAGTTGTTGGTCTGCGCGAAGAGATGTCGGTTAGCTAATTCGGTGCGCAGCTCGTAGTCGTTAACCTGATCGACTCCTATGCGCTGACGCTACCCTCGCTCTACATCTCGACGCTCCTTCTCTCCCTACGAACGATGCTGCAGATGGATCTGACGCAGATCAATGTCTTGACCAAGATCGATAATCTGCACAAGTTCCCTTCTCTGCCCTTCAACCTCGATTTCTACACCGAGGTGCAGGACCTCTCGCGCATCATTCCTTCGCTGGAGAAAGAGTCGCCGGTCTTTGCGGCGGGGAAGTTCCAGAAGCTGAACGAGGCGGTGGTCGAGTTGGTCGAGGAATTCGGCCTGGTGTCGTACGAGGTGCTGGCGGTGGAGGACAAGAAGAGTATGATGTCTCTACTCCATACCATTGACCGGGCGGGCGGATATGCTTTTGGTGGTGCCGAGGGTGCCAATGACACGGTGTGGCAGGTGGCCGTGCGGGAGGGCCTCGGTGCGATGGATGTGCGCGATATCCAAGAGCGCTGGATCGACAACAAGGAGGAGTGGGACGAGAAAGAGCGTCTTGAGGCCGAACAGGAGCAGAAGCGCAGAGAGGCTCAGTTCGGCAACGGCGAAATGAGCGATGATCTGCCTTCGGTGCCGCTCGATAGTGGTGTCAAAATAAGAAGATCCAAGCCCTGAACTTGACCTTCGTCCTGCACGTGTTTCAGTCGTAGTCCAGGTCATCCTCGTCCTCTGAGATCACCGAGTCTATCCCAGTAGGCGCCGCCATCGGCGTCGGAGCCCCTCGACCCATGATCTTCGATAAAGCACCAAAGCCTCCCTCCGTCTGCTCTTCCCACTCCTTCGCCCTGACAATATCCCGCTTACTCCGCAGTATTAATTCGTCCTCACTCTTCCTGATCGTTCCACTGACACGCACAACCTGCACCACACAAGGCACTGTCTGGCCCCTCTGCTCGCCCGGTATCGACGTCATGTATGTCAGCGCGGCCCACACGAGCCGAAAGTGCTGTCGCGGGCATCGCACAATGGCGGTGGATGTGGTAGGAGAGAAGTAGATCACTTTCAAAGAAGGCGCGGCTAGGCCGGCGCCGACGTCGCCGAAATGGGTGGCGATGGATGCGCGGAAGGCCACTATTAAGGCGCCGCCATGGAAGTTCGATGGGGAGGGGTGGTGGAAGGTCAAGTACGGCGGGGAATTGGCTTCACGGTGAGGCGCGTCATCGCCTGGAAAGAGGATGTTGAGGAGGAGGTAGCGGTGCTTGATGCGGACCATGGTGGTAGCTCACATTTTCGAGTCGCGATGGTTGTCGCAGTGATGACGCGAGTTTGTGAGCTGCCAGACGATCAAACTTCGAGATCTGAAGGGCTTGGCATTTCCAGATTGGCGAGGCGACGGCAGAAAGTCAATAGTGGGCGACGACCATGGCAAGCATTCGAAGAAGACGGCGATCACACAATGAAGGCAGCAGCATATTGCGGTGCGTGATGCTGCACGTTCTGCGGCAGTGCGGCTATGTCAACGCGGCTTCAACGTTATGGCAGCTCGAGGCTGAAACGGTCAGTGCAGCAGATATCGAAGCATATTCCCTGTCAGATCTGCCTGCAGAAGCGATGCGCATCACCCCAGTCTTCGGTAGAAGCAGGTGATCTGCATCTCAACTGCAGGCAATGCGAACCGTACGGTAGGACTGCGAGTGGGACAGATCTGTGTGACCTGAACTCTGCTGTCAGATGTGCGTTTGGGACCAGTTCTGAGAATGAAGGTCGGTCCTGTGCGGCACCCTTATCATTGTTCTTCCGTAGGCAGCGCTTTGCCCCCGTGCTAGAGTGCAGTGCCTTCGTAGCTACTGTATAGTCCAGCATCCAACCATGAGGTCGATGATGCCGGTGTTTCATCGTCCTCTCCTCAAAGAAGGCGGCAATGAGATTTCCACACTTCCATCAGGGGTACCAATATTCGGGGCGCCGCTGACTGGGTGTGCCTTGTGAACTAGTCTGTTCGTGGGCGGATGGCGCGTTTCAAGTACTCGCATTGGCGAGAAGAACGAAGAAAAAGACGCGCTCAAGATTTTAGCCTGTCGATCTAAGCCGAGTCAAGGCCACATGCTAAGGATTGCAATCGCCTCCGACTGGTCGCGTACCTGTCAGCACATTCTCGATTGGCAGGGCAAAGTCCACCCGGCAGACCAGACTTTTCGTCCCCTGCAGCCGGGCATCCACTCGTATACCACACTACACCCACTCCGCGCTTTCGTACTGCACAGGCGCCAATTCTCTCCCTGACTTGCATATCGCTTCCCAACAGGCCTCTCTCGTTGGTCTTGTCGAGGTTTTTGCTGCAGGTGAAGTTGCTGTTCCTCTTCTCACCACTCCTTACCGACACTTCGTTCCTTCTTCGATAACGGCGGACGGTCGATTCGTCGCTGTAGCCGCGCTGTCTGGTCACTCGCTCCTTCACATCTACGACAGACAGTCACTTGACGCAGCAACTTTGAAGTTGACCTTCACAACACTCTCTCTACGAGACCATACATTCAATTCAATCCACTCTCTCGCCCGGAAAGCGACCGCATTTTGGTTATACCGGAACACAGAAACACGAAAACAAATACAGTCATCCCGATCCTCAAGCAATACAAGACGGCGCACGGGTCGCAGCAAAAACGCATCTACCCGAGTCGCGAGATTGGATCAGTTCGCATCACCACCAGATCGACGTCGTTTGACCTGTCGCAATTGTCAGACTGAGCTTCCTCGACACTACTAACTCACAGTCAGCCATGTCTCTCGCCAGAGCTTTCACAAAGCGCATCGCTAAGCGCGAAGACAATGATCTACCCAACAGAAGCAAGACTGTCCGGTATGCTGCCGGCAGCATTCGCCGTGACATGATCTCCCTTCCCACCGAGCTGATATCCACGACCAATGTTCAGGCTCTAAATGCTCCCGATATTTCGAGTCTCAACAAGTCCACACTCTCGTCAAGCTCGTCGACAAGTTCACAGAACGACTCCGACTCGTCGTCCTTCGAGAAGAGCTTCTTCAGCGAGATCGACAAGACTGACAGCTCTTCGATCGAAACATCATCACCAGCTACGCCAATCACTCCTCCGATGGGTCACACACTCGACTTCTTCGCCTCTAAAGATCTCTCCGGCCCGGTCAAGATACTAGACTCTCTACCAGACGCCCCAGCTGTACCTCAGAGAGCACCATCTCACTCCAAGAAGGCACATGTTGAGCTCTCGCGGAAGCGATCAGTCCAGCGCATGTCGCCCCCACCAAGCACAATCCCCGACAAGCCACGGACCAGTGCTGAGTTTTTCGGCACAAGCGACTCCCACCCTTTCGGCAAAGAGCTCGCCAAAGTCAATGAGGTCGCAGAAGAGTTTGGCGCTGCCCGTGGCGTCCTTGATGAAGAAGAGCAAGAGATCCTCGACAAGGGCTTCCACAAGTTCTCTGTCGATGATTACATCAACGAGCTCGTCGGGCTCTATGGCGGCGTATTTGACAACAAGCTAGGCCCCATCGGCAACCCTTTCATCTAGAGTGACCACTCACCAGGCCAAACGATTCTCCCAGGGTCGGAGGCTCTCACGAACTTTACGATGATTACGGGCTTGCAGATAGGAAAGATGGGACACATTTCTGGGCGTTGATTCATGATGATCCACCACGGTGGTCGGATCTCGAGCCTCTACGGCAAGCGCTTTTGTGTGTACGATAGACAGAAGACTTCTTACTTTCCTTACCAGTTCTAGCATGTCGTGTGGCTTGGTGATACATTTGCAGATAGGAAAAGCACACCTAGGATGGGAAGTTGGACTGATGCACATGGAGAGGCACATGGGAGAAACATATGCATACTATCAAAACCTGCTTGAACAGACCAACAGAAATGAACGATGCAGATTCAAACACATCGTTTGCCTCAATATGTGCATCTGTCCTCTGATCGCCGATAGTGACTGGGTAGATTCAAGGCATTATCGTAATGATAGCAGTGCCTGGCCATAGTCAAGGCTGAGAATGCATATAGACCTGCCATGCCGGGGACGCTGACCTGCGTTGACTTCAGTGCTTGATGTACATAAACCAATCTGGATATTGAATCCGCAGATTCATCGACAGAAGTGAATGCACGAATACAACTTCAATTGCAGTCACCTCAGAAATTGATTACAGTAGCTCCGCATTTTGCCGATTCTTGCAGCTTAGGTGTACGTGAAGCACCCTACGGATCTTTGATAACTTTCACTGCCTGAACCTCTCCTGCGACAATGCATACCACCAACACACTCATCAACGTCAGGAGGGACTCGAGTGCTTCTGCGATGCTTTGAGTCACTCGTCTCGCATTCTCGGTCTTTCTCGTGTCAATTTTGCATCAACAACGACAATGGCGCGGCACAAAATCCCTCCGGTCGCGCCAACAACGGCAGTATCAGACGCGATGCGCCGAGCTTCGACTCAGATAGCGCCGCCAACAGCAGAGACCCTATTCGGGCCGCAATTCGATTCAGCAAGATCCAAAAAGTCCAGCAGCAAAGGCAGGACTCCTAGTCTCCGCTCGTCGCAGACCCGCGCGACTTCAGAACCAACTGCCAAGCCTAAGGCAACGCCCCTGGGCAATGGATCCACCGCGCCCGAAGTCTCTCAATCATCGTCTCGTGCGTCCTCCTCGGATGCTGGCGACGTCGCAGTCGAGGATGCACACACAATAAGCGACGCCAAGCGGCAGAAGCTCAACGATGCTCCTCGTCGATCTACTCGCCTGAAGCCAGCGATTGAGGCCAGCACCGCCGTTCACCCAGTTGCTCCTGCCAAGAAGGCTCTACGGAAGGTCGCTGATCCTGTTGAAGCTACACCCAACAACGAAGACACTAGCAGCCTAACATCCACTCGCGAGAGCCGTGGTAGCGAGGATCCTTCGAGCGCGCCGACATCCGTCAGTGGGGCTGCCGTTGCTAGCGAACCTCAGTCTGAATATCCGCCACTACCGACAGGTGAAGATGGCGGCCAGCATCGAAGTCCTCTCGCTTCTGCGCCGCCACAGCCTTTTCCCACCTCCTTTCCTCCTGCCTTGCCAATGTTTCCAATCATTCCTGGACCTGTAAGTATCACTTATCTTCAAACGGGTCTATCTAACATCGCACAGAATGCCTTCGCTGGCATGCCGCCTGCCATGGGCCAACCTCACATGCCCTTTTATCAAGCCCTCAAGGCCCAATGATGATGCCATACAATCAAGCTCCCAACTACCCGCCAATGGAGTACGATTTCAGCCACTTACGAGAACCAGTCGGTGCAAATGGCGAGGAATTAATCATCGAATACCCAAGCAGAAGAGGTGAGAAGGTGAAAGGCAGGCCAAAGCCAAAGAATGCGCCAGTGTCAGGCGGCTCAGCTGCCACGTCCACTACTGGAAAGGACGCCCCTGCTTCCAAGACGCGTACGACGGGCAATACTCATCCACGAAAGCAGCCATTCAAGTCACAGGTCTCATATGATGGCTATCCAGACGCCACGGCGCCCGTGCCGCCGGAGCTGACACTGTACGAAGTCTGCCAGAAGATGCCGAACTCTCTACGCGAAAACACCTTGCAGGCGTTCCTGCAGGCAGAATGGTCTGCCAATGAGCTGTTTACGTGTCTTCCCACGGACGTGCAGGATATTTTGAAGGCTCGGCCTGGCAAAGACAAGACCATGATTTATCAGAAACGGCTGGAACGTATGAAGAAGGATTTGGAGGCAAAGGGGGAGTTGCAAGCGCTCATGGCTGCCCCAAAGTTGCGTGCTGATGGCAGGCCGAACTACGTCAAGCGTGGGAACATTCGACGGAGCTAGTGGTGGTTTCGAGGCACTTATTTCGGCGATGCAAGATGCCCTTGGGTCCAGCAGACGAAGAAATTGCGTGCTGCCTGTGTTGGATCCTCCTGCGCGAATTTAGCAAGGCGTTGGCGGAAACTTGGGCATCGGCTGGCTTCCTTGCGCCATACTCAGAGGCAAAGCCCGAAAATGCGAATAATCTACAAGCATCGGCTAGAATCAAAAATTCACATGATAGGCAATCTTGGGACTCGACGTCTGCTAAGCGGCGGCAAACATGTAATGGCTGGCCCGGGTCTGCCCGCATAATCGTACCATAGTACCATCACAGAATAATGGAAAGGAGTGCTGCTATGTTTCCTGTCCTTCGTCACCGTGTTATTCGTCGAAATGCCCCTATACAGTAGGCAAACACTCAATGCTTGGGACTCGTCGGCAATTCACGGCTATCATCCCGCCTCGAGCGCTGAAGTCCTTACCAGTGTTGCTCACGCCTGTACCGTACCTGGACATGGCCTCTCACTCATCTCGGCGTCCTAAGCAGCATCCACATACCAAAATCCTCGGTCACTGGCCGAGCTAGGCACTACGAGCATCATCGCGCGACTATATACTGGACTTAGGATCCTTTTGCCTCTCTACACTACCCGAGCACATACATGTATATAGTCCCTTTATCCACGCCACGTTTTAGGATATTCCCAACCGCGAGTACCAAGTGGTGCAATACGACGTCACGACCTTTCAGTGCTGTAGCAGCCGGGTCAGACATGGCTACCAAGTTCGTAAAACGCATTACGGTGAGTTCATCCCATTCGAAGTTCGCCGAGGATGTGGACATGAGCATGGCTCATGTCACGGGCATGGGCACAAGACTGCCGGCAATGATCCTGGAGGGGCTTCGTGATGGTGAGCGACGCAGGCAGGGCTGTCGTTGCAGACGAGAGAGCATTCCAAATTTGCTTTCACATACAGTCTTCTCTTCACGCCACACCTCATTTCGGCCAGCTCGAGCCACGAAACTCTTAGGACGTCTGCCGCCGGACCGTTGTACGACGTCCCTGCCATTGGCTTAAAGGGCAGCCCACGTCCGACTTCCAGCACTGCTTGATCGTGCATGCGCGTACGGACCTTCACTGGCCTCTCACTAACCTGCCCATCCCAAACCACAGATGTTCAAGATCCCCCCCGAACACATCCCCGCCGTCCTCGACGCCTACGTCACCCTCCGCGCCACCGCCGTCCACCCCTCCACCAAACAGCCCTACATCGTCTCCAACGAATCCCGCCGCGTCTCCAACACCGACAGCCCCATCAGCGCCGGATATACGATCATCTCGCAGTCTGTGTTTGCAAACTGGGAGGACGCGAATTTTTATGATAAGGAGTGTCCGGCGCACAAGGAGCTGAAGAAGGTCACGGGGAAGTATAGGACTGGGGATGTGTTGACGTTGATTTATGAGAGTGAGGTTGGGGTTGTGCCTGTGGGGGAGGCGAAGCTGTGAGTGAGTGGGAGAGGAGTGGTACGGGGTAGGAGAGTTGGTGGTCAGTTGGCTTAGCGAGCTTTGCGGGCTGTCATGATCAGGTTGAAGGGATGCTCAATGAGCTCGCTCCAGTATCCCATGTCGTCCTTTCCCTTTTCGCCTTCCGGTGTTCTCACGCTCAAAGGTACATCCTCTTTCCCGAATTTGTGAAACTCGAGATCCTCAAAGCCCGCTACCGCTGCTGTCCTTTCCCAGATCGCCTGATCAGTTATCATGAACGATTCGAATTCTACCTGAAAATGCCCTGGCCACCCGAAGTTCAGCTTCTGTTTCGCTGCAATGCTATCGGTGCTGCTGTCCTCTCCCTCACACGCTGTGACATGCATGCCATACTTGTTCCATCTCACGGACACAGGAAACGCGTCAAACGACTGCGTCGTTGCTAGGAACTTGCCACCTGGCTTCAGATACCTCGCAGCATTCCGCCACATCCGAGCCATCTCTTCTTCGGTTTTCGCATAGTTAAACAAGAAGTTAGCCATCACGAAATCGAACTCGTCCTCTTGACCTGCCAAGGCCGCAATCGATCGTGCGCAATCAGCGACGAGGAAGTCGATGGGCGCTAGGCTGTGGTCAGGCATGGAAGAGGCTTCTGCCTCGATGCTTCGGGCTTCCGTGATCATGTCATTTGAGATGTCCACGCCGACGACATAGTCTGGTCGCAGGGCTTTGCGAGCTCGGCGAAGGAGAAAGCCGGTCCCACACGCAAGTTCGAGGATGCGCGGCGGGTAGACTAAGGGACCATGTGAGGCCAGGAGTCTATCGAAGAGGTTCAGAAGTGGGATGCTGGCTGGTACTGTCCATGCCCGTTCGTAGATGCTGGCCACGCCGGCATATGAGTCCGTGTTTCTGTCGTCGGGGGCAGCTTGGTCAGTCATGTTGGTCCCGAGAAGGTATGCGAGACAAAGTGATGGAAGACTGGACAGCGTCTTCGCTTGATGCTGTGGTTGTCGGATGGAATTGTAAGGGGTCGGGGCTCGTTGAGACATGCAGGTCGCCTGATGATGAGCAATACCTGTGATGAAGGGTTAACGTCATCAGATTGTTCATAGTTGCCGTCATTCTGTTCGTAGTCAAACAATGCAAAGGTTGTGGTATATCATCGCAAGAGGACAATTATGCTTTACAGTAGCTCCTGCCGCACTCTGCATGGGTCGGATGTTTGACTTCGCGTTGCACAACGCAGTCACGACTTACCTTGCCGTCCACAACTGCTGCTGCAGGCAGGAGCATCGCACATCGGACACCAACGTGGGATGGATATATTCAGCAATTCTCGGTATGCTATTGGCAGTAGTCGAATGCTCGAGATCATTTAAATCCAGTGTCTGAGAAGCATGGTAAGCCCATACGACCTGGACTCCGTCTCCCAACATCGGTACGACGCCGTCTTTGACGGCATTGAAGGGCGTCCGGGCCCACGTTCCCGACCTCGAGGTCAAGCAGCTGAAAATAGGATTGCCGCGACCATGCTATATGTCGGTGGGCTCAACTGAAGCTTGCGATGTTGGACGTCATCATCGAGTTGAACGCCTCGCCTTTCCAGACATTCGGCCTGTACCACCACAGTCAGCAAGTCTGGCCTCCCGTGACCATAAATCTTGGTAGGCTTGCTGAAATACTCACTTCTTCCGCTTAGTCCCAGGCAGATAGTCCGAGTCCTTGTCCTCGATCTTCTCCGCCTTCTCCACGGCCTTCATTTCGGCAGTGTGCTGCGAATTGGTCGTTACTGGAAACATTCTCGATGCTTGAGCCTTCGTGTAGACCTTCTTGGGAGCAGGAGTAGGGTCAGTGCCGGTCTGGCCATCGCCGGACACGTTCTTGTCCGAGAAGCACATTGATGCTGGGCGGGGGAAGTGAGGCCTTCGGGTGCGGATCTGAAGGCGATTGAGGGTACCGTAAAACTGTGCACATGGAGCGGCTCTAATAGCTGTAGTTCCTACCACATACCTACCGTAGGGTCTACTTCATATAGTAGCGTCACATATCCACGTGAAGTGGGCTGAGCACTGCAGTCGAGGCAATGGGAGCAACCCATGTCCTTCTAGCATAGCCACGTTGTCTCCGTGCTCTCCGCAACCGATTCTGTGAAGATCTGGGGGAGGGGCGGTTGCAAGCCAATGGAGGCAGAGTTCAGCTTTCGCTTGGTTATCTCGACTTGCACTTGCAGTCAAATGGCTTCCAAAATTAACATCATGGCAAATACTTCTGGGAAGTCGTGAAGGTTGAGAACACCTCGAACATCGAATGTACCTTTAGTTTCCCGCTAACCAATCCCAGTGACGATGGACACGCGAGCTTTGAGATGTTGCTCAATGGTTCAAAGATTCGCAAGACATCCTCCAGGGAGATATAGGTCGCCGGCTGAGGACGTCTGTGACGAACGCCATAGAAGCCTTGGTGGGGCCTGGAGCACCCCTTCTTCCCCGCATTACCCGTCAAACTCCAAAAATAAAAGTAAATTCGTAACATCGACTGCCTACACTCACCGCAACACGACGATCTTGACCTTTGCCCAGCACGGACTGGCAAGCGTCCACACTCTTTCACGCCCGGCGGCGCAGGTCAAAGCCCATAGACTAAGCATGACGACCATCACCGAAGACAAACACGCAATCCACGCCGCCGCCCGCGAAGGCCGCCTCGCCGCAGTCGAGTCCCTCCTCTCCGCAAACCCCAAACTCTCCTCCACGCGAGACCCAGACGACCGCCTCGCCATCCATTGGGCCACATCGCACAACCACCCCGACATCGTGCGCCTTCTCGCTTCTCAAAAATCTTTCGACCCCGATGCCGTCGATGCGAGTGGATGGACGTGTCTGATGATGGCGTCCTCGCTGAAAGACGACGCTGGGCTAGATCTGGTCAAGTTCTTGCTGGGGAAGGAGGCAGATGCGAAGTTGGCGAGTGGGACGGGTGGGACGGCGCTGCATTTCGCTGTTAGCAAGTCCAACCTTGAGGTCGCCAAAACTCTGCTGGCAGCGGGAGCGTCGGCAAGAGCGAAAGACAAGCGCGGCCAACTTCCCCTGCACCGCGCTGCAGCGGTCGGGTCGGTGACGATCGTGAAGCTACTGTTGCAGAACAGGACACCCGTGAATGCGAGTGATAGCGATGGGATGACGGCTCTGCATCATGCGATCAGTGAGGGCCATGGGGATGTCGCGGGCGAGTTGTTGAAGGTGGAGGGGTTGGAGGTTGATAAGAGGGATGGGGAGGGGAGGACGGCGTTGGAGTGTGCGCCGGACGCGAAGGTCAGAGAGTTCGTGGTTGCGGCTGGAAGAAGAGAGGGGTTTGAATTTGAGGGTGTGGATGGCTGAATGGGACAGAAGAGTGAGGCTTTGAAAAGATTGAAGTGTTCTTTGAGAAGATTCATGCTAAAACATCGAGACATGTCTCGGAGAATGGCGAAGAAGGCAGAAGGAAGAATGGCCACCGCTCTACGACTTCCCCATCGTGTCCGCCAGCTGCCGATACATCTGCTTAACATCCAGAATATCCGCCTGCAGCTCCTCGACCTGCTCGCTCTTTTCTCCCAGCAACTCCAGCGTCGTCTGATGCCTCTTCGCCAGGCCCGCATTTTCGGCCTCCAGATTCGCCAGCCGCGTCGCAACATCCCGCTTCTCGTCCATCTCGCGCATCAACTCGACGACTTCCCGACGGGATTCGTCGCGCTGGGTTGTCAGGCGGGCGATTTCGTCCCTCGAGGCGGCTTTCTCGGACTCTAGCCGTCGCACGTTGGCGGACATGCGCTCGACGAGCTGTACTGAGGGGCCAGCGCCGACGGTTGAGGTTGAGACTAGGTCGTGCACGGCGCGTGGGGAATTGGCGTGACTTTGGGAGGCGGGAGTGGGTGGGACGTTGTTGAAGTACTCATCTGGGTCGTGGGAAGTCATGATCGAGGGTGTCTCAGGGACGGCGGTGGCTCCGCCGTTGGTGAGACCCTTCAGAGAGTTCACGGAGTGTTGGCGGGAAGAGGTGTCGAGATAGGGGTAGACGGAGGAGCGTCGACGCTCGAACGGGTCCGTGGGCATGATGCCTAGGCCACCTTTTCGGAGCGAGGTCACGGGTGACTCTGTTCGGGCTGGCTGGATGGCAGAGGCGGCCCACTTCGCACGTTCCTCTTCTAATCTCTGCTTGAAATCGCGTTCGTGCTGGACTTCCTGGTCGTCACGCTCTTGACGCGTCTGGATCAATTCGTCTTTCAGGAGGCCGATCTTCCGCTGGTGCCGCCTGCCTTCTTCCTCAGCTTCGCCGAGGAGCTTCTCGGTCTCGGGCAGGCGGTTCTGCGCGTCTTCTAGATCCCGCTCAGTCCGCTTGAGCTTGGAGGTACTTTCTCGAAGCTTTCTCCTCACGTCAGTCTCTCTATTCGCGACTTCATCCCGCTCCTTCTCCAGATGTGTTATGCGAGCCAGTAGACTGCTTTCTATGCCTTGCCAGTTCTGACTCGCAGCAGCGTACTGACTCTGCAGTGTCTCGATCTGTCGCAAGAGCTTGGCCTGCACGTCGCCTTGATCGCTAGAGGACGCCTCTTCGGCGCGCGCGCGGAAGGACTCGAGTTTGCTTTCCAGGGCGGCTTGCTCGCCAAGCATTTCAGTCTCCATTGCGCGACTGTGTTCCTTTTCCCGTTCCAGTGAAGCGGTAAGGTCTTTGATTTCCCGACGCAGCTTCTCTTCCGCCAGTTCCCGCTCGACTCTGGCGCTCGTAAGGTCGTCCTGCAGCTCTGCTGTTCGTGTACGCTCTTTGTCGAGCTGTTCACTCGTGGCCTTGCTTTCTGCCGCTTCCGCCCTTTGGTTGGCACGAGACAGCTGTGCTCTGATGTCTGCTAGAGTTCTACTTAGCGCATCGCGCTCCTTGGTCACGGCTTCGATGCTATAGGACGCTGATGCACTTGCTGCCAGGCTTTGCTCTGAACGTTTCGCGACGGCTTCGGCTTTCCTGGCACGGTCCTCCATTATACGCAGATTGCGTTCTGCTTTCTCCGCACGCTGTTTTGTGTCAGCTTGGGACTTTTCGCTGATCCTGGCCTGGTCCGTCATTCTTTTGATAGTCTGTCGTAAGGTCATTTCTTTCTTCTGTAGGCTGGTCCATTCTTCGGTCAAGAGGGCATAGCCTTTCTCCTTTTCAGCTAGCTTTTTGTCCGTGCTGCCTGCTTCTGCAGCAGCCACAGCGCCCTCCGCCGCCCTCGCCGCTTGCGTAGAAAGGGTCCTGAGTTTCGCTTGCAGCGAATCGATGCGTTCTTTATGTTCCGTCAGTTCGTCTGAGAGCTTCTGCCGCGCTGCCTCTGCTTCGAGGTGTGAATGCAGATCAGACGGGTGCACCACACTCTGCGATTCGGCCGAGGCGCGCAACGACGGGACTGCAGACAGATCTTGCGAGGCTCAGTAGAGACTCGCCTTGAGCCTGTCGAGTCGCGTGGCACAGTCAATGAGGCTTGTTGATTCTGTTCGGACGGCCGGCTGCCATCGATGCTGGTCGGGCCTTCTGACCGAGCCACCTCCTCGCTTGCTCGATCGCCACTTGGTTGCACGTGTCTCTCAGACTCCTCTGGCAGCAGGTTGATGTCCGCTGGCTGAGTCTCTTGGGCGCTCGTGCCGACAGGCTCGATATTCTCCTTCTCCTGGGAGTCCATTGGCGGCGGAAGCGGACTTTCTGGTCGACTTGCGTTCTTCTTTGCCATAGCCTGCGCGAGCCTTGCCTGTAGTCTGTCGTTGGCCGGTGTGCTAGCACCACTTCTAGAGATCTCGGCTGAAGGTCGATTTGAAGGCACGCTCTCTTTCGCCGGCTGAGCTGCAGCCGGCAGCACCTTCTTAGGCGCTTCATCTTCGTCGGCGAGGATCGTATCAAGCTAGACTCGACCGAGGCCACGGCCTGTTGTAGAAATCCCCATCGAGACCCTTTCTGCGCCTTCTGCGCAGTTGCCATGTTGTGTACGCGGTCTCACCGCACAGGATGAGTGACTGTGAACGTTGCCATCTGAGTTTCGTCGAGACTCCAGTCGGACCCGCCGAATCGTCAAGTCATGCTACGTGAGAAGCGGAGTCGCAGTAATCGGTATGTCTCAGGCCGGTTGAGAATTGAGGGCACGAAGGGATGAGGTACGCGTTGCAGTACGGTAGGCGTGACTGGGCATTGGTGCAGCCTCGCCATGGGAGCGGGAGTGGCCGCCTATCGAGCACGCTTAGAATGACGTCCTCGGAGATCCTAGCTGCACCTAAATCAACGCCTGCCGAGCACATGGAGAGCTTGAATTCAACGGGGCAACGATCTACCGACATCATCTCGACCTGAGTTGCTCACAGCTGCACAATCTCAGTGCTGACAGACAAGCATCGCCCCAGAGCCAGCTGCTTCACTCGAAGCCCTCAGCAGAGGCAGTTCAGCATGTCGCTCGCCGCACCGGCGTACCTGAACTCCCTGCAGAGCAACATCCGTGCCAGACCTGTAGGCAGCATACCTCATATCAACGGGATATAGACTGATTGGCGCAGATACCCTGGGATGGAGCTGTTCGCGCAGGTAATTTGACAGAAGAGCAGCTGAAAAAGATCAAATCTGTCGACAAGGTTCGGAAAGAGCAGCGCAAGCAGACTATCGAGAAGGATGTCAAGAACTACAGCAATCTGTTGGTTGGCTCAGGCGATAGCGGCAGTGTCTTCAACAAAGCCTCCAAACGGACCGATATCTTGCAGTACATCTTGGTCCTGGCTAACGATCTGATCAGCGGTATGTACAGGCTCAACCCAGCAACACTCGTGGCAAAAGTGCTAACCGATTCATAGATGCGCCGGAGCTAGCAGGGTCGATTCTCGAGCACTCGAATCCCTATCAGCACTTCATATCGTTCCTGAGCCAGTCAAACAACCCCGAAGACCCTATACCTCTGCTATCGGCCACCTTCCTAGTCAATCTCGTCGCATACTCCATTACAGCCAACTCGAAACCGCAGAAGCGAGACGATGAAGCACTATCCAAGCTCTTCTCATACCTATCTACACTGGCGAAGAATCAAGACAGCGGCCTGCAGGATATTGCCGTGCAGCATTACTCTAGCTTGTTGAGAACATCTCAATCAAAGAAAATATTCTGGAAGCAGAAGCAAGACACCGTGGGACCCTTGTTCGACATTCTGCGGAAAGCTGCTGGCGCTGCAAGAGATAGTGACTCTACACTGAGAGGGAGTGGCGGTGCATCGAGCATCAGGAGCACCGATACCCGCTTCGCTGGCGGTGTTGGTCTGCAACTCGTGTATAATATTCTGCTTGTGATCTGGCAGCTGAGCTTCGAGGCGGGTTTCGTTGGCGAAGATATGGAGAAGTAAGTGGCGCTGTTTTCGCCGCTCTGGAGAGACTGACGATATAGCAGGGACGAAGAGGTCATTCCACTATACACACAGCTCCTGCGAGTCTCTGCGAAAGAGAAAACTACACGGTTACTGCTCTCGACCCTGCACAATCTACTGGATGCGAACAAAGAAGCACTGATCCCCGCGGCAACGACTGCTCGATTGCCAGCTCTACTGACGAATCTCAATGGCCGACATCTGTCCGATCCTGATCTGCTAGAGGATCTCGAGGCGCTGACGAATCTCCTGGACGACTACACCAAGAACCAGACGACCTTCGACGAATATGCGGACGAGGTCAATTCAGGTCATCTCCGATGGTCACCTCCACACAAGAACCCACAGTTCTGGCGGGAGAACTCGCGCAAAATTCTAGAGGACAATAAAGGTGCGCTGCCGAAGAAGTTGGCAGAGATCTTGGGCAAGAGCTGGGACAATGACAAGAAGGTGCTGGCAATTGGATGTAACGATCTCGGCAATCTGGTGAGGGAAGCGCCAGAGCATCGAACCACGTTAGAGAAGCTGGGTCTGAAAGGAAGAGTAATGGAGTTGATGAATGATTCGGATGAGAGCGTGCGGTGGGAGAGTCTCAAAGCAGTAGGAGGATGGATGCGCTACTCTATGGAGAACTGAGATTAGGCGTGGAGTCTTCATGAACATGCAGCGCTTCAGGGTCCGAGGCGAGCAGAAGGCAAACACCACGACATCGTGGAGCAGCGAATTACACCCTGTTGCCGGTCGTGGTGATCAATCGTCCAACAGATCGGCAGCGAGTTGACTACTCTTTACAGAGGCTGGAAAGGACGGCGGCGCCTGACGACGACATTGACCAGAGCAGGACGGCGTCCTTGAGCGAGTACATGAAGCGCAAAAGACAAAAGGCGCGAGTCATGTCTGGGGCATATTGTTACAATGATATGATAAAGTCACATGCCTAGACATCATTACTATGGCGCAATATGTTTCAACTTTCAAGGCCAGAGTTCGGCAGATATTATCGTTTGAAAGCGCAATAGCTCGCAAATAGCCATCGTCTTGACGGCATTGAGAAGATCTCCGTTCTTGTTGCACGATAAGTTTCTGGAATTACTGTCAGAGCTGTCGTTGCTGCAAGCACGCAGAGTTGCGCCTGCTCCCGCTGCCACGTCACTTTCCGCGTGCCAGCCCGAGCTTTGTGGTATGTTGGTCCAGTCAGCAACAAACCAATTGTTCTTGGACAAACGTCGAACAAAGGAGGCCAGTCAGGCACGCCGCTTGGACAATTCCTGGGTTGGCATAACTTCAGTTTAAATTGCCAACCGAATGCTTGTCTCGACTGGCGACCAATGGGAGTATTTGTTGCAGGGGCCACGGCGCGCGTGAATTTGCGGGCCATTGACCAAAGGGGGACGATCAATATCGGCAGCCGGGAGCCGCCAGGGGTAGGAAGAGGAGGCCTGCCTGTGATCATTCCGCTTTGACGTTCTGCAGTCCGCCGCCGCCAACCTGCACTCATCTTGTACCATAAACTAATTTGCGGCGTCTGCGCTCGAGCAGCACCCACTCTGTGCGCGTGCATCGCATTGTTCAATTTCGCCAAACAATCCACTCTGAACTGTCGATCCCATCATAGTGCTCGAGCACACCATAACACCCATCTTACGCAGGACTATTCTGGCTGACACCCGACGCCTCTCAGCGCCGAATCTATTGAACGTGCTAATCTGCCGGGTTCAAGCGACCCAATGAATACACCTCCACTGGCGTTGGCTTGATCCACCAGCGACCACTCTCTACCATCTCTGGCTGCTTTCTGTTTTGAGCTCGCTCGTGGTGGCTGGAATTCTACTGCTACTGCAGCACTGTTCGAGCGAACCGCCAAACGAAACATGCGTTGTCTGTAAGAGACTAGACGCCGAGCCGATCTGCGGCTTACCACTGTCCAAACATGATTGACACGAATGGGAGGTATACTCCCTCCCCTCCCCCTCCACCACCGCCGCCCAAAGGACCTTCGTTGTTGAAGACTTCTATCAGCAAACCTAATACACGCCCCCAGGTTACCTCACCAAACTCACCAGTCCGCCGAAAACCACTTCCCACTCGAGCAGTGACCACACCAACGAGCCCATCAGCGGCTGCTACGAACACAAAACCATCAACGCAGATCTTCGGACAAGTGGTGCAACACCTCGCCGCGCAGAAACAGCCCTCTCAGTCGCTGCCGCAAGAGCCTTCAACGCCACAGAAAGAGCCCGTATATACATTCTACCACCACAACGAGAGCCCAAGGTCGAACGCCGGCGGCCAGAACGTCACCCACGAGGACTTCCCACGACCTCCGAGCAAGGATCACACTGATGCCGTCGCCGATAGTACCTTGACAGAGGACGGCATGCCTCTGAAGCCGGGCTCGAGGCCTGCCCCTCTGAGGACAGACTCGAATGCTTCTCTGAACACGAATGATTCGAAGAAGCCGCAAACACCAGGCAGCAAATTCACGTCCTTCTTCTCCCGCAAACAGACAGCGTCACCTGGCGCGGAGGGAGATGCAGAACCAGGGCGGTCACCCCTGCCATCACCGTACCCTGGCTCCGCCAACTCGTCCAATGGCTACCCCTTCCCTTCAAGAGGACCCGCGTCGCAGAAGTCGCAGGACTCAATCGAGTTCGACCCACACGCCCTCCAGTATGGAGGTCTCGCGGATCGTGCTACGGTGCTGGAGGCCGAGCTGCGTGACATCAGCAAAGAGTTGGCCGGCTCAATAAAACGAGAGATGGACCTAGAAGACATGGTCGAGCGACTGCAGATGGATCATCCTGCATACCTGCCGATCGGACCAGCGACTACTTTTCGGACTCTGGCACCAGTTCCATAAGACCGCCGACTGGCGACTACAATTCCAAAGAAGAGCTCGAAAGGGTACGGCGAGATGCAGATCAACAGAAGGCACAGCTCAAGGTTGACTTCTCACAAAAGTGGCAAAGGGAAGTTGCCACAAGAAAAGCAATGGAGAATCATTTGCAATATATGGAACAGAAGTTGAGATCACAGCACGTGCAAAGGGACGACTCTGATAAGGCCCGTCAGCTCGAGACATCACTCGACGACACGAAAAGGCGTCTCAATCAAGAGAAGCAGACCAACCAGAACTTCGAAGATATGCTCAACGCCCTACGAGAAAATCTTAAACAGGTCGGCAACGAGCGTGACAATTTGCGCGATGAGGTTGTCCCGTCCTTGAGATCTCGCATCGAAGGACTTGAGGCTGCATCGGCGGATGCTCAGAAGGCACCGTACGATGTCGCTCGAATGCAGCATGAACTGCAGAGTCTTCGCGACGAGAACGCCGCACTGCATTCAGCTCGCATGATGAACGCCCAGTTCGAGTCGATAGCAGAAGATGAGTCGATGACCGGACGTCGAAACTCGCTCATCGGTGGAAAAGGCTTGCAAAGGTCGACTACGTTGGGCCGGTCCAACTCTCGCGCCGGAGCTGGACTGACACGGTCCAACTCAATCTCAAGAAATTTGCTGAACGAATCTCGCGAATCGCTAGCAGAGCAACTGAAGGCCACCGAAGAACAGCGTGAAGCTCTTCATACAGCAGTGAAGTATCTGCTTAGAAGACAGACTCATCAAGGCAAGCAACATGAGAAGCGCTTGAAGGTCGCCGAGCTGGAACGCGATCGGGCAGCACAGATGGCCTACAATGGTGGCCGAAAGCACGGGTACGAGAAAGAGGTGAAAGTCCTCAGATCAGAGATCGCCCTTCTACGAAGGCGAGCAGATGATGCTATGGAGCAGAAGTGGCAATGCGAAAAGGGCCTTGCAAGCTTGGCCATGGACCTTAACCGCAGCAAGCAAGAGACCGAAAGTCTGACGAAGCTGCTCGAGGCAAAGGACAACAACGACCCTGAGACTTATTCAGCTGCGCTTGAGGCTGCGCTAAAGCAACTCAACCAGCAAAGGACCAGCGTGATGGCTAGGGACTCTCTAGGCTCCATCGAGAACGAGCAAGCGATGGCGGACGAGCTAGAGCGGTCTGCTGAACGCGCCGAGTCGCTAGCAACACAGGTCAAGCAGCAGGTCAAGAACAACTCCTCTCTGAGAAACAGACTCAAGGACGCCATTGCTCAGGGCGAGCGATCCCAGCTAGCATCTGCCGAACAGATCACCGAGCTCCAAGCAAAGCTGCGCAGGCTGGAAGACACCATCACCGCTGCACAGACACAGTCCGAGACCGCCGTCATGAGGCACGAGGACGAAATGCGGGTGATGCGTGCCAGCACCAGCGTCCATCTTCTGCGAGCCAAGAATAGTAACCCTAGTCTACTCTCACCTGCGCCGCGCTCGCCACTGAGCCCGATGATCGCCAACTCGAAGAAAAGCCCGCGTCTCGAGATCACCACATCTGGTCCTGGCATCGCCCTGCACGAGGCACTGCGGACTGAATACCTTGAGAAGAAAGTCGGCGAGCTCGAGTCAGCTCTCGCCGAAGCAGAAAAGGAGATGAGTGAGGTCGTCAATCGTATGGGTGTAGCTCAGATCAGCTCAATGGAGCTTGAGGGCGAGAGGTGAGCTTTCCTAATCCGCACAAAACCATGTGACACGAGTGCTAATTTCCATGACAGAGACGAAGCACTTCGCCAAACCCGCAAACTCCAGAACGACATTGCCTCTGAGCGAGAGAACATGAAGCAGCTCCTGGCGGGCATGGGCCTGCCGCCTGAGTCGGCTGGCATGAGAGACGACTAGGCGAGACCCCCGCGCACGACTGGAACCACTGTACAATCGAAGCGGGTCTATCCTTCGAAGAGCATATTTGCTCGTTATTGGGCAACAACGGACCGGAGTTCACATCGAAGTTTGGGATAGCACTGCTGTGACTTCTGAGCGATTATTTGGTGCCCGTCGTGGCGATTTTGAATGTTTAATTGAAAAGCGCATTAGCGAGCGTGGAAAGAAGCCGAGGCGGGCGCATGGACGGAGGATGTGGTCGTCAGCCATTGGTCTGTATATTACGTGGCATGGGAAGCCATCCGGACAAGACGAGGCTAGGCGGAACCGAAGCAGAGGGAGCCTCATAGTGATATTGATAAAAGTAGTACAGACAGGTGTCGAAGTGGCAGCAAAGGCCGTCAAATACCGAGACTATGGAAGAAGTCAGATACACCCAGTGGCCTCGACTTGATTATTGTCACTTTCTCTTTCTTCATTGGCGACTGTCTCGAAGTTCTTCCACACCGTCGAACGTCAAAGCCAACACAGTCAGACCTTCGACTTTGCCCAGCCTACACATCCCAGAATGTGTGTATTGATCAGATGCGAAGGCTCATGCACGATGCCTCCCCAGTCGCGGCAGGTCCTGTGTCGTTCGATGTATTCTGACTTTCATGACTCATCTCGCCAGCCCCTGCAAATGCTCCGTCCCACTGACGAGCAACCGCCAGCTCAAAACTCGATGCATGAACCTAGGGACCGCCATCTCCATCGGCATCGTCTCCCTTGCGTCTTTGCGCACCCACATCCATGTCTCCGTGCAAAATACCATCACGCCCTTCTCCTGTGTCGACTCCCTCCCGTGCCGTCCGTCCCCGGCTTTGATCAAAGCCTCGACCATCTCTCCGTCTGCAATCCTAATACTAATAACCAACCTCCCCTCCACTTTCCCCCTGCTCATCCCAAACACAACTTTCGCCCCACCTTCACCCTCCTCTCCCTCCCCGCCAACCAACGTCCCCCTCTCAACGACTGTATAAAGCCCATTAACCAACTCCCCGACCTCAAACCCAAGACTCTCAATCCACTCGCGCTCAAAACTCCGTCGAGCTTTGCCATCCCTCTGCGTCGCCCACAGGATCCAGCCCTGCGGCGAGCGGGAGAAGAGTTGCATGTTATGCTGGAGATAGGTGGTGAGGAGGCTGCGGAGCGAGCGACGGAGGGAGGGTTGATGTGGGGATGGGGAGGAGGGAGATGTCGTAGAAGATGTTGTGGGCTTGGGAGGAGGTGATCAGGGTTTGGGGGAGGGTCGAGAGGGGCGTTGGGTATGGTGCTGGGACTGCCGCGGCGGCCCTTGTTGCTTGCTTTCCGCCGGCGTCGTCGTCCTCTGATTCTGATGTGCGAAGTAGAAGCTCACGCGCGGCGTCGCCAAGAAGGGTATGGTGGTAGGTGATCCTGCGGGCGAGCTTCCTCTCAAGGATAGCGGTGCGTATGGCTGGAACAGCAATGAGAAGCGTCGTCGCTGCCGTTGCTACGAGGAAGCCTGAATGGCGAGAGAGCTGGCTGGCCATGCTGTTGAGAGTCATTGTATTTTAGTCGGCCAGCCAGGCCTGCTCGCTGTCTTGCAGTATCACCGCGTGCTTAGCTGTAGTCCTTTCCTGTTTATCACTGAAGAGGAATTTTGCGAGATCTTCGCATCGTTGACATAGACTTTGAGATACTACACAGCTTTACAGGATCAAACAAGGGCGGAATACTCGAAGTCGTGCAACTCCATGTCCGAGGAAATGCCGACGTATATAGTGGTTGTGATACGACAACAAGATGTGACGTTGCTTCCATCTTGCTCTCCGATCTCATCTTTTCACTACAGTAGCGGTGCCAACATTGGCGGTGTGCTGGATTTTTCAAGAAGCAGTCGTAAATACTTAAGTAGTTGTTGCCTTTCACGAGGACTCTCGATCGTGCCTTGGCAGGAAGTCAAACGTTACTTCCCTTCGCCGTTCTCAGACCCTCAGCGCCATGTTGACCAGAGCCTGCCACCTCATTCATCGACATCCCTCGGCCCAAACTTCTTGAAATGCTCTTCGTAGCTGTCCCACGTCTGGTACGGGAATTCGGTCGGTCTAGTCAACGGCGTGAAGTTCTGACCTCTCTTCTCGAACTCTTTGAGCCGCTTGCGGGTCTGCTCTCTGGACTTGTTCACACTGCGTACGCTGTGTCAGTCATATCATCCCCAGCTCTCCTCTGCGTCGGACTTACCTGTAGATCTTGACTCGATGACAACTGCTCGTAACATGCAAGCCCCAATTCCATGTATTCCTCACTTCGGTCGGCTGCGTGTTCAGACTGTTGTCCCAACAGCGCACCACCAACTCAAGCCAACCCTCCGCATCCACCGGCAAGCTGATCCACCAAGTCCGCCACGCAAACTTGTGCTTCTCACTCAGATTCTCTTGAGGTACTTCGTACCAATTGTATCCACCATCGCGACTCACCTCCACCCTCTCCGGCCAATGGCCTCCACCACTATACGCCCATCCATTCACCTTGATATGCCCCGAATGTACCACCACCTGTTTGTTGATCGGGCTCACGATCGCACTACTCACCGGCATTTCCTGGATCTGGATTCCATCCGTCCACCGCTGGTTGTGCTTTCCCACTTGCTGATTAAAGTACAAGTACTCGCGACTCTGCACCGGGGCGCTTGTCGGAGTCTTCAGCGCATTGATTCGGTACAGCCACTTGACGCTTCTTGCCCCAATGTACCCCATCACGACTGCCCGCACAGGAAATCCGTGAATCCTCGGCAGAGGTTCGCCATTCATCTGCCATGCCAGCATCACCTCGTTGATCTTGACCTTGCTCCAGGGAACGCTGACCGCGTAATTCATCACCTGGTTCTGCTTGAAGTACGTCTCCGCACCGATCAGCTCGAGGTGTTTGCCGTCATCAACAAGGCCGCCGCAGTGCTTAATGACCTTCTTGAGGCTGACTCCAACGTATCTTGCCGTGCCGATGGCACCTTCTGCCCACGGTGCGTTGATCATCTCGTCACCCTCGCCCGCGTAGCTTACGATTTGCTCGATACGTCGTGTGCCGGAGCACTGAATGGTGACGAGGCGTTCCATTCGCGGGAAGAGTTCTTCATTTTGCAGGTCTGCGAGCGTGAGCACTTTGGGAGTCTTGACCAGTCCACCAAGCTCTAGCGTCCACTTTTTGGGGTCGATATGGGGGATGCCGCCGTGGTTGCGCACGAAGTGCAGTGGATTGGGCGTGATTGGCTTGGCAGCGACAAGTCGTTTGGGTGGCTCGCCATTGTACGGAAATTCGAGGAGATGGAGCATGTCGGCGTGCTTCTCGGCCTTGACGTCCGCCCAGGACTCTTCGGGGACGTTTTGGAGGGGGCCGCCGATGGCGCGATGCCACAGTTTCCAACGAATGCCTAGACGCGTGGGATTAGCGAGGCATTACAAAACAACAAGGTCGCTAGCAGTCTGATGCTACTTACCTTCGAGTACGGGGTTGGTGTTCGGAATAGCCGCCAGCTGAAACTCCGGTGGTGGAGGGAACTCTTGAGATTCCAAGATCTTGTGCGCGATCTCTTTCTTCTCCGGGTAGTTCTCCCATTCGATGTATCTAGCAGGATGTTGTGGTCAGCTCATACATATAGCCTTGCCCCTTCGCCACCTGGTTATGCAGGTGCAACAGTAAAGTGCGACATACCCCTTCCAGCCCTCCTTCTCCTCCGCAAATACAACATTTGGATCATCCTTGAACTCGAACTTCTTCTCAGGCTCCGTCATTTCGGTCACATCGCTCTCTTCACCTTCAGACAGCTCTGATGTGGACTGATCGAGTAAAGGCAGTGTTGCGGCAGCCATACCCTGCTCCAACATCCATTCATCACCAGGTTGGACCTGATACCATATCAGCTGATTTCGTTCTCACGCAAGGGTCGGAGATGTGTGTGTACCCTGACGGCCTCTCTGGAGGCATGATCAGCCTGCATCGTTCGTCGCTACGGGTGATGTCTTGGAAGACCCTTTGTCCAACAGGTGTGTAGAAGGAGCCAGCAAAGTTGCGGAGAGGCGAAGGACGTAATTCAGTAGCACTTGCCTCACGCGCCTTTGAACAGAGCGAACAGGAGTGGAGGGGCAGGCGCGTTCTTCACTGCGATGCGTCACTCCTCTGATTATGTACTTCCCGTATCGATGGGTCCACATCATGCATAGCGTCAAACTCGGCCATGGATGTAGCCCACCACGTGTACTTATTCAGGCCAGGTACGAATGCTCGAATCCTATCACGGAAAAGGCACAGCTCGTCAGTATTCTGATTGGCCAACTTTAGTCATACAGCTTCCGGCACGACCAATCTCCTGTTGTGTGATCGCCACAATATGCATTTGAGTGACCAAGGGTGACACCAAACTTCGCGGCGCAGGATGGATCAAGGCGAGGTCTTCGTGTTAATCTGGTTCAGTTGGATGATCAGTACATCTATGAAAGTGGGACCAGGAAGGTAGCCGGGTGTAGTCCTATGGCTCGTACTGTTCTCGCCTACTTCTTTGGGCTTGGCTCGATGCGAGACAATCTTTCGCGTGCGTGATAAACAGCAGAAGCACGCCTGTTGAGCGATCATCGTATTTCCGGGCCACAGTGCGGAAGGTGGACGACCAGTGGTTCGTCGCCGGCATTGCAAAGCGTAGCCAGTTGATAATTCGTCATCGTATCGTCGCTTTGCATCTCAACCGGAACATTGATCCAGGAAGAACGTTAATACCATGATTCGGCAAAAGGCTTACCTCTCACCTCAGGTTCTGCTATGGATACTTCTTAGTGACGTTCAAGCAATTGGAGGGGAGAAGGTCCCGGTGACAAAGCAGCCACCAGGCTTGGCGCCTGAGCGACTGCCTGAACTGACTTAGATTTTCTGGAGAATGCCTTACTGTGCTGCAACACCGTGGCTGTCGGTCGTGCAGAGTTCTCAGCACAGTTTCTAAAGGTGGTTTTGAGGCCAGTACTATCAGCCGAGAAGCATCTCGAGCTCTTCGATCCGCCTTCGTTTCTTCTCATCATCCCCGCCATCGCCACCCGATTGGCCGACACCGAGCGTGCCAGCAACAGCCATCTTCTTGTCCTGGACCCTCAACATGCGTTCTTCAATGCTTTCCGCAGCGATGAAACGGATGACTTCCACTTTCTGAGTCTGGCCCATACGGTGGACACGATCGATAGCTTGTGCTTCGACTGCGAAGCTCCACCACGGATCCATCATATAGCATTTGTTGGCAGCCGTCAGGTTGAGGCCAACACCACCTGCTCGGAGCGACAGTAGTAGCACTCTGGGAGCTTTCGGATCGTGAGCATTCTCTGCGCTGAAAGACCGCAATACTTGTGACCGAAACTTCTGTGACATAGTCCCATCAAACCGCAGGAATTGGAAGCCATTCCTTTCCAGTTGCGTACCGATCAGATCAAGGTATGCTGTGAACTGAGAGAACACCACCGACTTCGTCCCTCTTGGCTGTGCGGCTAAGTGCTTGAGTAGTGCCACGATCTTTGCTGAAGTTGCTGCTGTAGGAGAGTATGGCTTGATTCGTCTCAGCGATATCTTAGGGAGTTTTGGATCGCCATCGCCATACATATCATCTTCATCGAAGGACTCTTCTGGTGAAGGCGAGCTGTGCTTCACCACCTCGAAGACATCGCGAGGATCGATTGTCTCCCTGCAGGAGAAGCAGCTCGGATTCTCGCCTTTGTCAGTCTGGTGTTGTATGTAGTCCTCAAGGCATTTTTTGCAAGCGCTGTGCCAGCATCCTGTGACTGCTGGATTGATCATGGGCTCCTCGATGCAGATTGGACACTCGCCACTTGATTCGGTCTGAATCTGACGAAGAGCATGGGTGGTGAAATTACCAGAGTCGTCCTCAGTAGTTGTGGACTCTTTTGCTGCTTCTGCGGTGTCCTTGGTGAAACGGGTGATCAGCTCTTGCAGATCAACATCGTCAGCAAGGTTCGTTGCATCAGCGGCCACAGCGACAGCCTTCTCCTCTTCGTCGGCAACGAGATCCTTATTCCTGGTGAGAACCGGGTGACAACATGACTGACGCAGACGCAATATCTGGGCGAAGATCGTGGTATATGACTTCAGCAGTGTGCCAGCCTGCAGAGACTCGTTGAATGCTCGTTTCGCCCGCGTCAAGATCAGGTCATAGACTTCTCGCTCGGTCTTGGACAGCTCGATTTCCTCCACTTTGATAGACTTAGGTGGCAGTGGTACAAGCGCTTCTCCGTCAGGCGTTTTCATATCCTTCGTCCGGCGCAGCACCAATGGCTCCAAGACCGTTTGTACGACGTTCAAAGCGCGCACAAATTCTTTAGATTCGAAGGGAACGGTGATGAATGTCTTCCAGAAGGAGAAGTTGCTCCAGGGTTCGACTTTGAGGAAACGGACCAGGCTGAACAAGTCTTCAAGTCGGTTGACGATAGGCGTACCTGTCAGCACCCACCTATGCTTGCCTCTGATCTCGTAGCATGCTTTTGACGTCTTTGCTTGTCGATTCTTGATGGTATGGGCCTCGTCGAGAATGACACGGAAAAAGTCCACGGAGAATAGTCCGCCATGAGATCCCCTATCGCCATTTGCAGCTGCGACTTGGTTGAACTCTGATAACACAACGCCATAGCTGGTTATAATGACATGCGGCGCAGATGCCGCGTTCCTGGCGGAGCACAATGTCTGCAGATTGACCGTCTTTTCACCTCCGTAGTAGACCAAGGTCTTCAGACTCCCAGGTCTCGAAGATTTGGTCGCCTCGGACTCCCACTGTGCCAGTAGTGACATAGGCGCAACCACAAGCGTTGTATATGGAGCTGGCTCGACATTGGATGATGCCTGTGGCAATCGGGGCAAGTGATTGACACTTCCAGCTTCTGACACTTCAACAGCCTGTTGCCGATGGGAGTGTATCAAGCTGTATATCTCAATCGTCTTGCCGAGGCCCATCTCATCAGCGAGAATACCGCCGAGACAATTCTGCTCTTGCACGGGGAACTCCAGACTGATCTCACCGGAATACAGGTTGACATAAAACTTGTCCTGCTCCTCAACGAGAGGTACTGGAGCGTCGTCGGCATCTTTGACGGGCCACGTATATTCTTCCCACAGTGGATGCATAGAGGCTTGCTTGTCATGCTTCTCGTCTCTCTCCTTGCTCAACATCCAATGCAACGCCTGTTTCTGGTACTTGCGCAAGTCAAGAGCAAAAGTTGGCGCAGGTTCTGCCGGAGGTGTGTCGAAGTCAAAGGACTGTGCTTTCTGATACAGTGCGTCCAGTTGATCCTCTTCCAGTTCCGCGCCATCCTCTTCTTCGGAGTTGGGAGTCGATGTCCCGTTCTTCGGCTTCGAGGCTTTGTCCTTGTCATACTGCTCCGCCATCTCCGCGGCCTTGAGCAGCCCTTGCTTTTTATGCTTCTTAGTGGTCTCATTCGTAGTTGTGGGTGGGAGACTGATCTCATCAAACAGCTTCACAAGTGCCACTTGCCTCAGGCGAAGGTCTTTCTCTTCGACGCTTTCCTTTTCTTCAAACAGGCCGGTAGTTCTATTATCGTCCTGTGGCTTGGCGAAAGCTCCGGAATCGAATGCTGATCTGAGCATATAGGCTCGCAGTTGAAGGAGTATGGTGTCATTGGTTCTGACGCGCTCAGGAGCATATACACAGGTACCTTCGAATCGACACACTTTCTGGTCAATCAACGACGAGACCCATTTGGCAGCATCTTCCGGCAGCCTTCCTATCTCTTCACCGGCTGGGTTCGTGAAACGGGTCACAACGTCCTGTTTCGTGCTCCGCCCAACAATAGGTACAGCTTTGCCACCACGACCAACCTTGGTTTTTGGAGCGATTTTGCTTCGCTCGATACGCACCTTGTCGCCGTGTGCCAATATGTTTGAGCCGCTCTTTGTAGTCCAGCCCGCCACCCCAAACGAACCTATGTACCGATCTTGAGGCATATGTTTCAAGCGCATTTGCTTCCGCTCCGCCGTCTTTCCGACCTCCGTTTCTTGAACAGCTGTTGGTGGAGAACTGGGCCTCTGAGTGGGAGTGAAGAATGATGCCATAGGCTTGGTAGATGCTGTGTTGTGTGATTGACCAGGCCTCTGAGTCACCGTCGATTTCCAAGACCCGTCTAGGTACATATTAATCGCCCTTTCCATGTTGCCGTTCGCAGCATCGCAAAGCACCTTAATGACGCTGTCTGCCACATCCTCGCCAACAAATGCTCTGAATGTGTCCGCATCGAAGCCAATCGGACCCAATTGCTCGTCCCTGCTTTCACTTGACTCTGCCACATCTGTCTGGCTCGATTGGGGTGGATCTCTGAATGAGGTGGCGGACGATGGCCGGCTGGATGGGATTGTTGGTGGCGTTGGAGCGTCTGCGGCGTCAACGTCCTCGGGATCGTCCACGAAAAACCGCCGCTTTTTCGTCGGCCGCTGATCGACGTCCATGTTCTGAATTTTGCCAGAACAGGTCGCCAGAGGAGGAAATAAAGAACTGATCCCACCCCAACGCGGTCGCGTTAAAATGTCGTGACGCCTGATCACGTGATTATGGGAACCATTTCCACTCGGGCGAATCAATGATGCCTCTTTCTCGTCACCTCACTCATCAAAGCAGTTGGATGCGAAGCACGCGCTGGGACAGTTGAATAAAGTTCCCTGATAACGAAAGAGCTGTCTGTCCTGGGTCGGGCCCTCATGGTGAATCTGTTTGGGACTTGCACCTTCCTCTATTCACGATGAGGTCGGCAGCACAAGCAAGAGCATTCTTTTTACTGACGAGGCGCTCCTTCTCGACCACTCGCTCACAGCAAGCGGTGTTGCTTGAATCAGCATCGCGCGATGTGAAGGAGGCTTTGTCCTACTGCTCAAATCTAGTCAGGTACCTGATCTACTATTTCTGAAGCAGTCCTTTTGCTAAACGTCTTTAGAAAGTATGATTCTCCGTCATACACACTTTCACACTTCATCAAGCCTCATATGCTGCCAGCATACATGGCCATCCGAGCTTTCAACATCGAGGTTGCCAGAATTCCCGACATTGTTTCGAACGCAGCCATTGGATCTATGCGTATGCAGTTTTGGCGGCAGACCATCGATGCCACTTTCGAGCAAAGGCCTCCAGAAGAGCCTGTCGCTGTATTACTGGCTTCTCATTTGGCTCAGGGTCACCGATTGAGCAAATTATGGTTTCATCGTATCATCAACACCCGCGATGGGAAGCTCGGCCACCCTGGTTTTACCGACCTGGGCGAGCTGGAATCGTATGCTGAAAACACCTATTCGACGCTGTTGTATCTCACGCTTTCTGCCTTGCCGATGCAGTCCGTGACTATGGACCACCTTGCATCACACATTGGAAAAGCTGCAGGCATCACTGCAGTACTGCGAGGAGTTCCACTACTCGCATTCCCTCCGCCTCCCAATACGCATTCAGCAAATCCTCCTGGCTTAGGGCTCCCTGCGAATCGTGAGCGACAAGGCGTCATAGCTCTACCACTTGATGTCATGGCGCAGTGTGATGTGAGAGAGGAGGAAATATTCCGACAGGGCGGACATGCTAACGGCATTCGTGATGCCGTGTTCGACATTGCCACTCGAGCTTCCGACCATCTCATTACTGCTCGAACGATGGCGAAGAGCATCAGGAACGATGCTCTTCCAGATCATGAATTCGAGCATATCAAGGACGAAACCCATGTGTATGACCAGCCGTCGACCGATACACCGGCCGTTGAATTTCGCAACAGCTACGGCGTGATCATGGGTCCTGCACTGAGCACTCAACTGTGGCTCAATAGGCTGGAAAAGGTCGACTTTGACATCTTTCACAATAGCTTGCGAGGCCCAGAGTGGAGCCTGCCTATCAGAGCTTGGTGGCATAGTCGAAAGTTGAGACTTTAGTCGTCTGGACGTTGTAAGGCATCCCTCGTTCGGAGGTGAAGCATCCAGGTCACTGTATCGGAAGCCAATTACTGTCTAACGTATTGCGTCTGCTCCTTGTTGACGACATGGCATCGCCTCGTTTTCCGAGGATCGCTTCAATGGCTCCAACAAGGGCTTGACCATCGTATAGCATTCCTTTTGCGGTGGGATTCTTGCGACCGTACAGCTTCAGGCAGTCGATACCAAGCGAAGCCAGATGTTCTCTATCGACCTCTGGAGTTCCCTCTCCACCGATATGGATGACGTGCGTCACATACTGTCGATAAATTGAGCTCTTCTTGGTCATTTTCAGCTCAACTTGAGACGCGAGATCGGGCGACAAAAGACTGCCGTTGGCTGTAGCCTGTGACGGAGTAGCAGTTCTTGTAGCATACTCTGAGCTCCCGATGCTCTGCGTGGGGTTCCACGCCTCTTCGCGAGACTGTTCTCCTGCCCTGGCAATGGCTTCAACAAAGTCGAAGGCTGTGAAGGGGCTATTGCTGGGTCCAACTTCGCGGTCCAGAGAGCCATTGAGTATAAGGATTTTGTGCCTCGCCGGTGTCGATCGAAGAGCTCTTCCCATGCCTCGGATGACGATAGAGGGAATCAGCGAAGTATACAATGACCCGATCGAGAATATGATCGCTTGAGCGTCCTTCACGGCAGACAGTGCCCTCGGGTTGGCTGGTGGGAGCATCTCCTGACCAAATGGGTTAATATACCATATTCTATCGATTCGTGCCGGCAGATCATCGTCTTCGGCTTTTGAAAACTTGATGTTTCTCTGGCGCAGGGTTGCGAGCGTCCCAGGGATGTTAGCATCCTCCGCATCTAGATCATCGGCATGATCGATACTGTGACGCACACGTGTCGCAGTGCTGGAATGAACGTCAGGCAGAGCTGGAGCGGATGTCGGGGCAGAGGGATGCGAAATGTTGTTCTGACCAACAATGATGTCGCCGTTCGCAAGGCCTGCGGCTATGTGATGCGAGAAGTTGGAACTGATGCTCGGAATGACTTGTACATCGCCATCAGGAATTTGACAGATACTACTGAGCAAATAGATGGCGGATTCGAAGCTGCCAGTGAACAAGCGTGCGCCTGTGAGGAACAGATTGCCGACACTTGCAGAAGTGAAATCGAAGGTTGAAGTCGGAGGTCTCGAGCGCTTGAGTAGCTCCATGTTTAGTGTATTCAGGAATGAGCGTATAAGCTCTCTCTTCGCAAAAGGAACGCCATCCCACAAGTCTGCCGTCCCTGCCACTACTGACTGCCACTCATCGGCCGCGTCTGTGTGTGAGTCTGCGGACAGTCGATGATTGAAGACACGCGAGATAGCGTCTCGCTCGGGTGAAGATGGCGCCGAAGGGATGAGTCTGACCAGCCGACTTCGAACATCACCGATACCGGGACCTCCAAAGAATCGTATCAGTTCGGACGAGGACCCTCCGTTGTCACTGATTGGAATGATGTATGACAATGGGCAGTCCTTGTTCACCCGCACCTGCTCGAACACGTCGACCAGGTTATTAGCCGCACTGCCTCCAGAGAAGACCACGATGCCTCTGTGAGGCATAATTGCATCCAGTTGACAAACAATCTGAATTCCACTACCACGCTTGCCCGATCGCGTTGTTGGATGGGCTCCTCAGGGCGAGGCTTCCATGCCTGCTCACCCAGCTATATCAGAGAGGCATCTTGCGGTCATGCTCGCGCTCGAATATCTTCGACTTACCCGACAGGTGACAGCCGTCGGAACAGGCTTCATCAGGCACCCGCGCCGCTCCGCTGCGCCCCTTGTTCCCGCAGCTGGGCGCGCCTGCTCGAACGATAATATTCAGCAGTAAATGCCATTTTGCTGCTAACAACATATTGCGTGCTTAGACCATTGCTCCAGGCGTCGAGCAGACGCCAGACTAATAATGCAGTCTAGGTGTCGGCCCAGTCAAAAGTTGTGAAACGAAACAGACAACTTACTACGGCCGAGAGTGCTCGCCAAGTCATGCCTGGGATTTCTCCAGTAGGGCTGAAATGCCTGGGAGTGCCCAGCAAGGAACAACAATGTCAGCACTCCGCCTCTACTGTGGCGCGATCCATAATGGTGTTCCTTATGGGAAAGATATGTCCTCGAAGGATTTTAGACGCATGTAATCAGTCCCCGTGGCCCCTGATCATGCGCCCATCTTGAAATTTTGACACAATGATGCGACTGATCCGCGCGAATCAGGTAGGCGTTAGCGCGGGAGTCTCGTGTCTGAATCCTGGACGGCTTCTCTCAAATCTTTGATAAAACAGAAGTGCACACTCTCGAATGCCAACTGCGCTGGCGACTGACATTCGACGTATCGACACCTGCATAGGCGCCGATCATGTGGCTCAAGCCTCAGCTAGAGCTTCGCGTTGCAACTGCCTGCTGATTCGTGGCAACAGAGTGCATGGGCTGCACTTTGGACGAAAATGTCGGAGACTAAAGATTTTGGCTCGAGTCCGAGCTCAGACACAGTTCAAGATGCAGCCCACCCGGACATCGAGGCCCAGCGACCGCGAACACAACGCGTGCAGATCCAAGCTCCGCCAGCAACGCATCGGGGCTCGATCGCGTCTGCATATGCTCACAATGGCCTCGACGGTACGGCACCATCTCCAAGCCGCCTCGAACGATCCGATACAGCATTCTCGAAGATGTCACTGAAGAGAAGAGGTCGGGCGGCAACAAATCTCACAGCGTACGGCGCCCATGAGATGGGCCAGCAGACGGGGTGGGCACCAGGACAAGAGCCTGGCTACGACACATCCGAGCCAGCTCCTCCATACACAAGCACTGAATACGATCATGGCCGACCATCGTACCGTTGTGGAGTTACAGTGGTGGACTACTGCGCTGACGATATCATGACCACCGAACTTGACAACATGGACTTGGAAGAGTTTCTAGCAAAGCCGCAGCCGGACTGGGTCAAAGTCCGTTGGATTAATGTGGACGGATTGTCGTGGGATGTTGTTCGAATTCTCGGAAATTACAAAAAGTTGCACAGACTGGCGATAGAAGATCTGATGAATACCAAAAACCGTACGAAGGTCGACTGGTACGCGGACCATACTTACATGGTTCTGCCCCTGCAAAAGCTGGTCAACGTTGACGAGCCGGAAGCGGATGATGACGACGATCCGGATGAGGAGCTGTCCACCCAAGCCGAGAAGGACCAGACGACGAAAGATATCGAGGCCGAAAGGAAACGGAAGAAAGCGCGACGAGCACGACTCAAGCGAGAGCAGGGACCTATTCGAACACTATTCAATGATATCTTCAAGCGTCCCAAGCATAAGCCTCATAAACACCATCTTCGAAAACACTTAGGGGGTTTGACCCCCGCCGGGAGCTTCAACAACCGAAAAGACGACATTCCATGGACACGCAAGGGCTTCCGCTCGTTACAGTCCTACCATTCAGCAATGAATATGGATCGGATTGATTATATGGAAAGGCACGCCACCCTGAACTCAAGAGGGTTAAAAGTGAGCCTCGAGCAAGTCTCAATCTTTCTGTGCGCCAGCGACTGCGTAATTTCTTTCTGGGAGTACTCTGCTGATGACATTGAGTTGCCAATCCTGAACCGCCTTCAGACTAATGGAACCATACTGAGGGAAAGCGAGGACGCTACATTGTTGGTCCAGGCAATCTTGGATGCTCTTGTCGATATGGCCATTCCCGTCACTACTGCGTACCAAGACGCGATCGGAGACCTGGAGCTAGATGTTCTTACAGACCCAGACATCCTCCAGTCGAAAGCTTTGTACATTTTGACGAGCGAAATAGCAGTCCTGCGCAATGCGATTGCGCCAGTGGCAGGCCTGATCTCTTCTCTGAAGTACCACAACTCGACCGCAGGTACGACGACTCGATCTAGCACCCCAGCGCCTTTCTCAGAGAATGGTGATGTTCTGCCCTCAAGACCGCAAACGACACGGAAACAGTCGAGCGTACATTCTGGTGTCTTCATTTCAGAGGTCACTACTACCTATCTATCCGACGTTGAAGACCATGTCATTCTCATCCAAGAATCGTACGACCAGATGAGGCGATCCGCGGACAATCTTGTTGACTTGATATTCAATACGGTGGGAGCATTCCAGAACGAATCGATGAAACAGTTAACCATTGTTACCTGTTTCTTCCTGCGTAAGTTCCTCCTGCCCGTCGCAGTCATTCAAGAATCGTGCTTACCATCCGCAGCGCTTTCCTTTATGACAGGCTACTTTGGCATGAACTTCGAGAAATTCCCTGGGGTGCAGGAGCACTCTGACAGGTTTTTCTGGACTATCGCGATTCCTGTCTGCGCGTCCGTCATTCTGCTGCTCAGTCGCGATATGCTTCTACGATGGCTTACCAAGTGGGCCAACAAGATCATAATACAGAGAGCTCGAAGTAAGCGTTATAAGGGTTGATATCAAATATCTAAAACCACCGTTGTCTTCAGCACATGGTGGCGACGCCGCTTCAGCAAGTCACGGCTTACGACTGTAGGTTCATGCATTTCTTTGGTACAGATCGTGGCGAGCGGGAGTCGACTACTGCCGCAGCTTAATGGAACCGCCCGCGGACCAAGCCGCACGCAGATCTGCAGCCATAGGTACTGCTTCCCAGAGAGTTCAGAAAGAGCGTGCGAGCATACAGTTCCTCCGTCCTGACAGGCAGATTTCTAGGTCTCCTTGCTCAGGCGGTAACGCAATTCGGGCAGCGTGGCATAGATCTCACACCATAAGCTTCAGTCCGAAGGAAAGCGAAAAGTGCTTCGGAAAGCGCCGCATGCGAGTCACCTACCGATGTACGATCAAGGCTTATTTCAACGATCACGCACAAAGTGTCGATACCGTTCAGTCAGTACGTTCACTTGAGGAGCATTACTGCCGAGACCAAGACACTCTAGCATCGGCCCTGTCTCGCGGCTTGGTTCGCGGTCCCGGCGGTCAGGGTATACTTGTCTCTTTCGGAGAGCGGAACGCTTGATGGAATATTCTTTCTCCCGGGGTGGAGTGGTCTTAAGTAACAAGAATTGGATGAGGCTCTGGGCGGCTTGGAAAGAAGGCAACATCGAAGGTCCGGAGCATCGCCCGGATCCGCACAGGGATTGAAAATGCCATGATCAAACACACGTGGAGGGAAATTTTCTGCGTATCCTAAAATGCAATATTGCGATACATCCCGATCTGGGCTTGCCCCATGAGCCAGCGGGATTGCATGGCGCTTTCGAGCCTAGCACATGGGCGCTTTTGTTGTCCACTCCTAACGACAGATCTTGGCTGAGAGCCTGTCACCTAAGACAGCATCCTTCGATACGCGCTTGTATGGAACGGCAGAACAATGATGCTCGCTGTCGTTCAATGAGGCCATCGTTGTCAAAGTGACGCAACGCATGGCTGAATCATGAGCAGAAGTGCTTGCCTAAGGGCTCGCAGGAGATGCCCGACCGGATACGGAGATGTGAGTTGGAGATGGCATCGGAAAAGCAGAGCTGTGATCAGCGTGACAGCGTCTGACGAGCAAGCCACGGCTACTCAGGGCTGAACACGTTGGCTTGCAACAACAACGCCCGGGGCGGAAATGCAGCCATGAAAGAATAATAATTCAGCTTCGTGTTGATATAAAGCCATCGACCTTCACGGATCATTAGAAGCCTGACCGCTTCACTGCGGCTGAGGCTGCCCAAAGTATACCCTGCATCTGCATGCCCGTAAGGGCCTGTATTCCCTTATTAAGCTGATTGTCGGGTTCTTGGAAGGTACCAACCCTAAAGCAGCGTATGCGGTTGCGTTTGGCGACCTGGCGGAGTCAGCTCTGGTCATGCTGTAATACATCTTACCGTTTCAATCTCGGTGCTCATCGAGGACCTTTGTTGCGTGCTTGACATTCAAACATTATGACCATCTATTTGTGGAGTTCTCCTCATCACGCAGACGAGCAGAGACTGAAAACTCTCGTCAAGCTTTCCTCCCATTGGTGTGGATGATCCTTGCTACGCCCTGGCAATACGCCAAAACTGTTTCTGTTACCTGAGAGAATGCAGGATTTTTGTCCACGCGCGCCTCTTTCGATGCGCATAGGGCAACCATGGTCGGTCAACACAGCATGACATGCAACGTGTGCTCCTTGGATGGACACAGAGACCGGGTAGGTTAATTCATAAAGTGAAGACGGCTGCTCTCGCTCTTACTCAGGTTTGGATCTACTCCTTCCCCAGCTTGATGACCGGTGCACCATCGTCGCTCTATAACATCAATAGCGTCGTCACTACTTGATCGGGCTCATCACGTGCAGTACACGGCATCTGCGAGACACATCATAGCATTTCCACCACCCCGGCCCATCACTGGCACACGTCGGCACGAGCATCCGGCTGCTACTTAGGTACTTCAGGAGACCACCGATGAGCAGAGCGCGTCTTCCTCGGAGATTCGCTTGAACACCATCGAACAAAGAACGTTTAAGCCTTTCAGCTGCCCGCGTCGCAGAACGCCGCCTTGGCCGCCACCAGTCGTACCTACCCTCTTTGTCCAGCGCCTCCTTGGAAATCGCGAGATCGAGGCTCTGCCTTCCCCGCAATCGGTTTGCGTCACGCGATTTGTTGAAATCTTCTTCCACGATTTACTTCGACCATGCCAAGTCGCCGCCCTGTCTTACGAAACGGCTCGCCACCCTCATCTGTGACTGATGTATTAAGTGCGTTATCACGAAAACTGCAAACTAGTCATATCGACAGCGTACCAATCAGCCCAGATAGCTCTGCTCCACCGTCGAGACGAGCATCATTCTCAATGGACAACTTATTAACCAAGAAGAAGGAGAAGAAGGACAAGGATGAGCGACAGCATCGTAGTGAGAAGAAAGTCAGCATGCCGTCTTTCGGCAAGTCTGCTGGCTCAAAATCGAAAGACCGGACTTCGAATAAGCAAGGACCACAGACAGCACCTAAGCCAGCCAGGTTCGAATCCACCATCGAATCAGCTCCACTAGTCATGTATGGCAGCCCTTCACAGTCATCCGGGGCTCTACTTTCAACTCAGATCAAGCTGGTCGTCCAAGATCCTTCAGGTCAGGTCACATTGACGAGGTGGAAGCGAACACTGCGAGCCATTGAGACGAGCAAGAGGCCAGTCCATCGAGATTGCAAAGCTTGTACTGAGCGAGTTGAGATTCTCTCAGAAGCAGAAATCATCTCGAAACCGAAGACTTACTCTGCCTCCGATGACAACACCGTTCCGTTCCAGCATCTATTCAATGGGCGGCTTCCGGCCTCTACAGTGACTCAGCTCGGCTCAGTTATGTACGAGCTGGTGCTCGAGGCAACGACCTCGGAAGGTCAAGAGATAACCTACCAGAAGGAGTTGATACTGCACCGAGCAATCCCAGAAGGCCAACTGAAATCATCAATCAGGATCTTTCCACCAACAAACCTCACAGGCCGCGTACAGCTTCCTCCTGTCGTCCATCCTATCGGCCAGTTCCCGGTAACGATGACTCTATCAGGCGTCGTGGAGAAGAAGCCATCAGCGTCAACGAGATGGCGGTTACGGAAGTTGATGTGGCGCGTAGAGGAGCACAGCAAAGTCACATCGTCACCCTGCAGCAAACATGCCAGCAAAGTGCCCGACGGAAAAGCAGTTCAGCACACCGACACACGCGTCATCGGATCTGACGAAATCAAGAGCGGGTGGAAGACCGATTTTGACACCATTGGCGGCGAGATCAATATCGAATTCGATGCCAGCGTTGCCACCAAGCCCACCCACAAGCCAGTCTGCGACATGGAATCTGCTTCCGGCATCAGCGTTACACACAATCTCGTTCTCGAGCTCATCGTGGCTGAAGAATTCTGCGCGAACAAGAACCCTTCAGTCATCACACCCACGGGAGCCGCTCGCGTTCTGCGCATGCAGTTCGGCCTCAACGTTACTGAAAGAGTCGGCATGGGCATTAGCTGGGACGAGGAGATGCCACCCGTCTACGAAGATGTCCCAGACTCGCCTCCCGGGTATGGCCTGCCACGCCGTCGCAGCCACGATAGTGCCGAGGCCGGCGCTGAGATCCTGGACTATGAAGGACCTGAGCTCGAATACACCGACCTGGAGCGTCTGCCCAGCACTGATCCTAGCATGCCTCCTGTCTATCGTGAGCGCGCTGAACCAACAGTCCCGGCTATTGCAGAGGATGGTCCGAGCATCTTGACTCGGCGCATCGGTGGATTCTCTCTGGACGATATTTCCGCAGAGCACCCCGCGTACCGACGTCGCAGCAGCGCCGAGGCGGAAAGCACAGACAATGCCGCGGAGGATATTGACTACGCTGAAGGCTCTGCAAATTAGAGCTCACTAGCCCTATGTACAAAGGCGATTACATCGACATTCAAGCATTTCGACACCAAGGCCTCCCTCATCACTTACGAATTTCATTGTCGTTCCCAGCGATCATTCAACTCTCCTTCGACACCAGTCAACGCCATAGATTTTCCGACGGCACGCATCTTTCTTACGGCGCTTACCTTTTCATTCTTCAGCAACTTCAGCCAGCCATGATACCCGATATTGCTAGCAGGGGAGCCACTATTGTTTCGTTTCGTTCCTCACGGCCACAAGGGCGAGATTTAGGGGTGTTGTGCAGACACGCGCATAAGTTGGATAAACGCATTATTGCCACGTACGGACTGGTCACTGGAGTCAGTGTGGAAGCATGGCAAGGAAGCGACGGGCAGTACAAATCTTTCGTGCTGTCGAGGCGCTTCGCATTCACATAGCAATACACAATAATCTTATTATGCAGGAACAATATTTGAGTCCGTACGAGATCTCTTGTGCATTCGTGGAAGCGACCATTGGGCCTGCGTAGTTCTTGGATCTCTAGCGGGAAAGTGACGTGCAGCTCAGGTCTCGCGCTACTTCGTCCTTTGTGACGAACTCAGAAGATTTCGGTCGATGCACATAAGGCAACTGTAAGTGCGCGGGCGAGGGGTGTTGACTGAGATTCATTTGTCTAGTCATCTACTGAGTAGCAATTGGCCGCTCTGCTTTCGCGAGAGATGACTTCCTCCACATCAACTGATCAACGACCTCCCTACGTCCTTGGCATATGCATGTCTCTCTTTGCACGGCTTCCATGCGCAAGTCCCCTTCTCACACTGCCTTCTGAACCCCCGAAAGGATTGACAACACGAGAGAGTCGTTTTCGCCAGTCATAGGATCATACGCTCTCAACGAATCCCCTTGCCCCGTCTAGTGCGGTCTGGACCACCGGCTTTGCTTCGGCCAATGTCTTGGGCTGCAGTACGTGACACAGCGCCAGGTCACATAATCACCGACCGCACTGGCGACAACGACCGTTGAAGCACAAAACGGCGAAGGAAGCAAGCCCGCTGACCTTAGGTAATCCATTGCATCGCCAAGACCCCGTTGTCTGGATTACACGATCCCGCTGTGTGGCCGAAAACGCGCGCTTCATCGTGCTCGTTGGGGGTACCAAATATCCGACTAGCAAATCCGAAAGTGGATGACTGTGACGTTATTGCGACAAGATCGGTCTTTGTAATGGGCAACAAGGTGATCGGGCCAATGCTGTCTCGGTCTTGATTCACAACGGCCCCAACCTTACTGTGCTTATAAGGCATCAAGCCCGTTCTCGCTTCCTGCCCACCGGTCAGGCTAGCGTCGCGTTGCCGAAAAGCCAAAGTGTCCGTATGCGTATATCGCACAAGACATCATGTTTTAATGTTTAGCAGGCAAATCGAAGGGAAAATTGGCCATTGTCCGCCTCGCTTATCTGCCCGCTCAGCCAAGCGTCGGCCGCTCAGGCTGACTGTGCGCTTGTCGAGGTGAAGTCGATCCCAGCCTTACGGGCGGTTGGTGCCGGAGTCGTCATAGTCGCCTTCGCATAAAGAATACTGATGATGAGTTGATGCTTTAACCATGCCGCGGCAAGGATCGGGTCGTATATGGGGTCGGGAAAGTAATCGCATACTAGTGGTATAATACACGGATTTTGAGTGGGCCATTGCAGGGCGGCCCCTGGGGTGGTTGCCTTATGCAACTCTCTTATCTCTTGGTACCGCTTATTAGGTTTGTCAGGCTGCCGCTTTGGGCCTGTATCGAGACAGTACAAAGATGGTTGAAATGTCGAATGTTCGAGTGGCTGATATCGGTATCGTTTGGTGAAATAAGGAGGCATGGATCGGGATGGAGGCGTTGGTGCACAATCGCAACATCACCGGTTCCCAAACACCGACCCGCCATCGGAAGATTAGCCCTGGCGCTAGACATCAGACTTAGACCACGCCCGCCTTGGCTCGGATCCCATCAAACACACAAACTCCTTCCACAGGCACATACTGTCGTGTGAGCAGTTTGATAGCCTCCTGCGCCACCATCCCGCCTGTGACACTGCTGATGTTGTGCATCTCTGCGCCCTTGGCACGACGAACTTCCTCGGTGCATTTGTCGATAAGCCCTTGCTTCTCTTCGTCAGATGTCCATGACTCGACATTTTGGCTGAGATATTGTTGGTTGAGGGCAATATAGATGGGGACCATGTCGTTGAAATCCAGCTCAAGGGCGGCTTTGAGAGCAACGTAGGCGATCGGGTCAACCGACGCTTTGAACATGAAGCGAGCTGTTGGTAGCGGCTTGTTCCCCGGGTTTGTGAGGACGCGAACATGGCTGGCATTTTTGCAAAACGCTTCTATCTCTGCTGAATCGATAGGCGAAGCTCGAGACAACGACTTCTCGAGAGACCGAACTGTATCGGTGACTTCCGCGACGTCTTTGCGAGCTTTGCTCTTGTAGATGTTCTGCAGTTTGATGTACCCTTCACTAGTAGCCTTCATGTCTGGTACTGAGCCAGGCAGAGGTAGGACACCATGCTTCTCGTAGAATTGACGTATCGAATGAGCGATCACCCAGAAGTTAGCTGACTCGGCGGTGATACTGGCATATGAACATGAGTCTAGAGCAAACATGTCTTTACAGCCGCTGCCTACGGGCGGCTCCGAGATCGACTTGAGCACCGCAGCGCAGGCCTCGTCGAAGTTTTCCTCGCCGCCTTCAGGATTCGATGTTCTTGCTTTGTCCCGGACGAAATCTCTGAACGCAGTCTTTTCCTTGAAGGTTGACGGAGCTTGACCGTCATGGGTATCCTGCCATTCTTTCAGGTAGTAAAGGAGGATTACCAGGTAGGGGATATGGCCATGATCGTGATTCGACATCTTGCTTATGTCACCCAGCTCCTGCACCATGTCTGTGAGCTCCTTCCAAGGTTGGAGCAAACGAAGATCTTGCGTGGTCTCCGGATCAGGGTGGGTATCAACAATAGGGAATTCTTCCGGAAGCTGTATCGAGAAGGCAGCGTAGAATCCGACGCATTGGATGTGAATGACCGGTACGCCGTATTTCGAGGCATATGTACAGATCGAATGAATCGCTTGAGTGGCACCACAGATGATGAACAGGTTGTATGGCTTCAGGGAGTCATACCTCGGCAGCCACTCACTCAGAGACTCTGAGATAGCATGACCTGTGACATCTGGATTGAGCTCTTCAAGTAAGCGCTTCGTCTCCTCTGCTCTCGACTTGCCTAGGCTGGAGTCTTCGAGGAAGAAGTTCACGCCAAGGTCTTCGTCTCTCACCGTCGCTGCGTCTGCAATCGTGAAGTTGCCGATGCTTGGGAGAATGAGGTTCTTGAGCGTCTCAGCGCCCGCAACGGAGCTGCTTGAGCCTTCTTCATCTTCACCGACGACCAGTAGAACATGTGACTCTTCAAGAGCTCGCTGTCCTGCCGCGGCCCATAGTCTTAACTGACGATCATACTTCTTCTCTTTAGCTGTCGGCGCCTGAATCGGTGGCGGCGTGAGCTCTCTTGGTGCAACCTCGCCCTCCATCACGCTCTCATGCAATCGACGAATAGTGTAGCATCAAATACACGCTTTTCCCGAACGCCATGCAAATGCCGAGTGTTGGAAGAAAACGCTGCGTGATGATGGCAGGTTATTGCAAGTGATGCAGAGGAAATCGAGGCAGTCGCGCAGCGCCCGCCCGGGCGAGTCAAGTGCGCAGATCGGTATCGATAGCATGACTCACCAGTCAAATGCCCCGCGCTGTTCTCCCCCAGAAAATGTGCTGAAAGTCGAATCGATTTCAGTTTCAGCGCAATTCGACCAAGATCAGTCCCTGCCAGAACCTGTGTGCATCTTTGAGGCTATTCGGAGCACCGCTACGACAGAGATTCTAGCTTCAGAGGCTACTCACGACTTACAAACACCATATGCAGTCCTGAGTAAGCTGCTTGGTACGTTTACCAAAAGCAGATGCGCACTGTGTTGGGCAGGTCACTCATATGTAGGTTCAATGCGCGTAGCTTTGCTGGAAAGCTTCTGAACGAAAGACCACAGCTTCACACACAAGTTATACTTTTAAGCCGCGTCTGTATCAAGCAGTAGCGAGTACATTTCCGGTGCCGCCGGCCACGTTTCGGACACGATCATTCACCACAACCCCGAGCCAACGCAGCCGCAGCCGCGACAGTATGGCGGACATTGAGGCAGCAAAGCGTGCGGCAGCACAGGAAGCAGTCAGACAGCACTTCCCAGAGAACCCGCGCTTCGTAGGCATAGGCTCAGGCACAACGGTCAAGTACGTTGTAGAAGCAATCAAGGATCTAGGAAGAGATGTGTCACGGATAGGCTTCGTGCCCACAGGCTACCAGTCGAAACAACTCATCATCGAAGCTGGACTGGTACCGATCGAGTTCGATGCCTTACCTGACGATGCGCGCATAGAAGTTGCGTTTGACGGAGCCGACGAAGTAGACGACGATATGAACTGCATTAAAGGAGGAGGTGCCTGCCTGTATCAGGAGAAGCTTGTCGCGATGCGATCAAAAGTCTTCATCTGTGTTGCCGGTAGGGCATCATGCCCCGAGCGGACTCAAACACGAAGCGCTGACTGGTGAGCAGACCACAGGAAACTGCAATCGCGGCTACTTACAAAGTGGCCGACCATCCCAATCGAGGTCGAACCAAAGGCCGCTCGTCAAGTGATGCAACGTCTGAAGATCCTGGGGAGCAGAAGTCCCGACGGAAAAGGTCCTTTCATCCGCGAAGGCGCCATGTTGAAGGCAGGGCCTATCAAGACCGACCAGGACTTTTACATCATAGATGCACCATTCCCACATCCTCTTCTTTCCGCCGAGGATCTGGCCAACGGTATGACATCAGACAGTAGCAGAGGTATCTGGGACGTTGAGGACATTGCACGAACCATCAAGGACATCAACGGAGTGCTTGCCGTCGGCCTCTTCTGCGGACCCACCGGGCCTGAGGCAGATGCTGCTGGTGTGGTGGGAGGTCAGAGACCTATCGCATGCTACTTTGGCATGCCCGATGGCTCGGTCACTCTGCGCAAAGCAGGCAAGAAGCGAGATTCGGTCGTCCACCAATATCCTCCGATACAGCCGGTCGTGTCGAATTCGCACTGAGAGAACAGCTGGATGCAGGAATCGCGACTGTGTAGAGGCGTCATTTGGCTTTCCGCTTGACCTCGTTTTCTCCGAGTTCTCGTAGATAGACGCCCACTGTACCTTCAGCCAGCTCATCCTTGCCATCTTCGAAGCCAGGACTGATAGCTGTTGCCAAATACTTCCCATCTGAGCTGAAGGACAAGCCGGCTATGCTGGAGGCCAGTTTAGGATATATGCGGATTCTTCGTTTTGCGACAGCATCCCAGATGGCAACGACTCCATCACCACCTCCAGTTGCAAACGTGCCATGAATTGGGTGAAATGCAATAGAGTTGACCGGATAGACCACATCAACATCATCGACTGGCTGTCGATGGCATTTGAATGCATACTTCCGGGCTTGTGAATCATTCGAAGGGTCAAACCACTCCACAGCGACCCGTCCTTCGATGCTTGACGTAGCGTAGCCTTCGTCATTCGGCATGCAGGAGACCGCACGAGTCATAAACTTGAGACTGCTTTCCCTGTGCTGCCACGGCTCTGTCTTGAGCACGGCAGGACTCTGACCTGCCGAGGACTTCAGCGCTTGTGACAGTGAGCTGAGCTCGTAGATGTAGAGAGCACGAGAGGCCATGACCACGACAAGCTTGGTTGTCGACAGATCTAGAGCATGCGGCTTCGACGGAAGCTCAATCTTCGCAGGTCTCTGGTCGCTTTCGCCCGGGACACCTCCATGATGTATGTGCAGCGTCGAGTCCCACGCAGCCGAGACCAGGATGTTGTGCTGTTTACTGTACACTACAGACTTGACGCCGCTCGTATGGGTGCTCATGACTTGTGTTTCGCCGTTGGATACGTCAATCCTGAGACTGTCAGCGAGGTCCTCTTGTCGTCTTCACGCGATCCTTACCGAATCACCGACATGTCCAGGCCAGCTGTATAGATCACGTTGTCATCCTCGCCAAAGCACGCATCGAGCACGGGCGCTGCATGTTCAAATTTTGCGACTTGAGTGCAGGACTTGCCTTGAGAGAGCTCGTAGATGTACGCATGCTTGTCCCAGGAAGACACCACGAGCTTGTGTGACCCCGCGTGTGGCGAGAACTGGATCGAGGAGATGGCATCGCTAGGAGGGTCTGCGATCGAAAACTGGTCTGCGAGTGGTCAATAATGGCGCTGTCGAGGCATCTCCGTGTGACTTACTTGACTTTGCGTCCGACGACATCGCGTCTACTGCACACAGCGGCGCTGACTGGACGTGTTCAGCTTCTGCTCGTGTGGTTGTTGGAAATAAGTGAGGGCGACAGTAAGGTGTTTTCAGTGAGAACGGTTCGTCTCAAAATAATAGGTAACGCGGGGAGGATGAGCCGAAAATCACCCACCCTGTACCTACTAGTTAATGCGCAAAAGTCCCAAACACCCGTGGACGAACTCCTCTTGAAAAATCACGGTGTGTAATCAATAAGACGAGGCGAGGCGAAGACCAGATCCCCGTTTCTAAATGTTGAACTTCGAGGATGACAATATAGCTGCAATGACTCACGCTCAATCTCTGAGCACCGACCTAGCATAGAAGCACCTCACCATGCCGACACTCACCCCATCTTCGCTGACGTCTGGCTTCTTTCAAGAACTCCCCACGGTCTTGCCGGCCTACACTTCACACCCAAGCGCCGTCGCATGTACTTCCCCGGGCCATGTCCATGGCGACGACCCAGTAGTTTCCCGCCTCATAGCCCTGTACCTCCCCTCTCCCACGCCATCCCACATCCCAACACATCTCCACAACCTCTCCCGCCAAGTCATCTCACCAGATACACTCGCTCACACCATCGATGCTGACACAAACCCACCGACTCTGCACCCACTAACAACCTTCGGCGCACCCAACAACACCAATGCCCTGCGCACGTCTCCTGGCTGGAAAGCACTCAAGGACATTCAGACCAACAACGGCGTCGTAGGAAATGGATATCCCCAACCTCCAGATGCATGCTCCTCCCAGCAAGGCGAGGTGGAGTATAACTTGCGTGTGCATCAGTTCCTGACACTGCATATATGGGAGGCTTCAGCTGCGGTGGTGACATGTCCGGTGGCGATGACGGATGGTGCTGCTGTGCTACTGCGGAAGGAGCTGGGTCGGCATGATCTGGATGCAAAGGCGAGGAAGGTCTTCGGTGCAGCGTATGAGCGGCTGATCAGTAATGATCCGAAGAAAGCATGGACGAGTGGGCAATGGATGACAGAGAGGAGTGGTGGGAGTAGCGTCGCTGGGACGGAGACTGTGGCGAGGAAGATGGGAAGGGAGGAAATTGAGAGGGAGCGAAGAGATCGGAGAGATGTTGATACGGAGGGTAATGCATTGGGGGAGTGGTTGATTAGTGGGTTCAAATGGTTCAGCTCAGCGACGGATGCGGATTGCGTGGTGTTGCTGGCGAAGACGGAGAAGGGCATCAGTGCGTTCTATGCGCCGATGAGGAGAGCGCTGGGAGGTGGAAAGGAGGGAAGTGTGATGAACGGCGTGCAGATTAGCAGGTTGAAGAATAAATTGGGGACGAAGGCTGTGCCGACGGCGGAATTGGTGATTGACGGTATGAGAGGTTGGTTGCTTGGTGAGGAAGGGAAAGGCGTGAGGATGATTTCGGCGATATTGAACATTACCCGACTGCACACAGCGCAGAGTGGTGTAGGGATGTGGAGAGGCGGCCTTGCAGCGAGCAGGGCATTTACGAGAGTCAGAAAGGTGCAGGGAGGCAAGAGACTGGAAGACAATGTACAGCATATGAAGTGGATGGCGGACGAGACGGTGGCGTATCGAGCGATGACCAACTTGTATATGTTTGGTGTGGCACTACTGGGTCACACAGAGTATACCGGACCTACGACTAAGGCGCATGAGATGAGCCTTCTCCCAGAGAAGCACGCAGATGCGGATGCTCTATTGAGGCTATTGACACCTGTGATGAAGGCCTGCTGTTCACTTCGGGCGGTCGAAGGTCTGCGAGCATGTATGGAAAGTCTTGGTGGCGTGGGATATTGCGAAAACAACGAAGACGATGGAGTGCTGAATATTGCACGACTTTTCCGTGATGCAAACGTGAATCCGATCTGGGAAGGAACGACATCTGTTCTCGCAGAAGACATCGTGAGGGCATTGCAGATCAAGACAAGAGGTGTTGCGGAATTCGAGAAGGTATATGGTCAGTGGTTACAGAAGGTAGTTGCGAGCATTGCAGCGAAGGCACGACACCTGTTTAACAGAGAGATCAGGGCAGTGCAGGCAGTGTATTTGTCATTCAAGAGGTCACTGCAAGATAAGAGCGAAGAGCAGATACTGTGGCAGGGACGATCGATGTTGGCGTATTTCGAGGCTATCACGACTGCAATTGTGCTGATGGCAGATGCATGTGTCGACCTTGAGGAAGTCGCGATTGAGGTAGCACGAAGATGGGTGCGAATGAAAGTCAGCGCAGGCCGTGGTGAGGTCGAGCATTGGGCAAAGGAGGTTGATCTTGACCGAAAGATTTTCCTAGGCCAGTCCAAGTCTCCTGCATCAGAGTCTGCTGGCAATTTGTCGAAGCTGTAGTGGACAAAGCGCTCATGATCGTGGAAGTATGAAGCTCGCCCCATCAAGTAGCAGTAGATGCTGCCTTGACATGGCATGATATGCCACCAGTCGAAGTAGTTGCTTGAGGAAAAGAAGGAAGGGAGAGAGTCGTGGGCAGGACAACTACTTATACTCCTTCAGAATAGTGAATATTGAGGGGAACAGAGAGCATTCACTCTCCTCACTCGGCCAGGAAGCATTCACTTGTTGGTGCACGTTGCTAGGACTCACTGCTGATGGCTAAATACAGAGGCAGCTGCGAAGGTCGTGCAAGACTGGACGATAGAAGGCGCAAATTGGGCCGGAACGACAAGAGAATGAATGCCGACCGCACGTGGGCCCGATGGCTTGACACAGGCTAGACACCTCAAGACAGACCTGAACGCAGTACTTCAAAGACCGCTCTAATTGCTACAGCCCGTACCCTTTCCACCAAGCATAAGCTGCCGGCCCAGCCACACCTCCTATCGCACCTATCAGTCCCATTTCCAGTACCGCCCACACCCACATCGTCCCAACACTCGGCGCCTTCTTCATCACCGCGTAGTACCCTCGATCGTTACTCAACATCAACAGATAGCAACCGGCCACATTCGCCACCACCAGATACACTATACTCCGCAACAAGAACACCGCAGCCCTAGCCCTCTCCTCTGTCACGCTTAACCCCAACAGGTGGCCGCGGAAGAAATGTACCAACAGCGACAGCGTCGGAAACGCGATGAAAAGGCTTTGCGTGATCAATGGCGGAAAGTAGAGCTTTTGAGCATACTGGTGCATCGCTAACACCGAAAGAGTGAAATGGATCATGGTGAGCGGTAATGAAAGCAGTAATGTGTCGAGCCACGGCGCGATATCTGCCTCCCCTGCACCAAGCGCTCCTGAACCTGCACTTAGTCGGTCGGCATCCTCAACGACAACTTTTCCCGTTCCATCGACCTTGGAGGACAGTCCAGCAGGCAAAGGCGAGCCGTCAAGCGTTCGCACTTCGCCTGTGGTCGGATCGATCGTCACATTGACCACATTTGACTCCTTGATCTTAGCCCCAGTGGGCAAATGGTCGCCTAGTAGTTGTGACTGACGCTCTGCGGCGATTTCGAGGAGGGTCTTGGCTGGTTTGCTCTTGTTCCGCGGATCATCGGAGGCCCGAGTGTGCGGTATGCTGTCGGCAGTGGTGGTTGCAGAGGCTTGCTGCGCACGTCGTTGCCGGCGGTTTGACATGGCTTGCAAAGCCACTTATGTGACCAATTTGTGACGAGGTTCCGGCCCACCAGTTTGCACGAAATACGTCTTGTATCCCGGAGGTTCGTGGTTCAAAGCACTCCAACCAAAGCACCCTTGATCACTGCAGTACCGCAAAACCCTCTGAGCATCACCATGCGCGTGGATTCCGTACGTCGTTGACGATTTTGGAAGGATATGCAGAAAGCAGTAGCAGAAAGCAGAAACAGAACTCATCAGACCCCGATATCACGTGCACGATTGTAACATTAGACATTGCCTAAGACCGGTTGACAGCAGATCGAGAAGACCGGATGACGAAGATTTCCCTCGATTTTACGAAATCGACAACGACGTTGACCTCCTCCATACTTCGAGTACTGCACATACAAGGACCTCGACATGCTCTTCCAATATACACACCTCGCCCCAGCTACGATCCGCCTCGCCAGCTTCACCCCTAGCGCCACATCCACCTCCATCTCCCTCCACCTCGAGCACCAACCCAACTACAGCTCCCCTACATCAAGGTCCTACACCGTGCTTCTCACCCGTCCAGACCAATCCAGCGCAGAGCGCAAATCAATTACCCTCCACGGCCGTACCCGCCTGGTCCCAAGCAACGTACACGATGCCCTGAGCGTCATTCTACGACATCATCGAGAAACGCTCGGGCAGGCAAGGCTGTACATGGAGAGTATCTGCGTGAATGCTCGGGACGAAGCGGAGGTAGCCAGTCAGAATGCACAGCGGGAGTTGATCTGGAGGTGTGCGGAGGCAGTCATAGTGTGGTCTGGGGATGGCGAGGATGGGTCTAGCAATGGGCATGGGCTGTTTCCGAGGCTGGCAAAGGCAATGGAAACGAAGGGCGTGCAACCTGTGAGAGATGCAATTGAGAGAGGTGGCGGGACGGAAGACGAAGCAGGGATGAGACAGTTGGCAGACGTCGTGAGAGCGGCCACGGCAGGGGCGACTTTATCGAAAATCCAGAATCTGGAAGCGTTGCTTGGCGAGCACAGGATTGCAATCAAAGACTGCGATGGCAGAATGACCTCTGAGGAGCCAACGATCACGGCACTGCAGTCAGACGAACATGCAAACAAGAAGGCAACTCTGTAAGCGACGATGGAATTCTTGAATCCGCCTACTTCATCGTCCCGTACTGGTCAAATGTCAGGCGACCCTCGTCGCCGAATACCACGCAGCCTGTCTCTTGACCTGGAAGTGCCCGATTGCCGTTGTTTCGAGTGTTCTTCGTCGCCGGTAATTGCCCCATACCGAGAGTAGTCAACCCACTGGATAGTTCGGTGGCTGATGGGGACATCAGCGCCATGAAGCGCATCCCGAGGACAAGACGTGTCCAAGGTTTGTGTTTGGAAGCTCCAAGGGTCCAAGGTTAAGTGACCGTAAGGATGCCTACAACGGCTGAATGGTCCCGAGACCAGATGGCACCTGGAATTCTGAATGGGGACTTGTCCGCGTAGGGGTGCGTTGCGGAACTCGGTGACACCACCAGATGGTTGGCCAGCATTTCGAACGCCTGGGTCTGAAGCCTGAGCAGATTCAGCTGTGTCATGGAGACGCTCTCGTTGTTCTCGACTGGAGCATGTTCATGTCCGGTAGCTGGGAGCTGGCACCGCCCGGCTTCAACATCGTCGGATACGGAGTGATCGTATTGATCGCGGGTAATGATTTTCGATGACTAGTCGTGGACGCCACGAGCTGGAGCAGCACCCTCGACATGCTCAGCAATCGATGCGTCATTCGTGAAAGCCCCGAAGACGTCCTCTGAATCTTCTCGCTTAGTCGACCGACCTTGTCGAGTCTTCTTAGTCTTCGCTGTGCGGCTCTTCCTCTGCCTCTTCGGCTCCGATGCCTCGCCAAGCTCGATACTATCAGCACGACGCTTTCCTTTGGTGTCTTTGAGTGTCTTTAACGTAAGCAGCTTCATTTGCAGTGGGATTAAGGTGCGCCCAGGCCCTTTCACGTCCTTGATCTTCAATGTCTGGCGGCAAACAGGACAGTGTCCATCGTGAGTTTTTCGGGCGGGATGTTCGTCCCGATCTTGTTGTGCAGACCACTTGAGGGTGTCGACAATGCATCTGTGGCAAAAGATGTGGCCGCACTTAGTGACAGTTGCCCGACTGAGGCTGTCCATGCAAATTGGGCACTTGAAAGCGGTAAAGAACGTTCTCCCCTCTTCCGTGGCTCCAGGGGCACGCTGGGCTAGGATAGCTTCTGCTCGTTGCTTTGAGAGCACATTTGCCACTTCGGCACTGCTGTCGACATTGGTCAGATCGACCGACTCGATGGCAGAAGTTGGCGGCATTTCGTCCGCTGCTTCCTCCTCCGCGGATGACTCAGAATCGTCAGATGAAAGCGAATCGAGATCGTCGTCTGAAGATAGCGATACGTCGTGGTGTCGCGTGTGTAGAGCCTCTTGATAATGCCTAAGGCGAGCCTGAGTCTGCTGCCAAGTGATCCGATTCTGCCGTTGGCGTCGAACGGCGTTGTCTTCTTCACGTGCGGTCGAGTGCCTCCGACTGCTGCTCAGTAACTGACGGGCACGTCTCTGGAATGCTTGTGCTCTTTGACTACGAGCACGATCGAGTGAGTCCGACGCCTGAGTGGGTTGAGCTGGTGGCGGTGGTGCGACGTAGCCGTAGACTGGATCACTAAAGAAAGACGGAAGTCGCAAATGGTGACTGAAGTGACTGCGATTGTCGTCAGGATGTGTTGTTGAAGATATAAAATCGGCCGCGGCCCCACCCGGTTCACGTGAATGTGTTCGACGACCTTCACTGCGATCTAATGAAGGTGGGCTGCCCGTAAGATCGATTGGAACTCTGACAGTCCCCCTTGTGTGAAAAGCCTCTTCAGCGTTCGCTACTGCCCGACTTGTGCGGCGGATAGCACTTGCAAAAGACTCGTGGGTGCCACTGTCAGGTGGCTCGGGCAAGATCGCCTCTGTTCTGAGCGATGGATCCGGCATGGCAGGTGCCGGGCCCTCGAAGATATCTCGAAAGAGTCGAGGAGGTGCTACTTGCAGAGGGCCAACGCGGCTGGTCCTTGTTGTGGGAGATGGCGGTCTAGGAGGGAAGTTACGGCTGCCGTATCGGGTGGCGGACGTTTCTCTGTTGGAGGGAAAAGGAGGAGAGAAGGTGAACTGTAGAGGCGGACTGCTCATTTCATAGATGATGCATGTTCCGATTTGTCAGAAGACAATAGCATATGAGCTTCCTGGATGGCAAAATCCATCCACGCAGTCCTGCTGCAGAGGTCTTCAAGTGCCACCCTCAGACAACAACGCATGATGTCGTTGGCCATTGTCGCCCGAAATCGCCAATTTCTTAACTCCGGGCGACTGCAAGTCCTCCTGCTACCCTAAACCAAGGTGAATTTAGCGTGACAGAACGGCACCCGACTGCAGGCAATCGATAGCGCGTCGACTTTGGCACTGGTGGAGCTCGAACCCTGAAGTCACCACCCCTGCCCGCCCTTTTTCCTTTGGTGAGAAATGGTGATGGTATGAAGCACTGACTCCCTCCGTGGGCAGAACTCCCAATGTACCAACACATGTGACATCGACAGCGACTGTGCGCCAAAGAATGCTTTGGCCTCCGGCTCCGGCGCAGTGTGCGAGAGGCTACACACGAACAGCTCAGAAATTCCGGTTACGCCCCTACTATGCCTGTCGCGCGACACACATCCTGCGACGCCACTATGCTGTCGCAGCGGAGGCCTTCAACAATGCGGACACGAGACCGTCCGCCTCGTTGGCGCGACCATCTGATGCGCGCTACAATCCTATTGGAGTGCAACAATTGAGCAGCCAGCTTCATCCGCAGATATTCCCGGGCAGATCATTTGTTCCTCAGTCCGAGCTCGTTGACTTGTCGAAAGACCACCTTCGGCGCCATGAACTGCTCGGGAAGAATCAAGATGACAATCCGCCCATCGGCCTCGAGACGCCGCCGCTGCAGGGATCAACAATGGATGAGCATTTCCAGAGACTGGGACAAGACGCCGCTGCGCCGTACCTCGATCTAGCGAAGCAGTTCGTCCGGGCCAATCCGCCACCGAGACCACGCAAATGGATTCGTCGAAGTGGGTGGACCAAGTACAACGCAGACATGACGAGCGAGGAGATTGCTGCGCCTGATGAACAGATGCTCTCCTTTGATGTTGAGGTCATGTGGAAAGACAATAGCTACGCCGTCATGGCTTGCGCTGCCAGTCCGACAACGTGGTATGCTTGGATCTCGCCTTGGCTCCTCGGCGAAACAGAGGACTATAAGCAATTGATCCCACTGGGCAATCCAAATCAGGCCCGGATAGTCGTTGGCCACAATATTGGCTACGATCGCGCTCGGGTCAGGGAAGAATACTCGCTGGAACAGTCCCGGAACTTCTTCATTGATACTATGTCGCTACATGTCGCTGTCAACGGCATGTGCTCTCGCCAAAGGCCAACCTGGATGAAGCATAAGAAGAATCGAGATCTGCGAGACAAAATGTCGGGCGACCACAACTCAGTCGAGCTGCAGACAATGCTCGAAACTAAAATGCTCAGCGAAGAGGAAGAGGAGCTGTGGGTCGGACGCAGCTCTATCAACTCGTTGCGAGATGTGGCCAAGTTTCATTGCGGCGTGACCATCGACAAGGCGCAACGCGACTATTTCAGCGAGCTAGATCGGGACGTAATTGTGTCGAAGCTGGATGAGTTACTCGACTACTGCGCAGCCGACGTCTCGATCACCCATCGAGTCTATACCAAGGTGTTCCCAAATTTCCTGGAGACGTGCCCACATCCCATCAGTTTCGCAGCTCTGCGGCATCTCTCCTCAGTCATCCTCCCAGTCAACGAGTCCTGGCAACAGTATCTCCATGATGCCGATGCAACGTACCACCAACGACTCAAGGACGTGGAAGAACGACTGATGAAGCTTTGTGACGAAGCTCTTGCTGTCAAACAACAGCCAAATGTGTACAACAATGATCCCTGCTCGCTCAGCTGGACTGGGCCGGTCAAGAAATAAGGTACAAGAAACAAAAGAAGAAAGACGCTCCTCTGGAGCCAGTAGCCAGACAAAAGAAGCCTGGCATGCCGAATTGGTACCGCGATTTGTTTGCCTCAAGTTCTGGGCCTATCAGTCTGACGGTTCGCACCCGCATTGCGCCGTTGCTGCTGAAGTTATCCTGGGATGGCTATCCGTTAGTCTGGTCAGACAAGAATGGTTGGACATTCCGGGTCCCTGTGAAGGACGAGACCAAGTACGAGAACAGCAATGTCACACGAGCGGACATGCTAGAAGAGACGAATCTGACGTTGAAGGACGACTATGCTCACGTCTATTTCAAACTACCACATAAGGATGGTCCCACGGCTCGGTGTGCCTCGCCATTAGCCAAAGGGTATCTACAATACTTTGAAGCTGGAGCATTGTCTTCAAAGTACGAGCTTGCCAAAGAAGCCCTCGAGATGAACGCGTCCTGTTCTTACTGGATCTCCGCCAGGGACAGGATCAAGTCTCAAATGGTCATATACGAAGCTGAACAAGACCAATCAAAGTCAAGCTCTCAGCAAGGCTTCATTCTGCCTCAGATCATTCCCATGGGCACCATCACCCGAAGAGCAGTCGAGAACACCTGGTTGACAGCATCCAATGCCAAGGCAAATCGAGTTGGCTCAGAATTGAAGGCGATGATCAAAGCTCCTCCTGGCTATGCATTCGTTGGCGCTGACGTCGACAGCCAAGAGCTATGGATCGCATCTCTCGTTGGTGACGCCCAGTTCCAGCTTCACGGTGGCAATGCCATTGGGTTCATGACTTTGGAAGGCACCAAAGCCGCGGGAACGGATCTGCATTCCAAGACAGCCAAGATTTTAGGTATCTCCCGAAATGATGCAAAGGTCTTCAACTATGGACGAATCTACGGCGCCGGACTGAAATTCGCTGCGACTCTGCTACGTCAATTCAACCCAACACTGTCAGAAAAGCAGACCACAGAAATTGCTCAGAAATTGTACAAAGAGACGAAAGGTACCCGAACGCGACGTAAGGCGCTCGGACAGGGCACCTTCTGGCGTGGCGGCACCGAGTCCTTCGTCTTCAATAAGCTAGAGGAGTTCGCAGAGCAAGAACGACCGCGAACGCCAGTCCTAGGAGCCGGAATCACTGAAGCTTTAATGCGACGCTTCATCAACCAAGGCTCGTTTATGACCAGTCGCATCAACTGGGCAATCCAAAGTTCCGGAGTCGACTACCTTCATCTCTTGATTGTCTCCATGGACTACCTGGTGCGCCGTTTCAACCTCCGCGCCCGCCTTGCAATCACTGTACATGACGAGATCCGCTATCTGGTGAAGGAAGAAGACAAGTACAAAGCCGCGATGGCGCTTCAAATCGCCAATCTCTGGACACGTGCGATGTTCTCCCAACAAATGGGCATCGACGACCTGCCACAGTCCTGTGCTTTCTTCTCGGCTGTCGACATCGATCATGTGCTGCGCAAGGAAGTCGACATGGACTGCGTCACGCCCAGTCATCCCAATCCGATACCCGCAGGCGAGTCATTGGACATCGTCCAGCTGATGGACAAGGGTGATGCAGCGAAGCTTGACGAGTCTGTCGTGCCGGATTTACCAATCGACCTGTCGGGCTATGTCTACGACCGTCAGCCGACTGTCATGTCAAGTCTCAACTCGAGCACGGGTCTGCGCTACTTAAAGGCGCAAATCACCGCGGACGACAAGGAGCTGAAAGCCATTGTCAAGGAGGCTGAAGATAGTGGTGAGAGTGGCAGCGGTTCAGCCACGACGAGCGGCAAAAGCACAACCACAAAGTCAACAACCATCCCTAAAGGCCCACGTGGCCGGCCACCGAAGCCGAAGGTCCCGCCACCGCCATATGCTCAACCGCAGCAGGCGGTGTTGATGGAGGTGGAAGACCGCTGGACGGCGGGATTCCATAGGGCGATGAAGGGCGGAAAGGAGACGCGGCCGTGGCTCATGGCTGGTAGTGGTATGAAGAGGGCCTCGGTGGGAATGGGCGGGCCCGGAGGTCTCAGTAGCACTAAAGGGTCGTGGGCTGCTGACGGATGGGAGGTCTGATTGTTTGATCAGGCAGACCAGCGGAGCAGGAGATGGTCGAGTCTTGCTTGGCCGGTGTACGAGTTCACGATTGGGCTTTGGTCTGTTATTGGGAGTACGGTTACTAAGAAGAGGTGGGAAAGACTAGTGTACATATCTATATAATGTGTGCTATAGTGTAAACGTACAATCAGTGCTTATGCACAACCAGCGTCGCTATGCTTTTGGGTATCGTAAGTGTCTTTGTCTTTGCCTGCGGCTGCTCCGTTTCCTCTCTCCCAAAGCTCCTTCTTCGGACTGTTTCTCCATCCTCTGTCGCAAGCATTGACCTCCTGCCCGTGGGCGCCGCGGTAACACTTTCTCGACCACAAACAACTCGGCACTCGCGAAGCAGTGATATCATTCTCAACCGCCCTCACAGTCCCTTAGCAGCCGCCTTCCTCGCATCCCTGATCTGCCGCCTCGCGGCACTCATACTCCCGCCCATGCCCTCTAACATGTCTTCACGTTGCCTAAACCCATGCTCCGAACTCACGTCATCCAGCACGAACCTCCCCATCTCGCCCCATCGCCAGCGCTGAATGAATTGCAGTGCCGCGGCCTCGTAGTCCGGCTCGCCGCCTTTCTTCAGCCTCCCTTGCTTCAGCGCCAGCGCTTTCAGTACTGCAGCGATATCGTTTGTTGGTTGCGGGTGGTACGCTGCGTACAAGGCTGGCGAGTGTAAATTCAGATGGTACAGTAGATAATCCGCCACAGTCTCAGGCGGGACGATCGTGTCCTTGACACTCCCGCACAAACACAATTTGAGCATAGACTCCGCGTCAGGGATGTAGTGCGTGAAGACACCCGGTGTGTCGACCACATAGACCGTTCCCGCTTCGCCCTGTCCGGAACCGCGCGGTGGCTCGATGATCTTGACTGCAGACTCGATCTTGCGTGTGATCCCCGGCTGATTTCCCGTGCGCGAGGCTTTGCCCCTGTTCAAGCTGACCTTACGCAAAGAGTTGAGCAGCGTCGATTTGCCGACGTTGGGCATACCCACGATCAGCACGCGGGTGCCAAAGAGGTGGCTCGAGCTACTGTTGGCGTGGTTGCGGCAGAAGGAGAGGATTGCTTGTAGGCCCTTTTTGCTGGTTGACGAGGTGAAGAGGACCGGCGTAGGCGCATACCATTTGGAGACGATCCCTTCGCGAGCAGTATCCTGGGCGGTGTAGTTGCTGCCGCGGTCTTGTTGGGTGTAGACGATCAGGCGCGGGCGTTCGCCGAGGGAGGACTCGAACAGAGGGTTGCGGGAGGTCAGAGGGAGGCGATAGTCGCGGCATTCGATTACGAGGTCGATGGAGGAGAGGAGGGATTTCATGCGCGTGAGGCCCGCGGCGTGGTGGCCCAGGAAGTAGGACCGTGGGACGGAAAGGGAGGGGAAGCTCGCGCGGGGGATGAATGCTGCCATTGCGGCAGGTTGTGAGGGTGGATGGGTGGTAGGCTTATTGGCTTATGGCGTGCCATACTGTTCGGCCGTTGCTCATACAGGCGACGGTGAGACAGAGGTGAGTGTTGAAGGCCATCATGCCGAAAGATCTTGGGTTTGTCAAAGTTGAAGTTGGAGTACATGGCCACGGTCAACCGGTCTCGATTGGCATTCTTTGTCGTCCGGCGACAGACAAGCCGGGCTGACATCTAGTCATCCGGTTTGGCACAGAGCCACAGCTTGGTAGTTATCTCGCATATAAACGGACCCAAGTGTGTAGTAGGGACATGGTGTATCACCGGCATAAGACACATGGTCACCCGCGATATTAGCCTGCAGGAAACCGGTCAATTTCGCAGCGGCACAATGTCGCAACAAAGTCTCGTTGTAGGCAGCTGGGTCGAGGCAAATATATTCGTCTCTGTTGAATCTGATCTACAGCTTGACCTCCTTTCTGAACTGCAAATCCGCTCTGCTCAGATCTTGCACCGATCTCTTCCCAACTAGTCCAAGCATGTTGTCAGTGTCCGCAAGCAGACATCTCAACACATGCTCGACGCCTTCTTGACCGCCGAACGCCAAACCATACATGAACGGTCTCGCCACCAAAACAGCCTTCGCACCCAGCGCCAGAGCCTTGAGCACATCTGAACCCGTCCGAATGCCACTGTCGAACAGTACGGTCAGACCACTCGCCTTGACCTTTTCGTCTTCTCCAATCTCCGCCAGCGCATCGAGACTTGCTATCGCCCCATCGACCTGCCTGCCTCCATGGTTTGAGACTATGATCCCGTCCATGCCGTACTCAATCGCAAGATGCGCATCCTGGACACTCTGAATGCCCTTGAGCACAATCGGCCCATCTCCCCACAGCTTTCGTAGCACTTTCAGGTGGTCCCATTGGCGAAACGTGCCGCTGTTCATGACGCCCAACCATGCTCTAGCTTTCGCGATGTGCTTCAGATTCGTGAGCACCTTTGCAGCACCAAATATGCTTCCCGGTCGGCGCAGCACATCGATCGCCTCCCGAAGCTTCTCGCTGGACGAGCGTGGATCTGCTGCGGCTGAATCTTTGTATATTTCGTCGAAAATCGGGTCGCTAAAGCCAATTTCACATCCTTCGCCGTAGATCTATCTTCCAGTCAGTCTCGTCTCGAACTCAGCTCACACCTGTGTGGTCTGCAGATGTCTCTCGTCCGAGAAAGAGGCACTTACGAAAGGAAGGTAGCTGTGGTCCAGGTCTGTAGGCCTCCAAGCTAGAGCAAAGGTATCCAGCGTGACGACAAGAACGGAGTAGCCATTTGCCTTTGCTCTCGACAGCAGCGAAGCCGTCACTTCCTCATTCTGCGGCCGAGGCCAGTACAGCTGATACCACCGCTTGCTGCCTTCACCGTTCGCTTCGGCAACTTGCTCGATCGACCGTGTTGCAGCAGTGGACAGAATCATTGGTACACCGACCTTGGCACAAGCTCTAGCTGTTGCTTCCTCGCCATCACGGTGCATGATCGACTGCACTCCGACAGGAGCAACGAGGAGTGGATGTGGGTGTCGAGCGCCGAACAGGTCAACACTCAGGTCTCGTCTGGTGGCGTTGACGAGCATGCGCGGACGAAGCCGGTAGTCGTCAAAAGCTGCTCGATTCGCTGCATAGGTACTGCCTGTTCCACACGAGCCGAAGACATAGCCGAAATTCGGTGCTGCGACGGCGCGGCGAGCAGCAGCTTCCCATTCTGCTGGCTTAGTCGAGAAGCGTGGTGGTCGAAGGCCGGAGTAGATGTCTGTAGGAGGTCTCAGCGTGAGTTCTCCTTATCGACGCGGCTTCCCGTGAACTGTGTATGTAGGACCCATGCCCTTCGCTTGAGTTTAACATATGGTACCGCTTACCTCTTTGATACGACGAGTATGCTTCGACTTCTGGCTCCTCATACGGCTGATTCAAGTGCTGCTGGCGGACTGATTTTGCCATTGTATGGATGTATGCTACCGGCGAGACTGAGACTTGTCCTCCGATGAAGTTGTTAGACGTCGAGGAGACTAGTACTATAGAGCTATGCCCTGGCGTTCGTTCATTCTCAAGTCAGACGCGATGAAACAGCAGACCTCGGGAGCCGAGGCATTCGTTCATTGACCTGCATGATTGGCCCCATTCCTCGTGGACAAGCCTGTACGCGAGACCCGACCACTCACCACTCCTATACGCGACACCCGACCGCTCGAGGACCCAATGTGCAAAGCCTGCCAGCTCTCGTGTCGTCTGCTCACGTGTTGTTGAAGAGCAAGAGGATGGCTTATCAGTCAAAGAAAGCTTTTTTCGACCAACACTGAACCACTCAAAGAGCCACGAATCCACAAGTCGGCTACGGAGAGGGGTTCTCCGCAATATGCAACGCAACGGTACACAGCTGCTTTCTTAGTGACACTTATCGAGGAAAGCGCCCTGCTGCAAGAGCGCCTGAGACGGGGCATGTCCACGAAAATGCAATTGTCTTGACCTGAAGCAAGACCTGGGCCGTCAAATGCTGGATCTCACAGTAGGTCATGGCATTGGTACAGAACTGGGCGAGAGATGTGGTTCGCAGCCACACGTCTACGTTGATCTGGTCTGCGCTCGTGCTAGGCCTCGTCGGTGTTATCGCATTGACCCTGAGCGCACAGCAAAGACGGACGATTTTGGATCATTTAGGACTTACCGCACCAAGAATACCGAACCTAGAAGTACCGAGATCACCATCACTTGGACAAAAAGCAGTTCCGCCCACTCGAGGTGAGTATGCGACGACCCTTCCACCGTCGCAAAGACACGTGTTAGATAAGGTGCGACTCTCGTTGCCGGATGGCCAGAACGTTGGGCTCGGCGAGGTGGTTGTGGATGAGGACACTTTCTACCAAAACCTCGTGGGATTCGAAGAAGACTATCGAGAATGTGATCAGAACAAGTTTCTGCCCAGTGGACTACGAATCCGGGAGATCGATGAGATAGGCGACTTCCCGGACTTCGAGCTTCTGACTGAAGTTTCACACCCACGTCCGTACCATGAATTCGACATCGACAAAGCACTTCCACGTCCCTACCGGCCGCTTCGATGGCCCTACCACCAGACCATGTCCTTGTCAAAGCTTGAGCCAGACTGGTGGATAGAGCTCGAGAGCAGCTATCGAGCCCGAATAGCGCAGCGGAAGACCTTGTTTGAGAAAGATGGTGAAGCCATTCTGGCATACCTGCCAGGCTCTGACCTTGCCTGCAAGGAGCTGATGGAGATGGCACTACAATACGTAGTGCACCGCTACCCGCATTACTTCTCGTTGAGCCACAACATTCCTAGCAGCAACGGCGATCGCGAGACAACGACCATCTTCCACAACAAGATCCTTAACGTTTCCACAGATGTGTACTCCATACATCCACTCCACGTACTGCTCGAGCATATACCCGAAGACTTCGTCCTGATGCTCCGCGACCCCAACACTGGTCAATACATCTTCCGGGCGGGGATGATTTGTTCCTCTCTAGGCTGGAATCTGGGCTCCAAGTTTGGCTTGCAGCTGGCACAAATCCACCATCCAGTCCCACACTATGAGTCTAAGATGAAGTTCAGTATGGACCGGTTCTTTGCCAAACTACCCTGTAGCAGACCCATCCAGCGCGGCTCGTGGGGCTTCGAAGTCGATCAGCCGCTCTACATGGCGCCTGGCGATCCGGCTGAGGAATTGTACAAGAAGCAACAATACCCTGGCTTGACGGCTGAACGGATTCATGTGAGGGTAGATTGGCAGACTTTAAGGCGCCTGCCTCTCTCGGCCGGAATCGTCTTCAACTTCAAGGCGCTGTTCACGCCGTTGACGGAGTTGAGGGACGAGCCGTACGTGCCGAGCTTGTGCTTGAAAGTGCTGAGGGAGGGCAATGAGGGTATTCTCAAATACAAAAACACGTGGCATACAGAACATGTGGTGGTCCCAGCACTCGAAGCATACGAAGCGGAGCAGATCAGTAAGGGCATCATGAAGGAGGACTGGGAAGCACAAACTTTGGATGAGTCGCCCTTCTTTCCAGGCTGGGAGGCTAAATGGAGGGCGAGGCAGGGCTTCTAGGTGGCAGACATGATCTTTTGTCCTTCGAGAGACTCTGGCTCATTTCGACTTCTTTGAGTCATAGTACTCCTCATAGCTCTTCCGGTATCCCAACAACCACTCCCCGATCACCACTCCCGTAAAGACCATCACAAACCGACTCACCCACACACTTATCGGATGACTCTTCTTTCCCAATACAGGTATCGCCAACGGCCCATCGACCGTATACAAGAACAACATCAACTGGAACAAACTCGGCGTCTGCCCACTCAACCTCACATCATCCAGATACCCAAAGAAATTCCTGAAGAAACGCTCCTCCATCACATAATCCTGCTGGTCCAACCGGAAACTCACACTCAAGTCCTCTCCCGTTGTACTGGCGTTCTCGTAGCAGTGGAATGCGCCTTTGGGGATGACGATGTCTTCGCCGGGGTGGCGCACGTGCGCTTCACCGTTGAGGAACCAGCGACCGACGCCGGAATTGACGTGGAAGGTCTCGACTTGGAAGAGGTGGATGTGCATGGGCGGATTGAACATGGAGCGGCCGTGGTCGGGCGTATCGGCGTGATGGGTGATACTGGTCGCGTATGGAGCATCAGGCCGTGAAATTCTTGGGAAGAGCGGCCGTCCTCATAGGGGATGGGATTGAGGTGGGCGCGGCGCGTGCGCGGGGGCTTGGTGGCGAGGAAGGAAAGCATTGTGGCTGTGGACGCGGACGTGGGCAGGACTTAGTGATATCGAGCTATGCTCCAGGCGGAAAGAGAAGGTCGAGGTTATCTTTGAGTTTTTGCAATGCCGCATGAATGCTTTATTGTCCTCCACCGAAGCAGCGTATCTATGCTATGGGTCGCCTGATCTGGACAATCCGCTTAGCCGCGCTACGGTCGTTCTAGGCACGGGCCAAACGCGAGTGCTAGCATCGCTATCTCTTGAACTTCACGTATCAAGCGAAAGTTAGAAGGGCAAGGTGACCTTTCTCAGAGCACTTGAGGATGCGTCACGGCAACTCATCGTATGCTAAGTGGGGCCCTTCTTCGTAAGTACGAAGTACAGGAGCAGGCCGCCGTTCGGTAAACATCTATAGCGGCTCCTCGAAGCACCTCCATGGAGAACGGCTCAGCTGAGGCGGCCAACCAGCAACCTGCTTCGCAAAGACCAGGGAGCGTGCTGCGCTGTAGACGGTGGTTAGGATCTCCACTAGAGACAATGCGGAAGCTCGAAAGACATCGCGGTGGTCTAACAGTCAAGCTGAAAGATAATAGTGGCGCGACAAAAGGACGACTGGGGCTGACTCCCAGCATGGTAGTCTAATCAGTAGACAAACTTGGTAAACATCATCCACCCTGACGAATCGCAAAACCAGGGTATGTCTTTCCTCAAGGGGAAATGCTGCTCTTGAAAGGGGCCAAATTCCTTCCACAAAAACCTTGACGCTCTTACGAAGCTATCATCACCTTGCGTTTGGAGATCGCCCAGAAATTCGCGTATTGAGGTTTCGGTCGGGAGCCCAGTTCTCAGGAAGAGAAGCGCAAGCGAAGTACTGCTCGTTGCAGCACAAGTCAGGACCATGGGAGATGCGAACATGGGCAAGAAGCTCGCCATGTTGGGATGTGGTGAGCTTTCGTCCAGGACGATCTTCCGTCAAGTGAGTTGCTTTCCTAATGTCGAAATGCAGGATCGATGGGCAGTGCGATCTTGGCAGGTCTTGTCGAGGATTCCGGAGCAGGTGGTGCTCCAGTGACGTCTTTCACAGCATCAGTCCGCTCGCAAGCTTCGGTGGAGAAGCTACAGACAAGATTCGCAAAGCACGTCGCAAAGGTACAGATCGTACAGGGCGAACTGATCTCTTGTGCTAAGAGTGCAGATGTGATCATTGTGGCCACTAAGCCATATGCCTTGAAGGAAGTGCTCGGTGCTGAAGGCATGGGCGAAGCTGTCCGTGGCAAGCTTGTGATTTCTGTCCTTGCTGGAATCAGCCCAGAGCTCATCCTCGATACACTCTACGGGAAGGATCGATCAGATGATAGCACTTGCCATGTCGTGCAGGCCACGCTGAACTTGGCGGCTCGAATTCGACAATGCACGGCTGTCCTGAACGATGCTGCTCTCGCCCTGCCAGAAGAAGAACTGGCTATCACGCAGTGGGTGTTTGAGCAGATAGGCGAAGTAAGGTACCTACCAGCGTCCATGATGCCCGTGGCTGCTGTCTTGGCCGCCATTCCTGCCATTGCATCAGTCGCACTGGATGGCATGCTGGACGGTGCTGTTGCGCAGGGTGTGGTGAGGTCACAAGCTCGAGAAATAGCGGCACTCAATCTGGTTGGCCTGGGAAGACTATTGCTGGACGGTGATAACACAGAGCAGTTGAGGGAAGCCACGGCTTCGCCAAGAGGAGTGACGATACAGGCACTCTTGGAGCTTGAACGTGGCAAGGCAAGAGCGACATTTGCTGATGCATTCATCACTGCCTCGGAGCACGCCAGGACGATGGCTTCCATCCAGGACTGAGCTCTACTGCAACTTCCCATCTCTCCGCGGTCGTTTTGAGGCAGTGAATGGAGTTCGAGATAGGAAGGGTGCTATTCACTTTTTGGCACGTGGTCCTAACTGCGCAGACACAACTTGGAGCTGATATAAACTTGAACCAAGTTTGTGCTTCGAGTCATTTTCTTAGGTAGGCAGGGATGCCTTCAATTATGAGTACCTTCTTGGTAAATTTCTAATAAGTATGACTAGCTTCCTTGTCTTCGCCAGGGTCTCTATCTTTTCCAGTCAAGATGCCGCCTCCCACAATGATTACGCCCGAGGCGATTCTCGGACGCGCCGAAGAACTCGTCGCCATTGGCCAGCTATTCACTGCGTCAGCGGTCCTGCATGAGTATCTCGGTAGCAACGAAGCCCTCAATGCTCCGGCTATATCACTCAAGCCGCTTGTCTTGCTTTCCAGTTCACTCGCCGATCTCAAGAGCAGAAGAAAGGCACAGCCCAACACGGTTGACCGTACCCAATCTCACTCTCACCATTTTTCGGGTCACGCCTTATCTCAATCAAATCAGGACACACATCAGCTAATGGAGAGCGACAACTCGTTAGCCATGAAACACTCCAACCCGGAAACGTTACGAGAAGTGTCTAGCAAGGGCGTGAAAAGTCATGAGTCCGAAGGGCCACATATTTTGGACGACGTACCCAACGCTTTCGACGAAATGATGCAGGTTGATCACGCTACCACATCGACTTCGGCAGGGCAATGGAGGCCGCCTGGAAGCGAACAGAATCAGGATCAAACAAAGCTCAGCCTCGACGACATGCCGCGAGAGATCTTGCTTGCAATACTCGACCAACTCATCCCTGAGACAGTTGAGATCAGGTCCACGTACGACTGCGGGAAGTGGCAAGTCCAGTACCTTCACATGCCGTTCCCCGAGCTGTGTCTGGTGTCCAAGACTATCGCAAGCGCCACGCGACAAGTCATGTGCGCGAGACGTCCTACGCTGCGGCTTGACATTCCTCCAACATTTCTGGGATTCGACCAGACCTTGGGCTTTGGTCCAATGGGTTTCAACCACCTTATTCCGCCACTGCTCCGGATCCCAGAGTACTTAGCCAGTGAAGTCCGCCTGCGCAACCTACAGGAGCAGATCTGTCGTACGCTGTCAAAAATAGAAAGGGATCGATATGACTGGCCGAGGCTATATCCTTGGGCTTACATATCGATGGCGATTTCTTGGGATGGATATGACAACGTCATCTGCAGCAAAGAATGCTGGGTCTGGATCATTGCAATCAGCAAGAGAATTATCGAAGAACGCGAAAGAGAACGTCGCGAAAGAGAACGTCGCGAAATAGAACGCCTGCGGGAACTGGCGCGCAACAGTATGCCAGCCGAGGTGCTTTCCTCAGATCAGCAAGTTGACGTTCACAGGCATCGAGACTCTGCCCGACGTCGACTAACCCGATGGTTTGGAGCCTAACGACGTGGAGGCCTTCGTTCCGGGCGTCGAAAGTGAGCGGATGAATTGATTCAGTGGGCAATCTGGTGATCAAAGTCGCAGCTCAACTCAACGCTGATTCGCAAAAGCTTGCAGCTACAAACGTGCGTGAAACACCCTGGGATGTATCATAATGAATCAGATAGACAGGCAGATGAGTAGCAAGACGAGCTCCCAGATGCCTTCAAGTGCCAACGCCAAGCGAGTCTCTTTCTCCAAGTGTGTCATCAGCCCCAACCTCATCCGCGGCGAATCCTCACATGTTTCTGACCATACGCATCGCCAGTCACTTCCATCAGTACAACCCATTGTGTGGTCCACACAGCTCGCCCAGGATCTGTCTGAGCCCACAAGTCTCCGGCTCTGTCCTTCTCACGCATCATATCACAACCCCTCCAGTGTACTTGCGGTAAGCTAGACTCCCAAGCCTATCATGGCTAATGAGAATGAATCCGATGCTCTTGATGCAATTGAACGTGAAGCGAAGGAGTATGATAAGGTCAGTCTGTTCACATCCCCTTTTCCCAGTATGACTGACTGACATGGTCTGTAGGATGCTGAGATCGACCGCATTCTCAAAGCGTTTCGACTTGATGCCTACGCTGTGCTAGATCTACAGCCTGGCGTGCCAGATTCGGACATCAAAGTGATCTACCGCAAGAAGTCCCTGCTCATACACCCAGACAAGACCAAGAATCCGCAAGCGCCAGAGGCTTTCGACAGACTCAAAAAAGCACAGTCAGCCCTGCTGGACGAGAAAGAACGCAAGCATCTAGATGAGTGTATCGCAGATGCCAGGCATTTACTTATCAGACAGCACAAGTACACGGTTGACTCAGAGGAGCTCAAGACAGATGAGTTCCTGGTCGAGTGGCGGAAGAAGACAATCGAGGTGCTTGTTGATGCAGAGGCCAGACGTCGGCGGCAGATGAAGGCCAAGATGCAGGAGGAAGGCAGAGAGCAAGCGAAGGAAGATGCCGAGATTGCCGAGCGCAAACGCAAACGACAACACGAGAAAGACTGGGAGGAGACTCGCGATACTCGGATCAACAGCTGGCGGGACTTTCAGACCGGTGGCAAGAAGAAGGGGGACGGCAAGAAGAAGAAAATGAAGGTGTTGGGTTGATTTCGTTTGAATGCAACGGCGGCGGTGTCTAGGTCTGGCGGAGGACGACATGCACCTGGTGCTCCCGTCTACAGCTTTAAAGTACCTATTCCAGATGTGAATGCTACGCGCTGATCCACTTACTCTGCATCTTTGACTTCCATCCATCCTTTGACACAGTCGTCGGTCGAAATCGCTGACATAAGGATTCTGGCCAAAGGTCGGCAATCGTGAAGAGAGTTAGGGGCTATGCTAGGCTAGGCTAGCTCTGGGCGTTCTGTGCCTGGATTTAGTACCACGAGGGCCTGGAGGCGGCGAATTCCCCAGGCTTGCGGCGGGCTTGCACCGCCCAGACAGGATTCGTCACTGGGGCCAAAACATGCATGTGCTTCTTCCACTTGTGAAACACGACCTCACTTCTGTCGACTACACCACTACACCACCTCCTCATTTCTGTGTCACTCTACTGCCTCTGTTATGGTGACTTCTCAGTCTCCAATGCCTGCTTAAACATGCGTCAACTTGCTGTCGACCACCGCCACTGGTGACTTGTTTCACAGCCCGATCCTCAACCTCTCTTACGCACCCGATCACATTGATCATGGCGGAGGATCCGCAGCCTATGACCTTGCAGCAGCGCATTGCTGCTCTAAACGCTGCTCATGTCGGAAGGATACCTGGCGAGCCGCCTCGACCAGCACCACAAATCCCTACCAGACGTCCTGACCTTCGAAAGCCCAAGTCCTTCAACAATCCTCCGGATAACGGAAATGGCTCAGTCGTTGTGAACGCCTGTATCGGCAACAAGCCTGCACCTCCACCACTGCCGGTACGACGACCGCCGCCGGCGCTACCAGCCCGAAATAGCTCTTCAGATGCCGAAAGACGGGGCTCTGTCGATTCGCAGGACTCATCAGTGGTCACCACCAGTAGCGTGGGTACAAGATCGAAATCTACGACAAGAACAAACTCCAACGAACGAGTGAAAGCTCCAGCATGGGGCGAGTGTGAGCTTCCTGCGATATCTACGAACATGCCGCCACCGAAGAATACATACACCAATGAGCGGCCCAAATACGTCAACAGAGCGCCATCCAGTCAAACTAGCATAAGTCCAGCCACTTCTGCGACCGACGGCCATCTCAGCCTCCGCTACCTCCTCGTCTGCCCCCAAGAAAACCTTCTGGCGATCAGGCACCTGTCAAACCAGTCGTTGAGACCAGAAAGATGCCGCCCATACCAACAGCCACAGATATCGAGAAGGCTCAACGCTCGGCTCTTTCTTGGGGCATGAACAAGGCGCAAGCCAACGCAAAAGGCAATACGAATGGCAGCGAGAAAAATCACACGAATGGCAATGCCTCTCATGTGCCTCAACCTGTAGCATCTCAACATGGTGGCAACCATGCCGATACTGTAGGCTTCTTGAAGTCTTCTGCGAGCTCCTTCATGGCCAAGCACCGAATGCAGTCTGAACCCAACATTAGCCATGCTACATCGGCGCCGCCACCAATACCGGAGTCCTCCAGACCAGACTTGACGGCGTTGCAGGCCACGAAGCCGAAGCTGAACGGGAATGCCCAGACCTCTCCTGTCGACACCAATCTGTGCCTTATCTGTCGCGACTTCTCAGGCCCTGACAATCACGCTGCCCAATTTCCGAGACAAACAGTTCGAGATTTGCGAAGCCTAGCCTACGATCTCACCGCACCCTTTCCTTCTCAGACCGACAAGGCTCGGGCAATCTTCAGCTGGCTTCACCACAACATCTCGTACGACGTGGACAGCTTCTTCAACAATAATGTGCAAGGCTCCACGCCGGACTCTACCTTGCGCTCGGGTCTGGCGGTTTGTGAAGGCTACGCCGGACTGTACGCCGCTCTAGCCACATACGCTGGGCTGGAATGTATCGTCCTGTCTGGAGCGTCAAAGGGCTTTGGCTACACAGCTCTTCCGCCTGGAGCACCTGTGCCACCATTCAGTTCAACCCACGCATGGAACGTAGTTCGCATAGACGGCGGTGAGTGGAAGTTGGTTGATCCCTGCTGGGGAGCCGGACACGTCCAAGGCAAAGGGCTGCCCTATGTCAAGAAGTTTGCCCCTCAATGGTTCAACATGACCAATGAGGAATTCGGTATCAAGCACTTCCCGACTAACAGCGAGCACCAATTCCTATCAGGCGGTCGGCAGGTAGCTTACGAAGACTATGCTCGAATCAATCCGGCCTATTGGCCATCGATGGTTGAAGGCCCAACAGTGTTCAGCAACGCCCCAGAGGACTATTATATTGCCGAACGATCTGTCCTGCCACGCAACCGCAAAATTAGTGTCAACCATGGCGGACTCGTCCGATTTCAATTCGGCCTACTCTGTCCGCACTTTACTTTGGATGGGCACGGTTCGAAAGGTCCTCCTCCGGTCTTCTTGTTGCTCGTCGAGGGCATTGACGGTCGGAATAAGGACTACATTCCGCTGCAGTACTACAAGGCTCCGGCTGGACAAGGTGGCGACACTTGGTACGTTGACATTGACTCGCGCGAGCTTGGCGCTCCGGGCCAGAAGGTGAGTGTGTTTGCATTGACGAAGTTTGGCGATCGCACAGACACAAGAGGCATGACTGTCAGGGAGTTCGCCAATGGTAAAGGTCGCGTTGGGATGGCATTTGCAGGCGTCGCTGCTTGGGAGCTCGTGGCATGAGACGAATTAATGGATACTTCAGTAATGATGAGCGCATCAGATTGCGATGGACGGCGAGCCAGGCGCGGGCACATTTGTGCACCTTCTTCGAGATGGACATAGATTAGATTGATACCCAACATGATTCTTTCAGCAGCATTCTTGCCCTCACACCTGAACTGGCTCGAGCGGCCAATGCATACCTAGAAATAGGCAAGTCAAGCAGTGCGGCCGAGGACCGCCCCGAATTTCTCCACAGGGCCCGAGATGGAACCGCAGGCAAATGGCCGATTGTTCTGCCGCGACTACAACCATGTGCTCTTGATAACCGTCACCGATCCGACAAGAGTGTCGACCTCGCGTAGCACACGTCTCATGCTACCCTTGCATACTATGCGGTCGCGGAAGCCTGTGCTCCTTGTGCGCGTGGACCATCGCTGAGGCTGCGACAAATGCTGCTCATGCGAAGCGTCCACCATGTAGTAGCACGTCAACGAATCAGCAAAGCGGCGCCGACAGCAGCATTAGCAGTGTCACAACGCCTGGAATACTCCATATCACTCCGCACTCATGCGAAACGCAGCAGCAGCCTCCGCGCCTTCGCAACCTCAACCATAGTCCGCCGCCGCCAACTAATCTTCTCCGGCGCCACAACCTCCGACACCGACCACCCCTCCCCTACACCCTCACCACCCAACAACACATCGCCACCCTCTCCTTACTACCTCGAAACAGGCTACGCCATCTTCGCCAAACGGCACTCCCGACCATTTCCACCACCATTCCTCTCCACGCCCTCCCACTCCTTCTCCGACCCGCTCACCACCCACCAATCCACAAAACTGCGCTCGCGGCGTCCGCAAGACGCCGAGGGGAGATTGATTGGTGGGATCACGAATGGGGATGACGCGGTGATTATAAGTGGTCAGGGAAATAATTTCCTGGCGGTCGGGGATGGGGTTGGGGCGTGGGCGCAGAAGGAGAGGGGCCATGCGGCTTTGTGGAGTCGATTGATTGTGAATTATTGGGCTGCGGAGGTTGGCGAGTTGTTTCAGAGGGGTGGTGATGGTGAGGACGAGGCGATGGGAGGGGTTGTGAGCGGTGGTGGGGAGGGAACGCAAAAGGGTGCGATTGGAGTGGATGACATCGATCTGGTCGCTTGTTTACAGAGGGCTTTTGTGCGGACGAGGGAGAGTACGGGTGCGACTGGGCCGATGGGTGTGGTTCCGCCGAAGAAAGAGGATGGCAATGTTGGTGCTACGCAAGAGGGACCTAAGCTCGAGGAAACCCACACTGGGCGAGAGGAGATCATGGGCACTACCACAGCTAGTGGCGCGGTCCTACATCACGATGAGGGAGGACGGCCCGTTGTAGTTGCGACGACGCTCGGCGACAGCATGATCTTCATCTTGCGACCTGATCGTGGTCAAGGCTTTGACGCTGGGAGCGAAGACGAGGGCGAGAGTCAGGGCGAATTGATCTACAAGTCCAAGGAGCAGTATCACTGGTTTGATTGTCCGAGGCAGCTTGGCACGAATAGTCCTGATACGCCCAACAACAATGCAATTATGGACAAGATCGCGATTGAGGTTGGCGATGTCATCGTGGTGGTCAGCGATGGCGTTACGGACAATCTGTTTGACACGGAGATTGTGCAGAAGGTCTGTGGTGCGGTCAAGAGTTGGGAGCAAGGGTCTGTGGAAGCGAAGGAGGGGATGGTTTGGGTCGCGAGGGAATTGATGAACGCTGCGAGGGAAATCGCGCAGGATCCGAATGCTGAGAGTCCGTACATGGAGAAGGCGCTGGATGAAGGTATCAGTGCTTTCGGTGGGAAGCTGGACGATATTAGCGTTGTCTTGGGAGTGTGCAGGCGTAGGGAGAAATGAAGTATTGCAACCTGGACGCGCAGAGCGATATTGCAAATCTGCTGCCCCATTAGCTCCAGGACTCAAGGCTCGGATCTGTCGACCCGAAATGAACACACGAGGATCGTCGACAATGTCGGATGCCGGACTGTTCTTGCCGCGGTAAAGTCATCCAGTCGAGCATAGCATGCTGATTACGATGAAGTGTTTGCATCTACAATGCAGACCTCCAGTGGAAGCTCGAAAAGCTTGCGAATCTAACCGAAGTACGGAAGGCTGTGGCGCGGCACATCGTCTTGAAGGCGAAGGATGTCCGTGACATTGTGGAAAGCAATATTCATCAAAGAGACATGTCTCATGCATCAACACTTGCTTCTGTGGCTCTGAAGTGGAGCCTCAAAATGTCTAGCAAGGTGTCCGAGGTCAAAGCGTTGTGCTGGATTCCCACAACGATCGAGGAGACTTGACGACGTTGTCATGTTCGTGTGAGACGAGGTGAATGAGACCGGCAGAAAACCCGGCGATGCTGGTGGTGTGCGTTGTTCTGGGCGAGGTTCATAGACTCGGTGAGCAGAGGAGCAACTTTCGCGGTGGACATTGGGACGCAGACGTGTGAGAAGTGGTCGCTTCGAGAATGTTTGACTCGCCAATTCGACTGGCGTGAACCGAGCTACGGACGTGCGATTCGGTGAGGATCTGGAGGAAGCCCAGTTGGCGACAACGAAACTTCTTGATGGCCGGCTGAACGATGCTGAGGTTGCTTCAATGCTAACCCGTGGTGTGGCGAGGGACAGGTTAGTTCGCCTAATCCATTGAACGGCTCAAATACCTGGACGTACGGCTTGACGGGTGTCTGTGCCTTCCCGCTCCTGTGACACATTCTCTCCAAAACATTGACACTTCTTGAACATTCTCCGAATATCACTTACAATGCGAACACGAGGGAAGCCGATAATCATTGGATATCTTGTCAACCGTGCCCAACCCCGGTGATCCACCGATATGCTTGCCCTGGCTCAGACTGCAGGGACCCTTGGCAAGATGAATACATATGGGCGGGAATTGGAAGCACCTGCTCAGGCATTGCAGCAGGAGTGATTGCGGAGGTCTTCATCATGCGCGTTGCTAGCGACTTTCTGCTCAGCATCGTTTTCGTTGCAAATGCTCTGGCTGATGTCATCACCGTTGGGCCAGGAGGAACGTGCTGTCCGGGCAATGCTACTATTCAAGTACAGGCCCTATACTTCTCACACGTCTTTTTGATGACAGCCACGATCGATCCATTCGACCAAGGTGAAGATCTCATCATTTCGATTGTTCCAAGCATTGTTGTCACGAGCCTCACGGTCACGTCGACCATCGAGGATGAGCTATCTTTACAATGCTTCGCAACTGCTACTTCCACGTCTTCACCACGATCATCTCAAAACTCTGCCGCAGTTTCGGCGAATCCAGCGCTAGAAACTGCTACGACCAGATCTAGCGCGCAATCAATTTCGACAACGATCTCTCGCAGAAACTCAGCCTCTACATCGGCATCCAGTACGACTCCCATTTCGACCACAGCTCTATCGCCAACCCTGGTCCTCACAACGTTGCGTTCATCGGATACGACATCTGCTTCGCCATCAAGCACGCCAGAGCCGACCTTTTTCCTTGCGTTCAACGCAATGCTAGTGCCCGACCCTTTCCGTCGCGGAGAACTTAAGCCTGCGGCAAAGCGACAAGATTCGTCACCACAGGATGAAGATTCCACACCAGCCGTAGTGATCGATCTCACTCCCATTCCAATCGTACTCAATGCTACCAATATCGTACTACCTGGGCAGTGTAATAACGCTACGGCCTTCACGCTGGAAGATGGTCGACTATCCCAGGCGGGAACAGATGGTGCCATTGGTAAAGCATTTGGTGCAACTGAAGCACCCTTGGAGATACCGGACGCCGATGTTATGGACATCGTCAATACGACCTTCGCGGTCTCAGACGGCATGTTGACGTGGATGGCTTCAGATGGTACAGGAGCTGCTCAGTTCTTTGCCTGTCCCGATGGCGTTTTCGCTGGTTTTCCGATCATTAGCAGAGCGGACTGTCGGCCGGTACAACTGTCACTGTACAGCATCAATCGGTGTGTTAGTCAACGCTCATCAACCACAAGCACAGCCGACAGATCTACTGTGTCGTCCAGGATAACAAGCAGTAGTTCGATGACATCTTCGACTTTGGTCACTCCAACGATAGAGATTGCCACATCTGTCAGTAGCTCCATATATTCGTCGGACTCGAGCTCGTCGAGTGCTAGCGCCGCTGCCACATCCAGTGCTACAACAGTCACTATAGAATCAAGAACTGCCACCGCGACAAGCTCCATGACCTCTGCCTCGACCTCGACCTCCGCTATCTCCCCATTGAGTCGAAGTCCAACAATCGTACCGGAACCTTCTACCATGACTGAAGCCATTGTCACACCAGCATCTTCATCTCCAAGTCCTAGTGCCCCCGGCACCAGCAGTACTGCTCCCGCCGGCACATCTGTCAGTTATGCAAACTCGACGTCCGTGACCTCAACTCTTACTACGTCCAATTATAGCGCAACAACAATTAGCACAGAATCCAGCAGTGTACTACCTACTTCAAACAACACGACTTCTAGAATCTACTCAAGCACTGCTTCGTCTTTTTCTGCCTCCACAGCCAGCAGTGTGACTGCTTCTCAAACTACATTCAGCAATCCAACCAGTGTTGCGATCATTAGCTCTGCTGTGTCAAGCTCAAGCTCTAGCTCTAGCTCGACCGTGACTGCCAGCAACACTACCTCGAGCTCTACTTCCACCTCGACTTTTGTCACCACGCCAAGCTCCTCTTCCAGTTTAGCAAACACCACATCCTTTTCAAGCTATCGATTGTCTTCGGCCAGCAATTCGTCTGCGTCTATGTCCAGCACTTTGTCCACCACCTCGACCCAAGCTCTGTTAAGCAACACGACTGCCGCTGCACCCACAACATCGAACACCACTTCTACTATGACGCCAAGTACAAATTCGAGTACAATATCCAACATCACAACGACCCTTGCGTCGACCACCGCTCGAAGTAACACGTCAACCACCTCATCTTTTAGCATGACTCCATCGCCAACAACAACCTGCAACCTAGCTCTCTCAATCTGTCCCAATGCGTCACCTATCACAGCCAACACTATCGCCACTGTACAGTGCCCACTAGGCATCGGTCTTCTATGCACACAGAACCAACTTCAGAGCCTTGTTCCCCAGCTACTTCAAAGCAACCCGGGTATTCTATCTATTGTCTTGGGTAACAATCAAGTCCTGGGGCTATCAATCACTGCTCAGCAAGTGAAAGACTTCGCTCAGGCTGGATCGCTGACATCGCCGTGTGTCACACTTCAGCAATACAACGTTGTGGTTTCGGATCGCGAATGCTTTACAACCATGAGCTCGACTACCCCAAGCAGTCGGGCAACGATGACGAGTAGCACGAGCACGACCAGGACATCGACGTCGACTAGCACGTCCGCTACACCGACCCTAGCCCCTCGTTGTGGCCAGGTCGTTCAGTTATGCGCCGGTCGAACACTCCAATCTCTCGGTCTGACGCAGGTGACCTGCAGCGCCGGCATCCCGATACTTTGCACTAACACGCAATTACGACTCGACGTTGGCAATGCCTGCACATCCGCCGGTCCAAGTGCATGCAAAGTCATTGGACGGATAGGCACTGGTACCAATGTCCTCGGAGCTACGGGACTGTATGGATCGCAGTCGCTGGCACAGATAGAAGCAGCCATCGCTGGTGTTCAGAATTGTCAGCCGTCGGGTCAGTTTCTGACACTGGGGGATCCGACTTGTCCGACTCTTTAAGGTTCCGCTTATAGACTGGCCACCTGGCGCTCGCAAATGCGACCTGACTTCGTGCTAGCTGCTAGTTGGTTGATGGAGTTCTTACTCGGAGTTTCGATGGATCTGGTGCGCGCCCGAATAGAGAGGGAGCTGTGCACAACTGCATCCATCCTCGCTCATAGTCGGAGCTGTTGTGGGTTGAGGTCAACAATCATTTTGCTATCTGGCTATGGCAGCCTTGATAGTGCCCCTTCCCGTGACACTGGATGTGATGGGCGACATTGGTAAACTTCGGCGACGAGGGCGTAGTCGAGCTTCTGAGTGTGCCAGATGAGTTTGGGCCGCATGCATATCGCTCCACGTACTTTGCGGTCCCATTCTTGGGCAGACGCGGACCTTGTGCCTCAATCGAGGGCAACAGCAGTCAGTGCATTTGTTGTGAAGGAGGACAAGACTGCCTTGTGAAGTGATGGCAAGGAAAAGGCAACTGCGAGGCGTAAGGCAATGTCGTGCCTGACGCCAAGGAATGAGGAAGTTTGTTGTTAGAGTCCATCCCGACCATGATCTCCCAGCCTGCCACGCGCTGCAGAAAACCTGCTGATGCCCAGTGGATATTTCCTTGTCGATATAATCTCGTCGCCTGCTTGTTGGACCTTCTGTCATATACTAACCCGCGGCCATTTGTTCTCGGGCCCGGAATTTCTTCCCCTGAGGTTTGCTGTGAGCGCAAATACCCAGGTGAAAAAAATGTTTACCACTGAACCTACCGACAGTCTCCTCAATCACAAAGTCTCAGAAGTTGCTGCGCCCATACCTAGGTCGTGTGGTCGTCACCGAGCGAATCACATGCGTAAGCATGCCCATTGACAACAACGCTTGAGCCAGATTCGGTAGGTGGCAGATGTCACCAGTCACCAGTACAAGATGGGGTCATGACTTCCACTTGACCGTGACATTCCCGTTCAATGACTGCAACCAGGGTTGACCGTTTGCCCCGCTTCTTCAGACTGAACTCCTGTGCCCAGGAGCAGTGTAACCTTTCGGCCTGGGACCCTACTGCGCCAACGTCGAGATGAAAGGCAGTAGGTCGAGCTGACGTAGCCGATGACGGTGCCAGCACACCAGCAATAATTTGCAACGCGGTAGGACATGGGACTCCCGAGAGATGGGCTGAGGTCGATGTGGTTGATTCAGTGGTGATGAGGATGGAGAGAAGTTTTGAGCGGCTGCCGAGGGCGAGGAGATATTTATGTGTTTGTGGCGATCTAACCAAAATGCCAAGCAGCAAACGAACAACCCGTCATCACTCTCATTCACGGTGGACCTCACTTCGAGACTTCACTGCTTCAATTGACTGCACGCAATGAAAGGCGCCAAGTATGAGCACCCAGAGTTTGGGCGCAAGCGATCTTCCACAGCGCGAGACTCCGTTCAGGCCGAGATCCGACTTTTCTGGAGCGCAACACAATAGAGCCAGAGCAGCGCGAGAGACTTACTCGAATCTCAAGTCAACCTCCACTCACCGTGGCGCGCAAACGCAACCCAAGCGCCACTCGAAAGAGTCGCAGAGCCGCCGCTAAGGAAGCAGCAAAAGCCAACGAAGTCGCACTAGAGCAAGAGGCTGCAACAATCCACACCGCCACCTTCATTTTCAACCAACACAGACGCCGTTTCGATGGCGTACGCACAGTCAAGATCGTTCGCACTCTTGAGCAAGCCAAAAAAATCCACAAGGAGAGTGAGCTGGTCAATTGTGCTGTACAGGCCGTACGGACAGGCATCAAGAAGAGCCACAATGGTGCGACATCCAGCGACGAATCGAGCGGCGCGTCAGACAACGAGAACGAAGACTATGTTGACGATGTCACTGAGCTAGAAGATCTTCAAGGCCATATTCTCATCTTCAAGCTGCGCGGCAGCCGAGGCAGGGGCTGGTATCCCTTCAGCAAGGACAACTCCACCAAGGCAGTTGGAGAACTGGCGAAGGCAGCGAAGAATGGTAAAGCCGACGAGAAGATTCGTTTCAGAGTGTATTTAGGGAGACCAGAGCACGCTCGACGAGCTCGCGCTGCTCTCAAAACGAACGTGCCTTGAATACCTGGTTCACCACCTTCAGGACGGTATGGTACGGACTCGTGGGTAGATCGCCGAGGATGGGTGCGCACCGAGTCACCATCAGACCCAGAGTGCGAGGACGGCAGCGGCAACAACGGCGACGAGAGCGATTAGGTCGATTGTGCGTTCTGGCGTTGTGGGATAGCACATGTGAGCAGCATGGTACTCAATCATAGCGCATGGCAGCATAGCGTCCTCCTGAGGCAGATGTTACTCTAATGAACAGCATGCGCAAGAAATGGAACTCGAGCATTGTTGTTAATGACGTTCGCGTCGCGTCACCGCGTGCCAACATCGTGGCGGGGAAGGGGTCCTGTGGCGGGTGCAACAGCGACAAGCATCTAGGATGCGCATTACCGAGATGTGGCCACAGATTAGATCTACGGAGCACGTTTTAAGGTACGATCTATGATAAATTCTCCGCGTGGTCTGTGTGGTGAAGCCACGTCGTCACAGGGGGTTTTGCAGAATACCCAGTGACCTCATCAAGGTACGTGCTATCAAGCAGCAGTTCAACTAAGGTGCGGCGAGTGCGGAACATGTTTGCGGTCGAACTGTCTCCAGCGATGCACGGTGACGTGACATATTTGAAATCTAGTGACATCGACGATGCCACTACGTTGCGTATAGAATATTACATACGGCTTTCATAGCCAACCTCGAGCCAACCTTGGAAGGCTTCCCTGCGGGTATGACGGATGTGGCTAACGTTCAGTTGACACTTCAGGTCGCAACGATGTACATCGCAGTGAAGGAAGTCTTAATCAAGGAGGACATAGCGAACTCCTCAGGCTAAATGCCTATTCTCTAGGGGCCGCTCTCTATCACTGACAGTGCATGGAAAGTGACTTCCGCGGCCCTCCTGTCCGCAATCAACGGCCTCAATTTCCAACCAATTACTCGGCGAGGACCTGCTGGGAAAACATGACTAATTCGCGAACCGAGTCAGTGGATATACTGAAGCTCGACTTTGATCGACAACGTCCAAAATCGCAAAAGAATGCCTGGACGCGAGGTAGCTTCCAATTGGTGGGACTCAATTCCATCCTCTCTGCTTACAGACTCGATCCATGGTATTCCTGCGATTCCCCATGTGAATGGTGGCAGTTTGAGGAAACCTTGTTCCTGGTTCATCGCCGATCATGCCAAAGAACTCGAAAGCTGCCACACTTGCCCCTCTCTGCTGAGCCACCAGAGGCGGCTGCTGTTATTCTGCCTGCTGAGGACAATTTCTCACCAGGTCTGCTGACCCGGCAGATGTCAGTGAACGCGAAGGGCTTGCCGACTCGACAGTGTGTTCAGCAGCGTTCAGCTGGGACCAGCAGCCAATTCCCTGGTGTCAGAAGTGTCTCACAGTAGCAGCTTTGCAGAATTGAGGCTTGACTCCCCTTGCCTCGGCGCTTTTACTCGGGTCTGGGGGCGGCGACCTGTGGCGGTGTTACCTGTGTACTTCCTCGGAAATGCAATAGTCAGTGTTCAAAGAGAGGTCGCTGCTTCGTATATGATTCGAGCTTCACATGGTGGAAATGCATGCAGACGCACGGACGGCAGGATGAATTATCCAGCTAATCATCCGCGGCGGTAAACAAAGACCTATGCGCGTTCGCGACAGAGCGAGGAGGGGCTCTCCAAGCATCGTTTTCTTGCTTTGCCGATGTTAGATCGTATCCATTCATCAGATCTCTCGATCGCAGTGTTTTTTACCCTCTCATTTGTGGCTGCACCATCCAACTCGTTCCGCTTTCAAACGGTAGTTGGAAGCCTGTCCAGGGCAGTGCTTCGATTCGATTCGTAAGATGCTGTTCCCAGGAGCGTGAAAAAGTGTACATTCGTCTTCGCGGCTCGGTATTTACATGTTGTGGTTCCCCTCATGTCCTCCGCTCTTGCTCTTTTGTGGATTGGAATGCTTCCTGTCAATCTGTAAATTGCTTCAAAACCTCGCAAAGAAATCATTCAATCGCTGTTCAGCTTTCAACAGTAATCGAGCAGTATCACGTCTCGAAGCTTTTAGCAAACGGCGATATAGCAACTGGTTCGTCGGACCCTTGATACTTCACTTCAAGTGTCGCCTTGCATTCAGCTGCTCCATTACTCCGCCTGTGCTGAACGCATCGACGTAACGCTCGAGCCATTACTGGAAGACCTCAACTTGTCAACTTTATTGACCATTGTATAACTTTGACATCCGCCTTAAGTCAAGTACATCAAGCGCCGGCGACCTACGTACCGCTATACCCCGATCCTCAGTTTCAAAGCCTTGGGTTTCGCCAGGCTCGTTGACAAACAGACTCCAATCTCATTTCTGCCACTTGCAACATGCAGTCCTATTCTAATTCCGGCCCTGCCTCAACAGCCAGTGTCAGCGACCTGGACGGCTATACATTACCCTTCAACGCCTACACTCCTCTCGAAAGCGACGAGTTTGGCTTCGATCCACCAACAGACAAGTCTGCGTACCCCAAGATGGATCAAGCCTATAGTCCACCTGAACCCGCCGACAGCAGCATGTGGCCAGAGTTTCAGCGCGAAGATCAACAAAAACAAACACACTCCAGCTACGAAATCGACAAGCTTATATCTCAGAACCTCCCCAACGCCACCAATGCCATATCTCGATTTGGTCAAGTCACCCCTCCTCGCACCAACTCTACCGACAGTGTCGATCGGATACCGGACTCGTCCAAAGAATCAAGTTTTGCAGATAAGAAGAAACGTATGTCCAGGACACAAGCAAAGGAGCAGAGTGCGGAAGCCGCAGGGACGTCCACTGGCCGAAAAAGAAAGGCTTCACGCAAAGCTGCGGCTACTACAACGATGAGCGAGCCCCTCGGCGGTCCAGGCGACGAGAAGCGAAGAGCGTCCTTGGAGAAGAACCGCCTGGCAGCTGCGAAATGCCGCGTCAACAAGAAAGAGAAGACCGAGCAGCTGCAGCGTGATTCGCACGACATGGCGATACAGAATTCATTTCTGAAGCAGCAGCTGTTGCAGATCAGCGACGAGCTTCAGCAGATTCGGGCTCATGCTATCGCCCATATCAGCTCGAAAGGTTGCAAGGGCCCTGAGGAGATCCAAAAACGACTTCAGCTTAGCGGTAATCTTCTCTCGGGTCAAATGCAGCCTAGCGGACTCAACGGTGCTGCATACGCCGAATACCGATCTATGGACCTCGATGCTATGCAGGGCATGGCTCAGCAGCTCATCCCTGATAGCTACTTTCCAGGTCCAGACGCTCAAGGCTCGATGCTGAACCCTCCGCTACCCGATTTTGAAGGGTCTGCTGAGTTCGACGCGCATACTCCGATGAAGATCGATTGCGACACCTGAACAACTTCAAGCTCGACAGACCTTGGCAGCGGGCTGCGATATCACGCGCACATGAACACTAGGACATCAGTACAATCATCACATAGATCGTCAGTTCAGTTCTTTCATCTTGGAATGCGCCAAAATTTGGCACCCCGGGAACTGAGTGGAACAACAGAACGTTCATCAGCTGCTAAAGTGAACAAATCATGCTCTCGACGATCCCGAGTTGCACCGAGGTCAGGCCAGCATGATGTCTCAGCACTGCTCACAGCGGCCACAGAAGCTTTCGACTCCGGAAAGCCTGGCCACGAAGAAAGATCTACCCCAGCATCTATCTGCGACTTATGCAAGCGGTTATCCATTTGACTAAATGAGCTTGTCAAGACTTGTTAGCCCTGGTAATAGGGGTATTCTCAGTCACATGCCACTTCTCAGTCGTTGATTGATTCAATTCGACAACGCCTACGTGGTGTGAGCTGAATGTGCGTGAGCAGAGAGCTGCAGTTCCACCAAGCAAGAATACCATTTGATCGACATGCTAAGGGCAGCCCTCTCTGCAGGAGCGTGGTTCACACAAAAGTTAGGGCTGGGAGTTCCAGATGTTATTGCTGGGCGATGCCCCGATGGGGTTTGAGCAGAATTATCATATCTCGAGAGCATTTTTCAGCTCAGAGCATTTCATAGCAACGATCGAAGAATCGCGATTGGCTTATAGGAAGTCTAAATGGCCATTGAGCCGTTAGTACCACAAGTACCTCCCCTGCTTCACCCATTTGCTTGCATCTTACTTCTGAGTACCATCCACTGTCAGGCGCAGCTGCTGAGAAGCCACGGAAGGCCACGGAGGGACAACCAGTGGTGGATAAGGACTTCCGCTACACTGATATTTCCGTCGGCTTCTTCACATCGGAAAAGCTTCGCTGCCATGTCAGCTGAGAGTATTGAAGCCTTCTGTGTGTCGCGGCTCTGCACAACCCCTCTTCTACAACGTACCTCGTACCTCTCCGCTGTGTGCAAACATCGAGGCAATTATGATGAAAGTTCAATGCGTCCATTGTTATAAATCAGACCGGATGACAAGAGTCGCGTCTAGCTTCTTCCTTACTAGGTATTTAGCCAAGTCTGGGCCTTCAAAGTTGTCTGGCCGGATTAGAAAACGAGATTATCTAAGACCGGATGACTATCAGCGTTCGAGAGAATCTTGAGGTCGAAACGGATCGACACTCCGTGACCAATGCCAGGCTTCTATGATTGTACCTCCGATACTCTGTCGTCGCTTGATGAGCTCCTCAAGGCTTGGTCAGTCAACGACATCTCACCGACTTGTTTGTTGGGCGGACAGTATCTAACGAAAAAATCGCGCTGTCACGATGCTCTCTGTTGTTCACCCACATTCCTTATGGGCAATCTCATTGCTTTCGCATGGTCTCAACCACCAGTTCGTGGCAAGAACGGTGCGCAGAGGTAGACTGGTGTTGACCTCATTGCAGTGCCAGTCGGCAGCTTCTGGAGGTGGACAAGTAGGTGAATGTGCCGACAGGTAGTGATGGGATGATGTCTGACGGCGACACTGGGATGCATGGAAAATCCAATATTCGAGAGATAAGGTGTGAATGGAAGAGCGCAGGGAAGGAGCGCTGGAGCGCGACTTCCTCTTCACGCAGTCTTGTCCTGCACCGACAGAGGTTTCCATCTCCCAGTGTTTGTGCAGAGCGTTCGTTTCTGTACTCCTAGTAAGCTGTGCGATCATGACCAACGAAGGATTTGTATTTGACGATATTGCTGACGCGATCACTGTCGACTACTCATCTCCGACGCTGAACGAAGAAGAAGCTCAACTTATGTTAAACGCTGCTCATGACTTTGAATCTCATGACTGCACCAGCCTCACCCAACACGCTTGGCTGGACGACACCATTCATCCTGCAGTCTCCGAACCCTTCAAGCCATCATACTCGTGTCGAGCAATAGCATCAATCGCGGAATCCGTTATTCGAGTCACAGACAACTTGCAATCTCTTCATCCTGAAGCCTTCGAAACACACTGAGACCAGTTCAAGACTGATTGGCAAAAGATAATAGCAACGGCATCAACATCTGCTCACTACCTCTCGTACGCACTCAGCTCCCATATCGTACAGCACTCGTCTTCAAAAGCACACGCACCAATTCTGAAGCCTACTAGTGCCTACTTCAGCTATGTCTCTCAACATTCAGAGAACATGCTCAGATTGCTCTCCATTGAGACAATATCCATACCACCCAGGGCCTCACAACTATGCTCGAGATGATAGCACAAAACACAGAGGCAAATCAAGAAGAGGTCGTGCCTGGAGCTCATGTCATGAGCCTACAGAACCCTCCTGGAAAATCTGATGATACAGCAAGCTATTCTAGTCAGGCACGGGCCCAGATCGGATGTCTTGATGGTGCACAAGAACCAGGGTACGCATTGTTCCTGGGCCAACGAGAGCAATTGAGTGTAACTACGCGGCTGCACCAACATGCTAGCAGCTACAGAAAGTTCCGAAACTTGAGCTTGACAGATCAGTCGCATCTCATGGCGCGTTACCTGCTACACCTAGTTGTTCTGAAGCTGGTCAACACCGCTGTTTCAGTACGTCTACACCTCCTCGACTCATGCCCAAGAGGTGACCGGACTTCCCAAAGCCACGATGGTAGATTCGAAGCAACGACGCTGCTTACCAAAGAGGTTCGGAAACAACTGCCAAAGCTATTTGCATACTCAAACTTGCGGTGGGTCAGGCCACTTGATACTGTAGGTGCAGTGTTTGAGAAGATACACCTCTCTCGATGGACCACCAAGCAGACTACATTTCTGGAAGATCGAGTCCACTACTTTCGGAATGGCTGGACCTCAGAGCGAGGGTTTCATCAACATGTGTTGGACAGGCTTCAACGAATGTACTTCTACGAGACCATTCAGGCTCAGAGGTCGATGACTTTGAGATGAGCCTTACTCGAGCGTCAGTTGGCAGGAAGATCTGTGCTGAAGTTTTGGCCAGGGAGGGCGCTGTGTCGAACTCTCACAGCGCCGTCCCTGGCTAGGAAGTTCACAAGATGTCTGTCTATGAATTGACGCTCGGGTAAGGTCGTCGCAAGATCAGCCACCCGACCAGCATTCTCAATCAGGATTGCAGCGCCCTCCCTAACCCGAAAACCTACAAGCAAGACCAATCGACTGTCAGCATCATGCCACCTTCTTGGTATATGGTCTGAGTATCGAGATGGTATTCTACGACAAACATACACTGACTTCTTCGATGTGGACACATGCCCGGATCCACGCCTCGAAGACCCTTCTGATGCTCAACTACTGCAGCAGCTTCTCGGCCACTGCGATATGGCACTCATTATCCGACAGTACCAGGAGCTTGGTATGATTGGGCCAGATGTCAACCTGGATCAGGTCAACGAGTACTGTCCTTGTCACGAGATTCTGCAGATCGAACAATGGCCACATGGTGTCCGATGGGTAAGCCAGCTCTCTTGTATCTACACGGTGCTACAGGATTGTATTATGCCTTCGCTCGATGAGTCCTGCGAGAACTTCATGTCAGCAGTCAACGAACTGAACCCTCTGAACTATCTCACACACAGTGGCAAAGAAAATTGTCCACGAATACAAAAGCGCTCGACGACAGAATTGAAAGCATAAGACAAAGCTAAGGCTTACGGATAATCCTTTGACGTCTGCAGAACCAGCTGGACTTCAGGATACAGCTTATGAACAAAACTACCCCATGCCGACAATGCCGACGATGCCGACGATACACGACAGGCGAGAAGGGCCACCAGGGACACAACGACCGACTGGTGAGAGCAGGATTGATTTCAAGAATTTCTCGCCTGGACAGTCTGAACAAAACCGAAGGCTCAAGACCGCGCTGCAGACTCTGCGAGAGAACGCAAACTGCACAGCACCTGATACCCCGAGCGCAGATGCTACGGCGCTACGGAAGGCGATATGCACTGAGTGTGGTACGAACAATGACGCAATGTGGCCAAGAGGTCCAAGTGCATTGACCAAACTCTGCGAGACATGTTTCTCCAGATTCACTGCTGGACAGCTGGAGGACAAGCGAGGAATCGAGACAACCTGTCAAGGATGTGGCAAGAAGCGTGGTTGGGGCACATGTGTTCCGACCTGGACAGCTACACCGAACGGAGAGGGTCTGCTATGCAAACTGTGCGACTCGACTGCCAAATGCACTTCCGTGAGACCGGGAAAGGATGAGGGGGGTGATCTCGACGCTACGGACGAGGAAAAGGGCTCGAAGAGCTGACAAGAACAGCTCGTTGCAGGACTGCACTGCGAAAGGGCGAAGTCGAAGAAGGAAGGATTGCCTTGGCGCCGTTCCTGAAGAAGTCATGAGTTCACCGTCCGGCGGTCATACGTCAGAGCTGGCAATGCATCGAGCAACAGGATCCTTTGGTCATGAGCTCCGTTTTTGGAGTGCCTGAAAACATCGGGTCTCAGGGCCATCAGCTTTCCCGCATAGAAGCAACGGCAAGATATTCCAACAGCAAGTCAACAGCTTCATAGCAGGGCTCAAGTCAACAGCGCGATCAACGATACACGCGGTCCCCCACCATGGCCGGGCCCATCATATCCGTCAGCTTCATGCTCGTTGGCTTCGAGCCTGGACTGGCTATCGTCATGTATTCAACCTACACACATCGACTCATGACGTCCAGCTTTCCCGAAGCGCGGAAGAGAACCCGGTGAAAAGAGCCGAAGCCGGGGCAATATCGCAAGACCTTGGCAAGAAAGCTATAGTGGACACTGTTGAGATCAAGAAGAAACGGACTGCGCCGAAGACATGCTGAGCCAGATGAACTTGCTGCGAAGCGACTGCGAGGAGCATAGAGCAGGTGTTACAGTCATGTACAGGAAGAACTCGAGGGCCAGAATGTCTGCTTCGCCAAGATATAGAGGCTGGTGGGAGCGCGATGGTGAAACTTGATTCAAGAAGCAGGATGCAGCGTAACAAGCAGGGGAAGGATAGGCCAAAAGGCTACAAGGCTGAACAATAAATCAACAGCAGAATGAGAGATTTCAGAAACCGCGCACAGTATCCGACTGACATCGGAGCCGAATGCCAGGAGCGAGCAGCATACGCTAGGCGGGCTCATGCTAAGCCGAGGAATCAAAAGATGACAGAATGTACTGATCACGCGTCGGATCGATGGAAGAGCAAGGAGGAAGGGAGAGCGGCAGATGACATGACCGTGTAGGCAGAATCGAACCTGAAACTATGGAGTAGATGCATCTTCCGTAAAGGCAGAAGAGAGCATCCACTGCGCGGCAGAGGCGCTCGGATTCATCTATCGAACAGGTAGAGAAATGGCAGGGAAGACACATGTCCTGCCTAGCCAGAATGCGTTTCGTTGTTGCTTTGTTATGGTGTCTATTAAGGCCACTCCTGGCACATGCTACGAGTAACGTCGGAATTTCCAATGAAATGCATTTGTTCTCCAGGTGTTCCGAGTGAGTGCTCTACGAACATTTTCCCAAGATGCGAATGACCCGCTCCTTGACCTCACTGCAGTCTATCCTGACGCTTGCATCGTGCTCAATCATTCCTTTGATACAGTCAGCCACTTCTTGTCCGATTCCAGCTCCTGCTCCACCATGTCCTTCACGGTCAATGCTAGCAGCAAACTCCCGCGGGAGCACACCACGCTGAAGATCTCGTAGTACATGCAGTCGTTCCGTAGAAGTGTCGCAGCACCACAACAGCTCGACAAAGACGATTCCTAGAGCAAAGACATCGATCTTCTCGTCGATCGGTAATCCCGCCTTGTTGGTTTTGGCGTCAGCAACGGGCTGTGGCGGTCGATAGTACTCAGTCCCCACAACTTTCGATGGCGACGAGGCTGACGAGCCACCGACGTCGAGATGGACCTCTGATCGTGCCAGCTCGGCCACGAGTCCAAAGTCTCCAATTCGAGGGTTGACGTGAAGACAAGATGCTGCGGCAGCTTCTGCTATTCCTGCTCCACAAGAACGACAGTCACCGACGCTGTAGAACCCGTTCTGGTGGGTCGTTGGATCCGCCGAAGGTAAGAGGTCTTCGTGCAAAGACAAGAAGATGTTGCCTGGCTTGATATCCCGATGAATGAGTCCGATGGAATGGACGTATCGCAGACCACTGAGTATCCCGAGCAGGATCCGCAGGGACGGAATCAAGTGAAAGCAATGCCGTCTAGGTGGTGACGAAGGTGGACTTGTGCTTGACGGTGGAGTTGGAGCGAGGTATTGCGAGAGTGTCATTGGGTACAACGACATCTGAACATGTAAGACGCAGACTGTATCGTCGATATTAGAGTCACTGCTGGAGCTGCCCTTGGCAAAGCCATCGGTGAATATCTGAGACGCGTGCATTGACGTGGATTGATCGTACTTGTCGTGAGGCTTAGCCTGGACTTCGTTGATGGACCAGCCCTGCGGGCCGGGAAGTGATACGTCCACAGAGTCTCTCCGTGAGCTCTCTCCAAAGACGATGCCTCCGCTGCGGCTCTCCTCTATGACACGCGGATTTGGCAAATGTGGGCGATCTGCGATCAGGCGCTGCCGTGATACCGGATGCGGTCGCATGGTTGTAGCCTTGGGTGACACTACTTGCTTCGGGTCCTCAATCCATGTAGCATGGTATCTTACCACGTTGGCGTGGTCCAACTGGGCAAGGGCTTGGACCTCTCTCAGTACACTCTCCAACTCATGAAGTCCTCCTTGCTGGTACTTCAGCGTCAATCGTTGGCTCAGTGGAATCTTCTTTATGGCGTACTCCTTCTTGTCGAACACACTATGCGCATGATACACTTTTCCAAATCCACCCTTGCCGAGTAGCTTCAGTTGCTGGAAGCTGGAGTCGTAGTGACTGTGCTGTCGTAGACTAGATGAAGACAAGATCATGTCCGACGATGGGGATGTAATTGGTGAGCCAATCGCGCCAATTCGATTGGCGTTTAGCATCATGTTCAGTAACTTGTTGTGCTGCTGATTCGAAGGCTGAAGACCATTCGAAGTCGGTCTGAGCGCCAGCGCAAGGCTGTTCGTGCCTCCTTGAAGCCCTCCTTCGAGGGACTGCTGATGACCAGTGCCAAATGAAGTGCCATTTGAACTCCCGACAGATCCTAATGTGAACCTGTCCAGGATCTTCGTGTATTCTTCACTCTGCTCGCTACCTGGCTCGGAGGACGGTGTAGCAGACAGAATGTCGGCCTGGACCAACTTGCTTATCGCAACATTGCATAGCTGTTGTGCTATCGCCACGACTTCGGGAGTATCCCGCGTCACGTTCATGCCCTGCTTCGCATTGAAGGCCTCGGCGACCCTAGTCTTATGGTAGTCCAGTAGCAAAGCCCCCATGAGGTTGTCTCGATGCTGCTCGCGAGTGAGATCGGGTGACTCTCCATCGCTTGGGTCGGGGACAATGATCGAAGCATCTGTGGGAAGCGACTGAGTTCTGAATAGCTCATCTATCTCAGAGGAGTCATTGTGGCTATCCTTGGTTGACGGTTCCTCTGCCACGGCTTCGATTTCCTCTGCACTATCGTCTGAATCGGAACTGCTTGCACTGGCATCGTTCCAGAACTTTGATGGCATTGAGATGCCGAGTCAAGCGGATCGACTGTGCCGATCAGGCGAAGAATTATGATCAGAAGCTCTTGTAAGAGGGAAAAGCCTCGGTGACGCGAGTCCGATCCTGGAATGGACTAGGACTGAGCACACGAGGACCTCGTTGTAGCCGATCACGGCATACTTGGCTGCAATTGAACAGCCAAGCCCATCGACCAAAGACGCGACACCTGGTGGTTGCCAACCTCCCGTTCCGGGAGCGTATCGTCTCGATATCAAATGGTCGTTAGAACATTGCGAGAATATTAGGTGGTTATGTTGGGTTGATTGAGTAGGCAGCTGGCGGATTACTCGCCTATTGATGGCGAGATTGACGGTTTCCTCCTTCTCCCGAATCAATCGTGACTACCTCCTCAGAACCTCGCTCAAGTCTCACCTGCCCACTGGTAGTAACTGTAGACAGTCTTGGCAAGAAGGCACAAGTTGCCAGAGAATTCGACTGCCTTCTCTCAACACCTGTACCTTAAATTGCATTGTCACTGCAAGGGCGTGCAGAGTTGCGTCACTGCTTCATCTCAATGAATCGAGCTGGACAGGTCGCTAATCTGTTCCAAACTATATGACACGCTTTGCTGCTCAGATCTTCAAAACCATTGTGTTTGTTCCAAAGACGACTTGAGGTCGAATATGGAACGCTACGTCATGGCTTGGCACTCAAATTCACTACGTACTTTGAGGTATCAGTAGAACTTCTTTATCGCCATCTCGAGGACGTGTACAGAATATTTGAATACGATCGCTGCGCCATCTCGGTACCTGTGCTGATGCCTTGGTACCAATTGGTCATACCATGCAGTATCTCGTGCCCGGAATCAGGATGAGGCGCAATATGTTCTCTGAATGATCCAAGCTATTGCTTCAGGCAATCCGCTCATCGTGCATCTTTTCCTGGTCAACAACGACAACATCTCCCGCTGCCTTCCTTTGCCCCTCCTGCATTTCAGCCCCCTCAAGCACCATTTCCTCCTTCACCTCACCCTGCGTCATACATGCCTCTCGAAATTGCTCTCGCCGGCCTTTCATAGCCTTCTTGTCCCACCACTTTACGACCAGAACTGACCCAATACCGCCGGTCATCAACGCTACCGCCGCCGGATATCCTCTGAGATAGAACGGCGCGTTCTTCGCCGGCCACATCAAAGCATTGCTCCACGCCTGAATTGCATAATCAGCCGTGATCGCCACGCCCACGACCAGACTTCTCATTTCCGGATCCTGAGGAACCATATCAGCCAGCCAGGCCATGATCAGAGGTGCAGTCCCCAAAGTCGTGTATTGAATGAAGAAACTCGCGTACGGCGCCGCCAAAGAGACACTGTCAGGATGATGTGTCCACACGCTCATCGTGATCAGAGGGACGAGCGCGATGGTAGCCTGGGCGATGATCAGAGGCCAGCGTAGTTGTAAGTAGTCGGACAGGATTGCCCAGAACCAGACGAAGACCACTTGGATGGCCGAACCAGCGGTTGGGATCGCGTTGACCTTTGCGGTCGACCAGGTTGGTTCGTGCGTGGTGGGGTTCCGCAGCGATTTGAGGAACAGTCCGAAGTAGTTGTAGGAGTAGTTGCCCAAAACAATGCAGCAGTACAGGATTGGGATCAGGAGTGTGATCAGGGATGTTGCAGTTCGTCTGTGGAAGAAGGGATGCGTGTCAGCCTTGCAGTCGTGAGGAATCTCTTGCAATCTGTCAAATGTCACTTACCTGCACCCAGCAAGAGATACCCTCTTCGGCTCCTCACGCCCGTGTCTTGCGAGACGGTCCATCGCCAGCCGTGCGTGGTCATCTGTGAACCAGATCGCACGTGGGTTTGGACGATTCGGGAGGTCGGGCAGCATGAAAAAGCCCGCAAAGCCCCACACTACAGTGATGATGGCACTGATGATGAATAGCCATCTGTATGGGTCAGTCTCTTGCAACTAACAGTTTCCGACCCTCAAAAAAGCAGGGCCTTATTGCGGACGTACCTCCAACCCTCGATGCCAGAGTGGTTGTCTAACGTGCTGCTGATCGCAGCTTGAATTGCTCCACTCATCATTGAACCGATTGCTGTTGTCGCCGACATCAGCGTACTTCTTACGTTTTTAAAGCGGCATTTAGAGCCAGCTGGGTGTCGAGCAGTAGTACAGGTCATGGAAATACGCACCTTGACACGAATGGTAGAAACCCATCCGCTTTGCAAGCTCAGTGGGCGTGTACCAATGCATGAACAATGTCATCATACCAGGCCAGGCACTACTCTCGCAGAGGCCCAGGAAGAAGCGTATGGCGTATACTTGCTTAGCGTGATGGGTCGTCGCAATGAGTCCTGGTAATCATATTAGCTGGGACGGAAATGCAGACCGAAGAACGGCATGGTGGCAACATGTGTGTGAAAGCTCTGGACACATAGTCCCCAGCTGAATGCTTACCGGTCAAGATTCCCCAGGTAATCTCGAGGCCCGACAGCCAGTAGCTTGGACGCACATATGTGAGGACGACGAGAGATGGTATCAACATGATGCAGTAGCCAATATTGAAGTAGGTCGTGAAGCTGAGTACAGTCAACACATAGGTTGTGCTGTCAAGAAAGTGCTCTGCTTACTAGTTGAGTTCATTCCCGTACAGACTGAGGTCCTCCTTCATCCCACTCACGTAAGCGTTGTTGATATTCGTCTGATCCATGATTCTGGTACGGATGAGCAGATGCTTTAACGTAGCCGTAAAGCAGACTTACTTGATCACTGTCAAGAGTCAGCATACGGCCATTAACGTTCATATTCATGGGCTAAGCTCACCTTGAGAGATACAGCCAAAGGTCATCAAAAATATGTCTAACCGTCGTACAAGGCTGCGCTCGCCAGGCAGGCGTGCAGCTTGAGAGCTTTCAGCATGTCGAGTTCGCAAAGCCATGGTCGCGTGTGTGTTGCGATCATTGGCAGCATGTCCATCGTCTGCTCGTGAAGTGGACGTTGATATATATGGCTGAGAAGCGGAGTAGTTCCAGTCTTGATAGCATATATGATTGGTGCGGCGACGTCCGACACCCCTGTCGCATCTGTCGGAGGTTCCGCAACCCCAATGTACTGTTGCCGGCACAGATGGGACACCATCCATTGCAACCTGTGCGGCGTGGGCCGCATTAGAGTAGCGAGTGTGTCCATGGCGGAAGATGATATACCGGATGTGGTTTGGTGCTCATGTCGAGTGGCGGCGGACACCGCAAATGAAGACCACACATATGCCGCTGGAACGCCCATGGTATATTTAGACGACCTACCAGTATTTCCTCTGTCTGCACCAGGCACGATATAGGTTCGAAAAACATGTCAATCAACCACCAGGAGTTGGATCCCGTGAAGGGTAGCGCGGTCCCGTCCAAGGTAGTCATAATCGGTGCTGGGGTATTCGGCCTCAGCACAGCGCTTGCACTCGCTTCAAGACATCCTGAGACCCAGATCGTTGTAGTAGACCGGCTCACGCCTCCAGTCAAGGACGGTACGAGTGTCGACACTACAAGATGCATAAGATCTGGTATGCAGCATTCGGTCACTCGAGCCACGAACACTAACGATCTCAGATTATGCCGATCCGATATACCGGCGCCTCGCAGAAGTGGCCCAGGATATGATATTCCAAGATCCAGAGCTCCAGCCATGGACATTCAAACAGGGCATGACATATGTTTGCGATGGAAGACCAAGCCGCTTCACAACGACGTGGACAGAGGAGCGCGATCAAGCCAGGTTGCGGAAAGGCTTTGCCGAGTCTACACAACGCAGCGACGTATTTCACCGTATCCACGGTATTGATGCTGTGCTCCCTAGTATGGAGCATTCGGATTGGAACATGGGTTTTTCCAACATGACTGCTGCTTTCATTGATGCTGAAGAGGGCATTCGAGTTTACTATCAGCGCTGCCTTCGGAATCCATCGATCTCTTTCCGCTGCGGCGTACCTGTGAAGGAAATCGTCACGGAGAAGGGAGAGGCCAAGGGTATTCTTCTCGAGAGTGGCGATCAAATCGATGCCGATCTGGTCGTTGTTGCAGCCGGTGCTTGGTCCGCGAAGCTCGTCTCACTCGGCCAAAGGGTAAGTCCCATTGGCCACGAAGTGGTCTGGTTCAAGGTTACTCCAGAGGAGGAAGCGCGGTGGAAGAATATGTCCATTACCACGAACTTGAGCACAGGGCTGAATATCTTCCCACCCTACCGTGGCGAGATCAAGGTGCTGCGACGCTCTCCTGGCTTCGTCAACACCATCACAGTGCCTGACCCAGAAAGTCCGGCCGAGAAAATGCGCATTTCGTACCCGAGAACAATCGTAGACAACCCAACGGACGAAATTCCATGGGACGCAGAAGTTGCCATTCGGAAGAATTTGCGCGAGATAATGCCACCCCTCGCCGATCGAGCGTTTGATCGCACCAAGATCTGCTGGTGCGTTTTCCGTGCTTGTCTCAGAAGAGTCTGCTAATGCTTTCCTAGGATTAGTACGACCCCAACGGCAGATTTTCTGATTGCGCCACACCCTCGCCTTCGTCGACTACACATGGCTACCGGTGGCTCAGCACATGCCTGGAAGTTTCTGCCAATCATCGGCGACTGGGTTGCTGATTCTATAGAGGGAAAGCTGGACCCAGAATTGGTTGATAAGTGGAGCTTCGACCGGTTGTCCAACGGGAAGGATCGAAATGCGCCTAGAATGGACGGCAAGCCACAAGAACTGAACGAGGTAGTCCGACATCGTTTGTAGACGCTCTTAATCCACCACAGAAGGTCGGCAGCTGTAGAGCACTGGCTTTCCAAGGAGATCTCTGTGCTCAGTATTTGTGTCAACGCGAGCACATCTGGCGGCCGTGGTGATGGTCGCGGCTCAATTCCACGTATCCGGTATAAAATCCACTGTGTTATCTAGTGCATCCCAATCGAACGCTGCTTGCTCGAAGTCTGTCCAGTCATGCATAACGTTGTCATCTGGTTGAACCGGCATTGCTCCACTGTCCACATGATCATCAGGCGGCAAAAGCCCTGTCGTGAAGGGGTCAACTGCATTCACATGATGATGCTCAAATGATATCCCTGGCGGGATGTCTGAATCCTTTGATGGCGTTGCTTCTAGTTCCTGCAACTTAGCAGCAACGTACTCGTCAAAAGACTCTCTCCTTGCCTTGAACGACGGGAACAGAGAGACCATACCCCAAAGAACGTTCGAGCACGTCTGAACGAGCTCCCTCAGAACAGACAGGGTAATACGCTCCTTGACAGAACTCGACCTTGAGTAGGCGTTCAGAAGGGCAGTTCCTGCTGCTGACAGCCCTTCTACTGCCTGCCAGTAGATTGTGAATCGTTTCTCCTCAAAGAACTTCCGGTACAATCGGACCATGTTCTCTGCTGCATCCAGAATCTTTAGCCAGGCAGCTTCGGTAGGGTTCAGCCAGTTCGGCGACGGCTGATAAAGATATAACATGGCACGATGATATGTGAGGTCGAAATTTTCGATGATTCTTCTCTCGTTCGGGTCGAAAGTGGACGTGCGAGGTAGATCTTTGTACCATTCCATTATGCGATGCTGGGCATCGTGCTGCCACCTTTCAATATCAATTGGTGCGTAGCCAAGAGGAGCTTGCTGGTGTAGTACGGTCTGCATCTCTGATTGTAAACGTCGCCATCGGAGGACGTGTAAGCACACCAGTTTGGCTTTCGAGGTGTTGGAGTCCGCCCCGTCGATGTTCTGCTGAGCGCTTTCTCCAGGCTTCTGCTTCGCAATAACATTGTCGCTCAAGACCGATGGAAACTAGCCTCGGTTAGCTCGGCTGATAGGACACCAGAACATCGCTCACCTCGACTGAGATTGCTCCATCTGCAAGGCACGTTGGGAGATTTCGGGCGATGCTTATGTTACGATCCATGGCATAAGCCGTCCAGAAGACACGGCGCCGTACGTCTAAGTCTGTAGCACTCATTTCCTCGATAGGATCTTTATGTAAGCCTATTTCCACGGCGAGTCGAAGTGCAGCTCCGACTGTCGACCAAACGGTCAACGTCTCGGAATGATGATAGCAATACTGGCTTTCAAGGAGCAGGAACTGTACACCCTGAATGCCAGGTGGAAGGCCTGTATGGTCCAATGCCATCAAAGCGACCCGATGGTACCGATCAGGCAAAGACGTTGACATCTTCGAAGGATCTTGCTTCTGCAAAACAAGCAGAGCTACCGCGAAGACCTCCAGAACGACGAACACCGTCAGCTGGATGTCTTTGGTGTCGTGACTTCGTCCGAGATCAATCGTCATGGGAAGCGAGTACAAAGAATCGAGATGTGAGTGGAATGTTGGCTCAAATAGAACAGGTTGGCTGGAGTTCGCAAACTGGAAGTAAACTTTAGTCAGTCTTGCTGCGGCTTCGCGCTTCGGAAGTGTCAAGAACGCTGAATCCAGGTCGTCGATGATGTCAGCTATGCTACCGGCTGGGTCTGGCTGTTGAGATGTAGCTACAGTTCTCCTCGCTGTCTGCAGCTGTATCGCATTCCTGAGCATCATTGTTGGCTCATTGTCGAGAGAATGAGATACGCGTGATTGTGAAAGCCGCCCCAAACCGACGGCTTGGCTGTGATTCTGAGAGGTGCTTCCAACGTCTGAAACACGAGGTAAGTGGTCTCCATAGCCGCCAAGATTAGGCAATGCTCTTTCCGCGTCTGGGTCGACAGTCTCGTGGTTTCCCGGAGCTACAGCCAACTGATGCTCTAATTCACGCACACGCTTCTCAAGGGTATGTAGATAGCTAGACGCGAGCATGAGCGAGGCTGCTCATCTTCGAAAGATCCAATCACTCACCTCCGAGGAGCCTCTCGATGAAGTAATGCATCGTAGCCGACGCACGCGACATCAGCTATCTCACAGCCTCGGCAACGCTTCGATGTTCCCTTTAGCTATGCCGCAGATTCAAGACGCGCGATCGACAAGCTGTACTCACAGGTAGGGTTTGATCACACCTCTTCTTCTTGCTTCTACATCGATTGCACGCGGTGATATTGGAGCGCGGCAGACTGTGCCCGGGAGATGCCATCCATCAGTGGCAAGCAGAACACTCCAAGTGATGCGGCGCGGTACGAGCCCTCGCATGGAATTCGGCGTAAGTATTGTGATGGCGAAGGTCACGAGTGACAGGAGCCGCCTGAAGGTGAATGAACTTGCACGGGTCGAGCGATGCCGATACGTCATTTCTTGGCATAAAAGCGAGGCAACCATCAGGCAACCGCCGGTCGTCAAGCGCCCAGCTAGCCTAGGATGCAGCAGACCAACTTGCATAAGTAAAGCTTAGTCGCTCGCTATGACCTCGTAGCCTGCCGCCATTTCTAATAAGCCGCCATCATGTCCGAACACGCCAGGGCTCTCCTCGATACAGCATGGGGTGTCATTCCGCACTTCCATGCCCGCTCCATTCCCACATCCATCACCTACTACACCTCAGTCCTCCATTTCAACCTCGGCAGCACCGACATCTCGTTCAAATATGACCCGGCAAGCGAGCCGGAGCCCAACATGTGCTCCATCTACCTCGGCCCGGGTATCAGAGGCGCAAACATTTATATCTTCAAGCGACCAGTGGAAGAAGTGCTGCATCCGAGCACAATCATGATTGCGCTGGGAACTGAAGCGGTGGACGCTTACTATGAGTTGCTGGTCCGGGAAGGAAAGGCTGAGATCATAAAGGAGATCGAGGACAAACGTTGGGGTTACAGGCAGTTCGCTGTGCAGGATCCTGATGGTAACCGGATCCAGTTCTTCCGCTTCCTTGACGGCGGAAATCCCGGCGTCGAAGTTGCCGGGATGACAGATGCGGATACAACAGAATCTGCATAGCTCTTTCAAGTGGCGGTCTGACTGCTCGATCGCATCGTGTAGTGGAGGTTCTCAGTCTTCGACCCGCAACTCGTCAAAGTCGTCCAGAAGCTCCGCCATATCGATCTTTGGCACATCCTCGTCTTCCACATCTGTCTCGGTCACAGACATGGCATCGCCCGCCTTCGCTTGTTGTTGAGCCTTGTACAGCGCCAGCGTATTGCGCAGTTCAACATCCTCCTCCACATCCTGCAAGAACATCTCGTAATCTGCATCCATTTTCGCTTGGTCTTGCTTCCGTGGAAGCATCTCGCTCTCCTCCTTCTCCATACGCTTGAGTCGCCAGTTACGCTTGGGCTTCTTCCTGCGTGCATAGTGTTTCTTCACAAGCACAACATCGGGGATGCGCGAGGCCAAGGCGCTATTCTCGAGTTCCTCGAATTGTGGGTTGTTGAAATTAGTGCCGGTGAGGTGATAGCCCATGACGGAGTCGCCCACATGCAGTACACCGCCGAGGTGAGTTCGACAGAAGTAGGTTTGGTCGTTGGTTCCCAGATCGGAAGCACGAGCGACCGTTGCCTCTGCGGCGAAGAATCGACCTTGTTGCTGGCCAGTGGGCTCAATATCCATGACGACAAACTCAACCAGTTCGGTAACATCTGCAAGATTCTTGAAAGGTGCCCGCCAGTAGATGTTGGTTGGCAGCTCAGCGGTTTGCAGTGTATTTGGGTCGATGAGGTTGATAGCTGTTCCTATCCGAGAGCAGAGAGCCAGGGGAAATATGTTCCCTATCGATTTAGCGAGTTTCTGAGGTATGGCAACAAGATCGTCCTTGCATATGGGGACAAGTTCGCAGGAGTAAGTAAACTTGTAGGATTTGGTGGAAGTGTGGATGTCCATCGAGATGAGTTCTTGTGATTTCTTGACGCGGACTGGGGTGACAGAGGTCAGGAAATCGACAAACTTCTCAGCATGATTTCTTTGAGCAAAGAAAAAATCGAGACCGTCCTTGACTTCCTTGATGTTAATGGTGTCCTTGTGCGCCCCGTGCTTGAGCATGAGTTGTTCAAGATGGAGGAATGTGCGTTTGTGCGGCACTTTCTGCCGGACTTGCACTGATGCTCGCCAGACGTTGGCTGTGTATGACTTGGCACAGTCCGGACACTGTTGTCCCGCAACAACATACTCAACCTCAAAGGTCTGTTGAATGATGGCGCCCTCGAATGCTTCCTGCTGCACAGTGATCTTGACCTTGATCCGTTTCGAATGTGGTTCAGTCCAAAGGAAACTGGCGTCTATGATTCGGACCTTACTCAACCCTCTCAATTTCTTCAAGCAGAGAGCCAGAAGTTCTCTTGACTCTGGCGCTGCTGTAACCCACTGTGATGGCGGACTGAGCCATCTTTCGCAGTCCTTGCAACAATGTAATGTGCCCTCTCGCTGAATTCCTTCCGATGCGTCCACAGTCAATTTGACACAATCATAACATAGTGCTCCGGCGGCTGCTGTCCCATCGATAGGCGCTCCACAATTACAACACAGGATTGTTGCTGCTTGTGTGGCTTGGCCGATTGGTATTGCCACGGGGGCATCCACGTCCATCGACATAGCGGAAGTTGCGGCCTAGGATTTCTCTGTTGATTCTGCACCGAAGGAAGAGAAGGTGGAAGATAGAAGGAAGTCACCCAATTATTCAGAACGGTCAGTCCTGAATCTTTTCGCCTTCGGGGATCTCCATATTTCCTTCGCCGTCCAAATCTTGAGTCATCATGTACGGCACTGCAGAATGCCCAGCGACGCCATTTATACGGGAGACCCAGCGCTCAAGTACGCAATAGCTTTCTCCGACGAGAAGCGAGTGCAGCTCCGACTCCCGAGGATGATGTACCACGGCAGTCATTTTCCAGGAACAGCACTCGGATACTTTGAAGCTTGTGACGGGCATCGATATTTGTCTGTAGGACAGATTCAAGCAGTGACATGTCATAGTCTACACATCTTCGTCCTCCCAGCGCCACGTCATGAAGCCATGCTGCGCTAGGTACGCAGCAACACTTTTCGCGCCCATCCGAAGTTCGCGACTGGCAGTGCAGTCCAACAGTGTCCGTCCAAGCCTCTTGCGGCCAGCGAGCAGACGAACAGTAGGTCTTGGCTTGAGAACCATGTGGCCTGCCCTAACAATGTATTTAGATGTCTTCAACCCCAGCAGTCTTCTCCATGCCGGTCGAGCAGCCCGGTGATGATCCAGACGATGTCCTATTCAACTCATTATACGGCGTCCGAACAATAGAACTCAACAGACCTAAAAAGCTGAATTCGCTCAATGGCTCAATGGCTCGGAAGATATTACCACGATTAAGAGAGTGGGAGAAGTCGCATTTAGCCAATGTGGTCATGATCACTGGCGCAGGCCCAAAAGCATTCTGTGCTGGCGGCGACGTAGCCGAACTGGCGAAGCAGAACGCGACGCCAGAAGGCCAGAAGACATCAACAGACTACTTCGCACTCGAATATCAGCTCGACCATCTAATAGCTACCTACAGCAAGCCCTACGTTGCCGTCATGGATGGAATCACCATGGGCGGCGGTGTCGGACTCTCAGTCCACGCACCCTTCCGAATAGCAACTGAACGCACCGTCTATGCCATGCCCGAGACCACGATTGGTTTCTTCCCCGACGTTGGCGGCTCCTTTGCCCTCCCTCGCCTCGATGGCGAGATCGGAACCTACCTAGCCTTGACCTCTGAGCGCTTGGTCGGTGCCCAGGTCTTCTACAGCGGCATCGCGACCCACTATATGGACAGCACCGTCCTAGCTCCGCTGACCACACGACTCTCCGAGCTCGTGTTCGACGACCTCGCCAGCCTCAGCGACCGCCTCGATCTGGTCAACCGCACCATCGCCGAATTCACGAACGATCTACCCCGTCCAGACTCTTACGAAAAAGCGAAGTATGGTAACATCACGGGCGACCTACGAATAGCCATCGACGAGTGTTTCGGCTTCAACACTGTCGAGGAGATTATAGCCGCGCTCAAAGTTCGCAAAGGCCGCCCAGCTCTCGCAGAGTGGGCGGAAAACACCCTGAAAACAATGTCCATCCGCAGCCCAACCTCTTTGAAAGTAACACTCCAACAACTGCGTTACGGTGCCAAATGGGATATCGATGAGACTTTCATTCGCGAGCACGCTATGGCCGCGCACTTTATGGCCCACCCAGACTTCACAGAAGGCGTCACAGCCCGCCTCATCAACAAACCCGCAACAGAGCCCCAGTGGCAGCCCAAGGCCCTGGCAGAGGTGTCCCCCGAGGACGTGGCCAAGTTTTTCGAGAAGAAGGAAGGCGTGGACACGCTACAACTGGTGGAGCCACTGCGCGGGTTCGAGAAGGGCCCAAGGAAATACCTGCAATACCCACACGCGAGGTTCGCGCTGCCGACAGAGGAGGCCATTGAGGACGCTGCTCAGACCTCCGGTGTGAAGACGACGAAGGGGGCAGAAACGGTCATTGCGGAGCTAACGAAGCAATGGGGCCATAAGTTGGGCCTGAAGGAGAAAGTAGAGGACTATCTCAGGCGGAGGTCCAGGCAGAAGGGCAAAGAAGCGAAGGATCAGGGTGCTGAGAAGGCGGCGAGTCTGTGAGGAGAAAGGCCAGGACTGGACGGCATGTTGTAGACGTATAGATTTTGGATGACTTTTGGGTGAGAGATCCATGAAGATCTGACTAAAGGCACAAAAGGTACATGATAGTGAAAGCGAAAGTCTCGCATCTGCGTTGTGGCTGTCGATCGGCCGACTGGCCATTCCAGCAATATTGAAGACATCTTATACATACCTCAGGGATCTGTCCTTCAAATGGACAGCTATCCCAGATACACAGTTTCCCATCTCTTTTGATGCCCAGGAACACAATTCGTGCCGAAGTAATCTTCTGCGATTGATGCGAAGCGCAAGAGCTGAACTCGAGTCCAGCCGTCACTTCTTCGAGTGAGCGTCGGGAGCAGTAGCCTCAACTGGTATGCATGGCTGATCACCTCAGTGCCCTTCCTGAACTTGGCTTCAATCGTCGGCCGCCAACGTCTGATCCGTGCGACCCCATTTACCACAATGGACCGATCGCCCCGGTCCCCCGAGTGATCACACAGGCGTCAGCATCATCCGATATTTTTGTCGCTCTCTGCGCGCGCATCGCTGGCCAATCGAGGCGCTGCATTCGTTCCAAGAAAGTCAAGAACTTTCTCAAGACCCAGGCGCGCCACTTGCCTCGCCTTATCCATCATCCGCTCCAACAACGCCTTCTCCTCCTTACTAAACACCCTCATCCGCTCCCGCTCCACCGTCAAGCAGCACTCGTTGTTCTCGTGCAGCTGCCACGGCGTCGGCTCACGCATAGTCTTTGGCTCCATGAGGTAATGCTTGAACGTCCCAAACTTCTTCTTCGACTTGTCCGCGAATTTGTTGTCCAGAAGCCAGCCGTTGAACCAGAGCGGCGAGCCGTCGATGTCGAGATGGAGGAGTTGTGGAGAGCAGAGCGTGTATGACTCTGGGCTGTTCTCGCCGGGACCTGGTTGTGGGGCGGGGGTAGGCTCGTCGTCGTCGTCTGCGGCGTCTTCTGTCGGCGCGCGGCGTTCGGGCTGTGCGGCTTGTTGGGCTTCTTCGGGGGCGCCTCCAGAAGTGTCGATTGCGGCGCGTTTGCGGAGTGCTTTCGGTGCGTCTTTGTTCTCGTCCTCGTGATGGTCTTCGCCTTCGGCTTCACTAGGTGGTGGCTTCTTGGCCTCCTCCTCGGCCTTCTTCTTCTCGCGCTCTTCCGCGAGGCGATGCTGGACTTCTTCGTCCTTCTTCTGCTGTTCTTCTTTGCGCTTTCTCTCTTCTTCCTTCTTGCGTTCATACTCTTCGCCCTTCTTTTGCTCTGTCTCTTCGCGCTGTTTGGTAGTCATGGCGTCCCGGTTCAGGTCGCCCATGATGCCGGCATCGCCTTGGTGGAAGACATACTCTGGGTCGCCGACGAGCTCCCAGCCGAGCCAGAATGTCTCTTTGTCGCCTGTGATATGTCAGCATTATTGTTCACGGCCCGAGGAGAATGCCAAGACTGCTAGCTGGCACTGTGTGGATGACTTACCATAAACGAGATCGTAGACACCAATCCTCCCCTCATCCTTGTTGCCATCACGATCCGGTCCGTTCATGCGTGTCACCATTAACATAGCGATGAAATGCTTCCATTTGTCGATGACCAAAACCCCTGACTCTTGCATATGCCCGGACTCGCCAAGCCAGAATCGCGACTGCTTCACCTGCTTGCTGATCGGCTTAGGGAGCAACTGCTGCAGTAATCGCTTTTTGTTCTCAGGCATGATCATACGATCCTTGAAGAAAAGCGCACCAGTCTTCTTGTAGCCCGGGTCCTCGAACATGATTTCCGGATTCTTGAAGAAGAGCGAATCGGCATCGATGAAGATAACCTCGCGAAATGAGGAGAAGAGCACCGCAAATGGCTTTGCTGCCCATCCTGCCAAACGCCAACCTTCGTCGTTGACCATTTGCGCGATGTCGCGGGTCACGACGCCATCCATTGCTTCGAGATCTGAGCGGAAGTCCTCGGAGAGATCCGAGTCGCCCAGGTACATGACCTCGACTGGCAACTTGCAGCCGAGTTCGCGCAGTATGGGGATTGATGTGAGAAGGTATGGCGCTTGATCGTCGCCAGCAGTAAGCACGATGCCCCGGCCGCCACGCTTGAAGTGCGCGTGGAGAGACATGTGGTCGCTGAAGTATGGCGCGGTCCATGGGAAGAGCATTTGACCGAATTTGGCCAAAAAGTATCGGTAGCTCTCGTAAGTGCGGATCTGTTGGGCTAGATCCAGATTCTCGAGGCCTGCAATGGTCTCACCGTGCACGTGGCTGCGAAGATATTGCACAACATCGTCGCGGACGTAGGTGCCGCCCTCGTCGTCCGTATCGAGGTGAAGATCCTCCCACGCTTCGAAGTACGATTTGTAGGCGCGGGTCCGAAGGCCCATCTCGCGGATCCTTTCCTTGCCAGTGCCTTCAACGGGACGTAGCAGGTCGCGCATATGCATCTCTCCTGGCAGCATGTTGATGACCTTGGCGAGTGCCTTCTCGAACAGCGGCCGTTCCGACCATTTCACTTTCCCACCACTAATTGCAATCGGTTTCGACTTCGAGCCCTTGGTGACAGGCTCCTCATCAGGTGCGACGTCTCCGGGCGACGAGCTTCCATACCCCTTCTTTCCACCAGGTTTGGGAGTACTACTGTAAGGTCCAGTCCGTTCCTCGTCCTGGACATAGACTTCTTGGGCCGGAGCTTTGTAGGGCGTCGTTTTCTCGTCAGCAGCGGCAGGATTCCTTGGCGGGTCCTTTACAGGGACCTGATTTCTGGCCCCATTTCCTGGTATATATGTCGAAGGTGTATTAGATGTGAATGAAGTGCCGCCAAAGAAGAAAAATCCGAATACAATAAGTCCAAGAGCAACAAGACCAACGACGCGACGGTTGCCTCTTCGCATAGGGCCCGCATGGAGAAGGCCACCGTGATGCGAGCGCCCTTCCTTCGGGTTGTAACTGCGAGCGGGAGTGAAATTCATCGTGCCGCTTCGTTATATAGATAAATGCACTCCAGGAGAGGCCTCACAGGCCCTTGAACAACGGGACGGGAAAGTGCTGCGGGTTCACGCTGGATGAATTGACATCGAGGCGTGTTCCCGAACCGTTGGAGTCGTTGAAGTGTTACAAGCAACCAGAAAGGGGTAAGCCCCTAGAACGAACCGGTGGTCGCGTCCGCAACGGTCGATACACTACGACAGAGATGCTAGATGTTGTCGCTGTCGCTGTTGATGTACAAATGAATGATGGAAACAAAGAATGGATGAAATGAATAAGGTGGTCAAAGACACGGCGGATGCAGAAGACAACTCTCCTTTCTCAGCTGTGGGAGGCGAAAATCATCTGAGCCTCCCTTGCGAAAGGCCCACTAAAATCTCCCGTTAAAGAGGCAGGACTACCAGTAATAGGGTTCTCGTAGGGCTTAGCTGACCTCTGCTGAACCAATATGGCGCGGTACACCCTTTTATGAATTGAGTTGTCTTTAGGTAGATGTTTCGAATGATGGTGTGATGAAGAAGACCCTCCAGACCCGTCGCACCGGTGCCATCATGACAGTCGTTGACTGACTTGATAAGTCGCACAGATCTTGCACGTTCATGAGATGCTCCGAGCTGTCCTTCAGACCTGCAGTAGCCTGCAGCGTCCAGGTCAGGTCAGGGGCAGCACTATGATTACCTGATTGCTTTCCCTTTGTCGAATCGCCTGTGAGCAGGAATATGCCGCCTATAGAGTTATTTTAATAAACCCTGCAGTTCGAGCGCGTGGCAAGGTATATTTCCCTCCGCGTTCTAGAACTCGCTACCACCTTCAGTTCTTCAACGACAGCGACATTTCGACGTGACTGCTTTTGAGGCTCCGCGCATCGACTTCGTGCTACTGTCGTGGCCTTGCTGGACTGCATCGCTTCAACACATGTCAGCAACCATGTGCAGCCCGTCACAACTGCAAGGGTTAAGATGGCAGTTGCCCCAACATCATTTCAGATAGTGTTTAACAGAAATCTCCGCTCGCTGCAGCACTCGCGACGCGTTGACTCCAGGTTAGCCAAGACTTCGACTTATGCCTACCGTATAGCACATCTTGAGCTGATCCGACTGCTGCCACTTACCTTACCTCGAATCACTATAGGCATATGCTCCGTCGATGATTGCACCGGGATGGTCCTGCTATGAATGCGAAAGTTTCCCACGGTAGGAAGGTCGAGAATCCGGCAGAGTATCGTCCACGACCCCCAAAAGCGAAGAAGAAATCTTCGTCAAATCCGCTCCTCGCCGGCATCAACAAGTATTTTTCAAGATTTCACCCGGGTACCCTTGACGCAGATATTGTTCTGCCGTCAAGATACCTTCTCTATCCGCCCCTCTTGCTTCTGCCGGCGCAGTTCGAATCGACCAGTCCGAAGTGGCAGGCTGAGTATGAGAACCTCGGTGCGGACCTGAAGTACGAGCTGTTCCAGACTATTGCCCTGTCTTTCCGAGCAGCCGGGCAGAATGTCACACATATTGCACTTAACGGGCCAGTGAGGGAGGTGATCAGCATCGGTGGCAATCAATTGCCAAATATGATGAGAAGTCCGACCGCGTTCTGCCCCGTATATGGTGACTGGGGTCCTACTTTGATACAACAGGCTGGTCCCACAGCGCAAGACTTTGAGCAGGCTTTCTGGATATCTACAAAGCAGGACCACGGAGTCACACAGACGTGGGCACCACGATGGACGATGTTCAGTCAAGGTAATTTGAGCGAGAAGAAACGGATCCTTGGCACAGCCGGGCGTGACTATTTTGAAGGCCAAAATGAAGCGGACATCGAACGCATGGAAGTGCTAGACATGTATGTTGGCATTGGCTATTTCGCGCTTTGCTATCTCGCGCGAGGCGTCTCGCGAGTCTGGGGCTGGGACCTAAATGGCTGGAGTATTGAGGGCCTGAGACGCGGTTGTGTTGCAAATGGATGGAGATGCCTGGTCGTGGAGGTGAGTGACGACGGCAAGGGCATGGCTCCCCCGGCGGAAGAACTCGTGCGTCTGCTGCAGAACGAAAATGACCTGCCACTGGACCAGCGAACGCGGTGCATTGCTTTCCGAGGCAACAACGAGCACGCTGCTGCTATCGTGGGAGCTATCGATGAGGAGCGGCGACGGCAGGACTCCGTGACGCAGCTCTTAAGATTCGACCACGTCAATCTAGGGCTTCTCCCTGACTCCAGGCCTAGCTGGTCGACGGCGATGGAGCTGGCCGCCGTAGGTGGGCGTTTACACGTCCACAGGAATCTTCCAGCATCGTCAACCGATTCAGAAGCTGCTGAGACTCTTCAGGAATTGCTGAACATGACACTCCATCCGTGCGAGATCGGCAAACCCTGTCGAGTTGCTCATAGCGAGAGGGTCAAGATGTTCGGACCCGGCATGCAGCATTTCGTCTTTGACGTTGAAATGTGAAGCACACAATCTACTGCCTCCTGAATTTGGCTGGGATATTCGAGAGCACAACTTGTTGTCGCTGCTCCATTTCTATCCGGTCCTGCTCTCGCTCCATCTCTTCGTGCTTGCGGAAATGCTCAATATCTTCGGGATGTATCAGATCCTCCACTTGGGTGTTCTCATCGTGGTATTTCTCAAAGTGGTGGATCTCGTACTCATACTCATCGTCGCCGTGATGTCCAGGACCGAGGCCGGAGTCTGGCAATTGCTTGCCGGATCTGCTCAGCTCAATGAAGGTCTCTCGTGAGATTTGCCCGCTGTCGGTGGGATCGAAGATCTTGAAGACCTCCTTGACGGCTGCGGAAATGTCAGCAAGATCTATATCGCCGCGGTCAACTCACCTTTGTCCTTGACAGATGCTTCGGTGTCCTTCAATGACTCGTCATCTAGACCGTAGGTGCGCCGTACTTCGTCGGCTGTCCAGATGCCGTCTCCGTTGAAATCGTGTAACGTAAAGAATGAGGGTGCGTCGAAATTTGAGATGTGGTGCTCTTCAATCATATGATATTCTGCCCACGATGCAGCCTTGTTCTCATTCTTTTCGTGCGAGCCATGGGCAGCTGCGAAGCCGACGATGGCGCAGCTCAGCGCAAACGGGATGACCAGCATCTTTGCTGCAAGTTTGTGTAGTTGTGTTTGCGCAGATTGATCGCAAAGTCGTGGATCTCTCCTGCTAACTCGGCGCGTCGGGAGGCCCCTGGCGTCGCTGCCGGATTGGGACACGCCTAGTCGCGCTCACCTCACCTCATGAGTGGTGCACTTTCCTACTTGATTATATCCCTTCATAATAATTGCATCGTTGTTATGTCGAGATGTAAGTAACAAGGTGTCGTAGTCATCACTCGAGCTGCGGTCATGCATCGAAGTCGGAGGCTTCACTCACCGGAAAGTTGCAGGTCAATCTCGAGAGTCGGTAAGTGACAGAACTTGGCTGCATTTGCTAGTGAACTTGAACATGTTTGCTGAGCATCCAACAATCGTTTCATCAATCCTCTTGCTCTTCTTTGTCAGATCATTCGTCTCGTTGACAGATGCCTCTGGACCTGCAAGAATATGGCGCAACCTTCGCTGTCGCCAGACTCGGCAAATCTATCAGACCTCGACACACCCGGCTACGATAGCGACTCTGGTCAGACAGACGCGTCAGCTGACCACGAGCTGCTGAAAGATTCCGAGACCAGTAGCGAGGAGCCGAGTCTAGAAGATGAGGCAGCTCGTTTGGATGCTTTCCAGGATGCAATCGTTCGGCAAGCCGAAGTCGAGCAACGCAATAGGGCGGCGGATCCGTCAGCAGGGCTGCTGGTCCGGTCAAGGCATGCAATGGAAACGGCTCGTGAGTATCAGCAAGAACTTTTCGAAAGAGCCAGAGATGAAAATGTTATCGCCGTGCTTGATACAGGCATGGGAAAGACTCTGATCGCCGCCATGCTCATACGCCACGTCCTCGACCAGAGCATACTCTCTGATCAACGAAAATGCATCTTCTTCCTCGCCAACAATGTTCCACTCGTCCACCAGCAAGCTCGCTACCTCGCGAACAATCTCCCAGTCCGTATTCAGCCTCTCACTGGATCAGACGGGGTCGACAAGTGGAACGGAGACACATGGCGAAACATTCTCAACGACGTGAATGTGTTTGTGTGCACTGCTGCTGTGCTTGAGCAGGCGCTTTTCCACAATTTCGTTCGCATGGGGACAATCAGTCTAATCGTCTTCGACGAGGCTCATCATTGCAAGAAAAGCCACCCATACTCTCGCATCGTCAAGGATTATTACCTCAAGACGGCGACCGTCGAGGAGCGACCGCGCCTGTTTTCGATGACTGCTTCTCCGATCGACTCCAAGCAGGATCTCAGCAAGACCCTCGCCAACCTTCAAGAATTGCTGCATAGCAAGATTGTCACTGTACCAGACGACTCGCTCGTTGATTGGGCTTACAAGCCTAAGGACGTCATGTGGGAGTACGACTACCCTGGACCTGAAGTCCGGACGCCACTATATGAGACACTCAGCCAACTAGCTGTGCTGTTGCCCTCGGTCCAGGCGGATTTACGAAACGCACCCAAGATTTCGTCTCATCTGGGTACTTGGTTTTCGGACAGAATGTTGCGACACCATTTTGGTACGGATGAGCTTGTTCGTACCCTTTACGGCAAGTTCGAACGTGGCAATCACTATGCTCAGATGTCGGAGACTGCGCGAGAGGACTTCAGAGAGCGGCTGTTCGCTGCTCCTGCCGAGGTTAGACAACGGTGTACGCTTGCTTTGCAGCCACAGCTACCTTTCATGTCGCCGAAGGTCCGATTACTTTACGAGAAGCTGAACGACCTCTTTACGAACAATCCAGATGCACGGGCCATGGTATTTGTCACCGAGAGGTGGACATCCATCGTCCTTTGTGAAGCTTTCCAGGCTCTCAACATACCACATCTGAACCCCGGATATCTGACGGGTGCAGGCAGCATCTCAATACGTCAGCAAGAGGAAACCATGCAGCAATTCAAAATTGGCGCTATCAACGTCCTTTTCACAACAAGTGTAGGCGAGGAAGGAATTGACATTCCACAATGCAACATTGTAGTTCGCTTCGATCTCAGCAATACCACGATTCAGTATATCCAAGGGCGTGGTCGAGCCCGTATGAAAGACTCAATCTATGCCCACATGATCGAGCGAAATAACCCGTTGCACAAGGACAACGTGCAATTCTCCATTGACGATGCCGCATACATCAAGGCTTTTTGCCAGCAGCTCCCTGCTGATCGAATGCTCGGGAAAGGAACGCAGTTGGCACAGATGCTAGCCAAGGAATCGTCCTATCGATCATTCGAGACATCAGCAGGGGTGTGCTGTAATTTCAGTAATTGTCTGGTCATACTCAGCCGTTATGCGAGCTCGCTCTATCACATTGGCGCCACTACCTCGGAAACGTACGAGGAAGTGCTCCAGGAGGACTCGGACGAACCTACCTTCCAGTACATCGTTCGCTTGCAGCCGGTCGGTGAGTCCATCGTGAAGGGTGCGAAGGGTGAGCCTCGCCCGAACAAAATCCTTGCTAAACGCTCGGCCGCATTCGAATGTGTGGTCAAACTTCGAGCCGCCGGATTGCTTGACGACAACCTGGACAGCAAATTCAAGCGAATACGGCGTGTCGAGCGCCGTATGGCTGTCAATGAGCGAAAGCACCCGTATGATATGGTCTCGAAACCTAAGCTTTGGACAGAGGCCATTGGTTCCATTCCAGACACTCTGTATGCCACAACGATCGACTTCGACCCAGCCTCTTCATTAAGTTCTCCGCTGGCACCGATGGTCATGCTCACTCGTGTGCCATTGCCCGCCTTTCCGAAGTTCCCCATCTTTCTGGAGGATGACATACGGACAGACGTTGTCACCAGATCTGTGGGGTCTTTCGCCGTCCAGCCGTCGGAGCTAGAAGTACTGACATGCTATACACTCAATGCTGTGTTCCACGACGTCTTCAACAAGCGATATGAGCATGATGCTAGCAAGATGGCCTATTGGCTGGTTCCACGCAATTGCTCAGGCGGCGAAGCGGCAACACTTGATGCAGTCGTCGACTTCGACCAGATGAAGGCATCTGCTGATCCACGAGGCGAGTGGAAGGATAATGCTGAGGCTTCCAAATGGTGCAACGCGTGGCTCGTGGATCCACTTAGTGGCAAGCATCACTATATCACAGAAACAATCGTTGATGGAGTCAGTATCCATGACCCCGAACCTGTCGAGTTCCTGCCGAAAATTGGTAAAAAGAGAGAACAACAGAGTATCATTGACTTCACGGATAGTCACTGGAGGAAGGACGAGAGAAACAAGTTCACCAAACGAAGAGACGGCAAGCAACCCGTGCTCAGAGCAGAAGAACAGTCGCTCCGTCGCAACTTCCTCGATAAACCCACAGAGCAGGAGAAGCAACGCCTGATTCGGTGGATCGCTCCTGAACCTCTATTGCTGGGGCGTCTGACTGTAGAAGCTGCACGTGCTGCACTGGCGTGGCCATCGATCATTCACCGCATCGAAGCGTATTTGATCGTGCTTGAGGCCCTCGACTTGCTCGGACTACAAGGAATTCCTGCAGAACTGGCACTAGAGGCGTTTACGAAAGACAACAACATCGATGACCAAGAAGGTCGTACTCACGCGACGAAGTGCCGCGGAATGGGCTCGAACTACGAGCGACTTGAGTTCATTGGTGACGCCCTGCTCAAATTGTGCAGCACCCTCGCAGTGTACATCCGCACACGCGCTAAGGAAGGCGACATGCATGACCGTCGAAAGTACATTCTTTGCAACGACACTCTCTGCAACATATCGGTCCAGGTAACACATATGTACCAGTACATACGGTCCGACGGCTTCAACCGACTGACATGGTATCCTGAGAACATGGTCCTTATGAGTGGCCGCGGAGCAACAGGAGCAGGTGTCAAGCACGAGCAGCAGTCGCATGATCTCGGCAACAAGACCATAGCCGATGTCAGCGAAGCCACGATCGGCGCCGCAGTCATGACTTGCGCACATCTGCCTGTTGAGACCCGCTTCGACCTTGGTATCCGTGCGATCACCAAGTTGACTGGCAGCGAAGACCACCAGTTCTCCAGCTGGGCCGAGTTTGCAGCCCAACACAACTTCCAGGACTGGCAGACGCGACAAGATGATCCACTCGCAAATCAACTAGCTGCAACACTCGAGCGCTTGACCGGCTATAAGTTCAAGTTTCCTCGCCTCGCCCGCTCCGCATTCACCCATCCCTCTGAGATGAACTCACCCGTGCCAGACTACCAACGCCTCGAATTTCTTGGAGACGCAATCTTCGACTGGGTCGCAATCTGGATGCTTTTCATCACCAACGCCTCCCGCAATCCCGAGTGGCTGACCGAGCACAAGACGGCCATGGTCAGCAACCAATTCCTCGCGGCCCTTGCCGTCCTCCTCGAGTTCGACAAGCTCCTTTTCATTACCAATGTCAAGATGAAAGCCGCTATCAGCGAGTACGCCTCCGAGTGTCGTGCACGCCGCGCGGAGGAGGGGCCTGACCATCCGGATTTCTGGCGCCGCATCAAAAGCCCGCCTCCAAAAGCCCTCGCTGATCTAGTCGAAGCGACACTCGGCGCCATGCTAGTCGACAGCAACTTCTCTTACGCCCCCATCGAAGCATTCTTCACCACCCATGTCCAGCCCTTCTTCAAGAACATCGAGCTGTACGACGGCTACGCGAACAAGCATCCCACGAGCTTGATCCATAAGGTGATCAACGGCGAGTATGGCTGTCGGCAGTTCCGCATTGAAGTGCGCAACATGAAGGGCGAGAAAGTCGACGCAGAGGCTTACGGCGCAGAGACCGCCTACGACAAATTCGCGAGTGTGGAGGAAGGCGAGGAGATCATGGCGACGGTGTTCATTCATTCTACGGCGTTGGACTTTAGTCATGGGACAAGCGCGAGGTATGCGAAGGTCAGAGCGTGTTCGAAGGCGTTGAGGGTTTTGGATGGGTTGAGCAGGGTGGGCTTCAAGGAGCGTTTTGGCTGTTATTGTGGTGAGGCTGGGGTTGAGGTCTGATAGATGCGGAGGAATGGGCCACTGGGGAGCACTTTGGATGGCGAAGTTGATGCTTCAGGAACCGCCGGAGCGCGACTCAGACGCTATGGCATCGAGGAAGCCCGACCCTGCAACAGCAGAATCAGCTGAGGTAGACTGTGAAAGAAAGGAGAAGATGCTCGAATGAAGACGAATCTCCTTCTAAACCTTAGAATATGCACTTGTCCACGCGACATTGACCTAGTCCTCGCCCGACCAGGACGCGAATAGCACTCAGAGCATGTGTCCAGCTCCGGGTCTCTGCAGTCATCGCTTGCTAACCCAGCCCCTGGCGTAACCACATCATTTCAGTCCCGGCGTATGCGTCGAATACAACTGGCCCCTTGCGCTCAGCCCAGTCCCACTCGCATTCAGCAAATTATTCGGATAATTCCCGAACCACGCGATCTTTGGAATCCAATCCGTGGCATCTGCATAGTCCAACGTCGCATTCAAGTAGTCCAAGACGACCTGTTCAGGAGCATTCAAATTGCCGCCATCAATTCCGAATTCCGTCACCCAGACCGGCAGACCGGGACTGATCGCGTGCACAGCCATTGTATAATTCTTGAAGACTTCCAGTCCACCGGGCAGGTAAGGATAGCTGTAGTGGTGCATGTTGAGAGCGCTAATGGTGAAATTGCGCTGTGTGGCATTGCCCATGAACTCACTCAGCCAGGTGAGACTGTTGCCTGCGTTGCCGATAGCAGGAGCGATCAACTTGAGACCACAGTCCTTAAATGGCTCCATATACTTCGCCCAACCAGCGATCGCCTGGCAACATTCATGTTTGCCGAGTTCGAGTCGCCGTTGAGGTCGGGCTCATTGAAGCTGAAGATCGCGTCGGTGTTGTATTTTTCTACGCTATCTGCGACGCCAATAACCCAGTTCGTAAGATTGATCTTGTCGTTGAAAACCAAGGGATAGTAGCGCAGAGGTAGGTCAGGGCGGGGTGGAAAGGGCCCGACATTGTTGCTGTCATTCACCCGATAGGTGTAGTCGTATGCCCAGGAGACCTGGGTGGGCGTCTTGTAGTATTGAAGAGTGGAGACCTGGCCGTACGGAAGCCCACGCTTACCCTTCAACGGAAGTGCGCAAGGCGCGGTAGCGAGAGGTTTGAGAATGGTGCGCGTGTAATTACCACCGTCACTCACAACGCAGGATTCGCGTGGCCCAGTGCTTTGCGGCGTTGGGCAAGCCGTAGTCGCTGTGGTGGTGCTCGTCGTTGTGGTCGTAGTCGTTGTGGTGGTCGTGGTAGTGGTAGTGCGGCTCGTGGTCGTTGAGGTTGAGGACGACGTCGTGCTTGTGGTGGTGGTGGTCGTCGTCGTTGTCGTTGTTGTGGTGGCGACGGCGGTGGCGGTGGTTGAAGTAGTCGAAGACACTAGCGTGCTGCTTAGGGACTGTACTGCCGTTGATGAGACACTTCGTACCGGACTTGAAGAAGTGGCCTGCACATTCGAAGATGAAGATGACAGAGACGGACTGACGGCGCCGGATGACGACAAAGTCTTGGACAGCGTTGAAGAAATCGCTGTTGCCGATGTCACGGCCGAAGTCGGTCTCGTCGATGACGAGGACGCCTGCAAAGAGGAAGAATGGATGAAGAGGCTGGAGCTTGAGGCTTTGTCGACGTGGATGCCGCTGGGTCTGCTGAAGACGACTTCGGCGGGCTCGGTGGCGACGAAGACTGCACCACAGCAGCGGAGGTTGATGTCGTCGAAGTTACGGCCGGGGACAGAACCGTGGGCGCGCTTGTGGGAGGCTCTGCTGGTACAATGGTTATCGAACTCATTACCGTCGCCTCTTCTGTAGTGCTGGAACTACTGCTCTCGGGCGGTCCCGGCTCAGGCGCAACAGGAATATCGATACATCCTAAGGGAGCGCTGTCGAAGACGACATAGAGAAATCGCCGCTAGGAGGCGAGCAGAACGTGGCATTTCCAAAGGAAAGGCTGCCACCCTCAATATCCCAGACATACGGATTTTCAGGCGGATCAGGCGTCAGCTTTAGAGCTGCGTAGCCATCCGCGGTCGTACTGGATGCGATGAAGAAGACGCCGGTGCGCAGATTTCCAGACTGGTCGATGACGAAAACGGCAGCGATATTTCTATCTGCAACCAGTATACTGGACCCTTGCTCGTCAAAGCCAACATACAGCAATGCTCGCTTTCTCTTATCCGGTGTGTTCACTGTGATATAGAAGGGATCTCCAGCTTGCAGATCTGGAGTCGAGGAGGCACTCGCTGTGACGGAGCTGGGTGAGGCGACGGTTGTCGAAGGGATTGTATCGCTGCTGATGCTGGGCATAGTGACGGTCGAGGGACCTGCGGCAGATGAGCTCCCACCACCCGAGCCATCCCTTGGCGTTGACACTGGCACGACGGATGACATCGAGCCAAAGAAGGTGCTTGCAGATGTCATCCCGCCTGTTGGCTCCTGATCGATTGTGCGGTCGGACGAGCTCGCGGCGATTCCGGAGGACGTAGAAGAGTCAGTGAACGTCGGAATTGTCATGCGGGAGATTGTAGTCCCGTCGACTACTATCGCTTCCTCAAGATAGCAACCGCTTGGCAATGAGACGACTTCGTCACAGTCAGTGGGCTGTCACGCGCTGTCCTGGGGGAAGATGCTCACATTGACCCACAGCTATACGAGCCATGGCCACCAGGCCGGCGACGCCTTGCACTCCCAGACTCTTCATCGCGACGTGTTCGTCGACCGCAGCTTACCTACCAACGATGATTTGGTACAATGAACCAGAATGCACGACGGCGGCGACGTGCTTACAATGTAGCATAATCTAGATACTTCGCGCCGTCAGGAATGCTCGTCCACCGTGCGCTGTACACATAATTCCACGATCCGTGCACGAGCCATCTCGCGGGTGGGACATGGCTGTCCAGCCTCAACAACGCTCAAACACCCGATACAGCTCTTTCAAGCTTGCGACCTGTCGGACACCCTTGAGCATACGTTGTGTCGCTACGATGCGCGAGCGTATAGCGGGAAAGATGATATTCTCCAGTTGTCGGTCCAGCTTTTGCTGCCTCTCACCGGGCACACTGCCTTCGCCCACGTCCATTACGTTCCTTGGCAGACGTTCTGGAACATAAAAAGACGCCAGCTCTTCGAGAAAGGACATGAAGCAAGCCTGCTCCTCTTTCCAGTTCACGAAGGGGCCAAGGCGGAGAAGGAACGTAGGCAACTTCGCCATACACGGGATGTACCCCTTAAGAAGCATCGGTATGGCCTCAAGTTCTCCCGCTTCACTGATCTCGATGGAGAAATACTCCCTAAGCATCTCTTTGCGACTCATAATCTGATCGTATACCTTGTTGACAATCTTCGCTTTATCAAGACTGGTGCATTCTGGCGACGTGTCGGCCTCTAGATCTGCAGCAACTTCAAGCAGATCTTTCAGAGGCAGCGGAGGTCGCAACTGGATCAAGCCGAAGTTGCCGAAATCGGTGAGACCAACTTGATAGAAGAATTCTGAACATGCCAAGCCGTAGTCCACAAGATACAGCTTCACTCCGGACTGGAGCGCCACGATTCGCTGATTTGCATCAACAAGACCAACGTATGTAAGCGAGGCGAAGACCTCGGTCAGGCCTTGATGCACCGCGTCGCGGACCTCCGCTCGAAGATTCTTGACCGAAGTCAGCCGGATCTGGGTTTGTACCCTGTCAGTCGTAACATAAACCGGACCTTCTCCGGGATTATGAGCATCGTCAAGGGACCCTCTGGAACTCAAGGTAGGAGGCAGCATCGAGGTAATCTTTCTTGCCTTGGAGTCAGTACGGATGAGGTTGTTTTCGTAAGGCTTCCGATTTGCAGATGGTCTCGGCGTCGACTGCGGCCCGGAACTAAGCTCAGTATTGTCGACGAGCTCTCTCGGAGTGCTCGGCGTCATAGGGACCACTCCAGGTAGCAGTGTCTGCGTTTTGAAGGTTCTGGTTGTGTCGACTTGTGTCAATTTGTCTCTGATCGTAGAACAGACTATCGCTACAATCTCGTCCTCGTTCAAGAAAGCAACCTCTCGCTTGGTAGGATGAACGTTGACATCCACGCGGCCAGGGTCGATTTCTAGATCCATATAGACAAATGGCCGACCGCCCTTAGGTAGGAACATTTGGTATGTGTGCTCGATAGCTTTCCTCACCACGGATGACTCGACTAACCTGTGGTTGATGAAGAGCAGTAGCATTGTCCTCTTAGCACTGTAGTTCGCGGTGGAGGCAAAACCGGAGACCTTGAAGCCCCATTCGTCATCCTGTACACCGAATTCGACAAGTTCCTTCGCAACACTAGCACCATAGGCTTGCTTTATTCGGTCGTGGACTGTTGCAGCAACAGGCACAGCGAAGCCAGCACCAGACTCACCATGCTTTTTGATTGAAAATGCAACATGTGAGCAATGTACGGCATATCTGGTAACGACATCGAGCACCTTCGAGTACTCCTCGGACGGGGATCTGAAAGCCCGCCGGCGACTTGGCACATTGTAGAAGAGATCTTCGACAGTGATTTGTGTGCCTCCTCTGCCCGCTGTCGGTTTAGGATCCACTGATTGTCCTGGCTTGGCTGGCGTTAATTTCCCATCTGCAAAGTGTGCTTGCCAGGCACAGCTAGATGAGGCCGTTCGTGTGGTGACTCTGAGATGGGCTATGTGGCTTATACTTGCGAGAGCTTCGCCTCGAAAACCATAAGTGCCAATTGCCATGAGATCTTCGAAGTGCTTCAGCTTGGACGTGGTGAATCGTTGGCATAGAATGGGCAAGTCGTCACGCTGCGGCGCGTCAGTAAAGCGCGTCACAAGGCATTGACATCACGTACCTCGATGCCATGGCCGTTGTCGGTGATTTGGAGGAGCTTGAGCCCACCATCCTTGACCAATACCTCAATTGACGTCGAGCCTGCGTCCACGGAGTTCTCGAGAAGCTCCTTCAGGGCGTTCATCGGAGCGACGATAATCTCGCCAGCGGCAATCTTGTTGACGACATCCTCTGCGAGTGGCTGTGAAAGACTATCAGCATTGCACCACTCACCTTTGAGAGCGAACCTGCCTTGATTCGACGAGGTGCTTCGGGAGGCAGCCCAGCTTCATCTGCTGTACGTTTCGTACCGCGACGAAAGTTGTCGTCAACCTCCATGTCGTCTGCCATATTAGACTGTACAACAGGCCTCATGCATTTATCTCAGTCATCTGATGGCCTCATGGAAATGTCCGACTCGTGAGGAAGGAGAATGGTTGAAGAGGCAACTCCACCCCAACTTCGATCAAGGTTGCCTTACGGTAGGCGCGTCTTGCACCTGCCAGTGCTTCTCAAGTACAAACGTGCAACAGCACAACGGCTCCTACCTCATGACATACAGCGCGCAGATGGGTTGTCGTGCAGCTGTGGGCTAGGCAGCTTCCGATTCGGTGGCTTTGAGATCGCTGAAGCGTCGACAGGAGAGTCAAGGTCTCTGAGTGGTTCGAGTGTACGGAGTCGAAGTGCTAGGGCTCGGTAGGCATCCATCGCTGGGCAGTCGTCACCCGCTCTTTTCACATGCGCGACGTAGAGTATCCTCTATCAACATTGACCATACTTCTACTTGCTCGAATTTTCTGCTCTTAGCGTGCGTATGTCAGTGCGAAGGCACACTGGATGTACATGCTGATATCACTGCACCTGCCACGCAGCAGGATGATCACACACTGAACACATTGACTTGCCCCACGCACCCACTCTCTTCTGTTGTCCATAATGGCTATGAACTTTGTGACATTCAATCAGGACTACAGCCAGCTAGCAGTCTGTGAGTAACGCGCACAAACAGTTGTCATGGAGCGCTAACGTCTCCTATAGGCACTTCCCGTGGCTTTCGGATCTTTTCTACGGAGCCATTCGCCAACATCCACGATGGTCGAGATGCGGGCTATATTACCATCGCGGAGATGCTATTCTCGACCGCCCTCGTTGCAACAGTCAGTACGCCACGACGTGTAGAGATCAACCACACTCAGAGAGGTCTGAAACTATGCGACATGTCGTTCGCTACCGCAGTTCTTGCAATCCGCCTGAACAGGAAGAGATTGGTGGTGGTTCTGGAGGATGAGATATACCTCTACGACATACAAACGCTGAAATTGATGCACACTCTCGAGACCTCTCCCAATCCAGCGGCCATCGTTGCACTCTCTCCGTCAACGGACAATTGCTACCTCGCATGTCCACTACCTCAGAAGGCGGCTCCTCCAGCACAAGCACCGGCTCACGCGCCTCCAAACAGTACACACGTACCACCGACGACCGGCGAAGTACTGCTATTCGACGCAATCAAGAATGTCCAGATCAACGTCGTCGAAGCTCATCTATCACCTCTCTCGTGCATATCCTTCAATTATGAAGGAACGATGATGGCCACAGCCTCCGACAAGGGCACTATAATCCGGATCTTCTCCGTTCCAGATGCTCACAAGCTGTACCAATTTCGGCGTGGATCTATGCCCTCCCGGATCATCAGTATGGCCTTCAACGTCACCTCCAGTCTCCTTTGCGTCTCCTCCGCCACCGAGACAGTCCACATATTCAAGCTCGGAGTTCCACACAGCCAGCAACACTCAGCTGACAGCGCACCAACATCACCTAACAAGGTCAGCTCCGCCGTCTCCCGTCGGCTGTCTCAAGGCAGCGACACTCTGACCCGATCGCGGACAAGCGAATCGCTCGATGAGGATGACGACCTCGACACTGCGGACAAGCCATCAAACATGTCCTCCCGTAAAGCGAACGGCACCTTATTCGGCCTGATTCGCCGCACATCCCAGAATGTTTCTAGCACCTTCGCCACAACAGTCGGCGGATACCTTCCCAAAACGATGGCAGAAATGTGGGAGCCTGCGCGAGATTTTGCGTGGGTCCGACTTCCGAAGTCCGCGTCAGGGATACCAGCAAGCCAGATACGTAGTGTCGTGGCAATGAGCCCAAATGCGCCGCACGTGATGGTCGTGACAAATGAAGGCAACTTCTACGTCTTTCAGATTGATTTGAGCAAGGGCGGCGAGGGGACTTTGATCAAGCAGTATTCGTGAGTGCCATTCCTTCCCTGAGCCCTCGTGACGGTAGCTAACATGTGTGATCAGTGTGCTTGACTCCAATGATGCGATGAGCGCATCGACTACAGACTTCTAGCAGTCTTCTGAGTATTGTAATTCGTGATGAGGCTGTGGTCGATAGTGAGAGGCCGTGGATGAGACGGAACCTTTGTTGGCAGTCCTCAATTTGCTTCAGAAAGCGATGGCGTTGTGGGCGAATTCTTTAGGAAAGCATATCACTGCTCCTGAGAAACGGGCATCAGGACATCATAGCGGCAACTCGCAATTAAATCTTTGATCTTGAGAACATTCCGGCCCATCAATCTCGTTAATTTGATTCAGTTCGTCTCTTCCTCAGAAGATATTGCTAAGCACGCTCTGCGTCGCCTGATCGACTCCTCCAGCATCATCGTGCTTGGTGACGGGGGTCTTCTGTCTCTTTGGCCCAACGCCGCTGCTGTCGTGCGCATTCTTGACCTCGAATTGCCGCCAGGTTCTTTGAGAACGCCTCCCGACCGCATTCTCGTGGCCTCCATACTCGACGACCGCCGCAGTACTACCATCACCTCCACCCTGCACCATCCCCCTCTTCTTCCGCTTCCCCTCCTCCAACCCCTCCCACCGCCGCCCCTCCCCAACACCCTTGACAAACTCCCTCGCCGCCCTCTCGATCCCCCGTCTCTCCTGCTCCCGCTGCGCCTCCGCCTCCGCCCTCTCATTCCTCACGCCATCCATCAGCTCCGCCCAGCTCACTCCCTTCAAGTACCGCATATTCCACAGATCATCCCGATAGTACCCGCCCTTCTTCCCACCAATAGGCGTCGCGTTAAGTGTGCTCACGCACCGCTTCGCAAGTGAGGGGGTGGGGAGTGCAAGCCAGCCTTCTGTGTAGAGTTTTCGGGCGGATTTTGAGGATTTGGTGGACGCGGAGGTTGACTTGGTGGTGGAGGTGGAGGCGGGAGTGAGAAACAAGCGAGTGATGGGGCCGAAGCCGCGCTGTTGGAGGAGGTTGCGGAGGGCAGAGGGGCGGAGGTAGGGTGGCAGGGAGGGGAGGTAGATTACGCCCTCGCGCTTGGCTTGGTCTTTCTGTTTCTTTTTGTTCTTTGACGATTTCTGTGGCTGAGAATGGTCCATTGAGGTGGCTAGAACGTCTGGCGGTGCGTTCTCGTCGAGATCGTCTGGTGCGTTGAGTATCGATGGCAGAGCAGCTGATGTTAGAGGTTCGACCTGTTTCGCTTTTCGTGTCATTGATGGGGTGTCTTTGCGTTTTGACTGAGAGTCCGTAGTCTTGGACTGTCTCGCTGCAATTTCATTATCGCCATCTTCCCCCTCTTCGCCATCATCGCTACTGCTGACCCCAGAACCAGACAAGTTGTCTGCATCGCCCGCTTTCACTGCCGTACCCTCATTGCCGCGCTTTCTTCTTGCTCCTAGACTATTTCTATCTTCTTCTGACGCTGACACGGAGTCATCAGATTGCGGCGACAGCCTCCTCCTCTTCCTCGCCGGCTCTCCTCGTCTCCTCTGCGCAGTCTTCGAGATCTCTGCGGCCTCGGAATCATAGCCGCTCTCGCTGCCTGAGGAATCGGACGAGGCGTATGCGAGGAACTCGCTGGCATCTCGCGTCATTTGTTCCCAGTTTCCTGCCACCGAGAAGGGGAAGAGGTCTTGTGTTCGGTGAGTATGAGGGTGCTCAGTTTGGGTGCGGGATGTCTGAAGTTGGCGGCACGTTTTTTTGGGGGGGGCTTGGAGAAAAGGCATGGGCAGCAAATCCTAGTTCAAAACCACCGTCACCCGGTCTTTTACCCGATCTGATATCTCTCACTTCGAGCAGTTGCTCGTCAGCAATTTTATGAGGAACACATTGAGTGAGGATCACCCATTCTACAGTCGCTCGCGTCGATACAATCGGTGCGGAACGTGTCATGGACGGCATACCATGGTGTGGCAGCGACGGTCGTAAGGACCTCAGTGGTTGGAGGGAGCAATAATATAATTGTAGTTGATCTTGGAGCTTCATATCGTGGCCCCTTCCTTGTCTCATTGCACGCTGTAGTCATCATCGTCGTCAGAGTCAAGGCTCACAGCTCATATCTAGTCCCTACATCGGCGGCCGTCATTACAGCAATCTTACACAACCCGGACCACACGTCCACCCAGCTCCTCGTCCCGAACCCAAACGGCCCACCTCTTCTCGCCTGTCTCACGTACCTTCCGCCTGTCCTCGCCCACCCGCGGCAAACTCATACTTGCATGCCCAGCACTAACTTTCAATTTCCCTGCCTTCTTCATCCTGACCTCGCAGGCCCACATTCTCAGGAAGTCGGAGTTCTCCCTTGGCTCCCGCTGCCGCAAAGGTCCTCCACTGACAGGGGTCGCGTATGGATCGAAGAGTAACGGCGTAGCTGTCAGTTTATTGGCAGGTGTGCCGTCTGGTGCGAGCCATATCGGTGGACTTGAGGCGTGCGCTGTGCGAACCGCTGATGGAATGCACGTAGCGAGGGGGACTACGCGTGGAGATGTGAAGTATCCGCGATTTGGTTGGTAGACGTAGTAGCCGCTGCAACAGCTCGCTTGGAAGTATCTGGTTCGTCAGAAGGCGATTTCTGTCGGCGTGGAAGTTTCGGTCTTGGTGCATTGTGCGCAGGGCTAGAACCACGATGCTCGGTCCAGAAGTGTAATTGAGCTGGCGAGTCTGGTGGTGCAGATCGATTCGGGTTCAGGTAGCGTCGGAGTGCCGGCGAGGGTGGGCCGGCGTCCGGCGGTGGCCGACGGTCGTCTGTCAAGGACGGCCGGATGTCGAATGGCGTGCTGAACATGTCTGCCTCATTGAAGGGCGTTGCATAATTCGATACTGATTGCGCAGCTGACTTGATGGCACGAAGAGAGGCTGTAAGTGTTGATTTGAAGGTAGACGCCCGTCTTGACTGCTCTGCTCGTGCCTTCTTGGGAGTTGGCGACAGAATCAATTCCGGCGTCATATCGGCATCGTCTTCCTCCTCTTCATCAATCATCAGCGGGTGCTGCGACACACAGTCCTCCGAGCTTGCAAGTTGCCTAATCTTGCGGTATGACGGAGATCGCGACCGTGAATCAAAAGGCGAAGGCGAGGCATTGCTGTCAACGATGCTCGACTCATGTGGCGAAGCCAACGACGGCATCGACTCGGTTGAAATGGACCTCGTCCTCAGAATGCCAGCATCCAGTCCCTCACTTCCGACAAACATGTGCTCATCCATGCAGCCATCGATACTACCGAAAAGCCCGTCGAACTGACCACCATAACTGCTAGAAAGAGTAGTTCCGCTGAACTTCAAATCCTCCTGCAACCATGAGCTGAAATTAGCGACATGATCACCGTCTGGCAACCGCTGTACCGCTCGTCTTTTTGGCTTTCGTCTTATCGGAATCGCTGTAGCTGAGAGTATATCCTGCGCGGTGTCCCTCTTTGGTAGTTTCTGCACAGGAGTCTGCAGCGGGCGCTGCGGGGGAGGGCTGTCAGAGTTCAGCTGAAGTCTATTCTTCTTTTCTCGTACTGATAAGGCATTGTCTGGTGGCCGCGGTGATGTCTTGGTCGTTCTCGAAGGTGAGGGCGAGCGTGATGTGCGTTCGGATATCGATCTTTCGCTGATGGCTGTCGACTTCTTCTCATCGTATACTCGCGAGGAGCCAAAGCGTGGGGGTGATTGAGCTGCGAACACTCGCGGGACCATCATATTGGGCGCCCAGCCGCAACATGACAGTGAGGCGAGGTCTTTGTGTCGCCGTCAAGACGGGATGGTCACGATTCGGTGCTCTTTTGCGCCTGGCCTTGGTGCGTACCAGGCTGAACTGTAACGCGAGCGGGAGTGTCGGATTTGTACTGCGTGGTCTACTTCGGACTGAAGACTGAAAGATGGGATTCTTAGAGGCGATCTGCGTCCAGTTCTGACTATGTCGTGAGGGACTGAGATGATGCTACGTGCTCGCTTGCGGCCTGTGAAGTAGAGGGAATGTGTAAGGCACACGGGACGGCGGAAGTGTTGTGAGAGTACTAGTAATAGACACAAAGAGGGCGCATACAGGAGATAACTAACGAGATGCCCTGATTGGCGTTTGATCTGGTTGCATCGGCTTGCTCCGCGTCGACGCGAGGCATGACTGCATTGGTGGAGCTGCCCCTAGAACGATCGAAGCTCTTAGGCATCATCCCCCTGGAACTAGCCCATGATGTATCTGCTTCCCCGGAGATCACCACGCCTATTGAGGAAGGTTTTATAAGAAAGCCGAGGGAAATGCGAATTTCGGACACATTGGCATCTTTCACACACGACAAAAAGAAAGCACTGTACCCTTCACTTTGAACACAGCACAAGCAAATTTACGGTGCTGATCACAATTAAGGCACCTGGTGCGAAGTTACGGCCCACAGCAGCATCCGCGTTTTGCAATTCTGCCATCCCGTCCCAGCACAGTGGCACTTCGCCAGGATTTGACGCAGGAAATGACGCACTTCGCCGTTGACTCGTGGCCACCGGTGAAGGATATGGAGCCATATTACTTAAGAGAAACGACAAGGACCCGTGTACCTCTGCCATGTGAGAGTATCACCCAAGCGAATTCAAGCCATCGCATACCGAAATTCTATGTCCCGTCCAGGTAGCCTTGAGGCCGTGGGAGCAAGAGCCGGGCATTTTCGCCAGCTCGCGCCTTACACTTGAAACTGGCAATATTCCTAGAGCGCCCTCCCTGGCAGGGATTTTCCGAGTATAACTTTCCCTGCTGCTCAACGCTCAAGTGAGGTTCATTTGAGACCCAACGATGTTATCAGCGGGAGATTGGTAGGTCCTCAGCTCCTTCCCGGACCTACAGCATGGCAATGAGCGCACACAGGTCGGGCACGGCTAATGCCCATGACTGGTGTCAACAGCCTCCTAGGTGGGCAATTGCGCCTCGGACCTTGAGGCTGGAGAACACATCTGCGAGTCCTCGCAAGAATGGCGTTCGAGTGCCCAAGATGAGATGATATTCGGTGTGGGATGAGATCAGCTTTCGTCGACACGCTGGTCGACCAAGGCTGTCGATCTCCCGTGGCTGTATTTCACCGCAGCACAACACTTGCCCATTGTGATGTAGATGGCCTTCGCTCCGGGTCATCGACCAGCTGGGAAACGTCGAGCACTTTCCTCGGCACAGATGACTCGCATTCTACTATGTCTTCCAAATCGTCCAGCGTCTGCTCCGTCTCCTCATTAGGTTCCTGACTTGTTCGCGATAGTTGATCTAATTGCGATCTTAGCACTTGCTTCGACTCAAGCAGCGACGCAGGTTCGCGCATGGCCGCAATCAAATCGCCAACACTGTTGTCATTGCTCGTGCGAAATGTGTTGAGAAGGTCTCTCAGAAGCTGGCTGTCACTGCGTAGATCATCGAATCGCTGCTTGCGCACGGTCTGTGTACGCCCATCCGAGCCAGAGAAGGTACACCTGAGTTTTTTCTGAGTGCACGAGTCGCATGGTTGCGTCCCCGAGCACTACCAATGAGTCAGCATGGGATCAAGCAACATGTTCTCGGGGCAAATTCACGCCGCGCTTGTCTGCCCCACATCACCACCCATGTGCCGATGCAGATTCCATCGGGCCACCGCAGAGACAGCCACTGATAGCCTGACTTGATCTCACGAAGGCCCAAGGGCTGACCACACATCAATCCACGATGCAGCCGCGGTGGACACTACTCCGTGGTGCATGAGTACCTAGAAAAGAACTTACCTTCTTCTTTTTCAGCTGGCACTGTTGGCAAGCGATCGATGCATGTCGCCTCGACCTTTGCGCTTGAGGCACGACAACATATCCAACTGACGATGGAGGTCGTGGTGCTGGTGCCAAGGCTGGACTCAGCGTCGGTAAGACCGAGTCACTGTATGGGCGTTGTGTATCCGTGGCGCGGCCATCCTGGTGCTGAGACTGCGAGTGTTGGGACTGCATCGGACTAAGTCAACGATTGCCACCGAAGTGGTTGGCGGAACCGTTGCGCTGTCGTAGTCCAGCCTGTAACAGGTCGATCAAACGGGAAACGCCTGGTCGAGATCGAAGCTGATATAATATTGAACTAGGCAGTGAATCTCGACAGCCCTTCCATTCACCATTTGCAACAGGCAGAGCGCTGGTATGCCTCGAAGAGGTGATATGACCGGATGCTAGGGACGACGTCGAATGTCTATGGCCAGGATTCTATCTCGGCGCTACGTAGGCGCTGTTGCATAGCACTACACAAGTTCTTGAGAAGCGATGCAGGCACTCTGGATGCGTCAGACATGCCATCAAGGGACGATGAACGCGGTCGTGGCGATCATGCCGGACGGAGCGAACATGCGAGAGCTGTGAGGATAGGTGTGCCACCTGCCAGTGGACGCGGATATCTGTAAGATGCAGGGCGGCTGTTCAGTGGTCGGAAGTTCGACTTCCGGCACTAGTGACAACCAGGCTAGCTCTTGAGCCCTGAGGTGCCAAAAGTACATGTACGTAAAATAGCCCAGAGCCTCTGTTTTGACCTCACCGTCATCGCGAGAGTAGGGACAAGAACGTGATCTATGAGCGCATGATACGGTCGCTGCTCATGTTGTATCAAATCCTGCCTGTGATCTGCAAGTCTTGCGGAAGAAAGAGCAAGATCCTGCTGCTGAACCCTTCAGGTTTGCCCAGTTCGACCCTTATCCCGGAAGGCCTGTCCGCAAAGTAAGCGAAGTCACAAAGCAACAAAAGCCGTCAGATTCGCCGAAAGCTCACAGCTCCCGCTGATACTCTCACGTTGGCAGTACATAGCCAGCCAAAAGGTCTGCCTCGCGCCTGCAACCTGTCAGAAAGGAGAGCAACGTCAAGTTCTGGCAACAATGACAACAACGAATGGGGCTCGAAACGCCGTCGTTGGCGTCTTATAGACGCGGTTCTGCTCCAGCACCGACAATTGAGCCGAGCAAGCACTCCCCATTTTCAAAGCCGAGTTCGCTCCGTCGCCAACTTGGACGACGCTTGCACCGGTGATGCCGACTTCACAACTGCTCTGGGGATACCTGCTTGGCCATTGCGTCTCTTGTAACCAATATCCTGGCGACTGTCTTGAAGCTTTGGTCAGGAGGCGGCATGCGAGACACCAGCGTCAGGCGCCACAGTGCTCCTGTTCTGGTCGTTTGATGTGTCACACAACGCCGCCTATATCCCCCGAGTAAGTTCTGCGAGCGATGGTCGGTCTGCTATCGTCGACGAAGTTGGCTCAGGATCGAGGCCAGGTCTGCCCTGCCATTCCCATTTCTGTTGTCATTCCCATTGCTGCTACTATTGCCATTGTTTTGTTCTGACGATGAATTCCCATTCGCTTGGCTTTCAGGTCGAGAGCTCTGTGCTCGCACGACACGAGCAATTGCCTGTCGGATTTCGTTCAGACTTCGAGCATTCCGAATCGCTGCAGTCAGCGACGCTATCTCTTGGTCCGTGCCGCGTTGGATAGCGGTCATCAACTGCTGAAGCAGTTCTGAATCCTGCTCCAGCTCTTCAATCGACCGGTCAGCCGGCGAACGTTCTATGCAGCGTCAGGTAATGAGCTTCGTCAGGGCATCCTCGCCGCCTACCGTCCTGTCGACGTGAGATCGTGGTCACTGATTCACTCAAGAATGCACACTCACTTCCTCTGGTTCTCCCGAATTCTCTGTTTGCCTGCGCTGACCATTCGAGCTCTGGTTGGAGCTATTGGTCCTTCCATTCGAAGCCATGGCGCTCAAGTCTGACTGAACACCGCTCCGAGGCTCACTGGGGGTTAAGAATACCGCGCAACCCACGCTGTTGGCCTCTTACACCTTTTCGGCAACAGGGCCAGTCGAAGACGACAAACCCGAATGTGCGTATCTGGCGATGCAAAGGACGCTCACGTGCAATACGACAGCCATAGAGGTCCTGGGGCGCGATTCACTGCAGCTGGCACGACAGAGAGGTCCTCGATGCACCTGAGCCAACGACTCGTTCGTACCGAAACTGGACAACGCAGAGTGCTAATACAGTATCTCTGAGATGTGTTTGGCGGTTGTGGGGACCGCTAGGGTCTCTGTGGATGGCCAAAATAATTGCCCAAGTGAGGCCGATCCAATCGTGCTGCAACCCCCTGTGGGGCCAAGGCCTAGACATCGAAGATTCCCACAAGCTCGCTATCCATTTCTTGCAAGTGCAGTTAGGCATTGCAATCCCGAGTGTCTTCAGTGGCTGATTTAATGTCGGGTTTTACAATCCCGCCATATCTTGCTGAAGTGGCTGATCCGGCGTCTCGGTACTCTCTTCCCATAAGGCCATCTACAGTAGTAGCAGTCTGTGCTATATGAACAATAGGAATGTTATTGCTAAAGATGATGTGGGAGGCCCACTTTGACAGCGCTCGTGGTGCGGCACGCTGCGAAGCGACTGATGCTTAGCTTTCGAGTCGTTCTCGGATTCTGATGACCTCACAGTCACAACAACCGGCTGATATTCTTGATGCCCAATCCCACCGCCTCCCGATGGCGGCTGGCACGACAACGGCTGATCGATTTCGTCTATTCATGTATTAACAGGACGAAGTCGAGGCGGCATTGCCCCAAGGCTTTGTCGTATGAAATGGTCGATCTGCTATAGTTGGCATGTTTGGACCTTGTGCTAATCACAGAGGCCTTGTGTGCACGGTCTGACGGTCTTCTCATGGCGCACCATGGTCCCGATGGAATCGAGTCGTTGCAAGCTCTAACACTACTGGAAATCTCTCACCTGGGTGTAAGTACCACAAGTCATGTGCATTGCGGTCCTCCGTGCCGATGCATGAAGCATCCACAACAAGGGTGATGCCTCAATGTTGTGTTGTTACTACCGCCGAACACACCACAACAGGCCTAGGACGCCTTGTCATGTTTATATCGAACGTATGACCACAGGCGAGTAATGAACTCATGACAGTCCTACGAGTCGGCGTGGAATGACGACAGGTCTCTACTTGCACTTCGATGACAATCAACAATATGGCTCAATGATGTTCACACGGAACAAATGTCACAGCGGGATTCTGTGATCGTACTTGCTCAGCTCGTTCACGTGCCAATGATCGCGAGCAGTGCCGTGAAGCAGTGAAGCTTCGCGCTTTCCTCGAGTCATACTGACCGCTCGTAGCTCGCGACGAATTGTTCCATGACTTTCCACACACAGGGATCACGCTCTCCGTTCGCAAATCTTGTCAAACAACCGTCGAGTCCAAATCCACACCGTTTACGTTGAAGCAGCCGACAAGATGAAGTCGATCAACGCAATCGCGATAGCCTTGCTATCGTATCTGATGCAAGTATCCTCTTGTCTACCAGCCCAAGTATCAAACACCACCTTCGCAGATCTTGGAAAACGCCAATGCATCCGGGCAGGCGACGAGAACAATTACCAGTGCGATGAGAAGTTGCCAAAGCTGTCCGAGATCGTGGCTCGAATTCGGGATACTTCGGATTATGGTCTGGCGGACGACCAGCACGTCGCAGTCTTTTGGACTAATCTTGGGGACTCGGCACAGATGGGCACCGCGATGTCGATCACCGAGATACTTTGGATGCAAGGCTGGCTGGAAAGCAGACGGCTGCGTTGGTATTGGTGGTTCGAGCACATCAACCTGAATTGTGAGTAATGCGGGCCTCCGAGACACAAATTGCGTGAATACTGACTTGGCCAAAGGGCGCAAAGCACAGGTCGACTGGATCAACAACAACAACATCCAATATCAGGAAGGTCAGGGCCATAATCCTCTCTTCACATTCGACGTATGCTCGTACCAAGCACTGGCGGCAGCAGCTATCCATCCGCACGCATACCTCTTCACCAAGAAGGGTGTCGACTGGCGGCAGGATTCCATGTGGAACCAAGTCGAGTTCTGGCAACTGACGAAGAACAAAAATATCAAGCGGATCTATCGTGTTGATCCCCGCCCCTGGGATGTTGCAGGCATCTTGCCGGTACAAATGTGCAGTCACTCCAGCGAGGAGATCCTGTGGGATCGCGATAGAGGCGACGCGGAGATTGAGCCGGTTGATACATGTCGAGTGCCATAAGTCCACCATTCGGCCACCTGGTCATTGCGCAATAGTCGCCGAAACACGGAAGTCGGACCCTGACCGCCCACAGTCGTTGAAATCGTATGGAGGCGCCTTCCACGAAGTCCGCACTTGAGGCCGGCAGGAGTGCACGCAGTTGCTCGACGAAGACTTGGCGTAATTCAGGCAGCGGTTTGGGCCATTCAAGCCGCAGCCTGTGGTGTGAAGCGCTGCATGACCCAGGCAAGATCTTGCTCATGCGGTAGCGGCCAATTTGAGTAGTACATCCACCTCTGCTGTTCCTTGTCCCATTTTCTGTTCGGCACAAAAGCTTCGACGCTGTAGTAATTGTCCCTCATGAACAATGGCTGGTAGCTCGGCGGCCCACTCCTTCCTAGATACTCATCGGTGCCGCTTGCGAGCTCAGCATCTGTCATATGGTAGAGACGAGGCCTGCTTGGGTTGACCTTTTCGCCTTTCTTCCGCCATCGACTACTGCGAAGTATCGTTTGACTTGTGGTCTGTAGGTGAATCTGGAGGATTCGAGCATAGGTCAGCGGCGAACGCATAGCCTTTGAGACAATCTCCGCGTGCTTTCTCAGGAGGTCTTCATTCCACTCGGGTCGTTTGCCTCGTGGCACAATCGGCAATGGTTCCCGTCTTTCTAGGTTGCCCTGCCAGTGACCGAGATCTAGGATGATGTTCAGGTTGTTCCAGGCCAGCACGCACGACATACAAGTACAGACCATGGTTGGATCGATCGGCTTGATATGCTGATAAGGATTCTTGTGGATCCGTAGACGATCCTGCCATTGCCGGCTGAGTAAAGCTGGAAGGGCGTCCTTTGCCACATCAGCCAGATCGAATGGTCGCCGGAAACAGCGACTCAAGATCCAGTATCGACGAGAGATGATGGACTGGGCAATCGAGGCCTCATTCTCGGAGATGACTTGGTTTGTTGCTTGACTCACGCGCATAAGGTTGAAGACATCGCTAGGCTGTAAGAAGCTGAAGACCTCCTGTAACAGCTCGTGAGGTAGATCGAGAAAGGACTTGATGTCGGAATGGACACGCTTCGCTTCTTTCTTCTGCGATTTCTTTTGTAGACGAGCTATTTTCTTCGAACGGAGCGTCAATGCTGCTGTTGTGTCCACCAGAGGTTCACTTTCAAATGTGGCGTCATCCTGGTACATCAATTCTGGCTTCATCCTTTTCGGCCTTTCAGTCTTGTGAGGCTGTACCGGAATCCAGGAGTCTGTGTCACTCGTGACTTCCTCCACGAGATCTTGATGTGCAGATCTATACGCCGAAGCAGCCATCACGCTGGAAGTCCCAGTTGTAATCGCCTCTCAGATTGAGTTTTGTGTGCTCGTCCGGTCTCGAGCAAGGACAACACAACTTCGCACTTTCTGGTCAACTATTGCCACTTTCGAGAGAGCCAGCGGCAGCACAATGTGAATGATCTCCTCCTACATATGCGAGAATGCCGACCATGAAGGAGAACCAAGAATCGCTACGATGGCTGTTTTATATCTACGGTGGCGCATTCGACTCCATGTCAGGCAGCGATTGTCGCCACCCAACCATAAGGGACTTTTGCCAAGATAGCACAACAATTGTTCGAAAGATGTATCGCGAATGCACCGGCTTTCTGCATAGATAGGCTGGCAAGCTGTTCACTACGGCATCAATCATGAGCCGCTCCATTTCTTTCCGCCCTCTCCTTTTCCACCTCTTTAGTGATCAGATCTCGAATCTCAGGCAAGCCTTTGCCTTCCTCCACTCTCACAACTCGTTTCTCGAGAGCGTCCAAACCTTTAAATTCTTCTGGCAGCACAGTATCGAAGCTGAAATCAGCCTCCTCTTTGAGCGCCAGTTCGACCGCGCCAGCGAACTTGGCAGGGTGTGCTGTAGCCAGACTGACTACCACCTCGCCTGGCGCCAAGCTCGCCTTCTGCAGCTCGCGCAACGATGCCGCTACGCCAATTGCACTGTGTGGATCTAGCACGTAGCCTTTGTGTTCGATAGCTTCTCCACGATATGCTCCCTTGATGATGTCCAGCGTCTCAGGATTGCTGACACGGTAGCTAGTGAACAACTCTCTTGCAAGCTCCAATATTTCGGGGTCGACGGTGAAGCTGCCTGTGTTCTTTAGCTGTTGGAACCATCCGTTGATCTTCTTGCCAGCTTGTCGCACAGATAATTCTGACTTGACATGCGGGTTCAGGTTACACTCGTGCTCGAAGGTCAGGTGCCACAGGAGACGCTCGAAGTTCGACGAGACCAGAATGTCCATGGCTGGCGAGTACGTCTCCTTGACGCCTTCTTCGTGGGCTTTCGCCCCGTCCTCAGGTATGCCTTCGTGCGGTTCAGATGCTGGTTTTGGCGACTTCGAGTATGTGCCTGTTTCCCAGAAGCGGTGCAAAATATCATTCTCGTTTGTGGCGATGATGAGCTTCGAGACCGGCAGACCCAACCTTGAGGCGTAGTAGCCGGCCAAAATATCGCCGAAGTTTCCAGTGGGTACGACATACCGAATTCGTTTCAGATCTGGTTGCTGTCGAAGTAGCTGGAAGTAGGCGGAGAAGTAATATGTTATCTGGGCAAGGATACGCGCCCAATTAATGGAATTGACTGCAGCCAGGTGGTGAATCTTGTTGGTCTCTGGATCCGAGAATAGAGCTTTGACATAGTCTTGGCAGTCGTCGAACGTCCCTGTGACTGACAGGCAGTGCACGTTAGGGTCGGGCACTGTGGTCATCTGAAGTTCCTGCACAGGGGACACCTTGCCGTGTGGAAACATGATGAAGATGGAGACGTCAGGCTTGCCGCGTAAGCCGTAGATCGCAGCGGACCCTGTGTCTCCAGATGTAGCCCCGATCACAGTCAGGTGGTGTCGTGTGGCATTCGATGGAACGGACTTGTTCTTCCGGACCAGGAAGAACGAGAAGAGGTTGCCAAGGAATTGCAAGGCTACATCCTTGAATGCGAACGTCGGGCCGTGGAACAGCTCCATGAGGTAAAGATGTGAAGATTTGCTCAGAGGGATGACAGGGGTGACGTCTTTTGACCGGAAGGGAGTGTAGGAGGAATCAGCAATGGTCTTCAGCTCACTGTCGGAGATCTCTGAGTCGTCAATAAAGTGCCGCATGATGTTGAATGCAAGGTCTGAGAAGGAGAGGTCCTGCCATGACTGAAGTTCACTGCGTATATTTGGTATTGAGTGCGGATGGAATAGTCCTCCATCTGATGCCAAGCCCTTCAGTACTACTTCCTCAAACGAGAAGTATTCCTTCTGGGCTGGGTCCTGGAACCTCGTTGAGGAGTATCTGGCTGTAACTCCTGCCATGATGAATTCGGAAGCCGCGGTCTGGTGAGCTGTGTCCCACGAGCGAAATAGTCCTTGAGGAGCTTGTGTCGAGCGAAATGGAAATTCGAGTGTTTCGCCGGGTCTGAATAACCTGTCCGCAAATATGTACGTAGCAGGTCGGTGCCGATACTCCAGGCGTATCTTAGTCAGTCCGCCTCGACGAAATCCCTAGTGTGTCTACAACTGGCTCATGCGGCGGATGATTCTAGGACACGGCCTGAAGCGCACCTCAAGTTGACTCACGCCTTGTCGAACAAAAAGTTCACAGCATGAAATCGTTCGGCCAAATCTATGGCCGGCACCGGCCTTGGCTTACGCTAGTCCCGTCCTGGCCGAGCTCCACTTCGAAAATCTACAAATGTTTTCAACGCAGCCGCAACTTCTCTCCGACCTTCATGCGACTTGTAAGATTTCCCAGATGCCCCTACATTTCGCCTCAATGCTAACAAACGATGCAGTACTTCATAGAATCATTTCTATAGTAAACGTCCTCTTCTGTGTTCTCTCTCACGAGCCACAGACCTCACCCTGGCTGATGATTCGAAGTCTCCGATGCCCTAGAGTGAAAAATTTTGTACTCTCGACGCGCCTTTACACGAGTCTTCGGATGAGTGTCTAGGCAAGAGAGTGGTGATGATCTTCGACCCAACTCGAGGCCTGGCTTCGTGCCGCTTGATGAGGGAGGTATCGAATGACTGAATCTGACAGGTCATAACTTTTCATGAGTTCACGCTTCCACAAAATCGCTTGAAGTGGCGTGGCTTGGGAAGAGTTGGTATGATTGATGAGATAAACAAGTTCTTCTGCGATCAGGGTGAGTCCAATGAATGTGCTGGGTCCTGCTGCATGATGAGACAATTTCGCGTGACTAATGTGCTTCGTAGCCATCGTCCGAAGCACATGCGAATGTTTCGAGTGCCTGGAACTGATGTCAAAAATACTTGCGTAGGCATCTCCGAGTCTCGCAATATCAATGTCAGAATGCTACTAGTATGTCTGCCAGCAGGTATGCTCTCCGAGATCGACGCTGTGTGCCGCGGCAAGATGTTCCTGAACAGCTGTGTTGACAGCGTTGTCCCAGCCGCTGTCTCCGGAAGTCCTTCAGACTCGCGTCCGCCACTTCATCGGCCACGAGTGCACGAACGATGATACTTTACTACAGCCTTCCCGTCCGCCATCGTCACACGGGCTCAATAAGTCTTAACGAGGTGCAAGAGCACAACAGCGTCTGCGACAAAAGGACACAAGCTCGCCATCTAGGTGACCTCACGGTGGTCTATAGGAGGACCATCCATCCGGAGGACACTTCAGAACCCGTGCTACTCGCTGAACCGGCACTTCTCTATACCGCTTCGAGGAAGGTTATGCGTCATATGTGTCAGTGATTGGCTGAACCACGTTGGCACAAGGGCAATGAAACACAAGTCGGTGATTGGAAGCTCAGGAATTAGCTGCAACACCGGCTTGAGCAAGACACGTACTGGGTCCAGACACGGAGAATCTTCAAAGCCTGATGGTGATATGAGGACACTTCACTTCAGCTCACATCGTCCACGAGGAACCAGGGTCAGCATGGGAAGCACATCTGATGAAATGAGCGGAGATTGGGAAGAGGAAGCATGACAGCGACACTTGTACTAGCTTTCTTGAAGCTTACTTTGCAATTCCCACATGTTCCTGGGCATAATGCATTCGGCACATTCCGTTGGTCGATGTAAGCTCGAGAGGGTACCTGAGAGGATCGTGTACTCAAGCAGCGGCCAGCCACTCTCGTCAGCCAGCGTGTGGCGTCCGCTCAACACAAAGAGGACCGCGGGCATGAAGCTAGGAGAGGCTTGTGAAGTCGATATCCAGTGCCTAGCAGTAGGTCAAAGACTTGCACTATGGTCGCCATGCTTAAGCTTTGTTCGCTCACCGGATATGCGAATAGGTGGCTCCAAAGTCCGTCAAGCAGGGGCAGAGCAGCATCTGACTGACTGACAGTAACCCATGTTCGCCGGCCCACCGAAAGGAGCCTGATCGGAATTGCTGGTGCTCTCGACCGTCACGACAGAGGCCCTTTGGCTGACGTCTGCTGCTTGGGCGTGTGCTTGATCGCATCGAAAGTTCTTCGAAAGTCCTTCTCACCTTGGGAGATTGCGCCCGCACGACGACCCAATAATGAGGCTGGACACGCGAGACCATGGCATCATGTTCGTCGATCCCTCGTATGCTACCATTTCCACAGTCCAAATCATTCAGCAGGACTCAGGAACAAGTGTTTCAAAATATGCCAGGTACTCAAGACCCTTGCTTGCCACGTGGCAGCCTGGCAGCGAAATACCACTAGTTCGAGCTCGCTTTGTGGGCGCCTGCCTCCATTGGGGCTGGTGTCGCTGCACGTCAAGTTCCCAGGAAGGCGCGTAAGCGACCTTCCAGAATGTCAATCTCCCGAGTCCCGGAGTCCCGAGATCAACAACGGCAGCTAATTGCTGATCAGTGGACTGACAAGGGGCGCTCGATCATGTTGCCACAATATTGCCATCATAACAGCATCACCGGTTCTCAGGGCTGAAATTTGAAACACACGGATGACTCCTTGAATGAGGAGTTTGTAGCTTCGACGCGCCTTGTTTGTTGCTACGTTCCGTACTGTTCTTGCGGCAGATCCACACACACCAAAGCAGTTCTCCTCGTGCGTGCGTCCACTGCTCGGCGCCGGAGTTCTTCAGTTGGCTGTCATGCATGCAGAACCGGCATGACCGGCTAGCGCGACCTAACAGCGACCATGACTTTCGGCCAACAGGAACCGGATGTCCCCTATTGATCAATCTCAACAATGTCAACATCCGCTCAGCCCTGAGCGAAGCGAGAGTGGGCTTTCCCGGCCGATCAGTCAATGAAATGGATCAAGCTAAGCAGCCTGTCCGCGTCATGTGAGGCCACGTTGGACCGACGTACTTACCACTCGACTCTCACTCACGCCCGCTCGATGCTCTTTACTAGATCGGGCAATACTTGCGCTGCCGGATGAATCGTCGCTATCCCTCTTCCTCTCATACAAATTCCAGTCACTATGGCCCGGACTTGACATCTTTCTATCGCGCAAGAAGTGGATCTCCTGGGCACCGAGAGGCGACGTTGTTGCTGCTAGAGTTCGTCTCAACATGACTGGGGCCCCTGCTCACTGGCGGAGTATTTGAATATCCCAGCTGTTGTTGTCTTCCAAAACGAGTGTGCTCAGCACAAAGATGAGTCTGGCATGGACCGAGCGCTGTTTCATCTTGGATGGTTTCAAGCCTAAGTCAGCAATGTTCTCGTGTTGTTGTCGGCGTTGCTTAAGCGGAAGTCGAAAATCCCTACCCAGGCAACCACATTGCGATGGTGGCACTCGTCCCAGGGGTGGGAACTTGATAGGATCCGGGACCAGAGCGTATTGTACATAAATGGCGAGTGCCTCGTCCTGGTAATAGCAGTCGAGTCATCCACAACCCTCGCGCGCTCTCAATTCATCTCAAGCAGATCTTCAAGTGTCGGCACTGCTCCTAGGACATCGACGTCTCGGACACGCACAGACCTACCCAGCTCCATAGACTTTCACTTGTACCACAAGGTATGACGCCTCGGGATCTCTGCTGCTGATTCCTATGCGATGCCATATTACTCGAGCAAATTTAACATGCCCTGCCAGACACAACCATGCCCAAGTCAGACATTACCAACCTCAAGCACTTCGAGACCTCTCCTACGAAGTCTCTGCCGTGGACAGCATACAACGTCGCCGCCTCCAAGACTGGTAGTGCCACCTCTCGACAGCATAAGCATCATGCAGACCTCAAGGCACAGGTTGCTGGAGTCGACAAAGCATTTGGCAAGAAGACCGGCAAGTCACAGCTGTGAATGGTGGACAGGCACCCAAGGCCGGGATCGCAAGACGATGTATAACATTTCATTATTATGGAGGTCCTTCACCGGTGAATGAGTCGATGGCATCGACAATTCATGCTTAGATATGTGTGAGAGCAGTCGTTGTTACTGTGTAGTGTACCATAGAAAATATCTCCGAGAAATATTGGTGGTGATGGTGGTATGCCTCCCTGATGTCGTAGCAATAAAGTTTAAACGGACGTTTTCTGTTCTGCATCCCGTCATGCCAGTGTCTGGCAACGCACCAAACAACGTCCTGGAACGGAAACGACAGAACTGGAGATCTATTCCAGCCATGATCTTACTGCTGAGCCTTCATAACACTGGCTGTTGTACCCGAGTCATGCGCACACCGCTGCCACCATCAACCTGAGCCTTAACTGTGGACCCCTGCCTGCAAGCTGGTGACCTTGGCAGGACTGCCACAGGCACTATCATCCAATGCGCACCGTCTGTTGATCTAGTGCCATCAGACGTGCAATTCTCAGCATCTGAGCCTTATACTCACGCCTACTCGCATAAAACTTGCGTATGCTTGTCTTGCCGTTCTCCTCCGTGACGAGAGTCTTGGTTCGAGGCGCCCGCAGGACGATCTTTAGATGACCGAATCGTCTGTATGCGTCCACATTTTGCTCCAGAACAATAGCTGCTATATGCACAGCGTACTCCATTGTATGCCAGAAGCCAACGATCAAAGTGAGGAACGGTGTGAAAGATTCTGTCGTTGGATCTTCCCTGTGCCTATCGCGGAAGATTCGCGCTGTGTACGACTCTCCCATCAGCGGTGGACAGTCGTAGTCAGCTGGGTGCACAGCCCTTCGAGTGCTGCAGGGGTTGAGGCGGATCTGATACACTGGACCCCTGACGTGTATGAAACGATCGATTTCTGGTAGCATGACACGGTGCGTCTGTGTCTTTATGAGCTGAGCAGCTGTCCTCAAGACACCGTTGAGACCCTCGAATCGGACGCTCGTGAGAGATATGCGATACGCGTAGCCCAGGTTCGTCGACTTCGCTTCGCATGCCGGCGCGTTGTCGAACATGATTGAACCACCAGCAAGCCAGGACCAGGTCGGCCAAAGCGTCGATACTGGGTCACTATCAGGCCTTTTGGGACGCCAGCTAAGCCAATAGGCCAAGGATGCTGTGTTCGACCGGCGCTGGGCTATGCCGAAGCTGTCTGAATATGTGACACCCAATGGTGTTCCCCAGTATGAATAGACACCACGAGCTCTCAACAGGCCCCGGATGGCATCCAGCTTTTCTCGTTGATGTCTAAGCTGGCGGGAAGAGTATCCCTCGATGACAGAGGCAAGCGGGCCCTTCCCGAGTACCCAGTCTAGTCTGCTCGGGGCCCATCCTCCTTGCTTGCAACTCTGATATCTCCGCGAACTTTTACGGCGCTCACTCCAGTGTCGTTCTGCCAATCCATAACAAATTGGCTCAGCATCCCATCCGTCCGGATCGAGAAGAGTGACTCTATGCCGACCGAAGAAATCCAATACCCGCGATAGGTTGCCCTCTTGATATGTCCACCCGCGCTGGAGATTTGTCAAGGAGAAGTACTTCGAGGTGATATCCTTTCACTCACCTCTGACCATGCACTCGTCTCGATCTCTCGGGCATCCAGCCGCACAGCATCGCACAAGTCGGACCCATAAACAAAACTTCCGCCACACCTGACGCCGGGCATCGACCGAGGCATGATTACGCCTGGCATATGGGTGCCCGCATCCTCCTCGAGACTGACGATTGTGGCCGCAGCACCAAGGTAGAGCTGGTCCATCGCTGCGACTTGACCTTGTCTATGGGCTTCTTTCACAATGCACAACATGTCCACCCAAAGGTATTGGTGTCCAAGCTTTCGTGTCACCATCATTGCGTCGCGCACCACTGGTGGTAGGACAAAGGGCAACTTGGGGAAGGCAGCTCTGGCGCTCTCGACTGTCTTCTCGGAATTCCAAGAGCCAGATGCGTAGCTCAGAGCTAGATAAGAGCAACCAGGAACTGCTTCGACCACCTCGTTGCTCTCGCAGTCGATCAGGTGGAGACCGTAAATGTGTTCCGGACCGTTTGGTTGGACCTTAATGTTTGACAAAGACAGGACGGAGTTCAGCAGGCTGGACAGCCAGTCGAAGTCAACCCAATGGTCAACGGAATCATCTCCTACATTCAGGCGTTGAAGACCCTGTTCTTGCCCACGCTCGAGCCAGTGTATGTCTTCATAGAGTATACGTGTGGCACGACCATGGTGTCTCGCCTTGTTGGGCTTTGTACTGCGACAAGAGAACCATAGCGTGGCCTTGGACCGCTCTTTGACCGTGCATGGCGGCGAAGCATCAAGCAAGCCAGCTTTACGGCCCCATACAAACTCGATCCCAGCTTCCTTCGATGCTGGACTGAAAAGATGTGTAAAGAGCCGGCAGACCACACAGGTCGAAACAATTCGTTCTTTCCAGAGTGACGAGAGCTCGAGCTCGGCCGACCAGGTGAATTGCACAGCGGGTTCCGGTTCTGGAGTATCCCAGCATTGCTCAGTGTCAAGCCTGGCGGAGGACTGACCTGTAGTTTCATGCTTAGAGGGCAGCAGCAGAAGAAGAGGCTCAAACACCTTCCCATAACGTCTGTAGCATTCTAAACAGATCTCTGCATCTTCGTGGTAGCCCTGGACCCTTGTGGAGTGACAGGTGACGTTGCCGTCGCTGCCGGTCGTCCTGAAGCCCATGCTGTAGGTGTGAAGTGGAGCATCTCAGGTATCAGAGCTAGAATCTTCGCTACAAGTATGGCCATCGCAACGTGATACGAGTTCGCGCAGTTCACATTCCGTACCACACGTGCAATCGCCAATCGCCAAGTGTCGCATGTCTGGATCACGGTTGCAAAATACGAATGACGATTTCGGGATCGACACCCTTGTGGCAGTCTCTCGAGGAAACTCGGAGGTCGCTCTTGTACTAAGCGTAGATGGAATAATGAGGTTCTGCGTCAGTATCGCAGTAATCATCCGGAAGCTGCGACAGTGCTCTTGTCAGTCGCACAGACGCCTTGTTGAAGGTGGCTTCTCTGAAAATTTCATTTCTGTCTGAACGGGCGCAGTCGCTCATCCGACTCCGCAAATGGGCGCCATCTCGCATGTCATACTCTGTGCCGTGTATACAGCAGTCTGTGCTGGAGTTAGTCCACCTCAGCCCGGTAGCCCATCCTCTCTAACCATTCTTGCGTGTTTCCAGCCTCGGGCGCTGCGACCGGTTGTCCATGCAATCTCACCCGGTACAAACACACGTTCTTACCACCATAATTCGCTGTTACTCTCAGCGCAAAATTCTGCGCGGCATGCAGCAGCCCGTACTGATTCACGTCCAACATTGCCGTCTGGATGTGACTCGACCTCGACACATCGTAAGTCATCTTCCCAATCCTCGCCCAATTCGGGCCCAGCACATTGCCTTTCTGCATGTCCTCGAGTTTCATCTGCTGCCACTGATCATCGTCAAGGTGTGAAAAGTCCGCCCAGAGCTCGATCTTGCGTGGTGTAGCCTCACGGTCGAGATTACCTGCACTTGGGAAGTGCTCAATGACGAGCTCCGTGGGATAGATCATCTCGTTCGTGCTAACGACGAGTCGAACGAAATCCTGGCCGAATTGAGTGGAATGTAATTGATCGGCTGCGCACCAGCAGTCGCCGTAGTCTTGCCATGAAGTTAAAGCTGCGGTAGGACCGTTCGCGTAGTGGCGCTCCATTCCCCCAAACTTCTTCCAGAAGCGTGAAAGCACACTAAGTTGAATCTCCTTTGTCGGCGTTGACTTATTAGGATCGACGAGCACTCCGTTCCAGGGAGCGAAGAAGTTGATTTTTGGTATGAGGGGTGAAGCGACGTGGCCGGACGTGCCAACCGTTTGATCAACGTGATCAGCGAGGTGATTGCTGAGAGCAAGCTGTTGCTGCTTTAGTGTCTGAAGATCCGATGCGAGGGTGGCTTGATTCGAATCTATTCTATAGTTGAGTCGACGCTCGAGATCTTGGACCTTTCTGTTTATGTTTGCCAGTGTGGAGGTGACTTGCGCGATGTCCCCGGTGGACAGACTACTGAAGTCGACAGCTGTCGCCGCAGTCGCACAATCGCCGCATATAGTACTGAAGCCTGTGTGTAGACTACCGCCGAGCCCTGTAGTCGGTAACGCCGCACAGCCGATACGCTGATAGAAGAAGCAGATGGTCGCGCCAAACATGCCGAGTCCCAGGACAAGTCCGAACAAGATTGCCATGACTGCAAATATCGATGTGACTGGTAACTTGCGTAAGTACTGCAACATCGAAGCAAGAATGTCTGATGTCGCAGACCAGGCTTGACTTAAACTCCGTGTCAGACATGACCTGAGTTGTTCGGAGACCCTCGAGACTAAGGTAGCTAATCGACTGACACCATCCCTCGTACCGCGAGATATGTTCTTGATAGGTGTGAATGGCTGTGACGCACGTGCTCGAATATTGATGGTCCGTATTCGTCGAATGCCACGCTCATAATTGTAGCTGTGATCCATCAGTCCACTGGGGAACTGCGATGGCTGCGATATATCCGATGACTGGTCAACATCTTGGCCTTCGTTGCGCTCATTCAATCGTTCGGGTTCTCGAGACTCTTCCCGCTGGCTCTCCTCGGGCACTTCAGAGGCAACCGAAGCTTCGTCAGACTCCGATTCCACTTCGCGGTCGTCGTCGTCCTCATCATCTTCTTCCTCCTCGAATTCCTCCTCGATGTGCCCAGCCATGTCCTGAAGTGACTGCTTGCCCGCCGTGCCCAGCGCATTTGGCATCTTTGACCCTTTGTTGGCGCCATATGCGTAAGATTGTTGGTTCTGAAGATCCGGTAATGGTTGTTTGGATACTGATCGGGCTGCCAGCCTTCCACCGGACTCTCCACTGACCTGGGACCTTGCTACCGTCGCCTGTCTGGTTGACCTTCGCACCTGTGGACTCTCATTTTGGATAGCACTGATCATGGAACTGCTTGATCGAGCCGGCGTCGCGCCGACCTGGCGACCGACCGACTTTCGTGGCGGCATGGTGAGATCTGTGAACGGTCGAAAACTACTTCTTGCCTTTCCAACCAATGGTCAATGAAGTCGATCAGCACATCAAATCAACGAACTTGGACAGCGTCAACATGTACAAGCAGTTCCTGTCGCAGTCTGCTGCCTGTCCGAAAGCGTACGAGGCATTCCTTGCGAGGAGGATGGCCAGTCGAAGCCAAGAAGATGAGACGCGCTTTGTGGTTGAGACTGAATCACTTGTACTTGTTGGCAGGGCGATGAATCGAATCGTCGGGATGCAGCCGCATGTGCGTCTTGTAATGGATCTTTCACTTCAAACGCGTCGCTATTATTGACTTGTCGTTCACGTGCAGTTGAATAGGTTCAATCATCTATTCAAAGGTGGAGCAGGCAATTGACTCGATTTGGGAGTCGAAAACACCGGGAAGATCCTTGCGTGAGCTCGACGGTCGGAACCACCGTACAGTGGCTCTGGTTCTAGGGCTGCCCCTGCAGACCATTAACCTCAATTCAGCACAACGTCTTCGTTGTGTCTCAAGCCTCTCTGTTTGCCACCACTTATCATATCATAGCAGAATACAGCCCATTACGGTTGAACCAAAGAGCAAACACAATGGCTTAAAAACTACAAGATTCAGGTATTCGTAGTGAATGGAGATGTCATAACGGGCCCACTCACTCCTGCTGGCTTGCTAGTCTGTACAGGAAACATTACGCCACGCTATGCATGAAGCCACAACCACAAGTGCGCCCTCACTGTGGTAGTGCTTCTTCGTCCTTCACACGATGCTCAACTGGCGAAGCATCATCAAAGACCTCTTCTTCCGACATGATGCGTACGCCACTTCCTCTTCTGGAGGACTCCGGATGGCCGCTCTTTTCTGCACCCGAGTAGTCTCCTGGTCCCTTGCTTCCGTTCGGCACATGGAATCTTTTGTCTACCCTGACCACGAGATAGAGGTAGAGACCAGAACCTCGACCGTGAAGTCGAATAGATAGAAGCATGCCTTGGACTGGTACCACGCAGGGTCGTTGATAGGTCTGGGGTCCTTGAAGTTGGTGCCCGCGCGGAAAGCAGCTCCCAAGGTGAGGAGCGTCGAGGATGTGAGGAGAATTGCGATCTTTGTCCGCCATCGACCCGTACCGAATTTCTCAAGGCGGGTCTTTCGAGGAACAACAAGTCCGATAATGACCATAGGTATCGGGAGGAATGCCACGACCATCAGGTAGACGCCAGCAGTCTGCTGAAGAATCTTGTCGATGTGGAGCGTGTGAGGGTTGAGCGTGTAAAATGACTGGACTGTCGCGGTGATGACCATGCAGAGCATTGCGCCAATCAGCACATACAGAACCAAGAAGCATCTTGACAAGGCCTTGTGCCACCCGAAGTGTGGGTGTGCTGCCCTCAACATCCGCTGCGCGAAGATGAGGTTGATCAGGAATAAGATCAACACTCCAGCTGCGACAAAGATCTGAGCAGCGATCGCAATCGAGACATCGTTCGGATAGCACGCCCATACGATGCGCAGCGTGGATGCGAGTATTCGTGCCATACAGAAGCCGAAGGTGAGTGCCGACATAATGAACTTGTGGCCACGGCGCCTGTTGATTTGGAAGATGGTCATATGACCAGCCGCCCCAATGATGAACAGCAGTAGGAAGACTGAAGTGATCGGAACGTCCAAACCGAGTGTTGGACGACCTCCAAGCGAGGAGTAGTGTGGAGGATAGGGCGCATGTTGTGTCTGTTTCTGTGAGTACGTTGTCAAGCTGAGTCGTTGAAGACACCTACCTCAGGAGACTGTTGAGTCGACATAGTGACAGCAGTACTTGTCAGGCAAGCTGTGCAGTCGTGATCAGATTCAGTTGTGCCGAGATGTTCAGATACGAGGTTGGAAAGTCTGCCAGTTATGTTTGCGAAGTTGTACGTGGCTGTTGTTTGTGGAAGGAACAATCAAGTCTGTGACACCACCTACCTCGACCCTACCTTATATCCGCCGCACCTTCCATCTCTACGCTTGACAAATGCCACATGTATCGCATGACGAATACGGCGCTTCAAGCTCGGCCGATGCGCAGGCTCGAACAAAGCACCTCCGACTCGTATGGGCTATAGAGAAGGTTTGCAAAGAAGGCAGAATGAATCTAGGAACAAAGAGGCAAAGTGGGGAATCGGTGATCGGAGCTCGCGCGCCGTTACAGTGCGACCGCCAATGAAATTCAAGTCTCGGTCGGCCGCTTCTGATCCGACTCGGTTTGGGTAGCAAGTACGAAGTACATTAGAGATGTTCGTAGCCACGTGGTCGTGCGCTCGTCGGGATCGCTAAAGACATGCAATGTCCTCTTGGCTCATCAAATAATAACGTTGTAGTCGTTGCAAGACTTCGCCGAACCGTCGTCTCTTCTCTTTTCAACGCGGTCAAAATCGTTGCTGCACTGCTGAGACTGCAACCCTGCCTCAACAGCACAACACACGTGTACGCACCGAACATAGACTGCTACGTCATTGCTGTTATGGCGCAAAATGCGCATACTGATAAAGGACTATCGGCGCCGAATTTTGGCGCCGACGACGTGGTTGAGAGGAAAGGTCCTCCGGGGCCCCCTGCATGAGGACTGGTACGATGACGTCGCTTCAAGCAACCGCGACTCCACTAGGCACCCCGCATGCTTGCACTTGCCATGCGCGTTCCTGCGTGTGCCTGAATTCGTGTTCTCATCTTCCACAGACGAAGAAGAAGCACTGACGTGCAGACCTTGATCGCCGCCAACCGCAGTGTCCCAAGTCATCCAAATTGTCCGATACTACAAAGTAGCAACACAATGGCACCAACCAACACTGCACTAAGTCCAGACTCGATCCTCGATCTCGTGGCCAAAAGTCTGCCACCATCATCCTCCGAATCTGACACCCGAATTCTGAAAGATGCGTACTCGGCAATCGCCATTTTCTGTCACAGCTGCATGCTAGCCGTGGGCTTCAAGTTGGTAGGACTAGGGGAAGGTCACAAGATTGAGGCACAATCAGACCCGCAAGACGTGTCGCCGTTGCCAGCAGAATGGAATGCCTCCAGCTCTTATGCATTCCGCTACACACATCCGCAATCGTCGATGGAGTTCCTCGTCAAGGTGACGCGACTCGGCAGTAAAGCCATCGTCAATGGCGTTGGGCTCGGTGATGACAAGACTGCGTCCTTTGAGATCAAAGCCGCCGACTGTACCTCAGAGGGCTCCTTAGCGGAGGAGAAATCGTCTGGCGACACAAAATCTGGGCTTCGAAACATCTTCATATCTAACGGCCGTATCACAGACCTAGCCGAATTGTTCAGATCCAGCATCATTCAAAAGCTGGCTCCCGGCATCCACAAAGCTGGTTACGAAGACACAGAAAGCACTACTCAGACCCAGAGATCAATACGTCCCGAGACAGCTCCGCGAGAAGATCGGGATCCATTACGTGACGATCAGCCTCGACCAGCACGACCATATCCCTTCGATGATCCACTTGCTGCCGCTCCTCGAAGACCTGTTGGGCCTGCTCCTGACTTCGCGCCGCCTGGATTTGAAGATGAGTATGAGCTGAACAGACCTGCAAGAGGGATGCCTAGGGGTGCAGAGCCATTTGGACGAATTGGTGAGCAGGACCTATACCCACCTGGCCTTGGTCCACATGATCCTTTACGCATGGGGCCAGGCGGCGGAGGGTTTCGTGGAGGCGGCGGAATGCATCCTACATTCGACGATCCGATGTTTGCAGGTCAAGGTGGTGGCCAAGGTTACGATCCTCGCGCTCCTCCAGGCGCTCGATACGATCCCATTGGTCCTGGAGACGGACCTCCAAATCTGAGAGGCGGTCCCAGATTTCCGGGAGGAGGTGGTGGCAGGTTTCCTGGTGGAGGTGGTGGCGGGAACCCGTTTGGTGGCTTCGGGAGCGGCGACTTCATCTGAGCGAGCATTGTACGAGTACACGATGAACATGACCAAATATGGGTGACAAAAGCATGGGCATGGGCATAATTTGCTCCGCTGGGCAACCACTGCTGAGCCGCGGCTTGATCAGGCACTGGAATGCCATCGAAGCCAGAAGATCCATAGAATTGCTGGTGTCAGCTTTAGCATTCAACAGACTTTGATATCCTATCTTAATCATATTTCCTCCGCTGAATTTGGCATACAGTATCAGGAAGGCAAGGAGGTCTTCCTCTTAGCGCAGGCAGTCCAAGGCTGAATAATAACGCCAAGACTCAGATTGAGAACCAGATCGCGATGTCATGCCTCACCCCAGAGGCAGGCACATGTTGTTCTTCAGCTGCAACTACCACAATCAAGCACAACTTTTCAATCTGAAGCGTTCATACTTAATTGTATACTCCTCTACGTTTAGCTCACTTCAATAAGAAGTCTACGGCATATCTCTGCGCCTGCTGCCCCTGCGCCCTCGAGCCCGCCTAGCTCGCGCGACACCGCAATCTCCCACCCTGCGACAGTTTACGAGTCCCGCCCGCCGTCATGGAGGGCTTCCCTTCCAACACAGCGATAGACACGAAGATGGACATAGACGTCAGCAAGCCATCGGAACCACATAAGCTGTCTCTTACTCAAGATGCTGGCTCTATCCCAACACTGGATGGCTGGATCGAGAGCCTCATGAGTTGCAAACAGCTGTCAGAGGCAGATGTGTCTCGGCTATGCGACAGAGTAAGGACTAGTAAACAGCAGTCAACAGCAAGATCTGACATGTCTAGGCGCGTGAAGTTCTGCAAGAGGAGTCTAATGTGCAGCCAGTGGTAGGAGCATCACAATCTCAACAAACAAAGCAGCACTGACATGTCCCCAGAAATGCCCGGTCACAGTCTGCGGCGACATCCACGGCCAGTTTCACGACTTGATGGAGTTGTTCCGCATCGGTGGTCCCAATCCGGATACGAACTACCTTTTCATGGGTACGTTTATGAATCTCGACGATTGCCATTCAAGTCCACTAACACGCGCCAGGCGACTACGTCGATCGAGGATACTATTCGGTTGAGACCGTTACACTGCTCGTTGCTTTGAAGATCAGATATCCTTCCCGTATCACCATCCTACGAGGTAACCACGAATCGAGACAGATCACACAGGTTTATGGCTTCTACGACGAGTGCCTGCGCAAGTACGGGAACGCCAACGTTTGGAAGTACTTCACAGATCTCTTCGACTACCTTCCCCTGACCGCCCTCATCGACAACCAGATCTTCTGCCTTCACGGTGGTCTTTCGCCCAGTATCGACACCCTAGACAACATCAGATCTCTCGACAGAATCCAGGAGGTGCCTCATGAGGGTCCCATGTGTGATCTGTTGTGGAGTGACCCGGACGACCGCTGTGGATGGGGTATCAGTCCCAGAGGTGCAGGCTACACGTTTGGTCAAGACATCTCAGAGGCCTTCAATCATAACAATGGCTTGACCTTGGTGGCAAGAGCGCATCAGCTGGTCATGGAGGGCTACAACTGGAGTCAGGATCGGAATGTTGTTACCATCTTCAGTGCTCCCAACTACTGCTACCGCTGCGGCAATCAGGCAGCGATCATGGAGATCGACGAGCATCTGAAGTACACTTTGTAAGTCAACATCACCCGAGAGTTTGAACGTTCACTGACCACAACAGCTTGCAATTCGACCCATGTCCTCGGGCCGGAGAGCCTATGGTCAGCAGAAGAACGCCAGACTACTTCCTCTGAGCGATTCGAGAAAGATACCCAACACATCTAGACAGAGCGGCAGAGCGAGCTAAAGACTTCCTTAGACCTCAAAAGCATCATCCGTGGATGGACAAAAGCCAAAGCCTGCAGATCCCTAATCTTCATAGCCACCCACAGACTATCAGACCTGTGATAAGCCCAGTCCGTTCCGCAACTTCTGTCCTCCGAGTCAGGTAAGGCAATGATGTTAGAGTAATGCAGCGAGGACGAAGTACCAAATCTGCAGCAGTTGCAGACAGCGCTGGCTGCTGCTGTATTAAATGACATGACATCGAGCGTCATTCTTGCATGTCCGAAGAAGCCATGCTCAGCGCGACCGATGAACGGGCCTCAATGTTTCTCAACCTTCTGCTCAGTGACTCAAGTTCCATCAAGTCCAAGCCTCAGACCTCATACCCTGCGGAAACCTCGAAGTGCACCATCTGCTGCCATGCCGCCAAGGCAGGCCCAGATGAAGGACCTGGAACTGCAAGACTATGTTCAAAGGCGTCTCACATCGGTCTGAGTTACCACTGGCTGCGACCACGCGAGTGTGAATGCTTGCGTCTGCGACATTCACTGACTGTCTCTGAGCTATATAGCTGGCCCGCTTTTGTTCTTCTCTCTCACATCTACCCACCTCGACTACAAGCGTGCAAAGTTTCTGATAAATACGATCATTTGATTCTGGTCCAAGTCGCAATTAGCGCAGGAATTGCCTAAAGATCGCATTCGAGATGTCTTCCACAAAGCCTACTGCTCGAGGCATGACCTCCGAGACTGCAGGCAAGGCCCAGAAGCGCAAGGTCATGGTAGGTGGTCACCCTCTACACCATACGCAAGGCCTTACTTACACTTTGCTCCCCAGGACGTCGAATCGAGCGACGAGTCAGCCCATACTGTTCATTTCGACGAGCAGCCTATTCGGGAGGCCGCCAAACCTGCAACGACGCCAGCCACTGCCAAAGTCCCAGCGCTTAAGTCTGCTACTCCTGCTTCTGCAGCTGTTAAGTCCAAGATCACCACTACCCCTGCTGCCACGCCTCCTGCTGCGTCTAGGAAGGTCAAGTCAGACTCTACTGAAGTCGAAGTCATCGACACTCCCCTCAGTCCTCCAGTCAAGCGCCAGAGGCAGACCAAGAAGACTATTGCTGAGGCCAATGTCCCAAGCGCTGCTTCTATGTAAGTCCTATTCACCTCTGAGTTCTCGACCATACCCCGCTTTGACCTTAGAGCCCGCCTGGGCCAATTTGAGCAGCTATCCTACAAGAAGATGTGCAGTCACTGACCCCTTTCACAGGAAGAAGAAAGAGAAGCCCGCCCCACCCTGCCCAGTCTCCGTCGGCGACATGGGCTTCCATAAGTCCCTCAACGTGGTCAACAATAAGCCCATGTCCGACAAGAAGATCCTCGTCCGCGTCATGGAAGTCGAATGGGACTCAGGCAGTGGCAAATGGTGCGTTCTTCTGGAGAACCGTGGCGACATTCTCCCGCGCGAGGCTGCATGGTGGGAGGACGCCAATAAGGTCGAGTTGCCGCTTGGGAAGGGCACTGAGGTGATGGTCAAGGTCAACACTGGTTGGGTTGAAGGGGTTGTTGAGGGGGTTGAGCGGGATGATGGTAAGTTCACGTCCATCACAATTGTTCTTGCCACGGTTTGCGAATTCCTGGCAGAGGCCTCCTGGCAGCACTTTCAAATGAATCGACGAACGAACGCTAATTGTCCTACCTGACAGACAAGGGAGAATGGCTCTACGAATGCGACGTGGTTGGTACCATAAAGGCCGCCTCAGACAAGGTCAAAGAGGCCAAGTCTCCACACAAGGTCAAGGTCGAAAAGAGTATCAAAAGTGAGCTGACAGGCGAGAACGGTGAAGGAAGAGTAGAGTTCTCTTTCAAAGAGGAGAACTAGAGCCGCGCTTGAGTGACTGATCTTCGCAGAACAAGTCAGCAGCTAAATGATCTGAAGAAACTGAAGCCAAACCGACGGCTAAGCTGGAGCAATTTTGACGGTGGAATACCACGACACATCGGCGACGAAGCACGTGGTCTGCTCCATCACTGCAGCCAAAGTTGTGCCGCCAAAGTGGACTCACCGACCGACGACAAGTGCGGCCATTGCTGTGAAGCATCGGCCGGCGCAATAGGTCCTCGTCAATGACCAGGAATATCATAGAGACTCATTGAATTCCCGAGCTTGAGCATTACATATTTTGGTCCATCCTACCATGATCACCTTACGGGTCTGATCACTCTCAGATAGCTAGCTGAAGAGCTCAACAAAGTCTTCGCACACGCATCTATGCCTTCGCCTCTCCTCTTTCTATCTACCTAGAACCTTTCCGTCTTCAACCAGTGGCTCTGATCTTACTCAAGTCTCACTTTAACTTCCCCAGGCTTGCAGACGAAGAAGTCGTCTCCTCGGGCCAACTCATTCACTACCGCCGTCGATGTATAAGTATGTCGCATGTACCCCTGTCGTCTTTGCCTCTTCTGTGCTTCCATCGCCAGCGGTCTGCCCTTCGCCGCTTCCCTCTGACGATACCTTCTTACACCCGTCATCTCAGAGCGGAGAGGCACGTAGGCCAGCGACCTTCGCATTCAAGTACTAGCACTTCCGAAAGAGCGCTCAGTCAAAAGACTCCTGGAGAAAGCAAGTCAACATTCGTTTCCAAGCTCACCACCGAAGAAGTTGACCCACCTCGGCAACAGAGCGCTACCGGAAGCATCATGCTCCGTCTTCCTCAGATACCTCAGGATCGGGCAATCCTAGCATTCCCAAGAAGCGGCCTCATTCGGCGACTGTCCAAGATGGCAGCACATCAAATGAACCACCAAATTCGAAAGCGGTGAAGAAGCAGGATGTGCACCAGATCAACAGCAACGCTCAGATTCCTGGACCGAAATACTCAAAAGGTGAACGTGTCTTTCTCAAATTTCCTCGAGAGTGGGGTGAGCGCCGCACGTGCGGCTTCCACATTGGCCGTAACAGGTGGGATGCAATCGAGCAATCATGGCTCTACGACTTCGTATGGTGCGGCGAGGAAGGAATCTCATTCTCGGTCGTCGAGGATCGAGTTCTGAGACCGAAGTTCAAGGCGGGAGACCGTATCAAGCGGGAGCTTGGGAGTGGTGTCGAGGTAGACATTGTGGTCACACAAGTTACATTTGACGGAGAGCAAATCAAGTACAGAGTCTTGATGACTGGATCGCTCTTGGCCAGCGAGATCCAGAGTGCACATGGCGATGTGTCGCGGGAGCAAGGGTATCCTGAAGTCGTCATTGACGGGGACAATGTCACTGTCAAGTCCATATGCGTGACGTCTTCCTCGATCTCGATGGGCGGGATGATCCGGAGTGCTATTGGTGGAATGGGAGGCGTTCTGAACGGGGTGCCTAAATTTGCTGTTGATAAGGACAAGGTCAATTTCAAGGCATCGCTCATTCTCAAGGACCTTTAGACTCGCCAAGCGATCAGTGTAGGAGAGACTCGATGGCAAGACTCTCCTCATTGCCCGCGGAGACATGCCCTTGCGATAGGCCTTGGACTATAGCGAGCAGCTTTGGAAACGCAGAAGGCGCAGAGAAGAGTGTACCAGTGGTTGAAATCGATGTTGGATCGCGAGATGTTGGAAAGAACGATCTTGGCATTGCCAGAGACGGACGAAAACCTGGACAAAGCATATCTCCTGAGGGCGACGTGCTTCCAGCACAAGATGATTGTCCCTCGCGCGCCAGAGGGATCAATCGACCTGTCGGTTGGTGGAAAGTGTTGCGCTTAGGAACCATCCGGTTCTATAGAGGCACCCACGTAGCTGGGAACCCATGAGAGCGAGAATTTGAGGACCCTTTGCCGGCGTTGCAGATATGCACTAGTCTTCCATCTACCGAGCCCGAAATCTTCCAGGACCACTCAGTCCTAAGCATTCGCCGTCTTCGGCTTCTTCGTCCCATACTTACTCCTCGACCTCAACTTCCCCGCCACACCGCCCAAATCCGATACCCCCCTAACCAAATGATACCTCACACCCGGACAATCCTGACTCCTCCCGCCCCTAATCATCACCACGCTGTGCTGCTGAACATTATGTCCCTCGCCCGGGATATACGCGCTCACCACCCTGCCCGTGCTCAGTCGTACTTTAGCGGTCTTTCGCTGGCCCGAATTTGGTTTCTTGGGTTTCGTAATGCCGACTTTTAAGCATACGCCTTTCAGCTCGGGGCGGTTGATCATGGCGGGTGAGATGGGTCGGCGTGCTTTTTTGGCCGTTCGGGGCTTGTGGCGGAGCTGGTTTAGGGTGCTGTGGTGTGGCCGTGTGGTGGTGAATGTGCGGAGAGAGCTTGCCGTTGGTAGCGAAGGGAATTGTGTCTTTTGCGATCTCGAACAGAGGAGGCTGCTCGCTGTTGTTCTGGTTGTAGATCGGAGTGACGTGCTGGAGCATTGAGGATGTAGGGAGAGCGACTGCAGTGCACGCAGGAGGCGTACTGAGGGAAGGTAGGTCATGATCGACCGCGTCAAAATGGACGGCGATAGTGGAAGGTGCTATGCGCCGCTTGGATGCAGTATCAACTCGATCTTCGCGGTGTACGTGACGACGACAGCTTGAATGTGAGGAAGTTACATTTGAGGAAGTCGCAATCCAGAATCTTAGCTTCCGCCAATAGTGGTCATTTGCTTTCTGTCCCAAACTAGCAGGTCCGATGCAGATTCCGACCACAGTACCTATTTGATGACCAGCACCCGGTCGACAACAAGAATGACCACAGCTGACAATTGTGATGATGCTGCCGTTTGACAATGTCGGGTGGCGTCGACAACACGGGTGATGTGATGCCAACGAAAGGCATGTGCCGAGTCTGGAAAATTCGACGATCGAATTCATCTCAAGATAGGACATTGGATTTGCCTCTATCGAAGTACAAGTCTGTACATGTAAGCGTTGAGGCCTTTCAACCACGACGCTCTTCTATATGTCGGGAAATGGGCTGCATGTGACTCAATGTCACAAGAGCCAGAGCTTCCCGCCAAAATGCCGTGCATAAGCACCGCAGCCCTCTGACATACGCCGGACAAGCCTTCCACAAGGCCTCCGCAACCTCAATATCGCGTACGCCCCTGACCTGTATGCAACGGTGACACCAAATAGCACACCAAGATAGACACCCGGATTGACATTCAGATGATATAACTCCAACACCTGTGACCCATTTTCAATGGGACACTTCCCGTCCGCTAAATGCTGTTCCTCTTTACAGCTGAACTCCACCCCACGCAAAGCATAGGGGGCGATCCCGCCCAGCATCCATTTCAACGGACTGGCGTAGCTCAGCTGCTTGAGGCCCCCTGGAAGGGTTATTGCAATCACGCCAGCAAGATTGGTCAAGGTGGAGACCAAGACGCAAGAAGCCGTGACAGCAAGACCAGGATGGGAGATGAAGGTCATGAGTGCAATGCCGATGCTCTCACCACAGCTGACCACGCAGAAAGCGCCGAGCGTCATGGCGAAGAACAGTTCCACTGTGTGAGGCATGCCTATGCCGAAGACGCTAAGTATTGCGAAAAGCAAAGCGCCAACAATCTCCGACGGGAGCTCGACGAGGGTATAGCTTATGAAGAAGGATTCTGGGGAGTAAAGATTGTCGATCTCTTCCCGGTAGAAGAGAGATTGGTCTGGTGGGAAGAATGCGATCGCGTTGAGCATGCCAACGAAAAGGCTCGCTGCGCCTGTCTGTATGACACCCACGCGGGACTGTACGGAGAAATAGTCGTTCTGGAGCGGTGCGAAGAAGATGAGGTTCGTGAATGCCAGTCCCATGATCTGGAAGGTGCGACCTAGCGCAATTGTTGGTTGGCGACGGAGCGAGGTGATAGATCGGTGGAAAAGGAGCGGAAGCGCTTTCGTGATGGAAAGTGGCTGTCTGGCATAAGCACCGAGTTGAGCCGCTTGAGATATCGCTGGCGCTGAATCAGTCGAGAACGAGCTGGGATCAAGCAGGGCAGGTGTGTAACAGCCTTCCTGCCATGCTGTGATCGTTGCAGATTTCCTGTTGGACGCGAGCGACTCGTGGCCTCGTCGCATCGCCGTCGCAGGTAACGAATAATGTGTAACAATGTCTAGCGCAAAGTCGGCTGGGTTTTGGTACCGTGGGCATGTGAGGCCAAAGTCGGTAAAATGTTCCAGCATCTGATCAGTGGCACCTGAGTAAGCAACTTTTCCGCCTTTGCTCAGGAGCAGCGTAGTGTCAAACCGGGACAGCCATTCAGATTGGGGCTGATGCAGAGCAAATATGATGGTACAGCCTTGAGTCGCGAGGGTCTCCAGTACGTCAATGATGGACGACGCAGTGACACTGTCAAGCCCGGAAGTGGGCTCATCGAGCATTAAGACCAATGGATCAGCTAAGATCTGAATGGCGATCGATAGTCGCGTCTCTCGCCACCGCTTATGCCTCTCACGAGCTCACTGCCGACAACGGTGTCAGCGCAAGCTTTGAGACCCAGATCCGAGATCAGCGACTCGACACGTTCGCACTGCTGGGTTTTCGTCAGGTGAGCGGGCAGTCGCATTTTGGCGGCAAAGCGAAGCGTCTCACGCACCGTCAATAGAGCTAGGAGTCCTGCGTCATCCTGGGGTACGTACGCTGACACAGATCGAAGGACAGCATTGGTGACCTCGGCGCCGTTCAACAACATGCGACCGTCCCGGTGGTGTAATTGCTGAGTTCTGTCAAGCGATCTCTTCGCCATGAAGTTCAGTAAGGTGGACTTTCCACTCCCCGACGGGCCAAGAATTGCATTCAGCGAACCAGCTTTGAAGTTGGCCGATAGATTGCAGATGACTGGCTGAGACACCGCGTTCTCGGAGCCTCGTCCGTGCTTCAGGTCTAGGCAAATGTCTTGCAGCTCAATGCTGACTGACCGCTTTTTGGTGTCCTGTGGGCGGCTCCTGGCCATTGACAGTTGCTGAGCCTTCTGATTCTCTGCGGCTGGCCGGGAGACCTGTATTATCTCTTGCTTGCAGTGCAGAACAAGTATGCTCAGCATGGCAAGCAAAATAGTGAGTCCGACAAGTGCAAGTATCGGCTTCCATAGCCAGTTGGCGGGAATATCCAACGACTTGAGAATAAAATCGCCATTATACTCGATACAAGCAGCTGAGGTCTTGTCCGCATCTGATACTGGGCAGTCGTAGAAATGGCCAGCAAACTCGTTCGTACATAAGGCACCAAATCCATAGTACTGGAGGGAGTCAGTGAGCCAAACGATCAGCAGCTAAGGAAACTTACTGTGTACGCAGTCCACTTCGTCCAGCGAAGCCAGACAGAGATCTCAGCAGTGTTGACGAAGAAGCCGCCAGCTAGGGACTGTATGGTGAACGCGCAGTTGGCGATGAGTGACGCCACCATGAAGTGACGGTTGAGGGCCACACAGAGGGTTGCTAGGTTGACTGCGGCAAAATGGAGCAGGAGCCCAACTCCAAAGAAGACCAGATACTGATCAGCTTGGTGACGGAAGCCAGCCATGAAGTAGAATATAGTTGAGTACAGGAAAGGCACTGGGATGTCTTCGAGCAGTAAACGAGAAAGCCTTCGACTGGCCACGAATGCGGCAGCGGACGACACTGCTTCTTTGCGCTCTCTGTCGAAGACCTGGATATCGATTGTGAGTCGGTAGGTTTCCATGATGAGAACAAGGTAGCTTTGCATGGTTGTCGCTGCCCATAGAGCTCCCTCTCTGGTGCGAATGCCAGAAAGGTCGCTTGGTACTTGGAAAAACGTCCAGCCAGTAATCAGACCCAAGACGATTGCTTCGATTATACTTGCAGTAGCGCCGAGACGATCGCGGTACGTGACCTTCCAAGTCCTGTGTGTCAAGATCTGGATTCTTTGTAAAGCTGAGCAACGCGAGCGCTGGCGAGGGAGTGGCTTGGTAAAGATTGGCGAGGATGCTCCGTTCGTTTGTGTGGCTGAGTGGTCAGATTGCTTGACGGCATATATCTGAGCAGACTTAGCCGCCCATGCTGTTCGTAGCATTGCCAGCTGAGCTTGCGAATCGACCTCCCGTTCTGGAGATCTGCTGTCGATGGACGAAAGTCCAATGATATGCTCAAAAGGATTAAAGTGCTCGGGAATCGGATGACCAAGGGTTTCCAGATATGCTGGACACGCCTTTGCATTACCAGCATATACTGGTCTGCCCTGCGAAAGAACTATGAGATTGTCGAGCAATGGCCAGATATCAGAGCGAGGTTGATGAACTGTACAGCGTGTCAGCTAGCTTTGATTCCACTCCTGGTCAACATACTTGTCATCACAACTGTTTTGCCTCGGATAGCCAATGACTTCAATATCCTCACCACTTGTAGTGCTGACGAGGCATCAAGGCCAGTAGTGGGCTCGTCGAGGACCAATACGGGGCTGTCGGTGAGCATTTGCACTGCTATACTGGTTCGACGCTGTTCACCTCCGCTACAACCTTTGTGGACGGCATCTCCAATCCGGGTATGTGCACACCCTGCCAGTCCAAGGTCTTGAATCACTTGTTCCACTCGCTGCTCACGCTGCGCGGCATCTGTGGAAGCAGTCAGGCGAAGTTTCGCAGCATACAACAACGTCTCTCTGACGGTCAATTGCGGAATCAGCACATCGTCCTGTACAGCGTAGGCGACATCTGGGCCTTCACTGTGACTGTTGCTGCTGAAGTCCAAAGGACTCGAGTTGTAAGTTATACTGCCGCTCACTTCTGTAGTCGCGTTTGGGTGACGTCGCGAGATCGCGGTCAGGAGAGTGGTTTTGCCGGATCCACTGCCGCCGACAATGGCAGTGAGCGATCCTGCGCCGATGTCGACGGACAGGCCATCTAGGGTGACCTTTGAGTGTTGAACTTGTGGTTTAGATTTGCCCGTCAGAAATCGAGTCAATCTGTGAATGTGATTAGGTGTCCATTGCAGCGTGACTCCCAGGTCGCGGATTTGTATGTTGACAGGCGAGAATGTGGACGACTTTTCTGTGACTGTCACTGTGGGTTCCGGAGGTGGATCAGCGCCCATACTGGGTGTGACCGATTGCCATAGATGAATGCTCCTGGTGTCGGTCCGGCTGTGGTCTTGATAACAGGACAAGCGGCAGCATGAAATTGGATATGTTAGAAGCCTACCTTTCTAAGGAATAACACAACTTCCAGGGATGCAAAGGCCATTGCCGGAGGGCTCAGTCGACTGCGAATGCCGATAAGGCAGCACGCTGTGCAGTACTGCTGTAGTGGCTGCGCTGGTCGAAGAGGCTAGACTTCCCCAAAGACCTCTGTATGAGACGCATAGGGTTGCCCCTTCATGTCTAGGCAAAGCCAAAAACGGCGTCTGAACTTTGAGTAACAGATAAACGAGGTCCTTCGGCAACAGTGTAACGAGTTTGGCACGTTTCTACCAGATAGGGTGATAGGGTTGGCGGACACTCGTGACTGCAATGGTCGAATCATCGTCAGCATATACAGGAATAGACCTTGACGCAAAAGTCTCTTGCACGTTCTCAGGAAATAGGACGCGCAGGCCTTGATTCGTCCAAGAAGGAAGAGGGAAAGCGGAAAGCATCTCTTGCAGTACGTCTGCCCATTTTGTACCTGGGTAGCTCATTCCATGAATTCGGGATAAGCGATTTTCTGCGCTCGTCTATTGGCTAGTTTACGCGACGATGGAGATGAAGCAACCACTGGCAAAGCTTAGACTGACCTCCAACCCTGTTGGAGATGCCCCTACTTCAGCCCTACCTTTTCATTGGCAAAATTGGCCCAGTATCATTGAGGCTTGCATTGCCGTCGATATTTGTAGCTGCACGACATTCTCAGCCCCAAGCCTCTTCTGCAGTATCATGAGCTTGCCTGATCAGGATATTCTCTACCTCATTGGGATGGGAAAAGTTTGGCTGCGGCCGTACATGCGCCATACCTGGCACTTTGGTAAGTTGGCCTGTCCCATATGCGCTGGTGAGCACCGTGGCGTCGCTGAACTTCATGCCAATTCTCTGTGCTCTGGCGCTGTCTCTACCGACTTTGGAAGGAGAATCGTGGTCTCCTGGTCTACCTAGCAAGGCTTGTTTCTTGTTGATACGGGATTCATGCTTTCCATCGCAGATGATAGCAGAAATACATTCATGGGAGAACCATGTCGGTTTGCTGCCCACATGATAAGTACCATGCGGCTCTCGCATTACTCCCTTTCGATCTGCAGATCATCCTCGGCCTCCTTGTCGATCTTCAGAGTCTTCGAAACTCGGTGACCATCGCATGACCATGGAGCCTACCATCTCAGAGAAGACCCTTGCTGGCACATCAGTGATCAGCCTAGCCATAAAATCCAGCCCACTCTCACAGACGCTCCATTCCATCGCCATTGTCGCCGTATCGGTCATTACCGCCTTCACGGCCGTAGCTTTGACCTCGCCGAACTTCCAAGACCTTGTCCACAACAGCATCATCACCTCCAGCCCAGGCACCCTCTCCCTGCCAACCATCCAAGCCCTCCTAGCAGATATCTCGATAGCGAGCTTCCTAGCTGTGATCCTCACCTGCATGCTCAAACCACGTCTGACGGCCGAGCACCACTCCTTCCCGTACGCATCTCGTCCCTACCAAAACTTCGGCGCCACCGCCTTCGATTTCCAACTCCTAGTCTTCAGCATCTTCCACCAAAGACTCGCCTCACAGATCGTCCACTCCATCGTCATCACCGTACACACCTTCGCCTGGCTCGTAGTCATCCAAGGCACGTTCGGCACGCTGGGCACAGCCCTGATCGTCTTCGCTTGCTGTGCTCAAGGCATTTCCTTCGGCGATGATGTCTTCGCAGCTATCAACATGGCACTGCACATCACCCTCGGTGTCGGTGCATACACGCTGTACCACCCCCAAATCGGGCCTTACGACCCACTCATCATCCTCATTATTGCCAAAGCCGTTATCTTCTGGGGCGGGATGGCACTGACCACCAACCACGCCTTCGAACCACTCCCGCCAGCCTACGATGCCGCCACAGGAGAGATCGAACCACAATTTGGCGAAGTGGCCTGGACGCTTCTTCTCAAGAACCCACTCAAAGCGTTCGCGCTCATGGGTCTGGGACTCGCGAGTGAGATCGAAGCGGGCTCGCCGGGGCGGTTCGTGTCGACGATCTTGTACAAGATGATGTATCATATGGGGTATCGGTCGAAGACGCTGCTTGATAATGCCGAAGCTAAGAGGTGGTCGAGGGAAGTCATAGAGAGAGGTTGGAGTGCACATTCGATGACTGCCCAGTGGTATGGTTGGGCTGCGCATGGGAGCCAAGCGGGAATTGTTGAGAAAGGGGAATCGTTGCTGGAGCAAGAGGGCGAGGTTCGAAGGGGTGTGCGGCAGTCTTTTGCTGGTGTTTGGGATCGCGATTGTTAGGGCGACCAGTTTTGATCGATGCTGTTAGATATACACTGGCGGCCAGCTGAGAAACTAGACGTTTCACTCCTTTCCAGTCCATCGATCGTGCTATTCGTGATGCCTTTGATGCGTGAGTGAAAGCTTTACTGATTCATCCGTGGCGTCGGGTAAGGCGGACATCGACGTGAGTGACACAGCATCGATACCGTCGCGGGTCCTTCAGTCATTGGAACCGAAGGCCAGAGATTCGTGTGGTATGCACGGAGATTTGGAAGAGACGTCGAGCAGCTGGCCCACAAGTGCTGCTCATTATGAGGTTCTGGGTTATGGCGAGCAATCAAAGCCTGACATTGCTCTGTGACTGAGTCGGTCCACCAGGGTCTAAAATAGTGAGCCTACTGTAAATTCAGCCTCAGCTTGTTGGAAAGCTCGACCGCGGAATTCCTGGCGAGGTAGGGCGCTGTGGAAGTTCAGATACGATGCTACAGTTAGAACATGTTGCGAAATTGAGGGCTCTGTTGTCAAGCAAGTCGAAGTGCACTCGGAAAACAATGTGGCTTAGCATGCATGTATTGCTATGGAATTGTATTGTTGGGCACTATGGGATAGATCCCTCGCCTACAACGACTGTGTCCAAGCTTTATCGCATTGCCTTCAATGATCGCAGTAGTCATTGATGCCCTTAATATCTGCCGTGAGGTATTCTTTCGTGTCTCGCGTCCTGAGTCATTTGCGTGTCGTCCAACTACGATGAATGCTAACGCCCACCAGCTCCTTGTCGAAAATGAATGAGATCGATCTTTAGCCACCGACAAGACATACAGGAGCAGCCGAAGCTTTCCCTCCGTCTGGACGCCTGACACGTTCCGCACTGGTGGTACAACCCAGACCCAGAATGGTCTGCTTCAATCGCGGTCGTTGATGAAGAAACGAACATGACTTTTGGCCTGCCCAGGTACCAAGAAGGAAATTCCGATGATCGCTAATTTCAGATGCTGCTTAACGAACGCCTGCTTTTGACGCTCAACGTTTCTTCGTCTTCGTGAAGGCAGGCTTATACTACTACGCATAGTTAGTGGGCTGGAGTCCTCCTGAATCGGAAAGTTGACTACTTACGTAGTTGCCGTAAGGGTTGTTGGGGGGCATGCCACCGCCCATTTGCGGGGCCCCGAACATAGGCGGGGGTGGTGCAGGACGATAGGGAGTTCCGGCACTATTGTGGAGCAATTCGTCAGCTTTGTCTTGGGAAATAATCATCTCGGGCGGCCTTTGTACCTTCCTCAAGCCAAATTTCGCAAAGCTGCTGGGGTACTCACGGTCCTGAATTGTTCTGACTGCGACCCCAACTGAGACGGACACGAGAATTCCCAATAGGATATCCCTGCATCTGGTTGATGGCCATCTCGGCGGCATGACGCTGAACGAATTGAACAAAGCCGCAGCCCTTTCCAGGAGGAATCTTGACATATGTGATCTCGCCGAATCCCTGGAAGAAGGAACGAAGCTCGTCCTCGGTGACGTAGCCAGATAGACCTCCAACGAAGACAGTCGTGTTATTAGGGTCGGTGAATTGGTTCATGGGCTGAGGACCACCACCGTAGAAGCCTTGCTGCATGGGAGGGCCACCCATCTGAGGCGGATAACCCATGTGCTGTTGCTGAGATTGCTGGCCTCCGCCCATCATATGGTTCATTCCACCAGGCATGCCACCGGGACCACCTTTGTTCTTGGGAGTAGCAGTCGAGATGCGCATAGGTCTGTTACCGCAGTACACACCCTGCATTTCCGTGAGAGCGCGTTGCTGGTCCTGTTCATCGGAGAATCGAACGAATCCGTAGCCGCGTGACATGCCAGATAGAGGGTCTGTCATAATCTTGGCTGACTTGCAGGATGGAAATCGACTCTGGAACAGCGATACCAGGACGTACTCGTTGACTTCTGGACCGAGATCGCCAACGAAGATGCTGTACTCTGGAGAGCGGTCGTCGCGCCGATCGGCCAGACCACCACCACTAGCCCAGTTGAGTTTGAAGGGACGCTGTGTGTTTGGCATGAGTGTACCGTTGAGACCAAGGCTCTTCTGAGCAGCGGCGGGAGAGGAGAAGTCGACGAAGCAGTATCCGGCGTTACTGCTATGGTTAGTCAGTCATGATAAAATTGGCATTTTCTAGCCCGGCGGACGTACCCTGAGAACTTGTCCCGGATCATCTTGACGCTGACTTGCTCGCCCATCTGGAACCACAGATTTCGGACGAAATTCTCGTCAATCCATGGCTCGAGCTCGCCCATCCTGTTTCTCATCAATATGGAACATCAATAATACCACGTGACCTACCAGAGAGTCGTCTTTTGCTCACCAGGCGTACCCGGCTGACCAGGAGCTTGCGGCATGCCTTGACCTTGGGAATCAGCAGTAGGGAACTGCATCGGAGGAGCGCCAGATGTGTTGATTTGGCCAGGCGCGCCAGGGTCCTGGCCACCGGGGATTTGCGCGCTGTTAGGCTGCTCCTGGCCATTTCCGGGGAAGTTATTGCCGTAGCTTCGTAAGCCATGATATGCGACGTCTAGCGAATGACGCGTCGTAACGAAAGGGACTGAAGAATAGAGAGTAAACTTGATGCAAAGTTAGGCTGTGTTTCTTGAAGTGTAGAAGATGTGGTTGTATGTGGTATTAAGAAGGTACGCGGCAGAGGAAAGAGGGCCGTTTGAAAGCTGAGAGCAGCTGATAGGCAGTATATTTGAAGCATGAGCTTCAAAAGTGGGTGCCATGGTAACGCTGCACGTATTCACTTTGAGATGACAAGGGCTTCACTAGAGAACATACCTGGCACTTCTGTAAGACAAAGTCCGCAATATCCAACCGCTCGCCCAGTTGTACTTTGGTATTAGATACTGGTCAATGGGTGAGACTTCGTCCAGCACGGCAACTATAATTCGCGATTACAGATATGATCGGTCCAGGGAGGACTCTGCGGAATTCGACTGGAAATATAGTAGAATCGAATGACGACGTCTGTGGTTCAAAATCTGTTAGCAGAGCTTCGCCATGGTGCCTTCCTCGAGCAGTCGAGCTTTCCTCCATTGCATCATCGGTCTTTCACCTTTGCGAGGGATTCGATAGCAGCAATTAGTCGCACTTGCGCTGTCTCCATCAGACCGAGCCGGGGCCGCCGCGGAAAACTGTCTCAGCACACAGTCCATTAATGCGCCCATGAATTTGTAGTCGATGCGCTGACTAGGCTGGCCATGCAGCAGCTGGAACAACAGCTACCCGGAAGGTCCGCAGCGAGGGAAGAAGTATGAGCTACGTACCAACACAGATGCGCAATCGTCGAATCTCAGCCACAGGAGAGAACGTCGAGATTGATTTCGGTATAAGGACAACTGCTTCGAGGGAGTCGAGTTGCAGGAGGAGAGCGCAGCTGCGATCGGTCGGATATCCGGGACAAATGGGTATCTTCGAGATTCGAGGAAGAACGGGCCAGGCAGTGTTGTCAGATTACGCCAAAAAGCAGGACAGTAACGAGACCTGAAGGATCAAGCACAATGCAGAAGATTGGACTCAAGAATTGGACACAGGAACAAGAGAGGAAGGCAAGTTCGAGATGAGGTGAGAAGAATTTAGCTGCGTTCGATTTCAGGGCCTGAGTGGGTTGACTCAAGCGAGGGCGAGCGCAGTGTGCGTGCGTGTCTCAGCAGCCAATGCCTGTCCGGCCCCCCTCTCTTCAGATTCAGCCCAGGTAAAGTAAAAGCTAAATAACGTAGGGCTACGGTCTCTAAGTTTGTGTTCAACCTGATTCTCCCTGGAAAGTCCTGGTCAGCGAGGGGCAGAATGCCGATATCCTGGAGCCGCCCCGCGATCCTATGAGCATGATACTATTGCTAACAGCAATGCGCCTTGCGGCTGTTGGTGCATTTCTCGGCAGAGCAGACACATCGTTCGTTGCCCATGCTGCCGAGTTCTTGCGGGCACCATAAGGTAAGGTGCTGTGTAAGGTAGGACATGTCAACAACGAGCATATGCAGTCAACCTTCCGGGGACAACTGCCGTACTCATCCGCATCGAGTAGCAGGAAATAAATGGCATTTGGGTCAGAGTGTGTCCAGCAGCAAAGTGTGAACCTCGAAGCTGAATTTGACAACGCTGAGTCTCCACAAACTCGATCCTAGCTCCTCACAAGCAGATGATTCAGAAGCGTCACTGCCAGCTTCTGTGCTTCTCAGTGGGTCAAAAGACCAGATTGCATGAGAAATGACGGAACATAATGGTCGTTCTAGCTGGCAGCCCGCGAGATGCACAAATCCGTCGCGAGCGAATGCGCAAACCAGTGCGCCGGCTCTTCGGCGACCCGTTGGCGATCAACCAGCAGATCTGCGGTTCGTCCAGGTCATGGTGTTGTTAGGGGAGGCTAGTAACTCGATATCCGCTCATCAACACGAGGATCTGTGAGCCACGGCTCGTCAAGCTAAGCTCACAGCGGCGGCTCCACGACACAATTTCAGCAGTCATTCATACCGCATTCCGACTCCTGTGTCGTGAGAATGGCAAATCCGTCTACAGTTGTCACACGTCAATCCGTTCGAAAAGGCAGGAATGACTTGCAGATGCACTGGCGCGACTGATTGACAGGTGTTCGGTTCATCGGTTACCTAGCCTCAGGGCTCCCCAGATTTTGATTGGAGAGGCCCGATGGATCGTTGTCGGCAATCTCTTGGGGCTTACATGGGTTAAAACGTGGCCGCTCGGATTTGAGATCAGCGAAGTCGAAGCGAGACCTGAGTGGTGGTTCTTATTGTAGCGCACGAAGTCGTCTGTGTACCTAGGTAGTCGCGATGTATTCAAAACGGGCACGTTTCGTCCGCGCCGCCTCAGCGTGCCTCAATGGAACTGGCTCCATACCTTGTCTGGCTGTCAGGAAGTTGTATGCTGTTTGGGGCGGCCTTACCACTACGATTAGGTAAGGCAAACAAGCAGTCTGCCAGGCATTTCGCAGGGCAGATCCGGAAACATTATCCGAGAGCACCACACTGCCAGACTGTGGACATAACTACTGGATGCTTATGCGTCTAGTTGCTCATTGACAGATTTACAGCCAGGGAGGGTGCTGTGAATATCGTGAAGATCTCGAGGCACGAGCTGAATAAACAGAACCCGCTCTTGCTTCCACAGCTCGAATGCTTGAACTGCGCGCTTCGAGTCGTCCCTGCCCCCAAAGATCTGGAAAGAATTCGTAAGTCCACGGCAGTTGTTTGCCATTCTATCAGCACTAGCTACCACTTTGCTTCGATCCTTGCTACACCTTCCATCATGGGTCGAGGTAGCATAGCATTTGCTGCTTCTCATGCAATACGATGTCGTCGCCGGCGCCGATTGACTGATCAGGCTAGCGACTTTGCCCGAAGCACCATTGTTTGCATAACGCTGTCTTCCTTTGATGCGTCGCCGTTGTCACTGCCGACACCAGGCAATCCTTCACCGCCAGCTAAGCTTTTCAAGTCGTACCTGGCAGAGCATCGGGAATCTCCCCCTCAATAGGTGCATACATGGTGCTACGTCCGAACTGCAAAGTGTCGATGCTGTACATACGTCAGTCTTCGTCTTATGGAGGAACACGAGATTCACTTACTATCGACCATTGCGAGCCCCGACTTGCTTAAGACGCCCTTCTTGTTCAAAGCCCCACGATTCCAGCCAGGCCTTGAGCCACAATCCGACCGCATCCTCACGATCGCTCTTCTTGATCGAGCGCTCAAAATCAGGTGTCGCTTGGGGATGGGTCCAGGTACGTAGACAGATGTACACCTTGTGCAGATCTCTGGCGCCGCCCTCACTGTAGCAATGAGCTTTCTCCGGGACGCAAACAAATTCGTGATCCCCTTTCAACAAGTGACCACGATCGCAGATCTGCAGCATTTTGTCCATCAAAGTGGTACCTACTCCGAGTAGTCGCTCAGAATGCTTTACGTAGATCTCCATTTCGGCTGTCAAGCGCTCACAACATTGATGTGCTACCCAGTCCTGGGCGTAGGCATATCCAACGATATTCTCTTCTGCCACCAGCGCCTGATAGCCAGGGTTTGTGTTCTGGATAGGATGAGTGTCTGCACGGGCTCTTGGGGTTCGATAACGGCGACGGCTCCTCCTGACCTGCTTCTCGACAGCAACGATGAAAGGTAACTTGCGATCGACCGACTCGTCGAGAGTTTCCTGCATATCAGCCACTGATATTGTTTCGAGATCTGTTGGATATGTTGAGTGTTGAACATAGTGATTGTAAATATCAGTGACTTGACGCAAGTCTGCTTGAGTCGCTGGGCGGAGGTAGATGTTCAGCTTCGGGCTTCTGACCTGCTGACTCGCGAACGGAGTGCTGATCTTGGGATTCGCTGCGGTGGCGGGCGTGGACATGCCTCCATCGAGACCATCTGCTTTCGCAACAAGCGCTCTGTAACGATGGGAATAGATCTCGGAGGTCTCGCTGAGGCCAATCTCAGTCTTGATGTTCTTGAGAAAATCGGAGCTTTGTCGCTCAAGGTCTAATTGCTCCTCAGAGGGCTGACAGACCCCTTTCAACGCCTGCGCAAAATCGGCCGCATTGGAGTCATCGTCTGCCTGTTTGCTGTCAAGCTGATCATAGTACATACCAATGTTGCTGGCATTGATGAAGTGAGTCCGTGGCTTCATAGTGATGCCATCAGGATGAAAATCGACGTTTGATACGTATGCTGTCGGAATAGTTGGGAAGGAGGCTGGATACTGCAGGCGGAACATCTTGTCCAATTCCTCACCGGCATTGGCCGACGATGTATTGACCTTGCTAGCTTTCATGCGAGGACGCATATTCCACTCGATGGGTGGCGCCGTTAATTTGCCATCGTAGCCAGCGAGACCTGGGTCCGCGTCGCCTCGGACAGCCTCGGAAGTCGACCACTTCTGACATCCTCAGCAGAGTCTCCTGACTCAGTAGAGATGTCACCCAGACCGATGGAGCCCCATGCGTTACTGTCTTTTTCGATCCGCTCGGCCCGGACCTCTGAGTTTGTTGCCCATCGACTATTGCGCTTGGATGACCTATTCTTCTTTGCTTGCGCTTGCTGTACTTCGAACTCCTCAGTCGTAGCCCAGGTCGAAGTTATAGGACCGTAGGCCTTGTTGGCCTGCTTCCCGAAAGTCGCGAAGCCCATGACCCTCTTCATTTCCGCAGCCTCATCGACCTCATCGAGATCCGGCCCGAATTTGCCTCATCGTGGTGGAGTCCTCCGTCCTCAAGAGTATTGCTTCTCGGAGCACGGATCTCGACCTCTTTTATCTGGTCGATCGTCCATAGTGTCGGAGACTCTCCCAGTCGTTTGTAGTAAGCAACTTTCTCGCGAATTTCTGCTTCCTTGGCTAGGCTCATTTGTTTTCGAAGAGTGTGAAGCAGACCAACAGCCGTTGTAGCATGTTTGTCTTCGAGCTTGTCTCGATTCCGTTGATTGACGCGTTGCATGGCCGGCTTCTGTAGGCGTTTCAGGATTTGGTCTTCAGTCTCGTCTTCTCGTTGCCGCGCATTAAGACTGAGCTGAGCTTCTGGCGAAAGGGGCGATCGTTCAAGTCGCGGAGTCGCGCGAGCGTTCGACCTCTTCAGATGAAGCCGCGGGGTCCAATGATCTTCTATTGGCACTTTCAGAACAACCAGAACGGTTGGCGTCTGGAGATCTGGTAGCGGGATTGGCGTACTGTGGTTTACCGCGACCTCTAGATTCTTGGCGTAAATCGAACGTTCCTCAGCATGTGTTTCTTGTGTCCGAGAGGGTGGAGGTGAGACGGATATGCGCTCGGACTGAGAATCTTCTACAGCCTTGTCTGAATTCTCCCACTCGTAGATATCGGAAACAACAAGGCAGCCAGGGACCGCATTGATCTCTGGAGGAAGGCTCGTGTTTGACTCTTCTAAGGTCCTCTTCTGCTTTGCAACGTCAAAAGTATGAGTGGTAGTCGAAGCTGGAGGTGCAGTATAAGAAGAGAAGACAGTGACTGAATCGATATTGGGCTCGATCGAAGCAGACTCTGCAGCACTGGTTTCAACGTTGATGTGAGAGGAGTTCGAGACTCGATCCAGGCCTTGCTCTTGATTCATGTTCGAATGAGGGGACGCTTCCCTTGCTGGAGGTGGTTTCTCGATAGATGGGGATTGAGCGCCTTGGACGATCGAAAATCGAGTATTTGGCGACTTATTGGACAGTACTGCTGGCTGATTCGGCTTACGCGTAGGTCGTCCGTAGCTCTGGTCATTGAAGACAGGTCTCTCGGATGGGTTGTTGGCAGTCCAAACTGACCTCGTGCTGACCACGTTCTCATCGCCTGCAGGATGATTGAGCGAGTACGAAGGCCAAGCTCTAATGTTTGGCGCCATGTTCGAGGTACGCTTCGTTCTGCATTGAAAGTTTCTTGGAGTTTTGGAGTGATTCAAGTTTGGATGGTATGTTGAGACCTGACGAAGTGGCAAGACCGACTGATAATGATAATTAGCGGAAACGCAGTAAGGGGCTGGCGAGAACGTCGTTTGCACGCCTTCCCTGGGTGCGAGTGAAGTAGTCGCGTGCTGACGTTCCTGCCTATGCTGGTTCGAACGAGCGCCAAGGCCACAGCTGTCACGAAATTGCGTCGTAGCACTCAGACTTGCAATTGTCGGGCGAGTCTCGTAAGTCGGCACAGTGACATGAACATTCTTGTCTGTTCCCTGGTATTCGACTGCACTGCTGTCGAATGCGATCGAAGCTCCTGAGTGGTGCGGAGATATCAGAGGTAATTTAGCGACGCGATTGTTCACTGAAGCAGAAGACAAATCCGGCGCATTACACCGGTACGGAGGCAGACTAGATCGAGACTTCGGTCCAGTTGGAGCGTATCCAGGTCCGCCGCCGATCGAAGTGATGATTGACTGCTGCGACTTCGTGCTATTGTATTCTGGGACCGTCCACGACCAGCTAGAATTGCTGTGAGGCCCGGTCTGCCAACTCCCTCTACTAACATTCTGGCCATCCCGCAAGTCGCGATTGAAGCGAGGGCCTGTCGGTATCTGCGAGGTTTGCCTTGTCGTGCCAGACGGCCATTGGGCTAGATCCTTCTCTTGCTCACTCACACCCACCCGTATATTCGGCCGCTGAAGCAATAGATCGTGTAGCGGCTGAAAAAATCTCATCATCGACATTTGTTGACTGATGCTTTCGCTGCCATAAAGCACCCAGCTTCTCTCTGCCAGAACGTTTCTTTCGAAAAGTTCCCAGCTCAACCACTGCCATTGCCGGCATTTATCTGGGTCCATGACCCTGGCCGTCGGTGGCTGTGATGCAGACCCGAACACCTCTACCTCCATGAAGATCGTGGCATAGTGCTTCCCTGCTTTCTCATTCGTTTTCACGTCCATGACACTATTTGTAGCCGTCAAGAACTTCATTGCGCCGAATTCACCAGCACCTACGTCTAGACCAGTCTCCTCGTACAATTCGCGAGCAGCACATTCTTCAAAACTCTCCGCGAACTCCAGATGGCCACCCGGTAGCCCCCAAGTGCCATGTCCCGCAGATCCTAGACGTTGCCCAAGCAGGAATTGGCGTGTCGCTCGGTGATACACGAAGACACCAACACCGACCCGTGGATCGGAGCTCGGCGGCGGTGGCGATAGCGGGAACGGTGCCTGCAGCACGAGGGCCGTCGCGGACCCTCCAAGATCCATGGAAACCTAGTAGCACAGCGTTCGCGCTGTCGGGATAGACTATCAGCCAGCGGGCAGAACATACAACAAGTGATCGGAGTTAGGCCGTCTGGGCAAGGGGCTACGACGTGGTCTCGAGCCTCCCATGACGTGTGGTGTCATTGGCTTTCTGGGCGATATATGAAAGGCGTTCGCGTCGCGGGGGATGCGGCCTATCAGTATCTGTGCAATGCGTGTGTGATGAGACAGAGAGAAGTCTGGACATGTGCTAGGTAGGTAAGTTTGTGCTTCATCTCGATCTGCGTCTTGGCCAGGGTATTTCTCGGGAGAACTATATGGGCAAGACAACGCAGCAATCTTCTTCCTACTGCTCAAGAGCGTATCTGAGACAGTCTTGTCTGCAATCGAGCGCTCGTTCCGGATCTGAAAATGGTGCAGGCGCAATCATGTTATCTATATTGCGCAAAGCCAGGCTTAAAGATAAGGAGATGCGAATATTGATGCTGTACGTCACAGGTGAGCCACACGATCAGGCACTGACGCTCGAGCAGCGGACTTGACAATGCTGGCAAGACGACCATCGTCAAGAAGATCTTGAACGAGGACGTGAATACAGTCAGTCCCACATTGGGCTTCATTATCAGGACTATCGACTTCAACGGCTTCAGGCTCAACATATGGGACGTGGGAGGTCAGAAAACGATCAGGTCGTACTGGCGCAACTACTTTGAAAAAACAGATGCTTTGATCTGGGTAGTCGATGCGACAGACCACTTGCGAATAGATGATTGTCGAGCAGAGCTGAGAGGCCTGCTGCTGGAGGAGGTCAGCCAGGTCTACCCCTTCAAAGAAGGGCATTGCTGATTATTGTTCACAGCGACTGTCTGGGTCGAGCCTCTTAATATTTCTGAACAAGACAGACATATCGGGTGGCATGACTGTGGAAGAAGTAACTGACGCCCTTCAGCTGCGGCAGATCCATACTCATCGCTGGACCGTCTTTCCTTCCAGTGCCATGACCGGACAGAACCTGGAGCCGGGTCTGGGGTGGGTCGTCAAAGATGTACAGGACCGGAATTTTGGCTTCGGTGGTCAGTAGTGTACAGAAGTGATGCGACTTCAATGTCAGGCAGAAATTGGGATGGTATGTCGCGCCGGAACGATCGAGATTCAGGGGTGTAGGAGGCAGAAAAAGGCGTCAACTTAGAGATGTTTCAGGTCCAGAGACCCGGCTGCTTGTTAGCCGAGTGGAAACGCAAAGGCCATCAGACGACCGCAGCCGAGAACCGCAGTCACCAGCATGTGCCGCACCTTTAAAGACACGTACAGTAGTGCGCTGAGTGACTGGTGCTCTCGGAGCTCGATAGAGTAGCTGCAGGTATACTCGCATGATAGTCAGGCTTACTGTTGTTCATGTATTCCTGTACCACATCCAGCCGGTTGTGGGGAAACGCGATTCTCGTGAGAGTTCAACCGCCAAACTCCGCCCAAGTAAACAAAGTCATTCATACAACGGCTGGACAGTTCTGAAATTTCCAATGCTCTCGACATCTTGCGATTTTTGCGCCTGCATTCCTCCAACATCATTTCCAGCATTTGTCCCAGGTTCGGGGACAGGCGCTGCAACGACCGGACTTCGTTGTGCATTTCGAAACTGGGGCTATTTCCGAGCCAACTCCATCAAGCCGTCAACTGCCAATTGTGGAACGCTTTGTGTGAGCCATGAGCGCGTTCAATGATGGCTCGGAGGATGTTGACCAGTTCCTCGCTCGCATCGCCAGTCTCAGTAAGAAGAGTGGCGCCGAGGATTCGGAGCAAACACGAAGAATGGAGGAGCAGAGACTTTTAGCAAGAAAAGAGCGTGAAGCTCGTCGCGCAGGTAAGAAATACCAAGTAGACTATGGCCGGTTCTTTGCGCTGACCACGACGGCAGAGCGCGCACGCTCGATCTCACCATCCAAGACCGGACCAGCAGGGCATGTGCCATCGTCGCCATCGTCCACCATACGTGGCATCCCGATCGATCCTCCAATAACATTGCAACCGACCTCCCGATCACAGACGCCATCAATGAGCAGACAAACTAGTCCCACTCGCTCAGAAAGCCTGAGACCGGTGGCAGCCCTGAACCTTAGCCAGAGCAGAGAGTTACCACAGCCGCCCCAAGATTTACAGCGAACCCCTCAGTCAGAGCCACCCGGGTCTGCTGGTCTCTCCAGGAGCGGGACACTATCATGGCAACAGAGACCAACTTCACGCGGTATAGGATCAGGATTTGGGTCCGTGAGATCGAGACCATTATCTCGCGATCTGGACCGGCCACCATCTCGTGATCTGCAGCAGCCACGACCAGACAGCCCGAAAGCGAGCGTACCCGAACAAGTCGACGACACACCGTCTCGAAAGGACATCGCGGCTGCATTAGGCTCAAGAGATCCCACGTGGTTTCGGCAGACTCAAGATCGAGGTGTCGGCTCCGCAGCATATCGGAAATCGGGGCAGGATGAGAACGGGGTGGCGATGCCTCCTCCACAAGCTCTACGACTGCCTGGCATGGAGAGTGGCGCCGGTAGTCGCGATCCATATCGCCTGCCCCCTGATGGTGCCCAAAAGGACGCGCACGAGAGCAAGAGAGCTCCTTCAGCATCCCCTACTAGGCACACTGCGGCAGCTTATACCTCAAACGACGCAACGAAAGAGACTTCGAATGCACCCGATGCATCTGGGCAAGATGAGAGATTGGGAGTTCATCGTTCTTCGCGGGACTATGAAACAGATCTTGGGCGGACATCTAGTGTGCTTGGTGGTCGCCCTCCCTCACCTACTAAAGGTCTTGGCGGCTTTGTGCAGAGTGCAATGATGCGCCGATCGGACAGTGTCAGCAAGAGATGGAGCGTGCAACAGAATTCTGGGCTCAAGAGAGGCGACTCCATTGCTAGCAACAAACCCAGCTTCAACCCAACTGCAACTCCAATATCCTCTCTAGGCCATGCTCGGACACTGTCTCGGGATCCGCGAGCCGTTCGCGATGGCACTTCATCCCCGTCGAGCGGCTCGCGGCCATCATCCAGTCACGGTGCCCTCGATGCCACTTTGCCGACCGTAGACAAGACCAAATCTGCGCCTGAAGGTCTTCCTTCGAGTGCTGAGAGCGCAAGACAAGACGATAAAGCACACCCGGACATGGTCAGCGGTGGTGACGATGAACCGTACCTCAGCCGCAGCCCATCCAAAACGATGGACCCACGGCGCTGGAGTCCCACGAAGGCCAGCTGGCTGGAAAGCGCTCTATCGAAGCCGGATTCGCCACGATTTTCTCCCACCAAAGAAGAACCGCCACCATGGAAGCTGGATATGCAGCGGTCGAAGAGCAACAAAGACCTGGCAGAGGCAGGCAAGAGGACCATTCCGCACGAGCCTGTCAGCACACCCAGCCTGCTACGCTCGCCGCCACCTGCGATCAAAGCTAAGCCTCTTGACCTGCCGAATAGTCATGTAGCGGACGATGCGACGAGGTCTGCCAAGTCAATCGACTCTGAGAGTATCCGAACTAAGGCAGAGGAGCCAGCGCCCCCAACATCCAGGGCGTCGAAGCAAGCATCTCCACCAACAAGTCCAGTGCGATCTGAAAAGGAGGTTCCTAAGCCAGCAACTGGATCGCTCTCCTCGAGCAAGAAAGTCTCAATACCGGACGACATTCCCTCGGATGTCAATCCCACAGTAGTCGGCCTGCCTTCGAATCCTAGACCCTCTTCCGATCGCAAGCCTCCCGTAGCAAAGCCGAAACCAGCCACTCCTCCGAAGACCGATTTCCGCTCGAGCCTAAAGAGTCGTTCGACACCCACACCGAAAGCTTCTGAAGAACCCGAATTCAAAGCCGTCTTCGGCAAGCTCAAGAAGGCTCAAACCCAGAACTACGTAGCGCCTGATGAGTTGAAAGACAACATCACACGCGGCAAAGCCGGTTTGGCCGTCACTGGAGGACCACAGCCTCGGAAACGTGTCGACGAGTTCAAGGAGAGCATCCTAGCTAAGAAAGAAGAAATGAAAAGTGGAGCAAGTATAGCCGCACACAAGAAGGCTGACTCCAGAGACGCATCTCCTGCGAAAGCAGAGCCTGAAATACCGGAAGCTCTGCAACGTCGGAACACTCTCCACAAGTCCAAGGTTTCCATCGATGAGAAGAAGACCATCGCGGCTGCCAAGGATAGTCCTCGCAGCCCTCCACGCATGCAGCCAAAGCCAAAGTCCTCGTGGTCGTCAACAAATAACGCGACAGGCCTGACGGAGAAAGCTGCGAAAGCGCTGCAGGTAACGCAATGGTCGGCGCAGGATAACAAATCTGAGCTTCCAACATCTACGACGAACACGTCGACAGTCGCTCAAGGCAACTCTATGCCGCAGGCGACTGGACCACGAGAGGATACCTCTAAGACCATCTCGCATGCTGTGGCCGAGACCAACAAAAAGCTAGAGCCTATAAGATCGAAGGACGCACCCAAGCCAACGCTGCAAAGCTCCGCAGCGTTCACGTCACCCTTGATCAAAGCTAAGTCGGTAGAAAAGAAGGCCGAAAGCGCTCCCACAGGCATTGCCGCACGGCTGAACCCTGCGCTTGCCGGACTCATTGCACGGGGTGGGAGCCCAAAGCCCGCCGCAAGCGAGTCTGTGTCTCAGACGACTACAGACAGTTCTAAAGCTACGGACGACCCGGCCAATTTGACGCACATGACCAAGGGACGCGCCAAAGGACCCAAGAGAAAGGCACCAAAAGCCGTTGCCAGTACCACAGAGTCCAGCAGCACAAATGTAGGTCCTCAAACTTCGAGGCAGACCACGAAGTCGACTGCCGATGTCGCAAGTCAAGGTGTTCATGATCTCCATGAGAAGTTCAACGATCACGCTCAACAGGCGACACCAAAGCGAGGCGCCGATGTTGCCCCTGCGCGTTTTGCGGTAGAAGCAAAGCCCTCCTTTGTCTCACAGTCGAGGACTGATATCACCACGAGTGCTGCAAACCCTGCTCCCAAGGTGCAGTCGTTGCCGACGCCCATCCCATCAGAAGCTTTGGACTCAACGCCGTCCGAAGAACCGTCGAAAGCAAAGTCCCCGCCAGTTGTTGCTACCAAGTCTCCAGAGCTACGTCGAGTGTCTGGGCAAGTCCAGCAGCCGTCCGAAAAGACGGCAGCTCCTGCGACCAGCAAGCCATCCCCGAAGAAGCCATTCTCAATCGCTTCTGATGATATATCGCAATCAATCACACCCAGTAGAACCACAGCCTCCAAACCAGATGCAACACCAAATGCCACTGGCCCAATGCCGCTCACTCCCAGCCGGAGTAAGTTGAATTCGTCATGGCGAGGCCTTCCTTCTGATACTTCCGCAGGCATTGCAACTGGCGGCAAGACGGCAGCGCCCGCAGGACTGGGTCTGCATTTGACGGAACATGACAGGACAGTGGCTTCTCAGGAGCTGACTCCGCCTCCGGAGAAGTCATTCGGTATGCCCCAATCGCCTAAGAAAGCTGTCAGTAAGACCTCTGGGAGATCTCTGAGCGAAGCGATTGCAGCTCATTTCCCGTCGACGCCGAAATCTACCGACAAAGCTGACTTCGACACGGAGGCAATCCTCTCGTCGAAGAGCACGGCGGTCGATCCCATCAAAACCACTTCTAAGCAAGTGTGGGAAGTGTCTGGCGACGGCAAGCAGACTCAATTGAGTGAAGAGCAACAGCACTTGCTCTTTGAAGACACACTCTACCTAGTCGTTCATGTTTTCGAGACCATCAAGACCTCAAAGAAGTCTACAGAATGCTACCTCTGGACAGGTGACTCAGTCTCTAGTTCTGCGGCCGAAGACGCCCAGCTCTTCTGTCGCAAGATTGCTCGCGAGAACAGTGCGAAGCTCGAAGTGCTCAAACAAGGAAAAGAGAGCGCCAATTTCTTCGCGGCTCTCGGGGGTATTGTTGTTACCCGTCGCTCTAAAGCTTCAGCACTTTACATGCTCTGTGGCCGGCGGCATCTGGGCCACATTGTCTTCGATGAAGTTGACTTCTCGCCCGCCTCCCTCTGCTCTGGATTTCCCTACCTCATCTCGGCGAAATACGGCAAGCTATACTTCTGGAAAGGCCAAGGTAGCTGTGGAGATGAGATCGGCGCTGCGCGGCTTACGGGCATGGATCTCGGGCTGACAGGCGAGATCGAGGAGGTTGTGGAAGGCAAAGAGCCTTCCGCATTCTGGCACTCGTTCCCGACGTCTTCGAAGACCAAGGCGCGCTTTGAACCCAGTGACATATGGGCTATGCGCAGCATGGACGAGAAGAGAGGCTTCCCCTGCAGACTCTACCGCCTGGAGCTAGAACGACCCAAGAGCAGCGGTGGGAGTTTCTGGGGTCTGAGGGCCTCAAGCCCGACCAAGGAGTCCAACAAGATGACCCTGACCGAGATCGAGCCGTTCGTGCAAGCGGATCTCGATGCGGGTGGCGGCAGCAGTGTGCACGTCCTCGATGCTTGGGCCAGTATCTATATGTAAGTCCTCCGTCATCATCTGTTTTTGCCCTTGGTCATCGTGAGGCAATAGCTAACACAGTATCCTCCAGCATACCCGGCACTTCTGCCAGAGCTACCGACTTCGTCACGGCGTTACACATCGCGCAGGAGATGGCGGTCCTTACTCCATCGATGCAGGACCGTGCGCTTCTGCCCAGCTGTGAAGTCGTGCTTGGTGGTCATCCACCTCGCGAGGCGCGTGCCGCGTTCAGAAAGTACGGTGCAGTCGAGACGCACAGCGAGGGTAAGACGTGGGAGGTCGCTGAGGTTTTGAGCGCTTTGGACTGAGGGCGCAACATTGGGTCTGGCGGTTTGGGTCCTTGATCTTACAGGACCGACGAAAGCTGTGGCAACAACAACGACTTCAGCCAACCTTCGCAGTGTTGACATCTTCCGAGCGAACATTTCGATCAGGGCCCAGGAGCTCTTTTTTCCTCTGGACATGATATGGAAGATTACTTGGCCGACATTACTGTCTGTGCATTCTGTTCAGGATTTTACGAGACGCAAGAGTTCATGTTCATGGCACACGATTTTCACATTTTCTGGTTTCTCGACGTGATGAGGTGCAGCATGTACAGGCTACCTCTTTCGGAAACAATAGGAGATCTGATGGTCAGATGACGACCATTGTATAACATGCATATGTACGAAGTTGAGTCTTTTAAGATATTAGCATTTCAGGCCGATGAAGTTTCTTGTGTCTACGTTTATCATAAGTCTTCTACGTGGGAGTATCACACTTCAGTACAAGAGGCGCTGTTGCCGACGAACGTCGCTGTCGTACTCGACCTTCCAATCTCTCTGAACTTGAATGATCATCTGGTCATCGCTTGCACCGTCAGATGCGTGGTCCATGGCACCATCGTAGCCTACACGCTCACCCGATCCTTCGTAGGATAGGCTCCTCTCGCGACTGTGAAACAAAGGTGGAACCGCCGACATGCGTGAGGCGGCTTCCAACACGTCGATGTGCTTATGGCAGAAGTCACTCCCAGTCCGAGACACCCGAACAGCAGCGAGTCTTGGTGCAGTAGTCACGGTCGCAGTGGACTGAATCTGGTCTGGTGTAAACACATTCGCTACAGTTGATGTCACTACCGTGCTACGATGGCGCGATCGTGTAGCTGAGCCTGCTGAGCTGCTGTTGAGGTTGCTTATGATGTAGCTGTCCTTTCCATATGTTGTCCCGGTGAAAACGCTCAAGGAGACGGCAAACATGCCGGAGCTGGTTTTGTCGAGGAATGCTTTGAGTGCTGGAGCGGCGGCAACCATGACTGCCAGAGCTTGCTGCACCTGGGTGCATATCTGGTATGGTATGGCATTGAAGGTTTGCTCGGCCGGTGGCGATGCCTTGAAGGTTATGTTCAGGTAAACAAGTCGAACGATGGCCAGAATGACAACAAAAACACGACAGCCGAAAGCTGCCATGACGATGAGCTTTCGGAGGAGTCGCATCTGGAGACTTCGAAACAGGTAGATTGGTAGGAGAATCAGGACAAGATCTGACGCAATGTCGAGGCTGGACACGGCGTTCCAGAAGGAGAAGATGTCGGCGCAAGCAGGTCCGTACAGATCGTAAGTTTCGGATAGGGGACAGCGGAACGCATCTGCAAACACGGCGGCCAGGCCCCAGGCGATTGAGAAGCCTAGGACGCCATAGATGACAACTCGATGCGATCTCTGGGCGCAAAGGCGTGCGGCGAGGACGACTGTAGACAGCTTCGCGAACAAGAGGGTGAGAATGTAAAGCAGAGACGATGCAAAGACATTCTTCAGCGTGTTAGCCTTACCATTGTCCGAGATCTTGGCTCGCTTACCTTTTGCATTTGCCCTGTCTTTGACAGGTCTCGAACGATATCTTTCTGTCCCAATCCGTCATTGACAGCTAGAGATATTGTAATTGTACTCCCAATGGCCATGAACTGTACGCGTGAGCACAGGCAGTCGTCGGAACCGGGTGGCCCACCATAGCAAGAACAGCTAGAATGTCATCGATCCCTGGACTGCTGGTCGAGAATCGAACAGCCAAGCGAAGTCCGATGATCAAGACCATCGTGACTACCATGACCCAAGATATGATTGATAGAACGGGACCATGATCAGCGTCGGTAACGACAGCGTGTCGAGTACCTTCTGCACCGTCGGAAGACATTCTGCTGGGAAAAGCGAGAGATTCTCAAAGAATGTTCTTGCATATCTCAAAAAAGACTAAGTGTCGAATATAAAAGACTCTGGATGCTGCCGCAGCACAGTCGACATCTGGTCGGGGTTGGACAAGACAGCTATTGAGGCGTTTCTACTGAGGCAGCGATATTGACATAGTTCTAGCATCAGAGAAGTCTGGGGCAGGATGCAGGGCCTGGGATGCTGATCGGTTGACCGTCTCCCTTTGATGGGCCTGTTGCACAATATGCAATACAGGGTTCGCGCCGTGTCACATATTCGGCACCTTCCACGGGCGAAGGTCTGCCGCCATACTACCGACGACTCGGTTGCGGATTGCGGTCAGTATGGTCAACTCCAATGCTTCATGTGGATGGGCTGAGAATTTGCGGTTGCTTGATGGTTGTCCAGATATGCGAACGGGTGGAGAGCAGGGGACGTGCCTTCCCGAAGCCTGCTGGCGATTGCCAAAGCTTATTCTTTCCATTGTGTTACCTGTCCAAGCAACCAATGGCTGCTCGAAGGTGGGCAGGAATGGGACCGTGGATGATAGGACGCCTTCCAAGCTCTCCTCCCAAGCTCGAGGTCCGCATTCTGAGTTCTGACAGGCGGACCGTCCACTGGCGAGGGGCCTCCTCGGGTGTACGTCGTGCCTCCGTGCTTAACCTCGACTCGACTTTGAGCCGAGTACCCTCATGCCACATGCAATAGCCGATAGCAGAGCAACGACGTCGCTGGAGATCTCGTATTGCTGTGGTGTTACATGTTCGGTCATCGCTTACAGACTTTTGACAGTCCTGAGGATCATAGGGCACAGCGAGCCCGTGCAGGAGCCCCAGAATGTAAACGCGTTATTGGCCCTTTGCTCCCAAGGAAGCGCCTAGCCTTGCCAACATTCATCGATGGTGATTGCGCATTTTCTGCGACTTACCGTTCTTCCTACCACTGGCCACATCCTGGATAGGTTACAATTTCATCGCAGCAGTAGTGATGAAGTTTCTTGAAGGCAACATGACCAAAGAGGCGGAGGCCGCGCCGTATAACGACAACGACACCGATTCCTCTAGTGCCGGAAACTCGCAAGATGAAGCTGACATGGTAAGTACCTCTGCGAACAAACCTCGCCGGAGACTGTGCAGCACCGCCAGCGATTGCTTGAGCGAAAGCCAGCAGCAACCTTTCAGGAAGATTCTCGTTGCATCATACAGTACTCACTCGACATCTCCATTCATATTCGCAACCTGAGACGGTGCTGATCATGACACAGCATCGGATGGGGAAGGCTCAACAAACTCGCCGCAATTTTGGACTGATCCCCATGCTAGGATTCACGACGATTGTGAGTATCATAGTACATCTCCGGCCTGACATGCTAAACATGAGAAGATGCTATGTTCTTGGGAATCAGCCTATCCTTTCTTTTTGACAGGATTCATCAATGGAGGCGGTCCCACGCTGATCTATGGTTACCTGTTCTGCTGGCTCGGCTCACTAGCAACGTGCGCATCCATATCTGAAATGGCTTCGATGTACCCAACCTCAGGCGGACAGTACCATTGGGTGGCTCTGCTTTCTCCTCCAAGGTACGCCAATTTTCTGAGCTGGCTCACTGGTTGGGTTTCTGCAATCGGATGGCAAGCGGGAGCATCGTCCGGCACATTTCTGGGAGGGACGCTGATCCAGGGCCTTCTGGTCTTGAACGATCCATCGTACAACTACAAGCGCTGGCATGGGACGCTGCTGCTGTACGCTGTACTCTTGGTGGCGCTGTTCGTCAACACCATTCTGATCAAGCTTTTGCCTTACCTTGAAGGCCTAATTCTGGTTTTGCACATTGCCGGATTCTTCGGCATTCTGATACCTCTGGTACATCTCGCCCCGATGAGCTCGGCACAATTTGTGTTCGCCGACTTCCTCGAGGCGTCAGGGTATCCTACAGGTCTCAACTTCTTCGTTGGGCTGACCACGAGTGCCGTCCTGTTCATTGGGTAGGTGAGACTACAAAATCCGCATGCGTCGGCTCGTAGGTTGATCAACTCTTGCTGACAGCAAAACAGGTATGACGGTGCGGCTCATATGGCTGAGGAAGTGAAAAACGCGGCTGTAAATGTACCTCGTTCGATGTTCTTCACAATCTGGATCAACGGAGCTCTCGGGTTGGCGACGTTCATAGCTCTGTTGTACTCCATCGGCGATATCGATGCCGCAATCAGCTCGCCGACAGGCTGGCCGTTCACTGAGATCTTCTATCAAGCCACAAGGTCGAAGGGCGGCGCGACGGCGATGACCTCGGTGCTGATTGTGCTCATTGTTTGTGCAACCTTTGGCTATATCGCATCCGCGTCGAGGCAGCTGTGGGCGTTTGCCAGAGACCGCGGCGTTCCCGGCTGGCAACTCATTTCGAAGGTATTTCTCGTCAGCTCACCGATCCGTTCAAATACTGACTCCAAACAGGTCGATCACAAGTTCGCTATCCCCCTGTTCGCCATCGGTGTCACGGCAATCTGCAACGCGTTGCTGGCTCTAATCAACATTGGCTCAACGGTGGCCTTCAACGCCATCATCTCGGTGCTTGCTGCCGGACTATTTTCATCCTATCTCATCACGATAGGACTACTCATCCGTAAGCGCCTCGTCGGCGAGCCGCTGTACTTCGGACCGTGGCATCTTGGCAGATGGGGTTTGACGATCAACATCTTTGCCTGGCTGTACACTTTGCTCGTAATGGTCTTCAGCTTCTTTCCTCCTGCCATTCCGGTGACGGCCGTGAGCATGAATTGGAGCTGCGTCGTATTTGGTGGCGTTGTAATTTTTGGGTTGGTCTACTATGCCGTCATTGGTCGGAAGCAGTACAATGGCCCTGTTATAGACCGACGAGTCGTCGAGTCGAGAAGAACGGACTGAGAGATCTTCAGCACTGTCGCCACGGAGCAGGCGAGCGCGTTGTCCGCCAATAACAGACCTTGCCGATGATTGAGACATCTCTGGTTTGCCTTGTCCGTCCAGATAAAGGAGCGATCGTGGTGCTGACCATGACCACAATGAAGGCGGTGCTGTTCTGACAATACAAAGTCTCGACCACGAGGACAAAGACTCGAATGCTATAACTTCAATCTGTGGTTCTTGCGCTCTTTTTCTCTTTGACCCTCTTTTTCTCCCCGCGGCGCCGAGGATTGCAAAGTTCGAACTGGTTCACTGAAGACCAGCTCGATCTAACGCGTATGCCTCCGCCCGTGGGCTGACAGCACGCGCTGCCTCTATAGCGGGCAGTTCGCCCCAACATTCGGTAGCGTCTAGCCCGCTGCTGGTAGATGTTCCCCGTGTGTGTGTCTGATGGCTGACCACGGCTGACCCCGTGGCCAGGGGAGCAGAGAAGTACTCATGTACAAGAGGGGATCATGAGCAGCTTCGACTCCGCACTTCCCCCAAAATGGCTCACTCCCCTGGTTCTCCAAGCCCTAGGTCTTAACTTGATATATATATTTGTTTGCTCAAAATTTGCGCTAACTTTCGCACACGAATGTCGACCCCATGGTCTTATAGTGTAGCGGTTAGCACTTCGGATTCTGACAGCCATTTCGTTGGAACTTCCGGCAACCCCGGTGTAATTCTCACTCCCTTCTCATCGTTGATGTCGTCCTAACGGTTCTATAGTCGATTCCGGGTAAGACCTGCGTTGCGTTTTTGCACATTGGAGAAGTCGCAGAAGTGTCACAATCATTCATGGATGGGTAGAGCTCGTGCGGAAAGTATTTTTGCTGGTTTGGAAGAGGTCGCAGTGTGTTTCCACTGGTTTGGGAGAGGGGGGGAGTGTCTTTTGCGTGAGAAACAAAAGCGGCAATCAGAGGCTTGGCACGAAAAAGTCCCTTCAGCCTTACGCTCCACTGACTGACATCTTTACTTTTCAGCATATACTCATTGGCGATTAAGCAACCCGATTGTCTGCCAACCTCGGAATGCAGGAAGATGGCCTAAGAGCTGCCAAACGACGCAAAGTCAACAACGAGCTCCAACATCCAGATGGCGATATCAGAGGCGCCTTTGAGCTACACAACTTACTCCGTTTCAAGCAGGCTGCAGACACAGAAGCGAAGGCTGGCATAGAGCGCTTCAGGACTTTTCTCGTTGATGTCGCCAACGAGAACAACTCTTCCGAACAGACGGTGCTTCTGAAAGTTCTCAAGCAGTACTGCGATGATCAGTCTTCATCCTCAAAAAACCAGCTCGACTTCTCGGATCTGCTCTTAACATGGTCGTTCGCCGCTCAGAGTAATTCCGAATCAGTCTTGTCTGCAGTCCCTGCAGCTCTTGCTCAATTCTTCCGCACTATCAACAACGAACTCGACTTCCGGGAATTTGGTCTTTCTCTGTGCCATAGTCTACTCAAGACTGATCAAGTTCGACTGATAGAGCGAGGGCTTTCAGCACCAAAGCATAAGGACTTTCTCATCTCACCATGTCTCCGTCTCTTGACAGAGATACTGAGCTTCGACGCCGGGGCAGTCGCTGCGAATGTCTTCTCCAGACGTGACATCCTCTTCAAGCGACTGGACGTATTGATGGATGCTCAAGCTCGCCAACGACAGGAGACCGATCGTCGGAAGCCTACGGTAAGGAGGAACGCACAACGCCTGCTATTGGCCATGCTCAGATATCTCGACAACGAAGCCAAGTCGGAGCTGATCACACAGGGAAGGGTGCTGTATTCATGCGTTCGTAATCTCTTGCTAGATGGCGGTGACATCGTTCGAGATGTTCTCAAGACCTTCCGCCTAAGTCTCTTCACACCCGAGCTGCAAAAGCTGGTCAAATCTCGCTTTCTCAACGCCGGGAACCTACAGCTCTTCGCGCAGCTATACGACTATCCTGAAGAAGAGGCAGATGCCGGGCTGGATGTGCTTACAGTTCGACAGGCTGTACATGAATTTCTACTTACGATCTGCACGTCTACCGGTGCAGCACTGATACCTCAGACTGGATGGTACCCGCCAGAGTATGACCTTCCAGACTTTCAAGCTGACGACGCGGACTCTGGTATCGACCTCGGTCTGGATTCGCCCTATCAATCTGAAGACTACATTACTGGAGCACCGGTCAAGAACACGAACATCTCGATGTTCTTGCAAAAGTTGTCCCCATCGTCTGATGTCTTGCACTCAGATTTGATGCTGAAGACGTTCGGGGCTGCTCCAGAGCTGGTTGCTGATTATTTCATTAAGCGACCAAAGCCTTTAGGTGCACCCACTGACGACAACGCATGGGTTGGACATTTCGGCTTTCTGTATTCGATTGTCGAGCTGCCTCTACCACCGTTTTCGAGCCACGGTGACCGGCGTCCGCTGACTCCTCCTCCTACCTCTGTCGTGGTGGAGAGCATCCTACCTCGACCGCTCGACCGAGCTACATTGACCTCATTTTTGAAGAAGAATGAGGACCTCACAGTGATCTCAGCTTGTCGAGTCGTCACTGTGGCTCTGCAGAAGCTTCAGAGTGCCCTCGCTACTTTCAAAGACGGTCTGTCACGGCCACAGCTCTGGTCACAAGCCGCAACTCGCCTGACGCGGGTCGTGGCCGAGCGTGTTCCCGTCTACGGTGAGATCGTGGCCGCACTACAGAAGACCGCGAAAGATGCTCACGATGTTCGTGGCACAATACTGGAGTGTATGGCTGTGTACCAGCAGATCTTGCCGCAAGTCGCAGCCGTATCCTCGTTTGACCCAAGTCCAGCGTTGTTAGGTGTGCTTGAACTTCTCCGTGATACGAAACTTGACGCTGCGGCACGAAGTGGCTTGGAAAAGCAAGAGATTGCCCTCGTCATGATTGCAGGTCTCTCCCGGAGTACGAAATGGTGGCACAAGCCGCAGTCGGACCAGCTCTGTCTCATGATGCAATTGTTCATGAGCCTCAGAGGATCGGAAGAGACTGTTTGTACAGCGATACGCGATACAGTCCACCCCATTCTCGTCGAGAAAGGTGTCCTCGTCCCAAAGAAGGCTAGTTGGCTCGCGCTCACGGCGAGCTTGTCCGACTCAATCGTCAAGGACGATGCAGTACTTCCTGACTTCATCGAGAACTGCATGATTCGCATCACAAAGCAGCCAGTCAAGTACCTTGAGCTCGCCGAGAGAGCGGGAACAGCAGCATCCGAGGCGGAATCTATTAGTCTCATAGCCTGCGCCATCTCTGAGCAATGGCCATTCCTCCTTAAGAACGATGACCTGGACGGCCTCGCGGAATTCGTGGCCAAGTTTTTCGTCCTCCTCGCTGCTGCGGATGAATCAGCGCCTGTTCTTAAACATTTCAAGAATCAAATGCTTGATGCTTCCGAAAGCCACAAGCAGCATCGCAAGACGCTCAAGAAGGCCTTCGAGAGGCAAAAGCGCGATCCAATTGCTCTACCCGTTTCTTCGACACCGGCCGCGACAGCAGCCCCGGCTCGGGAGTCTATCGAACATCGAGACCATAAGCAAGTCGTTGATCCGTTCCCAGCACAGACCGCCTTGCCGACTACCATCAAATCACTTCCACCTACCTACAACATCGAATCTGACCTCACGATCAACCCTTCAACCTCACGTATGGCAGCTCTCATTCGTAGCCTCTCCTCGCCCATCTCCGAGGTCCGCCTCGGCGCACTCTCCAGCCTATCGGCCCTGCTACCTACCCTCCTGGGCTCCAACACCACGACCACCGACTCGACGATGAAACCTTCCGCCACGAACAGCACCACCAACAATCACCCCAACTCCGCATACTCTGAATCGCCACAAATACACACCCTACTCGGCACGCTCCTCGAAACCGCCCGCAATCACACCCTCTCCCAACCCTCCACGCCCATCCCATCCCTAATCACCTCGTTGGCCGCAACATTTTACCTTCCAACTCTAACAGACCCGTCCGCATCCCTCTACGCCAGAATCAACAGCTACCTCCTCCGCTATCCCAACTGGTTGCCCCTTACCCGTATTTTGCCTTACTGGATCGAGCACTTGCTGCTCGAGGAATCGGACAACGACGATCACGCTACCGAGATCTGCCAGTTTCTGACTGCCATCGGCAATGGCGTGCTCACACCCGAAGACGTCTCACTGTGTCGAAGGGCACATCTGTTCGAGCGCTTGGGATCGCTGTACTTCCAGCCCGGTTTGCGAAGGGAGGTGCGCAAGGCTGTGCTGCGGGTGTTCTGGGTGACTGCTGGGATCGAGGGAGGAGCGGATATGTTGATCACAAGAGTTGGGGTTAGGGCGTGGTTGGATGTTGTGGAGCCGAAAGAGGATGCGGTGCTGGAGATGAAGGGCTTGGTGGAGGCGTTGAGGGCGAGGATTGAAGGGGGCTCTGATGCTGAGTATATTATGAGGTGGGAGATGGGTTTGAGTGGGACTGGAAAGCCGGAGGAGGAGCAGAAGATGGCTGGATTGGGAGTTGGGATGAAAGGTGGTGCCTGATACGACGAGTGCAGGGTAGCTTAAGCCACGCAGCTACCGTTCTTGAGTCTTTTCTGTCAAGGGATGTGAATAGACACGATATGGCCGATGCAAACGTCGGCTCTGGCCGCTCGAATGGGTCGGTTAATGCAGCTCCTTTGTCGACAGCAGAAAAGATGTCTGGATGAGCACCATGCCTAGTCAATGGGTCCGGAGAAATATTCATGCTCTACAGACGGCCGGATGACACGCATTTTTCCTTGACTACCAACAGTTTCTTCTGGTGGTCCAATGTGCCTTACGTTGGAGGCACACAGGACGTGTACTCCCATCGGACATCCATTGGTAGCTCTTCAAACAAGGAGGATGCCGCTGGGCCAGCTCTTCGGGCATGGTCTTGTCATCCGGCTTGGTCAAAATTCATACAAGACGGGTTGACCAGACTTTCACAGTAGTACCTTCCACTCCCAAGCCGCAAGCAACAAGGAACAGCAGGAGCGCAGTGACCGACTCCTTCTCATGCTCGTTGATTTGCACTGGCGGCAGGCATGCGACATCGCACCTTCCACAAGTACCCGCCATGTCAACCGGCTTAACCAAGATTTTACTAAGACCGGTTGACACTACCCTTGGCAGTAGTACCTTCCTCTCGGAACCTCGAAGTAGGCAACAACAGGAAGAGCAGGCAGTGGTCGCCCCTTCCCACTTGAGTCTATGCGTAACGACGCCAGGAGCGGCAGGCACGTCACCGAGCACCTTCCGTCCACGTACGATCACCCGCACGGTCAACCGGCTTCGCTAAGTTTCTCACGAGACCGGATGACTAGATTCCCTCAAATTTTACGATGTTCTCACAACATGGACATCGCAAGAGGCACGTGGGGGGGAGGCGGCAACGTCCAAAGCCACCTGGCAGTTTCACGGGGTGCAGATATTGAGCTCACTTCGTCGAGCTCGAAAGCAGTGTCACCCGGTCTGGGCTGGCGTCCGAGAAGAATATATATCTTTGCTCGTATAGTCAAATTAGGTCCAGAAGCGGAACAACACGCACTGCAGACTCAGAGTGGCAATATCAGCGGATGAAAGCCTTGATGCAGATCAAGCTTCTGACCTGAATGAGAAGGATTGCCCTGTTTGCGCTATGTCTCCTTCTCTCGCTCTGCACAGACCAGAAACCAACAAGATACGAAACTGGACACCATACACATCAGGAACGCCTTTTTCGGTTCACGAGCCTGGAGCATGCGTTGCACATGCGCAAAGCCCGACCTCCGTCCATACATGCCACGACATACTCACGGCTCTCCCATCTCAACCTCGAGCAGCCTGCTCCGTCCGGCGACCATTCGCAGCACGTTCTCGTGCTCCACCGCTCTTGCCGGTTCAACCTCACGCCCGACAGTCTCACACAGCGACACAAACCCGTCATTGATTCGAAGAAAGTCTAAGTGGTGGCAGAATGGAGTGGTTAGAGTAGTAGGTGTCCGCTATCCTGGTCTGGAAGTATTGTGCAGTATTGACGTGGATAGTGGAATTTCGTTCGATTCGTAGAGATTGTGCTTCTGCATCGCCAGTGCAGAAGCTCATGGGGAGATATGCAGCGACTCAGCTGCCCCGTTTCGTCGTATGCATCTGTTGCCGACTTTTCTGATCCACGATGTTTGATGAGAGGTTGTTGAGAAGACACGCCCCACGACTCCATGCGAGAGAGAGATAGGTATAGTATAGAGAGATAAGGAAGAAATTAGCGGCTCTGTTCTGGGCGCAGCCAAGGCTTACATGACTGTGCACCTTGAACAGCAGCCAGCGCTCTCTTCCCGATCATCCATATCGAGTTTGTGACCTGGTGGTCCAGAACCGATTTGAGGCGCGCCGCTGCCGTAGCCGCTCATTTCACGGTTGTACCGCCTGATCTCACGGACCAGGTCATGGAAAGCATTGTCGACGTTAACCCGGCTCTTTGCGCTGGTCTCGATGAACCTGCAATCGAACTGTCTGGCGAGAGCAGCTCCTTCCTCACGGCTTACAACTCGCTCGTGGTCTAGATCGCACTTGTTTCCGACAAGAATGATTGGGAAGTAGTCCTTGTCCTTGACTCGAAGTATCTGTTGCTGGAAGGTCTGGATTTCTTCGAAGGACTGCCGCGAGTTGATTGCGTAGACCAGGAGAAAGCCTTCACCTGTGCGCATGTACTGTTCGCGCATGGCGGAGTATTCTTCTTGGCCGGCGGTATCAAGGACATCGAGAAGGGCCGTCTCGTCGTCGATCATGCATTGCTTGCGATACGAGTCTGCCACAGATCAGTTTCGGGCTCGTCTTCGAGCGTGATGTGGCGGCAGTACCTTCAATTGTAGGGTCATATTCGTCCACAAAGTGGCTCTGGATGAGTTGTATGGTCAAGCATGACTTGCCGACACCACCACCTCCTACTACCACCAGCTTGTATTCTCGTAGAAACTATTGCTTGTGAGCGGCTGTGATTGACGGCAGCGATCGGCTGCGGGAAGCCAGGTGGTACAAACTTTTGAGGCCATTATCTTGACAGCGCAGTAGACGGTGTCAATTTACGTGAACAGGTGCTGGAAGAGGGTGTTGCGAGAGAACGTCGGATTCGGTCGTGGAGGGGAAGTGAAGGTCGTCGACAGGAGCTGCGGAAAACGGACAGGCGAACGGGATCGTTGTCGGGTCGCTAATACAATGATCGCTGGTGTGTAGATGCACAATATGAGCAGAAAGATGGGTGCAGTCTCAAGTTGTGTCGCCCGATGCACACTTTGACAGATTCGCAGGGGAACAATGCAAGCACCAGCGGAAGCTGCGTTCTACACTCCCAAGCCCAGCCTAGCCTATCCCGACGCTGGGCAGCCCCGCGGGCGCGCTATTGCCGACTTTAACTAGGCGAGAGGCTCCTTCTACAGCAGAAGCGCCCCTTGGATTCCCCCACCACCTTAGCGCCCGTGTCCTCATGTTTTGTGTGCATGTACCACGGTGTTGGATTCGTGTTATCTCGTACTCTAGACTTCGAATGCTCGGGCTGACGACGACAATAGCCCTTGAGCGCTGTTGAAGGCTACATTCCCATCTCTGAGCAACACTCTCGCGTCCAGGAGACTCGAACGAGCACAGCACATGCCTTCAATCGGCATTTCTTTAGCTACCTTACCTAAGAGAAGGTGCAAGTCTTCCGATGAGCCTCCTCGCCTTCCTGTTCCTGAACCGAGAAGTTTACCCCCTACCCCTGCCCAAAATATCTTCGCCCAACTTCTCCCGTCGTGATTCCACGATCTACGCAACAGGCTCCTGTATCGTCCATAGACCTGTCCAATATTCGGAATAGCCTATGTCACGAGAGCACATGTGTAAGTGGCATCCTCCAGGCAATGTCAAGAAGCCGAATAACCACCATCGCTCTTTTCTGGTCTGGACTTCGATGCACTCATTGGCTTACCACTGGAAAAAGGGGTGGATCGTATGGTGGAGACACAAGCCTGTGACATCCGTCGATCCCCTGCTCCAAGATCTGGCCCCTTGTTCAGGATGCTGGTCTGTGGTTTTGTTCTGGAAGCAGACCGAAGTCCAGCTGCGACCTGGATCAACGCCGCCACGGACATCTGCCTGTCTTGTGAGGCAATACAGGGTCGAGAGCTTGCGCAGAGAGCCTATCTTGCACAATGGTCTGTCGACAATCTGCAAGAAAATCTACACTGCCGAAGCGTTTGTACGGAGAAGTGCACTAACTAGTCGCGCGTTCTGCTTCTGTGATGAAATGTTGACCCAATCGTTCCGAGACTCATTGGCTGTGCCGCCCATGCAGCTCGTCCAGTCAGCTCCAAGACACTGCTTCCGCGCAACTCAAATGGCCACATATACTGCTGTAACTACAGAGGTGAATACAGAGGCTCGCCAGTGTTCTCTCCAGAGGTTCTCCTGTCGACCAATGACTCAATGTCATGGTGCTGCCGCAGTCCCGTGCCTGGCTCTGGCTGACCAGCGATGACAACAACGAAGATGTGCTCATTACCACATTCATTAAGGATGCAGCTGACCTGCATACTACTGCATACCTCATGCTGTAGTCGATCTCCACCCCCGGATCCTCAAAGGATACGAGTTTCCTGGGGAAGGTTGTTTCATGTCTGCACCTCACAACTCTACACGACACGATCCCTCTGACCTGATCGGCAAAGGAACGACTGAGTGGTATCATTCTGCCGGTAGCCAGTCGCCGTCGCAAGCTCACAACTTGGACCTCGGCGAACAGAAAATGGCTCGCTCAAATTTGTGCCCTTGGTCAAACAGGAAATTCGCTTCGGGACCCCGCGCCATCGTTGAGATCATGCATACCTAGCAAATACTAACAGGCTGAATCATATAGGGTAGCAAGACAGAGAACTTCTGTGAGTTCCATGAGCCTGTTAGAACAACATCGAGCTCTGACATCCTGGACATGCCATCACTACGATGTTTGTTGCAGATCAGTCCACTTTCTTTGATCTAGACGGGTCTTGCAATGTGGACCGTCTTGGTATCCGATATACAACCGGCCGCTACAATATTGGCATGCTAGGTCTCTTCGGACACGTGCTATGGTGCGCTGACGACACTATCGTCTTGCTTCGTCCAAGATGGCCGGCTCAGGTACGGCGGGCTTGATGTCCGGAAGAATTCGCGAAAACAATCTCGAGCCTCGTTACGCGGCCCGTGCCATTGGATACGCCCGGACGAGATTTATCCTTGAGTATCTACGAGCGAGATCTCGGAAAAGTACAGAGCGACATCGTTCGCTCTCGACCGAGGAGACCCTCGTTCGTTCACACATGAACAATGGTTCTCGGTAATTCTCGTTCATGATGGGACCTTCTATTGGGATGAGACCGTCAGCACTTCCAGTTGAGGCACACAATCCGTCGCGGACTCCTTCAGTATGTCAGCCTTCAGCAACATCGCTGCAACCAGTATGCATCGGCCGCTGTCCAAGCCTTCCCTCCTCTAATCCGTGCGCCAGCATTGCTGCCGTTCACCTTACAGTGCTTCTCGGACAGAGCCTGTCCACTACCGAACCCCAATGGCCTCCCGCTCTTGCCCTCGAATATGCTCCAACAGCACACTAGTCCTCACCCTTTAATCTTCCCTCAATCTCCCCTAGCTCCTCAGACTCGCTGATCTCGATCACACGATTGACTTCAGCCGTGCCTCGCATGAGCTCGACGGCGCCAGCATAGCTCATCTTCAGGTTCGGGTTGGCGTTCACGGGAAGGTAGTAGAGGAGGACGTAGGGCACAGATTGCCTGCCAGATGCCTTGATCGCACAGTGAGCTGGTGATTGTTTGTGAAATGTTGGAACTTGAGGGTTGCAAGAATCCGGCGCTGGGCTACGAATGAAGGGTCATACCAGTGTCAAAGGATGGCTCAACAGAATGAATCGCGGTGACGAGTCCGGCAGCTCGTCGGCGAGCTCCAGTAGGTCCGTGTATGTCTCTTCATCTTGAGGTCGGATCTCTTGGGACTTGGTGTCGATCATGTCTGTATTCCAGGGACACGTCAGTCGAAGGGTCAGCCAGTCACTCGGTACACTAGTAGGGACCTCCACGTGTTGACAAACTCGGGCACTGCGTATGTTCCATGAGCACCCACTAGCATCACGTAGCATGGTCGTCCTGCAATTCTCGCCCCAGTACATCATCGTTCCCAAGCACTGACCCGCGCTCAGCAATCCCACAAATGACACCCGTACTAACGTGCAACACAACGCTCACGTTCACTCCATTCGCACACGACCGCCGACAGGACGAGGAGACACGGCAGATAGCAGGATGACATACAGATCTTGGCTTGCGGCTTCGAGGCCCGCGACGTGCCCAGCCGGAATTTTCGTAGTGCATCTTTCGTCTCTTGGGAGAAGGTATAGAGGCGAGCGTCGGACTATGTGGAAACCATATGTGAGCGATGGCACTTGGTCCGAGTTTCCAACACGGTCAACGATGATGGGCCTTGAGCCTTTTGACATACCATGATATGCCTGACGAGGAAGGTGGTTCTGAATCAGGCCGGATGACGGTCGTTGGGATTGGAATTGTTTCTGTTGTACCGAGCGGGGCAGATACGGATGATCGCAGGTAGGTCGAATTCTTGTAGATCTCTGGTCGTCGTCGACCTGATGATGCTTGGGTCACGGGTCTACTCGTTTGTGATGATGTTCAGTCCATCAATTGTTTGTTGAAGTATGCTGTCTTTCGAAAGATGATATGCCCATATATCCGACGCTTGAATTCCTCCCGCCCGCCGCGTGGGGACAGATGTGGGGGATCGATTTCCGATTCCTTCTCCAATTCACATCTACCCCGAACTCGAGTTCATTCTGTCTCGATCTTGTGCACCTACACTACGCCAACCATGCACTCGTCCTGCTGACGGCCGCCCCTCAAATGCTCCCTCGCTTCTCCCAACTCACGCGCCACCTCTCCCGGCCACTACCACACCTCACCTCGCGCTCCTCTGCCGCCGCGGCCCTCACCACTACCAACACCATGACATCACCATCCACCACCTCCAGGTCACCGACCAGCAAGATCCACACTGCAGCATGCCTGATAATAGGCGACGAAGTTCTCGGTGGCAAGACCGTGGACACCAACTCAGCTTTATGGCCAAATACTGCTTCTCGCTGGGCATGTCCATGAAGCGGGTAGAAGTGATCGCCGACGACGAGGACGAGATCATCGAGGCATGCACGCGCATGTCCAAGAACTACGACTTTGTTGTCACCTCCGGTGGGATCGGACCTACACACGACGACATCACGTACGCCTCGATCGCGAAAGCGTTCGGGCTGGAGCTGAAACTGCACGACAAGACGATGGAGAAGATGCGGAGGTTGTCTCGGCCGCACAAGTCGCAGCCGAATTTTGACTGGGATACACCTTCGCCGGCGCTCAAGGCCAAGATGCGTATGGCTGAGTTGCCCTGGGATCCTAAAAAGGCGGAGGAAGAGCAAGTGCTGTTTCCCAATGATGCCCTTTGGGTGCCGATCAGTGTCGTCAACAACAATATCCACATCCTGCCCGGCGTGCCGCGGCTGTTCGAGGCGTTGTTGAACAGCTTGCGGCCGTTACTGGTTCCAAGACTTGAGGACCCAGATGGGAAGGGCACGTACCGGATGATGTTTAGCACGCCGCTGGCGGAGAGTAGCGTGGCGGGGTATTTGACGGAGCTGGCGGAGAAGGTTGGGCCGAAGGGAGTGAAGGTCGGGAGTTATCCCAGATGGGGGAAGAAGAGGAATGTGGTTACGCTAGTGGGGAGTGATCGGGAGTATATGGACTCATTAGAAGAGGAGGTAGCGAAGGGGGTGGAAGGGAAGAGGGTGCAGGTGGAAGGGGAGGACGATACGGATCAGGAGGAGGATATAAAGAAAGACAAGGATGCATAGGGCTTCGGGTGAGATTGAATATATAACATGCTTTGCGGGTGGTCGATCTCTGAAAGGACCACCGTTGATCGCTGGACATAGCATGATGTCTGTGCCAGGGGCATCTGGTGTAGATGACTAAGGTGCTGACCGAGTGTAACAGGCATTCACTGGGATCTCTGTTGTTCGCCAGCATCTGCTTTGCGGACGTCTCAGTTGCTGCTGCGAAGAAAAGCGCTTTTACAGTATATACATGCTACCAATGAGCAAGAGAGTGTCTCCCGTGGTCTCTGAGGCGTCTCCAAGCACGGGGTAAGGGGCCCGTGCGCATATCCGCTTGGCCGGTGCTCGGACCGCACACCCACTTGTTGACAACTATATATATCATCTAGCTGAAAATTTGAGCCAAAATTGCGTTTGAATCTGCCACAGATCTAAGCAGTGCGGTTTTGTAGTGTAGTGGTGATCACTCCGTACGATTCCCTCCCGCTCGCTGTTAGGCATGGTCGCTGACCGACTCCTAGGGATTTTGATCCTACGAAGATATCAAGTCTTCCGGCAACCCCGGTGTATGCCCTACCTCTTCCAACGCTCTCTATCCTCTCTAACGCATCCCAGTCGAACCCGGGCAAGACCTAACGACGTTGTCATCGAGCTTTTTGCAAATTCGGAGGTGGCGAGGTTGGAAGTTCGGTCCAAACGATGGGAGTCCATCGTCTTTTTGACGGTGGGGGGAAGTGGCGCTAGCTATGGGTTGGAAAGCACAGCTCCAATGACTGCACCAGCTGGGGGCGGGGCATCGACGTTTTCTTTGACTCAGCCCTGCTTGAGAGCTACAGTCGAGAATGATCAAGGAGACTGGAACTGGAGCGGGAATCGACATACGATAGCGATATTGACAGGCATGATAGGCAAAGACGGTCTAGACGCGAGCCGAATTGCAGATTGGATCGACAGCTACACGCCGGACGAGCTGTACGGTCTCTCGCGCGTACGACCGGTCCACACTACCAGCAAACACACCTGCTCTACGACGTTGCAAAGGGTGACACTACGTCAGTTCATCATTGCAGTGTCTACCGAAACCCGATCTAGTGGCTTGGATCAACACGACCATGTGCTGCTAACACTCTAGGACGGCTCTTTCCCTGTCAGCCATAGTCGAGGTCCCAACTGAGATGCAACTCTGATCCGCTCAACGCTAGCTGCTCATCGACTAGGCGACCGATGTCATCCTATTGGAGACTGTTGGGAGGTGAGCAATCTTGCAAGCGTGACGGTCGGCGATACCTCGCCAGCAGACGGGAAGTAGTTCTGTCCAGCGCTCACACTGTTGCCAGGCCTGCGACTAGCCAGTAGGGTATGAGTGCCGACGTGTGGTCTGGAGATGCGGCCCTGTGCCGGCATGTCTTTGACCAGTGGACAAAGTTCGGACAGAGACAGTGGTCATCTTAAGATGCCTGACCAGTCGGATGCCATGTATATATTGCTGCTCCATCACGCAGGGCTGTCGGGAGAGGTAGGTAGTTGGACCGCATCGATTATGCTCATCCAATTCGGAGATCAAAGGTAGTCGACGGACCCTTAAGGGTTGGATTGCGCAGCACACGCTACAACCAGGATGATGGTACGACGCCGAATCGAGAGAACGTCAATGATCAGGCTCTTGAGCCAACACAAAATCTTGGAATGAAGGCGGTTGAGCGTTCCTTCGACGGGGTTCCGTATGAAAGACGGTCATGGCAGGAAATCCCTCAGCAACAACCTCATCAGGCTGTGTCTTCGCTCCAACTTCTGCGGCACAAATAGTTCCGCATCACGGTCTGCTTACCCAACGCAATCTAGGATGTCATCGAGGCAACGCACCCCTATGACATGCTCGCCGTCGCCTTCTCCACAATCGATATCAGCCATCTCGACCGAGATTTATTCTTTGGGACGTTTTCGAACGAGAGTTCCCTCACACTGGGCAGAGTCTGAGTATCTGCTGTGGCATCTGCTGTCAAGTCGTCAACGTGCTTACAAAAGTAGGAGTTCCTCTGCAACTTGTAAACGACAACTGGGGAATTCGGGTCGAAGTTGTAGCCGAGTGCCGAGTCCAGCGATACAATCTGCAGATCCGGCCGAGAGAACGTGAACGCCTGATAAGGCAAATCTTCGTGTATTCGTACATATATGCAATACAATACCGAAGCTCGTGGTCAAGCTGCACACCCTCAGTTCTACACCATAACCAACCACGTACCGACTCACCTCGACCCAACAACCATGGCAATCCCCAAAAAGATCGGCGTCTTGATCGGCAGCGTGCGCCAGCCACGCATCGGCGATCAAGTCGCCGCTTTCGCTGCAGCCACCATCAAGTCTCAATCCTCATCCACCGACTATACCCTCCACACGATCGACCTCCTAGCGTGGGACCTGCCCATGTTCAAAGGCCCCGAAGTCCCGAAAGCCATCAAAGACCCCGCCAATTACACGCACGAGCGCACCCGCGAATGGAGTGCCGCGATCTCCGCTTGCGATGGCTTCATCTTCGTACCGTGCGAATATAACTATGGCTACCCGGCCAGTCTGAAGAATGCGATTGATCACCTCTGCTGGGAGTGGCAGGGAAAGCCGGTTATGTTTGTTGCGTATGGAGGGTATGGTGGAGGCAAGAGCGTGGAACAACTGAAAGGGGTGCTGGGAGCGTTTGACATGAAGTTCACGGAGGATGATGTGCTGCTGGGGTACCCGAGCTTTGAGTGGGCCGGGGAGAAAGTGTTTGCGGGTAAGGACTTGGGGTTGCTGGAGGAAGAGAACGTGTGGGCAGGCCATCGTGACGCCATCGTCAAGAACTTCGATGAGTTGTTGGGCTTGACAAGGGCGCCTGTGATCGCGACGAAGTGAGTTTGTGCTCGATTGTGGTGGATGGAAGTAGCAAATGCTTGCCAGCGACACCGAACCGCTGGGCCAGGTGGTTCCAGTGACCTTTTGCTATTATGGCGATGGCTGTGAGGAGAGACTTACTACTTGGGACGTCAGCTGAACTCGTTGCCCTGTTTCTGGGACGCGAATTAATGTGCGAAGGGTGTACAGCGGGAAATGACTATTTCCTTCGCAGGCCAGTCGCAACACTTCCTTCAACACATCGCTGAGGGTTGGAACCCTTGTACTTTTGTGCCCTAACGAAAAGCTTGTGCTGGCAGCAACATCTTCCTGCACTTCAGGGTGGTGGGAAGGTCTCTTCATCCCACATGCTTTCGGCTTCTGCATCGCGTCGGGGCCACTGGCCTGCAGATCTAAGCAGTCGTCGAGTCCTGGACAACGTAAATGGGAAACGCCCCGCGAACTTGACTGCAGTGACAGCTCACTGACGTGCTGTGTGACAGGCGTGCTGTACCCCTTGAGCCTCAGCTGAACAGCATTCTCTTACCCGCGAGCCAAACACAGGCGGCGCTTTCAGATCGTGAAACCCTTTCATTGTTGGCGTGGTTCCCAGGTCTGCAAAGCAGAGATTGGCCGCCACTTTCGGTTTCCCTTCGCAAGAAATTGTGGTACGCCCACGGATTCGCAATGCGTAGACATTCCGAGAATGACGGCATCGATAGCTTAACCTGACAGATGGTGAGGTAGCACGTACCTGTCTCGTAGGCCGAAGGACGTGATGTGCAGAAAGGCAAGTACTCTGGACAGTCGTTGCCCGAGGAGAGACTTACCAGGCCAAAAAGAAAGAGCGTCAAATTAGGTGACCATGAACAACACGAACGACAGGGTCGCCAGGGAAGCTTCTTACCCAGTCAACGCACATTTGACGTCCTGTCAAACAGCGGAAAGACTCCTGTCAATAAACGAGCTCTCCGACTTTTGGGTAATCTGCAAGACTGCAACCCTAGCTTGCCGTCAGCTGTAGCTGTCAAAAGCCGCAAGTGGTGCCTTTCCGTGGCTGCATAGAAAGCTTTGCAGCACACTACTTAGAAAATTCTGCAGCTGTCAACGACCACGATATTGACAGTGTATGACAGCAACACTTTGTAACAGAACCCAGTCGTCTGGATTCGCGAAACGCGGAGAAATTCGAGCTTGGTGCATGACTCGTGCCAAATCCTTGGCAGTCGGGCCAAAGTCAAAGAGCCACATCTGATCCGAAATCCTCGTGAACCCAAATTCATAGCACAGACTCATGATTCACTGTCAAGTGCACACCACCAAATTGTTGCTGATGGCGACTCCAGACCATGCTGTCGCCGTACCCAGGTGAGCTGACCTTCCTGATTCAACGGATATCGGATCGCCGATCTACTACCTTGGAAGCTTGATAGCAGCTCAGGCCGATCCAAAAGCTCAGATGCATCAATCAATTGCTTGGCGGGGGAAAATCCATGTATTCCATGGCGCAGACTTTTGCCGCTAGCAACGAACGTGGTGATTGTCGCCTCGTGTCGTCTGCATATCCCGGCGGATATGTCGCCGTGAAGACAGCGCACGAACGCATGAACTCTGCTGGCCTTCGCGCGGGCACTGTCGATGATTCGTGGCCGCTTCAGCGACGACTGTCTGTAGGTCGAGGTCTACCGACAACCTGGCGTGGAGGTACGTATGAGCAATCCGTATGCAAGATACTGCAGCTTGGCTGGGTCGGTTTGTTGCGTCGTATCGATCGATCCACCAGGTCTTTCTGCTGGTGTGTGCGTTCTGAGTATATCGCCAGACATGGGACGATTGACAATGTCACGAAAACTTTGAGGGAAGATATCCGTCCGTAAGGAGGGTTGGTCAATATCGGACTGTGTCAGGGAGGTCAGATCTGGGGCGCGTGGCAGACGATCTCTGTAGATACACGACAGCCACGATCAAATTTTCGCGACCTCGAAATCCCAGGCAATTGCGGCTCGTATGCTGAATTGATGCTCTTACAAGTTGCTGCAATTGCAAGTCACTGGCCTACATCCCTCATGAAAAATGGACTGCATCTTGGCTTGCATGAGGCGTTGGATAGCTTACTTTGCTCCGCATCCGTCGCGGGACATTGCGAATCGTCGAAAGTTAGTTTTGGCTGGGGATCTTTACTTTTGAGCCTTCGGCACCGTGACTGGGCTGTTTGTTCATGATAGACGCAATGACTACTTGTTAGCCAGCACCTGGACAGTAATGTGTGGAAGCGACTCAGATACCATGTAAGGCTACCTGTGCACAAAATTGGTTCGGTCCTCCGAATTGGTCCGGTACCAGGTCCAAGGCGAAGATAGAGACCCCAGATGCGGGTGAGGAGTGGAGTTCTGTGACTGTCGACGGCGTTTGACCTAAGGCAGTCTAGGAACAGCGGTCTGTGACTCCGGCAGATGACAGCTGTGCTAATGTACCCATGTGTCATGGCCCATAAGCCATGGCCCATGGCCCCGGAGAGTCACTCTACCAGGCTTGAGCAGCAAGGATGTACCGAGCGCTCGCAGAGCATTGTGCCAGAAATTCAGCCCGAATTGCAATTGACGGGATTCGATTCCTGCATCCATAGTCCGGTGACTAGATGAGGTATACCAGAAGGCGCTCACTCACTCGAACTATGATCGTCTACAATGCTCGAGATGGCTTTGCTGTATTCAGACACTCTTAGCGAGCGTTCAAAAGTGCCGTGTGAAGATCTGCTGCTCTTCAAACTTTCGACCGACTCCACGGGTGCTTTAATTTCGGTGCACGCCCGAAACGTGGACCATATGTTCTAGGAACGGCCGGGTTGTCACTGGGCCCTGATCCAGGCGCTTTCATTACTGGCTCTCGATGCATGCATTTACGAGCGAAACCGATGGTGTGGTCGCCCGTGGGTGGTTCTGTTCGCGATAACAGCTTCGTACTCCTCACCTACTGGTGCCCGCGCCTGCTCCGAGCCCTTGAGTTCAGCGGCGCACCTGCTCGCCCGTTGGTCTACCGTATCACGTCGTGACTTGATCGTTAATTGCAACCCTCTGAGATGTAAGCGAGCGACTGACGAGTCCGCTTTTGCATTTCTGCAACGATTGTAGCTGAATCTGTGCAGCCACACGATCATTGACTTCTTCACAACCTTCCAGTCAGTCCAGAAAGTACAGGAAGCGACCCTGTGGAAAAGACGGCAAGTTGTGTTTCCGTCAGGGCCAAGATACCTGACTCAAGTAAAGCATCCAAGGGTGAAACCTGGACCGTTCGTGCGCTACGCCCGGAGCTACCGCTAAACAAGCCGGCGACTGAGGGCCCCATCGTGCCCATCGCTTACCACCTGTCAAAATCCACTTGGGTCCTCTGATTGCCCGACCGCCGCTTGGTCTTACAACTCCAAGTTCCACGCCTTCGGTACCGTCCATCCTCTTCACTACATTACGTCCGCTCAGCGCTGTGCTGTCTCACGTCCCTTCAACGAGACTATATTCTACACACGGGCCAGTGCGCAGGGGCTCCTTGATTCTCAATTGTCGGTATGGCTGAGGCACCAAAGAAAAAGCGGATGAGCAGGTTATGGAAGAAGTTCAAGGACTCGTTTAAGGATCAAGGCCCGATTGGCTCCTCTTCCTCAACAACAAGGGCGTAAGTTGATCCTCCTGGTTGTACCTACAATCAGAGCTGACGAGGTTTCAGAACAACATCGACGCCTACAAAACCAGAACCGGCGCCGGAAACATCGAAACCGGAATCAGTGAAACCCACAAAGGATTCAACTCCAGCAACGACGGACGCCGACAAGCGCTTAGAGAAGGCAAGGGCCATATTCAAGAAGTATGATTTCGAGTTCGACGAGGAGGAGTGGAACAAGGTTGAGCCATCGAGGCAAGTGCAACGCGAAAGAGTCAACAAACCCATCCGAATGCGAGTCAAGTACACGTGTCACAACTGCAAGGCACAGTTCGGCCGGACGAAGACATGCACCAGCTGTGAACACGAAAGGTGTAAAGACTGCACACGGTATCCGCCAAAGAAGGACAAACCCAAGCTGACTCCCACCGATCCTACTGAGGTTGACCCGGAACCTGGGACGGTACCAGCAACCACGAGCTAGCATTAGGTTTCAGGACACGATTCAGCACACGACATCCTCGTTGTGCAGAGCGAAAAGCACAAAGCATGCCGTTACGACCGAACTCATTCACGATCTCACCACTCCCTCCGTCAACGAAACCACAGATTATACATAACGACATACGTTGATACTCGTCATTTATCTGAGCGTTCTTGCTTGTTGGTCACATTCACAATCGGCGTTCATGTGGTTAGGCGGGCGCTGCGACTCAGCTGTCCCGGTTTGCGAGCTTCATGACAATCGAGAGTCGACTGTCACACTTGCCGAGTCATTTTTGATCATAAGATATCCCACGATGCGAATCTTTGTTGGAATGGTGTACATGGTCATAGGAGCAAGGGACATTCACGACCCAGCGGCGATAGGCAGCTAACCGCAGGAGACTGCAGAAATAAAAATGCAAGGACGAGGAACAGGAACGAAAGCAAGGAACCGATACCAACGTTTCCCATCATCTGAGGTGTCTCCCCTCGATATTTGTGGTTGCCCTTTCACCGCCGGTCAGTCACGTAGCCTCGAACATGCTCTCGACCATCGTCATCGGTGCTCCTTCGCCAAGCTGTCTACTTTGGCAAAACCACTCATCAGCTCTAGGAAAGAGCATCTACGACAATTTCTCCTGTCTTGCTGCTCCGCGCTTCTGTTGTGGCAATTTGGTATCCTTTGTTGCCAGGAGAAATGCCGAGTATGAAAGTTTGCATCTCATATTACTGTATACTGCATGCTTTCTCAGCCGACCACATATTACTGGATCCAGGATCGGCTTCATCTCTATTATAGGGAATCTGAAGCAATTACACCCCACAAATAGCAGCCCTTGCGGCCCAGTCAACCATCAGTCGTTCCGTATATGTGGATGTTAGCAGAAGGCGGCCCTCTTTCACGATGATCAGGCCTACCATAGCCAACGGATTTTATACCTCTTTGAGTCTTGAGCCTTATCCACGGCACCGGATCCGAAGTCGCATTCTTCCATTGCTCACTTCTCACGAATTGCCGCACGAACAAAGGCAGCTCGTTTAAGTCCCTTACGTGTGTATCTCCTGTTCCTGAAAGCAGCTTCTTGGCACGCACATAATTCGGACTCGCGACAACACACCGCGAGCGCAAGAGACTTTGCTTCTGTGACAAGGCTGCCGGCCTGACAGCTGTCAAAAATGACGTTCTGTCAAAAGTACCCGTCATGGAAGCTTGTGCTCGGGATGTCGGCCGAAGCATCCAAAATAGCAAAGGGCCATTATTTACATGCGGTCATCGATCTTGTGTAACCTCCCATACACTGGCCCTTCCATATACAGATGTTTGCCTTGCATCGTTCCGCCTTGTCGTATATCACTACTTGTTAAACTCCATGGGGTTTCCTCAAGCCGCCGTGTCACTGCCTATAGTGCAGCAAATCTGGGACTGCGATGACAAATAGTAGCATCATGGAGTGCGCATATAGTCGCCTTAGCTTGGTCGCTCTGTCGGAGATTGCACGAGTAAGCTGGAAGGAAAATGGTATACTCGACGAAACCAGTACACCGAGCGCTTACATAGTCACCTTCATGCTTCGGCCGAAGCGCGGAAACAAGTGCAGAGTCAGAAGCTGAAGTCGTGGGCGAGGTATGTGCGGGTCACAAAGCATTGCTCAAACAGTAACATGAGCGCCGTCTCAACTTCCCAACTTCCAAAATTGTCGTAGAAGCAAAGATTCAAGGCAACAAATGGCAGCGACCATGAACGGAGACTTTGGCTTTAGGCGGAACGGCTCGCAACGGGCTGTCAAACTAAACTCTCCTTCTCGCCACTTTCGCCGGAGAATTTATTTGAGCTTGTCAACTTTCACACTTCTGCTCAGAAAAGAAAAGGTTGAAATAGCACGTCCGTAACGACTTCCCAAACCATGTCCAGATCCGCAAACGGTCGCTGGATATTCCCCAGTGTCGCTGAAGAGACTGCAGATCAGAGGTCAAAGCTTTGCATCTCCCCTGTCAGTCGTTAAAACTCACCAGATCCGTCGTCAGTTCGAGCTTTAGGCGTCTTGGTGTCAGAACTCCGTTTCTTTCTGTGTGTTCCAGATTCAAATATCCTGCTTGGCTTCAAGACCGAGACGTACTCCTGGTTAGCTAAGTGGAGGCTCACTCATCCTTGCGTGGTCTGAAGCGCTGGTATACAGGCGGTAAGCGCTCTCCTACCCGAACAGAAGCCGTCATCTACGACATATCAAATACTGAACAAGCTTTGTGCATCCTCTTGTCAGTACAAGCTTGACAGGCTGGAGGCAGTTTCTCTGTGACGGGCGCATCGCATCGCATGCCTGTCGGCATGTTGTCTGTGATGTCGGCGCTGTTATCCACGACGATGCAACTGTCTCTCTTAAGTGCAAACGAATGTATACGTGGGAGTACGTCCTTCATTGTTGCCGGTATCTCCTCAAGCCAGCGTGGCAGCCCTGCGATGCACACGCGGCACTATGACCGCTGTACCGACGACATATCCAACATGCCTTGTGGTCCGAACATACCGACCACGTTCGCGGGAGCCCGTAAGGATGCCTTGTTCGGTGTGAAATCTCCCCGTTCGGCGAGTCCGGTACCTTGAAACAACGTATTGCCACTTGTCGGGTCCTCCGTGTACCACGATGACCACGCTGCGTTAGATCAGAGGCAACTGGTACCTAGCCACCGAGTTATCGATCTGAAGCTTCACGAAATACTAATAACGTTGTCATTGTCTGCTAAATAGGCCTTACAAGCATTGGGCACGGCACGCGGACCGAGCCTGGCGTCCGTTATTGCCCTGCACTGTTAGCACCTTAGCAGTCCACTGCACACACCGTCACGAGGCTGCAAGAGAAGGTCTGCTGGCGCCTCAGGCAACGTTGACGGCGACCGAGCAGCCCTTTTGAGGCGAGTCAAACCATTCGCATTCCAGCACCGCTCTGAATCAGTTTCGACTTCTCTACCGTTTTGCATTGCTCTACACTTCGCTTTCATGACCCTCGTTGAGCCGTTGAGAACATGCCACGTGGCCTGCAGACGTGCCCAATGACTCTCATCGCTGTCTCGCAGCCGCTGCTCGACAATGCAGCCGGCTGCACGAGCAGTGTGCATGACGACAAGTCGAAGAATACGAGCCGTGAGCGAGCTTGCCTGCACACCCTTCGCAAAAGTGCGATTCAGAGAAATGACTCGCTAGCGTCTGCATGACTACTTGTCAATTCCGCGAGTCATGCTGATCCCAGGCTCCTGGAACCTGGGTCGGGTCCACAACGCAGGCGTGACGATAAGTGGGGTTTCCTGAAAGGTATAAGGTTCGTAGGAAGTGTGAATTCCGCGTTTCTTCGACTTCGCGGCGAGTACACTCTGATTCATTTGCGTTTGACCGTTTGCTTCGTGCAATGGAGCACCAACTAAGGCTCCCTTCATGAGCTCACACGCTGCTCGAGCGCGAAAATCGATTCGATATTGTTCTGGACAAGAACTCTTGTATGATGCATCCTGGGAGGACTCTGGTGTGCTGCAGATACAGCTGCAGCCGTCGACCCGGTGTTGAGGGTGAGGGTGTGAAGTGAACGGGAGATACTGAAGCCATCAATGCGGCTCAACAGCATCCCGGAAGCATCCAGCGACAGCGATGGCCACTGACACCACGGACCACCATTTGCATGGTTTCTGATGAGTTATGGATGACGGGCCTGTCCGAGTTGGGACCACCCTCAGGTCGTGGCCGGTCAATATAACCGTTCAGCCGAACGAGCCTCGATTTGCCAGCTCTAATACTTTCATTTGGACACGAGCTGCTCACGCCTGTTGCAGAGTGTGGTGGTTGCGGCTGTGTACCAATCAGGTATGGTGAGTCCTGTCGATTGTCGAGTGCACGACGTGTTGGATCTGCATCATACTCGTAAGTCATTTGCAGGGACAACATTGACAATTTCGAGATGTGGTATATTGGACGAGCGTTGTCGAGTCTACTTGGTAAGATCACCTTTGGTGCATTGCTGACAAGCAGGCAACGTGGCGGAAGTCGAACGGGAAGGACCCCGCAAGCGAGGCGCACTCGCTCATAACCACGATTTGATAGAGCACGGAGTAGCACATTCGTGGTGGTCTATCCGGCTAGGTCCAGAGATGCAGGATTTTTGGCTACTTGCAAGTCGGGGACGAGAAGCATAGGCGTCATTGCTCGCTTGATAATGCCTCCAACACAAGCACGCAAGTCTGGTGAAATTCATGAATGCCAGCTCGATGGTAGGACTGCCGGAGAGAATGGCTTCGCAGGAAATCGGTGATTCTCACGGCTGGGTCGAGGCAACGATATCTTGGCGATTCGTCCCGAAATTAACACAGTCGGCTTCGCGCGCAAGAGAGACTCATCAGGTCTCTCAGTAATAGCTGTTCTAGATGTAGCTCATGCTAGCATGTCTAATCTCGTTCGTGATCATCTCTTGCTTAAGTCCTGTCATCCGGCGTGAGACTCCAATTTCCTGGCGCCTCCGAAAATCTGCCAAACTTGAGTTGGAGAGACCGGATGACGGGTCTATGTTTTCGACGACTTCAACTCACTCGTTGTCCCAAAGCTAATCGTTGGCTTTGACCCTCATACACCACGTTTGAAGGTTCAAACCGCTACCTGCCGGCATCTACAACCAAGCCGTCTCGGATTGTTCATCGTCCAAGTAGGGAGTACAAATTATCGCAAGCCAAATTCTCTGGCGCAGTACGAATCCATCTACCCTCACCACCTCAGGCATCGTCCGCGCCGCCGGCGTGCCGCCTCCCTAAGCCATGGCGCGCAACTCAGAGAAAGCGCAGTCGATGCTGTACCGCTTCCGCGCATCACAAGCCGCCGAGTCGGGCCTATTGCCCACAGCCTCAACCCGCCGCCCGAAAGCGCCCTCCACCATTGCTACAATCCCTGCCTGCGAAAAATTCCGCGGCCAGATCTTGCGCGACGTGTCTCGCAAAATCACAAAGATCCAAGAGGAGTCACTTTCGGACTTCCAGATACGAGATTTGAACGATGAGATCAACAAGCTGATGAAGGAGAAATGGGGTTGGGAGCGAAGGATTAGAGAGTTGGGAGGGCCGAACTACATGCGTGGTGCTGGCGGTGTGGTGTTTGATGAGCAGGGGAGGGAGATGGCGGATGGCGGTTCAGGAAAAGGGTATAGGTATTATGGGCGAGCAAGGGAGCTTCCCGGTGTCAAGGAGATGTTTGAGCGGGCGGCGAAGCGGAGGATGCGGAAGGATGATGAGCAGAGTGGAGATGAGGACGGGGAGGGTGGGAAGCGGCGGAAGACAGATAAGCAGATTGATCGGAGGAACCTGGACGCGAACTACTTTGGCTTCGGGCTAGATGAAGAGGATGGGTCATTGTTGAGGTATGAGCGGAGGAAGGAGAAAGAGGCTCATGAGAGAGTGGCGAAGCTCGCAGAGGAGGAGGAGGCAAGCGACGAGGCTGGGAGCTTTTGCCGGGCGATTCAGGTGATGGCGTGGCCTGGCGGCTGCCGACCATGGAGGAGGTGCAGGAGGAGCTTATGGATCGGAGGAGGAAACAAGTGCTGGACAAGTTGGGCTGAGCGGGACTGCTTTGCTTCGACAAGCAGCACAGCTCCCGGCACGAGCCACATACATAGAACGACTGTTACGATTCGGGGCTCATGTACGTCTTGAATTGTTCCCCTGACTATGCGGCTGGCGGCCCGTCAGTTACCAAAGTAATCGGAGCGAAGTGAGTTGGGACAGATGAATTTGTCTATCTGGTAGATCTCCTGGCTTGGCGGAGCTTGAAAAGCCACTTCGCTCCTGCACTCCAGTTCGTCAGGGGAGTCTACCTCCGCCTGGGAGGGCCTGGCTGAGGAGGTTGAAGCACTACATCAGTCATGCCATCCTCTTCGCGCCTTTCTCGCTTGCTCAGGAGCACTAGAAGATATACTCGAAGTCCAGTGACTTGTCGTCTGTTCTGCCATTGTCGGTTATGCCTCAGCACGCTGCTTGGCTTTGACCGCATTGCGCCTCTTCAGCATCCAGTAGATGACGCCAATACCGAGGACAGCCGTGAATTCCATACCTAGACTAATCGCATTGCCCATGATGTACCTGGGAGCAGTGAAATTTGGATACACCTGCGCAGCAGCCACCCCAGATACATTAGCAATGCAGATGAACCACGGTAGAGCGGCACTGCGCTTCGAATCTGGTCGTATGTTGTTTGATACCCATGCCATAAGCACTGTGTTAAACGAGTAGACTAAGAATGGAATCAGTACAGGCTCTTCTTGGGAACCAGCATTTAGGGAACTGGAGAGAAAGGAAACCTACTTCCAGTGCACAAGAACATGGCGAAATAGCCAGCACCTCTGTTGCCTGTCCCAATCGCGATCGCGTAGCCAACTATGACGATCCAGGGTGCGATGACAGCCATCATGGCGCGCTTGCGGAGCTTGTCGGATAGCCAGGTGATGAAGGCCAGATAAATGAGACCAAAAACATAGCACGGGATCGTCAATAGGTTGACCTGCAGAGTCGCAAAGCCCATACCACGAATGATGGTCGGCAGAAAGATTCCGAAGCCGAACAAGGGAATTCCCGCGCAGAACAGGGCCAGCCCAGCGATCACGACCATGGGATCTGTGAATGCTAGCTTGACATCAGACCATGATAGCTTGTCGTCGCCCTTATACGCAGCATCACGCCGTCGGCGATCGAGCATCAACTGGCGCTCATCCTGCGTCAGGAACCAAGCTTGTTCTGCCGTATGTGGCAGCGTTGCCCAACAGGCGACTCCAAGCACAATCGAGATGATGCCTTCAATAATGAAGAGCCAACGCCAGGCCTCGAGACCCAGTTGGTCCCCCATCAGCTGAATACCGTAGCTATCAATCCGCCAACCGCTCCTGAAAGTGCGATGGAGCCATAGAGAACGGCAATCCGCTTTGCCTGACTTTCACGAGGGTACACTGTGCTGATGACGAATGCAAGCGCCGGAAAGATGCCGGCTTCGAACATGCCCAAGAGAAGCCTACATGCGACGATTTGTCCATAGTTGTGCACAAATCCAGCACCAATAGTGACCGCACTCCAGGTGACGATCGCCACTGCCATCACACTATTGGCACCCCATTTCTTGACAGCCAGTACCCAAGGCACCTCGAAGATCACATATGTGACGTAGAACAGTGATGAAAGGTTCGCAAATTGGTTGCCGGTAAGCCCTATTGATGACACCCTCAGCGATCTTTTCACGCACGAAATGGTATGCAATTTCGATGTGCTTACCGATATCCTCTTCGAAGCCAAAGATCCGGGCGTTGCCAATGTTGGAGCGATCGAGGTATCCCAGGAGAATAATGATGACGAATTGAGGCATCACCAGCATATCGAACTTGTTCATGATTTTGCGCTCTTTGATGGGGTCGATATAGATCTCAAGCGGGACGTCATGCTTGACGTCGGTAGTGGGTGACGACGATGTGGTGTCAGGCACCGGCTTGATGTCTCTTTCGACGTCCATGCTGGTGGTCTCCGTGCAGCTCAGTCCGGTCCGTATGGTAACTGCTCCCTATACTGGAAGTTGGCTTGTTCAAGATGAGAATGTCAGTGGTCTGTGTTCCTGTATGCCGTTGGTGCGTGCGAGTCTTGAATGCAGCGACATGAACGTTCAACGCTAAGTCGTGGGACTGCTGAAGGACCAAAAAACGTCTCGGCCAGCTTTCGAAGTTGGGAGACATGACGTTGGGTGTGACATGCACTCCTGCCCGCGCGGGCTGTTCTCTTATCAACATACTGATTCGAAGCTCACTCCCACCAATGACAAACGGGTAAATGTAGCAAGCGAACGCGCCGGTAGCTCGGAAACAACGGTCAAGCGATCAAGCTTGCCAATGTATGGAGAATAGATATGTTGCCATTTGGAGATGGACGAGGACGGTGCGGCAATCTCCTAATTTGCTCCATGAACGCTGCTGCCAAGGACACACTTGTCGAAGTTAGCGGGCACTTGTCGAAACGCCAAGTTTTTGTCATGCACGAAAGCCGACAAGTCCGACGAATTTGCGACAGCGACATGAGGGAACTGTGGGGGTTTGGGGGTCGCGCGCAAGAACACAAGCGCGCACTATGCCCGATACTTGATCGATGTGTGGTCGACTGCTAATGATAGCGCAGCCGTCGGACAGCATGCCCACCAGGAATCTGGCACGCAGTTACTGTGAACCTTTGTCGACCGAGGCCTGCGCAGTCGTCGACGTTATGATCTGCCCAATGCCTTTTCGATCTCATCGAGGGCAGCAAGAACTTTCTCATCGTGATTCCTCCGACCAATGATCTGTAAGCTGATTGGAGCGTCCTTGTATGTCTCGGGGGTATAGAGACTGTAGCAGAATTCGTCCTGAGCGTTCTTGGGCTTGTAGGTTTGGTCCTTCGGGTCCTTCTCAGGATCGACAGTCGTCACAGGGAAAACAGCGCCTGGGTAGTCGAGCAAATTCCACTGCGCAGTATATCCCCAGTATTTGCTTTGGTCGTGCGGCACTGCGGCTGAGAAAGATGGCGGGCACAGTATGACATCAATCTGCCGGTCTTTGCTTGCTGCATTCCAGGCTTTTGCGTAGAAGTCGCGGTACTGATCACGCTGTTTGGTCCTTTCCCAAAGCTCGTGCTGGGTCAGAGACTTCACTGCGGGCTGCTCCTGGATGATGAACTTTGTGAGGGGCAGAACCGGCTCCCCTGCTGCATTGAGTCGTCCCAAAGTCTCATCACCTCCATCAGTCCAGTAAAGCGAGGACAGAATTTCCCATGCTTTGTCATGCTGCAACTCCGTACAATCCCAGTCAACGACCTCCATACCAGCAGCCTCACACGCTGCAACAACTTCTTTCAATGCTCTGATCATTGGCGGATGTGGTTGCACAACGCCATCCGTCCACTGAACAGCGATTTTGAGAGGTTTGTCATACTTGTACTTCGTCCAACCCACTGTCAGTGACGGGTCGAGCAGCCAAGGTTCCGAGGCCATCACAACATCCACAAACAGCTGGAGTGCTTCTCTGTCCACCGTCATCGGGCCCAAGGTAGACAATATCGCTTCTTTGCCTACCATGTGAGTTCGTACCCCACCCGAAGGGATCCGCTTGCACGTTGGCTTAAAGCCATATATGCCACAGTGTGCAGCCGGACAGCGGATTGAGCCGCCAATGTCTCCTCCGACACCGAGCAGACTGCCCCTCATGCCAATCAGTGCAGACTCGCCGCCACTGCTTCCACCCGGCGTGAGATTGCGGTTATATGGGTTCAGAGTGCGGCCGTAAATGTTGCTGTTAGTTTCGAGATGCATGATCGTCTGTGGCTGAGTGGTCCTGGCAAAGTACACGCAGCCAGCATCCCACAGAATGTCATAAAGCTGACATGAACCGTGGGCTTGACCAATCCACGCAACATACGATGCATTGGAAACCACGTTCTCGCCCTTTTGGCCGTGGTGCTCCTTTGTCGAGATGGGCAGCCCAAAGAGAGGACCTGTGGGCTCGGGCAATGAGTCCAAGTATTTGGCGCGCTCCAAAGCCTGGTCCCATAGTAGCTCTGTTAAGCAATTGACCTTGCCACGTCAGTAAATGCCGTCACAAATTGCATTCAGACCTACAGAGGCTTGGGCAACCGCAGCCCGACGTAGGAAGGCGCGCGTGACTTCCTCAACCTTGATCTCCCGACTCCGTAACTTGGCTAGCAATTGCTTCACGGTATAGCTTTCCGTCAACTCAAGCTCTCGTGAGGTAAGCACGGAGGCAGGCACTTTTTGTGAATTCAGAGGCAGGCCCTGGGTAGCGACAGAAATCGCAGGCTCGACTTTGGCCAGCGATGCATCTCGGTGTTCACGAACGCTCGCGACTTTCGATTCCCACGACGAGGCCATGGTGCCGAGGCTCAGCTTGCAATGACCGATTCGTTCAGGGAGGTTCGGCGCCCAGCGTGATTGATATCAGAAGTGCGATATCTGGCGATATGTGCTGTAACTGTGTCAGTGAGGCATAAAAACTTGACAGTATGTCCAGCACGGAGTACAGTAGATGTGTTATCAGGTTGTACCCTTTTGAAAGTCGGTAGAACCCAGCTAAGGCATTGGATCCGAGAGGCCGGCAGTACTAATCGTCACCAGCGGAATTCGCCGCCCGCGGTTAGGGGCGGAGGGGTGTCGATTTAGACTTTTGGCTCCCTCAGGCTCAGCTGTCGCGAGTCCTGACGCGCTTTTGATGCTTGCTCGAGCAATCGAAGCCGAATTCCTTTGCCTGTGCCACCAATGTCCAGGTACGGCAAGCACTTTGCACAGCCGAAGCCGAAGACCGGCCAGGCTGTTCGCGCGACAACAACACAGTGAACCAGGGCCTTGACAGGGTGAACGGAGGCGCACTGCTCTGCGGACGCTTCTGGCCTTGCTTTCGCGTTCTCTCCTGTTCACCCTTTCTTGTCACGATCCAGCACAGAGTTGCTCATGCAGCTCAATTGGACGCAGAGCGGCGGACCAGAGGAGTGCCAGGTAGTTCCGTCCGCTAAGGCTCCAGCGGGACTGGACGAGCATGTCTTTGATTCGTTGGCAACAGACATGCTCCTAATGTCTCGTACGAGAGCGACCCCGAGCTCGCACCGCAACCCAACGTCAAACACTGTATACATATGGTGCTTATCACTTCCTGGCGCTTCGAATGCATCTGCTCCAGTTCCCAAATCACAATCACGATGACCCTTTATTACGGTCAATCTGGTGAGATAGACAGCTAATGTCTCCAGCTCAGTGCCACGGAACAGTCCTTGACGGCCAGACGATCCCCATGGGCATCAATAGTGGCAGCGGATGAGCCCTGTCGTATCTGCCCAGCGTTACCAGCAGTAAGCATACGGGTTCCAGGCTGTGTGACGAGGATCCCACCCTAGGTCCCAGTTCGCGAGAGCCATCGGAAGCCGCAAAAGGCCAGCATGAGGCTCTTCGACTAGGCCTGCTGTGCAAGACTGATATCTGGACTGCTGGAAGGTGCTGGAGCAGAAAGTCAGGACCCCTGGCTGGATGCTGACCCTCGTCGAAGCGTTATCAGATATACATCTTGTCCGTTTAGTCTCACTACCTCATCCTGTCCGAACGCCACCATCAGCACCGTCTGCATACAGTGATGCGCGGACGCCAACGAAAATGGTGGCACGGGATTGTTTTGAGTTTGGGTCGATGGACGGCCCGGTCTCAGTCCAGTCGCTGGTCAAAGTTATAGCGGAGATGGGCGTGGGAGGTGCCTGCCCCACGCCCTGGAACACGGCCCAGGCTACTATGCAGGGTCCAGAGATAGGTCTACAATATTTTGAGAGGTGTGTCAACCGAAGAGTGTTTTGCTAACAATCCACCCGACCAAACACTTGCCTGACTTCGAGCGCCTTTGCTAGCCATCCGCATCCCTGCCGAATCAACATTCGCCAAGACTCTGCAGCCAGTGACTTGTGTTGTTCCGCCACAAGCACCTAGCTACGGTCACCAGAAAGAACAGTCCATTCGTTGCAAACATGGCCACATCCTCCACCGCGTCGCCGCAGAGCGCAGTGCTGCATCGCTCGCTCAGATCTTCACCCCTGACAGTGACCTCAGCAAACCGCCACACCCTCAACTTTTCCGACGGCGGCAGCATGCTCGACTCAACCTGCGGCGCCGCCGTCTCGTGTATCGGGTATGGCAACAAACGAGTGCGTGACGCTATGATGGCGCAGCTGGACAAGTTTGCCTATGTCAATAGCATGTTCTTCTCCACACCGATCTATGAAGAGCTTGCGGCGGAGTTGATCAGAGGGACTGAGGGCAAGATGGCGAGGGCGCTGATGATGTGCTCAGGGAGTGAGGCTATGGAGGCCGCGCTGAAGATGGCAAGGCAGTACTTCGTGGAAAAGGGAGAGTTGAAGAGGTCAAAGTTCATCGCAAGGGAGAGCAGCTACCACGGGACGACGTTGGGATCGTTGGGAGTTAGTGGACACGTTGGGAGGAGAGCGCTGTTCGAAGGTACTGGCATGTTGGGCGCTAACGTGGGTAGAGTGAGTGCCTGTTACGCATACAGAGGCATGAAGGAGGGTATGACAGAGGAGCAGTATGTGCAGATGCTGGCGGACGAGCTCGATAGGAAATTCGAGGAGATGGATCCGGGGACTGTCTGCGCATTCATTGCCGAGCCAGTTGTGGGTGCTGTGAGTCGGGCTACTTCGTAACCACCTTCGGACACTGACTTCAACAGGCTCTGGGTTGTGTTCCCGCCGTGCCTGGATACTTCAAGGCCATGAAAGCAGTGTGCGACAAGCATGGCGCCCTATTGATTCTCGATGGTAAGTCTCACTATGGCGATGTCTAACATGTTGCTCATGTGTCGCAGAGGTTATGTCTGGAATGGGACGGTGTGGAACGCTTCATGAGTGGCAGCAAGAAGGAGTGGTGCCTGACATCCAGACCCTCGCAAAAGGTCTGGGAGGCGGCTATGTTCCTGTGGCCGCTATTATGATCAACCACAAGGTCGAAGATGCACTTTCGGCAGGCACCGGGTGAGATGGGCTCCATGATCGCATGAAACGTGTGCTGACCATTTCCCAGGGCCTTTGCTCATGGCCACACATATCAAGGTCATCCAGTATCTTGCGCGGGAGCCCTCGAAGTGCAACGCATCATCCGAGAGGAGAATCTTGTTGCCAATGTCGCCCGCCTTGGTGTCATTTTCGGCGATCTGTTGCACCAGGCACTCGACTCACACCCATGCGTGGGCGATGTTCGAGGGAAAGGGCTCTTCTGGGGCGTGAGTAGCCCCGTAACGCCATGGAAAGGTTCACTGACTGAATCGACAGGTCGAATTCGTTGCGGACAAGAAAACGAAAGAGCCTTTTTCAAGAGCAAAGAATGTCGCTAATGCCGTCCATCACGTTGGCCTGCATAGATACGGCATCAGCTTGTATCCGGGCATGGGAACCAAAGACGGTATCCTCGGCGATGTCGTGTTGATTTGTCCCGCGTACAACAGCACAGAGGACGAGATCCGACACATTGTCAAAAAGGTGAAGCAGACGGTCGACTGGACGTTTAAGGACCTGGAGAACAACGACAGCTCACTGTTTCGGGCACAGCCTGCATCTAGGCTATGACATGCGTCCTCGGCCGAGCCTTACTGAATCGAAGTGGTGGTGTCGAAGTGCATGTGCGGCAGGGTGGCCTTTGTGTTGGGTCTCGGCATCTAATACTCAATCTGGCATTCTTTCTGGTTCCTCTTCAGGTGACTGTGACTGCAGGTCGACCTGACTCTGCCTTTGTTTCAATGTGACAACTGGATTCTGGATGCTTTCTTGGCACTCCCCCATTTGATACAATTCAGTCAATCCCAGACTGCCGCACTGCAACTCGTGGCTTTTACTTCATCACCTAAGTCTCTACGCTAATCGACCAGCTGTCCTCCGTCGGTCACCTTGAACGCCCTCAAGCATCAAAGGCGTCAAGAAGAGTAGCGCCGGCACTAGAACCACTTGTCCCCTCAGCCAGAATGCCCTCCGACCTTCTCAGACCTCCTGCAACATTCTCATCACTATCCACAGAAATCCGCCTCATGGTCTATGCATTTTGCGAGGAGCATGTTCGACATACATACATGGTACAGAAAACAAAGAAAGGACAATTCAGCTTGGACGTCGCCATACACCCACTTACCACTCTCCTGCTTCGACAGCCGCTCCTCCAAGTCTGCAGACTGATCAGATCGGAGATTCTGCCAAGTCTCACAGAGCACGTTTCGCTTCGAATCGACTGGAACGCCTTCGACCATGTTCCCAGTCCGCTGGCGCCCCTCCCAAGAGAGTACTTGGAGAACGTATCTGCTGTCACGATCAAACTAGACGCCGAATACGGCTCTCCTCGCCACTTTGGCTTTGCCTATCTCCTCAGACGTGTTCCTAAGGCGAGCCACGTCAAGGTCAAGATCATTAATCTGGTCAATCCGGCAACCGATGTTCCTGGTCGTCCACGCATCAACGGGCACGACGCTGAAGCACATATGGCTGAGTTGTACAACTTGTTATCGTCAAGCTACGCAAACGAGTTTCCCAGCAAGAACTTCAGCTTGAAATGTAAATATGGCGAGTTCCACTCGTTTGCAGGATTCTCGGCAGACGATCGCATGTCTCTCAGGCTTGACGGGCCTCTGCTCCGTGGTAAACTGAACAAGAATATCAAGAAGGCACAGGCGGCCGATGCGGCTTTGAGGACAGTGAGAGTTACAGATCAGCTGTTCAATCTGGCTCGTGCTAGGCGCGACAACAGAATTGGGGTTGTTGCGGCACCTACTTGCAACAACGACAGCTGGGATATCGGGTATCGAAGAATTCTGCATAGCGCTGGCCTAAACTACTTCCAGCTCGCGCGTGAGTAGCGAGCTGTCAGAAATCGACACTGGTGCAAGGTAGAATGCTCCGGGACCACTTTAGAAGCAGAGTGCTATGGACGCTGGCTTGGATCAGTATCGTCAAGCTGCTGTCCTCTAATGACTCAAGACAACATATCGCCTTGCTGCGATCTTGGCGCAATCACAGATGCAGCCCGCCCTCCCCACCATCATCATCGTCATCCTCGTCGCCGATCCTGTCCATCATCTGCCGCCTCAGCTCCTCATCTGATAGCTTCCCACCCGAACCGTTCACACCATTGCTCTGCCCAGTAGCATCACCATTGCTTTTCTCCTCGTCATCCTCATCATCGCCCTCATGCCAGACCCTCCCCCTCCGTTCAACCTCCGCCCTCAACAAACCTACCCGCTCTCTCTGCCGCGCAATCACCCGCTCATTCTCCTCGATCGCCTCCAGACACTCCCTGTCGCCTACTTGCTCCCTCACCTCGCCACTCAATGTCCCATCGTTCCTAATACTGTCGCTATACTCCTTGAGTTGTGCATTGGAGCGCTGTAGATGACTAATCGAGTTCTGAATTTCGTGCGCTTTGGTGTAGATGGTTTCGAGAGGCAGGTCGCGGATGGCGAGAGCGAATTGGGAGGCGGGAATTGGGCGGGTTTCTGCTGACATTTTGTATCTGTTGGTGTGATGTGTGTGCCGTGGTGCGTAGGAGAACGACCAACTGGGGTGGCGCGAAGCCTGTATAGTCGCAGTATTGGCGATCAATCGGAGCGTGCAGTGCGGCGACAGTAAGATTGCACTCGTAACGAAGAGGATCAGCAGATATCTACAGTGCTTTCAAAAAGAGGCAAACAGTCAGGCGCTATTAGAGAAATGACGTCCGCCTGAGGTTGCCTTCTCGGCTTCATTTTCAGGCGGCAGATTAGGTGCCAAGGGGCTACGGGCCAACCCCATTGGGGATGAAAGTTGGATCTGTTGCTTGTATTTCTACAAGTCCTTTATATTAAAGGTCACGCCTGCTATAGCCGAGTCTCCGCCTGAGGCGAAGACTTCCTATTGAGCAGTATCCAAAGACCCAACAGGGCACCAACCCCAGTAGCTGCAACCCTAACCATATTGTTCGCCTTCCAGCTCTTCAGTAAGCGCAGAATTTCCTGCGCGCCCAGCTTCTCCTGCTCAACCGCATTATTCTCACACTTGATCAGCGTCTGGATCCCTTTCGCCATGACGAGCTGCGTGTACGGCAGTGGCACGAGCGAAAGTGCCGCCGCAACAGCGAGTTCCGTCCTATAGCTTGGCAGTACGTATGCGGCGTATCCGAAGGCCGTTGTAGATGCGACTGCTAGAGGCGCAACGACAGCAAAGCCGCGCCAGTAAAACTTCGTGAAGATTCCAGTCTGGACTTGGGGTGTATGTTTGTAGAGTAACGGGATGACCATTTGCGACGAGCTGAAGAACACGCCGGAGCAGAATGTGCCAGCCGCGATGCCGGCGGCGATGGATAGGTCGCCTGGGTGCATCTTGGAAGAGTGTGGGATGTTCTGAGAGTACGCTATTGCTGCAATTGGTGTCGCCACGATCTTTCAAACGTTTTTCGCCGACACGACTTGAAGGTGTTGGGGTGGCAGAAGACAGGATGAACAGCTGTCTGTGGACTGTTCCCCAGTTCCTTCTTGGACAGCGTGCTGTTTATATATCGCTTTGGCACACGCGAAGCTACAGTCGGTTCAATGTTCCCTCTTCCGCACGTAGGCATGGCTTGGTTGGGAGCTATGCTTTGGACGGATCCGAGATAGGCAGGCGTGGGGCCCAGAGTCAGCCTAGACTGGTGATTGGCTTGCCCCTGCCAATCTGAACTCTGACAGATTGATACGGCCGTTCTGGCTCATGAATGTATGGCGTCTGCAAAGGCGATGAACTCGTCAACGCCTTTCAGAAAGGCATCATCTGATGTAGGCTGGCGGTCGTGGTCCCAGACAATCATTTCCTTGATCTCGGAGATGGTCTCCAACAATTTAGGTGGCTCTTCGGACTCCTCGTCTTCGTCATCTGAATCGCGTGCGGCCGCGAACGTTGGCTGTGGTGCCACAGCTTTATGCTCTGTCGACTTGACAACCAGACCTGGACGGTTTAGCTGAACGGCGTCGGCTTCGTTGATCTCATGCTCACCTTCATATCCTTCTGGTACTGGCACTGCGACACCCTTCAATCGTCTGCCACGAAAGTACGCGGTCTTACATCCATCTGAGGCGTCTTAGCTTCTGGCAGTCAACACAAGTAGCAGACTTACCCTTCTCCGTCGTTACTTGCCAGTATCTCTTGGTCACTTTCGTAGGGCCATTGTGGTGTATCCTGCACGGCAGTACATTGGCCGTGCAGGAGTCAGCTCTCTTCGCTTTTTGTATGGCGAGCATAGCGACTCAACACCTACCACGAATTATATAGCGATGATGTTGTATGAAATACGACTCGGGGCATTCTGGGTAGGACAACAACGCGTCCAGGGTCAGGCGCGTCTCGCCGACCTTAACGCGCCAAGCGAGGGCGGGGTAGTCGGCCTGCACTACAAAATGTTTGGTTTGCCAACGATTGCAGGAGAGCCATGGTGTCTCTCGGCTATCTGATGACTGAGCCTAAGCTGGCGCGATATACATTGTGGACAGTGATTGCCACGGCTACTTTAGTAATTATTACGGGCCGCTGGGAAGAGGGTACAAACTTCGTATTTGGCGACGCAAACGAAGGCCTGCAAAGCACGGGTCCGAACCACCGGCGGGGATAAATCTGCTGCCCGATCGTCAGGAACCAGCACCACGCTACATCGGAAATACAAAGTCTTGTCGTCATCATGCGTCCCCTACAACGCGTGCTTTGGCTGCCTCGACGCCCGACATTCTCCAACAAACCCAAAAATTATTCCTGCAGATGAGGGGCATGTGAAGCAACGAAAGTGAATCCATTGCTTGCTGACGAGCAGACGACGGGATGTTGAGCTAGGGGACGTCGAGACCAGAGTGAGGATCGCCAGCAAACTATTCCGCCGTGGACATTGTGAATAGTAAGCTCGCGAGCAAGCGAAACCTACGCCACGCGAAGGATCTTGACTTCACCACTGTCACCTCACGCATTGCAGGTACCCCACCAAATGCGAAGGTCGCTGGTGCATTTTTGTAAATTCATCATGCGCTCTTGCCCGCCGGACCCGGGGCAGATCTTTCTAGGATGTCCTTTTTCTGTTCTCAACATTGTGTCTTTCCTCGAACATTGCGCACGGGATCTCAAGAGCTAACGGACGACAACGTGTCCTGCAAAACTCAACCATGATTATCTAGGCTTTCAAAAGGTGCAATGATGGCCGGACTGATCGCGTCCGCGCTGGACTCAGTTCGTGGCTACGCTGGCTCGCTGGCATGGGGGCCACTGGTCAACATCTCAAAGTCTACCATACTGAGCTTGCTCGGCAACATCCAGTGCGGCCAGCTCACGGTTATCGAGCAGGATGGGACCACCACAGTCTGCGGGAATGCTGCCGGCGGCACTAGAGACGACCCGATCACGACTCTCGAAGTCAAGCGCGATGCATTCTGGTTGCGACTGGCTCTCTTTGCCGACATGGGTTTCGCCGAGAGCTACATGCTGGGCGAGGTGAAGTGTCCAGATCTTACAGCATTTTTCCGAGTACGCATTGTCCAGCAAGTTCCAGCAACCCACTAACCGCCCAGATCTTCATCCTGAACCGCACGTACCTTGCCAATGGCTCGACATTCACCTCGACTCTTTCCACTGCCATTAGTGGTCTCCTGCGAAAAGCTAACACCCTGCCGAACGCCCTTCTCAACATCAGCGCACACTACGACATCAGCAACGACATGTTCTCCGCCTTCCTCTCCCCCGATCTGACTTACTCGTGTCCGATCTGGGCGCCCCTCTCCTCTCGAAAGCCGAACTCTGCCGAAGAGTCCCTCGAGTCCGCACAATACCGCAAACTCGACCGCTTCATCGACAATGCCCGCATAAAACCGACCGACCACGTCCTTGAGATCGGCACTGGATGGGGCAGCTTCGCGATTCGTGCAGTCCAACGCACCGGCTGCCGCATCACGTCCTTGACCCTTAGTGCCGAACAGAAAACGCTCGCGGATCGCCGCATCGCAGATGCTGGCCTGACAGAAAACATAGAGGTTCTGCTTTGCGACTATCGTGCCCTGCCTATGCCGACTACAGGCCCCTATGACAAGGTTGTTAGTATCGAAATGCTCGAGGCTGTCGGACGCGAGTTCCTGATCACATACTTCGAGTGCATCCATAAGCTACTCAGGTCGGACGGCGGTATCGCGGTATTCCAATGCATTACCATGCCAGAGTCTCGATACGAGGCGTACGCCCGCAGCGAGGACTTCATTAGGAAGTACATCTTTCCCGGCGGCCATCTGCCGACAGTGACGCAGTTGGTGGACTCGATACATGCTGGAGGTAAAGGACTGCTTGTGGTGGACAACATTGAGAATATTGGGACACACTACGCGAAGACGCTGCGGATATGGAAGGAGAACTTCTTGAACAACTTCGAGCAAAGGATACGGCCAAGTCTGATAGCGGAGCATGAAGGCATGACAGAAGCGGATGCGCAGCTGTTCAAAAGGAAGTGGGAGGTACGTTTGCCTTATTTAGTGTCTTGCTGCGGAGCTTTGCTGACTTGAATGCTCTAGTACTACTTCACTTACTGTGAAGCCGGGTTCAATACTCGAACGTTAGGCGACGTGATCATCACCGTCTCGCGAGAAGGGGCCATGGAGCTGGCGGAGGATATACCCTTGTGAAGCATTCTAGCGCTCGTCCATGAAGCATTGATGTTGGAATAAGGTTGTTGTTACGAGCCCCACGGCCTCGCAGAATGAACGAACGAGCGAGTGAGCGAACATGCCATCAACAGGTGCATGGCTTTCCGTGTGGTGAAAGGAATATATCTCCGGCGATACCACGGAATGATGATCTCCCTTAACCACCTACCAGACCTGTCCATGGCTGTCATAGCTGGAAACATGCACTCTCATGTCCGTCGATATCTTCACACCCTCTGATCCGTCCTCCGGTCCAAAGACCCTCGTGTTCACCCTCATTGCGAGTCGTTGCCTACTTAGGTAATTTCTAGGTACCAAAGACTTGTTGGATCACCAGCGGCAGAATATCGGCAATGCTTCTGCTTCTCCGCATTTACTTCTAAAAAGTTGCCCGAGTCCTTTCCTCTCCAAGTTACAGTCACACTGCACTTACCTTACAGACGTGCAAGCCCGCAATGAATGATCTCGAATGTAGCGAGCATGAGCGGTAGCGCCCTGTCTTCCAACTGGAAGCAGTTGCAAGCCAAGCTCAAGGCGGACCAAGCATCCTCGACCCCGGGCTCGACGCCTGATTCTGCTGCAGCACCCGCATGTGCTGCGGCGGGAAAACGTAAGCGTGACCATAACGCTGCCGTCGAATGGGGCAGCCGAGGCGGCGGCAGGAAAGAGAAGTGGGTCAAGCGTGATGGTGCAGAGATCGTTCACGGCAAGAGCGCACGACATACCAGCCAAAGCAACCACAACAGCAAGCCGGGCTCCAGACAGAAGAGCAAGCACGTCAAGATGAACGGCCATGCAACAACTCCCACAGCCACGAATGGCACCACCACGACGGCCACAAGCCAACCCTCGAAGTCCGACTCCCTACACACGACCAAGCTCAACGCAGGCCTCACCTCCTCCCTCCCACTCGGAAAATACATCGCCCTCGACTGCGAAATGGTCGGCACCTCCCACCCTGCTCACCCCTCCATCCTCGCCCGCGCCTCTCTCACGACATACACCGGCGCCCAACTCTACGACTCCTACGTCCTCCCCCGCCCCACTGATGCGCCCATTACAGACTACCGCACCCCGATCTCCGGCATCACGCCCGCGTGCTTGCGCCCGGGCGTCGCGAGGCCGTTTGAGGAGGTCCTGTCCACCATAAAGCAGATTTTACGGGGGAGGGTGTTGGTAGGCCACGACCTGAAACACGACCTGCGGGTCCTTGACAATTTAAAACATCCGAAAGCGGATACACGGGACACAGCGCTGTATCGGAAATTCCGCGACGAGGTGAGTGGAGGCGGGTGGCCGAGACTCAAGGATCTGGCAGAGCGGTATCTGGGGTTGGGGGAGGGGGAGTTCCAGGCGGCGATCGAGGCCATAGTAGTGTGGAAGATGCGAGGGTCGCGATGATGTTGTTTCGGTTGGAGAAGGTGGGGATTGAGGGAGAAGTTAGAGGCCGGTTTGGTGCTGGTGTTAGCGGTACGTCGTCAGGAGGGAAGATGGGGAAGGTGGCTGGGAACAGCAATGCCTTTCTGGATGACCGTGCTGAAGGTGAAGGAGTCGGGCGTCAAGGCTTGGACGACGAAGACGATGATGAGGATGAGGGAGATGATCACGACGAGGATGAAGACCAAGGCCAGAACGGCGTCGATGGGCATCATACATCAAGCAAGCCTAAGAAGAGGAAGGGCAAGAAGAAAAAGAAGAAGCGAAAGTAGAGCAGACGCCGTACCTGGGTATCTGACAATAACTCAAATGATGGCCGTGGGTCTCCTTTTTCGGGTTCTTCGGGAGTCCTTCATCGGTCTGAGGCTCTGAGGCCTTCCAATCCATCTGACACCGATCAGCACGGTGGACTCAGCTGAAGCCGGTTGACAAGGAGGTCGGCAGACGGATTGACTACTCCTCGCGATTGTCGTGCCAGACACCCTTGTGCGGCAGGAGCGGCCAGCTGACTGCACCAGCACCTACATGGCAGGACATTTTCCTCCAGTAGGAGCGACTGGCTGGTGGCATTCACAACTGCGTCGCTGGGTACCCGCCTGCAGCTGGAACGCTTGGCTGGTGGCATTCACACCTGCCTTTCCGGATGCTTTCTGAGGCAGGAGTGCCCAGCCGACGGCATTCGCACTCACCCTTCCAGATAACGCCCTGCAGCAGGAGCATCTAGCTGACTACAACGCACCTGACTTGCTGGGTAGTTTCTGCAGCGTTGCAGGAGCGAACGACTGAGGACTATTCGCACTTGCTTCTCTCGCTACCTTCTGCGACAGGGGTGATCGATGGGGAGCACTCGCTTCCGGATCGCAGTCATGACTGTTGGCAGGAGCGCTGTGTTGAGGAACTGACTGGAAGGCGAAGGGGCCAGATGGAGAGAGAACGAGAACAAGAATAGACAGTTTTGTAGATGCAGAACCGTTCAAGACCGGCTGACGGGCGGGCTCACACGAGACCGGATGACAGAGATTTCGATGAGACTTATCTATCGCCGGATGATAAAGACTTTCGACCGAAATTGCCAGTGCGTGCACGTTCCTTTGTCGTAATGCCAGTGGAGGCCGTCCGGGGGACAATCTGGGTTTGCGGATGCGACACGTAGCTGCGAGAGAAGTTGAATCGAGAATATGACAACTTTACACCCCAGGGAGGACTTCAGGACACGAAAATCTTGGGCCGTATGAGATCGGAACTTTCGTTCGGTGACGACTATCTGATCTACATCTGATGATTGTGTCAGACGACAATGAAGTCGCGATGACTTCCTGCGGAGAGCCAACTCACAATCATGTCAGATTTCGCCGAGGTGCCGATGAAGTCGGCGGCCAGAATTTTCTCCCAGCAAAATCCTGCCAGAGGCCTCCCTGGCCAGATCTTCAGATAGACATATTGTCAACCATCCAGTCACCACCCGTAGCGACCACATCCTCCAGCTCCAGTTCCTTCGGCAGATAGCGCTCAACACGTGTTCCAGCCACGCTTCCACCCTCCAAAGCAGCCCTCGCAGCCCTCGTCTTGCGCTTCGGTCCTCCTGAGCTACCCTGAGAGCCTGCATCGATCTCCTCACGCTGGCGCGCGATCTGTTGGTCTTGGCGGGCGATCTGGCGGACAAATGGCGCGACTTCGGTTACGACAGAAGTGGCATTGGAGTCCAAAGACGCAGCGGTGCGACCTTGTGGGGGTGGGAACGTTCTCATATCGTCGTGTAGAGGCTCTAGAGCGGCAAAGAACGCGTCCTGGCGGAGCATGTTTGAAGGGTCGGCGTTGTTGAGGATGTGGTAGGAGATGTCGATGCGCGTGATTGGTTTGCGGCGGTTTGAGCGGGCGGCAGCGGCGGTAGAAAGCATTGGGAGGATTGAGTCGTCGCAGACGTCCATGAAGCTGTGAGCAGATGCCATGTTCTCAGCCTCCTCGAGTTGCTTCAGCTTGGCTCCGACATTGGTTCCTACTTCAGTTGCGAGTAAACTTTGGTTCTTCTGCCACTCCATGATCGATACATCCAGACTGTTCTGAGCGAAGGCAAGGAGGTCTTGGTCGCTGTGGTGAGGGTCTGGAACGATGTTTATGTACTGAGTGAAGGTGTCCTGGGATACAATTCGGCGTGAGCCAGTTTCCGCCGCGTTCTGGTCAGAGCGTTCAACGTTGTGGATCCAATCGAGTCCTCCCATCTTCGAGCCGACAGTCATCTGACACCAGAAATCGAGCTCTTCTAGCGCTGCACGTAGGTCCTCACCACGACTGATGTAGAGTGCACGAATTGCAGCTCGCTCAAGGAGGTGACCTTCAGCTGCGGCAACATGAACGAGGTGCTCAACTGCTGCTTCGATCGGAATCGTCTGGTAGTGCAGAATAGCAGCAACGTCGAGCTCCTCCATGGGAAGTGACTGCAGGCTATTGCATGTCATGACGACTGGTCGCTTCGAATTGGCCATGATGGTCTGCACGCCGCTCCAGAAGGTCTTGTCTTCCTCGAATAACACATCTACCTCTTCGAACAGAATGAGAACCTGCTTCTGCGATGCCGTTTCCTTTGCTTCCACTGATGCGACAATGCTCTCGACTGATTTCTGTCCAAGGAATGTCCCGAGAGACTTCTGTTTCGGATCTGGCTTCTGCACCTCGACAACACTGTCTTGAGAGTCGCTCACAACGCTTGATGCACGGCTGAAAGGTGTTGAAGCTTTGTTGGTCTGGACCATGTGGTTGTGTGTCACGTCTCCGACCTTGTCGTAGATGTCTCTAGCAGTTCTTCTCATGCCTGGGTGGATCTCGAAGACCTCGAAGCCGACTTCTCGTGCCGCAGCGTAGACCGAAGCTGTCTTGCCACAACCATGCGGACCACAGATGATTATTGCATTCTTGACCGATGCTCCCTTACTATCGTCTTCGTCGTCAGAGACGAGGAAATCATCGAGGTCACTGGCTCGCTTCTTCCGTCCTTTCTTCTTGGGACTTCCTTGGCGCTTGTTCTTCTTGAGTTCTGACAACTTCGTCTGCACGTTGTGGACCTCGAGCTTCTTTAGCCATTCTCTGAAATCGCTTGCTTGTGGCTGGAGTACCTCAGCGGTCGACTTCGGAGCATAAGCGTGCGTCCAATCGAGTGGACCGGCGGGCAAGCCCTTGTCGAATGCACTCTGGTCGTTCATGATGCGTCGTTGTAGATCGACAAGGTTTGGTGTGATCTGCACGTTGACTTTGCCCTTTTGTACTTGTTGAAGCAAGTCTTTTCCAGTTGTACGCCACTGAGTCGGAATGTGCAAAGATTTGTCTGTGTTTGCGGAGAGAGCAGTCTTTAGCTTGGACGCAAAGGCGTTCAAGATATCCTCCTGCGCGGAGATGTTGACTTGCTGAGCTTTCTGTTTGGATCGAGTCGCGTCAGTCGCGACAGTCGCATGTGACACTGTCGGCTTGTCGACGCCGATGTGTTGCAACTCGAGAGGCACCCAGGGTACGGAAACGAGCTGGCTATCTTTGGCGCGTATTGCCTTGGTATTGCTCAAGCCGAGATCATTCCACGACTTGACAGGCTTTGACTGCGTAGTAACGTCTTTAGCCGATGAAGTATCGCTCAGTGCCGTGTCCTGCTTCTGAGGCGCAGCCTTGCCTAAGAAGAATGGGTGGACGACCTTTGGTTGCTTGGGTGACTTTGCTGTTGCCACTCGTTTGATCATAAATGCCGAGGATTGCGCTTCTTGGACAACCTCAGGCTTCTCCGCCTTTTCCTGCTTCAAGATCGCTTCGATCTTCTGACCAAAGGAGGTGGGATCCTTCGAGACATTCGTGTACGAAATAGTGAGTTGTTTCGAAGCCACTAGGCGACCGTTCTTGAAAGCCAACTTGCCAGACTGTCGATTGCTACGTCTCGTTGGCGTTGCTTTCTTCGGACGTTTCGGCGTAGACGCCAATGTGCCCCCGGCGCGCTTCGCCATCGTGTCCGGTGTCGATGGTGGGTCGAGATGATCTTCCAACGATTCTTCTGCGGTTTGTGGTGGTGGTGTGGGAGGAAGATCCTCAAGAGTGCTGCGACGGTCCTGATCTGGCTCGACGGGTGGGGCACCATCCTCATTGTAAACATCCTCAGTGACTGGTGGTAGCGTCTGTTGGTCCGGCACTTCACTTGCGGCACTCACCAGCTGACGAAGCCATGGTTCATGGTTGGCAGGAGCAACCTCCTGCCCGTTTTCTTCCTGAGTGAGCTTAGCCTTAAGGCAGGTGCCCTCCGCTGGCGTCAACTTCCGTCTTTTGCGTCGGTCCGAGTTGGGGTCGACTTCGAAGTCATCCACGGTGGTAGCTCCTTCCTCTGACATGACGACATCCCGGTCATGCTCTTCTCTGGACGGTCTGGTGGCTTCTGTGCCTTCAGTCTCGCTGGACTCATGTGCCTCCGCTGGATTCGTGGCGGGCCGCTCGTCTGCTCGTGGCAGCTGCCGTGACTGGCCCCGAGGCGCTTCTCTCAGGTAAGTGAATGAATCTTCCAGGACGAGTTCAGTCCATACCTGGACAGAAGAAGGGATGCATGGTGGTAGACCGAAGTTGAGGCGTTGGGAAGCCATCTCCGACCAGCGTCGCCATGCATCCGGTCCACGGACGCCTTCTCAACTCTGGATACCCTTTGCTGGTTGTGGGACATTCGATCTCATCCTATGCAGTCATACAAAGCCTCTTCTACACAAACAAATGGTCAGACATCATGATCTAGGGAGTGCAGGCAAAAGCAATAGTGGTGAGCGGAACGTCATGCACGGAAGTCGCGTCTGGTTCAGACGACGCGTTTTCTCCACGGCTATACTTCGGCCCAGCATATTTGCCCACATTTACAGGCAACAGCAGACACCTACCACAGGAAGACTCATGAGAGCAGAGAGGACTAAGGTAAGGACCAGAGTGAGCATTCTTCTAGACCTGACCACTGCTTGGACAGCTTTGCGTTAGGTGGCAGGGGCACAATTCACAGGATGAGCCTTCATCCTCTACATGCAGCACTACTCACTCAAATGGTCTGTCTAAGATCTTTGTCCTCCTTGCAGATGAGCTTGCTCTTCACTCTCCTCGCTGTCCCTCTCGAACCCAAGTCGCTGCCTTCGCCTGGACAGCCTCGATCTTATCCTCATCGCCGCCCTTCTGCTCGAACTCAAGCCACCTCTTGAAGAAGTACTTGGCCTGCTTTGGCTTCAACTTACTTGCCGTGACCCGCTCAAACAGAGTCCGGATCTGCTCCTCGTCCCCGACCTTCAGCTCCAGATCCAGGAGCACATTGTACAAGTCGATGCGCTTGGGGAAACTTGCGATCAAACCTTCGAAGATTGTACGTCCGCGCTCGGGCACGCCTGCTTCGGACTTGAATTCCAGCTGTGCGAATTTCGACGTCACATCCAGGTGCGTGAATTGGGGCAGCGTTTGAAGTGCTCGCGGGAGGATGTCTCTAGCTTTATCTGCATCACCCTTGGTGTCGAAGAGGAAAGTCGCGTAGTTGGTCCAGATCTTGGGGTCTTGCGTATATTTCTTGAGCATCGTTTGAAACAGGTCATCGGCCTTGTCGTACTGGTGAGCTTGTATGAGCCCACTAACAAGCCGACCATGCATATCTTTGGGGTCGTTGTATTCGCATGCGCGCTGAAAGATTGCATCCAGGCTGTCGTCATCCCCATGAGCGACTTCGAGATTGAGCAGTGCTACCCAAATGTTCTGCTTCTCGGCATCTTGGCCTAAGCCGATTGACTTAAGAGCACGTTCTCCGATCTGGCGTGCTTCATCAACATCGCCGAGATTCATGTGGAAAGCCATGTACTGCAGCCAAAGCATTGAGGAATCGGCATCGCTTAGCAGGAGACGCTCGAAGTCATCGGCGGATTGGGGTCCGTGGGCGTCGAGGTCACCCGTTCGGTCGATCTCGATATCTGCGCGTTTCTTGCGTTTCTTCGGTTTCTCGACCGCAGCTTCCTCGTCACTGTCCGCAGCAGCCAATGTACGTTTGCTGCTTGATGGCGTTGAGATGCCGTGCCAGTCAAAGCCGCCGACTTTGAGCGTTATCGGTTGTGCTTTGGCGGTGGCCTTAGAGGCCTCGTCGTCTGAGTTGCTCTCGGAGGCATCCACCTCTGCGTCATTCACATCGGCGGCTTCCGACTCATCATCGTCAATAGATGTACCGCCCTCTTCATCCGCAGAGCTGTCTTCAAGATCTTCATCTTCCACGCCGTTGTCAAGACCCTCAATGTCGGCATCCGATTCACCGGCTTCCTGGACCTCGTCTTCGAGCTCCTCTACGCCACCAATGTATGACGCTTTGAGCCCGAAATTCACCTGCCGCTTACCAAGGTCAACCTTGAGAATCTTGGCTTTGACAGCATCTCCTTCTTTGAATAGCTTGCGGGCGTCTTCGATCCGTCGTTCAGCAATCTCGCTTCGGTGGCATAGACCTCTGATCTTCTCTGAGTTGTCCACAAGGATGAAAACGCCAAATTCCGCAACCTTTGCAACCGTGCCAGTCACGATATCGCCGACATGTAGATCCGTAAACTTCATGGGAGGCTTGTAATCTGTGGAGATGACAGACTCCTTGAGACTCATCTGTATGTGACCTGAATGCTTGTCAACGGAGATTACCTTGCCTTTGACGAGCTGGTCGCGCTGGAAGCCGTCTTTCCATTCTTTGAGATAGTCGTCGGACAGATTGCTGACGCGAACAAAAGCCGTGAAGCCGTGTCCCAGCGTCACGAAAATGCCCTTCTCATCGACGTTGCGAATGAAGCCTCTATACACATCGTTCACGTTGATCTGAGCGATGTTGGTCAGCTCCGGATCTGCGACAGGCAGCGACGAGCTCAGGATCTTGGAGGGTCTGGTCGACAGCGAGACCTTCTTGTTCGGCACATCGACACGGACAACACACGCCCTGACGATCTCGTTCTTCTGGAATGCTGCAGTGTTTGCGTCCCTATAGTCGTCAGCTAGGTCAATCAGGTCGATGGCGCCCGCTAGGTCATCACTAAGAGATAGGATAACCTGGCGATCCGATAGCTTTGTGACTCTACCAGCCAGTATCTGACCAACAGCCAAGTCGTTGATCGTCAGTGATTTCGCCAATCCAGTGGATCTGCCCGACAGGTCCAGGCGGCCTTTGGCAGTATCCACTGACGTTACGCGAACGCGAAGGGCCGATCCGATGGGGAAGTTGGTCTCGACATCAGCTGCGGTGGCTAGGTCATCGGAGAGGTCGGTGTTCATTATTCGACCACGCACAGATGGTGAGATATTCGCCCAAACATATTGGCTTTCAATGTTGTTGACGAATGCAATATGGCTGTCGCCAGGTTTCAGATCTTCGTAGCCCAGTGTGCTAAGCTCAGTGCTGATGATGGCTTGCGGTCTTGCTGTAAGTTCGTAGACTGTGGTCTTGCCAGAGCGATGCGAGAGAGGAAGGAAGCGATGGGTCCGTGTGTCATGAGCACCGAGAATCCTCACATCAATGATCTGCTTAGGGGCAAACTTCTGTAAAGGTTTCTTGCGATCCTTGATGTCCTCCCACTGATCGTAAATTTCTGAGACATCGATACGGCCCTGTACATCTTTCGCAAGCTCTACATTCAGTTGAGACTCCTTGACGGATGAAATGCGTGCCTTGGTCACAGCACCAACAATCAGCTGTGCTTCCGTGGTAAGATTGGCGTCCACCGGCTCCACAAGTGCCTTGCCTGGTGAAATATCTGGCGCGTCTTGCTTCCCAGTCTCTACAGCAACTGACTCTTTCAGACTTAGCCAGAAGCGAGGAGTTGCTCCTTTGAAGTCGACCTTTGAAATTTTCGCCGTGACTGCCTGGAACTTGGTCATGCCGAAGTCTTCCTGCTCCGTCTGATCGTCAGGCAAGTTTTTGGTAGGAATCAAGGCACTGATTCGAGAGGCGAATGAGACGAAGACTCCGTCCGAAGTGATATTAGACACGAAGCCTGTCACAGCCTTATCAATCTCGAGGCCTTCAAAGCTTGTCAAAAAAGTACCCTTGGCAGCAGCTTTTGCAAGACTTTTGCGATTCGAAAGTATGACCAGATTGCGCTTCGCCTGGATGTCCAGGACAAGTAGGCCCTCGAGTGTTTGGCCGACCCGGATTTTGTCGAGGGCAGACTTGCGTTTCTTCAAGGACCCGTCGCTGACATGATCGACAGAGAGACGAGCGATGCTCGCACTACCCTCTATGCGCAGCAAGATATCATCCGATGCTTTCTCGAAGACTGTCCCATTGACCAAGGTGCCAGCTTTTAATGACGCTGCAGCGGACTCAGGCACTGATTTGAGAGCTGCTGTCTCGCGGCAGGAGACCGTCAGCCGCCTCAACTCCGGGTCTACGCTGAGCATATGGACTGTCATCACTTTCCCCACCTGGAAATGCTCTCGAGCGTCTTTGATGTAGGCTTCGCTCATCTCAGCTACAGGCAGGAAACCTTTGACGTCGCCAAAGAACTGGACGAGAGCTCCATTGGCATCTACTTTGATGAGTGTACCGATCGATGACTGCCCTTGTTGCACATCCCCGTATGTTGTCCACAGGCTCAAATCAGTGTTGACCAGAGTCTTCTTCGCGGTCAAGCGGATCTCGCGTTTGTTGGTGTCCACGTACAGCACGCGTGCCTTAAGAGTTACACCTTCTCTGAACTTCTTCTCTGGATTTGACAAAACAGCATCGGAAAGATGGATGTTAGGGATGAAGCCTGTGATGGTATCCGTGATCTTGACGATGAGACCCTTGATGCCTGCAGGGCCGATCAAGACCTTTTCGATCTTGACTAGGACTTTGTCGCCAGGTGAGACGTCTTGCAGCCGTAGGTATCGTTGGTCCAGCACAGACTGCTGCAGTGACACCCCGTACAACCCGTCAAATGCACCGAAATCTGTGATGCGGGCCTTGTGGGTGGAGCCGACCTTGAATGGCCCAGAGGTTGCACTGATTGCGTCGGTCTTGCCATCGGCTAGACGAGAGATGTGTGCAAATCCCATTGCATCTGAGCCGAGATCAAGATACGCACCCAGACCAGGCTCAATGCTGACGATTGTTGCCTTCGCAATGGTCGCACCGACCTTGTCTTTGTCTAGTGAGAAGTCAGTGTCTAGCTGAGACACGTGCGGCAGCAAAGAGAAGCCACATCTGCAGTCGTCTGTTGGGCCGATTTTGTAGAGGAGCCGACCCTTGACCTTTGCGCCGACTTTGTAGGACTCGGCGAAGGACTGTTTGTCTTTAAAAGCTCCGGAATGGAGAATGTCGGCGGTTGTGGTGAGTGCGCCCATTACTTTGCCAACCAATCCAGAGGCCTGAACTTCAGTCAGGAGAATCTCGGCGACAGTTCCAGGCAAGAACGCGTCGACAGTAGGTGGCGCTTTCGCTGCCTTTTGGACTGTGAGCGAAGCAGACAGGGACACGACCTTGGCGCTGGGATCGTTCTTGGCCACCTGGCACAGTAAGACGGCACCTTCTTTCATCTGGTCGAGCGACTGCCCTTCCGGCAAATGCTTGGCGGGTATGAAGCCACTGCATTTACTCTGTTCGAGATCAAGATCAACAACAAGCCCATGGTCCTCGACACTGGCGATCGAAGCCTGCACTGTGACACCAGGTACTAGCAGACTCCTGTCGAGGCCAATATTCACTTTCGTTGGCTCGACCGACAGTTCGATTCGCTTGCGACCCTGTGCACCTGAAGATGTCTCAGGCTGGCTAAGGGAGACAACAGCGACTCGTAGCAATTGACCCTCGGCAAAAAGTGTGTCGAGATCAATATCGTCGTCGCCGTCATCTGCATCGCCGTCCTTCTCAACAACTTGCTGCACTTTGTCGCGGAACTTGTTGGAGATGGCTGTGATGGGGACAAAGCCAATGAGATTGTTGGGCAACGATATGGTCAGGTCACGATCACTGATAGCAGCGACTCGACCGAGCAGTAGAGATCCGACCACCAGGCGCTTGTAGCTGAGACCTCCGATGCTTGTGTCCTTGGGAAGTTGCGGCTCTTCTGATTTTGACCCATTCTTGCCTTTCTTCTGCTTCCTGTCTTTGCCTGAGGTAGTGATACTGCTTTTGACATTCGGTTCCGACTTTGGCTTCGCAGGTCTGTCGTCGAACAGCGAAGGTTGGCCCTCTGCTTCTCTTTCGGCCTCCCGCCATGCTTGAGCACTGATCTGTTTCTTCTCCAGCGGTGTCAGAACGCTGGCACCACCCCGAGGGAATGCCGGCTGCTCTCTTGAGAGCACACTCTTCGTCGCAGACTTTGCCGGCCTCTCTTCATCCTTCTGTGGCGCATCCTTCAATTTTGATGCAGAATTGGATTTAGTGGTTGTCTCAGTCTTTGATTTCTTCGTTGTCGTTCGATCTGCTGGAGGCTCGGGTGCTTTGCGCTTCCGTGTGGCCTCGTCGGATCGCGACATCGTGACAGGAACAGACTGCGTGGGTAGTATCAAGCAGCCATGGTGTTGATCAAAGAGTGCTGCGCCGGTGTCCGTCCCGCGCTTTGCATCGACGAAAAAAGTTCTAGTGTTCAGAAATTTTGGAGAAAGTTCTATCAGCCGAGATGGTGCCGGTGCGGAGTGTTCCAGGCTTAATTGGCACCAAAATTGCGGCACGCGTTCTCGCGCGTCAGAGGCGACACATGCTAACCTTACCTAGGTATGCTGGGTTCTGGTCTACCTCAAATACCTCATGCAACGTCCCGACAATTCCTGAAAATTCACTGGGCAACAGGAGGGCATCAATGGAGTGACTGTAGTTGTGCGGTAGTCAAGATCATCACACAACAACTGCTCTAGCACAACACTGTTCATCATGGACCAGACACCAAAGAGGGAGCCACGCAAGGTCGACACCAGACATGAGGTCGTCCGCTTCGACCTTACTCAAAGCACGCCTACGCCGGTCAGAACGCTGCCGCCATCCGAAGCAGACACCTCCAGTCCCCGAAGAAGCCAGAGAATCAAGAAGGCACCGCCCATCACTCCCCGCCGCTTCACAAAGTTCTTCGCTCCACGACCAGCAAAGACGAACGTTGCACACAAGATCACCAAGACCAGATCAGCCTGAAAGACGTCTCAGAAACAGAGTTGAACACAAGACAAAATGAAAGTGCCGGTCGAGCTTCGAAAAGAAGAAAGCTGTCCTTCAGCGGCTCACTCATCTCTTCCTCACTACCTTCGTCGCCTGTCAAACACAGCCAGGGCTTCCTCTCCAGCAGCCAGGATTATGGTGTCAACAGCGACGACGACGGAGATGCTGCCATGAACGCTGACGAACATGACTCGGAGGCCTCCACAGACATCGAAGAGCGTCCACAGCCCTCCTACAGTAGAAGAAAGCCATATTCACATAAATCACTCTCGGCAAGGCTACTTGCTACCAGACTCGATGGTCGGTCCATTCGAAGAGCACCTGCAGTCGGCGGCGCATTGTGGCAAGACGAAACAGCTGCATTCTACAGCGCCCCAGAAGACGTCAATATCGACCATGGCTTAGGCCCTGAATATCGCCGTCGCTACCCCAACCTACCCTTCTGCTCTACCAGCTGCAAGACCAATTCCCTCGTAGCCATCGGCGACGAAGAAGGCTACGTCCGCCTCATCGACACTGCCAAAGACCACCAACACGAGTTCAGCAAGACTTACCTTGTCCTCAAACCCCATGACAACGCCATCATGGACCTTGAATTCTCTCAGGACGATCACTACCTTGCCACCGCCTCCGGCGACCAAACCTGCCAGATCATCGACGTTCCGGCCCAGAAGTCCATCTGGACGCTCTCCAGCCACTCATGCTCCGTCAAGAAGGTCCAGTTTCAGCCCGACAACCCCAACATCCTCGCCTCTTGCGCTCGTGACGGCACCATCAACATCTGGGACACCCGCCAGAACCCTTCCTCCACAATGCCACCCCGCCAAGTCACAGGCCCCTTGACCGACACCATGACCGCCGTCGAGCCCATCCACACCATCTGGGAAAGCCCACGCCTCGCGCATACAGCAACGCCATACCCGCGGCGCCACCTTCAGCGGCCGTAGCGACTTCTCCGTCACATCTCTCGCCTTTCTCGACGCCTCGCGCCCTAATCTCATCGCCACCGCCTCCGAGTCCGACGCCGTGGTGAAGCTCTGGGACATCCGCTCCAAACACTCCTTCCGCAACAAAACCGTTCCTATCTCCTGCACGACGCCTCCCAGCTCCCACTCCATCCACCGACACTTCGGCATCACCTCCATGGCTGTCAGCACCGACGCCAGCAAGATCTACACCCTCTGCCGCGACCACACCGTCTACGCGTACTCCACATCCCACCTCATCCTCGGCAGCAAGAGCGCTTCGTCCCTACTCGACCACCCCACCACCACCCCACCCTTCAGTAGCATGCGCAACGGCGCCTCAACCGGCCTCGGCCCACTCTACGGCTTCCGCGACCCCTCCATGGCCATCACAACCTTCTACCTGAAGCTCTCCCTCCGCAAGTCCACGGCCTCCCAATCCGAACTCCTCGCAATAGGAAGCAGCGACCACTGCGCCGTCCTCTTCCCTACCGCAGAGCGATACCTTACCAAAGCCGCCCGCAATATTCCTCGACTGGGCAGCGTGGACGCAATGATGAGCATGAACGCCGCCAACCCCACAGGCCGCCTACGCCTGACGCGGACCGACAGTCAGAGCACCAGTCTGGCCTTGAAAGCGAGAGCAAGTGAGGATGATGTGCCGATCTACTATACCGGGACGCCACTTGTAAGAGGCCATGTGAATGAGGTTACGAGTGTGACGTGGTCGAGTGAGGGGAGCTTGGTCACCATCAGCGACGATCTGACTGCGCGATGCTGGCGTGAGGAACCAGAGAACGCGAGGGCGATGCGGCAAGGCTGGCAAAAGGGCGGCGAAGTCAGTCGGTACGGGGCGGGCTGGGCGGCGGTTAGAGATGCAGGGTATGATGATGATGCGATCTGAAGGTGCTCGCGAAAGGGAAGGCTACGCAAGTCAGCATCTTCATTGTCATAGCGAAGGCACTGTGAGAGGGATGGGCTGACGAGGGCAGGGAGATGATGGGGGCTAGCGGTGACAGACAGACAGACGAACGATCTCGTCGTCGGCAGCTGTGCAACAGGTCTCGACTTCCGTCATGGGATCATCTGCCCGCCACCCTGGGCCGAATCTGGGTAGGGACGAAGGCTCCAGGGTATTCATTCGGCTCCAGGATATCGCCTCAATGAGGCACGAACAGCGGAAGGGAACAGCAAGTAGCTGTCTAGCTAGCTAGGTAGATCAAAAGAACCTTTTCCATTTCTTTCCATGTCAACCTCCTACAGTCACGTTGAAGTTCATTGCAGATTCGGAGGGAGAATCGCAGTGCCGCTGTGCAGAGCTGGCTTGCAACACCGACTTGAAGTCCATCTTTGAAGGACAAGATCGAGTGGTAGGCGCGAAGACCCAGTTCTCACCAGCAGAACTGCAATATGACATTTGATCTAACCCTACCAATGGGCCCAAGGACAAGTGACCCTCGTGAGAGACTGGCCAGATATAGGAGGGACACACCGTCGAACGCACGATCGAGTCACATCTGAGACCACTTGCCCTCACACGAGACCCGATTACGGATTGCTGTGAAAATGAAGCCTCTTTGATGGGGGCTGACGTCCTAATTATTGAAACGGGGTATGACTTTGCTAGTAGACATGGGTGGCGGTGGGCATCACACAGCTCTGTGTAAGACTCGGTAAACACCCCAGTCGGACCTACCTTTCATTCGATCTTCAGCCATTCAACAGCGACGCCCGATCTCCGCAGTCTTGCGTACCTACCCTCGTACGGGGGTCCTTCTGATCCGAGCTGGCATGCCTCGAGCTCATGCGAGCTGATGCATGAGCCCCATCCCGCCGACATACGTACCTAACCTGCCAACACCTACCTAGCCATTCAATGGATTCGCAATCGCGTTCACAGCCGGACATTTCCAGTCATTCGGCATATCGAGATTCTCGCATTTCGTGCCCTTGTTGCCAGTGCAGCCGCAGGCGAGTTGCATCTGTTTCGTGAGAGACACGCATAGATTAGCAAAATGATCCCAGGCAGAGTGAGTAGGATAGACAGACACCAGGTCCGTCCCGAATCCCCGCGATGGAGAGGATGGAGGGAGAAAGGGCAGAATGGAAAGATGGGGAGGGGAGATGACTTACATATTTACACCCATTCCACCGACTATAACTCACCCCATACCTCTTGCACTTCTTCCCTGCAGAGTCAGTGACGGTGACTTCCTTGCAGGACGCATGCTCCGCGCAGATCTGCGGCGTAATGCCCTTGCAGCCATATTTGTCGAGATGCATATCCGGCGACGGCGTGTCCGTGCCCTTGGTGCAGGTGAATTCGGCGGCGTTGCGGGCGAAGAGTTCGTCCAAAGTGGTCGATGATGTGATGTTGTTAACTATTCCAGAGGGCATCACGACTACGCCGGCGAGGGTGGTCGAGGTGAGCGCTAGTAGAGTCAGTATGGCGGACGGGGACTTCATGTTTGTTAGTCACTGATGTGGGACGTGTCGTCTATGATGGTGTGAAGATAGAGGCCTGGATTGGTGCAGTTTGAGCTCCCGATATACATACATACCTGGGAAGGATTCCGTTGACGAGCTCCACCATTGGAAACGACCTTGAATACTTAGACAAGAGGATCATTGTCACCGCCGGTCCGTGCGGGCGGTCCAAATCTTCGAGCATTGTCTGAAACGATTGTGTGCGCACGGACGCCATACTATCTGGGAAGAACACAACGGACGATTGTTTTAGTCTTTGAAGTCCGGCCGTGTGTCATTGTGAGTGTGTCCTTGATGGTGCATTTTGGGTGACGGTCAGGGATGCAAGGTACGCCGATTATGGGATTTGTGGGCATTGTCGAGGCGAAGGCGTGCTAGATCGCAATCAAAATCAAGCTGCCAATATGCCATGAAAGGACTGGGAAGGCCAGGAAAGCAAGATATGGCCACATGCGCGAAACAGCCGACTATTGCCGTGTCGTTGAGATGCTTTCACGTCAGCTCTTCCTGGCTCGTGGGAACTGTCAGCCGCGAGAGAGCTATCAATACACACCGTGTCAACCTGAAGTAGAGGGTTCCAGCGTATCGAGTGAGGATGGCCAGGGTCAGGGAAGCACAGAGAGGCAGCAAAGGAAGCGCAGCCATAATTATGCACTTACCTTCGATAATCGAGCAGCTCAACTACCCCGTCATTCTTTCGGCATCTATGACACGACCCCAGCAGAACTCGACTCAAGCTCGACCTTCGACCTGGGACGGACGAACATTGGTGTGTCTCTTTGTGGTCCGTATAAAGTGTTCGACTTTGCATTGCTGACGGATTGAGTGGCGTCCCACGGAGGACTTACTTACCTGTAAAGCATCGTCCTACCTTACCTCCTACCTCACAGACTTGCTAAAGGTCGCCCTTTCGCTTCCTCTTTAAGCCGGGCACTTGAAGGGCTGGCTCTTAGAGGGCACGTGGTGCATCTGCGGGACCTTCGATTTGTCTGCGTCACGCTTCGGCTTGTCTTTGAATTCCTTGTACTCGCATTTCGTGCCCTTGTTGCCCTTGCAGTGGCAGGCCAGATCCATCTGTTCGTAAGACACATAGGTTAGCAAAGGTTTGTTCCTGAATAATCTTGGGGCACGGGGAAAGGGAGGGGATCTCACATTTCTGCACTCTCCCCATTTGTCGAAGCTCACGCTCTGCACCTTGCACTCCTTACCGACAGAGTCCTTGACAGTCTTCTCATTGCACACTGCGTGGTCTGCGCAGATCTGCGGAGTTATGCCCTTGCACCCGGCCTCATCGAGATGTACGTTTGGCCCGGGCCTCTCGGTAGCTTCGCAGGTCCAGTCAGAGGCCTTGCGAGGGACAAGGTCATCGAAGGTGGGCGGTGCTGTACTATTGTAAGCGTTAGGGGGAGGGAACACCACGCCCGCGAGAGCAGTCGAGGTGAGGGTCACAAGGGTGACGACGGCAGATGTGGTCTTCATGTTTGTTAGATATATTGTTGATTTGGTTGTTTCTTCGTGGAATGGCTTTCTTAGCGTATGCTTGTGATGTTGTGGAGATCGAATGTCAAGGTGGTCTTCGGGTTGACCGCACGACATATACCAGATAAGAACTCTCTCCACAAGTGTCATCGCGCTTGTGTACGGCACGCATTGTTCGAATTACCGACCATTGTATGATGCGATTGTGCCTGCGCACGGATGCCATGCTATCTTGCACGTCCACAACGGGTGATTGTGTAGGTCTTTGTAGTATATACAGCCACTCATCTGAGTCATCGTGAGTAGGAGCCTTGGCGGTTGATGCCCTCGAAGGGAACCGTAGAGAGGCAGTGCGTATCGCCGGTGACGGACGCCTTTCTGACGACGCGAAAGAGGCGGGAACTCGATATCACTCACCTGGCCCCAACATACAGATGTGCGAGGTCTGGCTGTCGTTAGCTCTGCTACAGAATGCAGCATAATCCACGTATGCTGTCTGGCATCAGTGGTATGTAGTTTGTGTGGTTCCAGAGACCAGCACGTAGTGCTCGTAGATTGGGTGGGTCGTGCCTGCCACGTCCTCCGAGATCCAGCGCTAGCTTTATCACTCCTGCCTCAGACAAGATGGCAAAAAGAAAATTGATGATTATGTGAAAGAAGGAGTTGGAAAGGTCATCGCATTCGTAGCTACCTTACTCGCAGCTTCTTTGGCCTTTCTCTCTGTCCGTAGCCTGGTCCATAGGCAATCATACGTTCCAGTACGCCTTCTATTTGCTGTTCCCGGCAGACTAATCCCGTATTCCAATGTAATCGAATGTCATAATGTTGATACAGATAATCCACATGCTTGATCGTGGCATCAAACGTTCATTCATGATTTCCCCACGCGATGCCATATCGGGGTAATGACACGATCATGCATGGATCGCATTGCCCGAAACTCTCTTTCCCAGCTGCGGGCAAACCGGTTCTTCGGTACGGTTGGAGGCACGGCTAGAACAGACACTTTCGTGCCTCCTTTCCTCCACTACAGCTTTTGCCAGGTCGGCGAGAGTTCGCAGCTTGCGTGCGAACAGCCGATCGTTGCTCAACCGTTGCTGCGGCAACGCAAGAGTCCCGAGGCTGTGCCTCATATGCCTTCGAAGACTCCCTTACGCAGTATCACCGCGACCGCAACACCCGTCCGCAAGAGCACTCCCTCACCTGCCTCTTCAGCTCGGCGTTCTCCTGCAGCAGCTTGTAGTTCTCCTCTTCGACGCGCATAAGTGCCGCCTTGTAATGTTCCAGCGTCTTCTGGCCTCCGCTTACGCCGCCGCCAATTGTAGTGGTCGAGTCGAGACTATCCTTCTTGACTTTTGCGTCCTCTGGCTCCGCCGAAACTGGCTCCGGATGGGCGGGTGTGGGAGGTAGCGAAGGAATACTCTCCAGATTCAGCCTTGACGTTGAGGCAGCGGATTTCTGCGAAGTTGCCGTCTGCGGCCTCATTCGCGAGGTGAACGAGCCGAAAGATGCGTTCGAGGAGGACGTTGGTGGCCGGTTCTCGTCACCACGAGTCGTTGGCTTTGTGACAACTGGGAAGGTCCCGTTGTTGATTTGTGTCTGCGCCTGCTGTGATGGCGTCCTGCTATGCTCGCTCAAGATGCCGTTAAGCCCAGCACGGCTCTTGTTTTTCCGGCTCAGACTGCGTCCCAAACTATGGAACAACCGAGGTGTCTGCGGCTGGTCTTTTGTGACAGCAGGCGCCTCTCTGACACTTCCGTGGGTTCGTGTGAGTGTGCCCAGCAACTTCGTAGGTGAGTACGCGCGCAGTCCGACCCGCTTTGCCTCATGCTCCACGCGTAAAGAGTCCAGAATCGTGCTCGCTGCTGGCTCCATCTCGCAGATCTCAGCGATTATCTTTCGTGCTTTCTCCAGAGTGCGCGTAGCCATTGTGGATGTCGACGGCACGTGTGGAAGCATGGTGTCTATGTACAGACCATACCGTGAGATCCGCTGGGCAGGCTCCATCAGCAATGAAGGCACTGTCTGGATTGATGTGGTGCCGTCTCTCAAGTACTGATCTAGATTCGATGATATGAGGGAGTGCAGGTCCAGGTAGTCGCGATATGGCAGCAGGAATTTGGGAAAGTGAGTCAAGAGGATTTTGGCGAAGGCATAGACACCGATAGGATCTTTTACTAGCTGGTGCAATTCAATAGTCGTGGCACCGCCTGCTTGGTCGATGAACGCCAAAGCAGAGTCCTCCGTCTTCTGTAGCACTCCTTCGATGTCATCGAGGAAGGCGATATTGAGATCTTTGAGAGTGTCGAGGAGAGATGGAAACTGGATCATCGCATTCACAGTCTTTTGCTTAGAAGAACTGGTAAATTTCGAGCTGAGAGATTTTGGAGTCCTGCCTTGGTTGGTGACAAGCTCGATCAATTCTTGCAGACGGATGATGTATCGATCTTCAGTATCCACGAACTCGCACATCTTAAAACGCAGAGATTCGAGCTTCTCTATGCTGACAGCATTCTGGTTTGATGGCGTCTTGACTGGAGTAGGCGCATTCTTTCGGGTCGTTGGTGTGGCTGAATTCGACGGCGTCCGTCTTGCTTGAGAGCTCGGTGTTCTCCTCGAAGGTGTGGCCTGAGTCCTTGCCTCTTGTGGGAGGAAGGATGGTCGGGTCTTCCTGATCGACGCAAGAGGTCGCACCGGTGTTGCGGGACTAGCAGGACGCTCTTTTGAGAAAGGTCTTAAAGCCTCAATAATCTCATCCGTATTCGTGACCTTCGTGCACGCACTTGTGATCTGCGCAGCATGTGTCTGACCCCATTTCAGACCGATGCCCTCCTTGAGGTTCTCATCCGTTATATTGTTCTTCACGTCTGCCGGCACTTCCGAGAAGTATCTGAACAGACCGAATGCGATAGCACGTGAGACCTCATCTCTCTGGCGTTCGTCAGACAGCTTATGTACTGCCGAGTAGTAGGCGCTCGAGGGCGCGATGGAGAATGGAGTAAACGCCTTGAAGCCTGCTGCGCTCAGTATGGTGAGCCTGACTCGTGAAGTCGATGCGAACGAGCTGACACCTTGTACGGGCCAGTAGAAGATGAGGATCCGAGGTAGGTACGGGGGATCTTCCGCATAGTACAGAGTTGGTCGATCGGCAGGCGATGCGCTCAGTATCGAGGAAAGCGCGGCCAAGTTGCCAGACTTTGACATGATGGATCACAAAATGCTTCCGGAAAAAGTGGTGGTATGTATGGCGGCCGCTCAGCGACCTCTCGGTGCTTCACACACTCGTGGAGTCGCAGCTGTGGAATGTGTCGTTCTAATCATAGAAAAGGCTCGGCTGTCGCGGTCATTACGTATCTGCCGATATGTTGCTGCCAATACCGCACGAATACAAGGTCGCAATCTTGGAGGTGAGGTCGTTAAAGAATTGCTATCGCCTATCGCACGTCGAGATCATGTCGCGTAAAGTTGTCATCGAGACTCGAGTCGGTCAAAGTTGACGTCCGAAAAGGGACTAATACAAACAAGCAGCACGTGACATATTCACCAGTCTCTCGGGTGCACCATACTCTAGACTAGCCTGATCTCAAACTGATCTGACATTTCACTTCATCTCATGCATGTAGTCTTGTGACCAGAGACGAGCTCATCTGCATCTGATGTTGGCTACATCAGACCACCGATCTGCAGAAACAGCTCTTCACCATCATTATCCATTTCCAGACATCAAGATTTCTCCCCCGCATTATCCTCTCCCCCCATTCCCGCCACTGCCGTGCGCGTACCTGGCTTACAAAACCCCGGCCATGCGGGAAGACTTGGTGTCTTCGCCTCCTGAACGTGTGCCTGTTTGTGTCCGGTGATTAGTCCTGCTTAACGGCCAGTCCCTGACGCACAGTGCCCGCGAATCCGGTCCAGCCGTTCACGGAAATCCATGGCCTGTCCCAGAAAACTCAGGACCGACTCCACGATGGCCTCGGTCAGGAAATTTTCTGCGTGCGTGAGCGTTCCTGCAGGTGGGCGTCACCACTTCTCCAGTGCTGGCTTAAGTGGATCCATCTCCTTCCATTCAGAGACCTCTTACATACTGGAGGTTGAGCTCGCATATGTTCATTGGCACGCTGTGGTACCTGGCTTACACCTCAATGGGCTCGCTGCTTTGCTTTTCTGCCATTCTGAGATTCCGCTCTAGGCCGGCAATTCGTATGGCCAGACGGACACCTGAAGGCTCCGAGATCTGGCCTTGAGCCAATGCATGATGATGCTCCAGGAGCGGCGACTTTGGACGGGAGGCTTGTCAGCATGGCAAAGCTTCCGCGGAACAACAGGGCCACGGTGCTCTATATTGATCGTGGGATCGCTGACCTAACTCCATCCTAGCCGAGACTCGGGGTCCTCCTTGACGTTATGCTATAGTGGATCTATACTTCCGTGTAAACTCAAGTCTGGGCATACATAAGAATTGTACATTCAGAATAAAGCCCTGGCCTCGATCAGCATCGGTCCACCAAGACACACGCCATGGGAGACGCATCGATGAGCAGCGTCCCAATATTGGACATCCGCCTGCCCGAATCGTCTATTGGATCTCTCGCCGATGGCATTCGGAGGTCGATGAACCCACCACCGGGTACATCGAAAAGCCTGTCCACCCTCTTACTTTATGATGAGAAGGGTTTGAGGATTTTTGAGGACATCACCTACCTGGAGGAGTATTTGACTGCACTTGACCTCGGTCGGAAGTGAATACTGACGGTGAAATAGGTATTACCTCACCAATGCCGAGATCGAAGCATTGCAGATCAACGCGGCAACGATTGCAGCACAACTTCCGAGCGGCATACGACTCCTTGAATTGGGCAGCGGGTAAAACAGAAGCCTCTCTGACTGTGTAGTTTGGTGACTGATGATGTGAAGCAATTTGAGGAAGGTCGAAATCATTCTGAAAGCCTTCGAAGCCGCTGGCAAAGATGTTGAGTATTTTGCGTTGGACCTGTCTCTTCCAGAGCTCGAGCGAACATTTGCTTTGCTGGACACAGCACGATACAAGCATGTCAGGTTCAACGGCTTGCACGGAACGTCAGTCGCGATCGTCCAAGCGGTGCTTTCTAGGCTGACGAGTAGCTAGGTATGATGATGCACTGTCATGGATAAGCAAGCATGCTGCCAGCGACGACAGACGCACCATTTGTATACTCACACTAGGCTCCTCATTGGGGAATTTTTCGCCTCAGGATGCCGCTCAGTTCCTCTCTAGCTTCGCGCATGTGATTGGTCCATCCGACCGAATCTTGGTGGGGATTGACGCATGCCACGAATCGGACAAAGTGTACCAGGCGTACAATGATAAGGCTGGTGTCACCACCCGCTTTTATGAGAACGGCCTCGAGAACGCAAATCGACTCTTGGGTTATCCAGCATTTCAACGGCAGGATTGGAGAATCGAGACTGCATACGATTCGGAGGACCACAAGCATCACGCTTGGTACGTCGCTGTCAAGGACATCGAAACTCGAGATTTCGCCGTGAAGTCTGGAGAGATCGTGACGCTCGAAGAATCCTGGAAATTTCCGCGGGACAGGCAGAACCAAATTTGGCGCGAAGCCGGACTGATCAACACCATGGAGTTCTCGAATAAGTCTGGCGACTACCAGATCCACTTGCTGTCGCCCACTCACCTCGAGTTCAAAGAGAAGGCCGAAGAATATGCTCCATCGCCCATCCCGAGTATTGGAGACTGGGAGAATTTGTGGGCGGCATGGGACACCGTGACCAAAGGAATGGTCCCGGAAGACGAGCTTCTCAATAAGCCTATCAAGCTGCGAAATGACTTGATATTTTACCTTGGCCACATCCCAGCCTTTGCTGATATCCATCATACAAAAGCAACGGGCGATAGTTATGTCGAGCCAGCAAGCTTTCCCAAGATGTTCGAACGTGGGATCGATCCAGATGTCGATGACCCGAGCAAATGTCACGATCATTCCGAAATCCCGGACAGCTGGCCATCTTTGGCGGAGTTGACGGAATACCAAGACCGCATCCGTGCACGCTTTGTCGATAGCATTGGAAGTGGTCGGGTTGAGACTGATCGTCGGTTGGGCCGAGCATACTGGCTTGCTTACGAGCATGAGGCCATGCATCTGGAGACATTCTTGTACATGCTTATCCAAAGCAACAGGGTCCTGGCTCCTCCAGGCTATGCTTTGCCAGACTTCGAGAGGCTTGCTTCCGAGGCTGCCGAACGACGTGCTCAGAATGGCTGGCATCATATCCCAGGAGGAAAGATATCCATGGGCTTGGAAGACGCCGAAAATGACGAAGGTCCTGATCGATTTTTCGGATGGGACATCGAGCGTCCGCCACGCGTTGCTCAAGTCAAGCCCTTCGAGGCGCAGAGCAGACCCATCAGCAATGGAGAATATGCGCTGTTCCTCGAGGAGACTCATGCAGAAACGCTTCCGGCTTCTTGGATCGCCAAAAAGACTAAGTCGTTGGTGTATACGAACGGGACCAAGAGCCCGAGCGTCAACGGTACCAAAGTAGCCAGTGATTCTTTCGTTGACGGCAAAAGCATCCGCACTGTATATGGACCGCTACCGCTCAAATTTGCTTTGGACTGGCCTGTCATGGCTTCGTATGACGAACTCGCGCAGTACGCCAAATGGGCCAATGGCCGCATTCCAACGGTCGAGGAGGCTCGAACCATTTACAATTTTGTGGAGAGGAAGATGCAAGCTCTCGAGAAACCTGGTGAATTGATCTCGGCAGTGAACGGGTGAGTACTCGAGCTCCAGTCTGCATGGGTACTGCTGACGACGATAGCCACCTCGTGAATGATGGTGTGGAGGAGACACCGCCGTCCCATCATGCGTACCAGCCGCCAACGGCAGCGCTCCCGTCCCCAAAACCCACTTCGTCGATCTCGTTGGCTGCAATGTCGGCTTCAAAAGCTGGACGCCCACACCAGTAACTGGTGATGGTATGCGGCTCCGAGGTCAAGGCGATGCTGGTGGTCTTTGGGAATGGACTAGCACTCCGTTGGCCGCATATGAGGCTACAAGCCGATGGATCTCTATCCTGGCTATTCTGCTGACTTCTTTGACGGCAAGCACAACATCTGTCTCGGGGGTAGTTGGGCCACTGTGCCTCGTATCGCTGGTCGGCGTAGCTTCGTAGGTCTCTCGCGATGCTGGGAGTGCTGTACTAATCGTGGACAGGTCAATTGGTATCAACACAACTATCCGTACGTCTGGTGTACCGCCAGGCTTGTCCGAGATATTGCGTAGGAAGGAATCTGCAGGTATCCGCGGTCGGTCCAAATCGATATCGACGACGCCGTCCAGTCAGCAGCTCTGTCCGAAGAGCAAACATGTTAAAACCAGCACATCCGCATCTTCGCAGGTAGTTCGGCCGTCGACAGCACTCCTTTGCCACTCTTGAGATGGTTGCTCGGGCCAACCGATGTACACTCATTAGTCGAATCAGATATGACAGTTGCGGTGTGCAGTTCCGTCACTTCCCGACAACGATTTTTGGCCCTTGTCTTCTCGCCAGCGGACTTCTTGGTAACTGCGGGTGAGTTCTGATACTTGACCATCTCAATTGCAGCACTTTCGGTGAAGTCGACTTGTTGCGCTCGACTGCAGAATCGGAGACTACGACAACCTTCGGCTCTGCTATTCATCTCTGCAGTGCCAGCAAAGTCAGTGGCACTCACTGAACTCTGCTGCTGCAGTATTGCCCTGTGAATAAGTCTGCCTGCGAGAACAGCTGCACCTTCCCATTCACCCCTCCATAGGGAGCACCACTGTCGACCTCAAGGTGTTAATTCTGTGCCCTTCGTCCTTGCCTTCTCCTCCAATCCTCCTTGTACCATGAACAAGGACGTAAATATCGACGATATCGACATGGAAGGTGGTACTGGTACAAGTATGAATCGCTGGGAAAGAGCATCTGGTTTAGGCAAGTTTCCCTATCACTGCAGTGATTTGCTTCCTTTCTAAACAGGCATTCTAACAACGTTTAGGTAAGTTGTCTGAAATCACCGCGGTGATTATGTCCATGCCTCTTCTAACGGTGCACTACCCACACAGAGCATACTTGCTGGGCTTGTCCTACAAAAGCAAACCACCCCAAGGCCCGACAGTCGTGCTACGGCATCCATTCGATACCGTGTTCTCGCTACCACCCTACCATGCATGCAATCGGCACCAGTCACAACTGCTTCTCGTGTGTGACATCCAATGAGCAACATACCACGCGCCACAAGAAGGTAAGCCATCACGATTTCGTCCCCACTACCGACCAGTCTGCTAATTTTACTGCAGATTGCAGAGTTGCTGGCAGAATATCGTACGCTGGACGAGGCCGAAGAGATTGCATCTGTTAAGAACAAGAAGGGCAATCACGGTGCGGTGCTTCGTGAGAGGGATAACAATGCCATTCTGCGTCAGAGAGACGATGATCGTCCCGACGATGAGGACGAGAACGTCGACAATTCGTCTGTCTCGAACGCTTCGACAAACACAGTGTCCACCAAGTCCAGCAAGCTGAGCAAAGCCGAAGTCCGCGCAGCCAAGCGAGAAGCAAAGTCTGCGAAGTCACAACGCAAGTCTCTTAAGAATCAGAACAAACACCTTGTGGCAGTCAAGGCAGCCGATGTCGAGCACGTCGCCGTCACCCTCCACGGCGAGCAGAACTTGGACGACTCTCACCCTCTGGCTAGCGATAAGAGCATTGAGGATGTCATCAACCGTAATCTGGGCTATGTTAAGTACATCAAGGAGCACAAGAAAATGCTACTGCAAGAAATCGCCAATACTCGCCGTGCTGATATGGAGACACGAGCCCGCAAGGCCCGGAAGCGCAAAGATCGAGAGAGCATATCGAATGCCACTGGCGATCCGATGTCTCAACACAAGTATAGACCAGTCACGGCCGATGAAGATGAGGAGGCACTCGTCAATGCTGTCCTGATCAAATTTGGCATTCAAGTTGAGCCAGCTGCGGACGGAAGCATCACTCCAGCCACGCCAGTCACCCCTAAGCGATCAAGCGTCGCCGGCAAAGGCTGCAGCCAGGAGAAGGCGATGGTGCTCGCTCAACTACGCATTGCTATCGCGGAAGATCTGGAGAAACATGAGAACGAGCAAAGGCAGACCCTGAACAGAGCCGGCGCATTCTGGAGATATGTTGGCCACCCGGTATTCAAGCGGATGATGGCACTGACAGAGGGTTTCGATTGGAAGACTGGCGCGAAGAAGTCGACCTCGCCATCAAGTGTTGGCACTGATCAGACCGTCGCTGCCGGTGAAGCAGATGATCATCCTGGTGCTGCCGAGATCGATGATGTGCAGGGATGGGTTGAAGATGTTGCAAATGAGCCACCTGTCTGACGGTCACGAACCGATTACTTCATCAAAACGCTTTGTACCATCACGGGATCGAAAATTCGCCGATGACTATGATGCTACACACGCTGGATACTACAAATTGGCGGACAACATCCAGGCAGCTCCCGAATTGATGTCCCTCTGGCACGAGCACACGGGGGAGCTGATGGGACCACTGGCGGCAGACAAGATCATGCTGCTCCAACGGCGAGCATATGGAGTGGGACCTAACGGGCGCAGTCAATGTATGCCGCCATGTCCAAGGCATTGAAGACGATACTGCTGAATTATGGAATGGAAGTTCAAGCAAGCTTCAGATAGTTCAGGTACCGATACTTCGTACCGCAGATGTCTCTACCGACACAACAGGAAGCAATGCCGCAAAGTCTTTCATGTTGTGGAATTGAGCCCTTGAATCCGTCACTTCAGATCGGTACTTCTATGTGAATGTCTAGTGTCTTCCAACATGGCAACACCAGCATCTGCGTGAGTTTGGATATCTTCCTCCGCAACCCCCCAAGAACGCCCTCGCTATGTATACATGCACGCCCACTATGCCGCTCTAAAGCGCAGTCTTGAAAGCAGAAATCCCCAGTCTGCATTCAATGAAGCACACGATTCGCACCGGCGAGTCTTTCACAAGAAATACTCGCCCACCGGCTTCTTCGCTGGCATTCCCCTAGCATTCTGCGGCGCGCAGTCAAACACTCTGTACCTCCTCCCCGGCGCGGCCAGATTCCACGTCACTGTGCTGTTCCCACCAGTACTGCCATTTCCATTTGCGCCGTCAACTTGTTGGCTGCCGCCGTTGCTCAACATGCCGCCACCCACAGGCTCTCGCCTCCCTTGCTCGCCGTTTGCGCGTGCTACGCAGCCACCATTCCCACCGTCCTCCCCCAACTCCAATATCGCAGCCACGTTCCCACACCGATAGCAATAATTCGGCGCGCTCCAAACCGTCACAATCGTCTTCTCAAACATCTCCTTGTATCCCTCCATCACCAACTGGTGCGCCCTCGCAATCATACTTAGATCATTACTGTGGTTGAAATGCCGGACAATATCCGCTCCGAACAAGAACCCCGCGCCGCGAGGCGATAGACCCCAGCCTTCGATCTCGTCTGGGTCGGACCAGAGTAGGTCGCACATGGCGCCCTCGTGGGGCACTTCTTGCTTGCGGTCGATCAGGCGGATTTTATCGACCGTGTCGATTAGCGGGGAGAGGCCGCCGTGGACGCAGAGGATAGCGCCGGTTGTGGTTGGAGGTGGGGTGAAGAGGGAGCCGGTTGGTGCGGAGGGGGCGATGCCGTTGGGGGATGAGGTTGGTGAGGAGAGCGCTGCTGAGGCAGCGTGGGGTGAGGAGCCATCTGCGCCTGGCGAGCCGCGGTGAGTGATGGTGTTGTTCGAGGACGAGCCGTTGGGTAATGAGGCGGGTGGCCGTATTGCCGCCTGAGGGTTTTGGAGATGATTTCGCCGTTAGCGTTGAGGACTTCGCATTCGATTTCTTGGTCGCCGTCGTCGTTGGGAAGGGTGGTTTGAGTGTCGATGAAGGATGCGCCGTTGGCGCCGCCGGAGGGGACGTCGGTTGTAGCGCCGAGGATGAGAGCGCCCAGGGCGAGGTAGTCGAATACTTCGCAGCAGTAGCGCCAGACGTTGGCGGAGCCATATTTGCGAATACATTCGTCGTAGAAGCCGTAGACGGTTGTGATCTGTCGTGACTCGTGGTTGCCGCGAATGAGTGTTATGCGGTCTGGGTAGCGTACCTTGAGGCAGAGGAGTAGGAGGAAGGATTCAAGGGAGTAGAAGCCCCGGTCGACGAAGTCGCCCATGAAGAGGTAGTTCGTATCTGGTACATCGCCGCCCACGCGGAAGAGTTCCATCAGGTCGTGAAATTGGCCGTGTATGTCGCCGCATATTGTCACTGGGGCGTCGACTGTGACGACGTTGCCTTCTTCAATGAGCAGCTCGCGTGCCATGTAGCAGAGTTCGCGGACTTGGGGCTCCGGTATTGGGCGACATGCGCGCAGTTGCGCTATCGCGCTGGAAAGAAGTTAGTCGTGGTCACAGAAAATGGTCAGTGACTGTGGGTCTACACACCGATCGAGATCGCTCATCGTGAATGATGCCGGGCGTTATGTCGTCCTGCGCATGTCTTTGTGCAGCAATGTAGGAAATCGAGAGGCTGTAGGTCGCACGGAAGATCAGTCGGGAGACGGGAGGCGACTGGATTGACTATTGCTGTGCTCTTCGTGGCGCGATTCACTTCTCACTTTGTGTATGTGTCGACAGTCTGCTGTGACGGCGAAAGATGGATTTTAAAAGCGTGACCGTGGGTTCTTGAGCAGGACTGCAATAATTCTACGTGATCGATGGCATTGACGTCTTTCTGTCATTGGAGATTCGCCGCGGTCGTGATATCTGCTACGGCGAAGAACAAGCTCGCTGTGCTTCATCTTCTTCTTCACTACAAGCTTCTTCCTTGAGACCTCACAGCGCCATTGACAACGTTTTGGGTCTGATTCGGCGTATTTTGTGCGGGCGAAGGAAGCAGCAGACGCGGCGGAGCTGCCAGCTGTCCAAGATGCCCTCCCACCTCCATCCCCGGTCGACAGCTACATCGACCTTGTTTGCTGGAACTCTTCTCGCATCTTTCGTTGTGATCAGCATACCGCACATCTTTCCCTGTCCACGGCCACGGACGCAGTACATGGATGCCGACTCGCAACTCCGAAGAGCTGAAGACATGGCGGCGGCGTCATCTCCGCCAGTGCAGGCTGGGATCAAGCAGCAAGGAGGAAAAAAAACTGTCAAGAGATCTATGGAGGCGGAAGCGGCGGTGCTGAAGATGCTAGAGGAAGAGGCGAGGAAGTTTGAGAAGGAGGCCAGGGTCTGTCCCATCCCAAAGCCGTCCGGCTGGGTTGGAAGAGTGCTAGGTTTCGAAGAGTCTGGACAGGGATCTCGAGGTTCTTCAATTAGTGCGAGATGACAAACATTCGACAAGCTGCTGAGATGGAACTACAGCAGACTTGAGTCTCAAGGTGTGTCATTGACATGATGAAGTGATGAGTGCACGCACGGGCAGCCTCGGCGAGCTATCTGCTGCCGCCGGCCGCAATTTGACAACAGAAGACCGCCAAAAACCCACGGACGTCACGACACCCTTCAGTAAATCACGCTCGACGCAGCTGAGTGAAAGACTTGATTGCGGTCAGGCTGAAGATGAGCTTTCACATCGTCGAATTTATGGCGTGGGTTCTGCGTTGAACCATCCATGGGAAAATTTGCGTGTACTGCGGCGTTGCCTGGAAAGTACCCAGGTTCCCGAGAGTACGATCCGATCTGTCCAACCGTCTCTGTCTTGCGAGCATCCGTTGATAACGGAAGCTTGGTGAGTCTGACAAACTCAACGGGCTGTGTCAGACGGGCGACGCCAATGCTAGTCCAATGTAGCAGGGTACGGTCTTGGAAGATCCTGCAGGCTGCACCTCAGCGCGGTCCAGTGAACGAGCCGACTGGAGATTGTCTGTACGACGAGAAGTCCTTGAGTAATTTCGCCAGGTTGAGGGAGCAGGGCGTTGCAAGAAGACCTACGCGTGAAGCAGGATTTGGACCTTGCGCCAGTGAAATAGGGACCATGTGTGAATCGAGGCGGCTTGCGGAAGAGTTAGAGGTCCAGGACACGAAGCGGAAGCATCTGGACCGCTGAACAACGCGACCTTACCTTCACGCTTTCTTCTTACTCGGCGCCCTATTCGCAGCCTGGCCGAAGTGCTGCTACCGATTCGCCGATCGTTCGTACGAAGGATTGGTGCAGAAAATGTCGATATCCGTATCACTTTTCATACAGCGCGTCTTCACTTGTTTGCATGAAACGTCAGCTTGTGGCTTGGCAAAAGGGATTGACCAGCACTTCACGCGCCACAGAATGTTTTGTTCCCCGGGCCTACAGTGTTTCAGCGGCTCCTACCTCGTCTTTCAAGGCTCACAATCATTCACACCACCACCTCTACTCAATCTGGCCCACAAGCAAAGGCTGCTTCTAAAGGTCGAGCTCTTTTACATGAGGTGAATGATGATTCAAGCGTCTGCGCAAAGATCACTAACGTTGTTAAGAGATTCTATCCACAAAGATCATGCCGACTACACTGCTCACGCTTCCACTCGAAATCCGGCAGATGATCTGGAAGTTCACCATGACTGGTACTATTGACGTGTTGGGGCACTGTCAGCATGCTCAGTATCCACCGCAGCAAGACTTCGATACTCCAATCCTGAGGTTCAATCCTTCGAGCCTGAGAAACCCTCGACTACCACTCCTACTCGCCTGCAAGGTCATATCCCAGGACATTGTGGACCTCCCAGATGATTACATTTTCTCATTCTGTCACGCTAGATATCAGGAGGATGTCTTATCCGCATTGCTCAAGCACCCGGCATGGACTCCCACTGCGGTATTTGCCAGGCTACAGAACATGCGCTGCTGCATCTACATCACGTTCGATGAATGGCTTCTGATCAAGGAGCTCGGGCTCGGAAAGCGCGCGATGGAGTCAGTGGTGGATAACGTACGCGACGAAGGAGACAATTATTTCCTTCCCGAGCTCGTGCTTCTGGTTAAGCACTTTGTGGTCGAAATCAAGCTACTAGACCTGCATAAATTTATGCAACATGTCAGAAACTTTGGTGAAGGCTGGATCAGTATGGACATACGCCTGAAGGAGCTGAAGCCAGAGGACTGAATAGATAAGTCGATAGGCGGCGCACGTCTATCACACACCAGCACCTGTGCGATTAGCGACAGTCCTCGCCCAGCAACTCAGGGCTGGCGCAGTGCTCGTGAATGAGGTCTTGGGATTAGTCATTTGGGCACGCGGCGCGTCAGTCGCTCAGCGATCGATGTCGCCCGAGATAGGATCTCCATCAGCATCGCATAGAGGCGTCAACCCTATCTGACTCCCCCTGTGACGATGTGGCAAGATGTCGACCACTAGCTGCTGGAGTCGGTCCTGCACGGCGGTCAAATTACAGGCTCCGGCGCTTCGACAAAAATTCAATCGGTCTCATCAATCTCTCTTCTCTTTATCCGATGCCTTGGACTGACCTATCCTCACACAATCCTAGCAGCGTTACCGCCATAGCTTATCGTCTCTCCTTCTAAACACCTGCTTTGTCTTCAGGCAGCCTCTTGTCCGTCTCTAGCTTGCCGTCTGGACCAACAGGTGACGGGTCAGGCACAGACAATTGCCAGTGGCCTTGGTCTCTTTGTTCCCAGAATCTCTTCGCCTGCCTGGCTTAGGCCAGACGTCACTACGCGGCTCAAAGACCGCTTTCAACGTTTCACAGGCAGTGACGAGCAGGCAACTAAGGTATAAGGAAGCCTTCCTTGGTCACCTTACTTTTCCTTTCATACCTCAGGATACTACAAACTTGAGCCTTTAGTCATCTCCCTTCAAGCTGAGAGTACTGTCTTCCGGATCAGCTCCCGCGCAGAAGGTGAGTACCGAGTCCACCCCCACGCAAATCCGCTGACATCGTTCATAGACTGAGCCCATGCCCATCATGTCTGCGTCGCTTCTCACTCTTCCAGCTGAGATTCGGCAGATGATTTTGAAATTTGCGTTGACTGGTGAACACCACTGCCAACCAGACCTAGCCCTTCACGGGAAGGACGGCGATTTATTGCTCAGCTGGAAGAAGGTGCCGTCATCAGAATACGATCTTCTCGGATGCCAGAACCCGCTTCTACCGCTGCTGCTCGCCTGCAAAGTCATCAACCAGGAGACAAAGTACCTAGAGCATGGCTATGTTTTCGAGCTGCCGGATTCCAGCCTCCACCGCTTCTCTCGCAAACTTCGCCGTTATCCAGACTGGAATTCGTCTATCTTCCTGAAGCTTCGGCGCATACGCAGCTCCTACTATACTTCAGGTATCGAAGCCGTCTGCGTTGGAAGAGGTGGGCTTTACCAGGATCGAGGATTACAAGGCCTCTGGGATGCCCCAATGTCGGGTCTAGCTAAGGGTGTCGATGCGGAGGTGAAGCTCCTCGAAGTGGATGGCAGCCCTCTTCGCGATCCCTACGCCGGTAGGGGTTCTTCTTCTTACGTCAAGAAGAAGTATACGGTGGAAGTGCAATTCACTGAGCTCCTGCCACCGAGACCCTGCCCATCCAGAGACCTCCCACCGAGGACTCTCCCACCGAGCTTCTCCCACCGAGACACCTGCCACCGGGACATCTCCGACCGCGATAATCTATGCAGCTTGAACTAAAGTCATGCCATTGCGTGGAATCTGAGCCCATGGAATTCCTGTGCGGCCACGATCAAATCCGAGCAGGTGCCAAGCGCGGCTGGAGTTTCGCAAGGTCCATGTATACCTGCGGCACAATAAGCAGTGATGTTGCGGAACTGGCCTGCCGATCGAAATGAGGACGATGACGAGAAGCAGCAAGCAGAGGCAACGGGAGGCAATGAGCAACACGAAGTCAGCATGTCTGGCTCGACTTTGTGGAGGCCAACTTGAAATATCTCCATGGCATGGGAAACGAGGTCTATAAAACTCAGTTCCTCTAAGTTGTGAAAGCAGAGTCTTCATCGCTGGTGTAGCTCGGAGGGCTAGCGCCGGACTTGGGTGGCCGAGGTAGCTGCCTCATGGATGGGGACGAGATTCCACTGAACAGAGACTTCATGCTGCTAGACCTTCGCCTTTTCAGGCAGAATGAGAAACTCACTCCGATCAGGAACACGAACATCAGCGCATGCCCATTTAGTCTTCTGAACCTCATCAAAGTAACCCATCTCCCACACAATTCCCGTCCACCACTCATGCGCATCAACCCCCCTGATCTCAAGCTCAACCTTTTGGGCTCACTAACAACATGCCTCATTTCCTCGTCATACACTCTCACAACCCTCAACCCAACATCAAACAGCCGAAAGATCGAATGGATATTTCGCCTACACTTTCCGACCACATGCTCAAGACAGCCCGTAGCGAGGTTGTCCCGATCTGCAGACCGCGGTGCGAAGATAGCCTTGCGGATATGTCGGACATGCTGTTAGATGCGTTCGGGACTCCATCAGGTATCTGGGCCGAGGTTTAGGATTGCATAGGAGATGTTGGGGAGGTCATGGTCTTCGTGCGTGTGGTAGCGGATCTTCTCGTTCTCGTCGAAGTTGCCGGAGGCGTGAGGGAGGTTGAAGAGGTTGGCAGGAGTTGGGGAGTGGGCGCGGGCTGGTAGGCGTTGAGCTCGTGGTAGACTTTCTGGGATGCGCATCAGATGGACGAGGCGTCCGTAGTGACAGTCTGGGGGGTCGTAACGGAGGGTGAGGGTATAGTCGCAGTCGAGTTTATTGATCTCGGTGCGTGCCCCTACCGAGACAAAGCGTAGCCTTCGGGAGGAGTGTCTTGAATTTCTCCATTGAAGAACTTCATGCCACAGATCGAGATCCATTTATGGTACTTGGCGTCGTTATGTAACTCCGGGTCGCGCAACCAGCCTGTGGCGAGCGTCATGCCATACATCGCAAACCACGATCGGCAGTAGTTCTCCTTGTGTATCGCATTCAGATCAATCTCTACGTACATCACAGGCTGGGAAGCCAGCGCCGGGATGAGTCGTGGCTCAAATACCGACAACACCCTCATTTCGATGTCATCGGCCGTGGAGGGCCCAAAAGTCGGAAAGACTGAATTGAAACGATAGAAGAAGTGAATTGGTAGCCTGGTGGCAAAGGCGGTTATATTATTGCCATCTCCTTCGATTGCGCGTGCTGTTTCTTGGTTATCAATTCTAGTACAGCAACGTACATGTCGGACATTCTCAAGTACCCTCTTTGCATTCCACCAATGGGTGTGTTCGCTGAGAAGCAAGCGGAAGATGATATTGAGTTCGTAGTCCCAACAAAACTCAAAGGTGTAGTCGCTCCTTATATGCCGAACCTCGTGGTACATGGTTTTGCACGCAAGCAGCATGTCCAGTCTTGGGTTCTGGATGCGATGAAGTCGGTCGAGGATACTGCTGCCCTTTGGCTCATGCTCGTCGTGCACAAGCGCACAGATGTCAATGGAGTCGATCATGGCATGCTTCCAGATCATGACTCTGATTTCGGATGGCAGCCCGAGAAGAGTAAGCGCCGGCGGCGGAGTGATTGAGATTTGTTCAGGCTTCGGTCCTGTGACGCGCGACAGGGTAGCGGCGGTGATAGCGACCAATGTTGCTTTCCAGGAATAGTTGGCAACAATAGATCTACAGGTGATTGACATAGCTGCGATTCATCAGCTTGGTTGTGTATGAATCGGTAACTAGTGGAAGGTCCGTGGTTGAGAATCTGAAATTCAACAAGGGGTCGCGAGGAGAGGGCTTGATGAACCCGTGAAAAGACCACGACCAGTATTCCTTTTCAGTATTGTTGGCTTGGCTTCCATCCGTATTTCATCACTTGAAGGCAGAGCAACAAGTTGACGTACAAGCCACTGCGTATCATTAGTGTGGTCGTCGTGATGTGAGCCGTGGTCTCGATATGGAGCTATGATACAGCATCAATGATCCGTACAAATGATGCAGCAGGGGGGAGGACAGCGAGTCAATCAACGACATCTAGATGAGCAAAGTCCAAAAGCTGTGGCCTCATGGCGAGACGAAGGAAGGTCCACATGCCGTCGTGACTATGCCGGTGTGCGTGCCATCTGAATTACCTGGGTATATTCTTGCTCAGGGAACTGCAAGGCGCCTTCTTGATCGATCTTAATTCGTCTTCACCACGTCGGATCATGCCTTGCAAAAGTCGGACACTGTGACCGAGACAGTCTGTGCGATGTTTGTGCTCACGGAGCTTGTGAGCTTGATACTAATAGGTTGGCAAGGGATGTAGTCAGGCAAGGCATCACGTATCGGGAGAAGGATAAGGTTTACGCCGCGCTCCTGCCGTCGTTCTTTGGTAAACGAGCTTAGTATTGACTCCTTCCTATCGACAACTCTGCATTCAGCTTCGGCGACGACAGTTTATTCGTGGTGCTTGCCATGTGAACCAGTGCCGTCCACGTCTGATAGCTAATATGTCAGCCAGCGCCACCTTGCTGGCTCCCAGTCGCTGGTGATGGACGCTCGGGTCAGCCGTCAATCTTCGTCATTGTGGTAGCTGTAGGCCACATTCGTGAGACCATTCATGTCGTCGCCAAGCGACCTATCTGCGCTTCGAGACATCGACTACCGAGTCGAGATGGTCTTCGCGTCAAGCCTCTGATGCCTCTGAGCCGGGACGGAACCGTTCGATTCGTTACTTTCTTCCAGCACCGTCCACGACCTCAGCCTTCTCTGCCTCAGCGTTCACACGCGGGCACGGAACAAGCCAAGCTCGTGGTCTCGATCGGCGCCATCGACCCATTCGCGGGAGTCGAACCTCTCCACCATGTTTCGATGCAGACTGCTGAGAGCCATATCGTGCGCCCGCTCGCAACGCTCGCGACGCTCGCGACGCGCGTCGGATGTGTTTGCAATGATGTCTGTGTGGTGGCGACAGTAGATGCCTTTGCAGTTACTGGCAACCACCTCCACGCGCGAATACATCATAGGCCCGTGGTGAACACTCAAGTCTTTGCATATGCGCAGCAAAGTCCTGCAGATAGGTTCGAAGTTGCGATCAATGAAGCACCCAGGGAAAATCGGGAATCGCTGTGGCACGCATTCATTGGCAGACCACCAGAGTTCGAAGCGATCCTGGGCGCGATCCCGGCAGGTGTAGACTTGGATTTCGATTCTCCGGGGGACAAGGTACTCGAGGATCTTAACGATGATCTCGTTGGGGAGCTTGGTGAGAGTACCCAATGGCTCGTCCTGCGCTCGGGTCAGCCTTTTCGCTATACCATGACAAACACCCGTGTCCATGCGGTGTGTTCACTTACTTGGAAGGTGTTCTTGAAGAGTGCAGTCGTCAAGCACTTTGAGCTGCCTCGGGTGCTCTCAGACTTGTACTGGTTCGCTGTCACTAAGATATTTCTGGACTTCGAAATCGATTTATGCGAGCCGGACTTGAGGACCTGAGCATATGTCATATACTGTGGTAGCTCGACCACTTCAGCAAGTGTGACGCGCTCTGGCATCTCGACCGATCTGGCTGTGCAGTTCGATGACTTGATTTGTCGTCAGGGTGTCGTAGTGGAAGACTGTATGTGGCTACCACTGTGTTGGGACCCGTGCAGGGTTTGAGCTGTGGTGAGGAGATGGGGTCAAAGAGGTTCGAGACTGCTGACAAAGTGATAGATATCTATAAATACACAAGCTGACCTTGCCCTCTTTCAAAAGACTTCAATCAAGGTTGCTCGGATCACTCGGCCCGTGGGTGAAGCCAGCCTGAAGACATTCCTAGTGACCACACTGTGTGCAGGGTGAACAGGTGAATGTGCATAGTAAGTGAGTGAAACAGCTAGAGGAGCCACTTCGCCTCTCGCACCTCCTGATTGTCATTGTGTAGCAACTCGCAACTCGCGAGAGTACTCTACTGTGGTTGATCTACCAGACTCTGAATACATTTAGGATCGAAATGATGTACTCTTAACTCAGGGTATTGCTCGCCTGTGGTCGATGATAGCATTCATTAGGGGCTTGTCAAGCGGTCGGGTCAAACAGTCTGCCTCAAAAGCAGTTGACTGGCTTGCACCAGCAGTCAAGGTAAGCTGCACCACTAAGAGAACGCGTTTTGATGTTGTGACATTTTGACTTGTCAAGCTCCATCTTGATTGCTTCACTCATTCAACGTTTAGTTGCGCGAGCGTCGAGGAAGCCTCCTGGGCCCTGCTCAACCTGTATCATTTCATCGGCTTCAGGAGCTTCCACATCAGTCTCGACTCCAACCTCATGTCCGCCAGTATCGATCGGAAAGGCACGAATTAATGTGGCCTGGACCCATCCGTGTCCCTTCGACGATCCCTACCTCTGTACGACTCTCTAAGCTCGATCTCGATCATCACGAACAACCCCGGGATTGCTTCGCTCGGATTGCTGGTGACATTCGCTGGTTGTATTGCTGCATTCTGCGACAGGAACCGCTCTGGACGTACCATCTGCAGGATATTCCTTCTTGCGAGACTGCAAGATACCAAATTTGGTTTCAGCTGTGCATCTTCGCCAAAGTCCTCCCTGGAGCGATTCACAGATCCGCAGAGCCTGCCATATCGGCGCCATCAACTAGCATGGCTTCGTAACCCCTTGAGCACGATCCCTACGCCAATTATAGCCATGTCGAATTTAGATCCTGTTGAGATGTCTTCGAGTGTCTGACCCTTTGTGGACAGCAGTGTCATATCGATGTCAAACCACTGAAGAAGGCTCGCGAAGCGGAGGTTCGAGCGACGTTGAAGGCGCCCGAGGAGGGCTCTCATGTTACCATCTTGATGGATCAATTTTGCTTCGTCCGGAAAAATGCATGCGTCACAGCATATATAGCTAATGTTTTCGATCACCCATTGCGCAGTCCACCACAGTCGGTCCTCCCGAGCCAGCAGACTTGATCGGATGACATAATCGACGCTGATTCGGGGGCAGAGGTTGAGTGTGTAGGTAGACTTCAAAGACAGGACCTCGTGGTACGCCGTTCTGCAGACGAGCAACAAGCGAGTCCGTGGGTTCTTGATACCTTTGACGACCGCAGTCTCGTCGTGGAAGGTTTCTGCGCGGTGGCCGTTGACATCACAGGCACTGCCGCAGACTTTGATTGTATCTATCATCGTGTACTTCCAGATGACGTTCCTGATCTCAACCGGCAACGTGATCAGATTCGGCGGGTCCCTGATCTCAACCGGCAACGTGATCAGACTTGGCGTCATTGTGAGAGACATCTGCGAGCCTGCCGAATGTTTTGGTATTGTCATATGGAGCGAGTCTAGGCAATAACTGACTCTCGATGAAGACTCGATGATCTCGTTCGGTCGACAACGTGCTCCGAAGGCTTCAGGAATGTGCATGTTAACAGCGTCCTCCCTAGGCGGCGAGAATTCGTCGAAAAAGATGAGTGGACTGCAAGGTACTCATATAGCCTTAGCGGATCGCCGGAAAGGCTGCCAGCACGTGAAGCTATGTCAGTGACTGCGGCGAGAGTATAAAACTCAGCTGAAGTAAGCCTTGTTTCATCCAGAGGTGAGGACACTTGGAGATAGGCCAACCAGGAGAGGGTGCTTCCTCGCCCTTCTTCGTCACCTCATCATTGTCCAAATCTTCACGCCTTGATTTAACCTATGCCCTTACGCGATTTGCTCTTTGTTCTTATCGGTAATATAGCAGAAGCCGTCTGAACGTCGGACCATGCCTGTATCACGCTGCATGAGTCAGTTCCGGACAGTAAAACCAGGTACAAGATTGTGCTGTAGATCTGAGGTATGGACCAGATCAGTATCACTCCGTTCTCTCTCTGTAAACACTCGGAGAGTTAGCTCTTGCCAATGGCTGGTCCGCAAATTACACGATATATGGCAACACAAGTCTCCCGAATCTTGTTGTATATTGTCGCAGTAGTCTGTTTGATGGCAGAAGGCACTGCGCTCTCCTCGTCTGGCTCATCATAGCGCGCTCCCTTGTCGAAACTGATCTGGGTTGCCGTTATAAGTATCATGCTGATAGCTGTTATTGCCACGCCACCGAGTGTCGACTACCACCCAAGCAAATAGCATTCGTACGGTAGGAACAGTCTTCGAAGCATGCGGCAGGCGATGGTATGGACATGTCCCTAGAATACTTCTAACGATCGCCGCGAATGCCACAAAAGCCCGAGCGAGTCCTGCAGGCACGAAGCGAGCGGCATGTTGGCCTGGGTGCAGCTTTGCGTAGATATCGAAATCGGCGGGACCATCTTGGGTGACAAGGTTCATGAAGGTCGATGCTGCAAAGAACGACGACCACTGTATTGCTGTCGCGACTGCCCGGTTGGGGAATCGTTGGACGAGAACGCATTCCATTCCAGTCCGATCGTAAGGATGATGTTGGTACAGAAAGCGGCACGGCGATAGTCCCTTCGAAGAGGTCGGGACGGAGTTGAGAGAAATTGAGCTGTCCATGGTGCGGTTAGTACGACGAGGCTGACTTGCACGACATCTTCCAAGAGCGCATCCGGGGCAGAACGAAGCTGGGGGCGAAGTAATTGTCCTTGCGTAACCTTTGTGCGGGAAAGTTCGTGTTGGTGGTGAGTTCGTATTTCACTGACTCAGCCCCTCCACTGTCCTGCAAATTACGGGTTTTGAAGGCCTTGGTGCAGCCACAATCCCCTCGTTAGAGCTTTCTCTCAAAGCAGATGCCAATGCTGTCGTCCTTCTAGATCGAGAGTCGTGTGTGGGCCAAGAACCTCAACTTAAGCCCTGGCAGTTGCCCATTTGCACCTATACAGATGACAGCTACCACTTCCCTCATGACCCATTCACAGCGCCTTCCTTAAGCTGTCGGAACTCCTCCTGCGCCTCTCTTTCCCTTCTCATGACAACGCCTACCTCCTCCCTCAAACCTTCCAATCGCCTACCCAGCGCTGCGTCCTCTCCTAACTTCAAATTCCTGAAGCACTCTAGCTCGGTTCGCTTCGTTCGGATTTCGTCGAACCGCTCTACGATGCTCTTCCTCAACATCTTCTGTCGGGCCATGTATCCACCATGCAGCTTCTTGAGGAGAGCCTCTGTTTTGGAGTCTTGCTCCGCAAGCGCATGGATTGCGGTGTTCGTGGCAGCGAAGGGAGTGTGATAGGCCGATGCTGGAGCCGAGGGTGGTAAGGCGTGAGGCATGTCGGTGTTGGCGTCGAGGTCGGCGAAGTACGCTTCCATGCTCTGCTTGTGAGCGGCTTCTCGTGCAGGATCTGAGGCAACCTCTTTAGCAATTGCTGCTCGAGCGGCATCAAGAAGGCTGTCTGGAAGTTTCGGCAGAGCTGGCGGCGCTTCATGCTCGTTTTCGCCCCGGACCCGTGCTTGTACGCATCGTTAGCCATCAGCAGAGCTGCCTCGGAGGCAATCTGGGCCTCGATGGGATCGGCATGTGAGAGCGCTGCTTTCGACAAAGCAGTAAAGTTGACACTTTTTGGCCGAGGAAGTGCTTTCTGGAAGACAGACGATTCCCGTTTGAACTGCTCGAGTCGTAGCTTCTCTTGGGCTTCTCGCGTCCGTCGGTCAATCTCCTCCTGATCCTCCTCCGTGATGACAGGCTCGTGGTTTTCTGCCTTCTCGTCTGGCAACTCCTCCAGCTCCCAAGACACAGCTTTAGGCTTGGGGAGAGATGCCAACTTGGCTCGCAGCGATGCTTTCGTGACCTGCTCACTAGCATTTAGCGCGTAGTTGTCCCGTGGCGTACCTAGACGTAGCGGTGTCGCGCCAACACCATTCACACCGTTCCTCATAGGCGTGGCCATGGGGTTGGGTGTGACCATTTGATCTCGCCGAGGAGCAATCCCATCGAATCCGGTAGACGCTTGACCCTCTGCCAAAGGTGTGTTGTCGCCTCCCAGCAGCGATGATTGTGTGTTTGTAAGTGCTCTGATATTCCGAATCTCGTTCGCGATATGATCATCTTGGGGAGCCGCCCGAGGTGTGCGTAGTGGTGTCTGACCTAGCGTGTTGGCGTAGCCGCCAGTCAGCCGCTGAGTGTCGGTCGCATCCTCTCCTGCGGCCATCACAGCTCTGTCACCGCTCATGCCCATCTTCACTATATCCTCGAGCTGCTCTTCGTTGACCTGAGGCGCTGGCAGGCTCAGAACTTTGCGAGAATTCCTTCGATCGGCTTCCCGCATCTGTTGCATCTGACCAGCCCTCGCTGCTACGGCTGCCGCAGCTTTGTCTTTATCCTGCTTCTGCCTTTTGGGATCTTTGTCCTCATCCTGATCGCCTTGACGTTTCCGAGCCAACTGTTGCTTTCGCGGATCGAAAGACTCACGCTCCCGCTCGTTCGTGGCCTCTTCCTCCAGCGTGTCATGGAATCCAGCGGCAGGAGCTTTCTCGAAAGGAATATCCGCATTGTAATCCATTTGACCCTTCTTCCTGGTCGTGATCTTGATATTGATACCTGCATTCTTGAGCTCTCGCCTCTTCTGCAGTACGGCCAGCCTCCTCGACTCTTCCAGCTGTCGCTCTCGAGCCTTTCGCTTTGCTTTCTTTCCTTGCGTGTTTGCTAAGCGTGCACGTGCTTCACTTAGCATTTCCTTCTCGTCTTCGTCCAGATCGATTGTGTCCGGTCTGGCAGGCTTCGATTCGGGATCCGGGTCTGTTTCGCCTGGTCGTAACTTGCGCACGTCGTCGCCTGTAGGTGCCGCCGTCTCCCCACCATCAGGTCCTCCTAGCCCAAGCTCATCGTTCTCCGCCGCTTCTGCATCGTCGAGTAGCCGCTGGTAGCGCTCGAGGCACTGTGTTGCAGTCCGTCCGACGATGGGTCCAATAGTCTGCCATTGCGTAGGCATGAGCTTCGCTAGATGCAGCAGCTTCTCGTCCTCCTCCTTTGACCACTCTGTCTTCTTGATTCCTGGGTCCAGCCATTGAGTCCATCTTGCCTTGCACTGCTTCGCGGTCTTTCGGGCGAGCAGCGAACTCACACGCGCCCATTGTGAGAGACCGTACTTCGAGACCGCTGCCTTGAGAATCTCGTCCTCGATGTTCGTCCACACGCCACCCTTGACCACCGGCATCTTGGGCGGGAATGAATGTAGGCCTCAGGTCAGTCGCGCAGCCACTGGATGAGACTGTAATCCCGATCCGGAAGACTTCTCATCGAGCGACAATCTTGCGAGCCTGAATCCCGTCGCTCAGATCGACACTAGCACGCGCGATTTGTAGGGACATGAGATGTATGGAAAGAAGTCAAGACGTGACGGCTAGCGCAGGAACTTTTGCGGAGGGCCTTGGCAAAAATTTGAAAAGTTGCCCGCATTTCACGTTCGTTCTTGACATCGCAGAGCACACCTCTGGTTCACCTAAATCGCTGCTTAGCACTTTCGAGCAGCATGCCGACCGCCACCGGACAGCCGGCCCAACCGAAGCAGACCTCGCGAAAGGGCAAGAAAGCATGGCGCAAACATGTCGACACTACGGAGATAGAAGAAGGTCTCGAGAATCTACGAGAGGATATTCGGCAGGGCGGCCCAGTGTCAGAGAAGCCCTCAGATGAGCTTTTCGTGTTCGATACGGCTGGGTCCGACGACATCAGGAAGAAGCACAAATTGTCGAAAACGCTGAAAGTTGACGAGATCCTGGCCCAGCGATCGGCAGTGGCTCCAGTAGATGGCCGCAAGCGTTCTTCTAGAGTAACAGATGGCCTCGTTGAGCCTTCTTCGAAACGTCAGAAGAAGGACTGGGTCAGCCGGAAAGACCTACAGCGCTTGAAGCAAGGGCTCGACGCGCAGTCTCTTATTCCAGAACACCTTGGCGAGGCCGATAGTACTGGCTTTGATCTGTGGTCAGAGACGCCGAGTGCGGTCGCGACTGTATACAAGGACGAGTACATCCCAGATATTCGACCCAAGGTGGCACCTGCCACAATACAACAACCGGCAGTACCCTTGACGGCCTCTGGCAAACCCGTCCGGCCCGTCGCACAGCCTGAAGCAGAAGCCAGCTACAATCCGCTGTTCGATGCCTGGGCTGATCGCTACAAGACAGAGGGTGAACGGGAGGTCGAAGTGGAACGTCAACGTCTCGAAAGGGCGAGGCAAGAAGAGGAGAGACAAGCACGGATCGAGGCCAGCGCGGCTGAGGCTGACCGAGAGAATGAGACCGACTATGAGAGCGCATGGGAAGGCTTCGAGACGGAAGACGAGACCACACTCAAGCGCAAGCGACCCGAGCGTAAGACGCCCCAGCAGAGGAACAAGATCAAGCGCCGCAAAGCTATCGAGCAGCAGGCCAAGCATGAAGCGGCTTCAAGCAAGAAGCAGAAGCAGGCTGAAGCTGCCGTCATGGCCATGATTGAGGCTCAAGACGACCGCGAAGTAGCAGCAGTGGAGTCTGACGAAAGTGAGAATGGGCGGTACGATAATGGCAGCAAGCTGCGGAGGAGGAAGAGGGGCACGATGAACATTCCAGAGCAGAACCTAGAGTTTGTTCTTCCGGATGAGCTACAGGAATCGCTTCGGCGGCTCAAACCTGAGGGCAATCTGACGAGAGATAGGTTCAGGAATCTGCTGATCAACGGCAAGCTGGACAGTCGGGCGCTGGCGAAACAGCAGAAGAAGAAGCAGATCAAGTACACCGAGAAGTGGTCGTACAAGAACTTCGACAAGAACTTCGAAATTCCGGTATAATGTGAGGTTGGTAGCGGTCCATACATGCGTCAAATTATCTGACAACCCGTCCCATTATCTGACCACGCGTCTCATTTCCCTGACAGCTCGATGAATCATAAGCAATCGCAAAGGACTCTTGTAAGAAGGAGACGTGGTTGAAATACTTCAGACTTCTCTACCTTGATGCTCTTGGCGGGGACTAAGCAGGATGCTTTGGAGCGGAGTGCTTCTTCCGCTGCCGATTGATGGCGTATGCATGTGAACGCTGTTAACACTCCAACTCGTCTCTCTCGACTGTAACGTAGCTGCCGTTTAGTGCGCCTTGTCTACCTGAGGGCGACCAAGCATAATTCGCTGCTGCATCTCTTAGCCTTGCCCTCGCACGGACTGCAGCAATGTCTGGCGGACTGTTTGGTGACGCCTCGCCAGCCGAGTCTGCCCCAGCCAACTCCAACTCCATCTTTGGCAGCGAGCCTGCTGCTGCCTCGAGTTCTTCCCTCTTCAACGACGACGATAACAATGCTTCTCCTTGGTCTATGCCAACCCCAAAGAAAATTGCACGTCAAAACCTACTGAAGAGCTTGCTGCCCGCGACCGAAGTTCCTGAGTCCTACGTTGATGCGTACGATACCACTCTAGAGCACGAGAGCAATCGGAGTGGCATTTCCTTCCTGACCGTTGATAAGATCGTTCGGTCGAGTAATCTCAGTACTAGCGACACTGAGCGCATATTTGGCCTCATCGCGCCTGGAGGTACCAGAAGCGAGGCATTCCAAAGGAACGAATTCAACGTCGTTTTAGCTCTTATCGGGCTTGCACAAGAAGGCGAAGAGATCAGCTTAGACGGCGTGGACGAGAGACGCAGGCGTAAGTTGACCGTCAAGCTCGAGTGTTCATGTACTGATCGCCAGCTTGTAGGCCTTCCGCAACCGAAGATACCATACATTCAGCAGCTACAGTCCGCGACTCGACAGCAGAAGGCCGCAGCGACGGAAATCCCGAAGCCAGCGCCGAACAAGCAGGCCGCTCAAAGAAAAGAGTCGTTCGGTGACGACCCCTGGGCAAGTCCATCGAACAAAAAATTGCCGCCGCCATCCACTGCTGCCCATACCACACCTAACGGTGGCACGAGTCCAGCAAACACCAGATCGAACGACATGGAACGAACCACGAGCAGCTTCACCACAAATGCGGGCGATGATCTAGCTGGAGAATCTCCACCAAATGCCCGACCCAATATCAACAACGGATGGGACAGCTACAATGGCACATCTGGTGGCTTTTCCGAGCAACCTACTCTGGGTGGTGGCTTTGGCGACACGGGTGATGATGACGGTGCGCCACAACGGCCTCGTCCGGCACAGTCAGGAAGTGTGGTACTTCCTAAGTCGACGGGAGAAGCGGTCCAAGTCACACTGCTGCCAGAGAAAGAAGGCATGTTCCTGTTCCAGCACCACAACTACGAGGTAAAGACTGTGCGGCGTGGGACCAGCGTCGTCAGGCGATACAGCGACTTCGTCTGGTTGCTAGACTGCCTGCAAAAGCGATATCCTTTCCGACGACTACCGCTATTACCTCCGAAGCGCGTCCAGGTTAATGGAACGCATCTCGCCGGAGACGTCTCAGGCTTCCTTGAAAAGCGCCGCAAGGGTCTTGTGCGCTTTGCAAATCAGCTCGTGGAGCATCCTGTTCTCAGTCAAGAAACGCTTGTGCGCACTTTCATGGAAGTACCAACAGTGAGTCTTATTCTCATTCAAGTCTGCCAGGACTGACCACTGACATAGCACCAGGAACTCGCCGTGTGGCGCAAACAGGCCACGATATCTGTACAGGAGGAATTCACCGGCAAATCTCTCCCACCAACGTTGGAAGACAGCTTGCCTTCTACCCTTCCCGATCTCTTCGAGCAAGTCAGATCGGGAGTCAGGAGGTCTGCTGAGATCTACATCAATCTTTGCGTCCTACTCGAGAGGCTTGCGAAACGTAACGAAGGTCTGGCTGCAGACAGCTACAAGTTCAGTCAAGCTCTTCAAAGCCTCACCGAGAGCAGCGCCGACACTTATGCCATTGACAACAACGACGTGCCCCTGCTCAACGATGGTATTGGCGCCTCTTCCAAACACTTCTCAGCCAGCCAAACAGTATTGGAGGACGAAGCTAAGGCGTGGGAACACAACATTCTAGAAGACCTGAAGACCATTCGCGACTCCATGGTCTCTATGCGCGACATGTTCGACAGACGCGACCGCTACGCGCGCGACACCATTCCTCAACTTGAGAAGCGCATCGATGCATCAACGGCCAAATTGCAGCAACTGCGATCGAAACCGCGCGGAGCCGTCAAGCCCGGCGAGGTTGAGAAGGTCGAGAGCAGTATCATTTCTGACAAGGAAAGCATAGTGGCTCAGCATGCTCGTGGCGTTTTCATCCAAGAGTGTGTACGCGACGAGATCATCACCTTCCAGACGACCATTCACGGTATTTCCAGGTTTCATCAAGAATTTGCGCAGGAGAGAACAAAGTACGCCGAATTGCAGGCCAGCAATTGGCGCCAGCTTGTTGACTCTGTCGAGTCTATGCCTACGGGAGAGTAGGTCGTGGTCGTTGTCTTTAGTGCGATGTATACCCATGCACATCTAGCCAGCATCCGGTTGCAATGGTGTTATCGTGTCCGAATGGTAAATGGTGGCAACGAGCCATTGTCGGCGCCGGGCGTCGACACGAGGCTTTCTCAATGATGTTGTCGTTCCGCCACATTGAGTGAACTCAAGGGACGGCTTGCAAGTGGAGAGTGACTGTATAGCTCTATTATTGTGGATAGCGATCAATGGCTCTGGCTCAAGTGACGAAGTTTGGCACCTAATGCAGCGCCCATCGGACAAAATCTTTAGGTGGAGTGTCAACCTTAATTCAACCCCAATTGTGCCTGATTGTGCCTTTGTTCTTGCAAAGCGCGACCATCGCATCTTTCATCGACAGAACTTCGTCCATCAACCTTTCCATCAAAAGTAATCGAAAATTTATCAGATCTTGCCATATCGTCAGAATTATCCGTGCGACAGATATGGCGGGCGGTCATGATGGGACCGAGGCCAACGGCACACCAGAGCCAGAAAAAGGCTATGCGACTTTAAACACTTTACGGTACGTTGAGATGGAGATGACTTTACCGAATCGCTAACGCGTGACCTCAGCATTGGCACCAGAGCAATGGTGGAAAAAGTGAGTGTTTTCCATTTCAATATTCCACTTGACTCAAACGGAGTGAAGACGTCTCTCCGCGACAAGTGCCAAGACTAACATACTGCGACAGAATGGCGAGCCTCGAAAAGCAGAAATTCTATCAATTAAACAAAGAAATGGTGCCATGACCTTCTATGTCCACTATGTCGAGTTCAACAAACGTCTCGACGAATGGGTCAACGCCGACCGAATCGACCTGGACCAGCAAGTGGAATGGCCGGCACCTGAAAAGCCCGAAAAGAAGAAAACGACAGTCACCACGAAGGTGCCCCCGTCAAAAGCAGCAGCCGCAATCCTCAACAAGAGTGGTCGGCCACGCTCAGAGTCCCGTGCTGGGACCGTGACACCTGATCTACTTGGTGCCAAAGCTGGCAATGACAGGAAACGACCTGCCCCGTCGAAAGCCGGGGGCAAAGAGAATAACGAGGATGGACTCACGCCTGAGCTCGACCCCGTGATCGGCAGTGCGGGCACGCCATTGCCCGAGCTCAGTCAAGAAGACACTGGCGATGTGGACATGCCCGACATCGAAGTGACCAAGAAGACCGAGAAAGAGCCCCAAATCCTAGAACCGGAAGAGGAGATCGAGAAACTCCGGACTGGCGGCTCGATGGTGCAGAACCATGCCCAACTACATTTAGTCCGCAACCTCGAAAAGATACAAATGGGCAAACACATCATCGAGATTGGTACTTCTCACCTTACCCACAAGAGTTCTCCGACGTCGACCTGGTCTACATTGACGAATTCTGCCTATCGTACTTCTCCTCCAAGAAATCCTTCGAACGCCACCGCTCAAAATGCGAACTCAGGCACCCGCCCGGAAACGAGATATACCGCGACGACTTCATCTCCTTCTTCGAGGTTGACGGCCGGCGCCAGCGCACATGGTGCCGGAACTTGTGCCTTCTCAGCAAGCTCTTCCTCGATCACAAAACCCTTTACTACGACGTCGATCCCTTCCTCTTCTACTGCATGGTCACCCGCGACGCCCACGGTTGCCACCTCATCGGCTACTTCAGCAAAGAGAAGGAATCAGCCGAGGGCTACAACGTCGCCTGCATCCTCACTCTTCCACAATACCAACGACAAGGTCTCGGCCGCCTGCTTATCGCTTTCAGCTACGAACTCTCGAAACGCGAAGGCAAACTCGGCTCCCCAGAAAAACCGCTCTCCGACCTTGGTCTCCTCGGGTACCGCCAATACTGGAAGGAAACCCTCATTGCCCTGCTCTCCGACCCATCCCGCTTGCCCCCACCCGGGTCCGCAACGCACACGCCCGCCTCCGAAGATGCCTTCTCCGCCCGTTTAGGCTCAACACCCTAACCTCCCAAGGCCCCGCGGGCCCGCATTCGACCTCGATCGCCGAGATCGCGAGTCTGACGGCAATGACGGAGAAGGACGTGCACGAGCAGCTAGAGGTGCTAAAGCTGTTGCGGTACAACAAGGGGAGCTGGATTATTGTCATGCGAGAGGAGTTGTTGGAGTGGCAGGAGAAGAGAAGGGAAAAGGAGAAGGCGAGAGGGGAGAGGAATAAGAGGTGGATTGACGCGAGCAAGTTGATGTGGAAGCCGCCTGTTTTCACGGCGAGTTCGAGGACGTGGAACTGGTAGATGGACAGAGATAGCGGGCCGGTTCCGTAGGCGGAGACCAGGGCTGCCTTTGTTTCATCAGAGGGACGATTTACATGATGCGATTACAGCGATGGCGTCTGGGGCTGAACGAGACAGCATGGCTTGGCACATTGCTATGGAGCGGAAACTATGAATGGATATATCGGAAGACAATCACGTTAGTTGCTTGCATTTTTCTACTTTACCAATGGAAATCGCGACCGATGAAATTTCTCTTGTGTCGATATCCATGTCTCGACACCAGACATCTCTCTGCAGCGCCGGATGACTGCCGGTAGACAGGCAGTGCTACGGCGGAGTCTACTGGCTCACTGCATAGTTCTTCTACCCCAAATGACTCCAAAAATTTTGTGAAAGTTCCCGCGAAGCATTCATTCGACGAAGTCAGTCTCTCGGTACTGCTCGACACGTATACAGGCACAGCGATGGGATGGAGGTAGCAGAACCGAAGATACTGGCAACGCTGCCCAGAAATCCGCAGGGGCCGACCGACATCAAATTCGGCAGTGTCTGGGGTTGGCGCAGCGGTGTGAAGAGAAAACGATATGAGGTCTGCGCTGCTGTGGATGGGAACTGCGTCAATATCTACGAGGTGAGTGCCATAGGACAAGGTCTGGGATGTGTTCTGATACAATCTATAGGCTCAAACTGGACAAGTTGTCTTTTCGCATGTCGTCCCACCTACCACTCAATTCGTCGGCCCACCATGTTCGTTGCGATGGAAAAGCGCCGGCGTTGTGCACCGTCAAACATGCTATGTGACCGAAGGCACACGACCCACCCTACATATGGTCATCGCAAAAGACAAGGACGTCGGAAAGCCTGTATCAGTGGGGCTTGAGTCCTCAGCCAGTCCGGTCGCGCACCTTGACATTCAGAAGTCGGACGCCTCAACGACTATCATAGTCGTGCAGCACGATGGCACCGTGACAACATTGTCGGATGACCTTCGGACTGTTGCGACGGGAGAAGTGAAGTTGCAGCCCTCGGAACCAATGGAGATCATGGCCGCTAGCGTGGTCAGTGCAAAACATGCTCAAAAGACGATACTCAGCGCGAGGTCCGACCTGCTGAGCAGTATAGAAAGCGACACTGCGATTCTCATCACCCTGAGCGAATCACCGGATGCATCTACACTGTCCAAGAATGTGACATATTGCGCCTGGACAATACACCTTGGTCGGAAGGGGCAGTTGCAGGGCAAACTCGATGTCCAGCAATTATTCGAGCACAACTTGAGCAGAATCTCTCCCTCCCTGGACGCTCGGGACTCGGTCGTACTCGCCGTCAAATTCAGCAGCAGAGAAACATCGCTCGACATCCGACTTTCTTCTGGCTTTCTACGGTTCGACTTGCAGACAGCCTCCCCTCGTCCGATCTCGAACGCGAAACGCATTCTAGATGACTCCTCGGACACCATACCCCTATCTCGATCGCATGTACTAGCTGTGTACCCTGATTCGCTTCGTCTAGTCGATGTCAACTATTCCGCGCTTCAAAGCAGTGTGGCCACGTCAGCGAAGCGAAGGGCTGATGGCTCTGTTGCTGCCAGAAAGGTAGAGCTCATCTGCTACTCGGCTGGCATTGGTCGGGTTCTAGCGCGCGATGCGCAGCGATTGCTCGCAGTAGACATCACCACCAGTCAGGGCAAACAGCATCATCTTCCGACATCTACACTAGCGCAAAATATTGGACGAGGATCTACAAAAGCGGATAGCGGCTCCAACCAGCTTACTGTTATTGAAGCCACTGTTGGAGGTGCACCGCCGTCAGTACCTCTGCCCGTGGGTTGGGAGAAGAATCTGGATGGCTTGATAAAGGATAAGAAGGTTTCCGACTTCGAAGATATTGTGATACGAAGCTTCAATCTTGAGACACCCTCGGGGATACAGGCGTCAGCACTTCTACCACGCGAAGTCCTCCATTTTGTGCTGGACCGGATTTTCGAGTACCACCCACCTGGCGTCGCTGGAGATCTGCCTTCTTTGAGTTTACGATTCGTTCCGCAGCGCCTCTTGCGAATACTAAGTGCGCAGGCATCGTTCCGACTGTCGACATTGCAACGTGTGTTTAGGGAACATCAGAAAAGCATCCGGGATGTTGCATATACCGCCATCATTGATGCTTTATCCGAAGCTGATCCTTCCCTGGGAATGGTAGAGACCTATGCAAGGTACGTGGAGACACCCGACGCCGTGGAGAGAGCCTACATCCTCCGCTATCTGTTGCGACGAGTACTGGACGAAAGGTCGGATGCGGACCAAACGGGTCTCATAACTGCCGCGCCTGCTGAAGATATGGAGATCGAGCAGCAGCAACTCGAAGGCAATCGCAGTGGCACGACACCAGTGCTAGCGACCTTGGAAGCGGCTGTGATCGCATCGATCGAGCGCTTCGGGAGTTTGCGACAGTCAATGATTTCTTCAAATCTCAAGACTTGCTTCACAAAGACAGACATCTTCAGTCTGGTCCAGCTGTTGAGACAGCAATTGTTCAAAGCCGGTTACACAGGGTTCACGGCTCCGGACTCGGCCGCTTCGCCCGAGCCATTGTTCGTCTCCCTACCATCCGCGGTAAAGATACTCTCTGGCTGTATTGATGCTTGTGGCCCCCTAGATCTGATCGGCGGTGATGAAGAGGACGATCTGGAGAGCATCATTCCCGACCTATTGTCCGAGATGACGCTCGCTACCCGGTACATCGAAGAGTCAGCAGACTTGCAGGGCATTCTCCGAGAGACGCTCCGCTATGCAGAGTCTCAAGAGATGGCAACATCGGAGCGCAAGGCGATCACAGACAAGTCCGAGAACTCGCGGCGAAGGGGAGAGATTGTGACTCTGTATGCACAGAGAACGGAAGATGAGGATATCAATGGTATGCCCAGTGCCTTGCCATTAAGTCTGCGGGTCGAGGACGCCATCAAGCCGACCCGAGTGCGCAAGGGAGGAGGGCAGCTGAGGGAGCGAAGTCAGCGGGAGATTCTCATGTTGCAGCATCGGCAGAAGGGGCCATATAGCTTTGAGCGGTTGGTTTTGTAGATATGCTGGCCTTGACCGAGAGATGATGTCTGATGGTCAGAATGCTGTCGATATCTCTGTTGGGCCACTCTGTCCGCGAGGCCGGCCTCGAGACGTGACTTCATGCCATCCCCTACACCTGGGGGAGCCTCTATAGATTCGTCAACCGGCTTCGAATGAAACCTGAACGTGGAATCCTTAGCCACGTTTGTAAGATGACCTTCCTCCCTACCTCGCAAGTTACAGCGGCAGCGATGCTACTCGAGACGACGGTTCGAGACGCACGTCCGGATGGTTCATCTCGCCTACTTATCTGGTTAAGCCATAGTCCATAGTGCCAGTACTAGAGACATTGAAAATGGCTTAGCGTGTTTTCTTTGAGCGGATGTTGGAGACGCGAGTCGAAGTGGCCCCCTGCTCGGATGGCATTCAAGTTGGGCAGACACTCACTACGTAGCAAAGGTCATAAGCAACGACACAGTCCCGAGGAGCATACGTTCTCACAGACATTCCTCTGTAGCACACCGCAACCCATTCGAAACACACATACACCAGTCAACTCCTGAACGCCTCGTGCGTACCGTCACCCACCCGCAAGCGATCCCTGCAGCGTCACGTCTCAGCCTCCTCCAGGGCTCCCCACCTGAAACCTCCACTACATTCCTCGAGCTGTTCATCGATGCGGGAGGCACAATCTCGATACAAGCGAGCATAGAGTCCACAACATCAGCATCGGCGCACGGTCACCGTGTCGGCCTCGCCAGCCGCAAAATATACATACCCCGTCCTCCACCATCATGGCTTTCCCGAATGGCACCGGGTATGCCGACTCGGACGCTGACGACGAGTATGAAAGGAGTGTCATGACCTCGCCTACTGCGCTTCAAACCGATTCAGAGGGCTCCTCCGGGCATTCATCCAGCGAGCATACGCCTACGACATTTGACACACCGGGCGACGACCGCGGCCTGCCCAGGACTATAATAACAGAATGGACGCCGGACGAGTGCGCCCAGTTCGTGGCGTCGTTGAATCTGCGGCAGTACTGCGATGCCTTCATAGGTTCGTTGGAAGGTAGACCGATTTTAGGGCAATGCTGACCAAGAGACAGAACATGGCATTGTCGGAGAAGCGCTTATAGCATTGAAACACGATGAACTGAAAGAGATGGGCATTACGAGCGTCGGCCACCGCCTGACCATTCTCAAGCAAGTATACGAAGTTAAGGTGGAACAGGATATTCCTGTCGAGGCCGACGACTATGTGCCGTTATGTGAGTCGAGCGCCACTCCCGGTCGACGATCCAGTACTGACCCATCAACAGCAGCGGAGCAGAACCCTCGTTTCGAGATGGCCACCAAAGAAGACATTGCCCGCATAGCACGGTCGATAATAAAACTCCGCGACGAACGAATAGCGCAAACAGAAGCCCAACTCACACGACTCGCTGATGACTACCGAAAGTTACGACAAGAAATGCTACCTTTATTCAAACAAGCCAAAGAGCGCTCAGATCCTCTACCTTACGCCCCCTCAATACAGCAATCAGCCGCCAGCCCCGACATCATTCATCCGCCAGAGCTCTCACCTCCAACAACATCATCCTCACAGCCAGAGCTCAAATCAAGTCTGACCAGGACCTTCTCTAAGAAACTAGGCCTCGTGGGCTCGACGCCCAAAGGCCACTCGCCAACCCACCTCCCCAACACCATCCATGAAAAAGAGTCCAGCGGCCTCAACCCATCCGCCGCCGCAACCGCCGCCTCGAACCAACTCACAGCGGGTATGTCCGGCGGCAGGGACTACGCACAGCCCTCGCCAGGTCTGGTCCCTTCGCCCACATCACCCATGCCCTACCAACCCCTTGCACCCCGCTCATACCGAGACCGCGAGTACTCCAACAACGACTCGTACACTACACCGACCTACGAACCTCCTTCTTCCGCCAAATCCGCCAACAGCGGCGGCAAAGCCACTCCCGGCTACAAAGGAGGCGACCTCGGCCTCCCGCCCTCGCGCGACCAAACCGCCTCCGCCCCGCCAGGCGCCCAATCAAGCACCAACTCCACCATGTCTACTGCCACAACAGCAGTGGAAAGGTCGTCATCCACCACTACAGCACCTTCCGGGTCAAGTTCGGAAGCGCCGCAAATCGAAATCTTCAAGTCTTTCAAAGTGACCCTCGAGGACCCGTGCTGGAAAGTCCTGCCCGCGGCACTGCACAAATATAACATTCATGCCGACTGGCGGCAGTACGCGCTGTATATTGTGTATGGCGACCAGGAAAGGTCGGTGGGGCTGGAGGAGAAGCCGTTGGCGCTGTTTAAGGAGCTGGATCGGGAGGGGAAGAAGCCGATGTTTATGTTAAGAAAGTTGGGAAATCCGTTGACGGCAAGTAGTGCGACGGCAGGGATACCTGCGGTTGGTGGTGCGGTTGGGGCAGGGTCGAGTAGTGCTGGGCTGGAAAGGGAGAAGAGTGCTGTGGGGAGGGGTCCGGACAGTGGTGGGCGATTACCGCCTGCTAGCGGAGGTGGGATCGGTGGTATGGGGACGGGGCTCGCAAGTAGTGCGGCGAGTGTGAGGACTATGGGGTTGGGTACGAGAGATCCGCCTGGTGGTGTTATATGAAGCCCTCTACAGAACAGAGGCGCTTCAGCCACTCGGGTTTCTGGCATGGTGGCATGTCCTTATCATGTCTGATATAGGAGTGGTGGTCGTTTCTCTTCGATTTTAGCGATTCGTCATTTTACGTTGGAATGGAGCATATGTCTTTACTTCAGTTGAGCCAGGCTTTTGAGCGCTCATCTTCCGAAGAAATACACAGCGCTTATGCGCTCTGGAGTAGAGGCTCAATCGAGCTGCAGTAAACGAGCATAAGGCAATTCGGTCGCCTGGAAAGCGGAGCGAACTGGGATGCTTAGGTGCGATTCTCACTTCACGTACAACTTCTCAAATTCTTCCACTACTGATTACTTATGAACAATCTTACGTGGTCGCTGTCATGTGCTTGTGACGTGCATACGCGACGTTAAGCACGACTTCCGCCAACGATGCGCAACAATCACTGTCTGTAAGGATCTCGCGGTCGCTTCCTGGTCCACGCACCCTATCCACCAGGGAAGGTCCTCTAATCCAGGTCGTCATAGTCTGTGCTATTCACAGCTTCTTATCAACGATCACCAAGCAGTGTCCGTCCGTGCTGACTCGAGCCATGATGATGTTCAGCTACACAGATTCGGACTCCTATCTGACGACGAGGTAGGTACCGAAACTCTGTTGCTGCCCAGGCTCGCCAAATGAGGGGTCTTGCGAGGTCAACTCATGCTTTCGTGACGACTCGACTTAGGCGAGTAAGGGGCTCGAAGGCATAGGTCCAGAAGACGCTTATCGGATCACGCACCCCTCCTAAGGCTATGGTATACAGTGAGACAGGTATACACTACTTATACTGAGGCTGGTCTTGGTCATTGGCGAGGTACCTAGGTAGGCCTGTGCATCCAGTACAAAGTGTCGCATTCGGACTCGAAGTCCATAAAGACGGTGCCCGTCCATCGAACACGATCCTCAAAGGTACTGAAGCTCGAGAAGAAGAGCGACTATACTGTAGATCCCCACGACGGAGTGATTGAGGCTCCTCTTTCATACTCCCATCTGCTCAAGAACCTTTTCACGACGCCGCGAAACACCTTTGATCCCAGCAGATAAAGCACCGTCCACCAGCCAGCCAGCTCTGCTCATTACCGATTGGTACACGCCGTAGCCAGCAGCAAGCTTGATCGAAGGACCACCAGACCGGTCCAAGCACCACACCTCTAAACGTTACGGCTACAAAAGTATACCCAGGTGACCATCTCAAAGGAACTATATCTTCTATAGATCAAAGGTCCGCGTCTTTGACATCCGCTCCACCATGTCCACAACCGAGAAACCAGCAATCCTCCTCGTCCCCGGCGCCTGGCACCCACCCACCGCCTTCGCCCCCCTCACCAAATACCTCGAATCCAACGGCTACCCAGTCGTGCCGCTCCCGCTGGCCACCGTCGGCGCCCCAGACCCACTCCCCAACTACGACCAAGACGTCTCCCTAATCCGCGAAGCCATCCTCAAGCACGGCCCCAGCGTTGTTGTCCTAACGCATTCCTACGGCGGCCTCCCCGGCGCTTCCGCCTGCAAGGGCCTCCCCGACGGCGCCGTCTCCCATTTCATCTTCTGCTGTTCTTTCGCGCTGCCCGTGGGCGTCAGCCTCATGGACGCTCTCCAGAACAAGCCCCTCCCCTGGTTCGACGTTTCCGACGATGGTCTTACAGTCAACGCGATGCAAAACGAGGAGATTTTCTATAACGATATTCATGATAAGGAGACGCTGGCGGAGTTGGTGGGAAGTCTGAAGCCGCATAGCTATAAGGCGTTTGCGAGCAAGAATACGTATGCGGTGTATGAGGATGTGAAGTGTACGTATGTGGTGTGTGACGAGGATAAGGCGATTCCAGTGGGGGCGCAGTGGGGAATGGTGGAGGGGGCGCGGAAGGCGGTGGCGGAGAAGGAGGGGGCGAAGGGGGGGATGGAGGCGGTGACGTTGGAGGGGGCGAGTCATACGCCGTTTGTGAGTCGGACGGAGGAGTTGGGTGTGATTGTGAGGCGTTGTGCTGGGGAGGCGATTTGATGGGGTTGGCTGGGAGTGCGAGAGGGGCCTTGGGGGGATGACTGTCCTGAGGGTTGCCGAACTTGTCGAAGATTTGACGTACGAGTGGTAGAGGTACATTGGGCTTTTTCAAAACGCTGAAGCCCGCTTAGGGTATATTTGGCCGTGGCCACCGCACGACTGTAGCCGTTTCGCCGCCTAGCTAAGAATGCTTTTGCCCATCCATCATGAAACTCCAGAGAAATGCCGCGGAATCCTCCTCGTGCCCTTTCGACAATTTGTGCCCTTTTTACGTTTCATCTTCGAACTTGACAACGTCCTTGATCTTCTCCCTCACGTATGCCATGCCCTCGTCTATCGGGCCATGAGGCAGCCGGACGTCCGGAAGTCCTCCCTCTCCTCCAGTCCATTCCTTGCTGACAACAATAGCACCCTGTCCAGGAATCGCGGCGCCCGCGCCTGCCTGACTTGCAGTAGGTGTAGATGATCCATTTGCCTGTGCGACACCATTCGATGACCCAGTCGCGGAACCCTGTGAATGATACGGCGCGTCCGGGCTGACCCCGACCCGGCGATAGACCTCTTTCATCAGCTCAGGCATCGTATTACACGTCCCGTTCCGCATTAGTTCTTGAGCCAGAGCGCGGACGCGGTCGGTCCAGCCTGAACGAGCGAGGCCGTCCGCCATGGTGTTGGAGAGTTCGGGTATGGCATTTTGGGCGCGTAGGGCGTTGACTAGTGCCGCGGCCGATTCGCCGGGAAGTTCTTGTGCGTCCTCGGATATGGGGTGAGGAAGGTAGATGCCGTGGTCGCTGGGCTGGGAGGGTTGTGCCATGGTTGAGGTCGTGGTGTAGGTTGTCTTCCGAGGGAGCAGTTTTATTAGACTGAGGCTGGGAGGATGACCGCTATGGTATGTCAGGTCGGGAGAAAACAAGTACAGAGTGCACCGCGATGAATGCGAAGCATGTCGTTTGTGTACTTAAGTTCCTGGGTGGGAGAGTGCTTAAAGTCGGCCGTACCTGCATGTGCATGCGACTGAATTTATGCGGGGAAGTTGTCACCGCGAGTCAGGTGAAGACAGCCCCCCCGGTGGAATCCGAGTCACAGGGTCTCCATCCTGTCGCCGACCTTCGCGACGGACAGAGGGTTCTATAATGCTTTGCCAGCTGTGGACGACCTGAGATTCGGAGACCCTGTTCCTGTAACGGAATCGAGCAACCACGGCGATTCCGACCTCACTCCACGGATTTGTCCGCAGGCGGAGTATGCCTGGAAGAAAGTCCAGCAAGACCTTTTGAATTATGTGTATGTCGTAGTTCACCCCGACTGAGAGTTCGACGGGATCAAGCCGAGAAATTGGTAGTACGACTAGAACCCTTATCACCAGTATTCACGGCACGAATCCGAGACTGAGGACTGACTCTTTCTCGACATTCATGTGCCCTGCGGTGTCTTCCAGCCTTCAGACGAGAGATTTTATACTGAGAAGGAAGCTTGCCCTTTCGGGCCTCTCCATGATGACTTCTTAAGCACAGACCAGCCATAGGAATGAGAAGCGGGTGCGGCATGAGGATTTCTACAGCGCCCCACCTTGCTCAGGCTAGGTTTCTCGATACAATGATCCCAATGTTTTGCCGCTCAGATGAGGCTCATCTCAAACGAACGACTTGAACAGCGGAACGTTGATAGTGTTTGGGTTTGCGGGGAGGCGGAGTGAAGGTTCTCTGTCGACCTGGGCGGTCCTGCCGGATCCATTCTCAGCGTCACAAATAACACTGGTTGCTGCGGTGACTCCTGCTCGTCACAACCACCACCTCAGACGCTTCGTCGATGGGGTCAACGTTGCCTTGCCTACAGATCAATACAGCACGCTTTCCTGTGTGGTGGTGTCAACACGCACGCGTCGGTTTCGTGCCTCCTTAAGGCTCGGTAGTGTCAGCTAAATCAAAGTCTCCTCATCACAGTGGACACCTCGAGCACTCCTCAACGACACTGGCGCAACTTGATATATTGTCCGGCACCCTTAATGCCCATTTCAAGGACGTTTCATACGATTTCTGGACACTCTGTAAACATCCCGGCCTAGAAAGCTCGCGTGAGCGTCATGTACGTGACTTTAGGATTCAGCCGTCTCGAAGCGGCTAAAAGACTTGCTGCCCAGCGAAGGTCGAGACGCGTTTCCAGGCGCGAATAGCTACGCGCCAGCACTCGATAGGTTCGTCTGGCCATTGCTGTTGATCCCACATCGACTATCACTCGTGCTGTCACTCGCTGGATTAGAGCAGACATGCTTGGGGCTGAGAACTCTAAAGTTCTCTGTTCGCGGAGGAAGGAGAGAATGAGGCAGAAGTAAGGTCCGTTGAGAACAAAGAAATGGCAAACAGGTAGGAATATAGTAGGAGTTCAGGTGTCCGAGAGATCTTCTCTTCTAACGTTCCCTCAGACCACTCAATCATACGAACTTCAATCGCATCTTTACTGGCGACCACGATGCGATCTGTCAACAAGGAAGCAACATCCCCAGCAAATTCTGGTTGCCAGTACTAAAGAGCACAATCATCCGTTGAGCCAGGTCCTTCTCTGCTGTGGACACGACTTAGGATTCCACATCAAAACTCCTGCTCGTGTGGCGAAGCTGCCAATTTGGTTCAATCTGCTCAGCAGCTGTCTTTCCATTGTCAGGTTGCGCAGGAGCTGGACACCCCCTCGTTTTCTCAACTTGTGATACAACGAGCGCTCGGTCCTTCAACCTGGAGTCCACGACTTCGCTGTCCGCCCCCGTGGCCAACAAGTACTGAGGCTCTTGCTGAACCACGGGTGTCCTTGGGCGGCAGTCTTCTGATTTCACATATCTATCTATCTGATCAGCCTGATAGTCCTCAGATGGCGCTACATAGCTGTCGCATTGTATGGCTTCTCTTCATCGTCTGCGGTTCAGCCCCTTTCGCCATGGGGCAAATCGATTGGGGTAGCATCATAGTTGGCTCCATTATCAACCAATCGATTAGTGTAATGATGATGTTCGTGCATCCTGGTTCACTCTGGAAAAGAAACGGCGAACCCAGCTATAAGACGCAGGTCTTTGTTCTCGCAGGCGTCCAGGGGGATGCCGCCGGAGCTGGGAATACAACCGGCGGCTACGCACCTGACGTCGAAGTCTACGACATGTACGGCTATAAACCTGCTGAACGCCAAAAGGGAAAGATGATCAAGGATGGCGAGTTCTACGAGTACAACCTGCCAAACTGGTCCGGTGATGAAGAGCATGGGCCTTCGACTCGGCCGCCGGAGTACATTTCTCTCTTCGCATGTACGCCACCCTTGACTGTTACCGTCATGTACTATGCCTAACGTGCGCAGACACCAAAGATCCTATCTGTATCAGTCTTATCGCCGTGAAGCCTCCTGATCCTGACGGCCCAGAGTATTATATAACCGGCGACATTATGCATCAGTGTGGTTGGGACACTTACTGGCCCCAGACCAAAGTGTACGTGGGAAAGAAGGCTCTCCCGGTTCCTCCACATTGTTTCTGGATGGGCGGCGATTTTCTAGATTTGAGGTTTCCCAACAAGGTGCAGATTCATCTACCGTCATTTTCAGGAGAGTAAGTGTTTGAAGAGTGCCTAGGTGCTCAAGCTTTGTCCCGTGTCCAAGCATTCCTTCAGGGAATCCTAGCGCCAGGGACCACTCTGATGCTCAAATTTGTTAAAATTGATCGCTAATATGAGCAGTCTAAAAGATAACACCACTATTGAAGCCTACAACAAGGATATCAAGACGCTTTGCAATTCGGAGCCACGCATGTACAGGTATTGGGGAAATGGGCACGATACTAAAGCCCTAGTATTCGAACGGTATGTTCGAAGTACTTCAATGAATTCTTGCACTCTGCTGACAAAAATCCAGTAAGTCGCGACTTAATGCCCAGAGTCAGTCAGACTATCCCCTCCGCAGCACCACAAGGTATATGTGACATTGTACGGTCTGGACCGACCAGTCGGCTTTGCATTACCATGTCGCTACAGATCATATCCCAACTCGTTCCGCTAAATTTGTGCTAACTGTAACGGCAGCTCCGTTAACGTTCCCAAACGCAAGTGGAGACAAGCTGCCAACATGGGATGATCCTGACTCCCTTTTCAGTGCCAGCAAGTGGAGGTGGGCAACCACAGAGACACACGAGCGTGGTTATATTTGGGACCGTAAGACTGACCGGTGGGACTTGCAGTTCCCCGTAAGCTTGCAGGAGCCCCTCTTTCAACAAACTCGGGAGAAATCCCCCTTGGACGCCAAATATCTGGTGGAACTCGACGATAATCCGGACCCAAAGCTTCTCAGGCCCTGGGACTTCATGACGGAGGAGCAGAAAGAGTCGAAACCGTGGAAACGCCAAGCAAGTGCACAACCTCGAGACCGCTCCCGACGAGACACCTTAGGATATTTCTCCAGCCGCTGGACCCATACGAAAAGTTCAGACCTGCGGTACCGTGCCGATCATGTTTGTCAGCAGAACAACTTGGTTGGTCCCGACATTGCAAATTCCTACGAGCGAAAGTACTGTCGTCTCAGCGATCAGAGAGTGTTCCCGTACTGCGAGGCAGATGAGGACATTGAGTGCTTCGATTTTGAGGCAGGCGCGGTACGTGTCAGAACATCACGCATCTTGGGCTCTATCGCAGACACGGATTCGCCTACTCCTCGAAAAAGGATCGACGCAGAATGGTAGCAAGTCCGGCCCAACAGAGCATCAACATCTATGCCGCTCAGTCAATGTCAACGAATCAACAAACCCCATCACGAACCTCCAGCTTTCTACAATGCTTCAACGGCTTTATATAGCATTCGACCAGCAGCTACGGGCGGAAGATGCAACGGTCAGTGGCTGGTCGGTGCCAGTGGCGAGACAGTCAACATCCATACCGCCTTAACTAATGTCAACGAAACAACGAAATCTGTCACCAGTCTTCAGCTTTTAGCAAATGTTGCACCGCTTTGTACAATATTGGACCGGCACTTATTGGTGCGAGTCGAACCGCTTAGTGGCTTGTCAGCACCAGCGGCATGACAGTCGACAATACTCAACTTACTGGGCGGCAAGACAGTCAACATTACTCAACTATGTGTGTACATTTGATGCCTTACTCTTCAAGGATTGTGAGGCCGGGGACTCGATGGAGAAAGAGGTGGTGAGTAGGGGACAAGCACTTATGAACCCGGTCGCTTGAAGTACTTAAGTAGCACTCGTCACAAATTCACTTCTCGCTCATATCATCTTCCAACTTTCCTCGCAAATAGCGTCGCTCATGCCTCTTTCCTACGACAGCTTGCGCTTCAACGAGTTTCCAACTCCGCTTGCGTGATCGTAAAATGACCGTCGCAGACGCGTCAAACGTCGGTCAAGTCGAAGGATCAGCGGAACTACATTCCATGTAGGCATTTCTTTAACGACGGCCTGTGAGCGATTCCGGAATGCACCGAAAAGGCATCCAAACGTTCGAGGGGCGTCAGTCTCACATCAATGTGTACCTTATCAGTATTCTATCTCTACACAGCCTGGTATTTCCACCTATTCAGCCGAAAGTGGCGTCTTATCTTGCAGCTGTCCTACGAAAAGGAACGAATGCAGCATGCATTCGATGAGGCATGCCCACAACCATCCATGTCCAGGTCAGGACACCTCTCAGCCTCGAGCAACCCCCGTCCCTTCCTGCAATTAGATGACATAGCGGTAGCTCTTCTGAAAGCGTCTCGCCTCCGCAAGATCAACACCTTCGACCTCGGCCGTTCGCTGCAGCCTCTGTACATCCGTCCCCGTGAGCACTGCATCCTCCTGCTCCAAGTGATCAAGCTTTTTGTTCTCCTTCTCCAGCATGAACTTGAGCGTCAGCGCCGCCAGGAATCCGACGGTCTGCAGCGCGATGCAGACGCCCAGCGCAAGCCGGTAGTAAGGCGCGTCCTGGGTGCGGTAGGTGTACGGCGTCCAGATCGAGGAGGAGTTCCCGATGGCGTTGATGAAGGCGAATGCTGCGGCGCGCTTTGCGGGTGGGCGAGGGATGGCGCCAGCGATCCAGGCGTAAATAGTGCCGTTCTGACAGAAGATGAAGACCATCAGGAAGAAGGAGAAGTAGCGGGCGCCAAAGTCTTTGGTGCACATGAAGATGATCCAGCCAGCGATGGTGATGGGAATAGGGTAGACAAAGAACCAGAAACGCTTCTTGTATCGGTCTGAGGCAAGCCCGTGGATGTAAGAGTAGAAGGTGATGAAGATGTAGGGAGGTGCGACCAGGAGGAGGGAGATGATGTGTGAGTAGCCGAGCAAGGCCGTGAGGGTTGGGAAGAAGAACTGGAGATAAGGATTAGTAAGAGCCACGGTAACAGGGACAAGAGGATGATCCCCTAGGAAGGGTCATATCGCCAAGGTGTTTGTTGCAATCCTTATGATGACTTACCTGGAAGCCAGCTGCGCCAGTTTGGCAGAAGTACGCTAAGGCGAGGAGGTAGACTTTCGGATCAGTAAGGGCCATCTTGAGACCTTTGAGCTGGCCTTGGGCGCCTCCTTCGTCGAGGTCAGCCTCAGCGGCATCGATGGCGAGTCGGCGTTGAGCTAAAAGTTGCTTGTCAGTATGTGGTGTCTCCTGAAGAGAACTTGCAGCATAAGACGTACCAATATCTTTGAGCTCAGGTGAGAGCATTCTCCAGGTATGGGGGAAGTCGGGCAGGATGCAGCAGATAAGTATCCCAACGGCAATCGTGACCGATCCCTCAATGATGTACAACCATTGCCAAGCTGCAAGGCCGTCCCTTCCGTTCAGGCCTGAGAGGATGCCGGCAGCGATTAGGGACCCGAAGGCGCCAGATATCATACTTGCCGAGAAGAAAAGGGACATGCGAAAATTGATCTCTCCTTTGGTATACCACCTGCTCAAGTAGAAGAGGACTCCGGCGAAGAAAGGGCTCTCGCACAAGCCGCTGCAAAACTGATTAGCCTTGCGTCGGGAAAAGGGCATAGGCCGGAAGGTAGGATTGTGAGGCTAGTCAGAGCAGCTTCTTTGTCAACCCGAGACATTTGCTCGGGCGGTGTTCAATGCAACGCTCGTTTCCGGACGCAAGTTTGACCTCGGGAGAGCAACTTACAGAACGAAACGGCAAACGATGATGCTCGTGGCACTCTTGACCTGGCTTGTGAGGAGGGAGACAAGGCCCCATGCAATCGTCCCTAGTGCAAGCGTTAGAACGTATATCGGCGGGGGAACCAAGTTTGGGGAGGGTAATGTCTCGCCCGGTTCAGGTTGTTGGGAACACGTACAGCCACCGAGGTAGAAGCTAGGCTTTCCAACGTGGTTGAGCAGGAGATTCGACGGCACCTGACCAAGAATGTAGCCGACGAACAAGACTGAGACGCCAATCTGATAGTCATCGCCCTTCAAGTGGAGATCCTTCTCCAGACCCTGCAGACGAGCGGCAGCGTAGTTGTTACGGTCGATGTAATTGAGTAGATAGACTGTATGTTGTCAGCGTCGTGTGAAAACAACCATTGCATTATAAATGTACCCAGCATGACCAGTGGCATGATCAAGGAGTCGATCTTCCTTTTCAACTTCTTCTCGAGGTGCTTCTCTTCTTGAGAGAGTTCACCAAAGTGCACGGCCTCGGAGTGAGTGGCATGGAGTTTCTCGCCCATCAGATCGTGGTCGGCGATGACTTTCTCTGGCTGGGCCATGACGACCTCGACCGGGTTTGCGCGCTCTTCAGACATGTTGCTGGTCGCAATGATGCTGCGTCACAGACACGGGCTCCTTATGGGGATAGAGGAAGCAGCTTCTCGTGGGAAGGACAGACGACGAGCGAAGGACAGATGCCACCCTGAAATACTTGACAGGGCCTGTGGAGCCCTTCGCAATGCGTGTCCATCACGGGATACTTTCGTTCATAGTCTAGATACCTCAAGCAGCGAGCGGCTTACGTATCCCCAATACGATGGTACGGACAACTTCCGGCTGGTTGGAGGTTCATTGTCGGGCTTTTTAGGTGAGTTCTGTACTTGGGACAGCCCAGACCTGACTAGACTTGAGGAAAGTTACCTTCGAGGCGGAGACCATGTGCCGTAGTGGACCATCTGAGGAGCGTTATCGCGTGGATGTATAGCCTGACGGCCTATTGAAGGGAAAGCTTCTTGAGCTTAATGAGCTTGAACGGGATAAGGACGGGGTCCCCGCTTCGTGGGGACGAAGCACAACGGCAGGGGGAATAGTAGGTGGAATGATGGGCCAGGTTCAGTGACACCCTTTGACGCGTGTTACAACCATTGAAAGCATCAAGGTTCTGAGCAGGATCGCGACGGCGCCGTGTCCGTTGCGACATCCGTTCCTTCCGTGAGATTAGAGTTCAGGCACAGCTGACACTTGGGGTATACCTATACTCTGCAGGCATACTCCCTTTCTGGCAGCAAAGGTCTTGAGCTGCCGTGAATTGTGTTGCCCCAATGGTCGTACCACAGATCGCTATCATTCTGCCACGCGATAGCATCAGGGCTGAGATGTTAGAGACCTTGATGTCCTGCAATGTCGAGTCGCGGACGCTGTATGTGTTTCAGGCAAGCGTACACAAGAGGTTTGAAGACTGATCGAGAAGTCTTGGGCTCGACTTATATGCCCGAAGCAGTTGTCGTAGTATTCAAGGCAGGAACCTGCATGGCAAACATAACACTGTCGAGTGCACATGACGAGGTCCACCGATTCATTCTCATGATGACCAAAGGAAACATCAGTCCACGCCAGCGACTTCCAAGTCGATGGCAGTATTGGAAGTCGCTGGCAGTATAGCTATCTGTACATCGTTATCTATTAGCACATCACGGACTTTAGAACTTTGCTCTGCTCATATCACGTAGGACTATTTCTAGACAGACACTTAACCCGTAGCAAGACGAATGCTCTTCCAAAAAGGCAAAAATTAATATTGATAGCAACCAACTGGCGTCTCCTCACTCAGGCAAGCCGAACTTTCAGATCGATCGTCGACCATACATAGACAGCATGCTTGGTGTGATGTGCTGAACCATTGCACCATGCCATCTAAATAGCTGGTCTAGTACCATGGAAAGACTGATGTCCAAGATTCTGGTTGCGAAATTTATAGGCCTGTGGAAAGTCCAGTGAAGCTCACTAGTGAAGGAGCACCTGCTCAGCTGCGTCGGGGCACTGATGCGATGAGCTGATGGCCTCCTACCTCAAGGCACCTCGTTTTAAGGCAGGAGCGGCTATTTGAGCTTGGCAGGCGACCTGACGCCTCGTCCGAAAGTCGGGTGAGTTCGCTGCCTTTCCACAGGCTTCTTTCTCCAGGCGACAATTCACCGCGTCACAGATAGGTCGGAGTTTGCCTGCTAGGTCCGGCAACTGCTCGTCACTTTGCCGCTTGAATATCATTTGAGAGAAGGCACTGCAGCTTTCCATCACTTGCTGTACCTCATCAAGACATTTATTTTGCTGCACACCATCGCTCTCTCCTTCTTGTCTACCACTCTCTACAACCCGTGCTTATCCCGTCAATCCATTTTGGACTGGATACCGCTTGCAATAACACAGAGTCTTCCCGAACCTAATCTCGAAACACATCGACTGGAGTGATTTCTCATCAGCCAAACACATCTTTCAAGATGTCCGCAGACTCGCCCAAAGCTCCTAGAAAGGAGAAGGTCAATCTCAAGTAAGTCCAAGTATCAAACTCGTAAACGACCCCGCTAACATTCGTGACAGTGATGCGTCCGGCGCAGAGAAGAAGGAGGAGCTCGACACACAGACGGCCATTCTCAAGAAGAAGAAGAAGCCAAATTCGTTGATGTAAGTAGACGCCACCGTTTCATTCCCTGATCACGACTAACAACATCACAGGGTCACCGACGCCACCAACGATGACAACTCGACGATCGTCCTCTCCAACAACACCATGGAGACCCTCCAGCTCTTCCGTGGCGATACCGTGCTCGTCAAGGGCAAGAAGAGAAAGGACACCGTACTCATCGTCCTCGCCGATGATGATCTGGATGATGGCAGTGCTCGCATCAACAGAGTCGTCCGCCACAACTTGAGAGTCAAGCATGGCGACATCATTACGGTGCACCCTTGCCCAGACATCAAGTATGCGAAGCGCATTGCTGTATTGCCCATTGCCGATACGATCGAGGGTCTTACCGGCTCTCTCTTCGACGTCTTCCTCAAGCCATACTTCCTCGAAGCCTATCGACCCGTTCGACAAGGTGATCTCTTCACTGTCCGAGCTAGTATGCGGCAAGTGGAGTTCAAGGTTGTCGAAGTCGATCCTCCCGAGTTCGGCATCGTTGCTCAAGACACAGTCATCCACTGCGAAGGCGAGCCCATCCAGCGTGAAGATGAAGAGGGCAATCTCAACGAGGTCGGCTACGACGATATTGGCGGCTGCCGCAAGCAGATGGCCCAGGTCCGAGAATTGGTTGAGCTTCCACTCCGCCACCCTCAGCTTTTCAAGTCCATCGGTATCAAGCCTCCTCGAGGCATTCTCATGTATGGTCCTCCCGGTACCGGTAAGACACTGATGGCCCGAGCCGTCGCCAACGAGACTGGTGCTTTCTTCTTCCTCATCAACGGCCCCGAAATCATGTCCAAGATGGCTGGTGAATCAGAATCAAATCTGCGCAAGGCTTTTGAGGAAGCTGAGAAGAACGCTCCGGCTATCATCTTTATTGACGAGATCGATTCGATCGCACCCAAGCGTGACAAGACCAATGGCGAAGTTGAGCGTCGTGTGGTGTCTCAGCTGCTGACTCTTATGGACGGCATGAAGGCCCGGTCCAACGTGGTTGTCATGGCCGCTACCAATCGTCCCAACACCATCGATCCTGCCCTTCGCCGCTACGGCCGTTTCGATCGGGAAGTCGATATCGGTATTCCAGACCCAACTGGCCGTCTCGAGATTCTCCAGATCCACACCAAGAACATGAAGCTCGGCGAGGACGTCGACCTTGAGACTATCGCGGCCGAGACCCACGGTTACGTCGGTTCTGATATTGCATCTCTCTGCTCAGAAGCTGCCATGCAACAGATTCGTGAGAAGATGGATCTCATCGATCTCGACGAAGACACCATCGATGCCGAGGTTCTTGACTCACTAGGCGTCACCCAGGAGAACTTCCAATTCGCTCTTGGCGTGTCCAACCCATCAGCTCTTCGTGAGGTTGCTGTCGTCGAAGTACCCAACGTTCGCTGGGACGACATTGGTGGTCTTGAGAATGTCAAGCGCGAGCTCATCGAGTCCGTCCAGTACCCTGTCGACCACCCTGAGAAGTTCCTCAAGTTCGGTCTTTCGCCATCTCGTGGTGTTCTGTTCTACGGTCCACCAGGTACTGGTAAGACTATGCTTGCCAAAGCTGTTGCGAACGAGTGTGCAGCCAACTTCATCTCTATCAAAGGTCCTGAGCTGCTCTCAATGTGGTTCGGTGAGTCTGAGAGCAACATCCGAGACATCTTCGACAAGGCCCGTGCTGCCGCACCCTGTGTGGTCTTCTTGGACGAATTGGATTCCATTGCCAAGTCACGCGGTGGCTCTGTCGGAGATGCCGGTGGCGCTTCCGATCGTGTTGTCAACCAGCTCCTCACTGAGATGGACGGCATGACCTCCAAGAAGAACGTATTCGTCATTGGCGCCACTAACCGACCTGAGCAACTCGACAACGCTCTCTGCCGACCTGGCCGTCTCGATACTCTCGTCTACGTTCCTCTGCCGGATGAGGCTTCCCGTGCTGGTATCCTGCGTGCTCAGCTCCGCAAGACCCCCGTCTCACCCGATATCGACATCGACTACATTGCCAGCAAGACTCACGGCTTCTCTGGTGCCGATCTTGGCTTCGTCACTCAGCGTGCTGTCAAGCTCGCTATCAAGCAGTCCATCGCCGCTGACATCGAGCGCACCAAAGAACGTGAGGCTCGCGGTGATGACGCTATGGATGAAGATGAAGAAGTTGAGGATCCAGTACCCATGCTTACCAAGGCTCATTTCGAAGAGGCTATGTCGGCTGCTCGTCGTTCCGTCAGCGATGTCGAGATCCGTCGGTATGAAGCGTTTGCCCAGGCCATGAAGCAGAGTGGTGGTAGCGCTTTCTTCAAGTTCCCCGGTGCTGAGGAGGCCGGCAATGCTGCTGCTGCCAACGGCAGTAACGGCTTTGGTGACGCTGGCAACGATGACAGCCTGTATGACTAGTTCCCAGGTATCTATTTAGACTGAGCGTGATGGACGTGGGTTGTCTGACCGGGCGCCCTCCCTGGCGTTATCTCGGTGGCTTTGGCGGAAGCACTTGCGCAGCACGTCGGTGAGGTACGATGATCGAAAGGTAGCCTTCCAGACGAATGGGCTTCAAAGATAGATTCTCAGATAGTATGCAAAGTCTTCAATGATCTACGTTCGCGCCATGCACATCCAGACCTCAGAAATCGACAGCAAGTCCCAGAGGAGATAATGACGCCAAATCCGTGTGCCGAAGCTTGACCGCCTCGTTGCCTTTTTTCCCATAATCCTTCTCCCTAATCCTAGTCACTCGCTCCTGCTGACCGAATCGCTCGGCGCGACGTCCCTCTCGCTAAGCACAGTGAGCTGAGAGGCGATTGAGCCTGTGTCATTGAGAAAGAACGCCGCATGCTCAGTCTGCCTGTCTGCCTTCGCGGTCGCTATGCACTGAGCAGGCGGGGAGCATAACATCTGCACCTACTACGCGCCATTTTCAACGCAAAGAAAGGCCCTGTCCTACGCGGACCTCATTCCGTGATCACAGATATGGCACCAGCAGCAGCAACAGCCTCGCCAGTAGTAGCGATTTCGGCACCTGGAAAAGTCCTCTTCGCGGGCGGCTTCCTCGTGCTCGACCGACAACATACCGGTCTGGTCTTTGGCCTGGATGCGAGGATACACGTCCTCATTGAGCCCGTAGGACATCAGCGGAGACTGTCAGGAACAGGACGCGATGAAGTTCGGGTTATGGTGCGAAGTCCGCAATTTGATGGTGCAGTGTGGTCGTATGCTATAAGATCCGGAGATGGTGAAGTGAGTGTGGTGCAGGTCGTGGACGAGGTGGGCGACGGACAAGCACACACGAAGAACAAGTTCGTGGAGACGGCGCTGCGATATGCTTTGACCTATCTGGCCTACGCTACCGAACATTCGTCGGAAGATCGGCAAAATGGACATGCTGGACAAGGCAGAGTATTGGGAAAAGGTGATATACAGATCACGGTCCTGGCGGACGACGACTACTACTCCTCCTCTTCTCCCTCTCAAGAGTCTGACGATGCACCTGCGCTACAACAGCATACGGCCCAATCGAGACGATTCAAGTCCTTCAACACTACCCTCCCAAACGCGCACAAGACTGGTCTCGGCAGCTCGGCCGCCCTCACTACAGCCCTAGTCGGTGCCATCCTAGAGTTCTACCTTTCCAGTGACACTACTATCAGCAATGACAGCAGCACGAACCATCCTTCTTCCCACTCGGAAACGACAAACAGTTTCTCCGCAGTCTCACCTTCTCGAAAATCCCAAATCCACAACCTCGCTCAAGCGGCCCACTCCGCCGCTCAAGGTAAAGTCGGCAGCGGGTTTGACGTTGCTGCTGCGGTGTTTGGCAGCTGTCTGTATCGGAGGTTCAGTCCCGCCGTGCTGGAGCAAATTGGCGAGGCAGATTCTGAAGGATTCTCAGGCCGGCTGTATCGCTGTGTTGAAAACGTGGCGGCTGAGGATGGAGAAGGACTGAAGTGGAATGCCGAAGTAAAGGAGAACGGAGTGGCTATCCCCGAGGGGCTGAGGCTCGTGTTGTGCGATGTCGATTGCGGGAGCGAGACGCCGAGTATGGTGCGAAAGATGCTTCAGTGGAGGAAGGCTCGCCCAGATGAAAGCGAAAGGATCTGGGGTAACCTGCTACAAAGTCAGGAGGAGCTTTGCAGGGAATTGACACGGTTGAGCAAGTCAATGCCCACGAACAGTCAACAAACAGACACCACTATCGACAACCGATACGCGAGGCTCAAGCAGATCATATCCGTTATGCGCCACCTCGTTCAGCAAATGACAGCATCCTCGGGCGTTCCCGTTGAGCCACCGCCCATAACAGCTTTGTTGGACCACGTCTCCGCCATCAGAGGAATCATTGGTGGTGTTGCACCTGGAGCAGGCGGATACGATGCTGTGGCACTCCTTGTCGAGGATAGGCCGGAAATCATAAAGGAGCTGGAGGGGTCATTGGAGGGCTGGAAGTGGACAGCAAATGACAATGAGGCAAAGATCGCTGAGGAAGGGCCAGAGATCGGCAAAGTGAGGTTGTTAGGCGTCAGGCAGGCTAGCGAGGGTGTCTGGCGAGAAGAGGTGGAGGATGGAGGGAGATATGCAGGTTGGCGGTGAACGAGAGTGGCTGTTGAAGTGATGATTGGCCAACTAAGCGAGAAAGATAGATAGAAGCTCCAAGGCAGGAGCGACTGAGGCAGCGTGTAGCGGAGGTAGTGCTGCACGGAAGGTGCGTCCTTCAGCCAGACCGGTAGACATCGAAGGCATCGAGCGCCCAATACAACCACTGCACCTTGGTTGTTCGAAGCAAGTGATGGTCTTGCGGGGCTCTGTTGACTCGCAGGAGCAGCCGACTCCGTGCATTCAGAAAGGAGACAAAACTGTGTCGTGGGTTCGATGTTCAGTGCCCAAGTCTGAAAGGATATAGATGCGCATGTGCACGCGAGGCTTCGACTGCCCCCCGAGCTTCTCACCCTCAGTGCACATATGCCAAACCCTTTCGACAGTGATACACCGACGGGTCCTCCTCTGCCACCCCCGCAACACTCAGTATAACACTTAGCAGATGCGTTCCAATGCACAAGTGGCGAAATGGAAGTCAGGAACTGGCCCTTGAATCATGTCATCCGGCGGTAGCAGCGACTGGAAAGACTTGTCACCCGGCGTCATGAAACGCCACGATGCACTCGTCATCCGGCTGGAGGGAAGCATTGCACAGACCGGATGACCCACTCGAACGCTGAAGTTCTTTCACCATGTTTCTCGGCTTGCACGACGAAGCATTGTATGCTGGCGTGAGATGACTACTGACTACAGCACAACACGAATTGCGGTCCAAGTGTGCAAGAACTATATCCAAATCCCGCTATGCATGTTCGTCTACGCTGTCTAGAGTCCTCCAGCAACTCAGCCTGTCAGGGTTCGTAGTCGTCACCTACGTAATATACATCCATCAACACCGTCCCAGAACGCCCGCCCAGACACAGGTTGGTCAATTTTTGGCTGCTCTGCTCGCAGCATCGCTCAAACATTCGCAGCTGGCACCTGCAACGCCTTCGGGTCAGCAGACGGCTGTTGCAGCTCAATCGCGGGCTGAGGCGGTCCAGTGCCACTTCTCCGTCTCCTTTCCCTTTCCACGAGGCCAATTGGCTCCGCACTCGACAAAATCGTGCCAGTCTCATTGCTGCGACGGAATTTCATGCCGTACATCCACGCATCATCCTCGTCCTTGCCCAGCCAGTAGCTCCTTCCCAGCCCAATCAGGAACCTGCCGAGCTTGCCTTTCCAGCCTTGACCCTCTGGCTTACTCTCATCGAAAGGATTCTCGCCCATCGATTGATCCTTGCTGGCGCTTTCGTAATTCTGACTTGCGTTCTTGGCGATGTGCTGGCGGATGACCATGCGTGCCCAGCCGAGCATGATGATGCAGAAATACACTCTGACGGTCCACAGGGCGATGATTATGCCGATGCTGTTCATGCTCTCGGGGCTCAGCACAGCGCCGGCGACGCTGCCGTGGGAGTGTGCGTCGACTCCGGCGGGCTTGTCGGCCTCAACGACGCCCACAACGGCTTCGGTCGCGATGGCTGGCGGCGTCACGCCGTCTGCGGCAACGGTGACGCTGCTGGCGTTGACTTGTGGGTTGGTGAAGCCCGCTGTGTCGCCCATTGTGCCTTTCGGTCCGCCCTTGACTGGCTGTCCTGCGTTATGTGCCACCAGGACTAAAAACCAGCTGACCGCGAATGCGGCCGTCCATGCTGCGTTGAGGACTGTGTCCAAGGCGTAAAACCACGCAAGTGCTAAGCATTGTAAAGGCGATTGTGTTTTGATGTGTTGACCCAGGTAGATCGTGAGGACCAATGCGAAGACGCTGTAGACGTACATGGACAGTTGTAGGCTGGAGAGGTCATAGCCGGTGATGAGCGCGATGATGCCGTACAGGCCGGAGAGCTTATTCATGAGAAGGGAGAGAGTGATGAGCGTCGCGCCGGTCGAGAGGGGCAGGGTCCCGAGGAATTTCTGTGAGGTTGCTATTAGTAGGCGATCTCCCAGTCACACTCTCGGACGAGGACTGAGTGCGCTGAAAGACGCTCGCGGAGGCAGGCATCATGCGCCGTGGCACTTGAGAGGATAACTCACTTGGGGTCGCGGGAGGCGGAGAAGTCGTGATGAAAGCCCCATCTTTGCTGTGTTTCGCGTGGACTGAGACAAATGCCGGAACAGGCCTCTCACTTTGCGTCAAGGTCGTGCGATATATCAAGAGGAGAGGTGAAAAGAGCGTGTGCCTTTGAGGCCTGATCTACGAAGAGGGAAATTACCACTGGGCGGCTGAGGCCGGATATGGTGGAGTCCGCCACATGCACGCTGACGAGATGCGATGCTTGGCATGTCTACGTCCAGCAGCGCTTGCAGTTATTCCTACAGTTTAACACAGTCGACGTCTCTTGATGATACACCTGATACCTAGGAACGAACCATTACATCAGGAGCGACAGCAGTGATGTGTGTCCGGCCTGCGTTGCGCTCTGTCCAAGAATGGAGACTACACCTCCGAATCTAAATGCTGCTGCATATTCACAGCACATCATCCGACAGGCATCTCATATGAGTGCTCGGGCTTGCAGCAAACAGAAATTTGTACTCAAGCCAAGGGACGGGCTATTTGTCCGCCCTCTATGGAAGACGGCAGTCGCTGGCTCCCTTAGGCAGAACCCAAATTGAATACCTCACATTGTCCAGAAGCAACGCGAGAACAACCGTGGGATTGTCCAAGAATCTAGCGTCCAGTGTGCACGAGAAGAGCTTCTCAAACCTTTGTCCGAAGCTCGCTTGGGCTGGCGCGACATTTGACCCATCCACAGTATTGCTAACAGCTTGGTCAGTGGCTAGACTGAGCACGGAGATACACCACAAGACTCACGTGAACGTTAAGCCACCCTTGGAGACAGTTGGTCGATTGCCATCGGTGGGTGGCCCAGCCTTCTCGCACGTAACAGTCAAGACGGCCTGGACTACTTGACCTGTCCCATTGATTGCTGCTTTCCAATCGAAGCTCTCCAAAGCGAAAGCCTTCGTGGCAGCATTCTTTGGGAAGAAGACACCATTGAGAACAATCTTTGCTGGCGTTGGACCGGAGTTCGTTGGCTCGCGGATGAGGTTGATGAGACAAGTGTCGCTTTCTGTGGTCGGCTGCACAAGAAATACCCTCTGGTCAAGGGCATTCCAGCCAGTGAAGGATCAGCCGTCAAGGTTGATGTTGTTTGGGCGGCCACGCGGTATAGGGAATGATGTTTTCGGAACTCCCTGAAAGGACTGCTGCAGGTCAGCACAGATAGCGCTGAGAAGGTTCAGGTACACCTACGAGCAGAGGCTTGTCAACCTTGATGCATTGTGGCAGGGAAGTTTTCGTGGTTGTTACCGCTGAACTTGTAGCAGAGACGAGAGAAGTGTCGGTCAACGCCACTGAAGTTGTAGTAGATGGGCGGAAGGTCTTGGACAAGTCTGTTGGGCTTGTAGTCGTCTTCGTCGCTGCCGCTAAGGTCGCAGTAGAGAAAAGCAAAGTAGGAAGTATATACTCAAAGAACCGCATCGTGACTGGTACATGTACTTTGGGCCCCACGACAGGGAATGTGCAGAGAAAACTTCGTAGCGCAAAGCCTGCTGAGGAGCAGACATTGTCTTATACCTTTTGACACCATGATCCGCGTTTACCATAATCTGCGTTGTCTCAGCGAGCCGTCAGATCATCGACACAGTGATCCAGCAATCTCACAAAGCAGGCCCTCGCTCCGGATCTGTCTCTTGGTGAGTTGACGACAAGCCCAATTGATGGAATCTGGGTAGTATGATGGCGGAATCGCTCGTATAAATGTTACGGAATCGGCCGTGATCACATTCGCATCCCGCCAATTGACTTACCTTTCACTCGAGCGCCTCTACTCGTGCTAGGTTTCTGTCATGTATTGTCGCTATACGGACTGTGCCTGCGGCGTGGTCCGAGGTCCTGACTCCGGTCTCCTGGGCTCATTTCTGCTGGTCATGATTGGAGGCAGCAACCTGTGTAAACACTTTTAGTGACATTAGCTGCTGTGCTCTGTTATCTGGCGCACGGCTGAGCAGCGGCACAGAAAATCGTAAGGCTAAGTCCGCCTGAAGCACGAGATCGGGACAACTGCGTTCTACAGTCTCATCATTGTCCCGATGACAGGCGCGTTGCCGATGTCATAGGAGCAGAACACCGAGCAAGTAAGTCGCCTGAGACCACGTTAGGAGTTTTCAGCGGGAGCACTCGAAGCACTGTTCCAGCGATGGTGACTAGACCCTTGAATGCATTGTGCACATGTCAAGAGAATATGTCGACTGGTGCGAAGACATTCCCGAAAGTCACTTTTCAAGGAAGAGTGTGGGGGAGGAGTGGTATTTATGCACCTGGGCAGCCACGCGGCCACCCACACAAAATCTGTGCCCTTGCAGCCCTCATCGATAGGGGCTTTCCCGCCCGGAAGAGGTAACCTCTCAGATGGGCATTCCTGCCGAGCTGCACCTTCGCGATAGGACATCCGCCAGAAAAGAGCTGCTTCCAAGTATTGTAGGCACATCCGTTAGGTCACGTAATCACTGATATGAAACATCACCATATTCAATTACCCTCGCTTCGTCGAACACACCGATGATTTCTCTCGCTTTTGCCTATTAACAAAACCATATCGGTTACAAGTATCTTCCATCGTTGGCGCGGAACCCACACCCTTGTCTGGCTGAATGATTGAAATGCAACCACAAGCCTGAGTCTGGCTCGTCTGGATGAGAAAGCAGCCACTATCGCCGCCGCTTGTTCGAGTCTAGCCTCGATTGCATTTCCACCCCCAGATCCGCCGTCTTGTCCTTCTTGGAAGTCCTCCCTCCATCAAGTTCCCAGCTTTCCTCGGCCCAACCCATCCGAGAGAGCGATATACTCGAGACTTTGCCTTGCAATTGCTCTCATCGTCACTCGCTACATTCGTCATTCTGTACCAACGCAGGGCGGCCTCTAGCTGTATTTTCGTGCATCATTCAGGTGCAGATAGACCTGCTTGACATCCACCATGGCTACGACATCCGACCCACCAGCCGTCACCACCTCCGCCGATCAGTCCACACCCCAGGACATACCGCATCCAGAGCGAACACAAGATAGTATGCCTGCATCAACGCCGGTCGAGTTGACCCAACTTGAGTCGAAACAGACTACCAGCGATACCTCTGCAGAACGGCAAACTTCCACCACCTCATCACACCCACCCGGTCCTCAACGGACCGACACCTACACTGCGCTCGAGCAAGCTGCACATCCTCCTCCAATTCCCCCAGCAGACACTATGCCCACCACTGCTCCTGTTTCCCGGACGTTCTCTACCGCTATCGGTCCGTCCTCAGACTCGCCGTCCGTGCCTGCGAAAGATGCCGAGGAAGGTGGTCCGACATTACTGATAACACTTCTGCTTACTTCTGGAGCGAGGCATCCGTTCAAGCTTGATGCGAAATATCTACAAAAGCGAAATGTCGAGGTTCCGGGTAACGATCCGTATGAGCTCAGCGTTTACAAGCTGAAAGAGCTCATTCTGCGGGAATGGCGAGATGAATGGGAACAACAGCCTGCCAGTCCAAGCAGTATTCGGCTCATTAGCTTTGGCAAGTTGCTGGACGACAAGGCGCCCCTGAAAGGTATGCTGACCTGTAGTGTCGCACTTTGAGATCGATAAGAACGAATTCAGCTAACATATTCTGACAGACTCTAAACTGAGCGCAGACGCTCCCAATGTCATACATATGACCATTAAGCCTCAAGACTTCGTTGAGGAGGAAGACGCCAAGGGAGGTAAAACCTCGATGTCGGCGCAGAGAGACCAGCAGGAGCGGAGTGCTGGCTGTAGGTGTCTCGTGATGTGAAGGGACATTTTCACAATATCGACGTATCTGTTGATACACGCACACTCGCATGCTCTTATGTGTTCCGGAGAACAAGGCGCGCTACGGAGTGCTTCCCTTGTCGCATGCCTCATCCTCAGGGAGTCCGCCTTATTTCTCTCCCAAGCAAAAGCCGCCCCAAGAACACGACGGGTGGACGGCTTCTAATCAAGACTTTCGAGTGAGAGAAGGACCAAAATCTGGGGGGACGATTCACTCAGCTTTCGAAATTGACGACTCGAACACTCCCAAAAACACTACGCGACATCCGGCACATCTTCGAATCAGAGTCTTCAAATTTTCTGCGTGATTGCGAATTGTCTTTCATGTACCTATCTAGACCATGGCTTGCATATCCCGGCGAACCGGCTACGACGAGATAGTGAGTGAGCGAGCAAGAGACTTAAGAGGCGAGAATGGAGATATGCTGACGCTTTCTCATGGGCGGAAAGGGCTCGATGGGTGGAAGCCTCAGCGTTGCTATGAGCGTGACACGTCATGGGTCAACATGGGTGGGAAGGAGATGGGTGGCGCACCGACGGCTTCGGTTTTTCGTTTCTGAGCAGAGTTGCGCTTGAGAGAGGATCTGTACATAATCGGGTCAAGGAATGGGAAGGACATTATGGCGCTTGGCTCAGATTGATGGGGGTTTCGGTCAAGGCATGCCAAGGCAACCCAGGTGTTGATGTAGACGAAGCATCCAGCCTGTCAAACGGAAGGGTATGAACGATCGGACAAGCTTGTGTCCTCGTACATGTGTGCTCTCGCTACGCTTCTCGGTTGACTTTGAATCGTACGCCGTGCATTGATTGCTATGGAGAGCTCTACTCTCAGCCTGAGACAAGCGGCCAGAGCCATGCTTTGTTTTGCAGAAGGGGCTTGAGCGACTGATAGCAGCAGGAGCTCGGGTTCAATGCCGCACATAGCGGGATCCGCAATGCAAGCCCGGGCATAGAGTTGGACACGTCATGGCATACGCTGTCGCTCTGGCTGGTCCTTCTGAACACCGCGATCCCTCTGTCGACAGGATCCAGTAGCCTTTTCCAGTTTTCCCATCGGAGCGACCCCGAGCAAATCCCTCTGACGGAATGCCCTTCCGTACAAAGTCTCCATCAACATCCTGGCCCATCACACCCATTCTACCACTTCCCCATGCCAACCATCCCCTCCATCTGCTCATGCCACCCAGCCAGCCCATGCTTTCCCTCTCCCGGCAATGTCTCGCTCAACTTCGCACCGTCCTGTCCCTGATACACATCCTCCCAACTAATCTCCGTATCCCGACCCATCAAGATCTCCTCTTGCACCGCCGACGGAGCGCCCAACACACTCGGACGGAAGTTATCGGCTGAACGCACCATCTGCAGCTCCATCCCGCGACGTAAGGTTCAGCGAGGCCGTATGTGCGGCGCAGGAGGGAGTGTTGGAGGGTTTCTTGAGTCTGCGTCCAGGCTGTGAGGCGGGCTTCGAGAGGGTGGGTAGATGAGGTTGGTTGGCCTTTTTGGGAGGTTGTGGTTGAGGTGGTGGGGTTGAGTGAGGAGCGAAGTGTGTCGTGCAGGCCTGGGGCGGAGGGCGCACCGCGGGCGGTGGATTGTGATGGGGCGGATTTGAGTTGGGAGGTGGTGTTGTTTGTGGTTGTGGCGTGGGCGGTTTGGGGGACTATGCGGAGGGACTGTGCATGGGATGTTAGTTGGATGTTCTCGGGAGTTCTTGGGAAAGATTGGAACAGAGGGACGAACCATGATTGCGGCGGAATGTGGTGTGAGGTTAGAGGTTGGGAGGTCGAAGCTGCGATGGCAGCGCTGGAGTAGTGGCCTGTAGCTCTGCCGCACGATAGAGATTGCGTCGAATCGAACAGGTTTTGAAGACGGCGAGACGGATTGTGCTTAATGTGTAGACGGTGTTGCGAAGTCAAGGAAGATGAAGTGATCGCGAGCAACTCCAGGTATGCGGAAGGAAGGCAGCGAGTGCAGTCGCGTTCGCACAAGGCTGACTGACAAGGCTGAGATTTTCAAGTACACACTCAAGTAGGAAAACTGTTTAGCTGAGGTACGTTGCATTACTACCCTTGATCAACTTGTCCAAGCAACTCCATGGTCTTGAAATGCTACTTTTGCTGGTGAGTCATGAGTCCCAGAGGCAGGACCGTCGGACAAATTCCCCATCAAGCTTTCACAGCGGGTGTCGCTCTGGGAGCCAATTCTCCAGATCATTGCCGCCGCCATCGTCGCTCATGACTATGTCGAGACCCTCGCTGTCAATATGCTCGCCAGCGTAATCGTCTTCTTGATCGTCTTCTTCTTCATCTGTCGCTTCTGCTTCAACTTCGCTGGCCCATGGAGCATCCGACACTTCTCCTCGATCTGTTGCTTCTGTCTCATCGCCTGGCGCGACCACGATACCATTCAAGTTCAAGGTAAGTATGGGTTTCGTGTCCAATCTGACCACCACATCGTGCCCCAAGTCAATCACCTGCACGACCTTTGCACTCGTCATCCGCACACTGAGCCCCATGCCCTGATCCGGTGTCGGAAAGGTGACCGACGCCCCAACCCTCGGCCTCTTCCTGTCTTCTTCCGCGGGCACCATGCAACGCAAGCTCAACGTAAGTACAGGCTGCGGACAGAAAACCCTCAGATAGACCTGCCCGTCTGCGACAATCCTCTGCACCACTCTTCCTCGAGAATACGTCGCACTTGAACCCATGCCCTGGTACAGCGTCGGAAAGTCAACTTCTCCCCCAACCTTTGGGCCTTTTGTCCACGGTTTTTTGAGGTGACTTTGCCGACGCAACTCCAAGAGCATGAAGTCGTTGCCGCTCTCATTGATCTGCCTGTCGTCGCCGATTCGATAGTGCCAGACTTCGCGACCACCGTGTTGTTTGAGGCCTACTTGGGCGACTCGCATGAAGCATTCGTCGAGGTGCATGTGGCGGGGCTTGATCTTCACGATATCATTGACGTGGAACTTCGGTATGTTTGCGGTGGGTGCGATGGTCGCGCTGGGGCTGGAGGGTGACGGTGCTGTTTGAATTGGTGTGGATGTGGTGGATGCAGCTACTACTCCTTCTCCTGGGTTCGTTCGGAGGCCTGGCTGTTGGGTGCTGGTGCGGTCTGGAGTTCTGTGTGGTGCAGCGTCTGGTCTTTGACCTGGTCTTCGCTCTCGTTCTGCTGTCGCCTCTTGCTGCCGCTCTGGCGTTGCTTGTCGATGGTGCTCCATAACGTCTCGGGACCTCAGTCTAGGCACAATCGTATTTTGAGATCCCTATACAGGGACAACCGGTAAAGAGTGCAGCAGAGGAGGAAGTCGTGTCTGCCAATACTTATGTCACCTACAAGACGGGTTTGTGCCCCAAGGGAACGCAATGGAACCCAGCGGAGGTCATGAGACAATGCATACGGTAAACAGCAGGCTGGGCAGTCATGATTCCATTGTATTGAGACTGCTGTGGTGATCTATGAGGGCTTGCCGTAAGGTCTAGCTAGATCCGACTGGACTGATTCCAAGCGTCTGCTCGTTGTTCGGCGGAGTGTGTTTCGCTGACGAGATCATAGCGTTGCTTAGGATGTTGAGGAAGTGTGCGCTTGAGGTATTCCAGCGCAGGTCCGGCGCAACGTTGACAGATATTCTCATGGGCAGAATACTGCATTGAGCGCAGGCATTTCACCACTATTTTGAATGCCGTATCCTTGCTTCCGAGTTCTAGCATGTATGCTTCCACTGCCACTGACGTCCAGTCCCGTGCTTCTAACCTTCCGCTACTGTTGTACACTCTCGTCTGGCTGTTGAGCACAGTAGTTGTGCGCGAAATGCACTTACAGACCGCGTCTGTTGGGATCACAGGTCGGTCTTCAGGCGCTTGGCTGGTGGTGCTTGACCAACTTCTCAATCTGCTTCATTGGCGGCCGGAAGAGGTTCAAGTTCATCGGCGCTCATACGCTTAACAATGAACTGAATGTCGTACAAGACCTCCTTGCCCTCCTTTCTGACGGACACGATTTGCCCGAACTCAGCTGCTGCACGCGGGCACAAGGATCTGACTTTTTGGCCCAACTGATACTTGAGTGGCGTCAGCTGTTCGCTCGACAGCCTAAAATCACCCCAGGGAGGACCGGGCCCGACAATTGTTACGTCGTATTCGAGTTTGGACGGTTCCGGCGCCGCGACCAGAGCAGTGATACTCACTAAGACACTTTGGTCACCCAGTGCCGCGATAGACGTGTTGTAAATCCTTGCTAGCGCCAGGTCGCCGACTTTGTACGTGGGCGACTCCGGGCGACTCCGTGGAGGACCGTTCTTGGTTGTGGCTAAGATCACGTCAGAAGATCGCTTTGAGAGTACCTTGTTGGAGTATGCTTACCCATAGTTGCTGGCTGGGAGTTTGTCCGTACGTTGTGGCAAGCGTATGGTGAAGCAAGGAACAATATCGAAGGTGCGCGACGACATACGAAACCTGAAACAAAGAAGCCATCGTTCTTTTCACATGACTTTGAAGTGAAGTCGATGGTTGTCACGGCAGCCTGGCGACCACTTTGCTAAGATCGCACACCCATAACCTCGACTCGGACGCCTGCGAGAACTTCGTCGAAAGGCACGAATGATTCCGATGAATCACTATGCTGTTCGTCAAAGTGCTGTATTGTCTGGATCCTAGGCATATCGACGGTCAAATTTGACGGCCAACTCATTCGAATCGTCTTCGCTAAGTCCAGCATCCATTTTCATCTCCCAAAGTCCACACCAATTGCGTCTAAATCTTGGTTCTGATCCGCGTCGGCGATGCTGTCCTGTTGGAAGAAGCAACCAGACTCAAGAGGCCCTGCTTCATCCCCATGCATTTGATTCATGCCGGTAATTCAGTCCGCTGTATCCTCTCCCTGGTCCGTTGCTCGAACGTCAACGTATCGTGTCAATCGATCTGCCTGCTTTGACCTCTAGCTACTTCAGGCGAAACGGCATCGAGAGAGGCTCAGATGTCCTGGCTTTCTTGATATGGCTGTCAGACTCCAGCGCATCCGTGAGCGGTCGATTTACTGGTCTTCTTACGATATCAGCCTGCAGACGGAGAGCTGAGCAAGTGAAGATGGTGGGATCACCCAAGTCGATCTCAATGTCGTATTTGATCACGCCGTCGACGATCTTGACGTCGATGACCTCTCCTACAGTACTGGACCAGTGCAGACTGATCGCAACACGCGATCCTTTAGGATACGGCGCAGCCTCCAGCGCGTTGCCTGGCAGCCGTCGTGACATTGAGATCCATCCCTCGGAGTGTAGGTAGTAGCATTTTACCCGATAGTTCTCGTACGGAATCAGCACGTCGAACTCCGTGGCCCCAAGGAGCTCGAGGATCGTAGCGGCTCGGTCAACGATTACACCAGTCTCAGGATCGAGCGTCTTCGCAATCACAATGTCGCCGACACCGAAAGTGCGCACTGGCTCGGGGCCAGCCATGACGTGGACTGGACAATGGCGGTCAGCAACGCTCAGATGTCCATGGAGCGTACTAACCTGGTCGACTGTCGAACGCGAGACCGACTGCGAGCTGAAAAAGCGAGACAACTTGTTCGTAGGTCGAAGCGTTGAACTGCCACTATAAACAGAAGTCTCGAGGAGAGGCGAAGGAAATGCAGTCTTGCCACCCATTCACCTCTCAAGATCCGAGCATTCAATTCTGAATGCAAACGATGCAGTCCCACTCGCAGTTAGTGTCCAATTGGTTGAAGACGCAGAATGTACAGCGGCATGAAAGTATGGATGACTCCTTGTTTTGAGGCGCTTTGTGCTTTAGCAGCCAAAGTAGCGCTCCTCGATCCAGCGCTTCTCATACTCGTCGCCCATATTGGCTGCCACGACTTGTATCTTCGGGAACACACTCAGGAGCCTCTTAAGCCCTCGCTTCCCCGCAAGACAAGTCACAAAGACGATTTTCTCCTCGGCCACCCCGTGATCGACCAGGACCTTCACTGCCATCAGCGCCGCACCTCCGCTCGACATCTGAGAGTCCAAGAGCAGGACGGTCTTGTGCTTCTCTATATCTGGAAACAACTTCAGATAGTGCAGCTCTGGCTCGGCTGTTCTTAGGTTCGATTGTATGAGCATCCTTCCGGTCAGACAGTCGGGAATGGTCCGCCTCAAGCCCGGCTCCAGACAGCTGCCGCCTCGTAGGATGACCACAGCAGAAATGATGCCGGCCGATTTCAGACCGTTGTATCCATAGCCTTGCGACGTGTACACCGTTGACGGTAGATAAGAATGACAGTCAAGGGCCGTCTCAATCAGTATGGCGCTTAGGCGATTGAAGTAGAACACGAACTCCTCCTGTGGTGTTATTGTGTTCCGCAAAATCGTCCCCACGCCTCTTATTTGCGGCTTATGCTCCAGCAGGATGACATTCTCCGGTAGTGGACTGTCTTCGACGTCCTGGCCGAGCTTCTCGAGCTCTGCATTATGTCGTATTGACTTGTCCTTGAGCATTCTTCGCACCTGATTCACGATCATCGCAATTGCCATCTTGTTCTGCATGCCACGAGGAACGATGATGTCCGCGCCTTCCTTCTGTGGCTCGACCCATTTCAAGTATACCGGCTTGACCCAATCGAACCACTGCTTGATGATGCCTTCAATGTCACGCCCGCGTTCACGCACGTCGCGAACAAGTCGCCTCGATAAGCATAAATCCAGATCAGCTTCCACAAAGATCTTCATATCCAGCATTTTCAGCACACGTGGGTCGACCAAGGCAAGGTTCCCTTCCAGAATTACAACATGGGGCGAATATACTGAAACAGTCTCCTCCAAGCGCTGATGTAGGGGAAACGAGTATACAGGGATGTTGACGCGCTTGCCTTGCTTGAGCTGGGACAAGCATTCGACAAGAAGATCAAAGTCGATAGACGCCGGTGAATCAAGATCGTATTCGTTCAGATGGGCCAGACGATTCTGCTCTTCATTCAAGGACTTGTAGAATGAGTCGATGGACAGGATGATGACCCAAGGTAGATCCAGAGCCTTGACAATCTCGACAGCCAGGGAGGTCTTGCCCGAACCTGAGGATCCTGCTACGCCAATCATGCTCATGTCGGCCCATGGTGGGGTGTAGCAAGCTGCTGCTGCAGCTGGCGAAGTGGATGCCATTGCTGCAGATTCTGTGGCTTTCTGAAGTTTCGCTGAAGCTCCTCTGTCCATGCCTGTGCCGTTCGACTTAGTGATCGCGTGACGAGGTGCTCAGATAGCTTGTGAGCTCTTCAAAGAGCTACGTCCTGCTGATCAACATGATGTTACGTTGTAGATTCGACAAGGTTAATATTGGTTAGGAACATGTACCAGAGGCCTCCTGTTCATCCAAATACGCGAGATATCGACATAGAGGCCACGGTATCAAGAGACATCGCGAATCTCGAGTCTTCGAGGTATGATGCCAAGACGGGCTTTGGCCGCGATTCAAGTCTCCAAGATTTGCACTTCAGCTACTTCACGTTCAACATCTTGAACAAACACGGACTCAATCGATCGCATAGATTGGACCAATATTGCATCCAGCACATCGCATACTGATGGTGCAGTGCTATCATAAGGCCATGAGGCATCGCTGCTTGCCTCACATACGCTCAGAGCCCGCCCCATAACTATTCCACCTACAGTCGCAGTGATGGTACGTTTTCGAATCGTCTGAATCCCGCCCCGCTGACGGTCCCGTAGGCGACGACAGCGCCGTCGATTCACACCTTTGAAAGGAGAGTCACTGACACTACGCTATCCAAATCGTACGTCTCCATCGCCCTCAATACCCCTCAAAGTCCTCCAAGATGCACTTTTGTCAAATGGGAATCTCTCTGAAAAAAATACTTGAGGAGAACACTATTGTTTGCTTTCTGATCAGCGATGCTACCATGCAGCATTATACTATCGATGTGTGGGAATTTGATGCTAAATCACCTCAGGGACGTCAACAGTCTGGTCATGGACTATCTCATAAAAGAGGGCTACCCGTCAGCTGCCGAAAAGTTCGCTATGGAAGCCAATATCGAACAGCCTCCAGACGAGAGCAACATTCGCGTCAGGGTCCAGATTCGAGATGCTATTTATCGAGGGGATCTATCAACGGCTATCGACCTCATTGCAGAGGCGAGTCCAGAGGTAAGTCCATTTACGCGAAGAAATCTTCAGCGCCCGCCCTGGCTAGGATTTCTTGATATCTTCCATATGCTGCCCTTCCATGATTAGACACTGTTTCATGCACCACTCATAGCACCTTTGCTGTGCTCTGATGAGAAACCAAACACCTTCAGTCCTCAGTATGACCCAAAGCATTATCCTCACGACACAGCCTCATTCCTCGAACCGATACATGTTGCTGACCATGTGATGCTAGCTCCTGAACAAGAACGAGCACCTCCATTTCGCATTGTTGCGACTCCAGCTCATCGAACTCATCCGCGCAGGCTTCAAATCTGCCAATTCGAAGACCGATACCACGGGCATCGCTAAGGCCATAGAGTTCGCCCAGCAGAATTTGGCTCCGTACGCTTCCGTTTCAAAGGACTTTCAGAAGGATCTGGAGCGCGCTATGGCTCTTCTGATCGTTCCGCACGAGAGCTGGTCGAAGCCACTGACTTCTCCATCGCCACAAGCTGCTGCTTCCGATGCCGCAACGGCTCCCGAGAACTTTGGGCAGCTAGCAGAACTAGTCGACCCTTCGCTTCGACAAAAAGTGGCAAAGGATGTCAACGAAGCTATCCTTGCGTCACAAGGCCAGCGTCGTGAAGCAAACATCCGGCATCTGGTCCGAACGCGGGCCTGGGCGGAGAAAGTCGCTCGCGATAAGAATGTCGATCTCCCAGCTCAACTAAGTCTGGGGTTGGATGGTGAGCAGTCCAGTGGCGGGGACACAGAGATGGCTACCGGCAACGGCACAACTTGATGACGTATGGCAAAAGATCCTGCTTTAGCGATGGCGCTCGAGGGGAGTTGACTTGTTATTATTAGTACCTACAATCATGCAGCGGCCTCCCTGGCCCGAATTTCGGATGACCCGTTCTTGCTTAAGTGAGGCTCATCTCAAGCCTGCCGTTCTCATAGCACAACATTTGTGAACCCTGGGCGCCCTCCCTGGCCAGGAAATGTACAATACACCGTTTTTATTAAGTGCTACTCCAGTGACGCTCATCTCAAAGCTACGAACAAATTGTCGGAGGCCATCTCAAATTCTCAGAGCCCTCCCTAACCAAATCTCTGTAACGGTCCTCTCCTACCAAGCAATGCTCAAGCGAGGCTCATCTCAAGGCTTTGCATGCATTATCAAAAGTCATCTCAAACCCTCGAAGCGCTTCCGACACAGAAGGATCAGTCTTGGATGAAGGACGCCTTGTTAGCCTGTAGTGAAGCAGCTTCTGACTAGCCGATTAGCAGCCGGCCGTCGCTTTCTCGAGACAACGTTGCTGCTGTGACTTCATTCGATACGCACGATCTTCCCCAGAAGGGCACCTTATGATCACTGAATTCACACTTTCAGATCGTCCATGCCGTCCACCTCATCAGCGAAATCGAGTTGGTCGAACCCCTTGTCGGCATCCGCTTTGATCAGCTCGAACATGCCCTCCGGCATGATAGGCTTCTTCTTGTCGTCGAGGACATATCGGAATGGCATCTCCGTCGACTCGTGCTCGTTCAGCTTGAGCTCTGGGAAGTCAACATATGGTATCGAATCGAGCTCCTGCCCTTCCAATACTACCATCCTAGTCACACGCACCGCAGTGTCGGTCGTCATCTGCTTAGGTCCGAGTCGTCGTCCTGTAAATCCTTTCTTGCGTAGCTCGCTAGTCCTGTCCCTTGGCGGATCGTCACCCAGAATACCGCCAAAGAGGAAAATGTCAAATGCCTTGCCATCAGAAGGACTTAGTTCATGCTTCGCTTGGGGATCGAGTAGACATATGCGGTCCTTGCGATCTGCAAAGTAGTCTTCGACACTCTCGGCCCTCGTCTGGGCTCCGATGCCTTGCAGATCGCTGCTCTCGAGCAAAGACTTTGGCACAGAGGACAGAATGAAGTCGCATTCTGCGGTCTTGGATTCTTTCGCAATGGCTGTGTATTCAAGTGCGGACCATGGGCCAAGTTCTGGGTCTAGATGCTCGACCACGAAGGTCTTGCGTGCCGCCATCAACAGGATAGAAGTGCGAAGATTGATGCTAGGGTTCGTCGTGTCCAGGGCGGCCTCTGCAGTATTGAGGGTGACTGATGCCTCTTTCACTTAGAGTAATTCATGATGAGTCGATTCTACAATCTGGCCTACCAGTGACGCTCGAATGAAGCTTCTCTCAAGCCAACCGATCCGGGCAGCATAAATGATGTTGGACCTATAGCGCCCTCACTGATCTAGAAAGTCCACACAGACCATCAAAATTTATGAGCATGTCGCCGTTTGCCTTTTTCGGGGCCGGAGAAACTGCACTGCCAGAGAAACGACTCCGCACATCACTCATGATTGGCTTTGATGGACATCATCCGGTTGGAGGACTCTCGTAACAACTCTTGAAACTACACCCTTCACAGACAGAAATCACCCCTCCCGTCCCTCCTGTCAAGCCGCAGTCAGCCAGTTGTTACCCCACAAAATCTTCGCTTCACGTCGAACTTCACCTGAGGCTTGCAATAATTCTGATCAGACGCAAACAAACCTCAACGTGCACTTTTCGTGAATAGATACCTCCATCGCGAGCCATCGGTACTCCAAGCATCCTTGACGGCCAGACACCGACCTTGAAGACCAAGCCACATCTCAGAGACGAGCACTCCGACCAATCCGCATTTGACACTCGAGATCGCGTGCGAACATCAAGCACGGCGGTCAGAGAGACCAAGAAAGGGCACAGCTACGGACGTCATAACTACGAAAGAGACCGCGACTCCCAATTGGCCTACGCCTTCCAGACGCCAGTAGCTGGCACAGCACAGAGCCCGCCCTACAGCCACGTCCTTACAATATCGTAATCATGAATCCACACCAGAAGAACAAGATCGACATCAATGTGAGCCTCCTCTTGACCTACGTTGGACACCCTGTTCTGACCTTATCCCGCAGTCCCTCTCCTCCGACGAGCAGCGCCTCTTCCGCCTCTACGGCAAGCTTCCTAACAAGAAGGACCTCCTCCAGAACAAGCTCAAGGTGAGCATGTCCCGTCCTCACCTCCCTACATGACTAACACCTCCATCCAGGAACGCAAATACTTCGATTCCGGCGACTACGCCCTCTCCAAAGCCGGCAAAGCCTCCGACAGCGGTATGACCTCCATCGGCACCGAACACCCCACCGCCGACGCCATCCCCCACCTCTCCCCGCTCACAAACCAACTCACCCGCGGCGACAGCATCTCCGCTGGGTCCCCGCCCTCTGTCTCCTCTCCCATTAGCGGTCAAGAAGCTCCGACGGCTGCGGCAGGCCTGCATAGGGGAAGCATCAATGGTATTCCAGGCGGTGGGCTGCCGGGGCATGCGCAGAGTCGCAGTCCGGTGAAGGAGAGTAGCTATCTGGCGAGGAGTGCGAGTGTGGATGATGGGAGTGGGAATACAACGGCGCAGGAGGGCAGTGGTGCGAATACGATCACAACTGGTGAGCAGAAGGCGGGCATTCCAATTCGGAGATAATGGTCTGCTTGGTGCTGCGGATAACGTGAAGTGGTGATCATGGTTGATGCTGAAGGATACGGCTGGATCAATCGAAGCTGCGACCGCTGCTTGCGCCCCGCGGCTGGGGTCCACCCGAGAGCCGAACGTTGCGGACTAGGTACGGGAGAGGTCGACAAGATGTGAGAAGAGCAGCATGAAAACCAAATCCGGCGCTGCCAGGCCAGAGCCGGATCTTGTCAGACGCACTCGTTACTATGCATACGGCGGAGTCTAGTGCTTTCCTGAAGTGCAGAGGTCCTGAGACTGGGCTTTGTGGGCCATGGTGATCATGGCCCAATATAACAGAACGAACATGTGCACAGCCAGGGCGCAATCGACCCGAGGCAGAGCATAGCAGAGGGATGTTCAGAATCGGCATCGAAAAGCTGTCCGTAGGTAGCTGCTATACGCTAAATGTACTGTATCGAATCACAAGCGGACGGGAGCCAGATAATAACGAATTACGTGGAGATGCCCTTACTTCCATGATATGGCATGGACGTTATCGATATTTATTCCCATTCATTGTATCGTGCTACCTCGGAAAGCCCCAGCAATGGGTGTACCGCTTCTCCAGATTGAAGCGGTCTGGGGCCTCTGTGACTCTTGCTGATCACACTTTCCTTCGTTACAATTGCGCCACACGCCGCAATCCAATCATCGACCAAGGGTAGCTGAAATCCCTCTTGCGATGCCATAAGCTGGCAAATATCCCACTTTGGTAGCCGCACTGCTTATTCGACTTTGATTTAGAGATCTGGCCTCGTTGTCTGCGTACATGCATAGCCAGGGTGGCACATGCTCTGGTTTGGAAGCATGTCCTGCCTGGCCCGCCTCCCATCGTCGCAGTCCGGGACGTTTGGGTGGCGGAGAAATCTCAGGAAGTGCTGTTACTGTTCCTATCCGACAGCGCCACCCGGGCGCATGAGGTTCGGGGCGGACGGGAAGGCACATTTGTTGAGCTCCCTACTGAAGAACTGAACTTCTCACTGCAGCAGATGAGACATTCCCGATCTTGGTGTTTCGCTAAGCCTCATGTTGGCTTATCCAGACGAGGGAATGCCTGGTTTGCCGCGAATGAATCGCCGCTTAGTGCTTCCCATGACCACATCATCATTGCTGGTGTTTGCTGGATCTGGAGCATCAAATCGATTGCTCCACTTCTTTCATTCTTGCACTCCGTGGTGCTCTTTCTTTCAACGATTCGTTTTCTCGAAGTTGTCGTCCGATCAAGCTTCAGTCGACCTTCCAGTGAGCTTCGATGGAATCTTCCCTTCCCAGATACAGCTCGAAAGCATACAAGCCCATCGTGCTCACCAAGTTGATCCATTTCCAGATATTGCCATTCACCGCTGGCTGTCCATTTCCATGCCACCACGACCCAATACTTTCCGTCAGTCCAGGCGAGTATCCTCCCATCGTCGTGGCGAAGTGTTGCATTAGCAGACTCGTGTACACCGCAATGAGAATGCTGGGTGAGAACCACGAAAGAAATGCAAGGAATTGGTTGCCGGCGTTGGAGTCGTCGAGAGTGGGCTCCACACTAAGACCACGCGCACCGTTCTCGTTGACCGAAGGAATGATCCTGGTGGACATGTAGAAGACGAAGAGGCGATAACCCAGTGAGATCAGGACCGAAGCGGAGACCGCTTTGAATGCAGCAACAATGAAGTCGACTGTGTCCCAGAGAGCGCCTGGCAAGGCAGAAAGTACTTGGATAAATGCTGTGTAGGAGGACATGATAATGGGAGGTAACGGAGGAAAATCTGGAGTGTCGCTTGCGGTAGGCGGCGATCTCGTTGGCTCGTTCGGCTTGTAGTCGGTGAAGATCTGGTAGATGCATAGGACAATGTAGGCGAAGAGTAGAGATGATTCGAGGGCAGTACCGCGCCCAGATCCGACGCCGTACGCACATAGGAAGACGGCCGATGTGATGGCAATGCCAATGATCACCGAATCCAGACTCGAGATGTCAGGGAATTGCAGGACCCGCCAGAGGAAATAGCCAGAGCTTGAGATGACAGAGCCTGCCAGCGCGATGATGCTCAGCATCCATACATCGCTCCACTCAGATCGATTGACCAGATACCGGGATAGCTGTCCAACCGCCTGGATCACCAGTAGACTGCAAAATCCTTCCAGAAGCTGGAAGACGGGCGATGAATATCGCAATAGTCTGTCCCATCCGCCAATTGCGACGACTTCGACCAGACCATCGTGTCCGAAAATGTATTGTGAGAGTGTCCTGTTGCTGAAGACCTCTTTCTTGAGTCGAAATGTCCTTTCCACCCAACCAGGCTCCGATCCGCCGTCGACCGAGAATCTTCCCAGCGTCCACAGGCAGAGACCGGGCACAATGATCCACTGCGTGGCCCTCAGGGTATTGGTGAAGAGTCTCCGCGCGATGGAACTGTCAGGCGTGGACACTCGGAAGCAGGACAGGACGAAGTAGAAAGAGGCTAGCGACAGCGAATATGCCAGGCCTGCATCTCGTCCTCCTATGTCGAAAGTGAGGGGGATTGTGACGATAATGAGCGCTAGGAATGTCAGCGACGAGAGCGCTTTAGTGAGGAACATTCGGTCGAGGTTCGCAGGATCGTAGGCGCTGCGGCGGCGAGGTGGCCGTATGTGGCACGGACGGCGTTCGTAGAGCTGCTCTCGCAGTCAAAGATCGATTTCGATGACCTGCGGCGCGATATTCAAAGATTGGATTGTATGGCTTCTGCCGGTCTTGATGTGAGGCTGTCTTCGGTGCTGTCACATGTCATCGCGAACGCGTTGGAGACGATTGTCAGGTGGGCAGTCTCTGTAACGCGTGCTGTCGAGAGTTGGCAGCGAGATGTGGACTGCAGCGAGGTCGTGAAATCTAGGCAGAGAGAGTGGTTCGGTGCCTGGTCGCGTGTCGAACTAGGATTAGGAGATTGGAGAGCGAGGAAAGCGATGAAGAAGCAAGGAAAAGATAGGTGCGATCTTGATCTTGGGTCTTGATTGCCCACACAATCGTCAACCCAGCACGACAATGGATCTTTCTGGGCCGCTTCTGCCAAGACCGCCGCCTATGACCTTCTCTTGTTGCCCTAGCTTGCTTAAGCGGTGAAGATTTCGAGGAACTACAGTGAACAATGCCATCATGCTCCATCCGCTAATGCAGCAGACACGGCAGACATGTGGCATCCTTGTGGAGGTCTTTGAAATGGCATGTTTTGATGGGCACAAACCCTGTTGGCGCACATCTATTTGTTTGTCTGCAGCAATCAAGCCTGTACTCCAGGCGCACGACAGCTACTCGGCATCTACACGGCCTGATTCGAGGCCACGAATAAAACGAACGCTTCGTTGTTGGTGTCATGAAAGTCATCACGATTTCGCCTTTCGGGCTTTCTTCCGTTCCCTCAGACGCTTTTCTGTAGCCATAAATTCGCGAATGCCAACGGGTATCCCAGCGAACAGCTCTTCTGCATCCTCGCCACCTGCAACACTCGGTGCATCCCACAGAGCCTCGCTTCCACCACCATCATCGTCCATGCTTACAGATGCATTGACAACCTCAGGTCGGTGGAGATCAATCTTCGGTGTACTCAGTTGGCTGTGGCCCGCTCCTTTCGCCTGTGCCTCGCGTAGACGAACTGCCCATTCCTCGATGTCGTCCCGATAGTCATCCCAGACGCAATGCATACACCCACTCATGCAGCAGTTCTCCGGTTCTTCAGGGCGTGGAGGAATCGGCACTCCGTTGATGGTCTTCCATACCGAGTCCGCTTGCTTTGGCAGTTTCCTCTCGTAGCCTGATCCTCGAATGTTGCCAAATAGCTTTGCTGCTCGTGCTTCCTTGGTTTCATCGCCTGATTGGACGAAGGTGGGCAGATCTGAATGAGCTGTCGAGTCCTTCGGTATGGGGACTGCTAGAAGATCCGAATAGAAGTCTCCCAATGGACGTGCGCGCAATTGCGGTGGTCGTGAATTTGCTAGCCTTTCACTCGACTGATAGTACCTTTGCTGTATTACGCCATTGAGGAGTTGCTGTCGCCATCTGCTAGCAGCCGGCGGCTGACTGACCGGTCCGCGGGCGACGTCGATACACAAACATGCTCGGCAGACCTCTGACAGTACTGACGGCCTTCGAGGCACTCTCGTCAGAACGTCCATGTGACATTGTGAAGAGGAAGTAAAGTGAAGATCGTCCAAAGCTTTCATAATCGGGAGATAGCCACCGAGCCAATTGCCACTGCAATGTGACTGGCCCGGCTCTTAGCGGCCCCGCCCTTGAGCTTACCTCGATCTCCTTCTTCTCACCTCACTGATCTGTCTGTTCTCTTACTTTCCTGCTTAACTCATCTGATTGTGCTAACTCGATGGCACGTCAAGATCACTGCCATTAGTGCTCTGCAGGGCTCATCGAATCGTGGCGCAGTGCAACGAGAATTTATCCCGCAACAGCACTCGTCATGATGGACCAACCCACCAGCAAAAAAGCTGGTTTCAGCGAAGGAGCCTTTGCGAACATTGCGGCTGGGTAGCATTCGCATCGCTAACAGCCGTAGTCCACAAGGGTGTGATGAGAGACGAAAGCGTCAGCTCCTCTCGAGCAGGCAGAAATTCACAGGTGAGCGAAAATATGGCCACATACGTTTTCTCGAAGCAGAAGTCGAAATCTTGTCAAGCGCCACAACGACATCATTGGACGACTGTCAGGCCCGTTCAACCTTGGTCGCAGGCAACTGTCAGGCCAATTCTATCTTGGTTGAACACGGCTTCGAAGCGAGTTTGATCTTGGGCAAACGCGAGTGTGAAGCGAGTCTATTCTTAGTTGAGCGCGACTTTCAGGTCAAACTCAGCGATCGTTGCCAGGTCGGCGAGGACACACCACGCTCTTGGCACAGCAGCTCAAGATGGCCGCACATTCGTTCGCGTTGCCAAAAATGCAAAAACCAATTTCCCCCGAAGGGAGCCATGGGAAACCGTGAAGGTTTATTAGGTTATTTTTCCTAAGTTCCACGCCTTTAACACTAGTCGTTCGATCGATCGGAAGAGGGAGGAACCATCAGACCGGTAGGTGGAGGAGGGTTCAGTCGACCGTTCCGGCGCCGCGTAGCAGAGTGGCCCGGAATTTTTCTGGGGTTATGGTGGTACCCAACTCTGCTACCAACCTGGACGATTGTGGCTTAAGTTGCCGGATCGCTGGGGAAGGCGGATTTGTTGCTTTCGTGGTCTGATGGTCGGGGGAAAATCCAACAGAATAAAATATAACCACTTCTCCCTAGCAACGGGTCTTTGGGCCGCCGGGGCGCCGTGGGCATGATTTCTAGGGGCGATGAGCAAAGCTGCTTCGGCATCCGCACACAGAAATCATCGTCGGGGTTTAAGATGTGGCAGAGACTGGGCCTTTTCTACGATCGAATCGTCTATCGCTGGTGGCATACTGATGGTGCAGACACGCGAATGCGATTTCTGATGGTATTGCACCAAATACTGTCCCTGCAGCGCGGGCTCAGCAGACTGGGCTGAAGCGACGGCCTATTTCTCTGCGCAATTTGACGGCGTCAACTCTTTGCCTTGGCTCATCTAGGTAAGTTTCCGGAAGTCGTTCGCCATCTTTCAATTTATCATTAGAACCGCTCCTAATCCTTCTTCGATCAATATCTTGAGAGTCTTCGATTCACTTCTGCTCATTGTCAAGCCCGCTTCCAGTCCTCCTTCGATCAATTTCTGAAGAACCTCTATTCTGCTTCTGATCATCCTCGCTGAGTTTGGATTGGGCAGAATCGATGAACCACGCCATCGAAGCAAGGCTCCGAGCCAGTGACAAGCGAGGACCATGCCATATGCCAGCTTCGGGTCTGCACTGCATACGAGCGTAGCTATCTCTTTAAGGCGGACTCTGTGACACGACTTGTGCTAAGCTTTGACCATTGGGAATCATTGCCACCAGCATGTAGAATGTCAGTCTTGGCTCCTGGCGAAGGCTGCACAGGCGCTGCACAAGTGCTTAGTAAACAAACACCAGGACGTCTCCTGATGCGAGTGGGTTCAGCGGCATTTACGAGCAACGTTGCAGGAAGGCATTAATCTGGGGTTCGCTAAAGCATTTGTCACGACGGACAGGCAAGGCCGAGTACCGGTTGTCCAATCAGACAGTTCACACAGATCCCCTTTTGAGGCGATCGAATCTGTTTGGACTTCGGCCTCACTCTGCAAACCACAAAGCCCGTACTCGATGCGGAACCATGGCATTGTCCGAGACCACGGTCCGTGGATTGTTCGCATCGCCATGTGCAGCCGCAGCATACACCTTGCCCTTCAAACTAAGTTCCAGTTGTGAGTGGTAAGCGACGGGAAACCTAAAGTCAAAGCAAACGTGCTTAAGCCAAGGAGGCAAGTATATCGAGAACATACTTCCTACTTCGGTAGGTACCTGCCCTTGAGTAATATAATATTCATGTTACGCGGGCTTGGATTGCACTATGACAAAGAGGACGTTCGCTAAAGCAAGAGCCGATGCGAGCCTGAGTTGCCGATGTTTTTGCAGATGTAAACATGACGTCGGCGTGGTGTTGCATTTCATACATATACTATAGCAATCGCGCTTAACGCTGCCCAAATCGCCAGAGCTGCAGAGCCATTTCAAAGGATCGACCGTCATCCTCAGCGCTGTGCCGACTAGCACCTCAACGACACTCCTATCACCGCTGCAACCTTGGCATCTTAGAAACTTAAAATGTGGCTTCCCGAACTCCCACGCATCCTCCTTGTGCACGGGGCCTTTGCTGATGGCTCAGGCTGGTCGAAAGTCATTCCACACCTGCAGCACGCCGGCTACAATGTCACCGCAGTCCAGAATCCCATGACAAGCTTGGGCGCTGATATCAACACCACCCGACATGCAATCGAGACCCTCAACAACCAAAGCTCTGCCCCCATCGTCGTAGTTGGGCACTCCTTCGGCGGATTCGTCATCACGAACGCTGCGACCGACCAGCCGAACATCAAGTCCTTGGTCTACGTGACCGCTTTTGCGCCTGACGAGGGCGAGTCACCTGGTGAACTCGCCGGCATGTTCGCACCTCTGGAGTCAGCAAAGCATTTCGTGCCCGATGCGGTTGGACGCATCAAGCTTCCGCAAGACCAATACCCTATCTACTTCGCACCTGATGTGAACAAGGAGGAAGTCAAAGTGCTGGCAGCAACGCAAGGTCCGTGCGATCAAGAGCGCTTTCTGTTCAAGAGTGGGAAGCCGGCTTGGAAGCAGGTTAGGAACTTGTTTGCGATCAAGGCAACCGAGGATCAGATCATCAATCCGGACCTGGAGGAATTCATGGCGAAGCGGATGGGTGCCAAGTTAACGACTTTGAAGGGCGGGAGTCATGCGTCGCTGTGGAGTCGTGGGAAGGAGGTCGCGGATGTTATCCTGGAGGCGGCGAGGTGTTAGTTCCGGATGGTCAGGGGAGCTCGTAGAGAGGCGGAGAGAGCACAGTCGGTGCTGCCGATCAGAGCCGTTGATGCTCATGGTCCAGGGAAAATGGTGTGTCAATATCGACTAATACTTTAGCAGTGTAATGCCAACAATAAAGCAGGTCGAAGATCCTGACTCGGGTCCAGGGTCCTGCTCAAGAAATTTTCCTCTGGCTTGTTTGGGTCATTCCTCAGTCAACTTTGGTGATGCCTCCCTGGCTAGGATTTCTCGTTACATCCTTTGCAGCGTTTTGACGCCCAAGTGTGGCTCATCTCAGCCCATCAACTTGATCGGCGAAAGAAAAAGAGGTCTTTAGCGCCCTCCTGGACCTGAAATTGCACAACGAGTAGCATGTAGGCTTGGGCACAAAAGTCACTCTGTACTTGTGTCCACAGCCTGCCAGTTCGACCGCCACTTCTGTACAGATTCACTACCACTGCCTCGTACCGACCAACATGCTTACTTTGAAATTTCCGGGAACTGCCTACCTTCGAGGGCGACTAGGCGCTCTTTGACAGCATAGTTTGGCGAGGTCTAACACATCCTCGTGCATAGGCCATGTCAGGTGGGATCGATGATCAGCCAGACCACGAGCCAGTCCGACAGGTGCAGGCTCAACGCCGAGGAAGACACCTGTTCGACTTGAGGTGCTGTCAGCATGAATTGATTTTTGTTTTATGTGTTCTTGGCGTATGTTCGCCGGGCGTGTGCGCGAGGGCCGGACATGAGTGAAGTCATGACGGATGTCTCCCACTGAGACTTGTGGCTGTGAAACCAGCGAAAGCGGTACTCAGGGTCATCTACTGAGCAGCAGAATAAGGAACATGGTCCAGTGGGTCATGACAGTCTCAGGTTCTCTGCACGTCGCAGATGCCTGCCGTAGGAAACACTGCCACATCCTAGCCGGTTCGAGGAAGGCAGAAAGGAAAGGAAAGGAACTCTGGAGATTAAGCCTGAGGAACCTTGAGAGATCCGACGCCTGAAAGCTTGCAGAAGCTTGGCCTAGGTGCTTCTTCTTGTTCGCGTTTGACGACGCCTGCGATCTCACCATTGCTCTTTCGGTGCTCACAGCTGCTCACTATGATGCAACCAGCTACTGCAAAGACCAAGGACCAGAACATTGTAAGTTCAAGCAACATCGACGACCACTGCAAGATTCGCGAGACCAGATCCACAAAAGAGCACGCGGGCCCGAGGCTGAGTTTTCGGACTCTTCCACCCCTGTAGCACCCGAGATCTCGTGTTGTTGCCGAGTACGCAGTCGTCACTTCCGCCAACCACATGTCATGCCCTGAAAAGGACGGGAGCCTGCACCAAAAGTTAGGCATCTAATACTGTATCAAGGTTTGATGGAGGACTGAATGCGTCATGTTGTTAGGGCATCCAATTCAGCAGGTAGGTCTGTCGTTGTGAAGATATAAGTCCCCACGATCGCACGTTGCGTGGCGAGGCGAGACTGGCAGAACAACCTTGGAAGACCTAGTGTCAACGGTGTAGAAGTCTCTGCGAAAAGTCGCGGCGCCTCGCAAGACTGTTTTCCTCAAACCAGCACTTCATAAATAACCTCAACATCATCCACTCTATAGTACTACCGCACATCGATCAACAATGGAACCAATACCCGAAAAGCTCCGGGTCCTCATCGTCGGCGCAGGCATCGCCGGCTGCGCCAGCGCTTACTTCCTCGCCAAGCAAGGCCACTCCGTAACAGTCATCGAACGACACCCAGGCCTCCGCACCAATGGCCTGCAACTCGACCTCCGCGGCCATGGCATTGAAGTGATGAAGCTTATGGGCCTGGAAGCTGCGGTACGCGCACAATGCGTCCCTGAGGAAGGTGTAGCATTGGTGGACGCGACGGGCAAGCGGAGAGCGTTCTTCGCGGCTAACAAGACGGGGAAGGGCGCGCAGAGCATGACGAGTGAGTTCGAGATTATGCGTGGGGATCTGTGTCGATTGTTGTGTGAGGCGGCAGACAATGTGGGCGCGGTGTTCAAGTATGGAGTGGGCGTGGAAGCGTATATGGAGATGGGAAAGGAGGTGGAAGTTAGGCTGACAGATGGGAGGGTGGAGAAGGTTGACTTGTTGGTTGGGTGTGATGGGCTGGCGTCAAGGGTGAGGAGATTGATGGATGGGGCCGGGACTATAATTGAGGGAAAGAAGGATACAGCGTTGGAGGAGATGGCAGAGAAGATTGCGTACTTTACGATGGAGGAGCCGCAGCAGGAGGGCGAGCAATGGATAATGCAGGGATGTGTGTTTCCTGGTGGGAAGAAGTTGGGAACGAGGCGGCATCACGAGAACAGGATACAAATGTATCTTATGTGGGATGAGAGGCCCGGTGCTGGAGGGCCACTCGACAAGATCAAGAGAGGCGATGTAAAGGCCGAGAAGGCTGCATTTGCGGATCTTTACCGGGGCGAGGGTTGGAGGGCGAATGATGCTGTCAAGGAGCTGGAGACCGGCGCCGAGGATTTCTACTGTCAACACACAGGAGTTGTCAAGCTGGACAAATGGTCGAGGGGACGTGTCACGCTGGTTGGCGATGCTGGATATGGCCACCCACCGGATGGATACGGTACCAGTTGCGCGCTGGTCGGCGCGTACGTCCTCGGTGGTGAGATCGAAAAAGAATTTCGGCAGACAAGCTCGACCGAGAGCAAAGAATCGCTGGCAAAGAATCAGGATCCGCTTCTGGCGGCGCTCGAATCCTATGAGGAGGTTTTCGGCCCACACATGAAGAGTATTGTCAATTCGTACTCGGCAGCGCCAAGCATGTTCGACAACATACCTTGGAATGGATTTACAATTGGTTTGATGTACAGAGTGATGGGCACAGTGGCGTACCTGGGCTTGGACAAGCTCGCGATGAAGTTCATGCCAGCGGACAGTGGCAAGTGGAAGCTCCCGGTGTATGATACAGTGGTGGACGCTTCGTGAAGCGAAATGGTGGGCAGTTGAGCATCTCAAATCAGAGATTTGCGCCGCGTGTACGATCGAAGATACCCTCCTCAGAGCAAATAATCAAGTCATAGCTGTTTCGCAACACGGTGTTTGTGTGTGCAATGCCTAAACATGGAAGATTGGATATTCTTACGCTTGATTGATTGAATACCATAGCCGCCTTGGCACTGCTCCGAAGCACGTCTCCAAAACGCGTCGCGTCTCCCCACTAGTAGATCCGACTACCCTCCCATGAAGGCCTCCTGCGACAAAACCTGACACTGCTGCAGCAGACAGCTCGCTGTCCTCAATATGTCGCAGCCACCCTCTAAACGACGGCGCATTTCGGCTGAGCCCACCTCTGATCATGGCGCCGATCAGCAAGCGAAATCCGCGCCTGCGACACCCCGACATCCGTCGTATGCGTCGCCAACGAAAGCGTCCATGAATAGATTACATCCGCATCTTGCTGGACCAAGACAGTCCCTTCGTTCGCTGGTCATGGATGGTCCAGCAGGTCCACGTCCTCAAGATCAACACCCTGCAGTCATAACAGATACTACTGTGCAAGAAATTGTCTCCGAGCATAACACAGAGGCCGACACAAGACCACGGTCAGCTGTGCCGCAATCACAAACAATGAACGATGCAGCCGCTACGGCGCCGGCGTCACGCATAAGTGCAACAAGCAGAATCCCGCGCCAGAGAAGCCCATCTCCATTCAACATAATCCCAAGACAAGTCTCATCATCAAGAAGCCGACGACGGGAGCTGTCACTGTCTCCCGACGATGCCCTACCCCCAACGCCCGTAGATCTGGGTATCTCGAGGCGACCAGCACCTCCACAAGGCGCAACAAGCAGCAGCCCACGCACGTCGAGGAGTGGAAGTGGTCGGAACAGGCTTCGTCGACGCGGCGAGCAGTCTTCCGTTACGAGCAGTCCGTTGAAGCAACGATCTCATAACATCCAGAGTCTTCGGCCGATACTGCTCAAGTCGGGATATGATGGGGTGAATGAGAGCGCAAGCGACACGAGACCTGAAAGTGGGCAAGCAGAAGAACCACAACCGACGGACGACGTAGTTGCAGAGGAGGAGTCAGACGAGAAAGCAGAAGTAGTGCCGGAGCAGATCCGTGAGAAAGAGGCCATCCTCGCCGCGCTCAAAGAACAAAGCAAGCAGACCCTCGCCAGATCTCGCCAACTTGAAGAGGCTCTACGCGTGAACAACGTACGTCCAACACTACTTGCAGACGCAAACTTCATCGATCTACTCAAAGGTGTCGGCAAAGCCACCACAGTCCACGACAGCACACTCAACCTCGATGCCAGCACTATCTCTGCTGAAAAGCAGCTCCTCCACCTGAACCTATTCGCACCCGCAAACCTCGTTCTCAAATCGACCACAAGAACCGACCTGGTAGACGGCAAAGTCAAGCTCATCCACGACGTCAAATTTAGCGCCCCACCACCTTGGCCAGCCGACACCTTCAACGCAGAATTCTTGCTCATTGTCGATGCAGAAAGCAAGCGTGTCGATCGCATCAAATATATCAAAGCTACGCACTCCGAGGGCATCAGTTCAGAACTGTACTCCTGGATCAAGAGGCGTCTTGCGGATGATTTAGTCAACACCGATCTTGGTGGTCTTGTATGGGGTCTAGGGAAATACTTCACAGCCGCGGTCGAGCGCGCGAGGCTGTTCCGGCGTTTGGAGGCAAAGTACGGCGCTGATGCGGACATGACACCTCATCACGATGAGACCAACGAGCCAGAGACTGATGACGGTCTCGATTCGACTGCGAGCACGCCTCAACCCGTTCGAACCTCCAAGCCAGCCCAGCAATTCGTCACCGCCCAGGAAGCAATCTTGCTATCAGAATATCTTACAGAGACACACCTCGAACTACCACTCAGACCAACCCACCAGCCAAAAGAAGCAAGCTCCGCCATCGAGCCCAAGCTCTTGCTAGTGAACACCATCAATCTCCAGCCAAACAGTACCGCTACGAGCCAGCACAGCATCGCACTTTCTGGTGTGAGCAGCGGTGCGGAGAGCACGGCCAGGGAGCTTTTTGCTAGACTCGTGAAGTCGAGAGGGGCGGAGCAGGCACTTGAGGGGGTTTGGGGCTTGTTGAGGCATGGGCTGGGCGTTCACGAGGCTGCGAAGGGTAATGAGCACACTGTTGTTTCCACTGGCAAAAAGCGGGCTGGAAGAAAGAGGAAGAAGATTGCTTGACGTGAGCTGCTGAGTGCTGCAACCGAAAATGGGTCACTACGATGAATTGAGCATAAGACGACTGTTGATATCTGGAGCACAATACGGACCAGACGCAGCATAGCTGCTTCGAATCTCACGGCTCCTAGCTTTGATGAAGTTCATGAATTGATTTTGGGCCATTGCTTTGTATCTCAAAACATATCCCGTGTGACTTTGTGTGCGAGAGGATCTCATCGTGGGCTTTTTGATTGTTTGATCATGGCCATCAGCGCCCAGGACAGCGTCGAAACCCCTGGCAATCGGTGCCCTCCGCGACGGAGGGTCGCCAAGCGCCCACTTCGTGACTGGTTCGATATGACCATCTTCGATCCTCCTGGCGATCTGCGAGCAAGCCACAGCATCCACAGGAAAACCTCACGCAGGATTATCCGACCACCGAATGCGTCATTCCGCTAACATTCCGATGCTTGTCGGCTTCTGGAATCTCAGCTCTACTTCTTCTTCGACTCCTCAGCCTCGGCCTTGGCCTGAGCTCTCTTCTTTCTTGCACCCTCGTACCGCTTATCAGCCCGCGCAGTCCGCAACTTCACATACGCATTCTCCGTGCCAGTACCGATGTCACCCTTCTTGACCTCGCTGATGCCATGCTCAACACCAGTGCCAACCTTGATCGGCAGGGCAGCGCTAATAGTCTTGACGACCTTGTCGGAGTCGGAAGCCGACTTGACGTCTTCCTTGGAGGAGTCGAGCTTCTTGTGCTGGCCGGACTTGAGCGGGAAGAGGATGAGGCGGGCCTTGTAGGCTTGCAGGCGCTCGACGTTGAGCTTGAGGGTCTCCTCGGAAGTAGTCTGGCGGCGGTGGTCGACGGAGATGCCGATTGTCGGGGCGAGTTTGCGGGGGATGCCGGCGGCCTGTGGGTGAGGTGTTAGTATTGCTTCGGTAGGAATTTGTACAATGTCCATGGTTCATAGTCTTGTCCACCATCTCTTGTGCACAGCTCATCGGCTGGTGCGGATTCGGGTGGAATTTTTCGTACCTTAAGTTCCTGCAGCGTGAAGCCTCTTCCAGCACGAGCGCGGCGGTTGTATTTGAGGGTAGGGCACTGAACAACAGGTCGGAGTCGGTCGACGGGTCTTGGGGCTACACGAGCGGCTTTGGCGATACGTGCATCTCTTCGGCGGTGTTTCCGGCCGGCTTGCTCAAAGTGAACCTTCACACGTCGCTGCCAGTCCTTGTGGAAGTGACCGTTCGGGATGATATTGTTGTGTTTGATCGCCTGCGCACTTTGTTAGTCGTGTGTCCGTAGGACGGGTGGGCTTGTCATGGGCTGGGATAGGCGCAGGCTGAACCGTGAGGGTGACTGACCATCTTGACGGCTTTCTATCACAACAATGTCAAAGAGTGGAAGAAAGTGTTGGTGGGCTGAGGCTGCGCTCGGTCTGTGGGAGGTCACTCGATGTCGCCGCAAAAAGTGTGAATCTTGGCATTATGCCAAGGCTAAATTTGGCTAGCTCGGATTTGGAGTGACACGTGACCATGGTGGCCATCAGCTCCAAAAGCTTCGAGTTTCTTCAGTTACCAGGTGTTACTGTCTACGACAAGTGAGGTTCATGCGAGACAAGAGCAAGATTACTGCTACATTGATAGCCTGGTCAGTTTGCTGGACGCAGGCAACCGCCGACTCTGATTCTTGCAGCACAGTGAATGCCTCCGGATCGAGTCAGAGGAGCGATCGTCTCGATCTATAAGTATCTCGGTCTCCCTCGACCCCGTCCTTTCTCTTGAACTACAACTCGGCTTGTGGGAACAGAGCTATTGCCATGCCTCTGTAGCACTTACTGCTACCTGGTGCGGCGAGCGTCCTCGGTGTCTACTTGAAGGTTACTCGAAGACAGACATTGGCACGATGCCACTGCCGCCACCCATGGCACCTGCATAACCGTGCCCTCTTCCCATGGCACGAAAGACCTTGCATGTCAGGAATGCAGAGTAGCATAAGTGAACCAATTCAGTTCGAGGATTGACATTCAAAGACTTTGGTAAGATTGAGTAGGTGGTCTGTTATCCAAGGCTACGGTCGAGAAGGGACTCGCTAATGTACAATCATATCCGACAGATCCAAGTATCAAGATATACAATCCAAGCGCTTCGTACCAGTCCGTATCGCTCGTTGAGGTCATCCCTGTTGAGGACCTGACCCGTGATATTATCCTCATGCATTGTTCCATTCCTTGATGCCAAGTCCAACACCGCCAGCCAATCGTGCCTTCTTAGCTCGAATCGCGTCTTCATCGAAACTTCCGCGTCGCTTTCCTGTTATGCCATCTCCTGTTGGCTTTCTAACATTCCCGAAAAGTTTAGACTGCAACAAATTGCTAGATCTTTCTGCCCCTTGCGACAGTCTTAGCGATTCCTGGCTCCCAGGATTTTTCCGCAGCATGTCAGTAGCCAGAGAACTCGCTTGCGACTGTTGAATTTCATCGTCGCTGACAGAGCCATCGTCGTCTGAGACCGATATGGTACTATCACGCTCGTGCCGGTCTCGCTCTGCCGACTCTCCAAATGGAGGTGCTGGTGCAGACATGGGATATCTGGTTTCACCAAACCCGTCAGAGGTCATAGGTCGAGTGCGAGCCGGAGTCGTGTGCAGAGATGATAGTGAATGAGCTCCGCGTGTGTGGCCGTGCTTCACCTTCGATACTGTTGACTTTGTCGGTGTCGATGGTGCACTGAGAATCTCGCCATTCAAGACTTGGTCAGCTGCGAGTAGAGCTGCGAATGGCTGATGGCTGGAAGCACTCTCGGGAAACCTTTGTTGAGTTCGGCGATGAGGCGTCGCAAACAGGTCGCGAGGTGTGCTCCAATTCGGTGACTGGCTCTTAAAGCGCGTAAAGTGCTCCCTATTCTCGCGAATTCGCCGTTTGAGTAGTTCATTCTCCTCTGCCAGGAGCTCTGATTTATCCTTTTCCAGCTCAATGACACGTTTGGCACGTTCCAATCTCTTCTCGGCCTCATCGCGTTCCTCTTCCAGCGACTTGCAAGTCTGAGTCAATGATTCAATCTGAGCATTCGGCGGAGGCGCCGAGTTCCTTGCTGCCAATGTCAGAGCAGCACGATGCCTTTGCTCCACAGCATGAAGCACCTCCATTTCCTTTCTCGTCATTTGGTGTTCGATCTCTGCACGCTGCGCCGCTTCTCGAGTTTCCATATCGAGTAGACTGTACTGCAGTTTGAAATGCGCAGCTGTGGTTCGGGCCTCTTTGACTGCATCGAGCAAGTCTTGCGCCATGTCTTTGAGCTGGTTTAGATTGGCCGAAGCGATCGCACCGGACGCTGGAAGGGAAGCAGAATTATTGTATCTGATGCTTGCAGGTGGTGACGCCAGTAACGGGTTCTTCGTGTCACTGTCCCTACGCAACGGAGACTGAGCGCGCACCGGCTGCGACGATGGAGGAGGTGTCATGCTGGCTGGCATCGGCGGAGGCGATGCGAGGGCTTTGTCGGATGGTGAGACAGGCGGTGAGCGGCGAGGCGGCGTAGAGGGAACGATTGTGTCGCTGGACCGAGGAGCCATGGTCGTCGAAACCAAGCGAATGCCTCTCTTCACTATGCGCTCGAAATCGGGGCAGCGAACTTCACTACTCGGGGTACGCTCTGGTATCGATAGGTCGCGGAATGTTGCAGTGCCGCCGAGGGATCACCGAGACGTGTGAGAAGCGATGTTAGGTTCTTGGAGCACGAGGATCATGGACAAAGAATCGAGGGAGGATCTCCGTGCGCCGGCTTGCTTTTGCATCCTCAGGCAGTCACTCGTGATGGAGAGGCTGGGAGTCGGTAGTGAGGTTGTTCAGGTCAGTTGAGGAGGGGCTGGGCTGAGGGTGTCGAGTACGACGACTAGCCGGCCTTGGCATGGTTCACCCCTGGTTGCTGTGGACCTAGCAACGATTGTTGACATTTCTCACATCCGACGTCGTCACTTCGTTATGATGCTGAGCACCCTGTAGCACCACGACCCTCGCTTAGCTACAGGCAGCGAACATTGTGGAGTTCAGCATGCGAGCGGTCATATAAGTCATGGGTAGTCCGAACATCCTCAGGCAGTGACAGCAACATGGACCAGGGTCAGAGCGGCGTCAGCGCTCGTGCAGGTGGTACCCTACCGCGGCTTTCGAGGCTGCCAAAGATACTTCCTCGTGCTTCCCAAGACAATCTGAGGACATCTTATGCTTTACGAAATCAGGATCCCGTGAAGACATCAGCTTTGCCGCGACCGACACGTTCAAATACTTCGACGCGACCTCTGCCGCCTACACCACTGGGGGAGAGCTTCAATAGATCAGTCAAAGATCGCTATGGGTGGTCAGCTCCGGATCAAAGCCAACCTCGGAGCCTGTCACCCGTGCGAGATGCGTTGCAGGCATCTCAAGCATCATTAGACACCACGCCTCCCTCGGCCAGTGTCCATCTGGTCATACACGAAGATGGAAACGAAAACGGCCCGAGCAATGACAAGGGCTTTACAGCTCGCTCAGTAGTTGGTGCGACTCCCACTCAGAGACGTAAGCCTCGCTTGTCACTGTCAGAACGAACCATAGAAACCCTATCTAGGGTGTCGCCATCGCCTTCACCAACCCGCAGGCGAAGATCCAGCATGGTGACCCAGACCCACGATGGATCTATGGCGCCTCCGGAGAGGCCAGTCTCTCGTTCAAAGCAGGATTTATCCACTAGACCGAGCTCAAGGTCGACCTCGCCTGTCAAACATATCTTTCGTCCGCCAGGTTCGATGTCTCCGACCAGAGAGCATGTACTGCCAGTAGTCACATCGCCTGGCTCAATCTATACTCCACCACGAGCTTTTGTCAAAGGCGGCGGTGCGCGGTATGCTCGATCTACTGTCTCTGTGAAGCCACAACACAGCTCTACCGGATCCACCGAGCGCTCCTCTATCACAACCACTCGTCCTGCATATTTGTCGAAAACGATGAACGTCAAGTCAGCATCCAGCGTAGCCTCCGGGACTAGCAGCAAAGGATCTGCCAAAGTTCGCTCGAGTCACTTTTCGAGCCACCTGCGACAACACCACGTAATCTTGGCATAAAAGGTGTCGCTGGTGTCTCTAGTCTAGCATCTACGAGACCCAAAGCCAGGGGAGATTCTGGCAAGAAGAAAGCTACTCCTGTAGTATCACCTCAACCTTCTTCTACTGCCACAAGCGAGCATGGACTACCATCCAAGTCATCGGCCGCTCTTCGGCAGACCATTGCGCAAGCGAAAGCAGCAAGACGAGCTGGCTCGGGTCGGCCACCGACGAGTCCCACCGCCAGAGGTGTATACCAAGCGGAATCTTTGACAGGAGTGATATCGACAGAGTCTATCGCGGAACCCACAACACTAAACCAGCGGCTACGATCCGCCGTCATGACAGGACATCTGAACCTGGCGGCGATGAGCCTGTCCCAGATCCCGCCTGAAGTGATGAATATGTATGACTCAACAAAAGCATTGGTCAGCTGGTTTGAGATGGTTGATCTTTCGAAGGCCGACTTTAGCGGCAACGAGTTAACCCAGATTTCCGATACCATCTTTCCCGACTGGTCCATTAAAGAGATGGAAGACGACGAAGAGAAGACGAATCAATTTGCTGGACTGGAGACACTATTCCTCCAGCACAATCGCTTGACCACAATTCCCGTCGGCCTGAGACGAATGGAGCAGCTGAGGACATTGAACCTGAGCGGCAACAACATCTCGATGACGAACCAGCTTTTGAACATCGTGTGGCAGATCCCACAACTACAGAATCTGTCTCTTGCAAAGTGTAGCCTGAGAGGCGCCGTCAACCTCTCCACAATGGGAACTGAACAACTTCGAAGTCTCGATCTTAGCGATAATGAACTGACTGAGGTCGATCTCGCTGAAGGACAGATGGCTACGCTTCAGAGTCTCGTGCTGTCTTCAAATCAACTTGAGAGCATTCCTTGGACAGCACTTGCCCAGTGTGCGCTTGTAGACCTGAAGGTTGCATCTAACAAGCTTTCTGGGACCGCTTTCGCCAGGGTGGATGGCGGATTCGACAAGCTGAAAGATCTAGACATTTCGCACAACGACTTCAGCGATCTCGGCCCAGCCTTCTGCGCGCTTGCTTCCTTGCAGAGTTGTTCGATAAGCGGCAATAGTATTAGGAGCGTCCCTGACATGAGTGGTCTGCGAAGCCTGACGACCTTTCTGGCTGCCTCCAATAAGCTCGAGCACATCCCAGAGTCTTTGCACTCATTGTCAACAAAGCTCAAGCATGTGGACCTCAGCAACAATGCAATCAAGACAGTGCAGCCGGAGCTTGCGGCTATGGACGAGCTGACGTCTCTGAACCTAGACGGCAACCCATTGAGGCAACGCAATTTGCTCACAATGAGCACAACCGAATTGAAGGTCCACATGCAGAAGCGTCTTGATGATCAGCCAAGTGTCTTCTCCGATGACCAGGCAGAACATATTGCGAAAGCACCGATGCGGTCTGCAACACAGCCCTTGTACAAGATTGTCAATGGGGTGCTTGATCTTTCGAATCGCAGCTTGACGTCGGTCAGCCCATCATCCATTGACTTTGCATCAAAAGCTCAGGTCGTCCACACTCTACGACTCTCGAACAACGACTTGTCTGCGCTGCCCACGGAGCTTCTGCAACACCCGTCGATAGCCAACCACCTACAGTCGCTCGACATTTCTCACAATGCAAAGCTACATTCTAGCAACTACCTGACGAGCAGGCTCTGCCTGCCGGCACTGCGATCGCTATACGTTGTGTCTACAGGCCTGACTGCGCTTGACGCATTCACCGCCAATCTGGTGGCGCCGGAACTCATTGAGCTGAATATCTCATGTCATCGGATTTCTGGACCCATACCTAACATTCGAGCATATTTTCCAAAGTGTAGATTATTACTAGCGTCAGACAATTGGTTCAGTTCCGTCACTGCAGAGGACATCAGAGGCTTGGAAGTGCTTGATATCCGTAACAACCAGATTGATAGCCTTCCAGTTGATATCGGACTACTTGGGAACCATGACGATAGACAAGAACCAGGACGGTTGAGAAGTCTTGAGGTTGCTGGAAATCCTTTCCGGGTGCCACGAATAGCGGTGGTCGAGAAGGGGACCGAAGCTGTACTCAAAGACCTACGCAGGAGAGTGCCGACTTCAGAGGTGCCGGCGGAGTGGGAAGAAGAGATTCAATGACTGACGACGTTCTTTGAAGCGTGTATTGACTACGAGATTGTATAGAGCTAAAGACCTTTTAATATTGATACCGACTCTTCTTCTGCGCATCATTTTCACCACTCATTGCGCACGGCGCATAGAATCGAAAGCCTTTCGCGAGAAGGGCCGACAGAGTTGGCATTCGACGGAAAGTGCAGTCGCTCCGCTGTGACTTCCAACTGCATCGAATATATTCGCTACTCAGTTAGCCTCCTTTCATACTGCGGTTCAGAAAGGGAGTGAGGAGCCTTCATACCGCCCTCGAACAGGTCCGTAGCTTCATAAACGACCGCTTGTGCCCACATCGCGGCGGATATCGCCCTCGAACTAATGGTGTTAGCACTCGTGTTTAGTTGATAAGGAAGCAAAGGACGTAAACGGAGCCGGGTGACCGCTGTCACTGCCAAGCTTGCAAATGTCACCCGGCTTCGTTTACGCCCTCAACCTTGGGGTAAATCTCCGCCCTTGAACCTCATCTAGAACTTTTTGTTCTCGAATGTTGCGAACTCTCAAGATGGCCGCAGAGTCTGCTGCGAAGCGAGTAAAGATGGATCCCGTTCGCATCGGAACTCACAATGGTCACTTCCACGCCGACGAGGTACCTTTCCCCAAGATTTGCCCACCTTTCCTCGCTAACGTAATTTAGGCCCTTGCAGTGTACATGCTGCGAATGCTGCCCGACTACGAAGCCTCGACTCTAGTCCGTACTCGTGACCCTGGCCTGCTGGAGACCTGTCATACTGTCGTCGACGTTGGCGGGGAGTATGACGATGCTAAGAAGAGATATGATCACCACCAGAGAACCTTCAATACCACTTTCCCTGACCATGCCACGAAACTGTCCTCCGCCGGTCTGGTCTACATGCACTACGGCAAAGCGATCATTGCTCAGCACACAAATCTACCTATCGACCATCCGGATGTGGAACTCCTCTATCAAAAGCTCTATGACGACTTCATTGAGGCGGTAGATGCCAACGACAACGGCATCAACCAGTATGATAACGCGAAACTAGAGCAGGCTGGCATCGAGAAGAGGTTCAGTGCTGGCGGAATCACGTTGTATAGCATGGTAGGCGATCTCAACCACGAAGACCCTCTCAATCCAGGCGCAAACCGCGCCACAGAGGCGGAGCCACAGGCCGAAGAGGACTACCGGTTTGGGCTCGCCTCCAAATTGATGGGGACGACTTTCTTGCGCAAGCTGCACGGGGCCGCCAACGCATGGCTGCCAGCCCGCGCCATCGTCAAGGCGGCGTTCGAGAATCGCCTAAATGAACATCCTTCGGGACAACTGATCGCGCTGCCTCGCGCTGGCATTCCATGGAAGGAGCATCTCTACAACATCGAAGCGGACGCCAAGCTTGCGGACGGAAACAAGATCCTCTACGTCGTCTATCCCGAGAAGGATGAGCCAGGCTCGAAATGGCGTATCCAGACTGTGTCCGTAGACTTTGCTTCTTTCCAGAACCGAAAGAGCTTGCCGGAGCCATGGCGAGGCTTAAGGGACGCTGACCTTGACAAAGTTCTTGGACAGGATGTCGAGGACGGGGCCATCTTCATTCACGCTAGCGGGTTCACAGGTGGCCACAAGACTGAATCCGGGGTCAGAGCCATGGCGGCTCTGGCTTTGGCGGCTTGAGGAGAGCCTCACGCTGCGGGTCATCAGCAGAATGCTGATCAGCGATATAATCCGTCGCTTGGCTCGTCGCAGTGGAACGCTGCGTTCATCAACGAAACGTTGATCAGGTCGGGCTACGATCTGCTGGACTATTTCAGGAAACACTTCTCGAGACGGTGTAGGAAACTGGCATGAGTCAGTCCGTCGGCCGCTTGGTCGAACAGGAATTGTCCCGTTCGGGACAACACGCCATGTAGGCGTTGAAATCCTCCCCAGCGAAGTTTGGGGTCCCTCATACGAGGGTGGCCACGAAAACACGAGCATGTCACGCAGGAGATTGTGACTGGAAGAGGCTCGGGGGACGAGCCACAGGAGGCCCTTGCCAGGTCGAAGTCTCGCGAAGGTGCCCTTCGAACGATGAGCCATAATCTTATATGCTCTTCGCTTAACGGCTGGACAACACGAGCCTCGCGAGCCGTCGCGATTGTCTGCTACCATATGCAGAAGGCGACGTTCAACTCTTACTATGGAGATATCATCCGGTCTGGGACACATTATTTACAAATGTGACGTCACACCAGTGAGACTTCAATACAATATTTCTTTATCACCCTACTTTTTTACTCTGCCCAAGAGGATTCTAGATACTGCTTTCAGACTGAACGAACACATTTGATACCGACACTGCATCCGACCTTCAGAAATAACTAGGTAATTCCAAGTGACTGTTTCTTGGCGCATCCCTGGGACGACCAGGCCCAGAAAGATGGCCTCAACCGACCAATTGCACGTCAGCAACCTCTTCAACTACAAAGATGCCGTCTGCCTCGTTACAGGAGGAGGCACTGGTATCGGCTTGATGGCCACACAGGCACTGGCTGCCAACGGTACGTCAGCTTCGTCCTAAATCTTTCCTCTACCCAAATTAAACACAAGCCCCACGCAGGAGCCAAAGTCTACATCACCGGCAGACGCATGGAAGTCCTCGAAAACGCCGCCAAAACCCATTCGCCATCCTCCACCGACACTTCACTCAACGGCAGCATAATCCCCATCGGTCCCTGCGACGTAACCTCGAAATCCGACCTTGAATCCCTCGTTTCCCAGATCGAAGCTAAGGAATCCCACCTGACCCTCCTCGTCGCCGCTGCCGGCATCTCTGGCCCCAAAGGTCCCGCAGACACCACTGACGCTAAGGAGCTGAAGTCAAAACTCTGGGAAGAATCCGTCGACGAGTGGAACCAGACGTACAACGCCGACGTGACTTCAGTGTACTTCAGCACAGTCGCTTTCCTGCCTTTACTCCAGAAGGGCTATCAGCAAGGCCTGCCCTCATCGGTGATAGTGATCAGCAGTATGAGCGGCGTTATGCGCCACTCCCAAGGGCATTTCGCGTATAACGCGGCTAAAGCCGCCACGGCGCATCTCTCGCAGATGATGAGTAAGGAGTTTGCGAAGACTGGTGTCAGGGTGAACAGTATCGCGCCGGGGTATTTTCCGAGTGAGATGACGATGAAGGAGAGCGATGAGCGGAATAAGGCGGAGATGCCGGATGAGAAGGTCAAGGATAAGGGCCATGAGGTGCCGGCTGGTAGAGCGGGAAGGGATGAGGAGATGGGTATGTTGGTGCTGTTCTTAGGGAGCTGTGGGTATGTCAATGGGGAGGTGGTGAAGATTGATGGTGGGGTTATGAATGAGGTTGGTGGCGGCTAAGGCTCAGGGCGACCAACGAATCGCTGGGAACGGTTGCAGGGCACTAAGGGCCTTTCTTCTTGGGGGTCGCAGAGGTGTTGCGGTGCTGGTAATCGTTCAAAAGTCCTGGGAGCACACATCTGTCAACTGACACAAATCTGATGCGGCCAAGCTTTAGACATGTTGCAGATTGGCTGTTGCAGGCATGAGCAAGCTGTCGACGTCATCTTCAAGAGTGCAGGAGCTAGTTTCTTCAGACATTTTCGAGTGAACCGTACCTGTTGCATATCAACTGATAGCGTGTCGGACAGAGCATGCCTCGACGCGGCACTTATGTGATGTTTGCCAACGCATTTCCAACATCTCACGCCATGAGAAGTAATCAGGCCCGTCGACTCCTTTCGATCGGCCGACTCGACCTTTGGCCTCCGCCTACCCACGCTGCAATTTTGCCTTCCTAGCATCCATTTCCAGCTGCTTGACCTCCACCTCGGATTTCTTCAGCTTGAGCTCGGCGACCTCCAGGTTCTCCCTCATGATCTTCACATATACTGGGTAGTCGTGGTTGTAGCGTGCGAGGAGTGTTCCATGATTCATCCTTCGGGGTGGACGTATTTGGTTGATGTTCGACAGAACTCGGGGTCGATGTTGGGGAGGGTATCGCGGATCGTGAAGCACATAAAGCACGTACATACAGGCTCGGGCATGATGCCAGTGGGCAATGAAGTGGCTTGGATCCGTTGACTCTGGAATTAGGGAGGTGCTGTGTGGTTGATGGATGGAAGGATGATCGACTTGGTGAAGGGCTGAGAAATACATAATGTAATTGCCCAAGCGGGCAGATATACAGGCTCAGGCTCAGGCTCAGGCTGTAGGTGTTTGTCAGTCGTAGATCGAGTGCTCCTTTCTCCCTACAAAGGAACAAACATGACAATCACCAGCTCCTTTGTGCTAGTCCTGGTCACAGTAGAATTTGAATGCTGAGACTCAGTGTTGAGACTCTATTTGTGGTCTCGCTCTCGCAGCTTCATGGGCAAACCGCCTTTGATGCCCATGTTGAGTGCCGCTAACGGCTCGTAGACCCGTTCATGGTCCGACAAGATGATATCAAATCGTTGCAGAATCGCAACAGCGATGGTGATGCCCTCGTAGGTAGCGAGAGACCGGCCGAGACAAGATCGTGGTCCGGCGTTCCAGGCGTGGTATTCTGGCGAGTAAGATGAGATTAGTAAGGGGACGAGATTGACAAGGGCTAGTTCAGGTGGTACGTGAGACCGTAGAATCGTGACTAGACGCTGGACTTACTGAAAGGCTGAACGTGATACTCTCACCATTCTCTTTGAGCCACCGATATGGATTGAAGACAGCCGCATCATCGCCCCAGATCTGTGGCATACGTGCCATCACGTAATTCTGGTAAGACACCACGTCGCCCTTCTTGACGTGTCGGGGTGGCATGTTCAGCTCGGGTACTGCAGGAAGGATGTCGTCTTCGGCGGCCTCTAGCTGTCCGGCAGGGGAGACGGTGTTGAGTCGGGTACACTCGTCCCACATTGCGTTAGTGAAGCGAAGTCTAGGTGCGTCTGTATAATTTAGGAAGCCGGTGAAGCCATGCTCCGCGACTTCAGTTCTGATCTTGTTCAGAGCATCCAGATGCTCGTTTGACTTGTGGAAGATTTCCATCATGAACCATGATGTATTGTAGGTCGTTGTGTCGCGACCAGCCGACAGAAATGAGTAGATCTGTCCACCAAGCCAGTATTTGTCGGTAGTCGATTCCATGAAAAGGTCCAGAAGATCCACTCCTTTGCTCGGATCAGACTTATAGCCATTTCTCTTGGCCTCGAGGCGCTTCTCGATCAGGAAATCAATCTTCTCGTAAAATAGTGACACTGCGTTGCTGGTGACCTTGTCTTCGCCCGAGAGCTTCTCGGTGATCCACCAGATAGGATCGCGCCGTCTTCGATCAAAAAGGAGCGTTGCTTCGTCGAAAGCAGCAACAAAAGCTGGCTTCGTTTCAAGGCATCTGGGATCTTCTGACAGAATTTCTCGACCAAGTGCATCTTCGTGAAAGGCAACGCGTAGGAACAGACAGAACATCAAGCGACCCATAATCTCCTGGAAGTCAAATTTATGGTCGTCTTTCGCCAGATTCGATAGCAGGCGCAGCAAGATATCTAGCCAGTAGTGGACAGCTGCTGTGATGTGTGTCTCAAAATTCCGCTTGCTGAATGCGTGGACTGCTGCTTTGCGCTGAGTCTGGTGTGAGATGCCATCCGCAACGAAAATTCCTCCTCGGTGGAGTGAGCCGAATGCATTCCGGGTGAACTTGCCACGTATATAGTTGTCTTTGTTTGTCTGCTCATCTGTGAGCACCAGTTCACACATGTGAGGAGGGCTCTGAGTCTTACCTTCTGGATGTGCTCGAGATATGTGGGATGATTGATGATATGCATTCGGAAGAAGGGAATAGTCATCTCATAGGCAGGACCGTGCCTTTTGAACAGAGCGTACCATGCCTCGCAGCTGGCAGCACCGTTCGTTTTGAGGTCATCAAGGTTACCTTTGAAGGGCTTGCCCTTCGGTCCCGCTATCCAGCTTGCGTTGCGGGACGACGACGTCCAGATACCTCTGTTGCGAGAGGTCCAGCAAACACCTGGAAGCGAATTGTTAGTATAGTCTATGGGGCTATCCTTGCCCGGAACGTCTCAACTCACAGCCAGCAGCAATCACGGCCAAGAGGACGATGCAATAAACCGCTGTCAAAGCCCATGGTCTCGGCTCGCTGTCGTGTATCTGCTCGAGTAAGATTGACATGTTGAAGGAGACTTGGACTGGCGGCGGGCGATACGGGAGTCTGAGTCGTGACGACGCTATATACTGTTCGTCTATGCCCGGTCCCAGACCTACCGTTCTGTCAGTTACGCTCGTTCAACGATTCGTTCTTGCTATGGCGCGCATATCGCACGAGAGTCCGCGTTCGGATGGGCCGTTCAGACCGTTGGAGGGCAAGAGCCCGGATAGTAGCGGTCCTTTTTTGATGCACGACGGGGCTTTCGTGGCCGCCCATCGGCCCAATTACCATGGGCTGCGCGTCTATTCCCAAGAAGTGCGAGGCGGCCGCCATCGCATAATTTGTTAGACTAGACCGACGGGATAAGGCCGAACCAATGCAGCGTCTGGACACTGTACGTACCTAGGTAGCTGCTTCAAGATGAGCGTGCCTATCGGTAGCTGACGCCACTGTTTCCCGCCGCGACCCTAAACCTCCCTATTGCGTCGCGCCTGTCTCCCATGTCGGAATACGTTTGCCATCATCTTTCACGCTGAACACGATCACGTAGGTGCGACGACATCCTGCAGTCCGGTCAGCTGGGTCTCCGAAGCTCATAATGATCAAAATTCTCTCTGTGATTACACTGCTGTCTGAAGTAAGGTCTTGCTGGGCATCTCGGGCCTTTCATGGAAGTATGATTTGGGCTGCTTTTTAGCTATCGAATATGTCCGCCGCTGTCAATGATGGCCAAGCAGAAAGCGACGTCTCACCGAGCTCGCAGTTGTTGGTCCAGAATCGCACATTCAAGAGGGTTTATCAGGCTTGTGAAGCTTGTCGGCTGAGGAAGCACAAATGTAGCCTCGACCCAGCAAACCCGCTGCCACCGTGTGAAGCTTGTAGGAGAGCTAGCGTACGTTGTGGTAGGCGTAAGCTGGCCGTCACCTGTAACATGCGCTTACACTCGCCTAGTGTTGCCACCGAAGAAGCGCAAAGGACGACCGCCTAAGCAGCCAGTCGACGGTAGACGATCTGGTGCCGCCCCAAAGAGGCCCGAGGACAATGTGCTCAGATATGCAGACCAGCCAGCCAGCCAGAATCTTGCCAATTTCCCGCTTAGGAACACGTCGGATGCTATACGTCTCTTGGACGAGGAGAGGCAGACGACAACTAAAGGCCGCCCCAGAGAGGAGGGCAACATCACTCCGCCCCAGCAGTTCTTCCTCATTCACGAAGGCTTCGTCGAAGAAGCGACGGTATTCAGGCTGTTCCGATTCTATATGGACTCCATTCATCCGATGATGCCTGTAATTCCTGCCGAAAGGCGACCGATGACTTCTGAGCGCATTCTTGCGATGGCTTCCCGCGAACCACATCTGACGGCCTCAATCCTGGTCGTGAGTAGCGGTCTTCTCGGAGAGACTACGCTTCATCACCACCTGTGGCAGAGAGTCGAGCGTCTTTATGCTCAAGTTGCCATCAGAGGAACAGACGCTGCACTGGATATGATTGAGGGCCTATTACTGCTGTCCGAGTACCCGCCAAACATGGGTAACAGTACTTTCGGTCTCAGATTGGAGGATCGAATGTCTTGGATGACGGTGGGTACCTGCGTCAGGCTAGGATATCTTCTGGGCCTCGAGCAATTGGTGATGATCCCTGACGACATTGACGAGAAGTCACTTGTCAATGATCATGCCAGAGGCAAGATAGTCTGGCTATATTGCTTCTTGCTGGATCGGCAGATCTCAATTCGTGTTGGAAAGCCTTTCTGGCACCGAAGTCCTGGCATGACGTTCCAGCACTTGCACTCAGATCCTGCGGACGATTTTCCTCAGATGCGTGAGATTGAAGGGCTTCAAGACAACTATGCTGCTTACCTGCAGTGTCAGCTGCATCTTACCCAGATTATCTCAAATGCGCACGACTTGCTGTACTCTAGCAAGAGTCACTCGTTCGCGATCGCCAAAGCGGAAGGCTACTACAAGCATGTAGATGACTTCTCCGTCACGCTCTCTGCTTTTCGCACGCGCTGGCAGAAGCGTCCGTGGCGTACATATCCCATCAATGAGTGTGTGTGGATTTCATTTCATCATTTGCGCTTGTACATCTATTCATTTGCCTTGCACGGTCATATGCACCGCGCCGAATCAGCTTCGAATACACGGCCTCTTGATTACTTTCCAACCGGGTTGTACGGGAGTGTCGATGCGCGCTACATCATCCAAGCAGTGGATGCCGCAAGCGATATCCTTCGCATAGCAATCGGGAGATTTGTTGGCAGTCAGTTGACGAACCTGCCGCTACGCTTCTTCCTGTTCTTCACTCACGCAGGTGTCTTCCTCCTCAAAGTCTTGATAGTGGTATGTCGCTCCTGCCATCTTGTTGGCGTGCAAAGCATTCTGAACATCTCATACTAATTACTGTACAGGTGCCTCTGCCGGGATCGCAGAAGCGGGCGATACTTCACCTCGTTCGTGGTCTCATTAGAAGTATGTCGATAGCTTCGACAGACCCACGCCATCCCGCGGCACGCAACGCCGCTGCCCTCGACAGGCTCCTAAGACGAATTCATCCGGATCAAAGCGACCTCCAGACACCTTTCGGCATCACCCGCGCGTCCTCGCCTCGCGTCCATGTCAGCGATGTCGCGTCGGAAGCAAACAATGACCCGCCTGCGCCATTCCTGGCAAACGATGCATTTCTGCCAACCGTCCTGGGCGAGTCACCATTCGTTGCAGAGCGGCCTCTTCAAGCATTGGCGGCTGATATCGATGCTCTGCTTGGCGTTGAGGCAGATGTTGCAGGTGTTTCGGCTCCATTGTTCCCAAGTCTGGTGCCTGATGGCAACAATCTCTTGCCGCCAGCTGACATGTTCGCATCGCTCTTCAATTACGACGATCTGGACTTTTGGGCAGCTTTCAACCATGCGCCAATGAACATGGCTTAAGCATGGGTCAACGGACAAGAATTCGCTCCCTCGTGCCCGCTCTACATGCAAGCACCAAATAGCGTCAATGCATCGCTGAGCCAGACATTATACCCCTGCCGTTTCGTCTGGCCCGGGCAAAACTGGTGGCGCATTGGGGTACAAGGAGCCAGTGCAGATCGGGGTTGGGCTTGGAGAAATGTGTACGGCGCCATCGTTACTGATTGGTGCGGCGGCCTATTTACAAAGAATTGCCCGCTCATACCCGCTGCTTGCACTGAAGCAATGCGCCGCGTTTTTGCTTTGGACAGGTTGGTGGTCGCGGCGGGCTGGATCACATTGCACGCTAAAGCGAGCGGGATGTCTTGCAGTTCCCCATGGGGAAGTACAAAGATTCGAGAGATCCGCCCTCAGGATCCAAGCCGCTGTCTCTCGTTCCTTTCCAAGCCAGATTGCCACCACATCGTACACCCCAGACCGTCACTGATCAGACATTATGGCACTCGACGACAAGATCAGACACCAGCATCACGACGATGAAGTCGGATTGCCACATAGTGTCAATCGTGACGAGTTAGTCACACCGGAATATGTCGAGGGCACTCCCGATGAGGCGAAGCTTGTTCGCAAGATCGACCTCAGACTGATGTAAGTCTGCAGCAGCAATGCCATCCCGTCTTCTGGTCAAGACAATACAGACCACAAGCTGACCAAGCATACAGGCCGACGCTCATTGTCATGTGTGAGTTGTCCAGTCCTGGGCTGCCGGACGACGGAGCCTGAGTACGATTGTTGGTGTTGGTCGAGGCATAAGTCTCGCGACCAACACAAGAACGCTGCGTTCAAACTTGCAGACCTGTCTTGCGGCATGTGATCTCTCATCGGAAGGTCGCTGATTGGACTCGCAGACATTTTCAATTATCTCGATCGTACGAACATTGGTAACGCGAAGGTCGGGGGAATGCAGACCGACCTTAAGCTGACCTCCTCCGACTACTCGCTCGTCCTCAGCATATTCTTCGTCGGTTACTTGATCTTCGAGCCACCTGCTGTCATGATACTGGCGCGGACGAGACCCAGCATATTCCTACCAGCGATCATGACTGCGTGGGGTGCCGTCTCGGTGGCCGTCAAGGGGATCGACAGCCTTGGAGGCATGCTTGCGTTCCGAGTCGTGCTTTCTTTGCTTGAAGCTGGCTTCTTTCCCGGGGTATGTGGATCCGTGTTGCTGATTGTGCTCACCACTCACGTGGCCAGGTGATGCTACTGCTCTCCTGCTGGTACAAGCCTAGCGAGCTATCAAAGCGTATCGCTATATTCTACTGCGGTACAATCCTTGCTGGCGCATTTGGCGGCCTTTTGGCTGGAGGTATCATAGATGGCATGGAAGGTACCTAGTCATTCTCATTCACGAAACGGCAAAAACGACCTCCTCGTTTGGTGAGACCCTTATGTATGCAGCACACTGACAAGTTCCAGGCGTCGGAGGAGTTAGAGGTTGGAAATGGCTCTTCATAATCGAGGGACTGGCCACTGTCATTGTGGGAGTCGTGGCGTTCTTCACGTTACCCGACTACCCGCAAAACACCAAATGGCTCTCCGAAGACGAACGACGCCTGGCATCTATGCGCCTGATCATCCGGGAGGACCTCGACGAGAAGATGCCCTACAAGAAAGCCATCCTCCTCTCCATTCGCGACCCCAAGCTGTGGCTCTTTATGCTAGCCCTGAACGTCATACTAGCCTCCGGCACAGTCTCCTACTTCTTTCCCACTCTGATGGGCGCTCTTGGTTACAAGGGCCGCATGGTCCAATTCATGACCGTACCCATCTACGCCGTCACACTGGTCATCAACCTGGCCATGGGCTTCTCCGCCGACTACACCCGCCAGAAAGCGTTCCATGTCATAGGCTGTGCCGGTCTCGCTGTGCTCTCCTTCATCATCTGCGCCGCAAGCACCAGTTTCCCGGTGCGCTACGCCTTCATCTGCTTCGCTTCGCCGGTGTGCAGTGCTGCGTACCGCTGCTCATCAGCTGGGAGGTCACCATGTTTCCTGGACGCGAGAGACGGGCGGTCAGCGTGCCTCTGATCAATGGCTTCGGAAACCTGGCGTCTGTGTATGGCTCTGTAAGTTCTACAACCCTTTCTTTTCGGCATTTGCCACTAGTTTGAGCGAGATTTTAACAAGTTTCGCAGTTCATCTGGCCCGCACAGGATGCACCTAGGTACATTGTGGCTTTGCCACGATGACTTGCTTCATGTTCATTGCTGGCGTTACAGCATTCGTTGTTAAGTGGATCTGGGATGACAAGGGCCTGGAGAGGATTGACTACGCAGCTCAGGAGCGTCAGGAGGAGGCGGAGCGGAGAAAGATCTAGGAGCGTCTCCCAGCGAGACTACGTGGTACCGGGAAGCCTTTAGCTTACCCATCCACTGCGATCTGGTTTCCAGCTGGACGCAAAGACGGAGGACGTTCGAGATTAGACCTGAAGTGCAAGGCAGATTGGATATATAAATGATCGTCGACGTGAAAGCCTCAAGACTCAGGCTAGCCCTCCAGCCCCAGTAGACACCTAGTTGGCAGCCCAACAGGCACGAACCAGATGACAAGCGAACCACCTATCATCCCACCACTCGCCAAAGCCACGGCTTGACGACATCCCACTTCGATATCACCATCGCGAATCCCACCACCAAAACCACCGCACCCTGCGCTCAACAACAGCGCGCAAGACCATCCAGCAGATAACGCCGTACATAAGTACAAGAAATAGAGCACTACAACATTTGAGAATGAAGGGGCTCTGCGGTTGGCGGCCTCGCCTGGAAGCGTAGGCATTTGCTGATGGTGGTCGGTTGTTGCGGCTGGGGTAGGGCCATGTAGTGTAGAGTAGGGGATCGGTCTCGACGGGAGCTTCTTCGTCGTGGTGTCGATGGTGATGGTGATGATGATGATGACGGGGTGGTGGATAATGGTGGTGTTGTTGATCAGCGTGGTGGTCGTGGTGATGTTGTTGGTGGCTGTGGTGGTTTTGAATCTCGCTAGTGTCTTGGTGATATTCACTGGAGTTGTCAATGTGGTTGGTGAAGTGCGTGGTGCTTGAATCGTGATGCGTATGAGTTGAGGCAGCGCTTGTGTCGTGTGACGCGTGGTCCGCCATTTAGTTCCTGGGTAGAATCGAGCACTACTAAGTACCTACTATCGAGCGTTAAGTCCACGCTTGGCTCTCTGGTATTTCCAGCGTGATCCTACCACCATGATACACAATAGGCGGCAACTATATATTGCGTAGCACATACGGTTTTATGATAAAAGCACATGAGGCAGAGGAACTGGGCGGTCGGTTGCTATGTTGGGGCCAAAACAGGCGCCTGTTCTCGGGGCCGGGCGCACACAAGGCGACCTCAAAAACGCCTCGCGCGAAAACCCGATCAGCTCGTTGAGATCATCGTGTGGTCACGATATGGAGAGCATGTAGGATCGGGACTCATCATGGCGGTGTGAACGTTCAGCTGAAAAGGTGCAAGGCGATAAGACGGGTGTTTCATGACCAACACCATTGAGTTGACAACAGACATAACCTGGAATCCTCTGCATTGCTTCATGATGCCTTCCTCAACAGTGATGGTGCAGAAGCCCCCCACACACGACTCGTCTCCGCCAATATGGATCATCCTCTGAGGGTAGAGCAGTTTGTCCTGAAGCCACAAAGATGACCACAATCGCCATCAGAAAAATGATCAGGAAGGCCACGCTCACCGAACGACACGCAGACTCTTCCGCCTCTTGCTCTTGTGGATGAGCTTGGTCGTAGCGGCGTCGCTGACTTTCGACGTCGCTGTCCGGCGATCGCGATCCACATCTGCGGTGTTGGCGTACAACCTGGAGACGGCAGCAGCAATGCGTAGGCGATAGATCGGCTTCGCTGGGGGCGACTGTGGTGGCCCGGCTCGTGTCGTCGGTTTCGATCAGATGCGAAAGCTCGTCGATGTCTTTGGTCGCTTGAGTTGACTCTGGCTTAATCTTCTGATTATCAGAGTCCATCTACCCGAAGGTTAGGTACTCGAAGGCATCGGAGAGGAGATTTCCGTGGTCTTCATCTCGGCGTGCTGGAGGATCTGCCAGGTAAGAGTCTGCCGTGAACTAGCAGCGGTGTCGACTCTTGTGTGCTTGCAGGTACCATAATCATGACTTCGCTTCTGTGCGTCAATCCCAGCCCCCACACTGACTCCTATCTGGGTGTAGGAGCCACTGCCGCAGCCAGGGTTCGGTGAGTCATCCCAATCACTGTCACTGCTGTCGCTCATGATTGATGCCAGAAGGAAACGGGTTTAGCAGTCTCAAATACCCTTTTGTGAGTTCTCGCGGGAGATTGGCAGGTCTCGTAGGAGGGCGAGAGATTCTGGCGGGCGTTTCTAGACCGCCACGTTGAAGGTCACGCAAGTTGAGGGACGGGTGCATGCCTCGTACGACCTGGGTAAGTGCGATCTAGAATTTGCCCGATCCGGACTCAACAGGTGCAACAACTTCGGCACGGCAAGTGCGCTGTCGAGCACCACGTACTCGAGAAGTAGCAGCCCAAATGACAGTGCTGAAGTATCGGTTGAGAAGCCGCAGAGCCGGCAGAGTTCACCTGGTAGCTCTGCCCTCGCCTGCCGGCCGCTGACCTGGGTTCTGGCATAGACAGCTTCACCATTATGGCGGCATGAGCAGCAGCCACTTTCATCCGGAGAGTGCTCGGACTTAGGAAGTGGCCGGTACTGACTCGAAAATTCCCCGTAAACCTACCAAGGCATTGTGTCGGAAGCAGATTGCAGTGTGCTCATCATCAAGTCAACGACAGCTTACCGCAGAGAATCGAATTGGCAGAGAGCGACGCGATCAAACGGCACGCGACATCCTTTTCCAACGCACGTCCCTCGCTAACGTCAAAGTTATGCTCCTGGGGTCATCAACGTACATCACAGCGCCACATCCTTCGACTGGACAGGAACATCCCAACGGCAGAGGTGTCAACGCGACCACGTTCCATGCTCTGACATTCGAGGCCAATAGCTCAGGGGCAAGAGCAGTACGTGGCACACGAGCACCTGCCGCTTCGGGCCTCATTCGAATGGTGCTCGACGGTAGACACGGCTGCCGTAGGTTGTACATGTAATCTTGGTGGCAGGTCTTAGAGGCATGCTGAAAGTGCGTGGTCGGCGAGAGGGTCTTTTCATGAACGCTCGTAACGCTCCGGCCGTGCAATGGCAAGCAGTCAGCGGTGTTGATGCACTTAATCAGTATTACAAGGATAACGCCATGATATAACTTTCTGCTCAACCTCTGTAAGAATGGGTAGTGAGTGCTGTGACAGCTGTTGACCGCGGCGTCCTCATAACGGAGGCTCGTTAGCGTGAAGCTTGACACCGCTGCAACAGGTAAGCACTTTAGCAGCGAGGTAGAAGTACAATTTTGCTCAGCTCTGGCAATCGGGTGTTCAACTGTCTCCCCAATAGACAGGATGATCACCATTGAAGCTTCCAGGCTCATGGAGCTGACCGTCATCACTGCCTTCGTCTGGATCCGGATCTGAACTTGGATCTGGCAACGGTGCATGTCCTGTCTCATCAGGCTCCGGTCCTTCTGTCGGAGTCGGCGGTGACTGCTGGCCCCATGGCGGCCCGTTATGGTCGTACCATGCTGGTGGCTGATATGGCTGCTCCGCTTGGCTGCCTGGTGGAACATCGTGGCCTGGGTAATTTGGAGGTCCGGGAGGATCTGCAGACTCATGGGGCGAGTGATCTTGAAGCGGCAGACCGTTGTAATCAGTGCCATGGTCCGTCGGAGTTGGGACGTTCGGTGACCAGCCGCGGTCTGCGGGACCGAAAGGAGGTGGTGTACCCGACTCCTCACCAACCGACGCATCTTGAGGTTTGTCGGGAGTGTTATCAGTCCATGACGGTAGGTGAGCTGGCCCGTCAGACTGTCCGATGGGGTCTGCTGGCGGATCTTGAGAGTCAGACCAATGGGGTCTGTCAGTCGGCGCAATTGGACTCGCATAGGAGATGGCAGGCTTCGGATCGTTGCCATGCCCAGGAGGATACTGGACAGGGTTCCGAGAGAAGACTTTCATGTCAGCCGTACAGTCTAGGTACCGAAAAGCAATAGCGTAAACTCACCTTTGGGTTTCAGGCCTACGCCGTCGCAGCGGAATTGAGGATGCTGGGACGCTATTGCAAAGATGTTGCCATCTCCGCTAACACAGAATCGGGCATGTCCTTGGCCGAAGCTGAATTCATTTCCGGTGAGATCTATGTTGCCCCATTTGTCCTTGCCGAAGAGAGTTCCGCGCCTGTTCGGCTTTCGCGAAGCTCGACTACAGCATATCCATTTGTCCTGTCGAGGTTGACATACTTGTGGTCGCTTCTGAGCTGTCCGTCTTTGAGGTAGAACCAGGCCGCGTCCTGTGTTTTGTTGACAACCACAGCGTCAGCACCCTCCCAGGCCCAATATCGCTTCCCAGCTTGGTATCGCCGAGTGGTACGCACGAGCTGTATTTGGAACCGAGTTGAATCAGAGAAGATCTTTGTAGAGATTGTCGGGCTTGTGGCTGGACGATTGACGCTGATCCTTGAGTGTGGCAATGGGACATATGTGGGTGTTGTGCTGTGTTGCTCGCTCGCAGATACTGTAGCGACTGTAACAATGACCAAGAGCAAGGAGAAGAGCCTTCCTGTCAGAGACACCATGGTGGTTGCTATGTGTTGGAATGCGAAAGAGTGGACGAACCATATGGTTCAGCGCTGGGCAGACGTTGAAACGAATGGATGCAAGCCTCAGGCGTCGCCATGTCGAGCACACAACAACCAAAGGGCTTCTTTATATCGAGTGCAGTAGGCCATCATTCCGCTTCGGAATCAAAGCCATCATGTGAATATCGTGAAGGCCCGCTGCCTAAATCGCGCATCCGAAAGTTATGAGCGCAAGTCGTAAATTGGGAGATTGCTGCAGCACTGAACGCTCTGATTGATGGCCTAGCCAGCCTGGATTGCTTGACGCTCAATGAAGCTATGGCCTTTGGGGGCATGCACGTGCAGAATGTGCTGTCCATCGTGAGGTTCAGGCAGTCCGAGCTCTGCGGCGTCTCTGATGTAGCAATACCAAGCCGTCAGATGGTTTACGATCCCGTGGATGACATGTCAGCTACACACTGCCATTGGTTGATATCACAAGACATCACTCACCCAGCTCTTTAATTGTGCCGAAGGCTGCACTGAGTGCCTCAGTCGTGCTTTGATACGCGTTCCATCTGGTCAAAGAACTTTGCATCGTGCAGCGTCATCCAGCCTTGCTCAGTCGCAAAAGACGCAAAAGGACCTCGCAGACTGCCCATTTCTGTACCATGGCACAGATCTCGCGTTATGCTGCAAGATTGATGTGTCACATCCATGAAACCGGTATAGCCCGTCACTAACGTCTGCACACCCAAGTGGGAGGCTCTTAAAGCCACGTGGATCCTCAGAACAGATGCTAGTATGTTCTCGCTTCCGGGACAAGTTAGGGGCATCGACGCATCTGAAAGTCCGGTCGACATCCAATCGCTAGGGTCGCAACACTGCAAGCTCGGGACGGTGGTAAGCCCCCTCCGTAACAGCCGGTACTGCGATTGGCAGTGTCCAGCTCTCAAAGCCGCCTCGCAGAAGGAGCAGCCTTTATGGTGCTTCTGAAGGCGTTCTGCAGAACGGCTGGCTAATTTCTTCTAGTTCAATGGAAAGCGTCATAGGCCAGGTCGACCTACGAACCAAATTGGTCCAGTGTGATGCCATCCGACGATCGACATGAATCTCGTTGCTTATGAAAATCCACCAATGTCTTCACGACTGTCCCGAAGATGGCTTGCAGATCTTCCACGACGGCCGAAACCGAGGAGGGCTGTACTGACCTGGATGTTCCTGTTGGCTTTCGTATGGGCAGTATTCACATATCGCAATCACCCACCACAGCTGCGGCCGCGGCGTGGGAGCATTCCTCCTGCATACCACGAAGCGCGCTCGGAGAAGCGACCGATGCTTGAACCGGTCGTTGCAAGTTCGAAGGCCGCACAGCTGAATGAGGCACAAGATCCAGTGGCATTTCAGCCTGAGAAAGATCTCACCACTGGCGCATCGCGTGGTACAGCCGCGTCACTGCCAACGGCGAAAGCAAGTGCTCCGACCACCAATCGAACAGCAGCATCCTCGGTCAACCACCAGAGAATGCATGGCAGTCGCGAGAAGGCCTCTGCAGTGCATGTATCTGCAGGAAAAGCACATACAGAGATAGACTCGCCAGACAAGGCTACGACACAAGAAGACAGTTCTGTGCAAACGGACCCAGAGACGCTGCCGGATTTCATCTTCGTGCCATTCGAGGATGTTGTCCATGGTGTAGATCTCGAGGGCTGGGAAGACCGCTGGATCAGCGAGGCCGAGTACGACGCCATCGAGCAAGGCCGTCTCGTGGAGCCACGGATTGACTTCGTATACCTATGTAAGGCCATCCGCGGTACAATCGCAATAAAATAGGAACTTCGAACCACTAATCCTTGGATAGGGGTCAACGGCTCCGACGACGAATTTCGTGCAACTATGTTGCCGTTCGAGCTCGAGTCGGTTCTGAACGACCGTGAGGGCGTGTGGATAGCATCGCATGGGGTCAACAGATATCGAGATTGGGACGAGTTGCGGTATTCTCTGCGGAGCGTCCATGAAAATGCTGGTCACTTCCGCAACAAGCTTCAGATCGTCGTCAACACGATTGGGAATGCTTCAACCGCAACGACACGTAGGCGACAGACACCGTCATGGCTCCGCGACGCAGAGGAGAACGGTGTGCAGGTGATTGCTCAGGATGATTTCGTCGAACGGCAGCGAGCAGAATGCTTGCCAACATTCAACTCGTTGACTATCGAAAATCAATTGTTCAACTTGCCGTCCGACATAGATCAGTTCTTCGCCATGTCAGATGATATGCTTCTTGGAGCGCGACACGCACCATCCGATGTCTACTCACCTTTGTACGGGCCTGTCATGGGATTCAAGACAAATTCTTACAGTGCTGTTAACCAACCAACAGAAGCCGATGCCAAACGATTTGGGGAAAAGCCGTTCCTGATATACACATCCTGGTTGCTCAATCGTCGCTTTGGTGTCCGAAAACGCAAGGGACAAGGCCACTTCGGTCATTCTCTATCACGAAGCGTGATGAAGGAAGCCATCACCTCCTTTCCGAAGCCGGAGTTTGAAAGTGCTTGCAAACGCTTTCGTGGAGAACCAGGCTTCCAGCTATATTCGTGGTATCTGAGCTTTCACTATCTCATAGAAAGGTTCCGGGAGGCGCTGATCTGGAGTTATGTTATGCTGCGAAGCGATGTTGATGACGATGGGACGCTTTCGTGGAAGGAGCGCCAGCGTATAGTCAAGGAGATCAAGGAAGGCACCAAGAATATCGACAAATCGTCCTTTCGCAAAAGACACTATTACCATGCAGCAGCATTTCTTGAGAAGGCTGGACTTGAGCCCCCACAAGTCAACACCAACATCCAGTGGACTTCATGGGACGGTCCGGTGTCAATGCAAAACGTGGACTGCTCTGATTTTAACATTGATGATTGTTTAGGACCAGGGTTTTCATACGTGAAGGAATCGGCTAAGAACCCGCTCTTCAGCACGACGAACGTGTTTGATAGAGCCGCTCGGCAGATCCCTCACTGTGGCGACTGCTTGATCAGAATACTTCTGCACCAGGTTAGGCAGGGTCTGTCGCCGCTCCTGCCACAGGCAGACGCGCAGGCCGATAAACGAGAGCTGGTAGTCAAGATTTTGATGCGGTACAAGTATACCATTATGGAACCAACAAATCAGCTGTTTGTCATGGTGACGGATGCCGACCAAGTTGATAGCACGCTCACAAGGAAGTATGTGCGTGAGGGCAAGCAGGTTCCTGGCCAGATGTGCTTGAACGATGACGTCTCAACCACAGACGAGGCCGAATTGGCGGATACACGTCAAGCGATGGCCGAGTTGCTGGAAGGGTTGTTTCCTGTGAAAGCAGATTGGGAGAAATGAGGTCGTACAATTTCGAACTTCCTTGTCGTCTTTGAACGCGTCAGAGGATAGAGCGCGTCGACCTGCCTTACCTGGCCACCAAGCACTTCCGCTTCTATAACACTCTAATCGTCGGCATCAAAGAATCATTCGAAAACTGGCAGCACTCGAGTTGCTCCTGGCATTACGGGATGACAGAGCCTACCACATGACGCGTACCAACGCCCTGGAAGGCCTTTTCATACACGACGAGACACTGTACTGGCACAACAATGGGCGTGATGCTCTGCGTACTAATCATGCACGAAGGTCACTGTACTACCCAGTGTGCTGTGACGGTGCCACAAATTTCGCAGATGTCTGCTGTCAGCTGCAAGGACCATCGGTTTCTGATCCCAATCGCTGTGTTCCAACACACCACTCGATTCCAATCTGGGCTTGGGCATGATGTGGCAATGCTTCAAGTTGACCGATCTTGATTTGAGCGGAATTCTTTGCGGGCGCAAAGTGGCTGACTCGCGGGACAATCCAGCAGGTCCCAATTTTCATGCTGGGAATGTTGACTTGCTGTGGCCAAAAGCCCAATATGCGAGGCAATATTCTCATGTCAACAGAAATCAATTTTGCGCTCGAGAACAGTCAGTCAGCGGAAGGATCTACGCTGCATGCCAATTATATTCCTTGTTGTACCATGATCCCATTTGCGGTAGCGCTGACATACAGATTGCCGTCGCTGTGGCTGTCGTCCAGATCTAGCAGCACGCGTCTCTTTGTGCTACCTAGCAGCCTCCTACACGGACGAATTTGTCCCGGAAGGCCGGAGGTCGCGGCAGGCGATCGAGTCTTGTATACTCTTGAGCATTGCGTGGCCCGGCTTGGAAGCGCGTTGGCAAGGACAGTCAAGCGAACGTGAGGAGGAGACTGAATACGTGCAGTAGTTGTTGCTTGAAGGAATCGGCATGCGTTAGAGGGCTGTGCAGCGGGGCCAATCACAACGCGGGGCAACCCGGCCTCAAAGGCCTTTCTTCTGACCGCCATTTCACCCCATCTTTTCTTCCATGGCACTTTGGTAAGTGTTTGCAGTCCATCACGCTTGCCGCTCGATTGACTCTAGCCGAACGCTCAGGATCCCTGTGGTGCCTGCATGCGTTCGTGCATCGTGCAGTTGTTCTCCATAATGAAACGCCGCTGAGCCGTACCCTACATCTCCTCCACGGTCCCCTAGCTCGCCAGTGCGCCCGACTACTATGGTCCTCACGGCACCGGCTCGAGCCTCATCACTTGTCTTCTGCATTTCTGACGTTTGTCATCGTGCTGTACTTTCGAAAGACAGCCTGACTCGATCACTTCGTTTTCACTTACCGTTGTCCTCCAGATGACAAAAGCCGCTGCCTTAGGCCCTTATTGTTGACCTGTGTTGCAGGACGAAACGTGACCCCGGAGGCCGCTGCACTTCCACTCATAAGCTGTACTGCCTTGTACGACGGCAAGAATACCTGCCTGACCGCAAACCTCTGGCGGCGTCTGCGGAACCGGTCGATCAACCCGTCTTCCGCCAGTCAAGCCATGACGCTCTCTTAGAGCCATAAACCAACGGCGTGCTCCCTAGCCCATCTTATCGACCTCATACGCCCAACATGTCGAAGAGCTGGCCTCCATCGCCGATGGTAGAGGATGAAGTGCTGTCACTGGCGAAGGAATATTGCTCGGATGTCTCGGACACGCAAAGCACAGACGACCTTGCGCCTGCTGAAAGTCGTGGCGCAGTCGATCAGTATCCTCTGATCATAGATGTCAACGAGCAGGGCATCTCGCAAGAGCCGGTCAAGAAATCCATGGCTGCGAGTCCGCAGATCAATGTAACCTTGGACACAAATCCACACAACGGCCAGTATGAGACTCGGTTCATACATATACCGTCAGCATCAGACAACGAACGAGACCCGGCTCGAGCCCCGCGAAGACTTCGCTCGAAGTCTACTATTGGTATCGCAGCAGGTGAGGATCCCAGAGGCAGACCACACGTGTCACGCATCAACACCGATCTTGGTGCAGATCTACAGGCTATGGCTACAGGTCAACGAAGAGCACCATCGCCATATTCCTATGGGACTCGAACGAGTACCTTACTACCGTCCATGCTTGACGATACCTCGAAAGTTTCGCTGCTCTCGCCGGAAGCCGCCGCATCATTACCTATGCCCGTGCCCGGCCGGCGCGCGCGGTCTCAACGTCCCGAGCGTGTGGCCACCAAACCGGACAGTAGTGATTCAGATGGACGAAGGAAAGATTTTGCACGACGGCGATCGAAAAGCCGACACGATCGAGGAAGCTTCTCAAAATCAAGTGGTGACGAGAGATCGCGACCGGATTGGCCAAAGTCTAGATCAAGACGATCGGAGCAGAGTCCGCCTCGAGACCAACGCCATGCGACGTATTCGACGCCCATCACACCACCGCAGACACCAGGTCTCACCAGGGAGTCTCCGTATACGTCAGCTGCAGAAGACTCCGACCGCAGGAGATATCGTGATCATCCGCGGGCGGAAAGAAGATCCTCCAAGGAGTCTTCCTATCCTTCGGCTACAGTCGACAGACAGCCACCACGAGAGTACGACAATGGTTTTGGCAGAAAGTCACGCAGACAATCGATGCGCCGTCCAGAAAAACCAAGCATTGACATTTCAGACCCACGACATAATAGTCGACCAGAAACACCTGTTTCAGCTCGTACGCCACGAAGTTTGGAGAATGACTTGGAACAAGCCTTTAAAGACAACCAAAAGAAAGCGCCCCGGAAATATGGTCAGGATGATGGCACATCTCCCATGATGTCGCCACTCAACAGTCCTCCTCGGACACCACGCGGAGAGCGAAAGAGCAAAGATTATTTGGAGATGACGGCCCCTGTTTCCAATATGTCGAAGCAACGCACACGACCAGCGAATGACACTTCGGGCAAGCCTATGACGACTTTGTTGGGTGCTGCAACAATAGGTGCGGCGACACTCGCAGCCAAGGCGGCCCCTAGCCTCTCAAGATCATCGACCAATTCCCCCGATACTCCAAGCACCGGCTCACAAGGTTCCTTTGCGAGCGGGCAGCGGTCTCGAAAGCCTTCACCGGTATATGACGAGCCACAGGTCATATCGAGGCACAATTCTACAGCAAGTCGTGATGGCTATCCGCGATCGAATCCTGTGCCAATTCATGGTGATAGGCCGGGATCGAGAGCTGGCTCCATCGCGTCTCAGGACGGCAGCAAGAGTCTATCATCAACCCAATTTTTCACGAAGGGCGCCCGGAGTCATTGTCTCGGGGCGCCCTGCAGCCGTCCCTCATGCCTCATCCGCCAACACATAGGACTTCATCATACTCCACTATTCCTGAGCAAGCACACTCGCGTCCATCGGCTCATAGGACATATACAACCTTGCCTGGACCTTCCAGGTCAGCCCCTCAAGTCGCGCAGGGTCGCTTGCCTCACTCGCACCTTTCTCAACCGTATGTACCCTCGCCATACGCCAACTCGCCTGCAAGCGAAAGCAGTCCAGACATCAGTGGATCACAGGGCACGACGACAACGGAAGCAGGTTCGAGCAGTACTCTGATCCAGGAGCAAGCGAAGAAGCAGATCAACTTTCCACTCTGCCCTCATACTTCCCCTGTCGCAGGAACAGGCATCTGGTATACGGTCGCAGGTGTTGCAGGTTTCGATGTCTGTAGCAATTGCACACGGGTTCTAGGAGAGTCATCTCTTCGAGATTATTTGACTCTAGCGAACTGGAAATCCCCATCCGAGCCGGCGACGTGTGCCCTCAGTCAGCCGTGGACACGCATTGCCATTGCAAAGTGTTTGAAAGACGGCTCCACCAATCTGGGCCTACTGCAAAGTCTCACCAGCCGTCCACCAAGCGTACACCCTTGTCCTGGACGTCAGACTGAGATACGAAAATGGTACCATGTGGTGGACCCGACGAATGGTGCGCCTGTGCAAGGTTTCAATGTGTGCACCTCTTGTGTGAGGAATGCCGAACTTATCTTTCCTGAGTTATGGAAAGAGCAAATTTTTCAGCGTCCCGAGAGCAAACTCGCGCAAGAGCGATACTGCAATCTCTACAACGATAGTAAGCACTTCTACGGGATTGTCAATCAGCTCGATATCTTGGCTGGCTATAGCAAGAAGAAGGACCTCCGGAACAAGGACATCAGCAAATTTTGCGAATTCGTGCGCCAAAAGGCCAGGTACCGGGAATGCGCCCTTGATGCCATGCTTGCAACGCCCCTATGGCATTTCATGTCTGCTCTTCCCGAGCTGACGATCTGCGAGGAGTGCTATATGGAAGTTGTCTATCCGATGAGAGACAAGCCTATCGCACGAGACGTGGTAATGACCATGCAGAGAGTACCGATTCAGCGACCAGCGCATTACGTGGCAGGGATTAGTTGTCAGCTGTACAGCGAAAGGATGAGGAAAGTCTTCAAGGACGCCGTAATGAGGAATGATCTCGAGACCTTGAAGAGTGCGGCGTTGTCAAGGTATAATATTGAGCACCGATTGCAAGATCAGCACCGGCGGTATGCATTGGAAGAGGAGCAAGGATATAATCGTCAAGCGGAAATCGAGAGGAATGCCGCGCTTTGGAGGCAGTACGAATGAGCGATCGGCTTCTTTTGAGAAGGATGAACGAATGAATGAATGACGTGAATATGGTAGTGGCCTAATGCGAGCCTTGACGCTCTTGTGAATAGTCAGGAAGGTGCAAGCATGAAGTCCTCCGGGGCATGAATATCGAGAATTGGAACAAAAATTGATCACCAACATTCGAGTTGCGTAAATGATCTTCCAGTAGGGTAGTTTTGGGAACGGCACCAGGCCACCTTCCTTTTCGGAGCCGCTTGTCCTGTGCCTGCGCATCATTCAAATCTATAGACCTCGAGCTCGGTTTCGTCCTTGTCTTTCAGTCATTTCCCAGACCACCGGCGTCGCTCTTCTTCCTCAACTCACCGCTGCCCGAGGCTTGACTTCCAGTCATGAGTCTCTACTACCCCGCCGGCGGTGCGGTCGCTGCGGCCAGCGTTGTTGGCTTGTGTAAGGATCATACAATCTCAGTTGTCTAGTGGGACACAGTGACTGACGGCGGATGACAGATATGCTATTCAATGGCGAGGGCGAAAGATTTAATGTATGTTGGCTATATCTGCAGCACAGGACAGACTCGTGGCTAATCAGGTTCTCAGGTCGGCGCATTTCTCGAAAGCGTATCACCATATGCATGGGCAGACCTCGGCATTGCTCTGTGCATAGGTCTGTCTGTGGTCGGCGCTGCGTGGTGAGCCTTCCTCCAGCTCTGTATCGCGTGTATAAGCTGTACAGGCTTCGGCGCGAGGCCCTTCACCACGGCGTGACTTCTCCGCGGGCAATCGATCTAACAACTACGTAGGGGCATCTTCATAACAGGCACATCAATCCTCGGCGGCGGCGTCAAAGCACCACGGATACGAACGAAAAACTTGATCTCCATCATCTTCTGCGAAGTCGTCGCCATCTACGGTGTCATCATGCCATCGTGTTCTCATCAAAAGTTGGGAACCTCGTGCCGGAGGAGAGGCTGTACTCGGGCTCCAATCAATACACAGGCTACGCATTGTTCTGGGCCGGTCTGACAGTGGGCATGTGCAACCTGATTTGTGGTGTCAGTGTGGGCATCAATGGAAGCAGTGCGGCTCTGGCTGATGCAGCTGATGCCACGCTGTTTGTGAAGGTCCTGGTCATTGAAATCTTCAGCTCGGTGTTAGGGCTTTTTGGACTCATCATTGGACTACTGGTGCAGGGCAAGGCGAACGAGATTGAGTGAAGGAACGAGGCATCATGGTGTAACATAACGATCACGATAAGGGACTGGCATCTGACCGACCAGAGTCAGCAGGTCGGTGGCCCTACCCAAACTTCTCTGGCGGGAGGACTGGCGCCATCCGGCGCTGCCATACTCGTCCTGATAGACAGGACCGAACGTACTGGAATGGAGATAATCCAGAGCCTCGCCAGAGGGCCATTATGGAGGGGAAGCATTTGCTTATAAGAATACATACATAGCAGAACGAGCTACTACGATTGTCTTCACCGCGCAATGCTAACAGCAGCGGACAACCTCGCTGTGTTGCAACTGCCATTGTCCCAGGCTCACTAGAGCCGCTGCTCAAGTTGTACTGTTGCTTCTCGCCTTTCTGGACGGCACGGAAATTGTTTCCGCCGTTCAAACGACGTCACTGCGAGATTCTACGCATGATCCCAAGGAATACCTGTCAGTCGTGGCCCTGTGGCATTCCCAGTAGAAGTACCTTAGGCAGCAACATTGATGCAGCAAGTTTTCTTGGTGAGGTTATGTTGCTGCTATTGAAGCAATGCTCCTAACGTAGAATATTCTACTACGTTCTATTGAGCGATGCCTTCCATTGCAGACATGCCATAGCGCTGTAGCAAATCCTACAGCGCCCTCCCTGACCTAGGCCGAATGTCTTGTGTTGTCCCGAATTGCGAATCGATCCGCTGTTGTCGCCATGACGGAGCGTCTGAGCCATTCGTATGGCCCTACATGCGCATTCTACGATGCCCAGCCTCGCAAGGACGCGTCCTCGCCTGAGACGGACTCTGTGCCTCCAGTCAAGGCGCAATTCTTCTATGTTTCGGCGCTACCGATTGACGACCCGTTGAGTCCGCTGCCGCCGATATCTGACAAGTCCTCCGAGCATGAACCGCAGCCATTCTCTGTGCGGGACAATGCTGCCCTGGAAGAGGCATGGCAAGGGCTGCGAGCTGGGGAGGACGCTGTGAGGCCGTCATCACGACATATGGATAAGGGCATGTTCTCATTTCCCAGGTTCAGGGAGGGCAGAAGACATCACAGCCAAACTTCGGCGCGGTCTGGGGAGCGGGGGCAAGAGACGCAGAACGGTCACGCTGTATCTGCGGATACCACGCCAGGGAGGAAACCTGCTGAGCCAAGCTCCAGTGCTTCGAATAAGAGGAAGTCGTCAGGAAGCCCTGCCGTGAACACACCCGAACTTGAAAATGGCTTAGTCCTCAACTCTCCGGATGAGGCACGAGGAGGACTCCAGCAGGCCAGCCAAAGCGATGTGATGCTTTCCCAGCCAGTCACTGATGCCAAGGAACAATCGACGAGGCGTACAAGCTCCCCTTTCCGTCGCGCGACACAGCGGCCTCCTTACGAGCTTTTGTCGCATGTGCAAGATGAGCATTTATCGAATGATATTAGTGGTCGACCATTCGCACGGGCACCCTCAGCCAAGAACATTTCACAGCGTTTGAACAACTTTGATTCGACCTACGGACAAGCGGCGAGCGAGAGTCCTCCTGATGATGCCAAAGACGCCGCAAACGACGACGAAAAATTGTTCGTTCCTGTTGGCGTATCACGTCTACATCTCGTCCAACTCCCAGACCTCAGCATGGACCAATCTACTGGAGTCCAGTCAATGATACCTCGAGCGTACTTCGAGCGACATGGTTCTACAAAGATACCATGCTTCCTGTTCCTACGACGCTAGCGAACCGTCTTGAACTCGGCTATGAGTATATCAAACCATATTCCGATTCCTACAAAGACGAGCTACAAGCATGTATCGACAACGGCGCAGCTGCTGAAGCTAAGCTCGTGTACAAGCTGTGGACAGATACTCGCAAGACGAGTAGACCGAGCAGTGCTGCCGATCAACTTGAATCGAAGCACGAGGAACCATCGCCTATACCAGTCCATGGAGAGAATGTAGCCTTGGAGCCCGCCCTGAGCAAGAAAAAGCAACTCTTCCAAACCCACAGTGCTATCTATGTCGATCGGGAGAATGCCCAAATCTTGCGCCCGAGCTTGTTACCCTCCACATCGAAAAATCGACGACCGTTAAGCTCGATCCGCAAAGGAAGGCAGATCGGTGTTGCTGTTGTCCGAGGTTTCGACCGAAAGCTGTGGATGAAGCTGCATCCTGACCCGAAATTGCGAGAGGACACAGCTGCAGCTACAGTTGGTGGCTACATGGCACAATCCGGTGATGCTACAACCAAGGGTCGCCGGATGTCTTGCGCAGCGTGCGATGAACGGTACAAGACGCCAGTCGTCAAAGATCTGGTCCTGGTCATCCACGGGATTGGCCAGAAGCTGTCTCAAAGGGTAGATAGCTACCATTTCACACATGCTATCAACGATCTTCGGAGATCGTTCAATGTCGAGATAGCCTCACAAGCCACCAAGGGGAATGTTGAGACCAACACAAGCATGATGGTCCTTCCTGTCAACTGGAGACTCACAGTCTCCTTCGACGACAAGGAGGAAGAACGCTCCGAGGAAGAACGATTCGGTCTGGAGGACATCACGCCTGATACGCTTCCGGCAGTTCGATCTATCATATCCGATGTCATGCTGGACATTCCTTACTACATGTCCCACCACAAAGAGAAGATGACATCTGCGGTCATTCGTGAGGCAAATCGAGTATACAGGCTTTGGTGTCGCAACAATCCTGGTTTCAGAGAGCATGGTCGTGTTCACCTCATTGCTCATTCGTTGGGCTCAGCAATGGCAATGGATATACTTAGCCAGCAGCCCACGAAAGTTCCCACAGATGCTGATGTTGACGAGGCGACACCATCACAGGATATTTTCGAGTTCAACACCACCAATCTCTTCTGCTGCGGCTCTCCAGGTGGCTTCTTCCTGCTTTTGAACAATGCCCATTTGGTCCCTCGTGCTGGCATCGAAAAGCCTGGTATGGAGGCAGAATCGCACACGCCTGGGATCAGCTCCGAACAACAGTACGGCTCACTAGCCGTGCAGAACATCTACAACGTCCTCAACAAGAACGATCCTGTGTCATACCTGCTGAATGCATCTGTTGATGCAGCCTACGCTTCCCTGCTTCAGCCGGCGAACATACCTACAGCCTCACAAAGTCTCTTCGGGCGCCTCGGATCCTCTCTTCGCTGGTCCAAGATGGCTGGAGATCCGTACGCTTCGCATAACATCCCCGCGCGGCCGCAGATTGCACACTTGCCTTCGACCGTGGAGCTTGACACGCACAACTTCACACGTGAGGAGATAGCAGAGAAGCGGATGTACTTGCTCAATGAGAATGGGCAAATCGACTTCCACCTGGCGAGCGGCGGCGGACCGCTGGAGATACAGTACCTTAGTATGTTGAGTGCCCATAGCAGCTACTGGGTCAGCAAGGATTTTGTGAGATTTCTGGTGCTTGAGATTGGACGGAAGGCTGGCAAGGAGAACACGCTGCCTGTGCTGAGAGCGGTGAAGAAGCGAGAGTACAAGAGGGGGTCTCTGGCTTGACCAACGAAGTTACGACGCATAGATAGACATTGATACCCTGAGGCTAAAGGTCTCCCTGGCGCTGGAATAGATAACCTTGGGATGCAATTCATAATTTTCTCCGATATATGATTGTTGGGGGCAAGTGTTCAATTGCCCCTCACCTGCTCCTCTCCTTCCCGAAAAGCTTCACGCCGCCCTCCGGCCATATTACATTGTCGCCCTACACCTCCCAACCACCAAAAAGCAAAAAGCAAAGGCCATAAGCACCGAATATGATCAGTGCCGGGTTCGAACCGGCGACCTTGTCCGTGTTAAGGACACGTGATAACCAACTACACCAACCGACCGTGGGTTCACTTTTGTGAGAAAGTGTGAGCGAATCTGAGCACCAATCTCTACGTAGCAAAAATATATTCGTCTGATATCTAGCGCCTAAAACGGCATGCATCCGACCAGTGCCCGGAGATCGTGCCTGGAGAATGAGTGGTCGCGTCGAGTCAGGGCCCCGGGATCAGACCTCGGGGGGGAACGCCGCTGGGGAAGGCTGGCAGGGCCCCTCTCCGAAGACCTAGGTATCGATAAAGTTCCTGGGAAGGGAGCTTCGTAATCGTGTTGTCGGCTTTTGAAGGTTGATCGACATAGCTGGAACAGACTCTGGCACATCGTCGGCATCTGCGAAGCACAGGCATGGCATCTGGGTGTCTGCAACCGACTCGCGGTGCCCAGTTGGCTCCGTAACGGGTCTATTGTCCTTGTTTGTGGTTCACGATGTGGTGGGCCACAATATCATGACCAGGCATTTCATTGTTGCAGCCCAGCGACGCGTGTCATCATGAGCACGCCCCAGTCTCTGTTGCAATCCTGAGACCGAGACCTTGATCTTCCAACACAGCAGAGGTCTGCGACAGGATAATCAGAAGCGACCATTACGCATCCTTCGAGCACAATGTCCGCTACTACGAGCATTGTCTCTCACGGCGAAGTTGACGCCTTGGCCAGGGAGACATATGGGCAAGGTCCGATCGTCCTGCGCATTGGGTAGGTACCGACTTCTTGTTCTCTTCAATTGCGATCTTGTCAGCTCACATGTGCTGTAAGCAACGGTGGCGCCGGCGCCGTTGGTCTCATTGCCGCTCTCGCAAACGACTATCTTGCTGTTTACCACGAGCCTGGCCAAGCTTCGATAACCTGGGTATGCAATCATTCGCGGAATACTCAATTGGCTCTTCTTCAGCACCACATCGATATTGCTTTGACATACGAGCGAGACCAGGAGCAGCTTGCTGAGTCAGAAGGATGGTCGAAGACCATTGGGTGCATTTTTCACGACCATTTCGTTCTGGCTGGGCCGGTCAACGACCCTGCTGGCGTCATGCAGCAGAATGGAAGTCTCGAGCAGGCGCTTCAAACCATCGCGAAAACGCGGTCGTTGTTTCACAGCCGTGCGGACTCTTCAGCCACTATGTTCAAGGAGCGCAGCAGATGGGTAGCAGCTGGTTTGGGACCTTGGAAGGACTCTACCGACGAGGCATGGTATAAGCAAAGTCTGCATTCTCCTGCTGGAGCTGTCATTGAGGCCGGCAAAGCTGGTGCATATCTTATCACAGATCGCTCCACACTGCTTCATCAGACTCAGCTTGGAGTTGTAAGTGACATGACGGTGTTCTACGAGCCGCAGAGCGAGACCGATGTACTCATGAACAGCTGCTTCGCACTTGTCGGCACTACTTTAGCGAAGGGAGATGCTTCGCCAGAAGAGCGTGACCGCTTCGTGCAGTACATGCAATCAGACCGTGGACAGGATCTGATCCGACGGTTTGGACAGGTCGAGGAAGGCGATGTGGAGTGCTTTGCCAGAGTCCAGGATGGCTTTGCTCGCAACAAGATGAGGGGTGGTCAAGGTGTGGATCGTCGATGGCGAGTGTCCGAGTAGGTGGCACAGACTCCGCGTCGGCGATTACCGAAGTTCATGTCACTTTGTTGTGGGATGATAAGCAAGTCATCGTGAGTATAGTTCGCTAACCCTTGCCATGCATCGTCGGTGTTGTCTTCACGAACGACATGTTATCACAGGCAACAGCAAAGCAAAGTATCAGAGCCAAGCAAAGAGCCGGTGGGGATTGGAAGGTGCAAAGGAAGTCAAATGCTAATTGATCTTCAACTGCCGGGCGTCCAGCAGCAATATAGCGGAGTAGCCACACCACACTGATCGACTTTTGACAATGCCAAAACGTTCGATCTGCAACACAATCACACCTGAATCTCGACAGCTCCTCATGAGCAACGCTGGCTTTGGTCTCAAGCGCCGTTGCACGATCCACCTCATCACGCATGCGGAACAAGATCTCCTCCCTAGTCTCTTTGTTGGCACTGCGTTTGACAACCTTCAAGATGTTCGGCTTCTGTTCTCCATCGACGAACAGCAGATCAACAGCCTCAAGAGGCAGTTGGTTGGTTTCCGGGAAGAAAAGGTACACAACCGGTATCGCCACAAAGTTCAGCACCGCGAAGACGATATAACTCTTCCAGTGCAAGTTCTGGACCAGGCTAGGCGTGATTTCGACGACCAGGAAAGTGAACGCCCACTGGGAGATGACCCCGATCGCACCACCACGCACACGCAGCTTCAGCGGCAAGATCTCCGACGGGTACACCCACATGTTCGCCTGCCAACCAACGGTGAAGAACGTGTAGAAGACGTAACTGCACACGATGGCACCATACCCCAAGTTCTTGCCGCCCATCTGGATGAAAATGGCGCTCAGCACCATCATTAGGCACATGCCGGTGGACCCGAAGATGAACAGCTTTCTGCGCCCAATAGCATCGACGGCCCACCAGGCGATCAGACTCGATAGGAAGAAGTACACCTGGTTGCCGCCAGATACAAGCAGCGAGTCGTGGCGTGAAAGACCAAGCAGATTCTGGTACACGTAAGGCCCAAAGCTGGAAATGACGTTCGAACCGGTGAGTTGTTGCATGGCGTTGACCCAGAATGCAATAATGACTCGAGTGCGTCCATGCACGCCACCCTCTCGGAAGACGTCGGTCCAAGAGCCTTGCTCTTCAGCCTCAACAGTGATGGCGTAGCGGATCTGTTGCAGCTCCTGGGCAACATCATCTGAGGCACGAAGGGCCGAAAGTGACCGCTCTGCATCAACCATCTTGCCGGCACGGACGAGATATCTGGGCGATTCTGGAAGGAAAGGCATATATGCCAGTATGATGATGCAGAATACCATCTGGAAAGCGCATGGGAAACGCCACTCGATCGGGCCTTCGTAGAAAGACATCCCATAGTCGAGCCAGTTGGCGATGATCAAACCCAGGATCAGGTTGGAGAGTTGCATGGCCACCATTCGGCCTCTCGACTTTGGCTGTGCGCACTCTGTCATCCAGATCGGAATTATGGTGGTCATCATGCCTGCGTCTTATCAGAATCTTGCAAAGGTACAGTTGCTAGGCCAGTGGCACGTACCGAGACCAAAACCTGCCACAATTCTCCCGACCAGGAATTGAGCAATGCTGAATGCAGAAGTCTGGAGAATGGCACCGAGGCAGATGATGCCCGCCCCGGTCAGGACATTCGTCTTGCGTCCGAAGTTATCACCGATGAGAAAGATGCCCAGCGCTCCAAACATTGCTCCCACCTCATATGACGAAACCAGGAAGCCGAGTAGAGCAGGACTTGGGTTGCCGAAGAGGGCGAGGAAGTCTGCGGAGGTGGTCACGCCTCCCATAAAGGCGAGATCATAACCAAACAAGAGGAACCCCAATCCGGAGCACAGTGTCACTGCATAGACAAGAGCCTGGCCACGGAGGCCAACAAAAGTAGGTGTAGCCATGCTTGGAAGTTCAGAATGGTAGGCGTGTCTGTACGAAAAGCTGACTTGCAGTATTAAGTACCATGGGGACCAGCACTATTCTATATACTTGCCACAAGAGCCACTCGACCTGATCAAGTCTGCATATACCCCAGCTTGACCTTGCGACTTGGGTGTCGGCATTTGGTCCGTTGCCGACATACTTGCTATAAACTCTGGAGAAGCAAGAGTCCCTGCCCCATGGGGAGTGCTAGATTACGCGTTCTCATCTATCTGAAAGTCTATATTCACTACCAGTTGTACCACGACGGCTATTGCTTGCGTTAGACCTTACCTGGTCGACTCCTGACTCTGAGTTCCATCCAGGAGCCACAATGCAGATCCGACCAGTCGTGTCAGTGAGCCAACAGAGCGCTCACAGCTAGGCGCCCCTGAATGGAATACCTCCTAGTGCCATTCGAACCTCGACATTACTGGCTACATGGTTCCACATACAGACTACATGCTGGCCAGCAGCTTTTTCGGATCCGCATGTCACTTGGTCGTCGCTGAATGCAAAGTGTGCTCATCGGCTATCTACGATCTCTGGGCTGCTCTTCGCTGAGACCTACTCCATCAGGAAGAATTGTACGGTCATCTGGCTTAGTGTCTGAACGGTGCATCACAGCCTGCAAGCGTGTCCACGAACATGCGGAGAAGGGACCGACCCAGGGCTGGTAGAGCTTCAGTTGATGGGAAGAAGCGCAATCTAGCTATACCCTTAGCAGGGCAGCGGAAGGATCGTCCTCCCGCGGTTTGGCTACGTTGAAGGTCTTCGAGCAATGCATCACATTCTTGAACTGGTCGCTCAGGTCTGGGCAGCTTTGTTAGTACATGTGGTCAATGCAATGTGTCGCTCGTCAAGAGCCCGTCTACGACAAGCGACCACTTTTGTGTTGGGTGGTGTCAAGACCTTCCCATGTCAACGACGGCGTCTCGAACACCGCTGGAGCGCAACCTGCATTGAGCAGACAGCTCGTCTCATGAACCTTGAGACAACTAGCTCTTCAGCCGCTGCGAACTTGGTCTGGCCCCCCTGTGGGGAAGGCTGTTGGCCACTCTCATCCCCAGAACCCCTTTTGCTTTTTCAGTCGCCGACCTAGCTCAGTGGCGACTTGCAAGTCAGATCCACAGAAAACTCACCAGGCTGGCTGGAGCGAGGAGCTCGTGGTACCTCGAACTGTCTATCGACAGGTGATCTGCCGCCCGAGATTTCACGGCGTGGACGGATGAGAGGACGCTCATGCTCGCTGAACTAGAACTTGACTGGAGTCTCGAGCCTCTACAAGGTTCAGGCTGCGTCTCCGCTCGGTGTCCCACTCTCACAGCACGAAGACTTGCAGAGTGGCCTCTTTCTTGAATACGTTCTATTGACCCTGGTCGACTTTGGACATTCACCGGCGACAGAGCCGGTTACTTCGCAGCCTCGTCTACGAATTCACTCTAGATTCGTCGCGTATCTCCTGGCTCGAAGTGCTTTTTTCTGAGCAGGTATCCGAACGTCGATTGAACACAGATATTGTGCAGTTTCAGCGCTCGCGCACAGAAGAAGCGAAAGATGATCTCAGCATTCAGCTTACTCAGGTCTAGCGGCTGACATAATTGACCGCCTGGACCGACTAGCCTGCGTCTGGCGAGCACGGTGGCGCCAAAAAGTGGACGGATAGAACGTGACTGACGCTGAACGACCAAGTCGCGGATTGTGGCAGGTAGGAATAGACCAGCGGCAAGCGCATGATGCAAAAGTTCCAGAGTCCGCTCTGAAAAGTGGTAGCGCCCCAGACATTGGTTCAGCAATCACAGATATGTTAATGTGACGGAACAGATCTCGACTTGGCAAAGGCTGCCCAACTCAACCAGACAACCGCGCTAACTCGCACAAACTACCGATCTCAAACAACCAGGAACACCACACCACCTACCGGAACCTCTTCACCAGAACGCAACAAAGGGGGGTGCCGAGATCTGTCCCTCACGATACCGCAGCCCCAGATCATTAGAAGAGAGGATCTGAAGTCTAACAACGAAATATCGCTCGAAACGCGCCGGCAGGCTCTACAGTCACGGGTTAAGGAAACATGTTTCACACCCGACTTCATGCTCCACCGATGTATTGACCAGTAGGGTTGGCGCCATCAGACGGTAGTAACACTACGTCAGGAGGTCTCGCGTAACTCCTCATGGAAGTACATAAGGGTCGGGCGAGAAGGTATCCTGAACACTCTGCTAGAGAGATCGTCCTTCCTCTAAAAGCCGGCTTGCGCGGTGCATTGAGCGTGGGCATTTATTGCAGATTGTTGAGCAAATTTTGGGGATTCAATATATGAAGGTATCGAGCGCGTTGCTGGGGAAGATGGGAGAGGTGGAGATCAGAGAAGGGTGATGGGCAGGTCAGGTGTAGGCTACGGGCGGTTGATGTGGTGATAAGGCGGCGAGGCACGGATGTTTCAAGTTGCCTTGTTGCCAAGAGTTTGGATCTCCGGCACTACTTAAGTACTTAACTACCTAGCTAGGTATGGACCGAGCATTGTCGCAGATTCAGGGACTTGAAGGTCAGCAGAACGAGTCTGACGATACCTGCTCCTGGAGGAAAGTGGTCATTCTTACCTGGTTTTGAGCTCCCCTCGTTCAATACGCGAAGAAAGCTCCTGCCAATACAATCCTGCCTGAGTCGCACGCATATTGCTGTGAGCTGGAAGGACCAAGGACACTTTGGACGTGTAATCAGCATTGGTGGAAATGACATGACCTAGCGCGACCCTGCCGTGCTTTGCTCCTTGCTTCTACAGCTCGCTATTTGGATCTGTTGATGCCACTCATGTAAGGAAAGTCCAGGCCTCACGGGACTCCACGACTCTTGCCACTTCAACAGCTGCCTCCGATATCCTTCCTACGAGGAGTCCTTCATGGCGAGTTTTCCCTGACTTCTCAGCTGCTCAAGCCGATCCAAGACATGCTGCGGCGGCTGTTGGCGATAGCCCTCCGGATTGTTCTCTGTCCAACGCCACAAGTCTTCGCAGGCTTGTTCCATCGTGCGCTCAGCCTTCCAGCCGAGTTCGCGGTTGGCGCGAGCGGGGTTACTGGTGAGATCAAGAACGTCGCCGGCTCGTCGCTCGACGACTTTGTAGGAGAGATCGCGGCCTACGGATTTTGAGAAAGCATGAATCATTTCGTAGACGGTGGAGCCACGCCCGGTGCCCAGGTTCCAGCTCGGACGCCGGGATTCTTTGAGCGGAGGTAGTCGAGGGCAGCCAAGTGTCCTTGGGCGAGGTCGAGAATGTGGATGTAGTCGCGGATGGCTGTGCCGTCGTGGGACTTGTAGTCGTCGCCGAAGACGAGGAGTTCCTTCCGCTTGCCGGTTGCTACCTGCGCTAGGAGAGGGAGAAGGTTGTATGGCACACCGGCGGGATCTTCGCCCATGATTGCAGATGGGTGGCTTCCTGCTGGGTTGAAGTATCGCAGTAGACCGGCGTTCCACTTCTTGGCTGCTGCTTCGTCCTTGTTCTTGAGTGCATTGGCGCGCTCGGCATTGATAAGGTCTGTGATCATGGTCTCAGAACAGAACTTTGTGTTGCCGTATGGATTTGTTGGTCCGAGTGGGCACTCCTCTGGAATGGGAATCATGTTCTCGAATCGTGTCGCATCACCGTAGACCGTGGCTGATGAGGAATAGACGAAGTTTGTGACATTGTTCTTCTTAGCGGCTCTCAGCAGTGCAAGTGTGCCGTAGACGTTGACATAGTAATAGTCAAGTGGAATCTCGCCAGACTCTCCTACCGCCTTGAGTGCGGCAAAGTGGATAACACTGTCGATATCAGGGTGCTTCTGAAAGACCGCATCCAAATCTGATTCGCTTGTGATGTCAAGTTCGACGTATTCTGGTCTCTTTCCGCAAATGAGCTCTATGCGGTTGAGGACTTCTTTTGACGAGTTGTAGAGGTTGTCGACAATGACAACTTTGTAGCCAGCCTCGAGGAGGGCAAGGGTGGTGAAGGAGCCTATATAGCCTGTACCGCTGTCTCGAATGTCAGCTTTGAGGGCGACGATCTGGTACTGGGTCACTCACCCAGTGATCAGGCACGATCCGGCCGCCATGCTTCTGGTTGTGATCTGAATACCTGCTGGTAGCCGAGACTGGTGGAGTGCAAAAAGGACCAGGCGCGGGGCTCGATATGGTTTTATCTCGATCTTGTTTCTTGCCTTCTGGGTGACAGAGCAAGTCGAAGAGCTACCGATGTGTCGTGAAGAGTATTACGAGTATCTTCAATGCGATAGAAGTGCTTGTACTTCCTGAACGGCACTTTCAAGTCCGCTATGCACTCACATCGAGCAACAATTTGGTGTGCAAGTGCAACCCTGCAGCTTGGACCTGCGTCACACGTGGGCCAACAGTACCCCAAAGCTTAGGCGGCAACTCTGCCCCTGCATTCTCCGCCTCCAATTTCCGCCCTTCGGGAAACCCAAGCTCCATGGCCGAAATTCTTCTCATCACCTCACCTTGCCCTCACCTGAACATGTTCTCGTTCAGCTGGTTACTTCGATCATGTTATTATTGTATCTCATCGCGTGCGGACGAGGGGCGTTGCTGCTGTTGCTTTTGTCCTGATCTGGACTGGTGCTGCCTCGATCGGTCGTCATGTAGCGAGACGAACGTGCGAGGCTGACCGCTATATTCCACGGTGAAGAGCTTTTCAGATGTGCTGTAAGCATACTTGCGGACGATCCTAGACGCCATATGCGCTTGCTTAACCGGACGTTTTGATTTTGTTGACTTGTTTCCTGGCAAGCCCGCATCTGAAGGCAGAGCCGTGTTATCACGACTTTTCTCCGCGATGAACGACGATCAGTAACAGCACCTGTGCGTACGGCAAGAATTTCTCGTGGCCAACGCCGTGTAGGGTACTGCACTTCGGCCTCAGCGCTGCTTTGAGACACAGGAGCCGGAAATCGGAAAACATCTCAAGCGACTTTTTATGGATGAACGCCATGGAAGGCTACTTTGCCTCGGCCTTTCGAATCTGGAGGATGTCTCTCGAATGGCACACAGCGTCGTGATGTCGCACGGGATGGTCGATTGCGGTTGAGCAGTCAGACTCAGGCTGCTTGAACAGGAGGTACATCATACATCTTCACAGGACACCCGCTTGCCTATGCAAGGTAAGCGAACTGTCTGCCCAGTGACAAAGATTGCCTACCTGGAGGCTTTTGCTGGGTTGCCTCATCGTGCAAGCAGCATTGGACTTTTCCTGGCTCTGGCTTTCATCTGTGAAGTATTTGTGTATCAGAGGGAAATGAGACAAACATGTCACTTGCCAGCAACCACAGGGAAGATCACGTGAGTCTAGTCACGAGGCAACGCCTCCCCTGCATGAGCCTGTTGGCCAACGTAGTGATTAAAGGAGCCTCTTCAACATCTCTGCAACTTCTGGTGCTCGACAACAACTCGCTGTTCACTCAGATCATTGAAAAAGAGCTGCCACGCACAACACTGCACCAGCCATGAGGGAAGATTCAGCACAGAGCCCGCCCAAAGGCCTCTGCAGCCTGCCTGTGGAGATACTCGACAAGGTCCTTGAGGTAAGTGCATGAGAATGTGGGCAATGAAGCGAAGGTTGGCTTGAAATAGAGCACAGAGGTCTCTTGAGACATCTTTGCTCATCATCCTCGCTGAAGCTCCACTTGATGTTCTCAAATCTCGAAAAGGAGCTGACCAGAGCGCTCCAACCTCCCAGAACGTGCCCGCAAAGAAGATTGTCCTTACCTGCTCCTACAACGACACGACTCCTAACAAATGCTACGATGTCTCTTGCACAGAGACTCCTGGTAAAATGCCGGAGCTCCGTTCGCTGGCTCTGACATGTCAACATCTGAGTCAAGTCATTCCCAAGACTGCCGCTTTTCGACGCGATGGAACTGGGTCAGAAGTCGCAAAGATCATCGAATTCGAGTCCATCCCCGACAAACGCTATCCTGTCAGCTATAGCTTCGGGTGCCGCGCTTATCAAGTATACTACTGGGACCACTTCTGGCAGCCTACTACCTCTATGCGTCCTTCGGCAGGAGAGAAATCCAAGCCCTGTCCACAGTATTCGAAGGTCCCACCTGCCGACAACATCACAACGGTCATCTTCAATCGCCTTGCTGCTGGTTACTTTGGCTCTTCAATCATCTACAACTTTCCAAATCTCGAGACCATTCACCTGAGGGAATACAAAACGGACGTCTCTGAGAAATGCCATGACCAGCTCAGTGCAGCACACGGGCTTGGGAAGTTCGCTGCACTTGGGGCCGACGAGCGCAAACGCGACAACTATTCCCTCGCTCGTGCCTCTGCCGTCGTAAGCGAATTGTAAGTCATCTCATCCTAGCGCTGAGCCTAAACAGCTCATCTTTTGAGCGACTCTGTACGACATCGCTAACTCCGACTAGCATCAGCTCAATTGTGGCAGGCAAGCACGCTCACGACGCACAGTCCATCTACGACGTGCCTCAAGACTTGGAAGACAGAGAGGATTACGACCCCGAGGAGTACGATCGCCTTCCGGCCTGGCCTCTGCCCAACGAGACCAGAGAGCAGATCAAGGACAAATATCGTTGGATTGTCGAGCTGGAGCACTGTCCGTGCGTTAGTGATTCCATGCGAGCCGATGGCATCCTGGCAGCCGATGGCATTGCGTCTCCCGAGGCTCTACGAGAATACCAGCAGGCTCATCCTAATGTGATGAATATTCGTGTCAAGGTGGATCTCTCGGCCAAGCGGGTGTTCGAAGCGGAGTTCTTCACTTGGTAGCTCTGATATGTCCTCATACCATGGGGAGGCCTTCGTGAGATCTGAAGTCAAGGAGAATCAGGTCGTACGAGACACTGTCTGATCACCAGCAGGTGTCTCTCTTGCCACGGGGAGGCCGTCATGCGGAATAGTATGCAACGAAAGGTCCTTCATAAGATTCGAAAGCAAGGTCATACCAGGCACATCTCAGACTATGAGATGTCTTTCGGACCACGGGGAGGCCTTCCTACGGAAGTGTATGCCAAACAATGTCCACTGAGTACGAAGACACAGAGTGATAATGCGAGTTCAATCGGTTGACATGTTGCCGTTCCCACCTTCAACTCGGCGTGCTCCCCGTAATTGTCACATGCAATCATGCCGTGACCGAGTTCCTCCTGGCCTTGAACTCCTCCGTACCCAGAGTATCGATGTCGTACCCATGCTGCTTCAGATACTCCTTGAACCGAGCATCCTCGTTGTCGATTGTGTCTTGCCCAATGTTCGGAATGAAGATCAAAGTGATGATACCACTGAAGATACACAGCGCTGACGAGACGAAGAACGGATACTGCCCTTGTTTGACAGGGTCGTTACCGCCTGCTGCAATTATATCTGGGAAGATGTAATTGCCGACGAAAGCTCCAACCTTGCCAATCGCCGCAGCGATACCTATTCCAGCCAGAAGGTCAGCATATAGAAACAGCAATGGTTGCTACAAGGATCAGTGAGAGGGTAACCAAGGCTGAACGCTTAGACGTCCAAGGCTGGATGTCAATGTAGTGCTGGGAAGTGTTTGGACCCACCGTAGTATTGACCCCGGATAGAGGTAGCGGAAGTCTTCGAAGCAATAAGCCCGATGTTGTCGCCAGGCCCGAGCTCGCCGAGCGAAAGAAAGATGCCGTAGATGACAACGAATCCACCAACAGCCGAGGCCTTGTCGAGATGTTCGTAGATACCGGACATCAGGAACCCGACGGCACCCTGCAGAATAACGCCCAGAGCGAGCGCGTACTTCGGTCCTATCCAATCACTGACGAATGCTCCCAGGAACGCGCCGGGCACGTAGAACAGATTGATGACTGTGCTCCAGCCAAAAGACTTCCAGAGAGGGGCGTCCTCGGGCAGAAGGTAGACCAGCCAAGATGAACTGTAGATGCTGAATGAGTATGAGGAGAAGTCGTACAGAAACCAGATCAGGCTGACAATAGCGAGTCGGAATCCATAGAACTTCACAATGAGCCACCATGGGTACTTCGACATCTTGGCCCGATTGTAGGATTCGGGCTCCTTAAGCTTGATTCGTAGCCAAAGAAGTGACAGAGGTGGAATGACAGCAAGGCCCAGACAGATGCGCCATGCTGCTCGGAGATGATTCTCGCCAGTCGCCAGAACGACAATCATTGCAACCAGAGAAGCCACCCAGAAGCCGCTGTCAATCATGAAGTTCCTGCATACGATGTCAGCTTTGCGTCAGCAAGGCGAAGATGGCAGTCGCAAATAGTCCATTCTAGGTTCTGTATCACTATCAACATGGCACTCACGTGAAGAGAATACTGACAAGGTTAGTGGATTTCGAGCGGCTACGGATGTTGCACACTTACAACCAGCGATTTCGGTGGCCATGTTTGAGCTCACCTGTGCTCTCAGCACAGGCAACAGATCCGGCAGGGTATTCACCACCTGCAAGTTGCATTAGCGCGCAATAACAGCACGATAATCATTCGAGGTCGTACCAATTCCAATACCAAGCAAAAAGCGATAGGCTGTCAAAGCGGCAAAGAGGCCCTGAATCGAGCCACCTGCACCATAGGATCCAGCGCCGAGTGCTGCAAACACGATCAAAATAATTGTACTAATCAGCAGCGAGTTCTTGCGGGAGTAATGATCGGATGTATAGCCGAAGACCACTGCTTCCTGTTAGCCAGAGCGTTTTCAAGTGGGAACAAGAATCGGAACACTGCCGTTTCGAGTTCATAGATGTTCGTACGTTGACCCAGGACGGTGCCCGCAAAGGCGATCGATGAGACATTCTGCTGCGCCGATGACTTGGTATACTCGTCCTTGTACAGGATTTTCAACATCGTGTTGACAGGTCCAATTATGCTTTGACTAAAACCATCGGAGAAGAGACCTGCAAATGGTTGTGAGCACTGGGTCAAGCATAATTCGCATGTGCGTGAAGTGTTCATACCAGAACCGCAGGCGATGACAGGCCAGCTACGCTCCCATCTCGACTTCTGCGTAGCGGCGATGCTGCCTCTGCCATAGACCGCATCTTGGTCGCCGTTGAAGTCAGCGTCGCCTGCGATAGGCTCTCGGATTTCTTTCTCGGACATGTTGACAATGGAGTCGCGCAAGTGTCAGTTGAGCGAAGGAGAATCGAAGTGCTGTTGTGTTATCAATTGAAGAGATCCACATAGATATATGCTTCGAGCTGATCACGTTCCTCGCGATTCTAAGGTGACATGCAAAAAGCTCTAGCGGCTGTAGGACAAGGAAGCCGCTATCGAGTCGGGGTCGACCACCACAATGCAAGGCTACCTTAGGTAGCTCCAAGAAGAGGAAGTAGCGACCCTCTGGTTGGCAGGAACACATCGGAGGCTCGTTTAAGGTGGTGTAACGGTCGAATCATTAGCGATCCTGCATTAAATGGTCTCCGGAAGGGGAAGCTCCAAGCTGAAACCCCGGCACCCAGATCATTTTGTGACGACTGCTGGCAAGGTGTATGACGGAGTTGCCGCCACGGGGGGTGCCGTGAATCCGAGAGGGGAATGTTATCTCGTGGCCGCGTCACCGACGCCATTGTAAATTTCTGGTCGATGGCAGCACGTGGCACGCGACGACTTATACTGTTCGCTGAATCAATGCCATGTCAGAATTGTATTCGCGTCAAGCTGGCACATTTCTAGTTCTGGAACATCCAACGTGGTAAGCTCGCCAAAAGATAATTTGTTGTTGATGGAGACAAGCAAGTCTCGAATGCTTTAAGCCTTGCTAAGCTAAACCAAGCTCTGTCTTTCGTAGATCACTGCAGCTAGACCCTGGACTGTGCCCCGCACCGTCGCCTGTGACCAGTCAATCAGCACGCCTCTCTCCGGGCACACCGCATCTTGGGTTCTCGCCGTGAACGCCGCAATAGTTGACGACTCCTGTTCGAGGGATCAAGGAACTTCACGTACCAAAGTGCGACGTACCAAGTCGTTCACATTCAGCTATCGCTCGCTGAGTGCTCAGGCCGCACACTGCAATGCTCCTTCGACTTCGGCGCCCGGCTTAACGGCATCCCAAGGCCATGCTCAGCCATAACGCAATGCTGTCTGCTCCTTGCCTGACGACCATTGACTTCAGGACATACCACCGGTCCAAGGCTCATCCTTCTGGCCTGCCATGAAGTTGTCCTTCAATCCGTCGCTATATGCAAAACTGAAGTCCTTCAGATCAATGCCATCCTGCGGCTGATCAATGGCACTGAGGTTGACACTGAAGAACTTGTTGATCATTCCCGGCGGATACTCATATTGACCCTACGCAGTACATCAGGACTTTCTTCGGTGCTTCTGACGGTGACGAATCACTAAATGCTCACCTCGCGCCACAAGTGCGTCGCACAGACTTTACAGAAATAACGATGCCCAAAGTTGTTCTCGTCACTGCGCTCGGGCTTCGTGTAGTCACCAAGCTGCTCGCGAGAAGCAGGCTTGAGGAGCTTGAAACTCTCGGGATCGACGGCGAGTGAGGTGAAGTTGGGCTTCTGGCACCAGGTACAATTGCAGCGGTTTGCTTTGCGGGTGTCCGTGGGCAGGGTGAAGGTGAAGGCTGCGGCGCCGCAATGACAGGACGCTGCGATGCTCAGATTGACTATGTTGATATCTGGGACGGGTGTAGGTACCATTGATGGTCTGTGTGCTCATTTTTGCGGCTTCACAGCTTCTTTGGCGATCGTTGGAAGGGTTATGATCCTAGGAAGAAGGGAAATGCTCGGTGTTGTGACTGCAAAATGTCTATCAACGCTTTGCCACCATTGGGACTGCCAGTGCCAGAGCAAATAGATGTATTTATATGGCCTCCTAACGCTGACGTGCGTATTCGCTACAGGAAAGCTTCAGGTCCGTTTTCTTGAGCTTGTTCGTACTGCCGAGCTTTGAGGCGTCGGTTAGCCTGGTTGCTGCCTGCAGCTGCCTGAGCCAAGCAACTACATATGTGTGGTATAATGCACCTTGCCACGGGTCATGCCAAAGCGCGGACAAACAGACCGGCATTCAGCACTTCGGCTTGGGCTTGCGCCAAAGGAGTTGCTGCTTGGCACCTTACAAAAGACTGTGCACTCTTCGTACCATCCAGGCTAGCCTTAGCGTAGTTCAAGGACCTCGGGACTGTTGACCCCATCGCATCCTGAGGAACAGATCCTCAGGGAAATGGATCATATGGTCCTGTCCCAAAACATACGCCCTGAACATCATCCGCATTCACCTTCTGCACCGGCTCCCCGTCCGCACCAAATCTGAGCATGACGCCGCCACCTTCGGCATCCGCATCGAATTGGGGCCATCCAGCGGCTGGAGGGCCATGCCATGGATCGCTTACGAAGGCGAGCAAGAAGTCCTCCATAGCTTCTGCAGTTGCGGTCTGCTCAGCCGTTGGCCCACCCAGACCGTTATTCGCGTCGGCATACGCGCCGAAGAACATTGGCAGATCCGAGGAATGGAACTTTGACAGCGTTAGTTGCAAGTTCCAGGAAAGAATGATCTACACCTACTGCTCCCATCCACGGAAGAGGGTCCTGATTTGTCCAATTACCAGCGTATTGATATCTGTAGGTAGGTAGGCCGGCTCCAGTGCGAAGAATTGACGTATTCGCCGCTCCACAAAGAAGACCGGTCGTTATAGCGTTTGCTGCGGTCTGATTGGGTCCTTGGGTTTCTGGATTAGCTGGCAGAGGACTGAGCGATCCGCCTTCATTCGCGGCGGTACCATAGATCATGGGGACCTTGCTGACTTGGCCTGATTGATAGCGCTGTGTGTAATTACTGAAGACCACCTTTTCGTCCGCGACAGGGTTGAACGATATTGGTGGCAGGCTTGGATCGACCAAACTTGTGTTCTGTTGATACCAACCCATGGCGTTGATCAGATCATCGTATGGCAGGCTCTGCATGCACTGGAGCTCAGCCTGGGCGTCATTTGGGAAATCACAGCCCAAGGTTCGTGCCACAAAGGTGAAGTTGGTGTGCCCTGGGTCTGACGACGGGCGTATGGTGAGTGTGTTGCCGGATTGGGCGAACATTGCATGTGCGATTGGGTCTTCATAGAACGCGTAGTTGTGTATGTCCACTGCGCTCGCTCCTGCTGACTGGCCCCAGATCATGATGCGTGATGGGTCGCCGCCGAACGCTGCGATGTTGTCGCGCACCCATTCCAGACTAAGGCGCATATCAAGCAAACCAGCGTTCTGTGTGTCTAGGCCGGCGGCATCGGGGAAGCCAAGGATGTTCATCCGGTAGTTGATTGTTACCACAATATGGCTTTGGCTGCGGCTGACCCAGCCTGGCGGAAGCTGGCCCGGCACAAGGATCCCGTTCGTCTGGTACCCGCCACCTGTCCAGAACATGGCGACTGGTAACTTGGAATCGCACGTAGCATTTAGAGGCGTCCAAATTGCAAGCTTAAGACAGTCTTCGGAAGCAAAGGGCGCCGATATACCGGCTTGGTACAGGTCAGACTCCGGTAGCCAAGCAAAAGACGGAGGAAAGCATGGGAACAGATTGGAAACAGAGGCAGAAGTCATGTGTGAGAGTGAGAACAGCGAGGTGGTGAAGAAAGCAGAGAAGGACGAGTCCCGAAGCACTGGACATGTCGCTGGAAATACGATAATCCCCGTGACAGGCACGCACCTGAGTAATTGCTGACGCCCCAGTACTGTAGATACCATGGGATATATTGGTTCCAGATGTTCTTGATACCCGTGACATACTGCGGGCCTATATACAGGTCAGCTGTGAATGAAGACGGTACAGGTGATTGCGTGTGGCCGGCTCGGCCACTATAGTACCAAAGTACTTCTGAATGGACGCTCAACGCAAGACTCACAAGCTGGCGGGTACTCGGTCACGTCAAAGTGTTCCTCCGACGGCGGCACCGCTTTCGGGGGCATGAAACGATTTGAACCAGCTGTCGACTGTCCATAGGGTATGCTCAGGAAGGCACGGACATCAGGATAAGTCTCGTTGATGACACCATGATAAGAGCCCGTAGACGTCCGAACAACTGTGGGTCTGGCAGTTGGTGCGCTCACTACTACGGCAGCTAGTGCCAGCAGTCTCTGAAAGAGCATGATTAGAGCGTGCAGTCAGTTGAGGGACCAAGCACTCGAGCGTCGGAGCACAAGTTTCGTCAACTCGCAGCAAACCTTCGGGTTATGTACCATATCGTGCTACCCAGACGATGGGCCACGGTTCTCAACCCCGCTTGCGACCTCGTCGCGCTAGCTGTCATGTTCTCGAATGTCGCACTACGAATACAGGATCGAGCTGCACCAGCGACTTTCTGATATGAACCGGCGGGCAGTAGCGGTCATCTGGTGCGCACCTGCTATCCAGGAGTAGAAGGTCGAGTGTTCTCCGCATTTTAGTGAATGCGGAGTTGTGTGGCATTGGTGAACTGTGTAGTCGAAGTCTTAAACGTATACAGGCTAAAAGGTGGAAGGTAGTAGAAGATCGACACTGTAACATCTTCTATTTCAGATGGAGAACTGTTGGAGGTGGGTTGCTTGTTCTGACATCACACAAGCTGCGTGGTGTTTCCGGGCGCGGTGATGGTCAAGTCGATGTGGTTGCCGGGGGACTCCAGGTCAATGAACATACCTGGGGCAAGTACACTCGTCAGTATGCAACGGTTCATGTTGAGGCGTTGCTTGACTAATAACAGCAGCCATAGCGTAGGCCGAACGGCGCATACTGAGGCAGTGAGTGCTACTGGGGCCTGCTGTATTACACGCACAGCTATTGGCAAGGATGTCGAATGGCTTCAGCGTGGCCGACGTGTGCTAATTGCCGCGGCATAGCCATCAGACGTATTGTGATCCCGCAGGAAATCGACGCTGCAATGCAGAAGACGAGACTAGGATCGATCTTGAAAGGGGCCGAGATTGTTAACGCTTTATTGCTCTCGGCTAGGGCAGCCGAGCCTAAACGCCAAGTGTGCCGTAATTCGATATTTGAATCTTCTCGACTTTGATTCGTGTTCTGGCCTCCTTTCCTAATCCAATCTCACCGCGTGCACGCGCCTCCTCGGCCTGCGCAGGCTGCGATGTGTATCTTTTGCAATACTGTTGGCCCGGCTTTGCTAATGACGACAGCGCCTTCCCGTGGCCGCTTCCGGATCCGGCGTTCAGGTGTACTCAATCTCGTTGATCAAGATTTAAGCGATGCACTAGCCTGGTATCCGAAGCAGAAGGTATAAGACACAGAGCGCTTGCAGCATCGTCTCGAGAAGCTTGTGCGGGCTACAACCCAGAGAGGTCTGTCTGCGGTCTATTGGACATGGTTCAGCAGTCTTCTTGAAGTTCTGAGCACTCAGGTGATGACGCCCCTCACCCAAGTTCTTGGAATCGAGGTCAGCTGGTGTTGAGTTTCCGGTCAGCCAGAAAGAGACTTATATACAGCGCCCGCCATGGCAATGCCTCTGCCATGACTTAGGATCTTCAAGCCCTTCCCATCGTTCTCATTGACTGTCTTGCTCTCGAGCGTCCACTCTTTAAATCATCTAGCCATGACTTCACTTCTATCAACTGTCACGCTTCTGCTGACAGCTTCAGCGGTTCAGGCGCTCCCTGCGATATCTCGAAGAGGTAGACTAAATCTACGCCTTAATCACCTTCTCTCCTAACGTGACGTAGATGTTTCACAGAGCCTCCTGACTCAGCTCAACTACTTCAGCCAGTACAGCGCGGCTGTATATTGCACAGAAAACAACATCCCTCAGTCGAGCACCCTCATTACTTGTGATGTGGGGAATTGCCCGCTCGTGGAAGCTGCTGGCGCAACCACGCTTCTCGAATATCAGAATGTCGCATCGCCGACGCTACCGGCATGGTCGCTATCGACCCCGTCAAGCAACTCATCGTGCTGGGCTTCCGTGGATCTAAATCTGTGGGCAACTGGCTCGCCAATGCCAATATCGAGCGAGAAAGAGTATCCCTTGTGCTCTGGGTGTCGAGTCCACTCTGGTTTCTATGATACCTGGACGCTTGTAAAGCCTCAGGTCACAGCTGCACTTCAATCTGCTGTCGCTCAGTTTCCCAGCTACCAGATCATTGCGACGGGTCATTCTTTGGGAGGTTCAGTCGCGACTATTGCTGCTGGCGACCTGAGGCAGGCCGGCTACACGATTGACCTGGTAAGTTGTGCTTCCGCTTTCCCTAAAAGCTATTTCTCAAAGCACGCAGTACACCTATGGCGCACCAATGTCTGGAAATATTGCCTTCGTCAACTTTATCTCCAGCCAAGGAAACAACTACCGAGTCACCCACGACAAGGATATTGTGCCCAAGCTGCCAGGGTATCTCCTTGGATATGCGCACATCTCGAACGAGTATTGGGTCACCGCGCCATCTGGTGCGGCAGTCACAACCAGGGATGTGCAGGTTTCAAGTGGTGCTCTGAACCTGCGAGGGAACGCAGGGCAGCTCGAGAGCTCGACAACGGACCACAACTACTACTTCGGCAACATCACCGCATGTGGGCCGGAGAATCTTGAATTCCCATGAGGCGCAACGCCAATTCACACGCCCTGATCTATAATGTATAATTCTAAGTAATGTGACCAAGAGATGAAAGAAATAAAACAATACATCCTGCCTAACTACTCTAGCATTGGTGGGGTGACTTGTCGTAATGCAAGCCTTTTCACTGCTATACAGGAATTGTGTGCGTTTGTAGGTGAAGTCCAATGATGAAACTTGGAACTATCTGGCAAGTCCTGGAGCTGTAAGATCTGGGACGATTTGCGTCGGAACAAAACCTCAGCCTCGTCCCGTGTTTCTCAGCCTCGTTAACGTACATCCTATCACTATTTGGTCAAGAGCGACTGGTGACGATGACGCACACTATCAGGAGAGCGCCGGACTCGTGCATGCGCGGTGAAGACGGGAGGCGCGGACAGTGATGAACAATGTGGTATCGGTAGCGTCTCAGCTGCTTGCTAGGCCTGTCCTATCCTGTGCGAGATGGCCTGCGCCAGGTCACTTGCTCGGCCTAGCCAGGCAGGTCTCGAGGTCGAGTGTTTCTACTAGACGCAAGCAGGCTCTCTCAGCAGTACGCCTTCCTAAACCTCCACGGATACAGCAACGATCCTTCTGTCAATGCCACCGATCACAATTCCAGGCAACCTCGATCGCGGCCGCGATTCGGGCAAGGAATCCTCAGAAAGAAAAGACCGAGGAGCCGGAAGAGAAAGGGCTCGCTTTCAGGTCTTCGGACCTAACCTCGCGAGAGCTTAGCGATGTATTTGGCCCGCAATATCCCAAGGTCCAAGTCGCCAACCGACTGCTGCGCGTTCTGCAAGGTCGTCGCAATGACGGCACCCTAGACCTGCCACTGCCTCCCGATCTGCAGGCGGTGACCAGTGCATTTCCTTACGTGTTTGATTCTGGACTCCAGTGGCTGAGAATCAACTATCCCATCGACGAAGATGCTGCCATAGTTGCCCGTCTGGAGCGAGAAGAGCTTGGGCAAGACTATTCACCGTCAGAGCTAACGCAGCGCGGTCAGGATATTGGTCTGTATGGCCCTCAGAGCGGCTACTACCATGCGCCGCTGTCAGAATCTGATCGTGAAGGCGATGTATGGGGAAAGAGCGAGCTCGAGCAAATTCGGGCCGAGAACGAGGCCAAGGCTGCCCGGGAAGAGGAAGAATTACAAGCAGAGATCGACCAGAAGATGGCAGAAGAACAGCTCAGGCTAGATGAGGTCAAGAAAGAGAAGCTGAAATTTCAGGAAGCACAAAAGCAACAGGCCGACAGCAAGTACGTTGCCGCTCTGCCCGAGTCAGCCCTGTCTACAGACGTCAAACCTCTGCGGCCACCGAACGAGTACGAGAAATGGATCATCCGACACAAGAAGGAAGCAACCAGCAACATGGAACTAGAGTCACCGGAAGTGGCCGAGCTCAGTACAGCGCGTCGTCTGCTTCCGTCCGCTTTCTTCGTTGCGCTTATCTGTATCGGCTGCTACCTATATGCGCAGTACTGGACACCTCCTCGCCGCGCCAATCGAGTCTGGCCTGATGTGCCACTGACATACGCCACAATCGGTGCGCTATTTCTCATGAACCTCGCAGTCCTAGCAGCATGGCGCTTTCCGCCCCTGTGGAAGACGCTGAACAAATACTTCATCATGACGCCCGGATACCCACGTGTGCTGAGCATGATTGGCTGCACCTTCAGCCATCAATCGCCACTACATTTCCTGAACAATATGGCCGGTCTTGCAATCATCGGCACAGCATTGCATGAAGAGGTCGGACGAGGCAACTTCCTCGCCATATACCTCGCAGGCGGCGCGATTGCGAGTCTCGGCAGCTTCGCTCACTATGCTCGGTGCGGGATCTTCATCACCAGCAGTCTCGGCGCCAGCGGCAGTGTTTGCGCGGTCGTTGCCGCGCTTTTGTGGCTGAATGCTGACAAGAAGTTCACGATCATCTTTGCACCAGATGCATGGAAAGACTGGCTATCCGCCGACGGCCGGACGCTTACTGCAGCTATAGTAATGTGGGAAATCGGCTCGATGGTTTTCAAGAAAGCAAGCAAATTTGATCATGTTGGTCATCTATGGGGCATGCTCGCTGGTCTTGTGATAGCGCAAGCAATGCGGAGGACGCGAATGAAGGATGAGCAGCACTCGGCATCGAAGGGGTATGTCGGGGTCGGGGGCCTCTACCACGAGTTGAGAAACCGTATCCTGGTGCCTGAGTCAAAGAGGAAAGGAGAGACTGGGGGCGGGCGCGACATGGGTGCTGATTAGCCAAGGTCATGATGCTGATGCATGTGATATCAGGACACGTTTCTAATAGCTTCGTCACGGAGGTCTTCAGCACAGGCAATGCATTTATATTGCTGGACATTGATCAATTCTGCTCCGGATCATTTTCACTACAGCTTGCTTGTATGTCCACCCCTTGCTGGCTCTCTGAAGTCCACCGGCGCCCACCATGGGTAAGCGGCAGGGGCATCCTCCGGGAATTGGCCAGTGAACTTGCCTGGTCGTTTCTCGAAGAACGACTTCACTCCCTCGAGGTTGTCTTTCCCTCCAAAAAGTCCGAAGATGACGCGGGAGTCTGCGTGATCTAGTCAGTTGCTGTGTTCAGGATAGAAACGTGTTCCATCACTGGTAGATGTTCAAGGAGCAGGACTTACCCAACAAATGCGTCTCTTCCGCCGTAGTAGGGCCACGATACATCAGATCCCGCATCAGCTTGGTCGAGATCGTGCTGGTCTGCTTAGCAACCTGATCCGCAATCTCAAGCGCACGCTGCACTGTCGCATCCGGCGTGTCGCACGTCTCCGAGAACAAATGCCCAAACAGCGGGTTCGATGCCTCGTATACTGACCCCGTAGTCGTGAGATGTATCGCCCGCGATGTGCCAATAAGTCGCGGCAAGAAGAACGACGACACGGCCTCCATAATCAGCCCTCTCTGGCTGAACACGAACCCGACTTTGGCCTTCTTGTAGACCACACGTATTGCGCAAGGCAGAGTCATCGTGATGCCGACGCCGACTGCGGCTCCGTTGATGGCCGCGATGGTGGGCTTAGAGCTGTGGTAGATGGCTAAAGAGGCTTTGCCGCCGCCGTCCCGGTGGTCGACGTCGCGCTCCTTCTTGGCGTTTTGGGCGGTGGCGGCGCCGGTTTTTGAGGCGCCTCCTAGGAAACCTATTTCGAGGTCGGCGCCCGCGCAGAAAGCTTTGTCGCCTGCGCCCATCAGGACGACGCACTTGACACGGACGTCGTGCTCAATTAGGGCGTAGAAAGCCGAAATTTGTTGCTGCATGAGGCTGTTGGGTTTGTTAGGATGGATAAATCTGGAGTGGGTGCTCGGTAGAGACATAGGCAATGGTTTGGCTTACCCTGTGAACGCATTACGCTTGTCGGGACGGTTGAGGATCAGGAGAAGGACTGGCGTGGGAGTGGGCGAGGAAGCAGGGACATGTTTTATCTTGATATGGCCTCCTGGGAAGAGGTTGCTATAGGACGACGGAGGTGGTGGCGACGACATGGCTGCAGCGGCAATCAATAGTCAAGGTTCTTCGAGTGGCGAGCAGGATCAATCTACTTCGTCGTCGAATTGTATATGAACCAGAGATTTGCTTCATATCTGTACTGTACTAGTAATCTGATATCCGTGGGACCTCGGCTTCGGTACCGCGGCGAGTTGTCATCCTGAACGGCCTGAGATTGGAGAAGGGGGCTCATCTTGCGGGGTCAAATTCTCCGGCATACCTACACTAATTGCACGACCGTTGGTGTTTGACAGCATGCTGCACGTCGAATGTGCGACGGACACGGACGGCTGAGATTACCTGACAGTGCGGGACAGCTGAAGGGTCCCTGTCGCCGGTCCTGAAGGAATCGGTTCTTCTCGCAATCGAGCCCGGATTCATGATCCGGTCGCTCGAATGGTTAACGGCCCAAGCAAGCCATGTCGCGATGAGAGCAGCCAGAAACAACGGCTACGCGAACAATGGCTAGTATTCAGATCAACTGATCAAGATTGATCAGCCATTCACTTATCTCTCGTGACTCGAGCGCTTTAACACGTCCTTTCAATTGCTTGTGCCAAGACAACCAGGGATCCTTGCCAAGGCATGAGCGCGACGTCAGTGGGGCGTCACTGCCTGTTCTTGATATCCTTCATCTTTCTTGCTTGCTCAAACAACACATCTTTGTGCGCATAAGAACATCCTTATACCTCTATTTCTACGTCTCAGAACAGTGGCTGTTCTGCATTCGACGCGGCTGAGACAAGGAAGCTGCGCGTTCTGGTCAATCTACCTATCGTTATAACCGCCATCAACCCTTCCAGATTGGGCATAGCAGGGGTTTTTGAGAGGGCGAGACTACGTGTCAGAGGCAGTTGGACCCGAATGACGCGTTCGTCGAGACTTTCCGGATCATGGACTGTGGCAGAGGAGGAGCACAGCGGCAGTGAATGGAGCGCAAACGGAGACATCAGTCTGTCTGAATCAGAGCTCTCGGAGAAGCAATCGCCTGTTCTACCACAAGCCCGTGAAGCACGTCGGTCGGCTCCTCGACCTATCACAGAACCTGAGTTCATCATGCCCTCGGGAGACAGTATGCATGGCAGCTCGATGCGAAACTCCCAGCGAGACAGTCCTCGAAGCATTCAAGCACGAAGACGGGTGACACCAGCGAGCGCGCCAGCGCGGTCTCCTCGTCTGTCCCAGTCACGAGCCTCGCCACAAGTCTCAAGCAAGTCAGCGGCTGCAGATTACGCGTTTGATTATGCAGCCGCAGTGGTCGGCTACTTCGTCGACGTGGTGTTCTCAGCACTCAAGCTCCTGAAGACGCCCATATCATGGATCATTGCAGCGTATCTCCTTGCTGGGGTCCTGACGCTACTCCGCAACTTTCTCACCAATTCTATCTATACGGCCATGACACCAATCTGTCGGTTGCCCTTTGCGCCTACATTGATCCCTATATGCTCCTACCAATCAAACTTTCCAGGGCCCGATGGTCAGCATCATCCAACCATCGATGCATCTTCGTCTGCTCCGGATCCCGAATTCTCTTCACTCATGTCGGCACAAAACAAGTTGACGGGTATATTGGACGACACGACTGCGAGCTTGTCGCTTCCGCTATCGATGAAGCGGTCGGAAGTTTCTATCCGTGACCTCCGCCAAATAGTCCGCTTCTCGTCGCTGAACTCACGGCACGAGCTTGTGCTTGAATTTGATGGCTTCATCGAAACAGCTAGGGCAGCGTCTTTCGATCTCCAGAAGTTCAACTCACACGTTGGCAGGGCGGTAGACGTGACACTGAGCACGGCGAGGTGGACCGAGCGAATTCTCGACGACATGGCCCAGAAGAATAGAGAAGCTTCTAACACGCTGGTTCCTCGGTTTGTGAAGAATCTCATGACGCCCTTCACACCTGTGCCGTTCACCAAGTCTCGATTGTTGGACCAATATCTGGTACACACGAATCTGATCAGCGAAGAGATCGCCAAGCTCATCGATGAGGCGCAGGCCCTGCTGTTGGTCTTGCAAAGTCTGGAAGACCGCCTCGAAGTCATTCACTCGATCAGCTTTTCGAGCAGTCAGAACGCGCAGGTTTCGAAGGATGAAATACTGTCTCATCTCTGGACGATGGTGGGAGGCAATCGTGCTCAACTCAGCAAGTACAACAAGCACCTGCGGCTGTTGTCTCAAGTGGGCGAGTATCGAACGGCGGCATTCGCTCACGTTAGTGGCACCATTCTGAAACTACAGGCAATGGGAGCAGAATTGGAGGAGCTCCGCACAAGAGTCGATGCTGCCGGTCTTGAGAAGCAGGTCCGCAAGGAAGTGTCACTTGAGGTCCACCTCGAGAGCATCAGACTTGGTGTGGAGAGGCTGGAAGATGGGCGAGCGAAGGCTCGAGAGGTGGAAAAGGGATACACGCGCCGTGTTCTTGACGTGAGCGAACAGGGACAGCTGGAAGTAGATGAGAAACGACTTGGTATAGACAGTTGAACGAAGACCAAACGAATTATGATCTGAAATGGTCCACAGGGAGGACTCTGGACGACGACCTGTACGACTACGACGCTCTAGGATAATCAGGACTTGCCGACTTTGGATACGAGACGATGAGCAGAGGCGCATATTCATATTGATACCCCCATGAACGAATCGGAAGCTGATGACATGATTGACTTTCTCCACCGGGAGCCCTTTGATGTGTAGTTATGGAATCATTTTGGTCCAATCCAGCCTGGTAGCGACCAGCGTCCAACAGAATCCTGTTGCCGCCAGACTGCCACAGAAAGGCAGCAACATATTGGCTGCATGCCGGTTTGTCAGCGGGCATAGTCTGGATCGTGAGGAAGGGACGCCGTGGGGCAGCGGCCACCCGCGTACCGGGATGATCTCCAAAAAATGACGACTTCGGACGAAGAAATGTAGCATGTGTGCTACCATCGCAAGTGACTTCATTACATGTACAGCTGTGACCGCATTATCTACGGCTGAACTTAGTCATTGCACCCTAGCAAGCGCGTTCGTCAAATCTGTACATATACGTCCTCGCATGATAGTAACACGCTGAAGCGACCTTGATTTCCCCCTCCATGTCCAGTGCTCTTCTCCCAACTGCAGCCAGACAATCCCTCACGCATACACTCACGTCGTCCACAGCTCGACTCAATACCTCGTCACAACGGTTCGCTACGACCAAGCTGTCGTCGACCTCTGTAGCCCAGCCGCCCAGCGCCCGTCTCTCGGCCGTCTCTCGTCACTTTGCTAACATGGCGCCGGCGCCAAAGAAATATGATTACATCGTGATCGGAGGCGGGAGTGGTGGATCAGGCGCGTCACGACGAGCTGCCGGATGGTACGGAAAGAAGGTGGCCCTGATCTCGGAAGGCATATCTGGCGGCTGCTGTGTCAATGTGGGATGTGTGCCAAAGAAGATGACCTGGAACATGGTAAGTCGATGCGCCGGCTCGCCCTGTGGCCGTCTGCCGGGACGCGGACGTTGAAGGACCTGCTGACTCGTCCAGGCCACCGTGAAAGAAACAATGGAGAAGGCGACACGCTACGAGTATAAGGTCCCGGAGGATCTGCCGTTCGACTTCCACAAATTTGTCGACAAGCGACACGCCAAAATCAAGCAGCTGAACGGCATCTACGAGACCAACTGGGCCAAGGACGGAATTGAGCTCATTCACGCCAGAGCTACGTTCGTCTCTGATCACGAGCTCGAGATCAAGCCCAACGATGGCGGCGACGCCTACCGAATCACAGCCGACCACATCTGCATAGCGACTGGTTCGTACCCCACGAAACCGAAAGACATCGAAGGCTCGGAGCACGGTATAACGTCAGATGAGTACTTCTCGATCGCCGAGCTGCCAAAGAAGATGGCCTTTGTTGGTGCCGGCTATATCGCCGTTGAACTGGCAGGCGTCATGCAGGCCCTCGGCGTTGAGACTCATCTATTTATCCGAGGGACGACGTTCCTGCGCAAATTTGACCCCATGGTACAAGATATCCTGACCAAGCACTACGAGGAGATGGGCGTGACTATCCACAAGGAGCACCCAGGCTTTAAGAAGGTTGAGTTGCTGCACCCTGGTTCAAAGGACAATACGGATCCTCGGCAGAAGGAGCTCAAACTCACTTCGAAAGATGGTTCGGAGCTGGTCGTGAACGAGTTGCTGTGGGCCATCGGGCGAGGCGCTGAGACGAGGAACCTGGGTATTGAAAATACTGGGGTCAAGCTCGACAAGACTGGTCATGTCATTGTTGATGAGTACCAGAACACTACTGCGGAAGGTGTGTATGCTATTGGTGATATCACCGGCCAGGCAGAACTCACGCCCGTTGCCATTGCTGCTGGTCGGCATCTGTCGAATCGTCTGTTCAGTGGCAAGAAGGAATACTCTACGGCTCACCTGAACTATGAGAATGTAAGGAGCGCCACGGTAAGGCTCAAAAGTTGTTACTAACGTTGTCCAGATCCCAACAGTCGTTTTCGCACATCCTCCCGTCGGTACAGTCGGCCTCACAGAACCAGAGGCGGTGGAACGTTATGGCAAGGACAACGTCAAGGTGTACGAGACCAAGTTCTCGAACATGTTCTACTGTATGGTGGTCCCTCATCTGTTCCCATGCGTGAGAACGTACTGATATCGGAGCACAGATGTCTTCCCGAAAGAGGAATCCGCCAAAGCTCCCACAGCACTGAAGATGATTGTGTATGGCGAGGAAGAACGGATCGCTGGTATCCACGTCCTGGGTGAAGGCATGGATGAAGCTGCACAGTTCCTTGGCGTTGCTGTCAAATTGGGAGCGAGGAAGTCGGACTTTGACGGTACAGTCGCCATCCACCCGACCTCTGCTGAGGAGTTAGTCACGATGCCTCCACAGATGGCAAGAGCTGCGAAAGCATGAGCGTGAGAGGCGAACGATCATATCTCTCGCTTGGACACATCTGTAGTGGACATATCGGGCAAGCCATGTGGAACGTCTGGCTCGATATGTATAAGCGGAAACCAAGGAGCCAACTTCTTTCGTAGAGAAGCACTTACGAAGCTCTCGAGCCCATCTGCAGCACACTGCATCCTCGATTGCGCGACACGCGGTCTCTTGTAGAGTGACACAATGCAGAGAATATAGTTATACATTGCTCTACCTTGTCTTCGGATCTCGATAAAGTAGTAGTTGAATGTCTTGGCACGCGCCTCATGCAGGCGGCCAAGGCTGAATTGCCGCCCGATCACGCAGGCCTGTGCTGCGGCCATCTCCAACAGCGTGATCACCTGTTCTCGTTTCGCTATCAACCTACGCAATCCACACCTTCGCCCGGTACACACTTATCGACTCGCCTGCCACACAGAAGACGTTGGGCGTGAGCTTGAGAGCGATCATGTTCAAGTCTTCTCTGCGCCAGGCAGGCCGAACCGCATTACCAATTCGCTCAACAAGTACGCCATCGATAGCGACCGCACCGCTCTCTTCGTGCACACATCAACGGCGGCACTCGTCCTCAAAACGGCCTGTGCCTCCTAATAACGGCTCACCTGAGGTACCGACGGATGTGAAAGAGGTCTCGCCATCAGCAACGAAGACTGAAAGCAAAGATGTCACCAAAGAACGCCCATCGCGGAAGAAGGCCGCCACAGCATTGAAGGCGGCCGAAGCTGTTGAGGCGCAGAATAACTGGACATCGACCATGCCTCGTGTGCCCAGCTTACATCACCTCAGTCCGAAGGGTAAGCTACGCCGTTGCCGATCAAGACTAAGTACTGACTCTGCATAGATATGACCGTAGCTGCCTTCTACGCCACATACCGACCGATATCTATAACGGGCCCTGGTCCGAAAGAGTTCACCATGAAGGACGTGGAGAAGATCTTCCAACCGAAGCCCGCTCGGACGAAAGCAAAAGAGTCCGAGGTGATGCTTACGCTTTCCTCGGCAGTCGACAACCTGAACAATGCGATCGATTCCCGACAATCCTCTACAAGCCCAGCTTCGTCCCAGAAAGAGCTGCTCCGCGTCGTCGACAGCGCAGGCAATTCCTTCAAGATCGTCCGTGGCAAGGATATTCACGCTCAGCCTACGTATCGCCATTTCCAACCACCTCCACCACCTGAGCCCTATACACAAGAACGAATATACGCCCTCGCCCAGCAAAACTCGTTTACCGAAACCGAAACCTACGGTGAAGAACTCCTCGCCCAGCACCTGGAGCAGCAAGTCCAGGACCAGGACAGCGAAGGCGTCGTCACCGCTATGGTCATTCCCCGTCGCCGCCGGACACGCCGATTTCAGTCTCACTCCCAGTCGCAAGCTCAAAAGTTCCGTGCCCTTCTCACGCCACAGCCCCACACGCAACACGCGGAGATCGTGCTCAACACCGCTGCCCTGAGAGAGCACTTCAACTTCTTCACGCCTACGGACCCCACGGCCGTCGCCGAGGAAGCAGCCAATGTTCTGGCTCACAGAACTGTAACACCAAGGCAACGGCGAGGTCTGGCGGCGGTAGCAGACAAGCAACGGAGACCCATGGCGTGGCGGCTGATCAGCGTGAAACGCCAAAGGAAGCTCAAGATGAAGAAGCATAAGTATAAGAAGCTGATGCGGCGGACGAGGACGTTGAGGAAGCGGCAGGATAAGATCTGATTCCAGTCGCGTCTGTTTGCGTTTCAGTACGATCGCTGTTTTGCATGTCATACACACTGGGCGTTCTCGTTTCGCCTCAGCAGCATAGTTCGGGATAGATGTCTCTCGATGGTTGTCAGTCAATCATGACTTATTAATCCTCTCTACCTCGTCATCTTCCAGCCGTATAAACGGCCACTGCTCAGCCAGATATATGTAGCTGAAGGAATGAAGGACTGCTCGCAGATTTCGAATCCCATAACATTTCGCATCTTTACCTGCCATCCGTGTTATCCATATTTTGCGCTAAGACGTCTCAGAACGGTCCATTGCTGCGTTGCATACTTAAGTATGTATACCCCCGCTGGGAGGAAGTCACACGCAGCATGAGCTGGATTTCAAGTGACGCCGAAAATATGCCTTCACAGGCTACTCCACCATCCGCTGTCGATTAGCTTGGCCTGTGGACATTGAGTCGTAGTCTGGAAAGTACCTAGGTACCGTTGTACTCGAAATGCAGGCTAAACATTGAAGCGCGTCCATTTTGAGTGCCCAAACAATGTGCACGAGCAGGCCGCCTACAGTGGCATCACAAAACACAGGAGGATGTGAAAAGACAACATGGGGTAGCGAAATCGAGCACCGTACTTTACGGTCGTGCGCTGCGTGAGTCCGCGGTTCTACACCGTGATTGAATTCTCCCTTCCTCACAGGTAATAGGCAAAGGCATCGAATCATGCTTCTCCCAAAGTTGCGCCATTAATACATACATATATAACGGCTGTGACGCATTTCCCCCTCTCCTGCTTTGCAAAACCTGCGGCCGCCCCCTGGCTACTTGCTGATGGCATTGAATGTAGATCGAATGTTATGGTCTAATTGCCGCTTTCATACAGGGTGTTGTGTTGATCATATTTGTTCGTGCTGTAACGTCTTGTGCCGGTCGGACACGTTTTCCTGGATTTAGACGGGTACCATCGTGGCGCCTTCGTACTTTCGGTCGATCAGCTGGGAGTCGTCGATCTGACCTGGCCACCATGGATCCTCCGCTCAGCGAGACCCATCGCTTAGCACTTAACGTCGGTCTGGGCCTTCGAGTTCATGAGGAGAGCGACAATCAAGCCGTACAGACCCAGGACTTCAGCGAAAATGAGAATGAGAATCTAGATCAGTCAGCCGGCACGGCCTATGTGAGTTTTCCAAGAACTTGTAGCGTACCATTCCGACGAAGAGACGGGGCTGCTGAGCAGTGCCGCGCACACCAGCGTCGCCAACAATGCCAATGGCGAAGCCGGCTGCCAGACCAGCCAGGCCGACACTCAGTCCGGCGCCTAATTGGATGAATGACGTGAACAGGGAGAGCTGTTGTGAGAGGTTGTCGGAGATCAGGACGGACACGACGAGGCCGTAGATACCAATGATACCCGCCATGATAACGGGGACGATGTCTGTTCATCGTTGTCAGAGATAATCACACCGTGTGGCGCAGGAAAAGCGTACTCTTGACGATAAGATCGGGACGCAGGACACCCATAGCTGAGATACCGACACCTGACTTTGCGGTACCGTATGCGGCGCCGAAGCAGGTGAAGACGATGGCGGAGGTGCAGCCCATGGCGCCGAAAAAGGGCTGGTATATTCATGTTAGCTGCTTGCTGTCGTCATGATGCAGCGCCGATGCCAGCGTCGAAGGAAGCGAAGGGCAGGGCAAGAACATACGGCATAGACGGGACTATAGGCGCAGACATGTCAGTCAAAAGCTCAGAGGGGATCTATGCGCTGCCGTTGACATGCAGCTCGATCTGCATTTGCCATTGGACAGGCGTCAGGGAAGAGCGTACCAAAGATCAGTGGCCATTGCTGCGGTGGATGTAGAGACAATTAATGGTAGAGGTAGGGCGAGTGAACTCGGAATGCGTCGAGCTTATCGTGAGGTCGATACGGACAATGAAGAGATGCAGATGGGACGAAGAGTGAACAGCGCAGGATGGATGATGCTACCAACTCGACCGGAGAAGCGACTCTTCTGCATGAGCTCTATCGCCAAGCCAGAAACGATTTAGCGGCTTGGCATCGAGCAGGCTGATCTTCTCCAATTAGTTTTTTATATTCGACTTCAGGTTGAGTACTTCGTTCTTTCTTGCTCAAGACACGTTACTTCCCAATAACCTCCACACATCGACAGGGTGAGCAAGTGCTGCCGTGATCCCGCCTGTCTTCACCACCAGGAGTACTCTGTCCGGAAAATCAGCCACGTACCACTTCACACACTCATCGACTACCAATACCTCCGGTCGCATACTTCGTCCGCCTGCATCGAATACACTGAACATCTCAAGCAAATGGCCGAAACCTCCGCAGCATGGCCTGTGGCCGATGAAGCCCTGTCCCAGAAGATTCTAGATCTTGTAAGTTGTCCCGCTCCACCCCCGCCTAGTCGTCCCGCTCCGCCCCGGCAGCACAGCTGACAGTACCTCTCAGGTCCAGCAGGCTAGCAATTACAGACAATTGAAAAAGGGCGCCAACGAAGGTGAGTAGTCCAGCGTCCTCCCCAGCTGTAGCAGCGACACTAACGTCAACTCATAGCAACCAAGACTCTCAACCGCGGTACCTCCGAGATCGTCATTCTGGCCGCCGATACCACACCACTCGCCATCTTGCTGCATCTCCCACTCCTCGCCGAAGACAAGAACGTCCCGTACGTCTACGTGCCTAGCAAGGTCGCCCTGGGTCGGGCTTGTGGAGTGTCACGTGCCGTGATCGCGGCTAGCATTACCACCAATGAGAGCAGCGATTTGATGCCTCAAATTCGCGAGCTGAAGAATAGGGTCGAACGACTTATGATCTGAAACGGGCCACAGGGCGGGCTCTGGCGCTTTTTTCGAGCAAAGGATTATTGATAGGCAATGAATTCATGATTCGGTGAATCTAGCCCACAGAGGTTTCCCCAGCAGTGAAATCTACACTCTTACTGACCTGGAATGTCTCGCAACTAGCCTCACTTGAGCCTCACTTGTCCCTCGTATGAATCTTGTCCTAAGTCGAACAACCCTGCTGACAAGCAGTAATGCGGGAACCATCATGTTGCCACAGTAATCCACAGAGGCCTCCTGAGCAGGGAAAATATCGTTGCTGGCATGGCACTCCCTCAACCCAACCTCACTCGAGCCTCACTTGGGCCATGGTCTACCCGAACGACGTCCCTGACAAGATGGCTTGAGATGGGTCCTGAACACGCTGACATAGCCCTCAGAGGCCTCCTCAATTGCCACAATCGCTTCGGGATCTGGTATGGACTTGTTGTCTCGATCCTCACTTGAGTCCCTGTGGGGATTCTCTCTCTGGCTCGACTGGATGCTGCAGCCACAATGTGACGAACAGCCCACTGTGAAGGCACCCAGACATCAGTTGACATTACGTTCCAGAAGACAGAGCATCCCATCAAGCCTGAAAAGATGAAGTATCAGATTTTGGAAATGCGGACGAGGAACATGTCGAAACTGAACATCGGATACTGGACGGGGACTTGCTCGATATTGCTGCGTCTGCTTGACCAGCCGTGCCACGCACGACCCGGTATTACCTCGTGCATGAAACACATACCCTTCGGACCTTTCGAAGGCACGGTCGGCAACGGCCGTGGCCAAGTCTGTGAAATCAGAGGTTGGTTAAGGCGCGACGGCCGCCGGCATGGAGTACTCAACACAAGATTTGTGAACGTTCAGTAGGGTCATGAGAGGTCGTCGGCATTAACAGCTTGTCAAGACTGCCGCCCTTTGGGTATTTGAATGCTGGAATACAGCTCAGTACCTTGATGTGAAAGAAAGCTGGTGGCCAGCGACGGGCAGGAGTGCATTCGGGTATTGCGACTGCCACTACAACAGGCTGCCCATGTGGATGAGCCTCTGTGGCATCTCTAGTGGGCTGCCCATCATCGAGGTCGAACGACAGTCTTCAACGGGTTGGGGGGCCATCTGTGACAGAGAGGGCTTAGTGGAAGCCGGATGACAAGAAGTGGCTGAACGCACGCCGGCTGACTGAAATACCAGACGACATGGGGCCTTTATGCCCCTTGGACACCACGGAAGCCGCTCAACGTCATTCGAAGCATCTTATTAGTTCGTATACGCGTCTAATGCAAGCACTCTGAGCTCTTCGGCCAGCAGAACACGTGCGCAGTCGCCATAATACGTCCCCCAGTGCCAAGACTCGCTCGGCCAGCTCAGCAGACATTCAACCCGCCATAACTCCTCAACCCATTGCGACCCTGGATTGCCCCTGCATGACGAAGCCGGTCACGGCCTTTTCTTTGCTACACCAGCATCTGAGATCACGAAAGCCAGATTTGACGGAGTCGACTTTTGGTGTTCGCGGGAACTAATTTCTGCCAACCCGTTCCCCAGGCGCGCACGGCCACAAACTGGCTTGAACAGCTCTGGAAACGCGTCGGATATGCTTGTTGGGCTACTCTCTAGCCTCTGCGTGAGATTATGGGGTCACAAAGGCAGGAATGCGAAATTCGAAGTTTCAGGGGTAGGCACGGCTCGATCCCCTGGTCATCACTGGTGTTCGGATCAAAGTGAGCCTGTGCATCTCGAGTGATGATGAGATAACCTTCAGTCAGCGCAGTCATATCGCGGGACAGATCCATTTTCGTAACAGATTCTGGATGCAGCGCTTTCGCCCCAATACGTACTTATATATCTTTGCTTCCTCTGAGCATTCAACCTGAGTCACTCTGGCTCCTCATGAGGTACCCACCACCATTCCCGCTGACCAGTTCAATGAAGACCATGGTCGCATTTCCATCAGCACCAATCGTGAACGTCACAGCTGAGCCCTGCCCAAGCTGATGTGGCTCGACGTCGAGCACGAACGTATCTCGAGCCCAGTGAGTGAGCGGAAATGAGAGATTTGAATTCCCCGGGAAGCTGATGAGCAGGTCCGCCTCCTCTCCCGTGTCCCCATCCTGCGCAGCAGAGTCATTCGCAGCTCCAATTGGCGCCTCTATCAACACCTGTCCGACATACTCATTTTCATAAGCCCCCGTATAGGCACTCACAGCCAACATTCCCCCCGCCTCAGCTGCGCCTCCCCCTCAAACTCCCCACCTCCTCCCTCTCCAGCCACAAGCGCCTGATACTCCCCCTGCCAAAACTCCACATAATCCCTCCTCACCTCCCCCAACATGGCCATGTCAAAGAACGTATCCGCGATCCCCTCCGGCCAACCCGTTGGAAAACAGTTCGCCAGGACCACAACCCCCAATCCATCATCGACACTCATCTTCACTAGCGTGCGTGCACCCTGGGTGAACGCACCGGCATGGTCGACGAACACAGCACCCGTCGTGTCGTAGTCGACATTCCAGCCTAGGCCGTAGAAGCCCGTGGCGTTGGTAGTAGGTTGATGCCGCGCACAATCTGTGGGGTGCGGGTTGTATTCAACGCGGTCTGGGAGATAAGTTGGTCGGAGGAGTTGGGAGGGATGCCGAGGGAGAGGTGCAATTGGACCCATTTCGCGAGGTCGTTAACGCTGGAGGAGACGCCGCCGGCGGGAGCCTGTGCGTCTGGGTTACGGGCGCGGGAGGGCGTCCAGACTGTTGTGTTGGCGGCCGAGGCGATGGTGGCGTTGCTGCTGGTGGAGGAGAGGATATGCAGGCCTGCGCGATTGGTGCGGGACAGGAAGTCGCTGTAGCGGCTACTGGTGCTGGTCATGGAGAGGGGGCTGTAGAGGTATTGCTCTGCAGCATCCTCCCAGGTTGCGTTTGCGGCGATGGCGGCTCGAGTGCCGCCAGTGGTGATCCCGTAGTTGCTGTAGCTGTAGCTGGCGCGGAAGGGGCCGAAGGGGGCCATATATTGAAGTTTGGAGAGGACGGTGGAACGGTCATAGCCAAGAAGTTCAAGGTCGTCGCCTGCGAGACCGTAGAGGCCACTGCGGTGCGAGAGGCAGTCCGCGATCGTCACTTCGTCTGATATCCAGGGGTCCGAGTACGCGGCGACTTCGTCAGGGCTATTGATGGCGGTGTCGAAGGTGAGATTTGTCGCGGTGACGATAGCGGCTACGATGGTCGAACAGATTGGCTTTGAGACCGAGGCTAGTTGGAAGACAGTGTCGGCGTCGACGGAGTCGTTGCCGCCAATGAGACGTACACCAAATCCGCCACTGTACTGCACGGTGCCGTTGTACACGACGGCTATTGACAGGCCAGGGACGCCACTGCTGTTGATAGCCATCTCGCCATGCTCGGGAGCTGGGCCAATGCGCGTTGAAAGTTGTCATCGTTGATCGCAGCTTGTGCGAAGCCGATCAGAGCATAGTACAAGAGCGAGGATGTCTTCATGTTGTGCTCACCTGAAATAGCGCAACTCGCGAGCTGGACTGACTGTATTGAGAGACGCAGGTGCCCACAGGCGCCGGACACATTATGTAGTGTCGTTAACTCGTACTGGCAGCATTTTTGGAAGGTTCAAGCCCAGTGCGGCATGAATATTTGCCATCGGGACTTGCTGAGGTTCGTAAACCTTCCAAAAACCCTCGTGGCATCCATCACAAAGTGCATTGCTGACCAGGAAACTCTGATCTTGCGGAAGGTAGTTTTACACTCGCATCATTGAGAAAGCCTGCATGGCAATGAACGACGGCGTGTAGCACTCATGTTAATTGTCAGGAGTAGATGAGATACTTGACCCACAATGAAGCGATGGGTGCAACACCTTTGTTCAACTCTCGTGATCAGAAGCTGCGACGGTCATCTCCCAACCTCCTCAAGCTGCACCTCTGGCTACTGCGCGTGCTGTAGCTCGCTAGTGGTAGAGAAGGTGTAATCCGCAAAGCCTATTGCATCGGAACAGCTGAAAGAAGCTCGAAGTCTCACGTGGAGGCCAATAAGCTCTCTGGAAGTATGGCTTGGCGCCTTTCCGACAAGGCTTGGCCGGCCACTGGGCCCGTCTAGCTCTCTGCCTCAACCCATCCCTGTTCCTCCTCTACGACTGTCAAGTCATCCTCGTTATTATCCGGATCGTTCACATCCTCCCCGCTTCCCACGCTTCCTTCCTCATGCCCGCCATTACCACCATCTAAACCCTTCACAGTCCGAAGATACGGAAAGCCGCCCTCCCTGATCACCTGCTTTAGATTGTCCACCTCCTTATCCCATAAAGCATTCTCCCCGGTCTTGTATCCCCTCACAGCCAGCTCTTCCAGTCCTCCTGGCAGCATGTCCGCAAGTCCCAAGTTCCACGTTTTCATCACCTCCTTCTCTCCCTCCGCGTTCGTCTTGATCTCCCCTGATGGTAGGTCCCGACGATAATATACAGGCCCAAGGAGGGCTTTGATTCCGATTCTCAGCACTTTCAACCCATGAAAGTCACGAAAGCTGCCTATCGTGAGACCATAGGATTTCGTGTTAGGGAGGTCTCGCGAGTGCAGGACATGTCCCCTACGCAAGCTTTCCGCTTTGTCGGCAACGAGATCAAGGTCGGCTTGGGCATCCTCTTCCAACTCGTCTTGTTTGTCGGAATCGTCAAAATGATCATATCTGGGCTCCGCCCCTAACTCCGCCTCCACTTCCGGCGGCTCGAACTTATACGCGCGTAGGTACTGATCAAAATCCAAGTCAATATACTTCAACGTCTCCCTCTGCTGCTCCAGACATTTCCCCAGTGTTTTAGGGTACTGAATGAACGTATGGCCCCTCTCAACACTCCTCCCTCCAGTAGTCAGCGTAATGCTCTCCAGCTCAGCCGGCATGCGAATCAGAGTGCCCATGAACTCGCTGTCCATGCCGGAGTTTGTGACTGAGATGTTCTTCACGGTGGAAAGGCCAGGTGGGATTGTGGACAGATCGTCGTCTTCCCATGGTTCAATCGCTTGAGTGCTGAGGGATTTTAGGTTGGGAAAGCGGTCGAAATGCCGGAAGGAGCTGAGCACGGGCGTGCGGTGGTAGAAGCGTGGGTCGTTTACGATGTGGCGGTGTGTGCTCGTGAAGATTTTCACCCTCGACAGTTTGCTGAGCACAGAGGACCCCTGAGCCAATTTTCCACGATTCGCTGCTCGCAGAAACTCTGATGGTAGGTCTGCTGGAGGAATCGTGCTGATTTGTTGGAGATTCGGCGCCAGGAGACACAGGAGCACAAAGACCGCGGAAGCATACTCGTAGTGCTCATCGTGGCGATAGTAGACGTAGTTGCTGACCTCCCGCCTGTCGGTTGGATCGGGGGCGCGATTCTGCGACTTCCAGAGGATTGCGGTACTTACGCGCTGTTTCTGCGAGTCTGGCATGGGGAGGGCGTGGACAGAGCGGTTGAGGAGGACTTCGCTGGGTGATAGTGGCGAGTTGAGGCGAAGGGAGACCATGGCGCTATAATCGGTTGTGCGGCCGCCGCCGCATAGGGGTGGTGGATTGGAAGGGTCATCGAAGCGGATGTAGTTTCTGATGCGGTCGAAGGAGAGTTCCTCGACAGTGGACGCTAAGGACGGTCTGTGAATGTAGGATGTGATGAGGTCGAAGGACTGTTCCAGGTCCTCGGCGGTCTGCAGGCGGATGCGCTTCCAGGAGGGCATCATGGGTTTCATTGAGTTCTCTCTCTGGAGCGGGAGCAATGACAGACCCGGAAGGACCGCTGGCCCAATCGCTGCAAGCGCGACGGATGTCACAAGCACTATGAGTCCGACAGCCCAGATGTAGGGCGTTCTGGATCTTGCCGGTTTGACCGCTGCATTGCCTGCTCCATCCATCACAGGTACATAGATTCACAACGACTTTAGCGTACACCGAGCCATGGTCCACACCAGCATCCGGCAAGATTGGCAAGATCAAGGCTCAAATGAGGCCACCTGCCTCATACGGAGCGCGAGCCTGTCTGTTCGGAGTCTCTGTTCTTGAGCTAGAAGTCGACGTGAATGTTCATTATGCACGTCTGAGACGCTTCAGTGATGCAATTTAATGTAGATGTCCAATCGTGCGCTGCAACACTGGCCTTGAAGTCTGGGAGTCTTTTCCGAACTGCAATGAAGACCGATGAAGAGCGCCTCTTAGGTCTGTTGTTTCAGGCAATATATTTCCAGGCAATTTTTCTGCCTGGTCGTTGCCTGACAGCTTTGAGCCCCGAGTCGCTCCATTTTCATGCTGTGCTACCAGTCATTGATTGACATTCAGTGATAGGCCCTTGAAACGCGCTTGCCTCGTAAGCAGTTGGTATGCAGAGTCTCGGTTGCACCAGAAGTCTTGCGATCAACAAGTGAAAGACCCAAGCTACGCCTATGATCAAGCTGTGGCAGGGTTTGCCGTGTCGTCCTATTTCACCAGCAGATCACGCACCGCTGGCTCTCGAAACTTGTCTCATTACATGTCCAAGATAGCGCAGCAGCCACTACCTATATACAAAATTATGACCCACATCCAACTTTTCCACCATGCACAGTATGTACACCTTTGTAGACTGGGATTCTCGCATCTGAGCTGCACATGCATTGTCTGTTCGCTGGTGCCATATCATCGTTATTCGCCGCCCACACCAGTACCCTCCGCACTCTCCTCCTTGGACGGGACTTCCGCTGGGTGCGGTAGTCTGAGCTTTTTCTTGCCATTGCTTTTGTAGTATAGTACAACATCGCCACCAGTGCGCCTATGGCAAAGAGTCAGTATGCATTCTGAATGAGCGCCTTGGTCTGGCAATGATGTCTCCATCAACGCATAAAAACTAGGGAGCGGCTTACCATAGATGCACCCGCAGAGTCGCCAACGTCATGTTCGGATCAACTCTGATTCCCTGACAGTACAGCTCGAGATATTCCTGCGGCTGCAATCTCGGTTCCTCGGGCATTGGCTCCGCGGATGGAGGTGCCGGTGTGGCATCGGTCGAGTCATCTTCGGCCGCAGTGGGCGGCGCCGGAGGCGGTGCTTCGATCCTTTCCGCTACGTATGCCAGGATCTTCTTCGCACGAAGCATGCGATTGGCGTTGAGGCGAGCATTGCCATCTGGAGACGCGATGGACGGGAGGACATCCTCGTACGGGTGGAGGACGAAGGAGACTTTCACTGTGTCTTTGTATGGGATCTGGTTCTGAGCTATCGTTAAAATTGTTCAGCGATGGGTCAGGAGCGGAGAAGCTTACCCTCAGCAAAAGCTCTCCCAACCACATTGGCGCAATCTTCTCCAGTATGTCTGCTTCCTTACCGAGATTCGCGATCTCGCCACGATACTGATCTGCCAGGCCACCAGATTCTGGGTTATCTTCCTGAATGATCACTAACGTGTGCGGAGGGGGCTTCAGCACAGGTGTCTCGATCGGCAAGCTAGGCGTTATTCCAGGCGGAAGGACCTCGTCTGATTTCTGCTCCAGGTGCTCGTCGTATTCATGCCGAATCCGTTGTACGGTGCCGAGAAAATTGTCCTCGACGATCTTCTCCTCCCTTTCGGAAGATTTGCTTGATGCGGCGTCATCCGACTTGTCTTCTACAACAGGCGCAGATGTGGGTCCGGGACTCTTCACGTCAGTTGACAATCGAGGAGGCTTCTTTTGGAAGCCCATCTGGAACTTCTTGCCGAAAAGACCGGGTTTCTTCCTTTCTTCTGTGGGTGAGGCAGGATTCGAGGGTGGAGCTTCCGTCGACGTGACAGTCGTGTTTTCCTTGTTCTCAGAAGATTCGTCTGATGTATTGGCGGCTGAGGAGAAGTAGTCGATCTGTCCCTCGCCCGGTGGCTGACTCGTGCGTGATAACCGTTTGTCAAGTGGTGCCTCTGTGCTAGGTGAGAATGCAGCGGACCCAGGTGTGCTCACTCCGTCGCTCTGTAGCAGGTGACGTCCAGGAGTAGCCGCGCCTATTGCAAGGCCGGGCGTACGCGGTGCATGAGTACCGTTCGCGCGTGGTGTTGTGACTGGTCCTGGTGTGGTAGGACCTGTCGGCATTGCGATACTAGTTGGCGCGTTCGGCCGCAAAGCCGGAGTTGAGGTGCCCGAGGTCCCTTTCAGACGGCCCTCTGCTGCCTTCTTTCGATAATCCTCGTCGCGCCTGATCTCCTCATCAAGTAGTGTTGTAAACAGATTTCGGAGTACCCATTTTCCCAGATTGATCCTCTGGTCTTCCCGGAAGTCGATCTTCTCAGTGATATCAATCTCATCCGCATAAACCTCGGCATCAAACGCGTAGTTCTCCTCCAGCATGACTGTGATCTTGCCAGTTTTGGTATCAACAGCGCACCAATTAGCTACGCTCTCAGTTGTGTTGACCTCTGGAACAACTTCGTCTAGATGCCTCCGGCCGAACGACTTGATTGGCACACATTTCAGGAGATCCCAGAGCACCACCTCGCCTGCTGTGTCGAGTGTGAGGATCCGCTTGCGATCGTTAAGCATGACATGCTTGATCAAGCCGTTCTGCCCCTCGATCGTTTCTGCTGGCTGACCACGTATGGGCACGATCAAGCTCAGATCATCTGCAGTGATCTCGGAAGCTTTCCGGACATTCGTCATCGAGTGGTTGGCATGATGCGCTGTTCGCTTCCGTCCAGGATGTAAAGCGGTGTTGGCGAGTCTTAACACGGCATTGTGAGGTATCCGAGGAGTAGACGATCCGTTCGTGGTTGGCGTGTCTGGAGGCGTATCTGGATGAGACAGAGCACTATTACTACGCTCATGCCGCGGTGATTGCGGCGGTGTCTGGATTTCCAGTTCAGTGTCGACGTCCTTCCACCGATTCACGCTAGAGCTCGACGTTGCGGTCCAGATCGAGTTCCCAGCAGGCACAAGTCTGGCAATACCATCATGCTCCTGGCAGACTGCTACAGATACACCTTCCTCGATCTCCATAGCTCGTCGTGTATCTGTCTTGGCTACCAGACCAGACTTATCCCCTGAGTAGAAGACAGCCAAGTTCGGATCGTCAGAATACATGCACCATACGCTGTCGTTGTGCATGGTCAAAGTATGCAAGCAGCGACCTGCCGTGAGCGACCAAGCTTGATAGTCTGATCTGACGAGGCAGAAAGAATCGTATCGCCATCCTCGCTGATGAGTAAATCTCGCACGTTGTCGGTATGTCCAACAAATTTTGTGATGCTCTTGCCCGATTTGATATCCCACAGCCTGACCACACCTTCTGGGCCGCCACTTGCTATCATCGAGCCTTTTGCCTTCAGTGTGTATATCGAGCCTTTGTTCACCGTCTCGTCCAGCTTGTTCAAGTTGATGTCAAGCGTCGAGCCGCCTCCAGCCAAGTCCCACAGGCATATCCGGTGATCCAGGCCGCCGGATGCGACCCAGTTGGCACTCTTGTCCGGTGTAGTAAGGCACTTGACGTAGTCGCTGTGCGATCCTATGGTGTATGCGCCATCCTGTCCATGAGAATGCGGACGCCAGAGCTTGACGGTGACATCTGAGGACGCGGAAACCACACCAAGGTTGTTCTTAACCAGCACGATGTCATTGACCAATGTGTATGCGCCTGAACCTGTTTGCGAAAGGTAGCGCTGTTGCTCTTGTCTTCGCTTCCATTTTGCGCATCGATGTTCAAGTCCCAGCCACACACCACACCATCTCGACCCGCAGTGTATCTATTCTCTGTTCAGTCTGTGTTGGGCGCTCCTGTCTGGTCAACGTACAGTATAGATCGGTCCTGATCATAAGCAAGGCCGTTGACGCCCAATCTATGGCCGCCAGGCGTAGCTGCCAGCGGCAGCACTGATTACCTGTTAGCTGCAACGCAACATGTGGGGGAGCTTGGGCATCTCACCATAGCTAATCCTTTGGCGCTTCTTCTTGGCCATATTCCTCGCCTGGAAACCTTATGCTGCTGTCATGGCGTTGGGAAATGTATACAAGGTCGACAGCTGTACAACTCAGTGCCAGAGGCGGTGCGGGCAGAGCACAAGTATTCTACGAGTTTGTCGCGTGGTTTAGGCTGATGTGGAAGCGAGTCGGTGCTATCATTCTCCTTCATCGTGGGGGAGCCGACTGCGACGCTAGCTGTGGACCACCGCATCATAGCCTGGGGTCGAAACGTCGGCGGCGGCATCATTTCGAGTGCGGGCAGTCCCTATGCCCGCCTATATCCGAAATGTCAGGACATCGCTCTTTGGTCTATAAAACGTACCCAGGTGTGTAAGTACCGTGAGGGTCTACAGCTTTGAAAAGAATAAGTAGCTAAGCGATTGCAGGACCTGTACTGCTGCGGCACGATGAAGTTGCGCAGTCACTGTGCTGATGTTAATGTCTCGAATGAAGCAATAGCTTCAATTTGCACAATCATAATGTATACTCGAATCCGTCGAGTGTTCCAGCAGCTTCAGCATGCTCATTTCCACGGAGCGCACAGGGGTAGACGTGCAAGGCGGGACTCATGATGGTGTCTGAAATGTTTGAATCAAATTGCGATGTACAAACACCTCTGCTACCTGTGATCGAGTAGAACCTCAACTTCATGCGCAGAATCGCGCTCTTTTGTTGACAATGCCACTTCTCGGTCATCTTTCCAGAACGCTCGCTATATTCACTTTCTCCAAACACCATCTATGCCACGCTCACCGTCGAAATGATGTTCAACAGGACTTTTCAGTATTCCTGCGGCGTGTTTCAGACCTTTGCCGGAGGAGCCCCACCTGAACCAGCTTCGAGGGTGTGACTATGCCCTTCAGCACGATGGACTTGTCCATTCATTTCCTGTGAGCAGACTCTTGATCCAAGTACCCATTCATCCTCAAGAACCTCGTCCATACTTGCTCGCTCGGCGGGGTCGACTTTGAGCATCCGGCCGATGATGTGTCGGCTTTCTCGAGGCAGTATCCGAAGGAGTCGCCATGGACCCTTGATGACTTCCTGTTTGTCACCAGAACGACTTTCTGATCCCTGCTCAGAGGAGTGATCGTGGTGATGGTGGTGATTGGTCTGAGGCTCAGACTGTCTGCGATGGTCGTCTTGAACAGCGTTGGCAGAAGGCATTTCGGACGCTCGTCTTGGTTTCGAGTCTGGTACCGGCGTTCCTGGGGTCGGCGGAGAAACGAACAGCTTGTACGAGTTGTCGACGATGCGCGGCTGTTTCCAGGGAAATCTACGCAGTGTCATGCAGCAGAAAATGATCGCCAACGACCAGATGTCGGTAGCTGTTGGGTCGTACTTTCGCTCGTCGTAAACCTCGGGGGCTAGGTACGGATCGGATCCGACAATACCTACTCAAGATTAGTGCGTGCCATGTCTTAGGAGAGAGTGTCCTCACCGGAAGCCAGCACTATGTCCTCTTCGAATGGATACCGAAATACTGTCGCACTCCCAAAGTCGATGATCTTCATGATGCCGTGTTCGCTGACCACCACGTTGTCCAGCTTCAGATCCCGATGCGCCAACCCCATAGAGTGCAGATAACTGACGCCACTAACGATCTGCAAGAATGAACAAGCGATTTCTTCCCTGGTCATCTTTCCGGTCATGACTGTCGCGAATAGATCATAAGGCGCATACTCCATGACCTCGTACCACCGGCTTCCTTCCTGGATGATGTCCATGGTTTCGATGATGTTGCCGTGGTGTAGGGTCGACCCTATGCAAAACTCTGCTGTAACCTTCTTAGAATAATCCTTCTCGCTCTCCCAGGAGTGCTTTTCTCGGAACTGCTTGACAGCGAAGGTGACACCATCACTGCTGCGTTTTAGTAGTCTCACTGAGCCACCGGCGCCCGATCCCAGAACTTTGCCAAACTTGCCATATTTCGCTTCCAGACCGTGCTCATCTGCGAAGGGAACATTCGCTGGTGGTGCTTGATGGGGAGGGGTCTTGGTACCAGACCCAACGCCTTTACTCGAGGCCACGGACCGGCGCGTTGATGTCTGCGAAGCGGCAGGTGACTCAGTCTGAGGGCTGTGCTTGTGCTTATCCTTGTGACCAAGACGGAAGAAGCGCTTCAGCTCTGACATGGAGCCGTGCTTCTTATCGCCCCCCAAGCTTGTCGTGCTCTCGTCTTTGAGATGCCCGAGGCCGTCTTTCTTGGATCCACCAAATATCGAGCCTCGCTTGTCGGAAGAATCGTGGGGTTTTGGAAGCTTCTCAGCGGCAGCTGCGATGGCGGGTGCGATGGAATTTCTGCCTGTGCTGCCGAAATGGCGTGGCTCCTGTTTGCCCGGGGCGGGCGACGATGGCCGTGAGCCCGGCCTCGAGCCCGGCGACTGCACGGGACTCTGGCTGAGTGAAGTTTGTGAGTCTGACGGTCCGATTTCGAATCTGGGGACGTGCTTTTTATCCGTATGTGATGTCGAAGGCTCGGATCCAGATGTTGGTCTAGTAGAGGTTTGGTCTGATGTAGACGGCTTGAGGCGTCATGGGGTGAGATACTTTGAGACAGGCGTTTTCCGTGGGCATCCGGTGGGGGAGAAGTCTGCGGAGTAATGGCGGCCTGAGGTAAATGAGACCTACTTGCACTTGATTCTGTGCGGTCGTCTTTCGAGCCAGCGGGTGTCAGAGGGGGCGACTGTACGGCGCCTGAGATGGAGCCATGCTGGCCACGAGAGACTGATCCTCTTGGGCTACCTGGGGGCGCATCGCTTTCCCTAGATGGAACCTGTCATACTGTCAGCTGAGCCCGGAGAAGTACATTTGTGGCGCGCTACTCTTGAAGGTGGCATTGAGACAGGCTCGTATGCGAAATTTGCCATTCTGTTTTCTTGCAACCGCGACTTCTGCAGAGTCATGGCTAAGTGTCTAATTTGCTCATGTGCTTGAGGCGATAAGTCCTCTGGTCTGGTGTCGCCAGAGTCGGTGAGGTCTGTGATAGGCTCAATCTGCTCATCTTGTGCAGCGAAACGGACGTTGCTTTTGTCGCTATCCGACTGAGCAGGCTTGTCTATAGCAGTGTAAGTGTCTTCAAAGAACAGAGTCAGTGCTGAGTCTGAAGCTTACTGTCATTCTTATCGGCATCACCCCCAGGAAAAAGCACGGACGAAAGTTTCGAAGTCATCGTCGAGCGACTGCCGCAGTCTTCGCGGCGTCAAGGAAGTGGAAGACCAGTCTGCGGCTGGGGGCCGGGCTCGAAATTGATCGGCAGCAGGTGTTCAGCACGAGGTACAGGAGGCCTGCATACACCAGCTACACCAAATCGCAATCAGCGTCTCGCGGCGAAGATAGCAGCACAAAGGCTATGCAGCGCGGTGATGGAGCGAACGGAAGAAAGCTCCCCAATGCGTCACTTCGGGTTGATTGAAAACTTACAGGTACGCGTGGAAAAGTGCAGGTGGGCTGAACTGAATCACCGGAGACACCGCGAGGCTCCGCGGCTTAGCGAGTGAGAATAGATGAGATATACTATGTGTGCTGATATCGGTGTCGATGGCGAATTATGTAGAAAGGATGGTAACAACGACGAGGACATACACAGAGATCTAGTAGTTCTTAGTTGAGCTGCAATATCGTAGTCAGCAGCGGCAGCAACAGCGAGAACTCGAGCTAGGCCAGCACGCGGGGCGGGGGTGAATACTCAGGGCCCTCGAATGTGGGATGGTCCAGGGTACGGCGATCTATCACCAGTTATTTCCGACCGCACTCGGCATGAGGCAACAACCTGTGGTACGAGTCTTCAATACTGCCTGTCTCATCGTTTTTGTGAGAGAGTCATCGTACGAGGTGCTATGATTACTTCGCGGCTTCACAGCACCACCGAGGCATCAAAACCAACCATGCCGGCCGTTCCGCTCATGATTCAGTCGCGACCCGAAGCTGAGTGAGAGCGTCGGCTTGATGGCTGAGCTTAAAATGACGTTGGACGTCTCTTTCGCGTTATGACTCCTGCTCGGTCAGCATTCTTCCCGCCATATACTCTGCCTAGATTCAGGACGTCTGCCCTACCGCGACATCTCATCTTGGGTCCGTCTGCCCAGAGCATTGGATCTTAGATGCGATATCCATGCTGGAAACCCCTGCAATCTGTCTAGCAGGAGCGATGGAGCACCAATGCAACATTCGCTGCGGATAGTATGCAGGGGTGGTGAGGCTTGGATAGAAGCAACGATCATGCTTGTGCGAGGGCAACAACGAGGTCTCTCGCACGAGGCAACGAGGAGGTTTGCATAGAAGTCCAGCGGCCACGATGAGGCTTGTATGGAGTAACGATCAGCTTTCGACCATCTGCCCGGGTACATGTAGGTACGACATGGGTACCACTTTTTCGTCATCACGTTCTCTTCACCCTGTTCTAGTCAACAGGTTCTCTTGCCCATGTTCAAGTCACTACTTTCTGGTCACTGCGTTGAGTAGTGCCTTCCAATCCTAGACGAATGAACCACCGGCACCCTCCACCCTCCACCACCTCCACCACCACTGTCCACGTGGTAGGTATTGAAGCCTTCGCAACACATTTCAGACCTTGGCCAATTTAGACGCTACTCGAATTATCTTCAAGGTTTGGTCTTGTTCCGCCCCGCGGCTTGTGTGCTGCATGCGTATTTACTGTCGTCTTTGAAGGCTTCCATCGAGATCTGGGAGTCGTCTGCACGAAGACCACTCTCCTCGGTATGACTCTCGGCACTAAGTGCGCAGGCACACCTGACCTGCGCAGTCACTCTGCCTTTGTGGATCTGTCGAATACCTCGGTAGCTCCAACATGCTCAACGAGATGAGGCGCTTGAATATCGGCATTGATCTGTGCAATAGGTCCTGGCCAGTGGCGCGTTCTCAGTGGAACAGTCTTTCCGAGGCCCGTGAGAAGTGGAATTCGACTCCCTGTCCGTGACACTACGGGCATTAGCCGGAATCATTGAGAAAGCTGCCTCAAGCCTCGCTGCTTTGTATCGCCAGACCTCGATAGTGCGGCAGAATTTGCGTGATTTCACGTCGGTAGACCTCAAGGAACCACATTCACCCCTATCGTCTTCGCCTGCGCAATAACGCTTTTGCAGAGCCCTTCAAGGCTCAAGCCTGATAGTCGGGTCTCCGACTGCTTGATCTTTGCGATTTCATAGACCTGCTTGAGGTTCACCGATCCGACTGTTTCTGTCCCTGGTTTGCCGGCTCCTTTGAGCTTGCCCTTGGTCTCGGCAACGCCAGCAGCTTTCAGTAACAGCCACGATGTGTTTGGCGTCCGAAGTTCAAATGAAAATGATCTATCAGGCCGAACCGTGACTCTGGCAGGTATGGGCGTGCCGTTCTCAATGTGCGCAGTTCTTGCATTGAACTCCTACACCTCGGCGTCAGTAGTATCCCAACCGTAGGGCTGGGTATCTCACTTTGCAAAAGTCCATGCTCTTCACGCCTTTACTACCAAGAGCTGGGCCGACAGGAGGACTGGGGCTAGCTTGGCCTGCGCCGACAATGAGCTTGACTATGACATCTTTCGCTGCCACCTTCTTTGACATGATGGCAGTGGATGAAGCTCGTCGCGGCTTGTGATTAGCGCCGCGTTGCTGTCTCTGAGTTGGAGAGATGCAGAAGTCGATGAAGTCGGTGATATGTGCACGCGGTCCTTTAGTAGCGTCGCGAGATGAAGCGCAGTCTTTTTTCTCCAAGTAAAGACACCCCTGTAGCACGAGGTGGTCGTCGGAGGAAGCTCGCCGCCAGCAGTAACGTTAGGTTTTACCGGCCGAGATATCCGCCTGCAGTGCCTGGAAGCGGCGCTTAAAGAAGCTTAGATCTGTGCAGTGACGTTGAGCCCTGGCTGACTACAAACCGAGTCCACCGCTAAACGGCAGGAAAGAACTGATCTTTCGCATGCGACCTTCAGAGTCCGCCCTGCCCCGGAAACCAACATCTCGTTCCCAATACTGTACCTTGCAAGCCTACATACCGACAGAACCTCCTAAGACTATACAGTATTGTACTACGCTAGCATGAATTGGTTCAAGCAGCAGTAAGTTGCTGCAGTCCCGCAGGCGCCTACAATTCTTCTAACTGATCTCCCCCCAGATTAGCCCACGTCGCCGGGACGCAGGAGCCTGAATACGGCCCAGATGCGATCCAGCCGGTAACGAAACAGACACCGCAGTACACAGAGTTGACATCAAATGATCTGAAATGGGTCAACATGGGTGGCACCAACGTCGAGACGGCCGTCTTCTACTTCATGACTGACGAGGGCGTCACCGGTCTGGCGCAAATCATATACAGCAGTGTCGCTGGTGTACACACCACAGCGCATTTCAACAGCAAGATCTTTGATCACGATGGACCAGGAAAGCATTTCCTGTGCTCGGACTCGCTCAACAACTACGGTTTCGACGATGCGCAAACGGGTTTCGTATCGGACGAGGTTGCAGTGCAATTGAACGCCGAAGGAGACACGTTTACGATCAAGTCTGCTGCCAACGATGGATGTCTAGTGAATTTGACGGTCAAACGAGCAGCCCCAGGCTTCCATGTCGGCAAGAACGGTACAACTTACTACGGTACTGACCCAGCAAAACCGTGGGGAAGCATGTTCCACAGGTTCTGGCCTCGCTGCACAGCAACCGGCACAATGAAGACCGAGAAGAAGACGTACGACTTCAAGGGCCAAGCGATGTACATAAAAGCCATCCAAGGCATGAAGCCGCATCACGCCGCGGCCAAATGGAACTTCATCTGGTTCAACACTCCGACCTATTCAGCATCAGTGATGGAATTCACGACTCCAGCATCATATGACCGAACGACCGTCAGCGTAGGCAGCATTTCGAAAAATGGAGAGCTGATATATGCCGGACCTACGACTGTGAAGCATACCAAGTCTGAGACGGACGCTGAGATATCATGGCCCGAGCCAAAAGCTATCGAAGTACATTGGAAAGGCAATGGAGCATCTGGCAAGCCTGTAGATGCGTCGTTGATAAGCGACCTCCCACCCAAGGTGGATCGTGTGGATGTACTGCACCATATTCCAGGCTTTGTGAAGACGATTGTTGGCGGGGTTGTTGGCACCAAGCCCTATATCTACCAGGTAAGTCAAGGCTTATTTCCCCCCAGTGGCCTGGAGCCCGCCCTGAAGAAAAGAATCGTGTACTGACGATGTCAGTACATCTCCAAGGACGCAATGACCCTCGACGTTGACGACAAGTCCGAAAATGGCCAACTCTTCATGGAAGCGACGTTCATTTCCGATTAGGGTTCGAAAGTGGCCAAATGCTCCTCAGGGGCCGCCCAGACCGTATGTGTTGACCACGACCGACCATTAGTGAAGAAGCCACGACGTCACGGTATTCACCACTCCAAGAAGAAGAAGCACTCTACAGAATGAGCCCACGACGACCTCCCGACGGCACGACATAGACTGGAAGTTATTGGATAGAACGATTGGTTATTGGAGTCCAGCATTGCTTATATGGCAGAAGACTGGCAGTAGCCACAAGTATGACTCACTGCAATAGCGCCCTACATACCTAATGTCTAGTATTGTCATCATCGTACCACGTTTCTTTCCCCCCGACTGCCCCGACCCCCCAAACTCGATCCGGCCTCACCCGTGTTGAGTCATTGGCAGGCACGACTCATGCATTCAGTTATACGCGGCACCTCTGCGCAGTACGCTACCTACCACCTACATACCATCCAATGTCATTACACACTGCAAACTAGAGTACCACGCCTGTCATCCGCGTGGCATCTTGCTAACTTTAAGCGAACTTCCCCTGACAAGGGGAAGTCCTCATCTACCCGGACTGGAGTTCATTCAGACTTTGAAGGACATTTGACCTACTCATGGAGCAAAGCTCTTGTGCACACGGGTAGCTGAGATCCAACTCCACAGCGCACAGCGAAGGTGCTCAACCTTGGAACCTAATCAGTAAAGGTAATCGATGCCACTAGGTGGCCTCTTGTATATTACCACCACCCTGCCACCTCATCATCAGAGTCCGCGCAATCCAATATTACAACGTGCCGAGACCAGCATCAACGTCCTCGCAACCAAGCGTCATATCCTTCGCAACTCAACATCACTATTATCGCAATCCATCACGTAGGTGGTTCACACTGCTGCACTTCCACATTCCAACATAACAAGTCGCCATGGGTTCACATCTTTCGATGCCTGACCCAGCCGCGAACACGTCAACGGCGGCACTCGCACCAAGGGCGGCAGTCACATCAAATGCAACATCAGTCGAACCAGTCACGACTGTCCTAACAGGGATCATAGTGAAAGGCCCCCTAAACACGACGTTGATAACCCAGACAATCTCAGTCACAAGTATGACCGTCCCTGTATCCACAGGACTTGGTGTTCACGAGTCTACCCCTTTGTCGACAGGACTTGGTGTTCACGAGTCTACCTCTGTATCGACAAGACTTGATGTTACGACTCCTGCAACGACAGCCGCTCCCGCTCCTTCACCGACCACAAAGCAATGCGTTCCCGCAAACGATGTCCATTTCTCATACCATGTGACATGGTGTCCAGATACCCCATGGGAAGAGTGGTGCACGCCGTGGCCAGGGCTCTGTCAACGCTGGGGTCCAAAAGGTACGGCTGAATGTAAGAAGGGAGACCCGATGTTGGCGATGGTCACCGAGGCTGCAAACCTTGGTCACGCCCCAAACATGAAACGCGATGAAAGCCACGAGTTTTATTGTGAGCACTCGATCTTGAAAAATTGCTTGTGCGGCAAGGGCACGTAAGGGACTGGAGCAGAAAGTAGAGACTACTCACGAAAAATCTTTGGAGGATAGAATCCCAAGTGTTGCGGCGGTATCGCGAGACTCGAGATCCACAAGGTCAAACATCTGTACGTGTGCGTACACCCGATTACGACAATGCTCCGCAAAGAAGTGCTTCGCAGAGAGACGGCGGAATGCGTCTGGAATCCAGGTCCGACGAAGCCTGAGCAGATCTTCCGGTTCAGCCTGGATGTCTCTGAGCCGTTGATCCTGCGAAGTTCTGATCGGCTTGACGGCAGCTTGACTGAGGCGTCCGAGGTTCGTTGACACGAGGCTTGCTTGAGTACTGACATGAGTCTCTGTCGTCGCTGAGAAGAAATTTCTGCCTCGAACTCCGATTCCGGTGCAGAGCCACGTCCGAGATGTATATCGAACGCGGAGAGAAGACAAATGCAATCGATCTCTCCTGAAGCAAACATGGAGGCGTGCGCATTACCACTCTCCACCATTGTCAATTTTCTTGGAGAACCACATTCTTTCGTGCCATCAGCCTCATGGAGAAATGACAGGGAAAGGAGGGCTTTCAACTCGGCAGGCAAAGAAGGCGAATATTGTTTCAGGGGAAGAGTTGGATGCCAGAGACAGTCGGGCCTTGCTCTTCGTCATATGGGTAACATGTAAGTAGACCTTCCTCAAGTCTCGTACAGAGTTGAGTCCTCCATTACATCAATGCATACCCGGATCCGCCTGAACAAGTGGTGATGAACCCGTCACAGCTTCAACAAACTCTTGCCCGTAGTTTTTCTCCCCTCGAGATCATCCTGTGCCTGCTTCGCGTCCTTCAGATCATACGCCTTGTGGACATTGATCTTCAATTTGCCGTCCTTGATCAAGTTGAGCACGGCGTTGCCGTAGTACTCGATCTCTTCGCGTGTCACGATGTAGGACATGACCGTCATTCGCATGAGGGAGATATTCTTGGGTGAGAGTCGTGCAATGTTGAGCGGAGGTGGTGGGCCGGATGCAGAGCCAAATTGCACGACTGTTGGGAATTCACAGCATCAGCATGGGTTAAGCAGAAGACGTAGAAGGTGCCTGGAGCCACAGCCTCGTGTCCAGCACCCAGAAGCTCGAGCAAAGATAACAGCAGAGTGTGGAAGCGAAGGACTTACATTTGCCCTTTCGTTTGATAGAATCCAGACTTCCATCAAAGGTCGTCTTACCCACACTATCATACACAACGTCCACGCCGTTTCCATCTGTCAGCTCCTTCACCTTCTCCACCCAGTTGGTATTGGCGTTATAGTCGATGGTCACGTTTGCGCCATACTGCTCCGCTAGCTTACATTTCTCTGGACTTCCAGCCGTACCGATTGTGTAAGCGCCTATGTCGCGCAGTAGCTGGCACAGCAGCAATCCGACGCCACCAGCAGCGGCATGAACTAAAACTTTGTCGCCTTTTTGCACAGGATAAGATTCCCGAACGAGCGACAGGGCAGTCATGCCCATAAGAAACCCTCCGACAGCCTGGTCGTCGGACAGACCCTCGGGGATCTTGATCGTCCGATGCGCAGGTACGGCAGTGTATTCCGCATAGCCGCCCTGGGCGATCCACACGACCCGGTCACCGGTCTTGAAGCCCAGGGTGTCGCCTTCAGAAGAGACATCAGCGACGATTCCGGCGGCTTCTTGGCCTAAGATCATGGGGTAGCCTACGGCGGAGGGGTAAAGGCCGCTGCGGAAATAGGTGTCGATATAATTGATCCCGGCATAGGCGTTTTTCACGAGGAGCTGGCCTGGCTTGAGGGTGGGCAGGGGTTGAGAGTCGGTGTACTGAAGTTTGGAGGAGGGACCGATCTCGGGTAGGACGACGGCTTTCATTGTTGACGGGAGGGATGGCATCTTTGTGGCTGTGGAGATGCTGAGCGGCCGGCGTGGCGATTGTCCTTGCAGCGAGAAGCAGCGATGAGTGCGAGACGGTTTGAGGCTCTTGGTGCTGAAGGCGTTCTTGGTATCAGGTTTCGGAGTAGGGACGTTGACATTTAATATTCCGGTTCGAGATCCTGAGTCGTTGCTTCTCAGATATAGCTCCACTAAGATATGTAAGCAGACACTGAGACTCGAGATCACGACAGCACAAGTTTGGAAAGAGTCGTTTCCCCTCAGCTACAATGGGACTCGCGTGGCTGCCTACCCCAGCTGCGTTGCGAGGGCACCTTTTGCTTCGACAACGATATCGGCACTCAACATCGGTGACGCGCATTTCTCCGACTGTTTGCGGTGACTCCGCCGCCCCGCACTCTGGGACGAGTGGTGGGAAGCCAGTGTCGGACTGCTCGTTGAAGTGGTCGATATATTGCAATCGATGAACTGAGCTTCACAAGAATTTCACTCGACAGAAGCTGGATCGTACATATACGATAAGGCTACAAGCGATGCTCATCAGGCCGTCAGGTATGCGAATCAGGCATTCGAAGAGCGGTGGAACTTCAGGATTCTTGTCAACCGGCGTCAGGTTTGAACATCTCGTGAAATATATTTGCGCGCCGCACACAATACCAAGTGTTTGCTTCCTCGTAGGGATACTAGGTCGTTGTACGCTTGACGGTGAGATGTATTTCCTTTCAGGAGGCTTTGAAAGTGCTCATGTGGCATTCGAGGTCGCGGGCATCGTAACATCTGCCAGACTTGATGCATGCACACACAGATGCTGCTTTGCACGGCGATTTTCTTGGACCCTGAGAACCGAGACGCGTCCCGCCGCCGTCAAAAGTCAAACCCGAGATGTTCATCATGAACCCTTGACACGCGTTGCGAGCAGAGGAACAACTCCAAGATCCGAGACTTGCGTCAATTGCGCGTCGTCACACGAATCATGCAGTATCTTTGAAGCCTTCTAGAACAGTTCATCCGTCTTCTACGTGACCAAGCAATCCCTTGACAGTCCATGACGGCATGACAATCTTGGCAGCAATTCATATTGGCCGCTCCGAAGATTCTATGGCATCTCCAGCGACAGCGTGATGGAGATGAGGAGGGACTAACAACCGAAGGTAATGCTTCAAGAGATGCGCACAAACAACGACTTTTCGAGAAGGCAAGGCAGCCACGAAGTCGCCGGGACAGAAGTCTTTTCTAGCTTTTTTGCCCACTTCGACTCGACAGATGGCTACGTACTCCACCAGTCTCGAAGCACAAGATTGCGCAGCATTCAATGCACAGCCTCCCTTCATACTTGGCACTTCGACGTTCGAGCACCATGTCTTTGCGGCATTCGAGGCAACGTGACTTGTTGACAAGCCTTGCACTATGGAGCATTTTCAGATGATGACTCGTCCACGGTAAGTTTACTTCGATCAGAATAGGCGTGTGTAGACCATTCGCATCGCCTCCTATGTCTCAGTTACGCCTGGTCCCAGGTATGACCGGTAAGCTATATTGAAAGGCACCCACTTGCATTCCACCACTGGAGAACACAGCACTTGCCTTGGACCTGCCAGGACACCCTCACTTCAGACGTTGAAGAAAGCCATGGGCGTCCTCCGCCAGACCTGGGTGTTGACCAAGAAGAACCTCCTCATCGTCGCCCGTCGGCACTGGTTCGCGACCACCTTCCGAGCCCTCGTTCTACCTGTTATCTACATCTTCCTCATCTCATATGTGCGGAACTTCTTCCTGCCGCCCTCGGTATACGGTTTCGGTGAATCAACACCACTGCGCAACGCAAGCGCCGCTTTTCAAGACCAGTCCAGCCGTGATCGGGTTGTCCTCATCAACAACGGTTTTACGACAGGACCTATAGCTGAGATCATCGACGAGCTCAACTCAACCTATAGCGATGCAGGCGCCGACGTGCGTCTCGCCTCAGAGGATGACCTCCCAGAGTTGTGTCGGTCTTCGTTGACCGGCACAAGTCGCTGTTATGGTGCTATCTCTATTACCAGCTCGCCCTCGCAGGGCCCTGCACAAGTCAACGGCGATCAGATGTGGGCGTACACGGCGTATGTTGACTGGGGTCTCGGTCTCGAGATCAATGTCGATAGCGATAGCAACGATGTACAAACAATCGTTCTGCCTTTCATCAGGCTGTGGATGATGCCATCGCCAGAGCTTCCGGACAGGAGCTTCCGGAGACGATGTACAACATACCTTTTACATCACGAACGCTACAAGAGCGACGAGATCAGATCCAACGGATCTTCATGTCCGCTTTGGTAAGGTACCTGGGTCTGGTCATCTTCATTGCTGTCTGTGGAATCACCTATCATCTGCCTGGACATGTGGCTAGGGAGAGGGAGCTGGGCATGTCTTCGCTTATCGACATTATGAATCCACAGAAAGGTCAATGGCTTTCTCACGCTGCCCGAATATTTGCTACCAACATCTCCTTCTCTGTGATTTATCTTCCAGGAGTCCTGGTGGTTGGTGGCATCATCTCTGGCCTGATCTTCATTCGCAGCTCGGCCGGCATGGTGATCGCTTTCCACGTCCTGGCATGTCTATCGCTATCGGTCTATAGTACTTTCATGGGCAGCTTCTTCCGACGAGCTCAGCTGTCAGGCATATCGATAGTGATCGTCTCCTGCGTGCTGGCAATCGTGGCGCAGTGGGTGGTGCCATCAATGCTCCCAGTTGTGGTCGCGCTTTCGCTTCTCTTCCCTCCAGCCAACTACGTCTACTGGATTATGTACGTTGCCTCATGGGAGCAACGGCTTCGAGGGGCATCTTGGACAGGTGCTCCGCCTCGTTCGAGCCTGTCGGCGCTTCCTGGATGGTGGTTTTATGTCGCGGCGTTCGTTCACCTCCTTGCCTTTCCACTTTTCACGCTGTGGAGCGAAAACGCACGGTACGGAACGAGCTCAGCAAGGCGGAAAGCGAACAATGTGACACTCAACAGTCCACATGCGATCAGCCTCGTAGGGTTCTCGAAGACTTATTATCCAGGCTTCTGGAAGAGCCTCGCGTGCTGGAAGGCGTCCAAGCCAGTCCATGCAGTTGTCGACCTCTCCTTCGCGGCGCTGCGAGGACAAGTTGTTGCCCTGCTGGGCAGGAACGGTGCTGGAAAGAGTACAACCATGGCGGCGATCACTTCTCAAGAAAAGTTCACATCCGGACTGATTGAGCTCGACGGTGGTGGCGGGCTTGGTTTCTGCCCCCAGAAGAATGTGCTTTGGGACGAGCTCACTGTCCTCGAGCACGTCAAGATCTTCAATCAGCTGAAGTCCGGGGCTCAGAAAGACTCCAAGTCTTTGCTTCGTGGAGCCATCGATGCATGTGATCTGCTACCAAAGGTCAACGCAAAGAGCAAAACGTTGTCAGGTGGTCAGAAACGGAAGCTGCAACTAGCAATGGCGTTCACTGGTGGCAGCAGAGTCTGCTGTGTGGACGAGGCATCTTCCGGCCTGGATCCTGTGTCACGGCGCAAGATCTGGGACATCCTACTCTCAGAACGCGGCCACAGAACAATACTCTTCACGACTCACGCCCTCGACGAGGCGGATGCGCTAGCCGACCATATCGTGATGATGGAGCAAGGTCACTTGACTATGGAGGGCTCTGCGGTGGAGCTCAAGCAGCGTTATGGTGGTGACTACCTGATCAGGGTACCGCAGCTGCCTGCCATGAGGCTACCGGCAGATATCAGGGCACGATACACTCGAGACAAATCTGCTCATGTCTTTCATATAGCCGAGTCTAGCCATGTTGGCCGTCTTGTCGCATTCCTCGAGGCACAAGGTGTCAACGACTACGAAGTTCAAGGTCCTACGATCGAGACTGTGTTCCTCCGGCAAGCGGAACAGGATCCAGAATACACGTCGATCACACCCAAAGCTGACGTATCGGGTTCTTTGGCTGGCGCCGGATACAACGCGACCAACAACTTCAGACCCGATACCCGATCCGCCTCAAGAACACGACCGGTACTTCCGCAAGCACGCAAGCTCAGCCTCATTGGTCAATGGTGGGTACTCTATCGCAAACGGCTCAGTATTTTCCCACGCAGCTATGTTCCATACATTTTCGCCCTCGTTATTCCAATAGTCACCGCATACCTGGCCACAAGATTTCTCCGAAATTTTGAGCTGCTGATCTGCTCACCATCCGCTCTAGTCAGCGGCGTTGGCGCCGCATCTGTGAGCTCTCTGGCACTATTCGTGGGCACCAGAGTTCCTGTTGGCCCATCCGATGAGTTCAATGCCGCGCTCATAAATGCTTTGGTTGGCGGCGGTGGCGTCCAGAACTCGCTCCGACGCTTCGATACTTATTCAGACTGGACTTCTTACATACAGCAGAACTACCAAGTCGTCTCACCTGGAGGCCTCTGGCTTGGCAACAGCTCTTCGGACTACCCCACGATTGCGTACCGTGCAGATGGCGGATTGTATTATGCTGCTGCTACGCTTTCGGTTTCGGACTCATACTTGTCCGGCATACCCACGGCCGCAACGTTCTCCACGTTTGCATTGCCAATCTTGCCCAGCACGGGTGACTCCCTACAGCTCATCGTCTATTTCGGGCTCGCAATGGCGATTGTACCTGGACTCTTTGCTTTGTATCCTAGCTACGAACGCCTACGGAACATCAGAGCATTGCAGTACAGTAATGGAGTCCGCCCAGCACCGTTGTGGCTCGCTCACCTGGCCTTCGACGCTTTCTTCGTGATAGGCTTCAGCGTCGCCGCTTTGGTGATTTTCGTCAACATTAGAGCCGATGCATGGTATTCGGCACCCCATCTTTGGCCGGTGTTCTTCTTCTACGGATTGTCAGCCACTCTGTTTTCCTATGTCGTCAGCTTGGGTTTCAAAAGCCAGCTGGGCGCATTCGCATTCGCTGCCGGATATCAAGCGATTGGCTTGTTAATCTACTTCTTCCTGTAAGTCATGTTCGCCGGCCCGAGGGTCGCCGGTGAAGCGCTAACACTGTTTCTATAGGTACCTCGTACTCGTAGGATTCTCCCGGGCGGATGATCTGCAATCGAATCTGAACGCCGTACAATTTTCGTTCGGTCTGATCACACCATCGGGGAATCTGATGCGTGCATTGTTACTCGCACTGAACCAGTCTCAAATAGCCTGCGACGGTCAGAGATATATTCCCGCGGGAGACATACGGGTCTACGGTGGTCCGATCTTCTACCTGATCCTGCAAATTGTTGGCTTGTATGCATTCTTGGTGACATACGATGGCGGCTATTTTGCTGGCTTCGGCTCACGAATTGCTGGTGTAGTGATGTTTTGGAAGAAGGGAAGTATTCAAAGAAGAAGGAGCGACCCAGAAAAGACAGGGCACAGTCGCAATCCACCTGCAGATGTGGTGGCAGAGACAGCAAGAACGGAAGGCTCAACCGACGATGCCCTAAAGGTACTGCATATCTCAAAGCAGTTTGGCAGGAGCAAAGAGCCAGTGGTTGACGATGTCACGTTTGGCATCAAGTATGGCGAGGTGTACGCAAGCTTGGGTCCGAATGGTGCTGGCAAGGTATGTTTCGATCCATTCAACCCGTCCACTCATCGCATCCGTTTAAGAAGCCCATTCAATTCACCCACTCCATCCTTTCCAAGTCCGCCTCGACTAACTTGATCTCAATATAGACAACCACGATCTCCCTTATCCGTGGTACGCTGAAACCCACCACAACACCACACAAGGACAGCGACATAGTAGTCGACGCACATCAGCTCCTACACTCCTCACCCTCCTCCCGCACCTCCGCCCTTCTGTCTCTTGGCACCTGTCCGCAATTTGATGCTGTCGACTTGCTCACTGTCTCTCAACACCTCACTTTCTACGCCCGCGCAGCCGGCATTCCCGCCCGATCCATCTCACTCACTGTAGGACATATCCTCGACGCGACTGGCCTGACTAGTCTCAAAGATCGACAGGCCGCTACGCTGTCCGGCGGTAACAAGCGCAAATTAAGTCTGGCGATCGCCGTGGTGGGATGTCCGAAGGTACTACTGCTCGACGAAATGAGCTCCGGGATGGATGCGGTGAGCAAACGAGTGGTGTGGAGGGCTCTGGAGGGAGTCAGACATATGTTTGGAGGCGAAGATGGGCGAGAGAGTGGACAAGGTATGGCAATACTGATTACGACGCACAGCATGGAGGAGGTAGCTGCGCTGGCCGATCGAGTGGGAATCATGCGACGGAAAATGCTGGCTGTGGGCACTAAGGGTGATCTTATCCGCAGATATGGCGATCGGTGGCATGTGCATTTGTTGCTGAAGCGCTCGCTGCGGCAAGGCCTACGAGCAGACAATCTAGAGCGGGAGCGTGAAGAGAATGTGAAGCACTGGATCGAGACAGAAGTACAGGGCGCGAGGATCGAGAGGGAGATGTTGCATGGCCAGGTGCGGTTCTGGGTACCTAGGACGAACAACGGTGGAGGATTGGCACGAGTGTTCAGTCGATCGAGGCAAACAGGGAGAGGTTATGGATTGAGTACTATTCGGTGGTCCAGACGAATTTGGAGGACGTGTTTTTGAATGTGGTTGGGCAGCAGGAGGAAGAGTAGTCTAGCACACTAGAACGTCACCAACATAGCAGTACAAGTCTACAGGTCATTCGTCGACCCAGCCAAAGTCTATTAGCATCCACAAACGGAAGTCTGCCATAAGCCAAGAACGAGCACCGCGGTCATGGCTCGCCCAACGTCATGGGCAGGTAATGCAGATTGTGCTGGCTACCTAGCTTGGGCAAGTGAAGACTTGATGCTGGTGCCCGGCCTGATCCATCTGAGGTTGCGAGAGCTCGCGAATCGACTTGGCTGGAGTCTTCGATGAGATTCGAGCTTTTGTCATCCGAGACTGTGAGAGACCCGACTTTGTTCTTGAAGGATACCACGTATAGATCTCGTAATATTTGTCTATCGATGCACTCAAGCAGGCAGGATCCTTCCCTTGATCCTGTTGTTGGGATCGTACTTCTTTTTGATCTCCTGCAGCCTAGGTAAGTTTTCTCCGTAGATAGCTTTCAGGTCATGAAAGTCTTCCATCGCATTAGGGATAGCCACCATATGTTTAGCACTCTCAGCACCAAGGATTTTTGCCGGTCCTACGTCCCTGACGAGTCGTTTCGCCTCTCGCAGGTCACTATCAGGTGCATCTGCCGAGCACCCAGAGCCGATGAGCACCATATGCTTGAAGCCCAGCGGTCTCGGCCACGCAGACGACGCTTGGGAAGTCAGATTGTCCCTACACGAGAAGAGCTCGAAAAGAAGATAGCCCTGATCGGCAACCGAGCCGTGCTTGTTCTGAGCATTGTCGGTTGCCCACCAGTCGAGAGCGCTGAGGACCATGTCTTCAGTGAGCGTAGCTATTGCCATTGCCGTCCAGAAGGCGGACTGCTTGCCTTGAAGCTCTCCCAGGTTGGCTTGAAGGTCGGTCATTTCCCGCATAGTCATCTGGCTTCTGGTTTTGTCGATCGCGCCTTCGAAGTCGAGTGCCCATGCGAATTCTTTGCGGCCATGCTCCTCACCGAAGGCATCGTAGGCATGAATCACGAGCATGTCTTGGTCCGCGCCAAGGAAGTGGAGGATTTCCTTTTTGAGCACATAAACGAAGAGCGCGACTTTGGGATTTGTGTCCTCGCGAGCACACATAGCAGCAATACCTTTTGCTACTTCAGGAGCCTTCTCGCGTGGGATCATAATTGGGCCGCCCCAGATATTGCCATTCTCAGGAAATGGTTTTGCGTTGAACTTGAACCGGGCAACTGCAGCAAAGCCGCCTTCTGTGCCACGCAGGGCCCAGAACAGATCTGGGTGCTGCGATGCCCACGTGATGGTTCCATCAGCGAGCACAAGCTGTGCGTCTTGAAGGTTGGAGGCATCAGACACCGCACCGTACTCGGCGCTCAGCAACTGAACCCGGAACACAGCGTCGATCCGCCCACTCCGATAGAAGGCGTGCGACCCGCAACAATCATCTGCTTTGGTGCGGCTTTTTCCATTTCGACATAGTACTTTCCCCAGTTCGCTCCTGCACCCAGGGTCACTGTCTGTGTTGCTGCATCCCACTCGAACTCGTCGAAAGCTGTCATGCTTATGACTACATCGCGTGCAGAAGCGGAGCCGAAGCCACGAGACCGGACCTTGTAGTCCAAATTGGTGTCGTGCAGGTACTTGATAACACTTGACAGAGTTTCGATGGTTTGTGGCCTGATGACGACGGCAGGGTGTTCGTTGCGTGCGGCTGACCACGTCTTCGATTCGGCGGCATACTCTGATTCTGACTTCTCTGGCGTCAAATACTCGTCAGGCGAGACGAGTGTGGCTAGATGTGCCAAAGGATCTTTGCGTGATGGCGACATAGCTGAGGGATGATGGTGGAGACAGCTCAGCAGCACAATGGTTGGACAAGTTCAGCCCGCTTCTGGGAGAGAAGATTGCTCATGATCTCGGGCCATCGGCTATATAACATGCTCCAAGTCTTAGACGTCTCACTCGGCCGTGATGCAAAGAGCGACGCCCTTCTTGCGAGGCTCCGCGGAAGCCATACTGTGATCAATCAGCATCTCCTTTTGCATCAGGCTTCCCAGATCCGATGGTGTCCCAAGACGCGATGCAGCACACGAAAGACGTCGAGGCCGCCTGCTCTGCTTCTTTGAGACATACCCAAGAGCTGCTGATTATCTATAGGTAACACAGATGGAGCACAAACAAGGTTAATAGCAAAGGCTAACGCTTTTGGATTTGCCTCGTAATCGGTAGGACAGCGGCATTGATTGGTCGAAGGTTTAGCGGTAAGGCGTCGGACTTCTACTACCTCCATGATGGGGGACAGAATGCGGCGCTGTCACGATCGGACATGTTAATCATTCGATGCCGAAAGATTGCTAGAGTCGTCATCGCAGTCGCTATGGAACAAGCTGTAACAGGCTGGTGCGTCTGCTCTCGGCCTTCTCGATCGAAAACTCGTGTGGTCTTCACCTTGAATCCTGAACGCTTACCTGTTGACGACGTGGCGAGACCCTCATCTCGCATGGTAGCCGGGCAAGTTGGGGTGTTCTGCACAATGAGATGCGCCGGCTGCGATTTCTTCTTCCTGCAGATTAAGGCGAAGATAGAGCAGATCTGTGGGACATTCGGTCACAAGATCCGGTGCGCTATCTGCACAACAACGGCCACTCGTAAGGCCCCAGATCTTGCAAATTCTGGCATTCTGCGCATATCGTCGTGTCGCGCTATCGAAGAAATACGCGGACAGGCTCACAGTTCGCTCTTGATTTTCTTCTCAAGCATCATTCGTGGTGACTGGGCAGGCTACGATGTACTGATTTGCATCTAACTTCTGGCTGAACACTTCGAACGACTGACAGCAAGGGCAAGTGAAGCGACCTGTTCACACGTGAACGCGTTCGAAGGCAGTCACACTGTGATGGAATTGCAGCCCATCAAGTATCGAAACTAGCAACGGTAAGTGCAGACTCCCGAGGTCGCTTTTATCCCCAAGCAGTGGTAACTGCAAGTGAAGCAAACGAGCTAGCCCACATCGAGACTCGTGACTCTTTGCGCACGATACCTGATCACGATATTTCATTCGATTCCACTCGCGAGTCTTCATCACCTTTCGACAATGGCATAGTCAAACCTCGATACCTTCGCCATGTCAATGTCCACCGAATTGCCATGTGCTCTCGAGACGACGAGCAGCCAGTCAAGTGGCTCGTCCGATGCCGCGAGCTTGCTCGGCTTGCCATTCGAATTGCTGGACACGATCCTGAAGTTAGCATTCCCTCTTGCATATCGACTTCAAATCGCACATCCTACCTGGAACCCAACTTCAACTTTCATCAAGCAAGCTTTCTTGTCTATTGAGGAGATTGAGAGCTTGCCAGACGATTGCGTGAGAGCTCGTCAGTACTTGACGCAGAAGAAGGCTACCTACATAGAGCGGACCATCAAGCAGGTGCAAACCGACCTGGACAAGTATCAGCAAGACCTCAAGGACAAGTTGGCAAAACTGCGCAAGACATACAGTCGGGACGATCTGGAAATTGGGAGGTACAGCTCCATTTGGAAGGCGATCGAATGCAACGACGAACACCAGGGGAAAGTGGCGCGTCACGGCAAACAAATCCTCACCGATCTTGCTGCTGGCAGGAAGCCGGGCAGAGCCTACCCTAGAGTTGGGTTCTCCTCGCACGACCAGGCAAGTGACAGAGAGTCGCTAAAGAGCCTCATGATGGTTTGTCGCCAACTCCGCACCGAGGTCAGAAACTTCATCGCCAGAAACGGAGTCGTGAACGCATCCACTGTATGCGACGCAGCGTGGTTCGCAGCTACTCATCGTGGTTTCAGCACTCATGTTGCGTCCTTGGAGATCAGAACACCCAAATGCGAAGACGCGCTACCGAAACGCAAACAGTGGATCACACTGCTACTTCGATGCTTTCCAAAATTGAAGTGCCTGAGAATCGACTGGATCAAGGGTGACTATGTGCACAGAGCTGAGGATGCTGGATCAAGCATAGTCCCATTCGACAAGGACTACATCGTTCATTTCCCAAAAGTCGAGCTACAGTTGATGGAATTCATTATGCAGAAGAGCGGACTCGACACAGTGCTCGTTGTTCACGCTGGCTCAATGGGAGTCATCTTTGGCCGAGCAGAGGACGTTCGTGTTCGTGGGAATTCATTCTTCTTCATCGACGACATAACGATGTCGGTGGTAGATGTTGAATCTCAATTGGAGGAGATGTGGTTCTGAGAAATACTACAGCTCCACCGATTAAAGTGACCTGGAGGCCATGTGGATGACAAGGCTATCCGATGAAACGGACTGCAACACAACCGGGGGGTCATAGGCAGCAAGAACGGTGGACTTCTAGCATGAATACGCGTCTGTCGACAACCATGGATGCAGCAGTGCCGTGCGAGGATAGTCGAGCGCTTCATGAACAATTGGGGTCGCAGACATGCGCAGAAACGATCAATAACAACGCGGTCCTGGGTCATAGAGTGCTCCTTGGGCGTAAATAGACAACTACATCTGCATCTAGGCAGATGACAGCTGCCTGCGAATCAACACTCATCAGACGAGCTTCACGTGCCCCCTCCTCCTTGATTCCTGCGCAACCGGTGCCACCCGCTGATCCATAGTCTGCTGCCACTTGATCGCGTAGCAAGGTCAAACCAGGCACAGCTGCTCGAGAACTAATGATGCAAGATGATATGATCGAAAGGCCTGGTACCGCATCCCCTGTAGGGTTTCCACGGGTGGTGAGATGAGATCGAATCGTATTTGAGGAATACATGGACGGGAAGTGTAGGATATGATCAACGCCAGTTCGCTGCGCTTATGCACAAATACACCTTGAAGGCCGCCTCATCGCGCTCTAGTAACACAGCCATGCCTTCCCAACGTCTCCAATTGTCCTGATTTTACACGATCATTTTTGTTGGATGCCGCGTCCGCTTCGAGGCGCACAGGACCTCGATTTACTCATTGATCTTCGCCAATAGCTCGTGGTCGCGAAAGAGGGAATACTCCTCCTCGCCGACCTTAACGGGGCTGCCTCCGTACTGCTCCAGCACAAACTCGTTAGCCTTTCCTCTTACTTCGCGGTCATCCAACCGCCCACCCCATCGTGTTCCATCTTGCGTTGGGAGGACTCACCTGAGGGATCAAGACTTTATCTCCAGCAGCGACGCTCATAGTTATCCGCTTGCCATCCTTGTCCAATCCGCCGGGTCCCACAGCCAGAACCTTGGCTTCGTTCAGCTCCTTGACGGAGGACTCGGGCAGGAAGATGCCACCGGCGGTCTTTGTCTCGGCTTTGATCCGCTGGACTAGGACGCGATCGAGGAGGGGCGCGAGCGAGCGGATGGATTTCAGTGCTGTGGTCTGTTTTGGTGATGTTAGTATGTAGATCGGAGAGTTGGAGAAGCGCTGTTTAATGCGCGCGCACTGGTTTGAGAGGGCGCTGGGTGAGGCTGACCATTTTGACGTGTGTGGAAGAAAGGGCGACTTCGGATGAGATGAGCGGCAGGAGTAGAGGTGATGTTGAGCGATGTCGAAGGAGCGAATGGACAGTGACCAAGGAGCTTCTGATGTGAACGCTGCTACTTTTTTCTCCAGGAATTTGATCGGCTTCGAGAAAGCTCGATGCCCGGACAATGCTATAATTGGTTGAGAGATGTGCAGCCTTGTTGAAATCGACAGCCTTGTCGCGACTTCCACCATAGCCCTCCGCACCCCAGACATTCGTCGCTGAGCCATATCACACTCTTCAGACCGTTTGCACACCCGGAATCGCCAAGATGATGGACTCAGACGATGACGATATCTACCCGACCAACGAACCAGTCGCCGACCGCCAGGCAATCAAGACCGAGCCAGACCTAGACGAAGAGGCTGAGGAGGGCGAGGACGACAGCGATGTATGACAACCCTCCGCTGCAGAGCCACACAAACACTAACCGGTATACAGGAAGACATTAACTTCATAACAGACGCCAAAGAAGTCCCGAAACCAGAGCC